CCATCTCGTCCCAATACGTCTCTTCTATTCTTATGGCGGCTCCATACGCAAAGAACCCCGTGACACTGCGTCTTGTAGGAGGCAAACCCATTTCTCAACCTTACATTGATATGACCCTGGCAATGATGGCGTCTTTCGGTATTGACGTGAAGGTTTCATCCGACGAACCTAATACCTACCACATCCCTCAGGGTGCTTATAAAAACCCCAATGACTACACCATCGAGAGCGACGCGAGTTCCGCTACCTACCCCCTGGCAGTTGCCGCGATCACGGGCACCAAGTGCACGATTCCTAACATTGGATCAAAATCATTACAGGGTGATGCTCGCTTTGCCGTCGATGTGTTGCAACCTATGGGCTGTTCTGTTGAGCAGTCCGACTACTCTACAACCGTCACCGGTCCCGCTCCCGGCCAGCTCAAAGCCCTGGCTCACGTTGATATGGAACCGATGACAGATGCATTCCTCACTGCGTCTGTCTTGGCTGCTGTCGCTTCAGGAACAACTCGAATCACAGGCATCGCCAATCAACGAGTCAAGGAATGCAACCGAATTGCTGCTATGAAGGATCAGCTTGAGAAGTTTGGTGTAGACTGCAACGAGCTTGAAGACGGCATCGAAGTGATTGGCAAGGGCCAAGAGGGTAACGTCGCAACGCCAAGTGCCAGCATCCATTGCTATGACGATCACCGTGTGGCGATGAGCTTCAGTGTACTGGCAGTTGCTTCACCAGCTCCGGTCATCATCACTGAGAGGGAATGTGTGGGCAAAACTTGGCCAGGGTGGTGGGATATTCTATCCCAAGTCTTTAAAGTTGATATGGTTGGTGATGATTCAGATGCTGAAAACGATGGTGAGGACAGCCAAGAAGCGACGTTTGAAAGCTCGGTCTTCATCATTGGCATGCGAGGCGCCGGCAAAACCACCGCTGGCAGCTGGATGGCCAAGCTCTTGGGCTGGAAATTTATCGATCTCGACCAGGAGCTAGAGAGAAGGGCTGAGCGCACGATTCCCGAGATGATCAGAGGTGACCGTGGGTGGGAGGGCTTCCGCGCGGACGAAGTGGCTCTTTTACGGGATGTTATGGAAAAGAACAAATCCGGACATGTCTTCTCTTGTGGCGGTGGTCTCGTCGAGACTCCGGAAGCCAGAGAACTACTCAAAAGCTACGGTAAAGACGGCGGTCATGTTCTGTTGGTCCATCGCGACACTGATCAGGTTGTTGAATATCTCAACCGTGACAAGACTCGACCAGCTTACACTAGCGAGATCCGGCAAGTGTACTTGCGTCGCAAGGCCTTCTATGATGAGTGTAGTACGCACCTTTACTACAGCCCTCACTCCGAATCTTCCGGTTCCAAAACCGAAATCCCTCGCGACTTCCAACAATTCGTATACTCCATTGCAGGAAAGACTTCACACTTCAAGGACGTCTTGAGTAAAGATCATAGCTTCTTCGTGTCCTTGACTGTACCTGACGTGAACGAGGCTGTCAGTCTGGTTCCTGAGGTTGTTGTTGGCTCTGACGCAGTTGAGCTGAGGGTAGATCTTCTTAAGGATCGCTCCATAGATTCTGTTACCCGCCAGATCTCGACTCTTCGCGCTTCGGCCCAAAAACCTATTGTTTTCACATTGCGGACTGAGTCGCAGGGCGGCAAGTTCCCCGACAAGTCTTACGAAGAAGGTCTTGAGCTATACCTCTTGGCCACCCGAATGGGTCTGGAGTACATCGATGTTGAAATGACCCTCCCCGATAACATCATTCAAACCGTTACAGAGTCACGGGGGCACTCGTGCATCATTGCCTCGCATCATGATCCGAAGGGGACAATGTCATGGAAGAATGCATCGTGGATTCAATACTATAACCGCGCACTCCAGTATGGCAATATCATCAAGCTGGTGGGTATTGCTCGCACCCCTGAGGACAATTTCGATCTGGCTAGATTTAAGGCCAGAATGCAGCAGGCGCAGAAGACCCCGATGATTGTAATGAACATGGGTAAATCAGGCAAGTTGAGCCGTGTACTCAACCGATTCTTGACACCTGTGTCTCATCCTGCCCTTCCCTTTAAGGCCGCACCTGGCCAGATGTCCGCGGCTGAGATTCGCCGAGGTCTGGCATTGCTAGGCGATCTGGACCCATACAACTTCTACTTGTTTGGGAAGCCAATTGCAGCTTCCCGCTCACCGGCTCTTCATAACACTCTGTTTGATCAGGCGGGTTTGCCTCATCAGTATCATCGTCTCGAGACGGATAACGTTGAGGATGTATACGATGTTCTCAAAGCTCCGGATTTTGGAGGCGCCTCGGTCACTATTCCTCTCAAGTTGGATATCATGAACAAGCTTGACGAACTCTCTGACGCAGCTCGTGCTATAGGTGCCGTCAACACTGTAGTACCTTTAGGGAAGGCCGATGCCAACGGTCGTCGGCGTCTCCTAGGAGATAATACAGACTGGAAGGGCATGGTTCACGCTCTCCACGACGCAGGCATCGAAGAACAGGTAGGCTCGGATGCCCAAAGAGCCGCGATGGTCGTAGGCTCTGGAGGCACTACCCGAGCCGCCGTGTTTGCGCTGCACTCCCTGGGATTCGGTCCTATTTACATTGCAGCTCGAAACCAGGCAAAGGCTGATGCTCTTACAGCCGACTTTCCAGCAGATTATCAACTCCAAGGTCTCAGCGGGGCTTCCGACATTGACAGTGTGTCGTCGAATTTGAACGTTGTGATAAGCACTATTCCAGCTGATCGGCCCATTGACCCAGTTCTCCGAGAACTTGTTGCCGGCGTGCTCAGCCGACCAGCAGCTGATCATCAGCGTCGAGTCCTCCTTGAGATGGCATACAAGCCAAGTCATACTCCTATAATGCAGCTGGCGGAAGATGCTGGCAATTGGACCACAGTTCCTGGACTCGAGGTTCTTGCATCTCAGGGCTGGTATCAGGTAAGTTTTTCATTTTGACGTGCAAGCTTTCAGCCAGCTAATTTAACTGTGTCAGTTTGAACTGTGGACAGGCATTGCCCCTTTGTACAAGGACGCCCGGGCAGCCGTTTTGGGTCTTTAAGTGGCGTGGCCTGTCAAGAACAAGAACAACAATAACAACAACAGTGTCGGTTGATAGCAAATTCATTGACGTTTGCGATGCCGGCATCTTGGTTCGTACTTGACGCACGACTCAAAAGCGACATGCATGAAAACTATGGCGTTATCGGTGGGGAAAACAAGAGCAAGATAGCTAAGATAGAGCATAGCTAAGAACAGTTGTAAAGTTAGTCAAACAGAATGGTGCATGGTACTACGTCGAACGGGCTGAAACTGCTCTTTTGGTAAAGCTAGGACATGCAGTACCCAGATGTGACGTTATTCAGAGCATGCCGTGCCGCAAAGACACTTCCAGTGCATGTATATATTGCGTCAGATGGGGTTGCTATCCCAGCATCTGTGAAGTAATTAAGCTTTCCATGTCTGAAACATGTCCGCATTGTTGTCAAAATAGCATCTTGAGGTAATACCGCCGCTGAAGTGATGGATGAACGAATGAAGGGTTCGTTATCACTAGTGACTGGATAGTATCCGCAATGCAGCGATCATCAACTTGATTTCCGATGGACCCATCTAGATGCAAATGTCTAGCGACGTCAGTAGAAGAGAAGTGCGGTGCGCTTGCTGTGTAGACGTCTGCATGATGTCTAAATCCCCCACAAGGCCAATGCGGAACATGAGCTTATTGCTGATCAGTAGTGAAAGAGTCGTAGCTCCTGCTTAATTCCATCATCAATGCGCACATTCCGGATCGATTCTCATGGATCTACTTAGCCTTGTCCTCCTACGAGGAGCCGTTTTGTACTGCACGAGGGTTAAGCACACAAACTGCTTTACGGCAGCTGATTATTACGTCATGCATTGCTTTACGTGAATGGTACTCAAGAATAAGTAATTTAGTAATTGCATATTTGCAGCTGAGTTAAATTGGTCTTCGTCATCTATTGTTATAGCTTCTCTAATAAGTAAAGGACTACGGATACCAGTGCCACTCCCAACCTTGCTGTGGCACTGACCCGTAATTGGTGGTTTGTTGATGCGGTCATCTCAGACATCATGACGACAAAGGAAATACTCCAAGTTAGCTCTTGCAACCCCCTTCTCATAACACAAGCTAACTACTTGTTAATCCCAAACCAACCATCTATATTTGACTTCACAAGACATGCAGCAACACCGGTAGATAAATATATGTGAAATCATAAAAGTCGTTATCAAAATACAACGCTGAGCTAAGTCCTAACACTGCTTTTTTTGTCTAGGCCCTTTTTCCAACTCCGCCATCCTTCGTGTGGTAAGGCACTCTGGCCAGCCAGATACCTGTTCCGAGTGCAAACGTTGTGGTTCTGGTAGTATACATGTAAAAATGAGTTGTACAAATCGCTAAGCTGATGGCACCCTTTTGCTGATACACGCCTGTATACCCCTTAATAAAACATCAAAACAAAAATGGCCGCAATTAGCTGGCTGCAGACAAGCAGGGTTCAAAATAAGTAAATGTACAATATGACTCGACCAGGCGCTGCGCTTTCCATGACGGACGCCATGTCATCATCAGGGAGTACGGGGAAGCAGTGCTGGTGGATGACTGAGACCTGAGTGGGGCCATGTGATGTCAGAGTTGCACTCGGGTGGGTCACTTATGACGTATGCCAAAAGGACCCTTCCTGCAGGAGGGACCCTGAGACCCACCTGCTTGCATTGGGGCCCGGGGCCCTATCGGTTTTGGCACTTCGTTGGCCAACCCGATTCAAGCGGATTGAAGCCTTGCGACGATCGGTCCACCAACGCCAAGCACTGTTTTGATGATAGCCCACGTCATGCGGCATCATCTGTGCAAGCTCCGGACCCTTCATCCGCCAATGGTCTGTCTAACAACTTCGTGCGGGTTTCAGGGGTCGTGGCCGTAGGAGGTTTGTTTCCGAAATGTATCTCCGTTCACTCAATGGCTCAGGCGCCGGCACGTCGCCGATGCTTACCTGGAAGTTCCACGTCCGGATGGCACACTCGATAATGTCTGGTCAAAGCATCCGCGCGACTGAACGTCTTCTCCTCGGTGCAAAGGTCGCATCGCACCTTTTGCTTGCGAGCGTTGTGGATAGTGTCCTCGTGACGAGTGAGGTCATACGGTCTGGAGAAGATAGTGTTGCAAGACTTGCCTGTGCTCGGATTAATCCGATCACAGCGATGGGGTCCTGCCTGGCTGTTCAATAGAGTAGATGTCATGCCCACTTCGCGAGCAGGTCCAAGATTCTGGGTCTGACGATGACCCTCTCGCTTGTGTTTCTGAAGCTGTGCAGGAGTCTCAAATCTTAAAGTACAGCCATGATAAGTGCAAGTGTATGTGCCACCATCGGCAGTAGTACTACTCGGACGGGTGGCAGGGGTAGCATTTCGCGAGTCGTTTGAACTAGATCCAGCAGAACTCAAGCGGGGTGGTGTGTCGTGGTTAATTCGAGCATGTGCGATGAATGGGTACTGTTGGGGCACAGAAATGCCATTCGCTGTATGTGTAGGGATAAAGTTGAAGTGTGCTTGGGCATGCGCATCGTGCATCGACTCCTGTGAGCTGACCATAGACTTGGGAAATTGCTCCATATCGAACCCTGAAGATCCCGGGGGAAACAGAGGGAAGTTGTTGTCGCCTTCGACTTCTGTGAATTCAAGGATGGCATCCTTGGGTGAAATAGTCTTGGGAGTTTCCGGTTCCTGTTTCATACTCATTTGCTGTCGCATAAATTGAGCATCCTGTTGAGCTTTGCTCTGCTCACGCATACGCTGAGCACTGTTGAACGGAAGGCTTTGTGTGAGTCCAGAGTTGCCGAAGTCGTGAGCCGGCGAGGGAGCAAGGGGTGAGCCAGTTCTGAAAGGTGATCTGTCTCGTGAGGTGCTGGAGGCCGGTGAGTGTGCAGCATTCAGATGCTGGCTGTTGGCAGCATGAAGTCGCTGGCTGAACACATCGTTCGTAGGCGACACAGGCAATTGAGCCTGTGAAGGTGGAGTAGATGTGATGGCAAAGTTGGGGCTGTAAAGCTCATCCGCATAGACATCTGTCATGGTTCTGTCAAGCTTTGGGGCATTGGCGTAGCCTAGTGGATAGCAATGTGAGCTTGGGTTCTCGAGGCCTCCGTTGCGAGGGATGTTACCTTTTCGCCTCCTCTCTACGGTTTCCGTTTCGCCGACGGTTGGTGTAGCAGGAGAATCACCTGCGATGGAACTAGCCACCGAGGCAGGGTGTGAGCGTGTTGATCCGCAAGAAAAGTCCGGAGCTTGCATCAAACCCCGATCCATTCTTGGCTTGCTAGCCGGTCCCGAGAGTGTAATTGGGTACGCCATCTCAGGCATAGCCTGCTGCTCCATGCCACCACAAGCTTGGTATCCTGAATAGGGAGCCATTGACTTGGCGAGGTGGTAGTATGAAGAATTACTTTGCTCGCTGGCGTCGGTGATTGCAATATGAGGGTTTGATGTGGTGTTGTTGTTGTTGAAGGGCGAGGTAGGTCCAGCTGTAGAAGATCCAAGAGAAGACAAAGATGACTCTCGCTGATGAGCCCCCCGAGATAATCTGGGAGTCTGCTGCGCAGTAGCTCCCCAGGTATCAGGCTGCATAAGATCGGTAGGAAGTTGCTGGCTCAAAGCAGCGATTTCGTCGTCGTAGTTCGATCTGGAGAAGTCCGAGTAGGTAGCAGAGTTAAAGTCGGTATGATAGTTGTGGGTGTGTGGGTACTGGTGGTGAGAGTGTGAAGAGCCGTGCTGAAGTTGTTGTTGAATCTGAAGTTGTTGCTGTTGTAGTCGTGGGATCGATAACATGGTGATGTTGTGAATATAAGTTTGTTGATTAGAGTTGACAGACTGTGGCGAAAGGCGGGAAGGCTCGTCTTTTAAGAAAGCAGGGACCGTTCAGATGAACACTAATAGCAAGGTAGATGGAAGCCAAAAGACAGATGATGGATGCTGGTGTCGATACAGTCCGATGCCCGGATACACCCCCCGCCTGGCCCGAGACTTAAAAGACCCTGGGCCCACTCTATGATGCACAGGACAGGACCGAGGCCGGGATTTGGAAAGGATCACAGCACAGAACTGGCTAGCATGTACGGAGGTACCTAGGTACCGGCCTAGAAAAAGAAACAGTTGTGAGGTACCCAAGTGTAAAGGCTGTGTGGGCTTGATGACTCCTGGTTAACTGGGGGGCGTGTACCAACGGGCGTGGAATGGAAAATCGTCAGGTTGTGAAGTGATGGTGTGTGGACAATTGTCAGGCCAAAGCCGTTTTTTCTGCGTTTTTTTCCTGGGTCAGCAGCCCGGTTGGAAGATATGCTACGTATTCCAGTTAGTCTACCTAGGTTGTGTTCTTTCTTGATGAATGATGGCTGATTGATCATGAATGATGCTGATGATGTCTGTGATCCCCTATCGATATGACATTATGGCTGCTGATCTTCCCCGTGCTTCAAGTCGCTTCCAGTTGCTTCTCCAAAGGTTAAATCCCACTTTGTTCTGATTTCAAATACTATAGATACCATCTGTCTAACCCCGAGGACAAGTGTCTGCGCGAAACGCGACCCGACAGAATCGATTCAGAGGCTCCCTCCCAACGTCAGTCCCCAAGCCTCCCGCAACGGACAAGCCCACTCCGGTGATCCAGACTACGTAGATGTGCAGGGGACCATGTACAAGTACAGGGAACTGGGAGAGTACGTATCTTTCGCGCTCGATCCAGGGCCAAGGCTACCTTAAGTACTAAGGTTGCGCTGCAGGGCTCTGACGCCGACAGGGCCCATCTGAGTCGGTGCCCAATAGATTTCCCCAATGCCATCGACCTCTGACGCTGCGAGAGAAAATCTTAGCCTGCCTTAGCACGCTCAAGTTTTTTGGCTTGTTGGATAAGTTCCACTGACGTACTAGCCCCGCCGATCCTCCATCTTTGTCTGCTTCTGTAATTAGGTACCTGTAGTACCTACTAAGGTAGTAAGTACTACCTAGGAACTCTACGCAGTGCATCATCCACTGAGAAATACCTACCTCACGCTCCGACATCACTAAATTACCCATCCCTGTCCAGCGTCGGATACATAGTTGCCCGCACAGCCACACCATATGGTTTGTAATCCGGAGTTGACGCCACCCGTCTTTGATTCCGCCACACTCTAATCGAATCTGGTCCACCATGCAATCAATCACATGACGACTTTTGGTCAAGGTCACATGCGCGATATCGTCGTACGTTGACTCACTATCTGGGCTCCAGACAAGACAAGATGTCCTCAAAGCGCACATCCGGGGGTCTCATGAAGAATACTTTACTATTCATCGTATGATACACCCAATGGGGTGACTAGCCATGTCTTTCTTTGCTATATTCCACCCAGCACCTTGTATGTCACTTTTCCAACAGTACCCTTAAATCAAGGTATCAGTACAAGTGAGGACGGCTAGGCTATGTAAAAAAAACGTGTAAACATGAAAATTTTCAATCCACGTTGTCAGTGAGGCCTATACAAGCAAGGAAATATAAACTCGCGTAACGCAGAAACCGACCCTAAATTTGCCGCTCCAAAAACCGATGTGCATGCAACGAACCATGCAAGGAATTGGTGGAAGGATAGCAGATCTCGGAGCATGTCTGTTAGTAGCGGATCGGTCAGGCCGAGACTCTCACAAATCCAACATCCAACCTCGGATTCTATCGGAATTGAAACTTCAACCAATCATATGAGTGGCTCATGGCTGTGCTAAGCCACAACTCCTGGCTTTTAGTATCCACTCAAGCTGTCCAGATCGATCTTGCCCACCTATCTAGAAACTACTATACCTACTTTAGTAGGTATACTGTATTTTGTTTCTCCGCAATATTGAGCAACAGTACCGGTATAGAATAACGGGCTTTCCGGTACACCGCGAATTACTTCCCAGCTGCATCGGTACAGTATAATCCTGGCCCTTGGGATCTCGGACAGCTCTTTCACAATATGGCGCCTGAAAGGAGTGTGACTCTTGTTGAACCATTAAAGATCCAAAATCGGTCACTTGTCAAAAAGTAACTGGGATAGGACGCCTGGCAGTTTACAAACTGGGATTTATCGGCAAACTTTTCATGGTGTTTACGCGATTGCCCGACTTCGAGGTGTCACTCTCACTTGTTGTCGGATATAAAATGCAGAGCATATTGTTGACCACTCCGTGACAATAGCTCATGCTTGTTTCCCGAGTGCGTAGCCGAGCAGCACACTATGCTTATGCCGATTGTATTCTCTTTTCGGAAGCATAAAATGCCGTTAACAAATAGTAACTCATAGCTGAATATGTCAGCAGCCGGCTCTATCTTTACGACCTTAACGCCGTTGTGCATTCGTCGGGTCCGCATAGGGCTGGCGGCGGCCGGCTGGCCCACAACGGAAGCGGCTGAGATCGGGCGATCCGCCATTTACACTCGGGCGCGGGTGGCCCCCTAACTACCTAATATTTATTTTGTTCATGAAGAATCTACTCGCAGTGAAGATATGTCACAGGCCATCACCATAAGCCAGCTTCGGTCGAATGAGATTGCGAGAACCACCCCAACTTGGCTTGCTAAGCAGAAGCTGTGATGCAGTGTAAGCACCCCAGTAGACTGGTCCCGGTCCGAATGCATCTCTTGGGCTAAAAACTCGAATCTCAAAAATGCTGATACGAATGATCTCCGATTTTGGCATTTCGATTCCATTTTATTTGTGGATCGAATGTTTGACTGAATACGATCTGGTTTTCACGTCCCAGCTTCCAATGTTCGGCTTGTCCGTGTGGGGGTCTCGTGCAGATGGATTTCGATTCAAACTTCAATGCCGAGCTACAGGGATCAGCCTGCCAGAGCCGTTATTTCCGTTGCCGTCGAGCATCTCGAGTAATCCGGTATAATTCTTAATTCTTGACGATTCGTAATCATATTATTTAGCATAGCCACATCTATGTGTCACTACAAGCTATTGGAAATCAGTATCCGTAATACTTGCGATTTGACAGCTCGAATTAAAGAAACAACCCCATTCCCGGATTCGTGGGGCGCTCTAATTTTAGCTTACTTCAACCGTTTCATGGGGTCGAGACCTGAAGATCGTTTGGTCTCGCCACCCGCCGGCTCCGTTGTCCACGGCCCAACAGCTTCGGCCGATTACATTAGCAAGACACAGCATTCATCCCTACTGAAAATATGCGAAGCGTTCTCTTTGTGCACTTGAATGTAGACTAGCATCGGAAAACGTTCAATCGGGCATGTATCTCCCGACTTGTCTGCCTACGCCAAGATGATTGCTGTTCACGAGACAGTACCAGACTGTTCTAGAAAGGCCTGTTCGGATCTTCCAAGCTATGTCTGTCGTATTCGCACATATAAGCCTGTGCTACAATGAAGAGTAATGTTCCGGCTAGAATACACGACCATGTGACTCATTGATCTGAGGCAGTGCTTTGTGTGTATCGATCATGAGCATATTCTGGAAATACGTTACGCTCTAGGGTAGGGGTATTTTCTCAGGCTAAGTGTGTGATATATTGATCATATGATGGTAACTCAACATATCAAACCCTTATTCACTATGGGTTTCTTAATTTTATCTTGACTTTTCTACATCATGCCCCCCAGTGCAATAGCCTATGCTAGTGGAATGTGTTTTCAATTATTGATGTCCTACTAAGAACCATACATGTGTAACGAACGATGATAGAAAAAGATCGAATAAAGACATGACAGACCTGGGAGTCGTGTACCAGACTACGCATAACTTTAAAATAGCAGGTCGACTGCTAAATAATATCCGTGTACAGCAACACTTCATTTTCAGGTTGAGCCCATGAGGCGTTTGTTATTAAGTCCTGGCTGAAGTCGAACAACATGAACTTAGTGTTGAGCCGAAGACACCGACTTGAAGCATCAACGAAGTTTTCTTTCAAAGAACATACAATATAATGTGTATGACCATTCAAATCATAACTATCACTCTTGAAACGAATGCGCAGTCAACCGGTGTAGCATGCTTTACTTGTATAGCACGCACATTAATCATTATGTGAACATCACCCGATCGCGCAACGCGCAACACGATCTAAGCTACATCCACCTAATAAATCTCTCGACCGGGTAACGTAGGCAACAGTCATGTCTTGGCGATGTGGTGAGTGCCATAGGCAGTCAGACACGCGAACGCGAAAGAAAAGAAAAACGGCGCGCGACATGCGCCAGCAGACACTCTATGTTTACAAAGTCACAGCATGTTGAGCACGAACGCGGTATGATGATCAAGATCGCCTCGAGGGCATGTTCGATTATCCCCAAATGTAATCTTCCGTTTCCCTTATGATACATAACACCCAAAAACAAGACCGGACCCAGTTGTCATCATAAAACACCCTACATGGTCATGCGCAGCAAGCAGTCGACCGCAAAGATTCATAACAGGCACGTAAAACAGAATGCGCTTAGCCACCGAAACCGTAAAGAGTGCGGCCTTGTCGCTTGAGGGCATAGACGACATCGAGAGATGTCACTGTCTTTCGCTTGGCGTGCTCGGTGTAGGTGACGGCATCACGGATGACACCCTCAAGGAAGGTCTTCAAGACACCGCGGGTCTCCTCGTAGATCACTGTTCATGCGATTAGATGATGTTTGTTGATATGGTATGGCTGGTAACTTACTGGCAGAAATACGCTTGACACCACCTCGACGAGCGAGACGTCGGATAGCGGGCTTGGTGATACCCTGGATGTTATCTCGCAAGATCTTTCGGTGACGCTTGGCACCACCCTTGCCGAGACCCTTGCCGCCCTTGCCACCTGGGAATTGTTAGATCATGGAAATATTGAAACGCGTCGGGACGCGTCAGATACGCAATGCGGGTAGGTTTTTCAATATTACTTACGTCCAGTCATTATGATAGAGGTTGTGTGAGGTTGTTTGTGGATGTGGAAATGCACACACTTGGTGTATGCTGAAGTGTGGTGTGAAGGTAGAGAGACTTGTAAGGAAGTGTTTGAGTATGGGATGTTGCAATGAGGAGTGGGAGTGTGAGAGTTTAAGTACGAGTGGGCCAATCTCGGGATCAGTTGGGTCGACCCACTTTGTGATCTTGATCCCTGTTGGGAGACGCGATGGGTGACGCGAAAAATCCGTGAACGAATTAAAAATTCGGCCTGGTGTGATTTTCAAAAGCGGGGTGGTCTCAGCGAGATGCTTCCCGGCCAATGAAGCGCCACTTTGTTGTCCCACCAGGCGTGAACTTTCGAACTGTTCAGGGTAGGTGTGGTCTTCTGGATGACTCGTACTCCGTAGCCAACGATCTAATGAGCGTTTGATATTATGAATTAAATGTATAATGGTTATGAAGTTTACAGCAGGTGTAGCTATGATGCTGTTTTGTCGTTTTTCTCTCATTTTGACTTGCTGTGGCGCTGATGTCGTACCCTTCTGAAATAAACCAAAATAATCAATTAAGTACGTGTGAACCAAGTGTGACAACTTGTCAGACATTAAGCAATTCAACAACTTTAAAGTGGTAACGCATATGAAAACAAACCAATTATTGTACTGTACGATAAATAAACATCGAATACACCGAATATTCAAAAGACTGACATAAATGTACAAGCAAGGTATAGCTATATAACAGCCAAACACTTGAACACAAACAGAATACATACAACGGAATGGATAACTTCAGACTCCCCGTCACCACAGAATATCAATACGTAGCATTAACTTCACTGTAAAAAAACATACAAATTACCAAAGCAATACAACATACTACAATACGTCAAGTACACCAAAAAGACCCATGAATGAACATGCGTACAGTGACCAGAGACACACGTTCCCCAGACTGAGCCGTTTCCCCGGAGTCGTTATTTTTGCCTCACTTATCTGGTGCCTGACTGCATGCGAATCTAAACTAGGTCTCGAAATTCGCCATTGGCTGCCTGACAAACACAGATTCAGATCAAAGAGCGCCTGGGCGATAGATGCGGGGCGTTACAGCTGTGTGGAGGAATTTAGAGCCAATGAAAATTCAGCTCGCGTGCAGCTTTTTTTCTAATCAGTCACGTAGACCCATTTTTCCATTTTCGGTGGGTGATTGAGCAAAATGCACTCCAATCAGCGCGCACGGTCCACTGCACTCAGATCAGCCGCCGCAGCTAACCACAGGTATAAAGGAATCCCCCCGCCTGCTCCCTCTCTCGACTTTTCCTTCTGCATCACACACCCACTTCAGCCTTCCACCCCACAACAACCATCAACCACAACATCAACACTATCAGCTTCATCTCGTCAAACATCAACAATGGCTCGCACTAAGCAGACCGCCCGCAAGTCCACTGGTGGCAAGGCCCCTCGCAAGCAGCTCGCTTCAAAGGCTGGTAAGTTCCTCACCGCGACTTGACGCGACACGCGCCTTTCAATCAAGAACATCACTTACTGACTTCGTCTTCAGCTCGCAAGTCCGCCCCATCTACCGGTGGTGTCAAGAAGCCTCACCGCTACAAGCCCGGTACCGTCGCTCTCCGTGAGATTCGACGATACCAGAAGTCCACCGAGCTTCTCATCCGAAAGCTCCCCTTCCAGCGTCTCGTAAGCATCACCGCATGAACCAACACATTGTCTCAACATCTGCTAACATGTCACGAACAGGTCCGTGAGATTGCCCAGGACTTCAAGTCTGATCTCCGATTCCAGTCTTCCGCTATCGGTGCCCTCCAGGAGTCCGTCGAGTCCTACCTCGTCTCCCTCTTCGAGGATACCAACCTCTGCGCCATCCACGCCAAGCGCGTCACCATCCAGTCCAAGGACATCCAGTTGGCCCGCCGTCTCCGAGGCGAGCGCAACTAAGCGATGCGAACGGGAAAATGGGAGGATCACGACTTTTTGCTTTGACACGAGGGATATCATGGTTAGGGGATAATCAAGGCGTTCACGAGGAACATATGTTTTCTTAGCTGGGATGTACACTACACGGCACGCTATTTAGCGGCCTTCTGCAATCGACCATCGGTCTTTGATCACTATATTCTGTTCCTCGTGTGACTTGCTATTGACTCATTGTATGTAGAATAATCACTATTGCTGACACGTATGCTCGTCATCGTCGCCAATGTAGTTGGCGGAACGGATGAGTTGCTGACTGCATTCACATTTCACCTTTGACGTGTGCTCGACCTTGTATGGCATGTTGCATTGTAGCGTTCCGTGATAATGTCAGAAGTCTACCTAGTGGCTATCAACTGATACAGGGCTTGAGCCAGTCGCTGGTGGGACATGATCAGAGCAATTTCACCAAGTCTTAGACGTGAAGGAGATATCGTAACGAGGAGCATAACCTCAACGCTGCAAGCCTCAACTCGGGGTGAACATGCAACTTCTCGAAGGTAATGAAAGACTTTCAAAGCACATATAATATAAATGAAGTCCGTTATATCTATCCATACTCTTATTACTAAGCAAATTACGCCAAAGAATCAACATGATATGTAGGAAGCTGCGCCAGAACATCGAATCCACCTGTGCCAACTTTTCCAAGTCTACCCATCACCAACCGACCACTGGGTGTAGACAAGTCATCCCAATCGCCATCTAGCACAGCGTCCTTGAGGAACGCCAAGGTGGTCTCGAAACTCATCTTGGTGAATGGGCTCACGTTACCATTGAGTCCCATGCGGTTGAAAGGCGTAAAACCACCATTCCTTGTCATGTGGTCTCCGATCAAGTTTAGATGACGGTTATCCACCTTGATACCGTGAGATCCAAAGACGCCCGCAAGCTCCTGCACAATGTTTTGACGAGCGGCTTCAACACCATACACTGCCAACACTGCAGCGATGTCGTTGGTCTGAATACGGTTGGGGTCGATAAAGTCGCTGTACCTCTGCATCGCTTGCAAGTTCACACCGGCCGTGTGAATGACCTTCGTACCCTTCTCCTCGACAAAAGTGCAAGCTCCGACACCAGAGATCTCCTGGATCACAGTCTTCTTCACAGCATCTTGAACAAGGTTGAGCATCAAGACCTTGGGAATGGTTGATTCAAACTCGAGTGTGAAGCTGCAGGCGGTTCCGCTCTTCTCATCAAACACGAAATCGGTGATCTCGGCGTTCTGTTCGAGAACACGGTCACTCCGTGCCTTTGCAGACCAGTTGATATCATCGCCGTCTTCATCGTCCTCACCACCCTCAGCATGTCGCAGGCTGCCGCCAAGACCTTCGTCGTCTACGTCGACATCAGCTGCGTCCCGCTCCATCTCCTGCTGAACAGCATCATCATCGTCGTCGTTAGGACCGTACGATACTGCCTCACTCCTGTTGGCCTTTTGTTTGGCATTTGTTGCATCGTCATCGCCTTCGTCATCATCGTCGTCCTCGTCGAAATTACCGCCGGTTTCAGTATTGGGAGCAGCGGTTTCCACCACACCAGCCTTAACACCAACATCCGGGGTGGCCATTGTAGACAACGTCATTCGCTTCTTAATATCCTTCTTCACAAGAGCCAGCAGTCGGCGGAGAAGCTTGCTCTCAACTGTGTCAACGACGTCCGAGGTGCTGATGGCGTAAGTCTTGGTATACTCTTCCGAGTCGAAGAATTTGAGGTCGACTTGGTAAATCTTGGCTGAATTGTGAAGCTTGCCATGGCCAACCTTCTCCTTAACACTGATGCTATCTAGGATAAAGCCAAGAGGCAAAACAGAGATTGACTTAGCAAAGATATCTACGTCTTCTGCAGACATCTCCTCAATCGGATAGAGGGACATAGCTGGAGTGGAAATATGGTTGCTGGCAGTCATAAGAATTTCTCGCAGTCGAGGAATACCCAGTGTGACGTTCTTGGCGGAATGTCCTGCCAAATGGAACGTGTTCAGCGTCATTTGGGTAGAAGGCTCACCAACGGATTGACCCGCCACGATGCCGACAGCTTCTCCAGGCTCAACAAGGGAGCGTAGGTACTTCATTGCGAAAAGCATCTCCGCGTTCTTTTTGTTAAGGCTTATACGAGAAAGTGCGAGCTTGTTCTTGTCTGATTTGTCACGGACAAGCCCATCCTTGTTCTCCTTGAGGTAAGAAGACATAGCCTTATAGAAGTTTTCGGATGTAGCGAATGCGGTCGTGGCGGGGTTGAAGAGACCTGAAAGCGGATCCTGAGCCTTCGGGTCCTTGATATCATTGTGCTTGAGAGCCTTCTTCATGTACTTGGTGATTGAGTCGCGGTGCAGTCCTAGTCGCTCCCCGACGCTGGGGTCGTATCGGAGCTGTGCAGCCTCCGAGGTGACGTTCTCCAAGATAAAGCTGAAATCAGTCAAGTACTTCTGCTTGGATACGTCGAGGCCATCCTCGCCATACAGGAACTGGATCATAGAGCCATCCGCATCTCGTACGGTAGTATCGTACGCAACAGTCAGGCCCTCCATACCCTTGATCACACATCTCTGGAGATAACCAGAACGGGACGTCTTGACAGCAGTATCAATTAGACCTTCTCGACCAGCCATGTGATGGAAGTAGTACTCCTGGGGGCGAATGCCTGTAAGGAAGCGCTGCACAATATAACCACCAGCTCGAGCATGAGTCTCGAATGGATTGAAGCATGGTAGTGACTTGCCACTGACCATGATAGGCACTCGCCGACCTTCAAGAACTTGCTGACCAAGGTTGCAGGAAATCAATGAAGCGTTGACTCTTGATCCCTTTGCACCAGATGTGGTCATAGCTTGCATTTGGTTGAAGGGGAACGGCTTCTCCAGACCAATAGGCATTGTGGCTGTTTGGATCTTGTCCGTGATACCACTGAGACCTTCCTTCATCAGAAGGTCAAGACCTTCTTGTTTACTGTCATCTCGAAGCACCTCTTCAAGACGCTCCAGGAGAAGTGGATCTCTGGGACCGGGAATTTGCTCTAGTAAAACGTATGAAGATGCAACTTTCAGACCAACCGAGTCGGCAGGGATGAGTGCTTCTCGACGAGCTCGTTCTCCTTCCGGAGTGAGTCGCAAATCATCCATACCACAAGAGAAAGCTCTCATGTTGAGGTACCTGGTGAGCAACCTGCCGAGACTACTCAATAGCTTGCCCGCAACAGCCGGACCATATATTTCGTGAACAGCATGGATGACACCTCCAGAGCTGGGTCCGATCTGCGACTTATCTAGGATACCGGTGATGAATTCGCCGTCTTGGAATAGAACAGTGCCTTCTTCCGAGTTGTTACCCCACTGGCTGGCTTTGATTTGGGTCTCCGCCTTCATGCAAAGTCCGCCACAGTTGGGGGGCTGCATGTTCTTGAGGATGGTGGTAATAACCTGTTTACCGGTCCATCGAGCAACGGGCCGGATTACTGCCGGGGCAACAAGTTCAATCCTCTCGCCAACGATATGACCACTTTCGGGGCGCAGTGCGTTGTAAACTAGCTGTTGATAGTCACCCTTGGTGAAGAAGGTATCACGGTTGCAGAGAGCGACCGATACTGAAATGTGATCCTGAATGAGACCTCGTAGAGGCTTTCCAGCGGTGCCAGAGAGGTACTGGTGATCGGTGTCGGCAATTTGAAGGGCTTCTGCTCGAGCGACTTCGTTCTGTGGGAAATGCATGTTCATCTCGTCACCATCAAAATCGGCGTTGTACGTATTACAGTTGGCGTAGTGCATGCGAATCGTCTTTTCGCCAGGAAGAACTCGGACTCGATGGCCCATGATGGATGGCTTATGAAGTGTCGGTTGACGGTTCATCAAAACGACATCACCATTAGTTAGGTGACGATAGACCTTCTTATTCCGAGTTCGAGCAGCGTTGCTGCTGGAAGGAGCCAGCAGCTGATTAGCCAGAGATACACGATCGTCGACTGACTTGTTGCGAAGATTGACAATTTGGCCATTTTCGTTCTCGATAGCGAAGGCACCAGGCCATTTATCGACTCCGTTGATGACCGCCTGCTGCATATCCCGGAAATTATGGCTTGTTACAGGCTCCGGATATGTCAACTTCTTGGCAAAGACAGGTGGCACACCAATTTCGTTGGTCTCGATATTGGGATCGGGTGAAATAACACTTCGAGCAGCGTAGTTGACACGCTTTCCCATCATATTCTTTCGGAAGAGACCTTCCTTCTTCTCAAGCTTCTGCTTGATACCGTCCTCGTTGCGTTTTGCGGCAGCGCCCTGAACAGGGTTTTTGTTCTTGTCAATGAGCGCATTGATCGCTTCCTGTAGTTCCGTCGAGGCCTGATGGAGTTGATTGAAATCAGCCTTCTCTTCTTGCAACTGTCGGTGTAGCCGAGCGATCGTTCCGCAGCCTCTGAGGATGTTCTTGTAAAGTGAATTTTGCTGAGCCTCCGAAATCTCTTGCTCGCCTGTTCGGGCTTCAGGACGATATCGGTTAGGAGGGACTAGGATAGTCGTCAAGAAGAACATATCGGGAGCGACTTTGGTAGAGTTTCGTGTTGGGGGTTTCGCATTGTACAGGAGGGAAACTAATTCCTGCTCTTTGATGAACAGCTCATTCAGACGCGCTCGAACCTCCATGGCGCTGATGTATCGCTGCGGAGCGGAAGACGTGGCAGCAGCGTCGGCATCCAACATGTCTGTGTCATGGTCGAGGCCATCTTCATCAATATGCGCTTTCTCAAGAGTCGGGGAAGCTACGTCCGCGACACCCTCGTCGGATGAGTATCCATCGACCTTCTGTTTCGTTGTGACTCGATGGATCCTAGCCATGGCGTCGGCTTGCTTGAAGTTCTTTTGAGCCATCTTGGCCTTTTCCTTGTCGGATAGCGACCTTTCGAAAACCTTGACAAATCGGTCCTTACGGTACGATGGAGAAATACCACCACAGCTAGCGCAAAGTCTTCGCTTGGTAATCTCGGCGAGGAATTCCTTGATAATCTCTCGACGCATCTCGCTCGAACCTTCGTGCTTTCCTCTCTTCGTGTCGCCTCGCTTGACCTTGATGCCTCGAAGGCACTTATCCACGTACTTGTCTCGTGCGCGAGTCACACTGTCGATTGAGTTGCTACCACCCTCTTCTTCTGCTTCGCTTTCCAATCCAGAGAAGTCTCCAAGTTCGATAGCTAAGTCATTCTCTCCAATTACACCCACCATGTGGGCTTCTTGAATTAGACCATATTGAAGAAGCTTCAGCTTGCACACGTATTTGTGTAGTTCCTTCTGGGGAAGTCGGAAGCCTTTGCAGTAAACGCAGGTAGCCTTCAGAAGTCGATAGGCTTGATCCATAAAGACCGGGTGATATACTGGGACGGGAAGCTGGATGTGGCCAGCATGACCGGGACATGTGGCCTGGTTCAGGTTACATGTTGTGCATCTGTGATTCAACTGTCAGTGTCTGTTCTCGTCAATCTTCGACTGGAAAAAGCAAGAACTTACGGCGCATCACCCCAGGAGCCGAGGGCAGGGTCATAGAGACCGCCTGGTACGGGATTGAGAAGTCCATCAAAAGTTTCGTCGTTCTCAATTCGCTTGACAGAGATTGCTCGGATTTCTTTTGGCGACAAGAACGTAAACTCGACGCTCTCTACTCCGGACGAGATCGGCTGTGCGATATTCATGGTGACGTTGTTGTCGCTCTTCCGAGCGAAGATTTTGGCGATTGAGCGACGTTTTGGGTTAACTGATGAAATCCATTCCCCAGCGCAGCATGCGAAGTGAAGGTAAATCGTGCAGGTAGTAGTGGGGAGCTTTGCGAGAGAACAATTTTTTGGCGGTGCGGGACGGCAGAAATTTAGGCCGATGCATGGTCCGCCATTGCGCGCGCGACTCGGAGTGTCTCCAGTGTGGCTACCTTTTGCATCATCCTTCAAAGACCCCATTTAACGTGCATCATTCAACAGCCTACGATCGCAAGACCACCAGCCGTATGTGGTCGAGAATTTGAAACCGCAATAAACCTATTCAATCCGAGCTGCCATTTACTTCAACGCCGCTGCACAGCTTGAAGCGCTGTATGGACTGAGGTCTGACATTCGGATCAGGTATCAGGACAAATCGCAGTCATGGATCGCAAGAGCCAATCTCCTGGCCTTGGCCCCCGTCATGATACCTCATCAAGAGTGCAGAAGACCGAGTCTGCGGCGGACAGGGTGGCTGCACTCAAGGCCCGTGTCGCTGCAGCAATCGGAACCAGCAAAGCGAAGGGCGGATTGAACGTTGGCCTTCATCCTGCTTTGGAAGACTTGAGTTCATACAAACCCTCAAGTAAATCAAATGATTCGATGCCATTACCTCCGAACACGCGAGCAGATAAGCCTCGAGCCCATGATGCGTCGAAGCTAGGTTTGGGCAACAAGCAAAATGGAGAAAACCCCTACTTTGATCCCAATCTCTCAGCGCAGCCAAGCGGAGGGAAAGCGCGCCAGTCTCGGTCCCTCGTGTTTAATCAAAAGGGCAAATATATCGCACAGGCCAATGCTCTACGTCGACAGGCTGCCCTTGAGGCGATGAAGAAACGGATTGCAGAACAGACTCGAAAGGCTGGTATTGATGATGACCTCGATGTGGAGAGAAATTTTGTTGTGGAAGCGCCACCAAACATCGAGTGGTGGGATGAAGGACTTGTTGATGGGGGCAGTTACGATGTGTTAGACGACCCATCGAAACTTAAACTCACTACTTCCGACAGCATTATCACCGAATACATTCAGCATCCAGTTGCCCTAGAACCACCTCAAGATCGACATCTTCCGGCCGCGAAGCCGATGTTTCTGACACATAAAGAACAACAAAAGCTGAGACGACAGCGTCGAATGGCTGAGTTGAAAGAGATGCAAGCTAAAATCCGTCTAGGATTGGTGCCAGCTCCTCCTCCCAAGGTCAAGAAGGGCAATCTGATGCGTGTCCTCGGTGACGGTAAGACCGAAACCCATTCCTGCTTGTATTTTTGCATGCTAATATCTGTACAGTTGCCGTCAAAGATCCCACCGCTGTTGAAGCACGTGTGAATCGTGAAATCGCTGAACGTCACCAAAAACATGTCGAAGCGAACGAAGAGAGAAAGCTCGATAAGGACCAAAAACAGGACAAGCTTGCGACCAACCAAGAGAAAGATGCAGAAAAGGGAATTCACATGCTGGTTTTCAAGATCGGAAGCCTGGCGAATGGGCAACATCGATACAAGATTGGTGTCAACGCTGAGCAATTAGCACTAACAGGGACATGCATCATGCACCCCAAATTCAACCTCATTATTGTGGAGGGAGGTGAATGGAGTATCAAGAAGTACAAGAAGCTCATGCTTAACCGGATCGACTGGACCGAGAACTCGCCGTCAAGAGACCGAGATGGCAAACAAGGTGCCACTCGCGATTGGCTTCTTGCCGAGAAGGATAACGGCGAGCTCAAGGACATGTCGATGAACGAATGCAAGCTCGTCTTTGAAGGTGAAGAGAAGGCGCGAGCGTTCAGAAAGTGGGGGAGTAAGGTTTGCGAGACAGATTCTGAAGCGAGAGATGCATTGGCACGAACCAAAATGGATAACTTCTGGCAACTTGCAAAGGGTTTCGCTTAAAGAAAATTGCCATTGGTGCAAGGGGGGACTGAACGGACATATGGGGCTGCGCTTAATTGACCCGGCGGCAAAGATGTAAAACCCGTCGAGCCGAGGACAGTTGCGCCATCGAAGTCTTCATGCCGTTAGTTTCGATGGCGTTTTGCAATTTGACAATAGCTGTCAGGGCTGTGCCCCTCAGTTAGGGATTTTCTGGCTGAAGCATATCAGATCCAAGAAAGGGGCCATGATGCAGTTGAGATAAGGCCAAAGGATTGAACTTGCCGATTCCGTGTATGAATCTACACGAATGCCCGACTTGCATGGCTCGGGAAGTAGAGAGCTAAGCCTTCACTGATAGGCATATGAGATGCCACACCACTAATCGCAATAGTATCTAATTTCTCTGCATTCAGCTATTCACATTGCTTTGAGCATGACACATAATACAGACCTTGCCTGTGTCCGTGATGTCAAGATACCAACTTAAGTATATGGTCGACTCGTAACACCGCACGGTGGCACCCTAAAAATAGAATAGGGATCTAGCTGAAGTGCATACTTCAGATTCTAGGCCACCTCTTTGCAGAAAAGACCAAGGTAAAGCGCGGCCGCCACAGCAGACATATGCTTTGCATATGCTTGCAGTATTGGTACCTGTGTAAACACATTTGGTCCAGGTACTTAATTATCATCACCAAGACAAGGATACAGACAAGAACTGCAGTGATAGACCAATACGGAAGGCAGAATTCGGGCAACTTTCCGTTTTCGGCGGTGCAGCTTTACGTAGGTACTAGTCTGTGTGACCTTCCACTATCAGACTGGGCGAGGTTAGTTATCGGATCTTCAAGATCCTCAGGATCATCATGGTTCACAGGTACAGTATGCATGGCCTGGAAGGCTTCAGGTGGAAGAAGGGGATCTTCGGGCCCCTGATCGAGGAGAAAAGCCGTTAGCCAGGATCGACCATGAGCGCACGGTTTCCCCACGGCTGGCCTGCTAAATCTCTGCCAGAGAAACTCTAATTCCAAACACACGCCGTGTGTCACACGGGACAGCTAGGGAGGATGAGCCCTGGTTTAATACTCGCCAAGTCGTGAAGGGCGATCAACTCATACATACCGAAGCAACCTGTTTAGGTTTGGTGAAAGGTGGTGTGAGACGATTCTTCCACCAAATAACAATGACACTGAAGGCAGCTATCAACAGCTGTCAGTCAGGTTAGGACGTTGCCAAGAGCTTTATGGAAAATAACAAGGTGGGCAATGCGATCCTGGCAGGTGTCCAGGATCTGAAGTTGATAGTCTCCGTAAACGCGCAGTGGCAGTAAAGTTACTGCACAGTAAGTACCTACCACCCTCATCATCGCAGCCCATGGTATTCCCAATAGAGAAACTTCTGCAGGTGATAGGAATAAGGGAGCAGGGTAGACAGTCAAGATAAACCTGGTGAGTCTGCCCGAGTCTCGACTCTCGAGCCACTCTAGCCACTTTACGGCTGAGAGCTGTCTATGGCCAATCGTCATGCACCAGTCAATCGGTGATTGCAGTTTTTGGTTTGTCTAAAGCCATGAAATTCACCACAACTCGTCGGCCGAATGCTGTCTTTCTACGCTTGATTGTTTGATGTGGCACTCTCCCTGTTTACGAGAGTGTCTGGTAAGGAACAAGACAAAGTTGGACTCATTTGGAATAATGCGTGAAGGACAACGTAGAGTGGGAAGGCCGGATTGCATAGTTCGTTGGGTTAACAAAAGCTCTCCTCACTACAGAAGAGTTGCGATCAATTCTACCGAGGAAAAGACTGAGGTGACCTTCTCGTACAAGGTTCCCCCTCGATTGCGACGTTATACCCTGGGCCATTGACTGGATTTACAGAACTCACTCGTTATCCAGGTACAAGCGAGCGATCTTTTTATCATTAAACGTGTATCGAAAACACAGAAGAGTAACATATTTCATCAAGATTGTGCGTCACATTGAGGAATTGCTTACAGACAAAACATGACAATGCAGCCCTATCAGCAACATGTTTATCACACGAGGAACTTCAGCTGAAGGTACACTCGTAGTGACGAAAGCGTGTAAGACTTGGCTGCATGCGATATACGACAGACATAACTAAACTTATTTCATAATCAGAGTTTGCAATCGAAGATCATCCATCTGGAGCTTCTAAGCAACCAACAAATAAGGACTGATTCGTAACCAATGAGCGATTAGGTATGACAACACATTGCGAGGAGTTTTGGCAGGTTGCTGAGCAAACCAATTTGCTCCATCCTAACGGGCCACCTACACAGGTACCCTACCTCACCTGGTCACCTCCAGTCTGGCGTCTCGGCGGCAAAGAAACTAGGTGCGCCTATCAAGCCTGTCAATTGTCGTCTAGGGACCATAGAACGCTTGGACGTTCGTCTTGGCTTCGCCCACTTGGGCAAACTTGTCGTGACTTTAACTAAAAAGTCGTTAGGCTAGTGGAGGTTAAAGACGGACCAAAGATTCGGAAGCAAAAGGGACCGACGCAGCTGAAGACAAGAGTCATAGACACTCCTACTGGCAGGTGGTCAGAACTCTCACCTTGCTTTCTTCACAACATCAGCAGCGTCATCATTTAGCGTAGTCGTATATCCGGATGTAGGATTTGTCTCCCCTAGGTGCATGATGTGTAAAACGAGATCTTGATACTTTGCTGAAAAGAAACAACCGACGAGAACCTGCATCCCGTAATTTCCGAGATGCATATCAATGGAAGACAAGACATCCGAGGTGCCTTTAGGCTTCTGGTTACAGTACGGAGTGCTGTACGGATAGTCCATCTCAGCTTCAGAACAAGCCCTGCCTGCGAAGCGGGTGCAGTTGGGGTCGGATGCCAGGACTCAGGACGGGGCATCAGAAGGACCGGGCCGCCGCTGTAGGGCTCAAGGCCCAAGGCCCAAGGCCTAAGGCTCAAGGCTCGCGCATGTGCAGTATGCTTCGGTTCGGTCCCTTTGATCATTAAGGCTATTTGCAAAGACGCCGAGCATGGCATGCCATCTCTGCAATGCACTGTTGAGTTAGAGTACCGGTAGGTGCTAGTCTATGTCTGGTGTGGTCCATGGTGTTCACACCTCTAGGCTCTAGCAAAGAAAGGCTAAGGCAAGGAAGAAAGAAAGGTTCAAGACTCTAACTGGACGTTTTGCGGGGCGCCACCGGCCGTTGAGACCAGGAACATAGCAATTTCTACTTCCACTTCTGGTAAGGCATAAGCACTGTAGATTTCTTGACAGCCGCGCCATTTGGCCTCCAGAGATGGCCCTTGGAGACCGTTTCAATTCAAACCAGCACTGTCTTTACGTTACATCGTTCCACTCCACAAGTTCCTGACCCGCATTGGTCATGTCCACTTAATTATTCCGTGCGACATGTAGGGATAAATTGAAGATTAGTGGATTTATCGCTCTTCCACATATCACATCCCTAGCCCGGAGTCACGGCCCTGTCCCAAACGACGAGCACTTGACCGGGACGACCAGGGGCCTTTTTTCCTACGTGCCTATTATCCCCTGGGAATCTTCGGCCTCTAACTGTAACCTCGTACATTGCCGTATCGGCTCTTCGGATCTGGCCCGGATCCTGTCTTGGCCTTACCATTGCCCTGGCTTGCACCGAGCCGGACTCGCACGAGTCGCATCACCTGGTCCGTTGGCTGTGGTCTGGGCGAGAACCACTGTGAAACCCGTTACTCACCTCGGCACCTTTATGAGTGAGCGATCTCGTTTGATGAAGAGACTTTATTGAACCTATGAATGCATTACATCATGACACTATCTTTAATAGGCCAACATATTTTGATATGGCCGTCCAACAATACTAGGAAGAGTAAAGCAGCCCACGAAATGGGATTCCTAATGTCGCAGTAGTCACACTTCTTATAGTTTTCGCTATAATATCCTCAAAAAGAGGGGAGGTTGTTGATAGAGAGAAACCACGTAATATGCTAATAAGTTATACACTCACTTGCTCCCATGGAACGCACATGAGGTATATGATGGTTCTCCTTTTGCAGTCATATGAAGGCTTAAACTGCATGGACCACCCCTCTAGATGGGGGCTGTGCGCGCGTTTCACTGAATGGTAATGCACTTGGAAACTTTTGAACGTGTTGGCTCTTGGGATGTAGAGAAGTTGGTTGTATAATGGGACGATGGCATCAGTTCCAAGAGAATCCACAGACATGGTTCATATTCGGACACATGCCAAAACTGGGCCGAGCTGGACTGGGCTGGACTGGGCTAGACTGGGATCATGGTCTTCGTTGGTTTGTATGTACGTTATCGTCGTTCCAAGGTCAGATCCAACCCTGTGGTCCCTTTGAACACCAAGCAAGTGCTGGACGGAGGAGTGGTTAGCTAGGTAGTTACTGTACTACGCACGTACTATCAGTAGGTACCTACTAACTTGAACATGCTGTATCCTGGTCTCTACGGAATACGGCCCTTTATACCCTACTCCGTAGATCGAGCTAGATTGATTGTAGGCTCTACTTTGGACAGGCATTCGACGGTCGAGTTTGACATAGCCTGCCCAGGTAGATGAACCCTTTGGCGAGCGCAGAGGCCGTTATCTGCCTCAAGCCAGCCAGGCTTCTTAGGTACTCCGTACTCTGTAGACCACCCATCAATCAGATCTGTCAAGGGCTAAGATGGCCCAGCCGTTTGGTTGGCGAACTACATCCTGGCCTAGACCTCATTTCGTTCTCCTCCCGGCCCCGTTACCCGCTTCTCGACACCTTCCCAACTCTCCAGCCGTGAACGCCAACCTTTCTACCCGTCTCCCCACCTTGGACTTGGACTTGCCTGTCTCTGACTTGCCTGTCTCTGTCTCGCCTGTCTACATACCTTAGCCTGTCTACCTGGCCTGTCCAGCATCTTAGTCTGGGCTGTTAGGCTGTCTTGCCTATTTCCCTAGGTCCCCCCCCCCCATGCAGGCGGAGTCTGATCCTTCGACCGATAATCCTCGTCCGGGTCTAATTCATCGATGCTGCTTCATCAAAGAGGATCTAAGTAATCGTTATTCCCTGTAAACCACCCACGACTTGCTCGGGTCGATGCTCGTCTTTGTTGCCACCGTTTGGCCGTTGCTCTCGAGTTCGTCCCGTGTTGGTTGTGCCCTCGTTGTATTTATCCAACTCATACCCCGTTATGGGGCGTCCCAACTTGGTCGATGAATCTTTGCTTGTTGTAGTACTTAATCCAACTGTGTCTGCAGCCAGTCGTTCTCTACCTACCGGAAGTGCATGGCTCATGAGACCCTAGCCTCCCCACGGATCCTAACCCGACCCTCGTAACCTTTCTTTAACGACTTCAAATATGTACCTTACACCTCCCTCAACCTCGGACTCTCCAGTATCGCAGTATTCGCAGTTCTTCGAAACGAGTTCGTCTAGCTCTGACACTTCCTGCCCTCCGAATCGCCTGCCGTCTTGCTACGACTCTCCATTGCAGCAAACTGTTTCCACAGGCGTTTCACAGTCAGACTTGGAACCAGACTCGTATTCCCATCACGCTCGCTGGCTCTCATTACCCCAGAGCCAGCTGCTATCTCCGCCTCCCATGGACCACGGAAGCACTGCTTGGGTCACCTCAGATGGCTTGGTAGCAGGTACCAGTACAGCGTCTTCAAGCTCGGTGGAACCTGATGCTTTGCATGCAGACTTCAACGCATTTACAGGATACGACTCTTGTTTGCCTGCTCCATATCAAACACATGATGCCTATATGCCAGCGGGTCGAAACCCATCAGTCCATGAGCCCTCATTGCCTTCTACCAGCCAATCCGGGCGAGCGCCCACATTAGGAGCGAGACCGTACGGATACTTGCAAGACCCATCTAACTCTAGATATAGAGTTGAAGGTTCCGTCAGTAGTTACAGCCAGACTTATGAACCGCAATCTTACTCGACTCCTGGTCCGTCTACTTCTGCCTATCAAACCGAAGGGGCACCCTTCACTTCGAACCTGCCTCCCAGCATGGGTGCAAGTGCTTCTCCAGCTTGGCCCAAGCAAGAGTATGAAGTGTCTCAGTTCTATTCAACCCCGCAAAGTCAACTTGCTGATATTGGCAACGAGAGGAGGCTACTAAAGACGAGTAAGGTCAAGAGACCCACCAGAAAACACACGTCGAAGGAGGAGGCGAACTTTCAATGCGAAGTGAAGGGGTGCGGGAAGTTCTTCAGCCGCAGCTACAACTACAAGTCCCATCTGGAGACTCATGACGAGAAGCGCGAGTACCCTTTCCCCTGTACTGTTGATGGATGTACCAAGAAATTTGTGCGGAAGACGGATCTTCAGCGGCATCACCAGAGTGTGCATATGAAGGAGCGCAACCACAAGTGTGACTATTGTGGACGTCTGTTCGCCCGAAAAGATACGCTGAGAAGGTAATAATTGCTGCTCCCCTCGGTACATGCCATACCAGAACTAACGTTGGCGAACTATCTAGGCATATGGAAGACGGCTGTTCAAAACGATTTGATATCGGTACACTCAACCTGCAAGGCCCGGGGTTTGCTGGTCTTGGAATTGTTAGCCCGAACCGAACATCAGTCTTAGACCCTCGCAGACCCGGGTAGACTTTTGCGATTTGTCTCTATGGTCTTTTTATCGCATCCCAGATGAATTTCGAGTGATAGAGAGTCAAAATGCGCAGCAATGCCGCCGTCGCCGATCTCGTTTGCGCCGGAGTTTCAGGCGTTCCAGCACAAAGTAACTTCGAAGGCTCACCCCGGAGCACCCAAGGTACTTCTTTAAATTATAACTCTGGTATGGAGTTCGCTAACTGATATGCTCCAAAGCCCTGTGAATTTCACGACACATGACAATGGGCCTCCATAGGATTCGTTAGCCAGACATGTATGTCGAGAGATTCCAATATCAACACGCGTTGCGACAAACCGCGAGCTGACAGTCGAGAACCTCTCATCTGACCAGCTCTCGCGTCCTTTGGATAAACAAGCGATGCTATGCAGATGCTACATAGTTTGAGACGCCGAGATCTGGAGGGGGAAAACTGTTGGAGGCCATCCCACATGCAAACGGCTCAGAATGTAGTCTCGCCACGGCGGCATGCTGCAACTAATCACCTCGGCAAATGCAAGCTTGACAAACAGAATCTTGAACTGGAAGCTCGCCACGAGAAGGATCTTTTGTTCCAGGTCCCACTCTGAAGAGTACAATTTGGCAAGATTCCCTGTTCGACTGAAGCCAGCGGATTCACCATTTTGCTTTGAGTCGCGCATTGAGTTCTATTAGACCGAGGCCGCACTAGTAACATTGCTCATCAAAGAGCATGGATAATCGGGTTCCTGCGTTTAGCTTGTGGTCTGCACGACACGCTCGCTGTTGCTCCTACATGAAATCTTTAACCTGACAGTTATCATGAGTAGGAAGGGCGTTCAAACAAGGAATGATACTCATTTGCTTTGGCCACGACGACTTCAAATTTTCAATACCTATGTATGGAGTAACAAGGGATCGGTGACAAGGATCTCTGGACCACCGCCTAGATTTATCGATTAAGTTCATAATTCTTGTAAAAACAGTGTTAACTATACCTGAGTGATCTGCGTTCCTGCCCACTTACTAGCATGATTATGTGTGTCTTGCTGGAAAGACCACTTGATCCAAGAATAAAAGACTTGCTTAGGTGTTTCAATGGCGCGAATCATAGTTGTTTCCGAGTACTAAGTGTAATAGAACAATACATGAACATCTCTGTGGTACTCCGTACGAAGTACAGTACCTACTTAGGTACTAGTTAGTGTTAGTAGTGAAGGACCTGGTGGTATTGGCCTACGTGGCAGCGGCGCAATTAATGATCTGTTTGGTGTCGGAATGGATCTTCTAGAATAGGTACTTAGGTATCTAGTATGTACTGGGTTCCTCTACCTCGTCGCGAAGTAGATTATTGGTAAGTTTCGGCCTTGAGATACACAGACTTGCCTGTAAATGAGGTACTTGCATATTTATGGACCCGCATTTTAAGGCAGATTCACAACCCCCACGTCATTAACGTTACGCCCTTGAATCACTGCCCGGGCATCCATCGACCAGCGAACTTCCAACTAAACCCTTCCGCCTACCTACTCTCTGCCTTCGTATCTGTGTGCAACAATTCCCATGGCTTTTTGAACGAGCGCAAGACGAGCCTTTGCCTTCATGGCACGACCGACCCTTTCATCATACAGAATTGCCCTGAAAGGTTGTTGTTGACACTCCGTCAGAGTCGCACAAATTCGCGTTCGACGAAGTTGCGTCCCGAAACACCATCGCCATGACAGACGATCACCATACTTACGGCACCAAATGCCGCCTGGCGCCTATTGCTCGCGTTGAGCGCGAGGACGGTGTTCCCCCAGTCGAGGCCCAGTTCTTTTACTCGTCTGTCATCCCTATAGACGACCCTCTCTCAACGTCTTCAACTGTTGGCGCAGATACGAAGACAAACAAGGGTCAAGTGCGTCCATTTGCGCATGGTGACAACAACGCGCTGGAAAAGGCTTGGTTGAGCCTCATGTCTGAGTCCGCTCGTTGCGCTCATCAGGAGGCATTGGGCAACAAAGACCGCCATCAGTTCGACGTAGACAGATTGACCTCGCTCATCCAAACCATTACCACAAAGCACTGGGAGAGGCATCGTAAAGGTTATCAACCACAAGACGTAACCGCACCAACCGGCGATGCCCTGCCTACGACCACTGTGTCCGCTTGTTGCTCCGAACTAATCCTTGATGTTTCGGAAGAGCTTGAACGAGACTTTTGCGCTCTAGTCAGGAAGCAAAATCCAGAACTAAGTGTTGACGAAGTCATGCAGCAGATCGTTCTTGCACTTGACAGATTGAAGAAGCAAGCCGACGATGAGGCTGAGCCTCAGACGTTGTTAGATAGTGCCTCGTCGAGCCGTCCAGGCACGGCCTCAACAGTCAATGCGAGCCACCCGATGGCTCGTATTACCAAAACAACGATAGAGTCTCGCAGTTCTCAGCGTCGGTCAACCGTCAGCGAAACGAGATCCAGAACCAATAGCCTCTCGACATCGCAACCCAACAAACACCAACTGCAATCCCAGACGCCTGTTGGCAGCCCAGGACTTGCACGGCCGCCAGCTTTTGACGATGGCATATCTGGCAGACCGTTCGTACGTGTAGGAAGCCCGGAAACACAGTCAGAGCCCGGTTCCCTTCCGTTCCTTGGCATCAATGGTCCGGTACGGGATGCCACTCAAGTTCAAGATAAACCCCGAGTCGTCAATGAACGAGAACATGCCACACCGTCCAAAAGCCAGAAAGGTAAGAGTGTAGTCGAAGAAAGCCGACCAAGTGTTGCCGAGGTTGCGGTCGGAATATCGAGATTACATATGGTGTCCTTGCCAATGCTTCAAATGAAACCTATATACTGGTCCCCTATCAATGATGTTGCAGTTGTAGCTCGAGCAACATGGTTCTACAGGTAAAGCTACCATTCTGGATCATAGTGAAAGATCACTGATACGATGCAGAGACACGATGCTCCCTATACCTCCTGCTGTAGCGAACCAGCTGGAGGCCGGCTATCATTATCTACGACCGTGGACAGAAACTTGGAGTGACGAGCTCCGATGTGCAATCGATGTTGGTCCGTTGGGCGAAGAAAAGGTATCGCATAAGCTTTGGCCAGAAGAGTCGGAGATTGGATCTGGAGATGATTTTCCAGAGCCAGTTATATCAGCTGATCCGTTTTGTGCCGCTCGTTGTTTCCGGGGCGAAGCTGCTGCTGAAGGAACTATTGACACGACAGCTGTGATGAAGAATTTGTCAGAAGAGCCCCAGCATCCGACGCGATCGTACTCTAACTACCATGTTTTATACAAGAACGCTAAGGAGGCGTTTTTACTAAAACCTAGCTTGAGACCATCGGCGTATTATGGCCGACGACCCGTTTTGAAAGTTATGAAAGGCGTGACAATTGGAGTTCCTGTTGTTCGAGGGTTCGACCGGAAAATATGGGAACGCCTCCACCACAGAAAACAAACACCGAATAAAGCGGGCGCGTCGGCTGCTGATGAATCACATGAAAGCAGTGGACATGATGTATGTGCGGCCTGCAAGGCTGATAAAGAGAAGCGTCAGGTTACTGACCTGGTTCTTGTCGCTCATGGCATTGGCCAGAAATTTGCAGAAAGAGTCGAGAGTTTCCACTTCACCCATGCCATCAACGGATTCCGCCGAGCTGTTAACATGGAACTCCAGAGCCCATTGGTGAAGCAAGTATTGCGGGAAGATCAGAACGGACTGATGATCCTGCCTCTGAACTGGAGGATGGGCCTCTCATTCGAAGATGGAGGACCTATGCGAGAGGAGGACAAGGAGGAATACACGCCAGAAGGGTTTGGGCTCAAAGACATTGAGCCTGATACGATACCTGCTGTTCGCAGTCTGATATCAGATGTCATGTTTGACATTCCCTTCTACATGTCTCATCACAAGGGCAAGATGATCCAGGCACTTGTATCAGAAGCAAATCGTGTTTATCGACTCTGGTGTCGCAACAACCCAGGCTTTGCGGAGCGTGGATGCGTCCACATGATCGGGCATTCACTTGGAAGTGCCATGGCTCTCGAGGTTCTGTCCAATCAACCAACCATAGTGCCTAAACTCGATTTAAGTCAAAAAGAACCAGAGACACGGTTCTTTGAATTCGATACAAAAAATCTTTTCTTGGCTGGTAGCCCAGCTGGGTTTTTCCTTCTTCTGGAACGAGGTGTACTCATGCCTCGTCATGGCCGAATGAAACCCGGAGCTGATTCGATCGATATTGTATCAAAAGACGTGGTAGCGGAAGCTGGCACTTTCGGCTGTTTGGCCGTTGACAATATCTACAACATTCTTGCTAAGGAGGATCCCATCGCGTATCTTCTCAACGGCGCTGTGGATCCTATCTATGCAGCGAGCCTCAGAAAGGCTTATGTTCCCAGCATTTCTGGCTCCCTGTGGAAATCCGTCGGTGCCGCAATGCGTGGAGTAGTACCGGGCATGGCACCAGCACCGAATCCACTCATCCCAGAGCCGGACCGGCCACCGACAAGGCGACTACCTTCTCAATTAGAGCTTGAGGTTCACGATTTTACACGCGAGGAGATTGCTGAGAGGAAGGCATTCTTGTTAAACGACAATGGCCAAATCGATTGGTATCTCCGCTCAGGAGGAGGTCCACTCGAGATTCAGTATCTTAACATGCTAAGTGCACATTCCAGCTACTGGACTAATCATGATTTTATCCGAATGCTTTGCATTGAGATAGGGAGGAAGCCGGGCCGGGCTCACTCCATCCCTGCCTTCCGGGCTGTGAAGGCCGCCAAGAGACTTTTGGTTGACTAGATGACAGTTCCTTATTACGACAAAGCAGATTGTGCAGGTCTTTTCTTTTTCTTTCTTTCTTTTCTCATTCCAAATTTTAATTCTCTCTTCAAGAGCAAGGCGCACAGGTATGAGCGAATGGACTGCTTTGGGTTTCTAATGTGCAACCAAGGTTCACATTGATTAGATGACTCGCTTAGAATTACTTTATAGATCTTGGCCTTAGGGTAAAATGGCATTCGTAGATTAGAGTTAATATTTTGTATGATACAGCTCGTTGATCTCCCATTCTATTCTAGTAACGTTTGTAACGTTGGCTGACCTAGCTGTCCGACGGAATCCTAGAATCCATCCATCTCCATCATGTCCTGGTCTAACTCGTCGTCATCATATTCGAAGTCTTGTTCCTGAGCCGCCACTGGCTGTGGCCGTTGAGCCTCCTCCTCAAGCTCCTTGATTCTCTCCATGTCCATTTTTTCCTTGTGCTCCATCAGATCCTTATATCCCCATGTGCTTATACCTTCCTGGTCCTTTGCCCGGAATGGTTGCGCCATGGTTCTCAGGAACCTTCTTGCGCTGCTCACAGCCATATCGGTGCTTAAGTTCACATCAGACTCCTGAAGACCTTGGTTGATCCACTTGGGTAGCTGCGTACGCTTCTTTTGAAAGCGACGGTCAGCAAGCACCATGATTCCGTAATCGTCTTTTCCACGCAAGACACGACCAAGACACTGCGCAGCATGTCGCATTGCGTCGAAGGATAGGAAGTCGTTCTCCTTGATACGATATGTTTCTCTTAAGAACTGAAGACGGGCCTTGAGGATTCGCGATTCAGTGTACTGGAACGGGACTCCAATACACAGTACGGTACGGCCATATTGATGATCGAAATCGATGCCTTCAGAAACCTTGCCTCGCGCGACACAAAGCAATACCGCACCTCTACCGTTACAGCAGGCTGTACGATATGTTTCCAAAGCGAGCGAAGTTTCTTGCGCATCGGGTGTCTCCACGAGAATAAGTTTGTACTTCCAAACTTCATCAAGAATGCCCATTCCCTGCCACATACTGATGATGGATTCCATATAGAGATACGAAGGGAAGAAAACAACCATGCCATCTGGAGTGATTTTGGCGAATTCTGTAAGCAAGTTGCCATAGTTTCGCACCACACTAGGTTCATTTCGGACTTGAAAGCTGGTTGATACAGAGGCCTGATCACTTCCTCGAGTAACGATCATAGGCATGAATGATCGTCTAGCCAGGGTCATGGCATATGACTCTTGAATGACTGTAGAGAAATCCAGCATCTTGGGATAGATTTCGAGGGGTGAAATGGTACCAGAAGTAATGATGACAGAGTAGAATCTGTCAAAAACGGGCTTGATTGCAATGGCTGCGTCGAGACATGTGAAGTGAAGAACCGGGTTAGGAACCTCGGCAGTGTCTGATTCAAATGGTTCGAGGATGAGGAGAAAGCCTTTCTCGTATGTAGCTACCAAGGTCGCGAAAGTCGCAACCTCTTGGAGAGGCTGGTAGTCCTCAATATTGGTAAGCTCAAGGGTCCGAACCAATGATGTCAAGCGTTCAGCACAAAACCTCAAAGGCTTCTTCTCAATAAATGTGTGCTCTCTGAGATGGGCAAGGAACGAAGGCGGCGTCTCGGAAATGACTTGGCGCACTTTCATTCTTGTCTTCAAGTACTCGATAAATCTTTTTAGGAACGCAATGAAATGCTCTGCTCTTCTGATGTTTCCTGGTACAGCTTCTTTGAGCAAATCTTCAGGGAGCGCTATGAACCGGTCAGCGTTTTGTTGTCTCACATTTCTGTCTCAGGAACCTACCAGGGTTTGCCATGAACGCATCTTCTTGACGTGCTTCGTCGGCATCACGTAATCCCTGCACAAGTTTCTGGTATTCATTCTGTAGCTGCTCCTGATCTGTGTCGCGCATCTGAGATATCTTGTTCTCTAGATTCTGCGCTCCCCGAGTTGCCTTGCGCAACGAGTCTTCTGTAATGTCTGTGCTGAGGGACTCGATACAAACGTTGTCGATGTTGTGAGCTTCGTCGAAAACAACGATGCAGTCCTTGGAAAAGTCCTTTGACACCCTTTCTGCGATCTTGGGATCAAGGAGGTAGTGGTAGGAGAAAATGACCACGTTACAGTATTGCATCTGGGCAACGCATCAGCAACAGCATTCTAAGCACCAGACACGAGACTATATGTGTACTTACCATTCGCCGTGCAGTAAAGTACGGGCACTGCTTATGTTCCTCACCGTACCGAATAATGTCGTCAAAAGACCAAACACCATTGGGAATAAGGTTATGAGGCTCAAGAAGATCGAGGTTCTGCATCATAGCTCAGCATTATTCAGAGCATAGGATGTATAGTGTGTAGGGATTCCGTGGGACTTACATCGTGGTAGACACAGACGTCGACACTCTCGCCACGCTCCTTTTTCTCCTTAACAAAGCCGGCTGTGAGACTTCTGCAGCGTGCATCAACAATGGCACCGCTTTTTTCTCGTTTTACAGAAGGATGAAGACACAGGTTCTTGCGACTTGTCAGGCCCAGGCCGCGGAACTCTTCCTCGTACCCGAGCTCCTCGGCTCGGTATTTCATCAAAGACTTCAGCTCGACTAACGCCTTCTCGATCTCGGACATCGTACCTGTTTCAGTTGTGTCAGAAACAGCAGGCAACATGCAGATTATTACCCACGAGAACAGTAAATTAGCTTGCGCTTTTCAGGCATGTATTGTTGGTAAGCAACAATAAGGGACAGTAGGGAAACGGTCTTGCCGGTACCCGAAGGCATCTCCAGAACGCAGTGTCCACCTGCATCGAGAGTTTCTGGTGAAAGGAAACCATGTTAGCAATCGCGTCACGTTTGAATACAATTAAGGGACTAAGTACTTTTGAGATCGCACATGTAGCTTCACGCAGGCTGTTAGTACATTCCGCCCATGATCGCGTGGGACCCTCGAAAACTCACGCATATTGCTCTAAAATAAGTCAGTCAGCTTCTTTAACCGTTATGCACGGGTTTGGAGGCTTACCAGGATATATCTTGGGGTAAGGAAATAGAATGGGTAGATCACTAGCTGTTGTTAGTTAAGTGGTTGATTAAATGGAATGATACCGTACTCGATGTTGAATTTCATGATGGCTCGGTATGTTAGCACCGGGGTAAGCCCTCGGTGATCTATCGTAGGTGGAAAAGCTGAATAGCGTCAAAGATGTCGAGCAGCGCGCGGCTTTGGCGTGAAGTCTTTGTGATCAAAGCGAGCAGTCGCGAGGTCACGTGCTCAAGCTCTGATGTCACCGAGCTCGGTGAGGAACAGATCACGCATGATACCCCACATGGGAAAGGGAGATGATGATTTCAATTTTATTAAAGGTTCGGCATAAATTGCTGCAGGGACATCACAGCAAAAGCGAACACAAGAAAAACCAGCAAGTGTGAAGAAAAAGGGTAAGGACATATCGGGAGTGGGTTTGCATTGAGATTCAACTCCGGCTGGAGATACCTGCGGGGATGTAATACATAGACTACATCGTAACCTGCGAGTGCTATCAGGAAATAACTTGATTATCTGCGGTTCACTATATGTAGAGGAGCTTGTTTGTCTTTGGAAGGCATAAATATGATGTGCAGACATGCTGCTTTGCTTTAGCGGTCCGGCAGGTGAAGAGATCAATGGCGGGCTGGTGCAACCTTGCCTAATGAGTGATAACCACAAGGTACCTAACTCTACGGAATATCCATACATCGTACATGCATTAAAAAAAACCTCTTCTCAGCGCTTTTCCTGTTGGTCTTGGATGGATAATAACCCGCGAAGCTCACCTGGACTAGACTTTGAACAAGGGTGAACTGAACAGACAATGTCAATGCCGGCAGTTCATCCATAGTCAAAGGTTACCGAACTGTACTAAAATAGGTTGACTGATAGCTGGGAATGCCCAGGGGCCGTGGGCCGTGTGGAGCGCGCAAGGCATGGACTGTTTGCTGATCTTGTGATACGGCTCCTAACCTAACATCAAGATGACTGAATTAGTTAGTACCTGGGGTACGGACTGAAGGGGCAGAATTGATACCTGCTTGTGGTAATTCTTGACAGCATCTCAAGCAAGCTGTTATCCCTTCACCATGGCAGAGTTCGATCGAGGCGTTGCAATCATGTTGAAGATAATGCGAAAGGTAATTACTACGTAGGTAGGTTTAAGGTAGGTGGGCATTGGTGGAGAAGAAACAAGGGAGCTCTTCACGGCGCAGGGCGCTAATGCACCGGCTTTGTCTGGTTCTGGCCCGTGGTGTTGTCTCTAATGTCATGTTACTTTTTGGTACGGAGTATTGGACTTGACATCGAAACTCGCCTCACATTGCCGAATTATCGCATCACGCCTGCATAGACGGCCTAGGTAGCTCTTTGGGGAGATTTGAACAGATATTAGTCCGTAGCTCTGCCTGGCATCACCGATATATCTCATGTGCAAGGCATAGAAACCTATTCAAACGCTTGGCAACCGGTATCGCTATGCTATCAATCTAGAGGCATCTAGCTGGTGGTTCAGCCCGCCCGCGCCCGTGCTTGTGGGTTCGAGATGCACTGTGACCTAGAGCCTAGCGCGCTGTGGGAGGCTGCTTCCCCGCTCCTGAATGCGTCGCCCGCGAATGACAACAGTCATACAGCGCCCAGCTCGTCGCTCCCCGCCCCAGGTTGTGTGCTAGTGCGACCCAATTGGTCCGTGCTTGTAACCACCTTTGTGCTTGGCCACTATCACCGCATTACCTACATGTTTTCTCGAGTGATCAATCCCTCCAACAAAACACATCAATGGCTGACTTCCATGTCTGTTTGGCAGGCATGCTCGCGTATCTAGAGGCGCTGGCACTGTACGATATCTTAGTACCTAGTCCGTTCTGCTCTTCTCACCCTTATCAGCATTTGCCATTCACCAACCGCATTGCTAAACCGTCCAACCTTCTGTACAGATGACAGACAAACCAAAAACATTACCGAAACCAAATACCTAACCAACACTTAGTACCTACGCAATCCTCCGCCTGCCGACTGTGATCCATCCCCCTCTTTCTTCTCTACTCCCTCACCTCATCTTTTCTATCCATTGATCTCGTTTTCATGCCATCAACTGGGCCCTCGGTGTTGTGACTTACCAGATCTTTGTACTTCTCATTCTGCTTACGTTAGTCACCATTTCAATTCCCTCTCACGAAGCAGTGGTAATCCCCAAAGAATTGCCGCCTACCCAATCTGCTTTGCTTCATCACGCTTGCTTCTTCGATTGTCTCCTCCTGGCGCGCTTCTTTTGTCAATTGCACATCTCGATATCTTGTTCGACATTGTATAGCTTCATTCTGCCATTGCATCGCGGCATTGACGATATTATACGTCTGGGACAAGACCTTTGATATTCAGCTACAAAGCACACCCTTTTCTGTATCGCTCCTCCCTCTCCCTCTCCCTCTCCCTCTCTATCTTTATCTTTATCTCTCTGCCAAAGTCATCCTCCGGCCTATCTCCCTTCCGTCGTTGTCATTCCACCCAAGGATTCCGTCGCTGGGTTCCTTGTGCTTTGTCTCTTATCCCGTGCACATGCTCGTGCGACAGTGATTCGTTTTCCAAGAGAAAAGTCGCGTGCTCCCCAATTCTGAATTCCTGGGTCCGTATCTAGGGCTCTGTCTCTTGTTCACTCATCATTTTATTTCGTGGCCAAGGCCGAGAACATACCGCATTTCTTGCTTTGGATACCATATCGAATTGCTGTCTGACTGTCCCTTTGATCTATTAGACACCTGTCTTGGGCCATATTTTGTATATCACAACGCATTATAAACCCGTCTATACTTTTCTCGAGTACTCTGTTGGGAACAGACTGCTTGTTGTTAGAACCCATTCAACATAAGCTGTCCGTTCCTCCCGCTGATATGACTACTATCGCCCTCGCTCGACCTATTCCACCTCATCGTCCCTCATCCACCATCACTCCGCCGCTCTCGCTCGAATCTAGCGCCAGTTCATCTTCACCATGCTCTATCCCCATCCCCAATAAGCATCTCCCTGCATGCCCCACTGGACCAGCTCGCCCTGACGAGCCCGATACCCCGCCACCATCACCACCGTCTCGAGATCAATTCCAACAGACTTCGGTCCTATATCCCCCTGATGACTTCGCGAGGAAGGACTCGGGTGAACTTTGTATCTACGAGCTTGATGCGCCCAAAGTCGCTGAGGCACTCGACGTTGCTTCACGCCAACCGTTACCCGACCCTGCTCTTGTGTTCCCGTGGTTTCATGGCCTTCATCCTCAGAATCATGTTCAGCAGACATTCTTTTCTGCTCGACGACACACCTTGCGGCCGACTCCCTCATGTCTCAGATCTGTCACTCTTGTGAAAGCCGATGGGGATCTGAATTGCGCACGCCTTAAGGGCGCGGTTGCTCCCAACGAAATCCTCCAAGCCAAGAACCCTTCCGAGTTCATCGAGGCAGATCCTCGTGAGGGCTTTTCTGTGAGGAATTTCCAGATCCAGACAGTGAAGACTGCTGTGTTGTCGGACATAATTGTATATGGCTCCGATTTGATCAAAACCCGCAAAGTAGCATGGCATGTCGCGGGTGCACAGAAGCGATGGCGAGAAAGGCACGAGAACCAGGGTGATTTGGTGCCTGAATATCACACCTTTATCTGCACAAGCCCGTTCTCAAAGTTTGAAGAGGACCATTCTGAAATTGTGGCTGTAGATGGATCTGGTCGTCTAACTGGCAACGTTCTTGATTTCTTCAACCAAGAGAGGCGGGAGATGTGGGCAATGACAGAAGCATCCGAGTTCTCCCAAAATGTCTTTATGGGTCCTACTCCTGAGCAGGGGAGTTGCGAAGAGCAGAAGTACGATATTCTAATCGAATGCAGCGATCTTGGACGGCTGAACCCATTGGCTCTCCAACTCATCGCCGAGAGCCCTGACGATGATGGCAAGCAGAGATTCCTTGATTTCCCGTCGTCTGGTAGCATTTTACCTCCCACGTGGTCACACTCTGAGGCAGACGGCGTTCTCGAAACTTGTAAATGGATATACCATCTTGCCCATGGTCTGTATCCAGAGCCTGAGCCTGGCATGAGCACGGATGGTGTGGACGGAGAGGGAGATTCACCTATGCCTTCGCATCATTACGCAACGTTTGACGTCAGGCCTCGCAAAATATTGCTCCATTGTGCTGACGGCTACACTGAGTCAACCATGTTGAGTATTGCTTATTTTAGCTACAGCACTGGGCATCCTGTCCCCCAAGCATGGCTTCAACTCCACACAGATAAGAAGCGCAACTTCTTTGCCTACCCAACTGATGTTGCGCTCTTGACATCCATCACCCCGCGACTGCTTCGGGAGTCCCCTGTTTGCAAAGGATTGAGCTTGACTGACATTACTCATCTAACAAGAGATGAGCCAAGTTGGTTCGCCGCTCTGGATGGATCATTTCCAAGTCGAGTTCTAGATTATATGTACTTGGGTAACTTGGGACATGCCAATAACCCGGACCTTCTGAAGGCTCTCGGGATTACTCAGATACTGAGCGTTGGCGAAGTAGCTATGTGGCGTGAGGGAGACCTCGAGGATTGGGGCAAGGAGAACGTTTGTGTGGTACAAGGGGTTCAAGACAATGGCATTGACCCACTGACTGAAGAGTTCGCTCGATGTCTTGAATTCATCGGTAAGTTCTACGCGGCGAGTATGAACATCGAATCTGTAGAATCTAACCATAAACCACAGACCGGGGCCGACGAAATGGCACCGCAACATTAGTTCACTGCCGTGTTGGGGTATCTCGAAGCGCTACTATTTGCATTGCCGAAGTGATGCGAACAAAGCATATGTCTTTTCCTCATGCATACTGTTATGTCAGAGCCCGACGTCTGAACGTCATTATTCAACCCCATCTTCGATTTGCCTATGAGCTATTGAAGTACGAAGAAGTACTCCAGCAGGACGGCAACCCCGACGGCGAGATCAAACGAACTCTAGAGTGGGCAGAAATTGCGCGAGAGATCGCACTTATGAACCGACCATATTCTCGGTAGGAGAACACGTTGTATTTCGACCTTACTGTGAGTAGAGGGATTGTTTCAGAACAACGAGAGCATGATGAAATATGTTTTGATTCGTTGATCAGTTCCACAGGCACCTGGAGTGCCTGAGAAGCTGTTTCTATTCTCAACATATCATACGCAGATATTGGATTGGCATTTGAGCTGTCGGAGGAATGGATAGGAACCAGAAATTGGCAATTAGGTTGGCGCTTTGTTAGCCGACGTGAAAGCAGAACAGTCTTCAAAGGACTTGGCTATCCGGCTTTTTGCGGTGGGCGGGAGCTGTTTATGTTCATCATTCAGGCTGTAATGAATGTCTTGTTTGTTGCAGGGCACTTGTAAGGTTACGGATCTGGTTGGGTACAGCAATGGAATCATGATGGTCACGGTCGTGCGTGTCAAGGTATACACGGTATTTATTCATGTTGGATGTACATACACTTAAGAAAGCGGTAACATGATATTTGATTCGCGAGATACATCAACGCTACTGATTCCCGTATATTCAACCTCGGCTTTTGAAAAGGGAAGTCATAAACGAACAGCGACCAATGGTCACATGGACATTGGACCACAGATGGACCATGACTGAGACAAAATATAATGACATTTCAGAATAGCGTGTTCACATTGAAAATTACTTGTGTAAAAAGAAAAAAACCAAACAGTTCCGGAGCCGATAAACGCCAATGGTAATGCTTCCGCTCCATTAATCTACTCCAGAATATGACAACCGGCTCGATAGAAATATTGATTCGTTGTGGCAGACGTCGAGGCATCTACAGTGTCTTAGCTTCCATAACCTGAAGCATCACTTTTGTCATCGCCTTCCAGCACGCTACAACCCAAAATTAGCTTTATGTTTGTCGAATGCCTGGAAAACTTACGAAAACTGCTTGACAAGATAGCCCTCTCCACCATGCTCCATGTCAATATTGTAAACATAAAAGCTCCCATCACTGGTCACGACCATAACTTGTGGACTGCTACTGCTCATGGCCACAACACTGCGCAAGGGGCCACCTGGAGCATCCCGTAAAGTTCTCGAGGCCCCAGAGGGGATTGCAGATTTGGGGATCTTGATGTAAGCAAAATCTCGCAGAGGCTCCCACATTTCTGTCACAGACTGAGGTAGGTATGAGCCCACAACCCCAGCCACTCCCCGGCCCATGATTTGAGAGGACCGACGAAGCATACTACTAAATGAACCACTCTGTCTTGTATGGCCTGCGTTGTTGCTATTACCGGGCCCGTTTCCAGCCCCGGCATGATCGGCGGACTCGTTCTTCGGAGAGTCTGCTGCGCTGGCCCCTGGGGACTCAGGGTCGTCAAAGCTCCTTGCTCGAGACCATCGATCTTGCCTTTGTGATGCAGGCGATTCGATAGGCGCACCAGCAGGTGTGGTATTTCCTGGAGGTGCCCCAAGGCGGAAGATGTGAATTGTGTCCGAAGTTGACGAGACACACAATAACGTCGAACTCAGGTTGAATGACATGCTATATATGGTTGAAGGATAAGTCCCGCGACGAAACTGATATAACTTTTGGCCCTTGGGCACGGAGAAGACGCGAATGATTGTGCCGGTCTCACTCGCTGTTGCTAGCATGGTTCCCTCATTGTTGAGGCAAATGCAGCACAGTGGGGATCGATGCGCCTCGATGACATTGACAGCCTTCAGTTCGAGAGTATCAAAGACCAAGACTTCGCCCGAGGTAGGCGCAACGAAGGTTGATTGGGGAGGGGCGTGGGCGGGTCGACGAATATCGGGGTCTTCTCGAGGTTTTGGCAGCGGATAGGCGATAAAGCAGTTTTCGGAGGAGGGCGACAGGGCGCATATGGCAGAAGGATTTGGCGAGGTCGCGATTGTGTGTAGAAGGCTCATATTACTAATATCGTAGAGGTATATTTCTTCCTCGAGCACAACGGCCAGACGCTTTCGGTTTAATCGCACAGCTAATACCGCCGAAGGAAAGGTTAATTCGCAGATGACAGACGCCCTCTGGCTCAGAAGTCAGTAATGCGACCTTTTGACAACATCGTAATCTCCTACCTTGGTGTTTTGAATGATTAGATGGCGAGGGGAGAGAATCAGAGCGACAAGGGAGGTTGAGAATAACATCTCAATGATCGCAATATTGCCATCGTCGCTGCTAAAGATTCGAGAGAAGGGATCTGTGTGATATATGCGAAAGCCTTTGGAGGTTCCTTTGCGCAGTGGTTAGCTATACCGCAGACCAAATCGTGGACCAGGCAGCCATACCAACAGCAAGACAGCTGTGGTCTTGATTGAAAGTAATGAAATTAAGGGTTGGATTGGTCATGGTGCGTCCGTATGCCTCGAATGAGGTCTAATCGATATCGTGTACGTTGCGACGTGTACCGCGTGAAGTTTCCGTGGTTGAAAGCTGCGTATGTGGGCGCAGATGCGAATGTGGACGAGAGGAGTGATGCGATAAAGGTAGCAAGTGACCAAATCGATCAAGCGCACTGCGTGTGTTAGTTAAAGATGCTTGACTTAAAGCCAAGCAGGCAGCTTCAAGCTGAATTAACAACCTTGGCTATGAGCAAGATTGGAGGTTGGGAAATTGGCCTGGTTGTGGAAGCGCGCCGTGACAGCGGATGGATGAATGGCGTTGGCGGAGGAGTGATAGGCAATTGCGTAGGTAACTTCTCTGCAGGCCACGGCTGTAAATATGGCCGAGAGCTTCTTCTTGCGCGACTTGTACTAGCTGTTTAGTGAATCAGTCCAAATAAGAGGAACGCTGAAGACTTCTAGCGATTATTGTTGGCGCAACAAGAGCTTAATCTCGGTTGAAGCAATTCACAGGCCAATATTTGGGCGACGAAGTTAATGTAGGCTGTCCCGTGAGCCTGGAAGCTTAGATACCTTAGGTAGTCCATGCTTGACTACTAACCTACCTAGGTAGTACCAACTGAGGTACCTATAAGTGTTGGGTGAGGTCAGAGCTGGGTGATCACCCTAGGTAGGTCTAGGTATTTTCACTCGCGCTAGACCTAATCGGGTTGACGACAAGGGCACAATTCACTAACAATTCTTCACGTCCTAACAAAAGTCGGCGCTCGAAGTCTTGGAGTAGTCGGCGATTGATCTTTTCATTCCGATTTGACCGATTAAAAGTCTCGCAGACCTCGAGTCGATATCATTCTGGGGGGATCTCAATCAAAATGGTCAAGGAAAAGCCCCTGCCCTCACGGGCGTCCAAGACTCAAGCTCTTGACGACCTGATTATGGGGGTAAGTCTTTATTTCATTATCACATACTCCGTATATAAATCTTATATCCAGTCTCAGTGGTGACTGATTCAATCTTAGACAAACAGTAGTAGCATTGTTTCCAAACGAAGCGTCGAGCGACTCTACTATCCAAATGAGCTTCACTTCTTTCGTTACTTTGTCAACAAGTTTCAGCGAAGAGCCCCTCTTATTAACCGTGGATACTGGCTGAGACTCAGGGCTATTGATGTGATTGTACGTCAATTCATCACCTCTCCAACACCGGGCCATAGAAGAGTGGTCATCAATCTCGGGGCGGGAAGGTGAGTTGTCTGCCCGATCGAGGCCAAATCCCCCGTACTCATCATTTTCGCACAGTGATGTTCTCCCCTGGCAATCGTACCATCGCTATGGTGATTCTTGCGAGAACGCACTCTTTATAGATGTCGATTACCCGGATCTGATGCGAAAGAAGCGAGGTATTGTTCTCGGAACGCCGGAACTCAGAGAGCTGCTGGGTGACCATCCATTCATCAGCGAAAAGGATACAGATCACCTCCTCCTCCGTAGCGACAAGTACTGCCAGATCGGATGTGATCTCAGAGAACTCGAGACCCTTCGCAAATGTCTTGAGTCATTCCTCCCCTTGTCCGAATGTTCAGTCTTGTTTGTCGCTGAAGTCTCGATAACCTACATGGACACAGCATCAGCCGATGCTCTTATCCAGTGGGCAAGTTCTATAGGACAAGGTAGTGCAGCATTCAAGTTGGCAAAAACATGCTCAAAAGCTAACTGCTCCCAGCTGAATTTTGTCTCTTGGAACAAATCCTTCCACATGGGCCGGAGCATCCCTTTGCCAGCACGATGCTGAAGCACTTCAACAAGCTCAACACATCTCTCAAGTCTGTGGATCAGTACCCAACCGTTGAAAGTCAACGTATTCGCTTCGAGGAACGAGGCTGGAATAGTGTTGATGTTTGGGATCTTTGGGAGGCCTGGAACAGTGAGGCTTTTCTCAGCTCATCCGAGAGGGCTGCCTTGGACGACATAGAGCCTTTCGACGAGTGGGAAGAGTTTGTCCTATTCGCAAGACACTACATCGTCCTTCATGCCTCAGCTTACCACAGAGGTGACAAGGGTGCCGGACAGCGTGGCCAGACCTCTAATCCTCGCGAGAATGTCAAAACGAAAATGACCGCGATAGGTTCCTTGGGTGCACCCAAACGCCGCTTTGGCGCACCTATGAAGGCCTCTAGTCCGGAAGGAGGCCAATACCTACTTCATACTCTGGGAATGGGAATAAATGCAAGGCTTGACTCATGCGACATATTTCGTCTTCAGGAGGGTAATTCTCGCTTTGAGATGCCTCCCGTTGGTCCTTCTGCAAGGCTATGTCATACAGTTGTCGACCTTGGACACGCCGGTGCTCTGCTTGTCGGAGGCCGTGCTTCGCCATCGAAAGCTTTCAGCGATTGTTGGATCTTTAAGCAGGACTCGGGTAGTTGGGAAAAAACTTTCGATTTACCTGTGCCACTGTTCCGGCATTCCGCTCTTCGATTGCCAGGCTCATCCCTAGCTCTTGTATTAGGTGGTAAGACAGGACCTTCTACTCTATCACCACGCTATTTTGTGTTCCATCCTATGAAGGGGTGGCTTAAATGCGTAGTGTCTGGCATCGTACCCGACTCTACTTTTGGAGCCTTTGCTATCGCCTCTTCCGATGTGCAAAACAAGGGGGTATTCAAAGGTTTGTTGGCAGGTGGAATAGGAGTCAGTGGAAAAATCAACAACCAGGCATATTTATGGACTGTTGACGTCGCACCTCCCGAGGTAAGTTGCCCATGCCCCTAAAAAGGGCGTCCGCGGGCGGCTGTCGTTCAAGAGCAAGAAGTTCCATTTTACTCACAAACTTATAGCCAGTCATCCATTTCCAGACAGTCCCAGATTTCGATCGATACTCTTGGGCTTTTTCAGTCTTTGGTGCCCAAACTGCAGAAGCCAACTCCTCTACCTTTGTTTGTGGTGGCGTAGGACAGGATCCATCTTTACAAGGCCAGTCCATCACTTGCGTTTCCTTGAGAAACGGAAACTTGGAAGTTGCTGCTCTCCACTTAGGAGAAAATGTTGGACATCTTCCTTTCATGGTTGGCGCTGCAGCTGTTTCCCTGAGCTCTCAGTTGGTGGTAATAGGCGGAGGGGCTACTTGCTTCTCCATGGGCACATTCTGGGATACTGGCATTTACAAAATTGAATTTGGCGAAGCTTCCTCTAAGGCCTACGCCGAATCTCTGATAAACAAAAACCCAGTGGCTATCAGCTATCAAGACTCGCCCAAGCTCACGCACCCCACTACTAATACCGGCCAGCCCAGTCAGCGACACAAACCTTCAGTCAGGTCGATCCCAAGAGTCAAAATACAGACGAAATCTGATTTTGCGGAGCTGGTCCAGAACAGAAAGCCAGTCATCATCGAAGGCCTGGACTTGGGTGGCTGCGTCGATAAATGGAACCCAGAATACATGGTCCAGAGTGTGGGAGAGAGAAAAGAGGTTCGCTCTGTTCGGTCATACAGCTTCAAGTGCATTGACTAATCTGAATCGCTAGGTTGTCATCCATGAATGTCAAGCTTCAACGGGCAAAATGGATTTTAACTCTAAGAACTTTCGTTATGTGACCGAGTCATTCTCAACGTTCATGGGTAAAGCCACCAAAGGCGAAGCGTTGTACCTCCGTGCACTTTCTGAAGAAAAGCCTACAGAGGCACCAGCAAACCTTGCCCATGACTTTCCAACGCTTGCCGACGACTTTCGGCTGCCGGATGAACTCAACTTGATTGAGGATCGGATGTTCAGTTCCGTGTTGAGGATATCTGGTCGAGTAAACATGTGGCTACACTACGACGTGAGTAAATGTGGAAATTACGAGTTGCCTTGATTGCTTGACTAACCAATCGATAATTTCCAGGTTATGGCCAACGTTTATACCCAGGTCCATGGTTCAAAACGCATGGTTCTCCTGCCACCAACCGACGTCAATCATTTGGCGTTTGCACCCGGTGCCTCGAGTTCTAGCCTTGACGTCTTTTCAGCCCTAGACAAGCATGAGCTGGCGTCAACTAGCCCATACGAGGCCGTTTTAAACCAGGGTGATCTCCTTTTCATCCCGGCGATGTGGTTCCATACCGCGAGCCCAATCACGGACATTAGTGTTGCTGTCAATGTCTTCTTTCGCGACCTTGACAGCGGTTACTCGACAGGCCGAGATGTGTACGGAAACCGAGATTTAGCAGCATATGAGAAAGGACGGCAAGACATCGACCGGATTACGAAGAGCTTCGACCGCCTGCCTTCTGAAATCCGACAATTTTATCTAACAAGGCTTGCGAATGAGTTGTTGCACGACCAGCACTGACGGAGTGGTAAACCAGCTACTGGGCCCAAGTGATTGGAGGAGGGTGGGAGACTTTGGCATCGCCCATCTACGCCTAGCTTTTGGCTGAAGGGGCTAGGATTCACTCCACCGACGCTATCTGTCAAGATAAGGACTCAGGGCCCTACTCGGGCTTGCTTCAAGCTTGGCCGTAGACTGTTGGTAATATCAACGTTCCCAATTGCAATTTGATATAACGAGATGAACTCTTTGTGGCTAAAGTCAATGGGCAAGCGGGGGTGGGACTGAACTTTCATTTCAATTGAATATACCACAACCATTCACTCTCTCGCCGAATTGAGTAGAAGGGATAGAAGAACAAAAAGTTTGTAACGAGGTCAGAACGCTCTGGTAACATCGTGATTACGCTGCTGCATGCATGTCAAGGGTGCATCTTCCAAACCTGAGGGTTATTCCCTGTCGTTTTCCTGGCTGTCCCTTGCAGAAGCGTCAGTTATTATAGAACACCACTCAGCTTTATAACCGAGCTGGACGAAATAATTCCCCAGATCCACATCCAATGTTCCCTTCGATCAGTCGCTTATCCTGCAGGTCTTGGATAAGCCATAATCGACGCCACGACGGTACAGGCGGAGGGAGGAGGAGGGATGTTAGGCCTAGAGACTTTCTTCACGGGCATGGCGTAAGGCGTAAGGCTCAGCGATGAGACCAACACGTTTGGAACATTGTGCTGCTTAAATCATAGCTAGGGCATCTTCACAAGCCCCTCGTCCTTATGATTCATCAGCATGGTAAACAAGGAAGCATGGCACATTGTTTCAGGGGTTTGTACTATCATGTTGGTGATGTTACATTCGAGAAATGCAGCACCAAAGCTGAAAATTGAAATATGATGGGTGACCCTACTACATAACAGAAAGAGGCGTTCGGGTAAGAAAAGAAAGCAAGCAGCACAGGCGAAAATATAGAATGTTGAAGCCATTGGCGAATGGCCGCCAATTTTCCTCCTACTGATATCGTTGGACACAAGACTCGACGAAAAGGCGTATTTCGACTTAACAGATGGGTGGCAAGATAAAACTAAAGAGACAAAAGGCTTTCCTGTTGGAGACAAACTAACGTTAGACTTTTCTAGGCTGGCCGTTTGTCTGGTTGCATTCCAGTTTAATATCTGGGCTTGCTGGCCAAGATTTTCAACACGTACCGAATACCGAGCATTCGAATATTCGCCTCATGGCAACCATGTCCGACCTCGATGTGAGACCGAGACATGAGGTTGTGACGACGCTGCGGGAGAGCCGGAGGAGGTTTCTGAAGCATAACAAGTGTCGAGACGAGGGTAAGGGTCAAGATGCCAAGGCGGAGGCGATCTCAATCGCGGTTTAGACACTGCGAAGGTTATTGATAGAGTCAAAATACATGCAGCCTCTATAATTTTGATCGCGGAGACCGGGTATCGCCTCTGCCCGCCCGCGAAGGAATATCAAAGGTGTTGACGCCACCCCGTTGCCGCATTTTTGTATTTGTATCCGTGTTCAATTTGATACTGCTGGGGTTATGGCTGTTCATTGTCCACCGAGCTTGTCCTCGATCACAGCAGCGCTATAGCATGTTTAGTATCACATGCATCCTGAGGCCACTGCCCAAGCCACTGGCTTGAAGATCAAGGTTTTAATCAGTTCTGTAACACCATGTCTTACTACGTGTTCTACCGTGTCGGGGGGGGTTAATTAACAAGTGCCAATTCTAGAAGACGTGGGTTCCCCAAGTGCCGGGATTTGGTATCGACAACTACGTCCCAAAGATTAAGAAAAGGAATTTGTATACACTATGTATGCATGTATATGCATAATACAGTGCAGTGCAGTGCAGTACTCAGACGATGCAATACTGACTAGCCTATCCTTCAAGTCATCACTTTGTCGATATTGACCACTTGGTGAACATCATGCTGCCCTCATTAGTTGGTCACTCTCAGTTTCGTTCCACAGAACTAACCATAATCCTGTATCTCATACGCAAAGAGATCACATTTTGTGTCGCCTTGGCAAGTTTTTGAGGCCTCTTCGGGAGGGTAATTTATTGGATTACTGCATTATGCAGATGAATAGCTCCTAGTTTCGACGACGTGTATCTTTTTTATATTTTTTAAATCCTTTTTACGTTGTCCTTGACATACGTGAACATTAGCTGAAAGTGAAGGCCGCCGGCTGTAGGCTGCTTAAGCCTTTTTTTTCTTTCTTTTTTTCCTACTTTGCCAAGCCTAAAGTCTTCTTAATTCCCGATCACTCCAGTGTGGACGAATCGCAATATGTGTAACTCAAGGGTTAAGGTCAGACATTTGGCCAAGTTTGGATATGCTGTGTTCCCCGCTCACCCTGCAACTCTGGTGAGGACCCAGGACTCTCAGCTCTCAGCTCTCAGCTCTCAGCTCTACATACATCCCTTGGCTCTCTTGTCCATAAAAAGAAAACAAAGCAAAAAGGGAAGAGCAAAAGAAAGTTGTGATTATTCAATGTTTGACTCCGTGACCCAAGAACCTGGTTGTGGTCCTGGTTCTGGTTCTGGCTCCCTGGTATGCCCTGAATCCAAAGTCTTGTCCAGCATCTTACTCTATTCGTATCAATGCAAGGGATCTCTAATCTCGCCAATCATGAATGGACAACGCTTGTGTACTCTCAACTCTTGTCCAACCTCATGTCATCCCCAAGGGAGCAACCCGATCACGCTAACGAGCTTGGCGAGATACAGTATGTTGATGGACGTCCGGCACTAATCCCCAGTATCTAATGCTCCGTGTACGAATCCTGGGCGATGGCTTGCTTTAGCGCTGTCATCTTGATGAATCAGGGATATCTTCCAAGCCACAGTTGGCCGGTCACCATCCTTCATTGGCTCAATGCTTAGGCTCATCAAGAGAGATCGTAACTGTGAGCTAACTTAGCATTGACAGCCCTTGACAGCCCGTCGTTGGACGCCAAACATAACCTTGTGCTTAGTGGCAATCAAAGACCAGGCTCTCTCTCGGCTTGCATATGCCTCTCCCTTGTGTTGACCAGAGACCCCAACACATCCAGCCATGAACATGAACGTGAGTGTGAACGTGTGTACCTCTCCGTAGTGGCTAAGCCGATATGGCGAACTCCACCAGGAACAGCTTGCAAACAGTCGTCTCTTTCCGTGCATGTGTCAGTTAAGAACCTCTGTTATCCCAGAAGCCTTACCATCCTCCCGGTCCCTTTGATTTCGTCAATCGGGTGGCAGTAGCTTCTTGTTGCTCCTCCAAACATCTGCCACCATGTCTACCGGGGAGTTGCTTCAACGGTATCAAGGCCACATCGTGCCTCAAAGCTACAATGCTGGCTTCGTCGCCTTGAGCTATGTCGTCAGCCTTGTTGGTGCCGCTTCGACCCTTGAGCTCATCAACAGACGAACCGGACTGAGAGGCCTTTTCAACCAGTATGTCTTTGTCTTTGCCTTGCAGACCGCATTCCCAGATGAGGGTCCTAACTGAAACAGCCTGCTACTCATGAGCTCGGCAGTAACCATGGGTGGAGTGTCCATCTGGTGTATGGTAAGCATTCTCGCACATTATCCTCAATCACTTGACAGATGCTTACCGTCCTCAACCAACAGCACTTCATTGGTAACAGAGCCATCGATCTAGCCGATGGGCAGCCGGAGCTGCAAGTCGCATATTCAAGTGGCTTCACTGCTATATCATTCTTCGTTCCAATCTTGGTTCTTCTTGCTGCCTTCATGGCCGTTGGTACCAACAATGTCGTTTCGTGGTGGAGGCTCGTAGCTGGAGGTGTCCTCTGCGGAACTGCTGTATGCGGCATGCATTACCTCGGCAATGCTTCAATCAACAACTATTCATGCGTTTATCAACCGGCATATGTCATTGGGTCTGCCATCATCGCCATCGTGGCGAGCAATGTTGCCTTGGCCATGTTTTTTGTCTTTCGAGCGATGTGGGCTAACGCATGGTGGAAGAGAGTCATCTCGGCCGTTGTCCTTGCCGGAGCTGTTTCTGGAATGCATTGGTGTGCTTCTGTGGGAACACGTTATCGGTTGAAGGGGATCAAGCCTAACGGCAACGAACCGTCAAGGACAGGCACTGTTGTCGTTGTCATCTGCTTGGTAAGTGTGCGGACTATTACGGCCTCTTGGGAATCAATCACAGACATGGCTAATACGGCCAGTCACTGGGCGCCTGCTTCATCATTGCAACTTCGGCGATCCTTCGAGCACGAAATATGAGAAGGTCCGCTCTTCGTGCCCAGCAAATCACACTTGCAGCAGCAATCTTTGACAAGGGGGGGAGGATCCTTGTTGATCCCGACGGATATATTCCAAGTACCGTGGTGACCGACTCCTTCTTGGAAAAAGTGAGTCCAGATGCCTATCGGGTACCTAGTGCGCACGGAGTCGATTCTAACGGAAGTAGAATTCAAAAGAAGGTTTTAATACAGGCCACGCGCTCTTCCATTGGATGTATCAAGCATCGAGGAATTGGGACATGATCTGGAGTCTCGTGGGAGGCATGAGACAACACGTATCACAGCTGCCCCATTCCCGCACCCATCGGGATGGTCGACGAGGCATACAACTCGTTAGTGAACATGGCGAAACCATCGAAAACTATGACAAGATCTTCAGAGAACTGTTTTGTCTGGCTGCAGCTGCTCTCGCTGATAGACTTCGTGAGGATCACACGTCGATCGGGGTCCTATGGGACCAGATCCTTTCGACAGGTGCGAGTGGCAGACGGCCTCGGGCTCAAGCGCGCAAACAGTCCAATGCAGGAGTAAGTTTGGAAGGGAGTGATGCCGGTGAGGAAGTCCACAATAGCCTTGATATCACCGAAAAGGGCCTGCATGTCCGGAACCACGATTATGGACGTGGGTCACTTATGTTCCTCGTCCGCCGCTCGGAGTCTGATCGTGACACTGAACGCTTGATCTCGGCTGGCTACCGGTTTGCTGAGTTGCACCAAGTCAGCGATATCATCAAATCAAGCATGCAGATCCAAAGCCCCGAGTTTGAGACCAAGCTGAGAGAGATGGCGACTTACACGAGTGAGCACAATCACATTTGCCAAGGAGCCCATATGGGCTTCTTTGCCGTTCGAGCCCGCGTCAGTTCAGGCTTCGAAGTCCTCGTGAGGAAAGGCGCACCACATTTACTTCCGAGTATGCCCTTCCCATTCAAGAACCTCGAGGATTGGCACGTGAACTACCTGAGAAGATTTGAGAACGTTCCAGTATCCAAGATTGTGGAAAAGTGCAAGGAGGACTCCCAGCGCAACGACCGAGAGGCCGTGTTTGCCGGGCAACTTGCAGATACCATCAAGGCTTTGCGAGATTTGACACAAGAGCCCTTGCTCGAGGATGCTCTTCTCACATCAACACCATTTCCCATTCCCTGTCGCGGGGATGAGAAGCGATCGGAAGCAACGATGATAGCAGTGCGACTGGTAATTCCCATACATTCTGTACTGTCGAGTCCCAACTGCGAGTTCGTTCCCTTAAGCTTTTTCAGAATGCGTCAAGTGTCGGCCCAGTCTTATCAAGAATTCACTCGAGGACTGCACCAAGAGTTCGGCCACATTGCAGAATCAATGGGTCACCACCGACGTTCTGGTGACGTTACAGTTCACGTTTCGTCAAGTCGATGGCCTTTCGGACGGGCACATACGTCGCGTGGTACACGAGCCAAAGGGATGTCTGCCTCGATTGCTGCTGGACGTCGGATTTCCTTGGTCGACTCGGCACAATCCAGCTCGACCATCAATCTCTGCCCGGCAAGAAGCACCATGCGAAACCAATCAGTCGACTCAACAGGAGGGTTGGGGATGTATTCAGCTCGGCAAGAGGCAACCTCAATAGCGCCATCATATGGTGGTATCATGGTATTCCAAGAGATCACTGTGGACGTGCAAGAAGGAACTGGCACGGCTGAGAGGAAGCCAAGCAACGGTTCTGATACTAACACTTTAATCGCCGAAAAGACGGTATCTAGACCGCAACCAGTAGCAAACATCGAGATGCAGTCAATGGGACACTTTGGAACCAATGATGTTGGTACACAGTTATCCAACGATATCGAGGCGGGTAAAGGGGGGCACAGTCAGGTTACGTGCTTTGTCGATGTGCTGTTTGCAAAGACAGTAGAGAGCCGTTAAGATGCTTGGTAACATTTCCATATGTTTGTTAGCGTGTACTTTGTATAGTGCGATATATTGCGTATCGTGTTTGTGTTTATGTTCCATTCAAGTCCTCATCGGCAGGGCTTTGGCAGATGGGACTGTTTCTCGAATGGCGTTGGTGTTCCAAAGTAATGGGCGGTCGGATAATATATACCTGTGTGCGGATTTAGCTTTGATACGGATTTGCGACAAAGCAAGCGGCAATAAATTAATTGATAATTTGGTATCGAATATGGCTACCTATGTGATGATGATGCTGTTGCCTAGGGAGGGTTAAAATTACCTTAAGTCCGAACACTCATACAGGCAGACGGAGTATTCTACGGCTATCCGTCACTCATTGGTAATAAGTATGAAGAACTACCCTTATATTTTCGAAGTTTTCTTTTCTGCCATGATGATAGGCAACTTGTTAGTTGCACAGTGAATGTTGTCTGAGTTGTGTCAGATTGTAAGGATAGATGCTGAGGTTAACTTGGAATACCCTACACTACCTACCTATCCATGCGTGATGAAAGAAGCCCTTTCCCCAAGAAATTCCACATTTCCTCCTTAGGTAGTTTAGAAGATTAAACCTTCCGTGAGATTAGTGTACGTAGGGTTAACATTGTTTAGAATTCCATGTTGCTAAGGGGTGCGTGTCACCGAAAGGGATAGGGATATCAAGTCAGCAACAGGTTTCCGGTCACCCCGGGTTAAACTTGTCAAACAACGATTAGACGCAAGAAAGTTCTCGATTAAGGGCGCCTGTCACGGTGTGTCCGATATTGAAGTTGGTGCCACTGGTACTGGTGGCTGCTTGCTTTTATTGATTGTGCTCATCCTAGCTGTGACTACAGACTACGACGGGTAGTGAAGATATCAACGATCACTTCTTTTAAACCAGTATAAGAAATCTTGGAGATGAATGCAAGCAATGTTAAGATTGGCGTAGTCAAGCACGCGACCACCAAGGCAAGCTTGCTTGGCTTTGCCAGCTCGTTGGAGTGGTGAGTTTATTCAGGTCACCATAGACCGACCGAAGACGACAGCAGATCATTTCAGAAGCTTATCTCAGTAGAACATGTCCCAGGAGGTTCCCGCACTACTGCCGGTGATTCATCAGTCTCTGTCTTGCAATGTTGTTTCTCAAACTGTCATGGCAAAGGCGTATTGGAGGGCGGGATGCGGTCAAGGTCGAGTATCATGACCTTTCAACATTTTCACTCAACCGCGTCATCATTTGTCATAGCACAGTGATATAATATCATAATGCTAGTATAGTTGCAATAAATATCCAAGTGTTGATTCAAGTATTGGGCTGCAAACTGCGAATTGATTGACCTAATTCTGTGTAGCTAGTCATTTAATCGCCCACTTTTGCCTTTGATGGACGAGGCATGACATTCCAACGCCTTTCAGATGCGTCTTCTGCTGTGTCTCCTGAGCGTACCTGCTTTCCCGCAGTTATGCCACCTTTGCATTCTTATCATAGGGTGGCGTTTTGTGGAATTCCTCAGTTACGACCCAAAGTACCGACTGATATTGTGGCACAGCAAAGGGCAGCATTTGCTCGAATAGTATAATTCTGTAATGTATGATTTGTAACATTAACGTCTAGATTCCCTCCAGCCGGAGCAGGAAGGGGGTATCATGGCTAACTAGACACAAGAGTCCATCTCTTTCCTTTCTTCGTACCTTCAAATATTAAACCAAAACCAAAAGAAAGGCCGTTATCGTCATCGTAAGACGGACCGCTCAGGGCATGTTTTAGCACCCGTCTAGTCATTTATCGCCTCGTAAAAATGCAATCTCATTGCCCAAACCATCCGGATGAGCGGCCTGGTGCGTACACACAGGGCCAAACAATCACGCACATAAAAAAGATCTCCTTAACCCCATTCCATGATGCAGTTGAACCATAAACCAAAAGATGTTTCCTCAAACGCCATGCCTGCTGTGTGTGGCCATTTTCGTCGATGAAAGGCCGGCATCAAATCCATGTATGCAAGTAATCAAACCAAGGTAGCAAAAACAAATGCGAAGTAAGAAAAGCTCAAGGCTGTTGCTCTCTGGAGAACTCGGCGCCTCAAACGACAGTCTCCATCTTGCTCACGGAAGAAGACGAGCCAACCCTGAAAACACGCTGAAGTAAACTGTGTTTGCTTCCGTTGGCTCGCCTGTAACTGAGAGCAATGGTATCGCAGCCCTCCGTGGAACTGATTGATGCCCGACTAGGGGACGACTGACGTCTTTCAAGCTCAGCGTCCCAGCCGTACATGTCTTCGACGGGAGATGCATATCGAAACGCTCCATCACCCGAAGTTGTCGGGGGACAACAAATATTCTCACTACCGATAGCAGAAATCGGTAGGTAATTGGAGATGTCAGTCAGGGACGGTTTGCTGAGGCTGGCGTTGTTCGCGTAGCAGTCAGTTGAGAGTAGTTGAGGCAGATCCGGCCGATAGGAAGACGCGCATCTGCTCTTCTCTGACTGCATACTGGTTACAAGCTCTGGAGGCTTGTTGAGTCGTCGTCTCATACGTATATCCTTTTGCACGAGAGAAGTCTTCGCACCGATACGAGCGACATCGAATTTTGCGGCCGCGCCATCCCCCAAACCATCATATTTTCGGAGGTCGAGGTTGTGGTACCAACCATCATCTGCTGTATGCACGTTGCTATGCAGAGGGTGACCAAGGTAAGTGCCTTCTGGCTCGAGAGTTTCTTGCGAAATATCATGAGTCCAGTCAGCTCCGTTGGATGATTCAGGTAATGACACGACCTGTGACCCTCATAAAGAGTCGTGATGCATGTGAAACCCTTCAGGAAGGGGATGGGATGACGTAGGGGCAGAACGAGTTCTCGAGCTCTTGCGGTTGAAGCCGAGCTTTGCACCCATCTTCTTCCATCCCTTGTTGTGAGCAGCCACAGCACGTTGGAGACCACCCGGGGAAGTGGTGAAGGTCCATTCAGATGTCGGGGGCGTTGTCGGGGGAGTCATAGGTTCCATGCCCGGAGTTGAGTTGCAGTCGCTATCATCAGTCATGGAGTCGGATTCAGTGTGATGTACAGAGTTCATCGAACGAATTGGTGCACCCATACGAGTGTTGCTGTTCGAGGATCGGCGGGATCCACGGCCGTGGTCCTCAGCAGTTCCATCGAGTTGCATGTGAGCAACAGACTGAAGGAAGGGGAGGAGAAGAGAGTCGTTCATGAGCTCGTAGAGGATTCGACCTGCCTCGTCCAGTTGTGCAGGGTGAGGGGGGGCGGGACCACAAGGAAGTCCAAGCAGTTGATCACGGATACGAGCCGGAAGGTTCACCTCCCGTGGAGCACAAGGGATGATGTAAACCTGCATGAGCTTTTCCCATAAAATGCAGACGCGGTCGTTGCTCTCCTGCGTGTGATTTGAATTGTTCGTAATCATTTCATTATAAAATGCGGCGTATCGTTGTGAGTCGAGCGTGAATTCGAGGCTCTCCATGCAATGGTTCTGGGAAAGGTAGGCCATAAAAGCACTGAGGGTCCATGGTGGTGAGGCAACATCGAGAAGGAGTTCGGTCAAGGATGGGGGTCGGGAACCGATTGGGCCATTTGGTGTAGAAGTTCCTGACATGAAAGCCTCGCTGACAGGTCTTGAGGTAGGTGAGTCGACGTCGAATATGTCCTCGAAGGCGGAGGATGGCTGAGGAGACGGCGGAGGGATGTTGCATCCGAGACGTTCAAGGGATTGCCTCCGCGAACGCGACACGCTCATCATTCTATGAGCAAGGAAGCTTCGGTGCGTCCAAAGCCAGGCCGTAAAACGGTAAATAGATCAAGCAGGAAAACGGACGCGAGTTTTGGAACGTTCCGAGGGGAGGGGATAAGGTCAAGTAATAATAGCGAGACCAGGTGGAGTCGTAGTCAACCAGAGCGGTTAGTAGATGTCCGATCGAGTAAGACTGACACAAATATTCATGTAGTGAAGAGGCGTCTAGTCTAGAAGTAGGGCTACCACAGGATTGATAAGGCCATTAAGGACGATGTATCCTATGAGCTTGTACCTTGATAGAAATTGAAGAGGTAGGCGCTGCAAGGAACGTCCGCAATGGTGACGAAGAATATGTGGAGGAAGGTGGCTCGTTATGGCACCAGTCTACTGAAATGTACCACAAGGCGTAACTCAGTGGAGGAGGTCGGAGGGCGGGCGAGATTGAATAGGGACTGCCAAGATTTGGGGGTCCAAGATCTGTAGAACGGAAGGAAAGTAAGAAATGCCACAGCGGACACGAAGAGTAGCGTGGTTGATGATCGGGCGTGATAGCAAACAAGTCCGTGGGGAGGCTCGTTGAAGTGACGTCTAGTGGACAATCAATCCCAAAGCGGAGGTGTCGCAAGGTAGGCCGGGACCAACGAGTTTGAAAGCGTGAGGGTTGCTAGGTGGCTCCCAATGGGTTGGAATGCGAGGGTCGTGGAAGCGGCGAGCCGGCGAATGTCGTCGTGGACGGATTGCGGATGGTGTCTTATTTCAGTGGACTTGGCACAGAGGAACAGGAGTCTTGAGACGGACGGAGAAGACGAGAGTTCGATGGCGCGCAGCCGGCCGTGAGTCTATCGGGAGAATAGTTGAATGTCTAGAGCGGCAGAGCGTTTGGGCAAGAGACAGGTTGAATCGCAGGAATGCGGACCTGGGGGATTCAAAGTGTAATAAAAGGTCCAGACTCTAGAACCAGGTGTAGGCTGTGGAGGTAGGTAGGTACTTTTAGGACTTGGATGGAAGAGCGAACGAGCGAGTGAACGTGGGTGCGGCGGGCGTACAAGCGGCGCTGGAAAGCGCTAAAAGGTCAGTCAAGGCGGCAGATCTGCTGGTTGGTTGGCTGGTGGGTTGGCTTGGTTCTGGTGGTATTGGGTTTTTGGGGATCTCTGTGAAGAAAAGGAGGGGAAAGTGGTTTACAGTTGAAACAGGACAGGTCCTGGTATGCTCATGCAGTGCTTATACGTACAAGGTAGGAGTATTGGGTCCGAAAGTCAAATAATTGCGACAGAAACCGTGCCTTATTGAGTGCGTCTTGCCGTGAGGAATTAGTTATAATATGTGACAAAGACCAATAGCGTGGGTGTCGTCACTTGTGATGTGCGAAAATAACCCCAAAAGAAGGAAGGCGAATAGGCTGAGCATTGATTGGGGCTGGGGCCAAGCTTGCTTTAAAGAGAACCCTCCCGATGAGAGTTTGCTTTTTTGTTCGCTGTTTCCTTCTGGTAGTGGTTTTTTTTTTCTTTGATTCTTTTCTGGAATAAGTTGGGTAACTACCTAATGAGTGGAGAGAAGGCAAACGGAGACAGAAAACAACCCAGGGTGGAGAAGTCGATGTGGAGATGAGGAGGACAAGAAAGAGGCCGGGATGCAAGACAAGAGCCCATATGAGGTGTGGGCTTAGTAACGACGACGTCAATAACACAACATCTGAACTACGCGGAGGGAGCGAAACCAAACCAAACTAAACCAAACCAAACGATCGGGAGACCTTAGCCGACAGTATTTACATAATTAGCACTGGGAGAACAGCATCAGAAACTCCATTGGAGAAGTGTACTGTACCAATCATGTTGCAGGAAGTGGCTCATCGAACAGTACGAACAACACGGTATTTAGAACCTCTGCATCTGTGCCTGTGCCTGTATCCGTACCTGTTTCCGTCCTGTTACTGTTGCGACACCAGTTGAGTTACAGCGAAGAAAATAAGCCGAGCCTGACACACAACTGGAACAACTGGAGCCAAACAAAGCACAGAGGTGGGCAGGGGAGGGGCCGGAGCCGGGGCCGGCGAGACAAGTTACAGCGAAGAAAAAAAGGTGCAAGGTGGCGGCGACAACGCAACGACGATAGAAGGTGCAAGGAAGGAAGGGGGCAAGGGAACTGCGCCTAGGCACTTAGACACCCTGTCAAAATCACTAACCAATAACCCTTCCCCAATCCTTAAGCCATTGCCTCCACTAACATGATGGATCTTCCTTCTGTACCCCTGTTCAACATCGCATCGGCACAGGCTGTCAGACAACCAGAGAAATCTGTTAACAAGGGGTCACACACACGCGATGTTAGATACTCACAAGGGTTAGATATTTTCAGCCTGGCGTTGAGGCAAAGAAGCCTTTTGGAAGCTCCTTTTCTTTCTCCTTTGAGCAGGGATTTGATCTTTAGATTCTTCGTTGCCGTAGTAGGGTAAAGTTTGCTTTGTTTAACATTACCTTACTCTACTTCGTATAACCGCGGCACAACTTCACACTTAAAGAAATAAACTAATTACAGACAAGTTGAATGAACCGCTAAAGATCACCAAGAACTTTTTATTTAGTATATTTCCTAAAGCATCAAGCCAAGTACTCCGTAGGTATCTAATATTTGTCGGATAAGGACGTCTACCTGACCATCAGGGATACATTCACGGCAATATAAATATACCCATGTAAACAAATGAAGAACCTCCCTTTCCCAACCTGACACAAAAAGGGAGTGAAAAACATGCACCCTAATTCAAACATGCACGTGGTAGACCCTCTGCGGTGTCTCGAAAGGGGAAAAAAGAGAGACGAAAAAGAATCGACTCTCGTTCTTTCTACGAATGTACTAAAATCAGTCACGGACAACGCCGAAGGCTACTAGAGCTGAGATCAGAATTATGTAAGGTGCCCACTAGGTAGGTAGAGACGAAGGCTTGCGCGCTTGTGGGCGGGATCACTGAGTGTGGCAAATTAGTCGGCAGACCATGACACAGTGGCACTAATAACCGGCAATGCAAAACCCTACATTTGGATGTTTGCAACGGGCGATACGTAGACACAACGGAATAAGTTTTTGTCCAAAATAGGCTGGGACGGCAGGGTGATTTAGGTAAGTGGAAAGAGATTATCGACATTGGTAGATTGGTTGGAACGCGGGTTGGGTCAAGATAATCGGCCAGTTGCACTTGCACATCTCCCAGCTTAACTTGAATTGTCTGTCAAACATCCAGCGGACCGACATCAGGTAGCAAATTACGGAGTACACACACCCGCATTACCTAGAGAGAGATCAGGCCAGGCACCCTGATGCGAGATATCGTTAGAAACACGCTAGAAGGAAGAGCATCACGGTAATTCTGGCTAACGATGGAGATTAGTGGAGTGCCTGTTCCCTGATCTGATCTCCTGATGGTCTCTCAAAGCTGTTCTTTCAGACTCGGACTCTTTGTCGGCTCGACCGTATTGGTCACCTGGATGGATAAAGTCCTCCAGATCAAACACGCCATTTCGATGCAAGGCTGTAGATCAGCTCAATAACAACCCGATGCTTTTGAGGTCGAGGTCGAAGGGCAACATGGCGACCAAGGGTCTAAAAGTGACTTGTACTCCATACCTACACCCACGCGCCGATTGGAAAGAAAACAGAGAGTGGAAATTGTTTGCATATGGGGAGTTCATGGCCAGTTACTTAGTTTTGTAGTGCTTGGGGCTTCTTATACTCAATCTACATTTGGCTGTTATTATTAACTATTGTGATACTGAGACTCTACTATCGAGCTTCAGGCTCGATCCCAGGACAGCCTGCCGGAGATTTACACCCCAAGATTAGCCTTAGCCTGATGATCGTCAGTGGGTAAGAGGCGGGATCGTCATCGGCTGGCTACTTGGCCTTGGTTTACGATAACATACCACACTACACAACTGCATGCAGCACAGCACTGCTTTGGGCGGAATCTCTGCGTCGCATCTAAACCCTACAAACAACATGCCCTCCTCTTTCGACTTTGTGACGATAGGCTAGGTTGGTCAACCGGCCACGGCATCCATCTACAGTAAACGTCCTTCAATGCCGAAAAGGTAGTGTGCGGGTCATAACAGCCACTTTCCGCAACACCACTTACCTATCGATAAAGGTGATGCCACTTGGACGGCAAGTCCCATACTATTCCAAGATATTGTCGGTAATTACTGTAACACTTGAATTGTTGACGAACAACCTTGTCACGCGGCACTTGCACGGATCAATCATTCGTCATCAATAGACACTGATGCTGCGAATGCCCACAACCCAAAGACAAAGCCCAATCGACCATCAACGCCAACTTTGGGCCATATGTTTGTCTTTCCCATCACGCCTGACCAAACCAAAGTCGCGGACCTCTTGGCACTGCTTTTGCATCTTGTTTTCCGCAACCGTGCCCAAGATCAACGTCCTTCTTGACCAAGCGTCCTCGGCTCAACGGCTCCTCACGATATGGATCCCATCCATTGTCAGTCAATTGCCGTCGTCAAGTCACAGTTGAGGATGCCAGGGAGGCCCCCTCGCCCCTCCCCGGGCACCAAGCATTGGTGGTTGCCCCACTGTCAGCCCCTGTAGCGAAACAGGCAAGGCCTTACGACTGGACCCCCAATCCTCAAATCCATCTTGGCTTTGCCGCTAAAGAACGGTAGCGCAGCCGATCGCGATGACCACCTCCTGCCACTCCAATTGGTCGTTTTGTCTTCTTTCTTCTGGACGGAGTACACAATAGGCAGTCCGGGTCTCTCAAAACGCCCCACGGGCCAAGAGCACGCACTTGCTTCTGACTCTATTAGTGATCATCATCGGAGTTTTTAAAACAAGCGGGTGCCAGTCCATCTTGACCAGTCAGACTCACCCAATCAATTATATGCACGGAACATTCTAAAAAATAGGATCGACGACGATTACCAGCGATACCGTCTATGGCATTGATCCTCTCGCATAGCGCAGCACAATAAAGTCATCACGACCTCTATTTCCCTGTATATAGTAGTTCAAATCCCAAGGACAGACATGCGTTGCGTGAAAGATGATTGATGATCCTCTACCTTCCTAGCGGAACTGTGATCATCTGGCGAAGCGTGCGCAAAAGCCTCAAACTGCAAGCTGCTGTAGTTACACTACCGTGCAGCACCCCAGCTTTCCACTCTCGGAACAAGGTAAACATTTACGGATACCCATTTGGCATTGAACGAATGCTGAGGCCGGGTAAACACCACGAATAACCGCGCTTAAGCGAGCGATCCTATCGTCAGATGCATCTCGAAGTGAGCAACTATTGTCAACAAAATTCCACCTACCCTTGCAACAACTTGTCAAAAGCCCTCAGCTTTCCCAATTATCTTATGTGTCATTGCTGCATGGTACCTGCGATGTAGTGAGCGTTCAGGCCGGTGACCACAAAAACGTAGGTACATCGGTACGTAGTACCAAGATCATGGGCTGATTGACGACGTCGAAATCCCCGCGTTATATCCGATCCATCAAACATCATCCATGATATCGAAAACACACAATACATCGGCACGCGACGGACCTTGCCTTGACACCCAAATTGTCTTCTCGATTGACTTTGACTGGGTGGACATTTGCCAGCGGAGTCACCTTCTAGGATCAACAAAGGACATGACATTGGATCAGAACAGATCGTGGGGCCTTGCTGACACCCTTCAAGTTGAGCTTTGTCAAGACCAGCTCAGGAGGTTAACAGCATCCTGCTGGGTCTTCGAAGTGAGTTCAATCGCCGTGGTCAAGAAACGATGTCACTCAAACTGATGTAAGACTGGTTCAGTTGTGACCAATATGATGACATCGATCCACGTCTACATACCGGCACCGAAGCTTGCACATTGAGAAAGTGGTCTCTTTTACGAGAGTCTCTTTAGGGGTAAGAAGGTGGAGGCAGTAATTGGAATGTACAATGCCGTCATTCTGACTCCTAACAAACCGAGGTCTGGCATGCCTAGCCTTGTTGAGTTGATGCGTTATGTGGAAAGACACAGGGCTGAGACCCAATCTGCAAACGGACACTACCTAGGGACTCCCTTCGCATGAATCAGCTTTGCTTGTGTATGTATATTTGCTCTATCTCAGAGCAACATGGCTCGCCCCTATCGTCACGCTATTCTCAAGTATCTCTCTGACTTTTGGTCTTCCAGGCCCAGCTCGTATTACCGATGGGATGTCGTTGGCCGTACCCGTAGGCCATCAATAGCAGTATCGATGTACTACACATCAGATATCAGCAATGGCCCTAAGCTATAGGGCCGGAGCCATCGCCTGCCATGAGATCCACGACTACATCACTTTGTATCATCCTTAGGACCCTCTCTTTCCAGGTGTACAGCGATTGTTCCCGATACCTGAGCTTGTGAAGATCGAGACTTCTCGTGCAATGCTACACAGTGAGTGTAAGCGTTTCGGGTAATGCAGGGTGTCATACCTGCACCCCTTCGTTCGAGAGAATGTCACTTGTCGGGTCAACAATCCGCCAAGCAGGCCAACATAGAACACCATCACCATGAACATCACACAATGCACCGCAGGCCTCGCCAACATCCAGATTCACAAGCATGCATGCGTTTCCGACCGCGCTACCACATGTCCACTGTTTATCTTGGCTCACATATTCCGTTGGTGGCTTGCTCTAGAAGCTCAATAGAAGACTAATGGAAGACCTTCCCAAACCCTGGCCGAATGCTTCTAGAAACGATCTTGGGAATGTGTGTTTTGTTCTAGAAGCATTCCAGATTAGGCAAAACGCCCAGGATGACCGTTGACAAGACCCACGCCCACCCTTGATTAGCCCTGGTCACCGGGCACTCACCACTCAACACCAACCGGCCTCGCCGTGTCTCCATCTCTCACCACCAAAGAAAACCTGCCACAATCATCCTACTTGGAAACGCACGACCCTGTCAATGTCCCGGCAATTCTCTTGGTGAACGTAACTAGACCAAGATCGAACCAATTCCGCAGTCTCCCTTGTTGGCGCGTTCGAGAAAACTTTTTCGAAGCTCTGAGGCTTTTACGGATAGAACTATCGATTTTCCTCCCTCAAGATACTCATCCTGGCGGTGTCCGTCTCCAGTTTTGCGACGACACCACCCATGTCGAGAAGCGTCTTCCGCTGCAACGGCCCGGGACTTGACACAGGAATATGGCGCTGAGTCGGCGGCGTGAGTCGAGCAACATACACGGACATCAGAAGAGAACGCCGTCCGAATGGCGTTTCTGAAATAGTCATCTTGCGTCTCGCATTGCTGGCAAAGAAGCTAGATGGCCCCATGGCGCGCGACCTACGGAGTGTAGGTGGACGACACCGAGTCTGCGGTATTTGTTATTGCTATCGTCTCCTCGGCGTTTCGGTTTCCTCCCGCGTCCGGCGAGCATCGGCAGAAGCATCAAAGCAATCGACGATGGCCCATAGGAGGAGCTCCATCTCTTGCCCTTGATCGCTGGCCCTACGTACGTATCTGTACACGAAAGAAGCGGTAAGGTCGACACGGGCCACTTCGTTTCGCACGCCCCATATATGTAAACCATTGTCAAAGGCAATATGACACCTGATATGATGATGTCTCATTCGTCTGCACAATTGGGCACCTACCGCAGAACGAACACACGCTCAGAACAAACAACGAGAAGCATTCTACGTGATGGTCTATACAGGAAGGCCGTTACGGGTGTCACAGGGTATGTCCCCAACAAGTTCCATTTCGCGTGTAGTCTACCTCGTGCATTTCTTGTGGCAAAATTGCTTCCACATCTCGAAAGCGTAGTGGCCTGCGGCTGAGGACCCTGGATCACCACGTGTCTAGTGCCGGCGAACCATAGCTACGGGTATCTTATTCCTAATGGTCTCAACCCGACGTGACCCAACAAGACAAGTAAGCAAGCCCTTCCTGCAAATATTGGCAACTGGTCCAACCTTTGCATGGTTAGCATAGGCATCGGATATGTTAAGGTTTTCGGGCTCGATGGAACGTGGAAGCCAACAGTTTCATACCCACGTCTCCCCTTTGGTCTCGACCTACTTGGCTGGAACCTGGTTGCTAAGACTGTTGGCTGCTTTTCACTTCAGTCTCCTGCTTCCAGGAACCGATTCCCGTTACGATCCTCATTCACGTGCATTTGTGAACGCTGCATAAACCAATGACAAGCGTTAAGGTTTATCTAAGCTTGGTCTCTCTTGAGTTGTTGGTTGGTTAGACGTAGCCTCTATACCCAGGAAAGCTTGTCTATTACCTTAGCTTACTTACCCAGCCAACGCAGTCAAAGCGTGCTTCCTTTCACAGCTATCACGCTGTGGCTGAACAAAACTTCCATTCTTCTCCGTGATGTCCAAGCGTCTGGGCTTGTTGTAAGGCCAGTCTAGTCACATAGAATCAAACAAACTCTCCAACTTTCTTGGTCCTCTCCGCTCTCGCCTGTGGCTGTCTGATCCGCACACCCGCTGAATAACTGGCCTTGGTGATAACTGCGCCATGACAGACAAAGAGGTAAGCGGGTAGGACAGCGCATTGCCTGTTCTAGGCCCGCTCTGTCTGTAGTGGAGAACTGCATCGTAGGCCCGTCATGGTCTTTGAGGCTCTTTCATCCACATTCGCTCGCTGGCTTAAGCGCTGACAGGTTTGTCATTGCATGTAAGAAAACGGGTACTTTTACCGTGCTAGCTCCAGAATAGCAACGGTGTTTGGCTTCATTCGTGGCTTGCACCTCTGTTAAGTTTGTTTCGAGACTGCGCCAAAAGCTTAAGGCATCGTGGCGAGGTATGGTAGAGGCTGGAAAACTGAAGCTTGTCGAAGACTATCAAGCTCCGTATCCCTGGCATTGGAACCGCACTTCCCGAGATGGTGCGTGCTGGACCTTTCTTTACTCCTAGCAGACATAACTATTGGTTTGCTTCATGATGAAATCCTACTCCATATTCATGATCTCACTACGTATACTCCATACCACAAGGACATGATAGTAAACATGAACTAGGATCTTCTAATAGCCCAATCTTTAAATTTGCCATCGCTCATGGCTGGAGACACTGACTTACAACGTTCACTTACTACAGACGTTGGGGCTACATAACTAACCATCCAATCACATATTCAGCAGCCATATTCTCCAGAATATGCTGTCTCTTCTATTCAAGCATGCCGACTACCTAGGTACTCAAACCACTTTGGTGAGGTATAGCCCTCTGCTTCTCATACAATGCCTTAGACAAGCCCAGTGTGCCAGGCTACCATCATTTATGCCCAAAACATGTAAAACGCCAGATGATGCGAAGGCCTAACAAGGCAACTACTTGCTCGTGGTATCTTCCCTTAACACCTTTTCCATTTTCAAAAAACCACCATGCCAACTATGTGCCTGAAACGCCCAGTACAAAAAATCATACATCTTCCATGAGCAATATTAATGCTATCGTTATAATCGCCATGATAACTAGTATACTCGCAAGTCAAAGTCTCCGGTGAAACCACCGTTGAGAAGCACACAGGCGATGCGGATTCGCTGCTGCGGCATGTCGTTTGCAGTATATGAATCGATGGGGTTGAGGCCCAAGGAAACGCACATGGCATTGGTAATGGTGTGGACACCACAGTCGTGGCCGTTATTCTGTAGAGGAGCCTCATGGAGAACGATCTTCCATTCATCCTTCTTGAATTTCTCCTCCAGTACGTCCTTGATCCATGCCATAGCGCGATTGGTATAGGAGGAATTGCCGCCCGAGTGGATAGAGTCCATATGTGCAACAGTTCGCTTAGATGGGCGAATGACAAGTAATGTCCAGTGAGAACGCTCACAAATCGGCAGAAGAATAGTGTCAATGTCAAGGAAATTTCTCTTTTCCACTCCGTATCGTCGAAGGGTTCGCTGAGTCCCTTGTACACCTTGGTCTTGGAGTCGTTTGAAAAAGAAGGAACCTAACGAAAAACATTTACGAGTGTTCTGCTTAACATCCTTGATGCCGGCGGCTGAATTGACAGCTCGGTCGAGCCACAGAAGAGATGCATTGACAATCTCATCATTGAGCCACTCACTCGCAGCCACAACTTTAGCAAAATCGTGTCTTCGCAGATCGACACCCTCCGCGGACTTGGCGAGGGATGCGGAAGGCGCCGCGCGGAGTGTGTTAATTGCCTTTCTATGCCAGTCTGACGAGACAGGCGTAACAAATGTCCGATTAGGCATACGAAGCCCTCCAGATCGGGCGAGGCGTTCCTCAAGCTCCAGGCGTGCCTTCTCCTCAGCCTTCCGTCGTGCTGCCTCTGCAGCTAGGCGAGCCTCTTCTGCGACCTTTCGGGCTGCCTCTTGAATTTTGAACTGAATGCCAGCTTTCGAATCATCACTGATCGGAAGCTTCATAGAGGGGGCAGCGAATAGCTCCTTGATGCGAGCATCAGGGTCAAGTCCATCCTTCTCTTTCAATCGTCGACGGGTATTATTGGTAGAACTGGAAGCAAAAATACTCTCCTTGCGTGGTTGTTCAAGCTCAGTAGTTGAAAGATTGAGCCAACGTCGAGCCCAGTTAGGACGTTGCTCCTGGAAGCCTTCGTTGGGAGGAAGAGCTTCCCCAGTCTGTCTGTCGTAGTTGATCTTCTTAGGCACATCGAGCCCCAAGTGTGTTCGTGGTTTAGGGCTAACCGTACCCTCTACGAAACTCACAGTCTTGGGTCGGCGCGTTATGCCAAGTCGCTTAGGTGTGACTTTCGAGGGGTGCTTCCGCCTGTTCCGCAGAATTGACCGGAGACAGCCAGCGTCGTTTGTGTTGAGAGGAACTTTGGGTTCGAATTCTGTGATATATTTATCTTTGATGATGCGGTGCTGGTTGCTTTCTTCATAAAAGGTCTGGCGGTAATCTTCGGGTGTTATCTGAGCGATACTTTTCTGAGCCAGGTCGACACGAAGGAAGTCTTTCTTGTAGTAATGGGGGCGGGAGATAGTGGGCTGTAGTGATTCTGGCTCTGGTTTCGCTGGCCCCACCTCCGCAGAAGGCTGCTTCATCAACAGCAGGGAGGTTTGTTCCGTTGTAGGTTCTTTGATGAGATCCTTAGGCTCATCGAAATCAGGAAACGATCCAGGGAGCAGAAGATGTGTTTCTAAATCAGTTCGCGGCGGAGTGGGAAACATGGCCTGCAACCTGTCCCGGTACTCCTGAGAGTCAACATAGCTTGGTGCAGGGAGATTGCGAAGGATAGCCTTAATATCGAGCACAATCCGATCCAAAAATGACTGAGAAACCTTCCACTCTCGTTCCCCATGTTTTTGCAAGATATCATTGCAAACAATGAGTAACGCTGGACCGGACAGGAAGTGCTTGATTGATTCCAGGTTTCCGATAAACTCCGGAAATAGCCCGTAGTCCAGTGTAGGCGGGACAAATTCGTGACTGTCTCGAATTCTGATGATAATGCCAATTTCATATATTTTGTCCAAATATTGGAATATGCGCCGAAGCTGCAACGCGAAGATTTCAGCAAAGTCGTAAGCCGGGTTCTTACATAGCACAGCTCGATCGTTGTTGTCAACTATGTTGGTGCTCAGGGGTGCCAGGTCTTTGTTCGCTTCCTCTCGGGTTCCGCGCTCCAGGCATTCCCAAACTTTGGCAAGAGACTTGGAAAAGATTTTGTAGTCTTCCATCAGATTGGTAAGACTATTTCGGTCAACCCAAAGTAGTCCAACATGGCCAGTGCTGCCGACATTTCCAATGGTGGTGTCATCGCTGCTGGCGCTAATCTTGACACGCTTATTGCTGACTTGGTTCTCACTCAGATAGGAGCGAAACTCGGCGATTTGATACGCCTGAGGGCGTACTGTTTGTTCGTTAGCATAACTTGTAGGAGTTGAAATTGGGCTAAAGCCTACTGAGTCTGCTGATCGTTTCACTGATGCCAGTAAAGGCGGAGTAAATGCTAGTTATCATCCTGGTGATGGATCTGGCACTCGATGTAATTCCGAGCATGCGGTTAGAGTTCTGGAGCCAGTCAGTATCGCAACACATAATGATGTTCAACCAAAGGCAATAAACTCACAGGAACCTGCCGGCCAGGTTCGTTATTCGGAACTGTCTCTCCTTTGCGAATGGTAACAATAGGATCTGTGGTATTTGTGATGCCGTTTTCTGCGGCAACAAGTTCGATCTCAGTGTCTTCGGCGCGACGCTTGCGTGTCTGTATGCCATCGACAACAGCAAGTGTATGGTCGGGGATTATCTGTGTCTTCGGAACGTGGGGGTAGGTAGCTTTTGCTCGGGGTTTTCGGTTGAGAAAAGATGAATTGACGGGAGAGTCGGTCTGAACAAATCGATTGTGAAGAACTGGATCCTCGAGGATATCGGTCCGCGGTAGAGGAGAATCAATCAGAAGCCGGGCATTAGGTCGTCTGATTTGTCGAGGAGGGGTGGTAAACGTTATCGGCTTAGGCGATGGCAATTTGCGGATAGCTTTTGTCTGCTTAGAAACGATCCGTAGCTGGCGTCGCTTTTGAGTAGCTTCCAAAAGATACGCGGGCACAGGGCTTCCGTTTTGGTTAGCGGATTGGTGCATAGAAATGCGCGTGTGGAGCGAGAAAGACATGGCGATGACGTGAAGAGAAAAGTTGAAATCAAGTTTAGTAAAGTGCGACGCAGCAAGCTGTATCGCATAAAGTGAAGCAGGTTGCTGGTCCAGCCAAAGAAGCAGTTGCGCGTTGTGAATCGATGTTGAAGGCAAGTCCGGCTGAACCCAGTTTGCGAAATGAGGAAGAGAGATAGAAACGGCAGTCACGACGCGATAGCGGAGAGCATTCGCTCAAAGAACAAATTCGAACAGTGTGGCAGTGACAATGAAGGTAGATACAAAGCGGTGCAGGTGCCAAGCAGTGCCGCCGATTGTAGGAGCGGTGAATCGCCAGATGAAGGAAGAGACGAGGAAATGAAGAAAGTGCTTAAGCAGACGCGGGTTTGTTCTTACAAGGAGTGAAGTTGGATGCTTCCACACAGCAGAGGTGGGTGTGATTCGAAGCTGCAATTGCTGATGATGAAGCCAAGGAGAGGTCAAGGTAGGTCGGTCGGTCGAGTCGGGTCGAATCGAATCAATAAAGTGTACTCCAGGCAGAAAGCTCGGGCCCAGGGCGCGTACATCCGCAGCACACGCGTTGCTGCAGCCACTTCCCTATTAGTGGTATCCTATCCGGATCAGTAAGGTGAGGCCATCGCGAACGCGCAAACCGTTACGCATGGAGTAGGTTTACAGTGGATGAAAAGGTAAAGTCAGGTAAACCCACGGCCAGCGCATTGACAGCTTTTGGATAAGCCCCACTATTGATGATTATCATTGGTCAATCTAGAAGATTTAGCTCGAAAAGTGTAGCATCCTAGCCGTTTTACTATTGGCCAGTAGTTTAAAGAAGGCTGAATATCACTTAAAAGAGACTTGGACACAGCGCTCCCATCAAATCAAATCTCAAATCTGAAAGAGCGAATAAAACGACGTATAGGTAATTGGACATAGAAGTTCTAGCCAGTTATACAGCCGGATTTTTTTGGTTTGGTTTTTGGATTTGATAATTGATTTGATGGGAGCGCTACTGTTGGACATCTGACATGAAGCTCGTCAAAGCTCGTCAAAGTTCGAGACTCGACATCCTCCATATGAAATAATACCTCAGGCTTTCAGGCGTGGAGTGTATCATAGCAGTATAAGATACCTATGCACAGATAGTAAGCATTTGTCTTGGAACATGGTTACTTAATAGCAGTAATCCTATACATCTCTTTGGCTATGTCCTGATGACTCTTATCCTAGAGCACGAAGGCCGATTGGCCTGATTCACGTGAGAACGACAACTTCCATCGCATAGTAATTAAATGTGTCTGCATGTACTTTCGCTAAAAAAGAGTATTCTATATCAAATCAACGCCCCTCAGCAACATATTGGGTTGGCTTCATCCATCTTCAAACACTTCCTGACCGTTCTTACAGCTGCGCCAGAGTAGATCCCAGCTTCTTTGTACAGAAGGATGAGAAATACTCGTTGAGAGCATCCACAGTTCCACTGCCTTCAACAAGATTAACCACAATACCAACATATCCATCTGGTCTCACAACTACCACGCCACCAAGTTCCTCATCCAACCCCATCTTAGCATGGGCTACAGCCTTTGCCTGCGATAATCGAGCATCGGATCGATCATCAGCATAGACGTGATCTCTGTATCGAGCGAGGACCCCAGGCACGTCGCGTGAGATCTCAATGTCGGGCCGCTTTGAGGCAAAGATTGTGCAAAGAGTGAAGAATTGGCTATGAGGGAGATGTTTCTCATGATACGAGACCTTATCAAGGTCAGGGCGTTGGTATGCTGCATAGAAGGATCGCTGACTTCCAAGGTGATTGGCAAAGTCCTTCAGAGCTTGTCGAGTCTTTGATGGAACACCTGCGAAAACGAACAGTCGGAAAGCACCGTTCAAGGGTATTTCCTGCTCTAGATGGACAACGTTGGCGTCGACTACCCTCGTCACATTCGAGTTGATGAAAATACGACCCGTTCGTAATTTTGTACCCTTCGGGTGAATAAGAGTTGACTGAGCAGAATGCTCAGGTGACCAGTTGAAAACATTGGGTTTGTAATAAACTCCATATCCACTGGTGAACTCGCACGACTCTTTGAAAGTGTTGATGAATTCATTTTCTTGGTTGTCATTACCATTGCTGCCATGACTGGCCGACGCAGCCTGCACCTCAGCTGCCGCTGGTGGCCGTTGTGAGAATAGCTTTGCATATCGGTTGTCAAAATCGAGTAGGGATTCCGCGACATGTTTGCGTTCTGTCTCATAGGTCTTGAGAATTTCCCTGTTGGCAAAGCCGGACTCAACAGCGTGGATTTTCCAGGCAAGATTCTGGGCGTCAAGGAATGCGGTGTTCATACCCTGACCGGCCTTGGGCTGTGGTTGCGTTAGCGCATCATGTGGGCAGAGGGATAGCATGGCTTACACTATGGGTGTGGCAGGCATCGCCGCCAAGGAAGACTCGCTGATCCAAGGTGTATTTTTCCGAAATCCCCTGTCCAATGGGGTAGGCAGAGTACCACTCGACGCGCTCCCACTCGATAGAGTATGGCTGCAGGATCTTCTTGGCTGACTCTTGCACTTGCTCCTCGGTGGCTGTTCGCCTAGGGTTCCAATCTGGGTCTGTTGAAGATGCGATTTGAATGTAGAGACGAACCATGTTGTTCTCTCGTGGGATAACCATGATAGAACCATGCTCGCTATGGATAGTGCATTTCATCTGGGGGCAGTCAGTGAGCAGGGTGCAGTTACTAAGAGGATTATGAAGTACTCACCTTGATATCAGGAAAGTCAGTCTTCACTACGCCATCCATTACACCCCAGACGTGAGCAATTGGATCTTTGTGTCGAACAGCAATACCGAGTTGGGTGCGAATGAATGATCTTGCACCCTCGCCACCAAACAGATACTTGGCGTGGATAGTCTCATGTGCTGTACCGTCGACGTGCTCCAGATCTACCGTGACGGGGTAATCAGGGTTGGCTTTCTCGTCAGAGGTAAAACTCTTGATGGTCCATGGCCGCTGGACACTCGCTCCATTCTTCTCGAGGTCTGAGATAAAGACACGCTCAATCAAGCCCTGGTGCAGCAAAGTTGTGAAAGGATAGCGAGCATCAATGAAATCAGGGCAACTAGCCCATGTTCCAGTTCGGGCAATACCCTGTCCCGTTGAAGCTGGGTCCCAAAAGGCAACCTCGTAAACGCGGGCTGGATGGTGAGCCATGATATCTGACTTGAGGCCCATATTACGAAGAAGGTCCAATGAGCGGGGCTGGATGCCATCCGCTCGACCCGTTGGGGTTGGTTCAGCTCTGTTATCAATATGCTTGATTTTGTAACCCCAGCGAGCAAGGCATGTTGAGAGCATCAGGCCAACAGGGCCAGCTCCAACAATGACTAGAGAACAAATGTCAGATCTTAGCAAGTCGACTGTTGCGAATGTGAAACTTACCAATGTCATAGTACGGCGAGCGATCTGATTGCGGTTGAGACATGTTGGGGATTTTACTGGAGGGAGGACTGGTATTTGGAGTGTGAACAACCAAACAATCAATCTGGGGGTGTCGCGTATTATATGCAAATACGACATGATAGTCAGAAATGCCGGGGCCTTGGTCCGGGCAGACCGCAAACCGCAGACCGTCAGCGACCGACAACCTGGTGCGGCTCAGACCCGAGGAGGATCAACGGCATCAGCTTCGGTACGGGATGTGGAGGGCCAGAAAGCGTGTAAAAAGGTCTAGCCAGCGTGGAAGAGATCCGCTACACAACCTGTAGTGAGACGAAAAAGCACTTGTCGTCATGGGGTTCTACTGTCTTGGTGTGGGGGTTTCTGGGGCAAAGAGGAGGCAGGAAATCTAGACTGCCTTTTTGGGAAGCCGGGAGTTGATTTCGGGAAGCCGCCATCGGGTCCGGCTTTTGTCTCGGCTGCAGGGGCTCCGGGGTAAGATATCATGTGTTAGCATCAAGCAGAATTTCTGTGGTTAACGTTAACTGGTAGTAACTGATGCTTAGCTTGCGATGCATGCTTGACCACCGGGTGGATAGCCCTGTGGGTCGTGTGAATGCCGGGCAGTACGCCGAAGATCTATCTCATTTCCCCGAGATCCAATCTACGGATATCTGTGCTTCAATCAACGGCTCGGCTTTATAATTGCCTGTACCTACGGTGAGCACAGTCTGCATGATATGACACAGTTCTGTTGTTGGTCATATAGTGTGTGTGAGACACTTTTCCTTACCACGTGTATTTGCTGTCTCTTCTTTAAAAGTTGGCAGATACGCGTGAACTGTTCCCAATCACTTATCTCATTGGTAGATGTTCGAACATGTTTAAGTTCCGACAACGAGTTAACTAGGAATGGATATAATTTATAATATATAAACTATAATTCTAATATTTTAATAAATTATTTACCTAAAATTATGTCACACCACATAAAGTAGGAGAGTTTATTACAGGTTATGTTATTCTCTAAATTTCACAGGAGAGGAACTCGTCGGAATTTTGTATACCTACTATATAAGGAGCGCAGATGTGACAAAAACGAATAATAAATACGAAGTACTTCTGATGAATCCGTTTACCTACCTAGGTACCTACCTAGGTAGGTTGAGCACAATATTTCTTCATCTCCGCGTACCTAATTAAAAGGGAGTTTTTCAGACATTGGGCTACCCTACACTTGCACAACGTAATGATTCCCATTTTGAACATTTGGCTGTGAGTGTCGGACTCGCATGAGCTACGAGGAGATCGATGATTTGATTGGCATATTAACTATGGTAGCACTGAATCAGTAGCGTCATCTTTCAATGGTTATGTTTCCCTTGAGCGCCTTCCTCCCCAGGTATCAAGGTAGTCGTACACATACAGGTCACGCTACGCCACGCCGCAGACATGCCCCTTCCTCACGACACACACGTTACAGTCATAATGTGGAAGTCTCGACCACGTAACGAATGGAACACTTCGTCAGTTACACACTGAACCTAAGACCATGATCAATCAACCCTTATTCGTGACTTCGAATCCATCGAGGATTACCTCCAGTTTATCGGACTCGACAGAAGGGACGCCCGAAACCTGATAGTACGGGAATGGACGACACATCACAGTTCTACACGAATCCTAACAGAGCTCACTCAGTCAATGTGCCGGGAACATTTGACGAAAACAGTCAGTGAACCCAACTGCATGCGGAAGGAAAATATTGGCTCACAACACAGAAGAATGTCGCAACGTTCTTGTGAGATATTGCGCTCACATCCCTCGCAACTACCAGTATCGTGACGGCATTCGACTGGTTAGAGGTGCGCCCAAGTCAATAACACATTGACTGATATAAAGCAGGTGTTTCTGGTCCTTCGCGATCATCTTGGCGACGAGTTTCTTGGACTTGCAGGAGGCGTGCTTTATGAAATGATAGAAGTTGATTGTCATCATTCAGATGATCCAGGCGCAGCGTTTCAGCGTTGGAGATACGATCACCTGAATAGACATGTGCGAAGAACTGTATCTAGATGCCCAGAAGGGTTCTGACACCAGAGTTAGGCCGACCTTGAGCTTCCGCATGTTCCTCATCTGACGACTGTCACGTCCAACATCATACCGACGAACAACCTGATCAAATGGAGGAAGAGCCATCCTCAAAGATACCGCACACGGCTTTCCGACTATGCACCTACCGCAGCAAGGTCATCCCTTTATCCAAGCGGGATTGGAATACGCAAGAACTGGGTGATAGAACATACCATGTATGTCTCGTCGCGTAACGGAGGCACGCATGCCTTTCGTCAGCTCAAGGCTAGGGAATTTCACGAAATGCAATGGAACGAGAATATTGGCCATAAAGGAAGGCTCATTGGCGAGAAATCGATCGATTTAGGTGAACCGCCGAAATTGTTAATACCAGCAGAGGTGTCAGAGCCACTGAACGAGCAAAGTACACATCATCGACGATCACTCAGCTTGAAGCTCAGAGGACATGAGATGATGACACAAGTCGTACACAAGTTCTTCCAAACAGAAAAGTATACTGGGAGGCACGACAAACAACAAGCCACAGTAGAACGAGATGATTACTCGACGGTACTGGTTCATAACATGTTTCAACAGGGAATGAATCTGCAGGTCAGAGATTGCGAAATACCTAATGCAAATTTTGCACGGAAATTCGGCCTGTTCACAGACAATCGACCGCTTCCACCGTTCATCAGGGAACTACCAGTCGCTGAAGATAAGGCAATGGACATGGCCACTGAGCCGTTGCCAAAAGAATTGATATACTCCTGGAGGTTTCAGGGCCCTTTTACACCCCAGCTCTGGTTTGACAGTGGCATTGACTATAGATGGAAGACTAGCTCTTGCTAGTGCCCTATGATGATTCAACATACAGAAATGTAGATTACAATACAGTTGAGCAGATAATGCAAAGAGTGTGAGCAAACTGCACGAAAAGAGACTAGGTACCTACCCAGGTAGGTATTCAAGGAGGGCAAGACAAAAGCTACGATAATTTGCAGGCCTAAATACTGCTATAAGTTAATACCGTTGGCAGTGCCAGAAATTGGATCGCCAGTATCGCCGTATAATTAACCGCTGACACCTGTTGCCAGCTGGCAAAGGGTTAGAAATCTGCCTTTCAGTATAAGAACCCCAGGTCTCTGATTCATCCACACTTGTGCATATGCTAACCGGCCTTGTTTTGTTTACTTTTCGTCTAGATTCAAATTCTAATTCATACATGGCCTTACACAATTTACCGTGACACTTGCCTCTCAAGGTTTGATCACGACGCTGCTGACAAGTGGCTGTTGTGACTCGAACACCTGGGCTCGATGCAACAAGACGGTTCGAAAAGAGGGCGCAATTCTGACCCTTCAACATCTGTGTTAACGCCTCTGAGAGGGGATTTCTTTGAGCTTTCACCTGGATTCGAGTCAAGAGCCCGTTCGTTATCTCCACGCAAGCGTCTCGTTAAGCAACCGCTTCATATTCGCATGAACTTGACTGAGAGTCAAGTCGACAAGCTCACAGACGCGTATGTATGACATATATTCTGGTACCTTGTTGTACTGACAGCTCTGCAGATTTAGTCAAAAGGTGGAAATCAGCCCTTCAAAGCCAGCAAGGCCCAAGAAGAAGTCTGCAATGGCAACTCCAAGATCAACACCACGAAAGAACAAGTCAACAACTCCTCAGCCCGATGTCTCATACAACTGGGCTCTGGGAGACGATAATAACTCAGGAGTAGACTCTCCGACCTTCTCTGAACTCATGCCTGGTCGATACTCTGACTCTCAAAACGATATGTTCTCATCTAGTATAGCAGAGCGCCGCCAGAGAAACCCCCCTTCTCCTTTGCAGTTGGGGACTGGTCGACGGAGCGGAGTCGGTCCTCGACCAGCCGAGATGGAAGACGTCCCTCAACCGGTCTCTCCGCTTGGCCAGGGACGGTTTGATCGTGGCCCGATCTTTGACGATAATGCCTCTTCTGTTTATTCTGCTCAGCCTACGGCTCTTCCATCGCCGCTTCATCTCAGCCACCTTCGCTCACGATCCAAAGTTGACAACACTGTCGAGAATTCGTACAAGGATTGGTTAATGAACCACGACCCGTCTATGATCAGAGAATCAGCAAGTCACCTAGAGCCTTTGGTCAACAGACCTCGACGCTCGAAGAGCTCAGCCGATGGGTTAAGACAAGCACGAGCCGTCGAAGTGCACTCACCACCGGTCCCCCAGATTATCACCCTGCATGCCAACAACAACAATAACAACAACAACAACCAACCTGTTCAAGACACTCCGCTCTTTTCTCCCCTACAGATGTATTTCAGAGGAACAGACTATCCAAGCGTCAAGAAGGGGGAGAAAGTGATGATTGGGGACAATGGGTGGCTGGAACGGACCGACAATGGCGCGGACCAGGTTTCAAAGGCGCCTCAGAAGAAGACTGGGATACTGGACAGCATCAAGAAGATGGCCAAAGACGTGGTATGTCGAGACAATACAAGAATTTATGCACATACTAACCTGGATATAGGCAGAGCTACATTATAACGCTCGTCGTGTACAGCCTACTACTCGACCTCGTCCACCCTCACAAGTTTCCATCTCGTTAAATGCTAGGGAGCAGAGTCTTCTCTACTGCGAACTCGAGTTCAACCTGAGCACAGCTTTGAACGACTACATCACGGTGCAGCTTGACAAAGGCCGACTTGTGCCTGACAAGCTCAAGAAAGTGGCGGATGCATGGCAGAACAAGGGTCGCCCCAAGGTTGTCGGGTTCCGGTACGATCTTGAGACGCAGCTCGAATTAGTCAACTTACACGCCGATGACTTCCGCTTCTATGGCCGCCGGCAAGCTGACCCTACAGAGATTGGCGGGCTTCTGCATGCCATGAAGGTCAATGCAAGAGCCATGTGCGTCCGCACACTCTGCCAGCCCGACACCGTGATCGCGAAACAGCTGGTTGACGCGCAGTCGGTTTTCAAGATGCTCGGCGTCCCTGATGAGCAGCAGGTTGCTCTTGCTGAGATAGCTCAATTCTTCAAGGTGATTGTTGAGAGGGAGCTAGACAGCCGAGAACGAAGAGATCACAATGGCAGCCAGTGAGCTACGACAAGTAATTATGGCCAGAGTGAGCGAGAATGAATGATTCGTGGAGAAAGGCATTGGACGAAGTACTTTGGCTTTGCTCTAGACCTCTATGCCTTGCTACTTTCGACATATGGAACTGCCTCTAGACACTTTTCGGATACAGAACCGCACCGTTAATGACAGGCTGCAAATATGCCGGTACAATTGTAATTAGTTTGTAAGAATAATGTAGTTTATTTTGATAGTAGACCTCAAGAAAGTGACAGTAACACGTGATATCATAGTGATGGCTCACTGACAAACATGTTTTCATCGCCTAGAAACAGGAGGTAAGAAATGAGTATATAAAAGAGATACTACATAGCAATAGTGAAATAAGAGACGCCAAGTCATTCCTCGTTAGATTGTTTAGAAACAAATACGCCCTATCCCCCCTGATCCAAAACTGGAGCCTTTCCAGTATCCCGCATGGTACTTTAGATGTCAGTCGTAAGGTAACCAGAAATATCACACAATATGAGCAGTCGCGCAAAGTCGCAATGAAATAGAAGAGAATGTGGAGAAAACACCACTACTGGCGATACCGGTTGTCCTCGCTCCTGCGTTGCCGAGGTTCCCGCTCTTCGTACCGCGGATCATCGTAGACAAAGTCGTAGTTCTCCTCATCATCATTATTTTGCGGCAGCGCTCTGCTGCGATCATACCGGTCGCGACTCCGACGATCATCGTTCCGTTCACGCTCCCGCTCCCGCTCCCGCTCCCGCTCCCGCTCCCGCTCCCGCTCCCGCTCCCGCTCCCGATCACCGGATCTCCGTCGCTCATACCGAGGCATCTCCTCCTCGCGCACGTAGCTACGCTCACGCTCCCAGTCTAGATGGCGTTGCCGGTCACGTTCTCGAGAATCCTCTACCCTGTTGGCAAGAACATTGGCTCCAAGGCCACCAGCTACGGCACCGAGAATGGTAGAAACGAGACGAGTGCGGTCTTCGTTCTCGTCCTCATAACCACGAGTCTTGTGCTTGCGGCGTGTCGCAGCCTCGGTCGCTTCTCGAGCAACAAGGCCACCGACAACGGCGCCCAGAAGACCGGCACCAATACCAGATGCAGAGTTGGTGAAGTTTTCATCGACTACATTGCGCGCGCGGGTGATGGGGCTGGGCGAGCGATTTCGGGAGCTACGCCTGTCATCATAGTCTTCATCGTCCGAGGGTGGACGTGAACGGGACCGGCTACGTCGGACCATGGTGGTGTTTGGTGGTACAGAGCGCGGACGGTTCTGAGATTCGGGAGGCTCAAGGGTCATGCGCTCCCGTGGAGGGGGAGGCATACCGCCGTAGTACGGATCATCAAGACGAGATGTTGAGGCATAGGGAGGAGCGCCAGGCGGAGGAGGGCCCTGCTGCTGGGAGTTCGAGTTCGGAGTACCGCCAGAATAGTTATCAGGTGAGAAATCGCGGCGGCGACGAGAGTACTCTTCGTACTCGTAGTGGTCTTTCGACATGACGAAAGGGCGATTATATCTATATAAATGACGGAGAGGCAGTTGAGTTGGAGGAGAGTTTTGGTGTTTGGTGGTTGGTTATTGAGGAGGGGGAAATCCAGATATTATGTGGCTGGATAAAGAGAAGGAGCTGAGAGGCAGGCAGTACCGGCCGGGAAGAAAGTCAGCCTTATGAGAAAACCTCCGTAATGACTGCGACTATAAAACTCCATGACCACAGCAGGTAATGAATGATAGCCTCTGAAGTCACACAAAACAACGTGCAGTAGCGCCAAAACGGAGAAGTGGTCGGTCAAGCTGATGACGTTGTGAAAAGACCCCGCGTGTGGCGAAGCAATCAATCGACTGTTGCACAGCCTCATATTTGACGTTGACGGTAGGTAGCCATGACCAGCGGAAAACTCTCTTGAACTGGAATTGATCAGGTGGTTGAACTCTTTCTTGTGTTACATACAAACGTTTGTTTTGTGGGCGTCTTGTTATATTACTGGGATATCAAAACTTGGCGTTAATCCGGGGCAATGATGAACCCCAGAGTCGAAAGCCAATTATATGAGCTTTGCACAAGTTCAATTAAGTTAAACTTGACCCGGTTTTTAAGTAAACTAGCGGAGAGACGATCTCACCTCCAGTTTTAAGACATTCCAACATCATCTCGTACCAAAAACACCCGACAGTTCAATCCCCGACTTTCAGGTAGGAGTCACCTATGTGTCTCGTGGCTACAGCTTCACAGTATTTCAATATAAAAGTAAAATATAAAAATACACACCTAATCCGAGCAATGTTCACTCACTGCCAGGACGATGAAAGACACAGCAAGCTGGTGACTATTCATTCTGGCGAGTAATTTACTCGGCTTACCTTCAATATATACTCTACCACGCACCATAATAGCTTCGTCTTCCTCCTGGCATATAAATCTTGTCGCAATATAATTTACAACTGTCGCAGTACTGCCAGCTTTGATCTTGCCATGGAATTAAAACCCTTCCAAATAGACCAGAATCAACAAGGCCAAGATCATGAAGTAAAAGGCTCTCCGAGTGCTGTCGAAGCCTCGCCACAGCCTGAGAACACCGATGTTGAGGATTCGCCCAAAGAGCTTGAGCGTTGGAATAGGACTCGACTTAACTCCTATCGTTATTATGCGACCAATCTGTCATTTCTCATAATGGGCATGAATGATGCATCTCTGGGCGTAAGTTATTAAGGCATTCTGAAATCTAGTTGTGGTGCTTGACTGACCAATCTACAGGCTCTGTTACCATATGTATGTGCTTGATTTCTTAACAGCAAGCAACTCTCTGACAATATGTATAGATAGAAACATATTATGGCATCAACTACACCACAGCCTCGACTCTATTCCTTGTACCTGTCGTGGGCTATATCGTTGCTGCTCTCACTAACAACTGGATACACTACACCATGGGCCAACGAGGTGTAGCAATCCTTGGACCTATCTGTCGTCTCGTGGCCTACGTACCCGTGGCATTACACCCACCGTTCCCAGCATTGCCCTGTGTGATGCTGTTCACTGGGTTTGGCAACGGTATCCAAGACAGTGGCTATAATGCTTGGGTCGGAAACATGCACCACGCCAACGAGCTCCTGGGTTTTCTCCACGGCGCCTATGGTCTCGGTGGTACGATTGGCCCGTTGATTGCCTCTGCCATGGTAACCGAAGGCGGCCTCAACTGGTACACATTCTTTTACATCATGATTGGCCTCGTTGTAGTCGAGTTTGTGGTGGGGACTGCTGCATTCTGGAATGCAACCGGGGCAGAGTACCGACAAAGAGTTCAATTCCAACAAGGCAAACATCGTGCAACGACGCGTATGGCCATCAAGAAGTCCATTACTTGGATAGTGGCACTATTTCTCCTGGGGTATGTGGCTGCTGAGGTGAGCCTAGGAGGCTGGATTGTTACCTTCATGCTTCGAGTGCGACACGCCAAACCGTTCCTTGCAGGCTTGACAGTTACACTGTTCTGGCTCGGACTCACATTGGGCCGAGTTGTGTTGGGATTCATCACGGAGAGAATTGGCGAAAAGACGGCGATTTGCGTCTATCTCATGCTCTCTATCGCGTTGGAATTGCTATACTGGCTTGTCCCCAACTTTATCGCTTCTGTCATATTTGTCATGCTCCTTGGATTCTTCCTCGGACCTCTATTTCCTGCTTCTATGGTAGCAGCAACTAAACTTCTACCAGTGGATTATCATATTAGTGCCATTGGTTTTGCAGCGGTAGTTGGAGGTGGAGGAGCCGCCGTAGGACCGTTCGCAGTTGGAGCCATTGCGCAACGGACTGGAGTTCAAGTTCTGCAGCCTATCATAGTAGGACTTCTCGGAGCCATCACTATGATTTGGCTCTTGTTGCCAGGAGGGTTCAAAAAGGGTGGGCTTGAGAGGGCGAGAGAGCAGAAGCTTCAGCCTGGAGGCGATGTGAAGGAGGCTTGGTCATGGGTCAAGACGAAGGTGAGAGGAACACAGTAAACTGATGTCAAATTCATGTAATTAAGCAATGCTTCTTGGTGCAAAATAACGAAAATCATAATAAGAATAATTATTATTATTGTTGTTGATTCCAGAGACTAACAGTTTTGCTTTGGCCCAAATTTAGGAAGTAGGCGACTTAGGTAATCATTAAAACAGTGACTGCATGTGGGTCTCTTCTACCTGGACAAAGCCTCTTTGGTGCCTATAGACTCTTCTTCACTGCAGCCAGCTCAAACATTCAATACACATCCCATAGGGATAAATCACTTCTTCTTTCATCGACCTCTATTCATCACTCAGCATGGCTATTCCCGTGGGACGCACCCTTTTTAAGAAGAAGGAGGGTATTCTCACTCTTACAGGTGATCATCAGCTGGTTACTTGGACTCCAAATTCCGGCGGTCCTCCTACCGTCACGCTCACTATAAGCAACATCACAAGTGAATAACGACAGCCTTTTTTGACAGTAATTTCACACTAACATCGGCCCAGATCTTCAACAAACTCCAGATACTTCACCCAAGGTGATGCTCAAGATCTTCGAAAAGGTTGGAGACGCCGAGCCTGCAACATATCTCTTTCACTTCAACACCGCCGAAGCCAAGGAGGAAGCGAAGACGTTCAAGGACCTTTTGTCGACTCTACTAGCTTCTACTCGAGTTGGAGATGCTGCTGTTGCCAAACCAGCTGGCGCGAGCGGCGGCTCATCAACACCAAACCCAGGCGCTGGTGCTGCTGGCAGTAGTTCAGCCTCGATGGCTTTTGCCAGCGCCGTTAACTCACAGCATGCTTCGTCTTCCCGCTGGTTCGACGACGCGCAACTCAAGAATGATATTGAGCTGCAGCAGTCTTTAATGAGAAAGGACACCAGCCTGCATCAGACCTTCGTTGAAGCAATGCAAACCAAACCCGATTCATTATCAGGAGCCGCGTTCAACTCACAGTTTTGGTCAACACGGACAAATATTCTCCGTGCCCACGCCATCGAGATTAATCAGAAGAAAGGAGCTTATAACGTGCTCTCAACAGTCAAGCCTAAGACGGTTGACGGTGAACTAAAACTCAACATCAGCGTAGAGCAAGTACAGATGATATTCGCACAACACCCTCTGATAAAACGCGTCTATAACGAGAACGTCCCTAAGCTATCCGAGGCAGAATTTTGGTCGCGTTTCTTTCTCAGTAGGCTGTCCAAAAAGCTACGCGGTGAGCGAGTTATCGACAACGACCCCACAGACCCTTTGTTCGACAAATATGACCCTAGCGAGAACACTGTGGCATTTCAGAGCAAGATCATGGCGCAACAGGTGCCGCATATCATCGATATTGAAGCTAATGAGGAGAACCAAGGAGGCTTCAGGAGTGGAAACGCAAAGGACGTTGAGATGCGTCCGAGGGCGAATATTCCCATTGTGAAGACGCTCAACAGTCTCAGTGAGAAGATCATGGCCAATGTTGCACCTTCTGATGTCAACACCGATGATCCCGATGGTGGCTACAACGCCTACATCCAGCTAGCACTACGCGATTTGAAGGGCGATGCTAAGGAGCATCGTATAATGCTCAATGTGAAAGAGCAAAACAAGTTCTTCTCAAAACATGACTCGACACCATCGAAACAAGCTGCTGTATTCGACAAGCAAGCGCCTGGCGATGTTCTATTCGACATATTGGGAGATCTTGAGACTCTTGAGAGTGATGGTGCTGGTGGGATCAATATCCAGGCCGCAATGGGCTTCGACGAACAAAGCGATAGCGACGACGATGCTCCTAAAAGACCACATGTTGGATCACGTTCTGCCCTTCTAGCTGCTGATAAGGACATCATGAAAGGGGTGCGTCAACAACGAGCCCAAAAATACGGACATGATGATGATGCTACTGAACCCATGGGTCTCCCTGTCGAGATTGCCCGCAAATGCAGCCTCACTCATGCGACTACTATCGAGTTCCTTCACCAGTTCTGGAATGCATTCCTCTCAGGCGACCCAGACCGTGCCGGTGAATTACAGTACTTGGCGGAGTCTCTGGGCCGTTCACTTGCACGCATCAACGTTGTGGCGGAGGAAGCCGAAAGAGAACGAGAGGAGATCATACGTAATCGCAAGAAGGAGATTCGTGAATACTTTGAACGCACGGGCAAGAAGATTAGATGGAGATCTGACAACGTGGGAGGTGGAAAGGCTGCAGTGATAGCTCTAATGCAGCTGATCATGAACGCGCTGGAGAAGGCTCAAGCTGATTACTCAAGAGCCCTCGCAGCTGAAGGTATTCAGATATCGACAGAGGCTTGAGTATACTAGGTAGTAATTATTCTAGACGATTATTTGGTGTTCCAACAACTGCAACGCACCTGGTATAGTGATTCTTGTTTCTAGTTCTGCACAGCACACTACTCATAACAGCAGTTCTATGTAGTATAGCCAACCAACCACATTGAGTTGGGGTAGGTAGTTTGCTTAATTATTGGTTAGAAAATGACACACCAGCTAGAAGAAAGCTGGAGTTACTTGCAATTACCTAGTGGTGCGATTTATTACTGATTCTGAAAGGCAATGGCAGTAACTGATAGGGCTAGATGTGAAGATCATGTCATGGAGATCAAATTGCTGACACACTTAAGCAGTTGACAGATGCTGTTTGCTTGATCTGTTCAGATAAAATGTGACTAGGGTCGATTCGTATAATTCTGTGCAGATCATTCTAAGATCACTGCGTTTTGCCAATCTGAGACGAGAAAACATGGGGTTCGTTCAAGCATTTGATGGGTTTGTTTCGAGTGCGATAGCACCTGGTCACGGTTGTGGTCCAAATATGTACTCCGTAATACTACGTGCTAACTCGGGTGTTACTGACGAAGATAACCTCCCGATCTATGAATATCGTCAGGCAGTTGATAAGCACGGTATCTGTTACCCATATCTTGTTTGAATATGACGTACATGAAGGATCAAGTAAATAATTATTTATTTGTGGTGTTTATTTATATGTCGTCTGTAAGTTACTATAATTATCGATTGCTTCCTCAAACGCCCCTGACCGCCTCAAAACTCTTTTCAAAACCGGGAATGAGATGCATGTTCCAGTTCTACCCCAAACTTGACCTTGTGGCGTCGGCTATCGACCCGACTTGTCCCTATTTGAATCACGTAAAACTCCACGATGGTTACCTACCTACCTAGGTACTCCGCAATGTCAGGTCTTTCTCTGGGCTCCCGTGTGCCCCGCGGGAGGAACTTGTAAACATTGCAGAACCTCCTTTAGGCCCAAAACCAGACCGTGCGAAGACGATCCTCCCTTTTCCTGGTCCAGTCCACAAATGCACCACCACCAACAACTACGTAAAACATTAACCCGTCAATAATCATCATATGATTCTCTGTTGGAAGCACCAAATTCTTACATTCTAACACCTCGAAATCGTGGGGAAATACATGAGCGATGGCCCGGTTCAACGGTTGCCGTATGCCAGAAACGTTGCGGTACAGCATTTCCGGGAATTGCCCCAAGACCAAGCATCGCGGTGATCCTCGGTAAAGAAGCCTCAAGTCCCCGAACAGGAACCCCAAAGCCCCGAAAATATCGAAATGTGCCCCAATGACGACTGCCACAAAAGTCCACGATGACCTCGAGAACAGTGTCATGTGGGCTTCCGGACAATCAAGCCCGGTCACCTCTCACCTTGAATTCCTTGACCATTTCCCCCCTGATCACCCCTTGTGGGAGACCCGATAGTGGCTGATCTGCACAGTGTTATGAACACGGAGTTTCGGTGACCATAGCGCTACGGGAGCTCTTGGCCAATGAGATCTCTGATTTCCGACGGCCAGAACCGGGTTTGCCGGGGCGTCATAGTATTTTTACCAGCAGCAGGACATCAAAGGCCAGCACCTGGTTAGCGACTCGCCTCAAGCTCCAGCCAGTCCAGTCCCAGACCCAGAGTTCGTACCTAAACAATTTCTTCTTCTATTCCTCCCCATCCTATCCCGCCTTGTCCAACTATTCCAATTCCTCTCAGTTTTTACTGGGAACCTTTGTCGACTTACTCCGCCGTTCCTTCGAGTCGCGATTAAGCTCGCCGAGGGATGCTTTCCACCCTCTAATTCCTTTACCTCTATATCTGTTGTTCTGTTTCTCCATACACACACAAAACGCCCATCATGTTGAGGAATTCGCTCTGCAGAGCTAGCTCGCAGCTCCTTCGTGGTGCTCGATGCTCTGCTGCCTCTTCTACCGCCTCCATCTCGACCATCTCGGCCCGTACCTCATCATGGAAGCTCGCTGCCTCCCGTCGTCCTCTGGCCGTGGCTGCTCGTCGCACCTATGCGACCAGCGCGACCTCGGCACCTCCCGACCCCAACGATAACTTCCTCTCCGGAAGCACCGCCAGCTACATCGATGAGATGTACATGCAGTGGAGGCAAGATCCTGAGAGCGTCCATGTCTCTTGGCAAATCTACTTCAAGAACATGGAGAGCGGCGAGATGCCCATCTCTCAGGCTTTCCAGCCTCCTCCCAACCTAGTTCCTAACATGACGGGCGGTGTCCCTCGCCTGGCTGGTAACTTGGCCATGGACGATGGCTCCGATGTTACCAACCATCTTAAGGTCCAGCTTCTTGTCCGCGCATACCAATCTCGCGGTCACCACACCGCCAAGATTGATCCTCTCGGTATCCGAGGCACCGACGACGCCAAGGGTTTTGCCAACATCAAGCCCAAGGAGTTGACTCTCGAGCACTACGGATTTGCCGAAAAGGACCTTGACACTGAGTACACCCTCGGCCCTGGTATTCTGCCTCGCTTCAAGCGTGATGGTCGTGACAAGATGACCCTCCGTGAGATTGTCGATGCATGCGAGAGAATCTACTGCGGTTCGTTTGGTGTCGAGTTCATCCACATTCCCGACCGTGACAAGTGCGACTGGCTCCGTGAACGTCTCGAGGTTCCTAACCCCTTCAAATACTCCGTTGACGAGAAACGCCGTGTCCTCGACCGTCTTATCTGGAGTTCCAGCTTCGAGTCTTTCCTGGCTACCAAGTACCCCAACGATAAGCGATTCGGTCTCGAGGGTTGTGAGACCCTTGTCCCTGGTATGAAGGCCCTTATTGACCGCAGTGTCGATTACGGTGTCAAGGATATCGTTATCGGTATGCCCCATCGTGGTCGTCTCAATGTTCTCTCCAACGTCGTCCGAAAGCCCAACGAGTCCATCTTCAGCGAATTCGCCGGTACAACTGGTGGTGAGGATGAGGGCTCCGGTGACGTCAAGTACCATCTTGGTATGAACTTCGAGCGTCCCACACCTTCCGGCAAGCGCGTCCAGCTCTCTCTGGTTGCCAACCCTTCGCATCTCGAAGCCGAGGATCCCGTCGTCCTGGGCAAGACCCGTGCTATCCAGCACTATAACAACGATGAGAAGACTCACCGCACTGCCATGAGTGTCCTCCTCCACGGTGACGCTGCCTTTGCTGCCCAGGGTATCGTCTACGAGTGCCTTGGCTTCCACTCTCTCCCTGCCTTCTCTACTGGTGGCACCATTCACTTGGTCGTCAACAACCAAATCGGTTTCACCACCGATCCTCGTTTCGCCCGATCCACCGCCTACTGTACCGATATCGCCAAGGCCATCGACGCTCCCGTCTTCCACGTCAACGCTGATGATGTCGAGGCTGTCAACTTCGTCTGCCAACTTGCCGCTGACTGGCGTGCCGAGTTCCAGCACGATGTTGTCATTGACCTAAACTGCTACCGAAAGTACGGTCACAACGAGACCGACCAGCCTTCATTTACTCAACCTCTCATGTACAAGCGCATCACCGACAAGGAGCCCCAAATCGATATTTACGTTAACAAGCTTATCGAAGAGGGTTCTTTCAGCAAGGCGGATGTCGACGAGCACAAGCAATGGGTCTGGGGTATGCTCGAGGAGAGCTTCACCAAGTCCAAGGATTACACTCCTACTTCCAAGGAGTGGACTACTTCTGCCTGGAACGGCTTCAAGTCCCCCAAGGAACTGGCCACCGAGGTTCTGGCTACCAACGAGACAAGTGTCAAGGACACCACTCTCGAGCACATTGGTAACGCTATCGGAAGCGTCCCTGAAGGCTTCCACGTTCACCGTAACCTGAAGCGTATCCTAAGCAACCGAACCAAGTCTGTTGTTGAGGGCAAGAACATTGACTTCCCCACTGCTGAGGCTCTGGCCTTTGGTTCCCTTGTCACTGAGGGCTACCACGTCCGTGTCTCCGGTCAGGATGTTGAGCGCGGTACCTTCTCTCAGCGCCACGCTGTCTTCCACGACCAGGAGACCGAGGACACCCACACTCCTCTCCAGCACCTCAGCCAGGACCAAGGCAAGTTCGTCATCTCCAACTCTTCCCTGAGTGAGTTCGGTGCCCTCGGCTTCGAGTATGGTTACTCTCTGTCTTCTCCCCACGCCCTTGTCATGTGGGAGGCTCAATTCGGTGACTTCGCCAACAATGCTCAATGTATCATTGATCAGTTCATTGCCTCCGGTGAGGTCAAGTGGATGCAGCGAACCGGTCTCGTTATGTCTCTGCCCCACGGTTACGATGGTCAGGGCCCTGAGCACTCTTCAGGTCGTCTTGAGCGATACCTCCAACTTAGCAACGAGGATCCCCGAGAGTTCCCTACCGGTGAGAAGCTCGTCCGCCAACATCAGGACTGTAACATGCAGATTGCCTACTTCACCTCTCCTGCCAACCTGTTCCACGCTCTCCGCCGACAGATGCACCGCCAGTACCGCAAGCGTAAGTGAAACTCCTGACCCTGGCTCTTATTTAATACTGACTTTTTTTTTCAGCTCTCATTATCTTCTTCTCTAAGTCTCTTCTCCGCCATCCTCTCTCTCGCAGCAACATCGAGGAGTTCACTGGCGAGGATGCTGGCTTCCAGTGGATCATCCCCGATCCTGAGCATGAGACTGGTGCTATCAAGTCTCCTGACCAGATTGACCGTGTCATTCTCTGCACTGGTCAAGTCTGGGCCGCTCTTCACAAGTACCGATCCGAGAACAAGATCGACAATGTTGCCTTCACTCGCATTGAGCAGCTGAACCCCTTCCCTTGGCAACAGCTTAAGGAGAACCTCGACATGTACCCCAACGCCAAGACAATTGTCTGGTGCCAAGAGGAGCCTCTTAACGCCGGTGCTTGGAGCTTCACCCAGCCCCGCATTGAGACTCTGCTCAACAACACTGAGCACCACACTCGCAAGCACGTCATGTACGCTGGCCGAAACCCCAGCGCCTCTGTCGCCACCGGTCTCAAGAAGGTTCACACCAAGGAGGAGCAAGAGCTTCTTGAGATGGCTTTCACTGTTAAGCAGGATAAGCTCAAGGGCGAGTAAGCAAATGAGACTCAAAGAACAGACTTTAGAAGGGGAATACAACATGGATAGTATGGTATGGTAATCGCATGGCCATTAATCGTTTGGGGGGGAAGAAGTTTAAAGAGCCGCTGGATTTGGGGAGCAACTGAGCTTCTCATGTAAACCACTTGTATCATACCCCTCCTAGACGAAGGACACTTTTGCCCTACATTGATTGGCATGGGCCGGAAACGACATAGCATGATTTTTTATTATTTAAGTGTTCACACTGCTCGTCATTTCATATGTTGTATAGGCGCCTTACTATTGTTGAACTTCGGTTTATATAATGAGATAGGTAATATGAGTATGTGTGAATTTATTATCGTTGTATTCATCTCAATGCTACCTTGGCGCATCGATCTCAACCTGCCACGGCCGCACGATCCCGTCATCGCCCGTCGTAACAAGCATCTCCTCTTCCCCGCGCCGCTCAGAGCCAGCATCATATCTTTGACACCAAGTTACGTGGTTAACCTCGAAGGGCCCATGGGCTCCGGGCTGGGTAGCAACGAGTCTCCATGCCTTCTGCTTGCTTTCCTCGCTATTAGCCATAGGTTGGTCTTGGTCAGATGCTGTGATGTTTTGTTCCGAATCTTCGGCGTACAGGGCTACGACTCCGTCGCTGCCGGTGCTTGCTACAAGCCCTGTCTTCGCACTCCATGCCACGGAGTAGATATCACGAGTATGAACCTTGGGCAAGACAGCTGTGCATGTCCACTCCTCTCGTAGAGACCTCCTCATCGTGTTGGGGATACCGCCCAAGGCACCTGCTGAGCCTGGCGCACCGCTCTCCTCAGCTTCATCCTCCTCCTTCAGTGTCCATACGCGGATGGTGTTATCGGCAGAAAAGGTCAAGAGCCGTGGAAAAAGGTCTCCCTCTCGTGGCTGTGTCTCCCACTGTAAACCCCAGACAGTACCCTCGTGGCCCTCGAGAACTGCGACACACACCCATTCCGCGTCCCCATCCTCGCGCCAGATACGCACCGTGTTATCGTAACTTGCACTTGCTAGAACATCGGATGAGTAGGTACGGCGAGAATTACGACCAGGAACGTCGGGACACCAGGCAACGGCCTTGACGTCTCCCTCATGTTCGTTAAGCACGGCGATTGTCTCCCACTCGTCGTCTTCCTCGGAGGCACCAATATCTTCCCATATCCAAACTGATTTATCGCGCGAGCAAGTAGCGAGGTATGAGCCCGAAGGGCTAAAAGCACAAGACTTGATCTCCGAGTCGTGCCCCTCCAGGACAAGCGTAAACTCCCACTCCTTGTTCGCAAAATCGCCGTCGTCGTCGCTATCGTCATTGTTCCTCCTACGCACGCTCTGCGCTGTTACCTCGACTTCCAAACCACCCTCGCTCTGCTCCTGGCCCTCCCAACGCCATATTCCAGCTGTAGAGTCAAAGCTGCCGGTAACGAGGCAGAGATTGCCGGGTTGCAGATGGGGCTTCCACGCGACGGAGCGGACGGAGCGGGTATGGCCTCCGGTGAGAACGCTGTGGGCGGTGCCAGTCGAGAGAGAGTATACAGTGACGGCCTTGGCGTGGGCTGTAGCGATTAGAGGGAGCGACGGGTGAGGGACTGAGGCCCAGGCGCGTTCATGAAGGTCGGGCTTAAGGGGAGCGAGGGCCGTGATGCGGGCCGAAGTCGGCGCCATGGTGAATGAAGCCGCGAGGGCGGACTAACGATAATACCACAGTTGGCAGTTGTGTTTCAAGTGATGTATTGCAAGATATTTTCGAATTGTGTGTTTTATCAGTCCTTTTATCGTAGTCAAGGTGGTGATGCGACAATAGTTCAAGTTTTTGAGTTGAAATGTTTCCCCTCCTTCGATCAAAAGTTCACAATGGGGTTGATAAGATAGCGAGAACCCCTCCATCGCAAAGTGACGTACTTGTACGTAGTGTGTTAGTTAGTAGTGGAGGAAGTGGCATACTGAGCAGGCTTCACTCCAGTCTCCTTATGGGTATCAAACATTAATTATAGACAGTAGGTGTGCCAAAGTTTTAATAATTTCCTCTATTCTAAATTTTATATATATTTATAGAAATTATTATAAGCTCTTTTAAATCTATATAATTTTATAAAATCTTCTTTTAAGATTATACATAAAGTCTTCTAACTATAATATACTTTATATAATGTATTCTAATAGAACTATCTCTTGTTAGCTTATTATCGTAACTTTTGCACGGAATTGGAATAACAATCTCGCTATTTTGGTCCACCATAAGTGTCTCTTTGGCTCGGCCAAGTCTATGTAGATATGTGCTATACAGTGAAATATCCCCCACGCTATAAAGTACATGGTATACGAAACCCAACCCACGTGAACCCGTTTATGGACTCCGACGTATGCGCACATCCTCAGCATCCGCGAGTTTCTTCTCTGCTCCGACGCCAAAACCCATCATCTTCTTTGTGCCCTTCTTCTTAGCTCCATACTCTTCATCGAACTTGCGAATTTGCTTGAGCGACTGCATATCCTCGCTGATGCTGGCAGGAATTTGAAGCAGAGCCTTGTCAAAGTGATCCTGACGTAATATACGCTTCTTAGGGTATTCGTAAGGCTCGGGCCCCGTGTGCCGTGCAGCTGCCTCGTTCTCTTCCTCTACGGCGGCCATCGCAGCAGCGACACAGGCATTCTTGAGGTCAGATCCTGAGTAGTAAGACGTACGATTGGCAAGTTCGTCGAGCGATACGGCAGGATCAAGCGTTTCGCCCTTCAGAAGGATCTTGAGGATGGCAGTGCGGTCAGGCTGCAGGGGTAGGTCGACAAGAAGACGTCGAGGTAGACGGCGGAGAACAGCGTCATCAAGGTCAAAGGGGCGGTTTGTGGCAACCATGATGAAGGCTTCTGTCTCCTCAAGGCCATCCCACTCCTTCAGAAATTGATTGATGTGTGAGCGGTGTGATGCACGGGCACCGAGCATGCTACGGTTGGCCAGCAGAGAGTCGGCCTCGTCGATAAACACGACACAGGGCGAGATCTTCTTTGCTAGAGTAAAGACAGCACGAATGAGCTTCTCACTCTCACCGACCCATTTGTCGTTGATGGTGGCACCACTGATCTCGAGCATGTTTGCGCCGCTCTCCTTGGCTACGGCCTTTGCGAGCAGGGTCTTTCCTGTACCGGGAGGTCCATACAAGAGACATCCAGGAATCTTGTCCTGGGCCAACACACCATATGAGAAAGCGTCAGGGCGCACCAAGGCCAAAGTTGTGAGCAGCTTGAGCGCAGAGATGGTATCCTTGGGGACATGGACATCTGCAAATGTTGTTCTCAAATTCTGACGATTGATATGGCCTGAGGATATCCGCTTCTCGTATTCATTCATCTTCAAAGCTGCTCGGCCACTGGCTTGTGAGTCTTCACCCTTCTTCTGTAACTCATCCCCCTCTGACTTCCCGTTCTGTTCTGATTCATCAAGATATCGCTGACCCGGTCTTTGTCGTAAGGGACCCATAAGAAGACGCTCGTACACTCCTCCTGGCGCAGCACCTTCTGCTTCTTCTTCATGACGCTTTGCTGCGCATGCGATGTTGTACACTTCTGGTAGAGGGAGAATCGATTTCTTGAGCATTTGAGCCCGCGTATCCGTAGCGTGCATGAAAATCTTCATATGGGCGTCAGAAAAGTCAAGGAGGCGTTGGCTCCCTAATGACTTCAACATGCGGTTGATGTTTTGCACGTTTTCCACAAAGATGTCCGTTTCCTGTATGGGAAAGGGGTTCTCAGAGTTCTGCGAGCCGCCAGACGGCTTGGGTTGCCTCAGAGCGCGGTGAGGGTCAATATGTCGAGAGATGACGAAGTCCCCGGCCGATAGGTCTCGAAGCATATTCTCATACTCATCTGAGGGTTGCGCACTCGATGAAGTCCCCAGAATGGCAACCTTTGAGCCTTGTTGCCAGGCTGCATCCACCAGGTTTCTTATTCTTGTTATCAGCATTGATCCCTCGAGTGTCATGCTAAGCTCCACAAAATCATGAATGTGAATGATAAGCGGTTTCTCGCGGGGTGAGCCATGCTTCAGCTCTGCGGCTTGTGTAATTTGATCCAAAACCTTGTCAACTTTGAGACTCTCCCATTTGCCAAACGGATCATAGCCACCCTGCTTGATCTTTGAGAGTTCATCCTCGAGCGAGCCTGCGGCTGCGCGGATATTGATCACGCCCGTATCAGGGTCATTGTCCTCCTCCTCCGGTCGTGACGCAACGTCAGGGTCCCTGTAAAGCTTTCCATTCATCTCTGCAGCCCGGAATCCCATGTTGGAGAGAGATCCTCGAGAGTACGCCCAGTCCTGGTCGAGATAGCCTCCTACTACAACAGACAGATCTTGCGCATTCAGTCGCACCAAATCAGCATCGTTGAAATAGGCAGCATGTTCTGCAACAGCTTCTGATATAGCTTGCCCGCTGTAACCAGATATTGATAAGATGGTTATTTGGCGCTTGAGGTTTTTTGACTCCGAGTCAGGAGGGGCTGGCGTTGTCAACTCACGACGGAGAGCTGATCGAATAGAGGAAAAGGTAAGAATGGGTAGGTCCGCAATAGCCTGGGACAATGAGTGGTCAAGTCTCCAATCGTAGTCCAGAATGCTGTCGAGAGCAGTTTGGACTGACAAAAACTGGTCGCGAAACTCTTGAGTCTGACGATCAAAGTCCTTGTAATAGTGCCACCACCAGAATGGGCGTGAAGTATATGTGTATTCTGCATGGCGGGCAGGATAAAGCGAATCCGTCAAGTGCCATGCCGAGTCGAGTAGCATATCGTAGACGCGAGTGAGGCTCGCTAGCTTATTAATAAGCTCGTCAGTTTCGCAAGAATTGGGCTCGATAGCGGCGACCTCTTTGGCGCGGTCCTCGACCTTCTCAATCAAAGCATTAAGTGTCGTGTCGAAATAGTCTTCAAGTGCCTTGTTGGATTCCGTCACTCGAGTGTTCTTTTCGGCCGATTGAGGATCAACAAAGATAGATGACGTCTTGGGTTGTTTGGCGTCTTCGGCGAGGGCAATTGGGAGCTGCGGTCTCCTCCATGCATCGTGAAGAGTAACGTTGTTATCGAGGAAGTCTTGTGGGAGCTTGACGGGGGGTAGTGCGGGAGCAGCATTTTTGCGAGCTATTCTGCTCTTCAACGAACTCGAGGCTCGAACCCGTGAACGGCCTGGTGAGTTTTCGGTTCCATTTTGTGGTTGTACATCTTCTTCCTCAGCAGCTGCCGACTGACTCGGTGGCTTGTCACCATTGTTTGCGCCTGAGCCCGCCCCTGCACCTGCACTTGCACCTGTATTCCGCCAGCTGGATGATGTCTGAAACGATCGATATAGTGTTCGGGACCGGGCTGGGGTTCTGTATCTGGTGGCGACGATGGCAGGATGTAGCAGGGCGCGAAGCCCTGTCAGTTGCATCCGGGCGAGTTCTTGAAGGTAGCGACCGAGAGGGCGAGATTGACAATTGTGGTGATTTGCAGGTTCAACGTCGCGAGGCTCTCGATAAGCCCTTCCCTGTCCAACAATTTCCCCAAAAACCGTTCCGTTCAAAACGGGAGCGGAGTTAGTCAGTCGGCCGAATCCCGGTCCAATACCGGGTCCGGGTTGTTCAAGTTTACTATAGTAGGTGTGCAAAAGTTCTGACAATTTTCTCTATTCTATATTTTATAGAGATTATATAAATTATTAAAAGCTATTCTTAATTTATATAATTTTATATAATATCCTTCTAAGATCATATATAGAGTTTTTTTAATTTAATATATTTAGTATAATCTATTCTAATCTAATTATCTCTTATTGGCTTATTGTCGGAGCTCTTATACGGAACTGTAACATTAGCTTATTTTTATTTCGTTATTGGACTCTGAGGAATTTGGTCTGTTGGTTTTCCAGACCGGAGTTGATACATAAATGGTTCTGTTTGATCTGACAACGAGGTACTCGAAAGCATCTTGTTATAGGTACTAAGTATAGGGTACTCTGAGGTTCCTCCTCTGGAAGTAGAGACCCGTGTAAGTGAATTGGTTTTTACGGGGAGTAGACCGAGTCGACCATCTATCAATATACTACTACGATACGTAGTACTAAAAAGACATACTCTGTTAACGTATGACCGTGCTCTACATGGCGTCGAGAATCACGGAACCCAATACAAACTACTCTGTATTCGTTGCTTGCTGATTGCGAGGCACTGTAGAGTCACGAATGCCACCTGGTTCATGCGTCATCCGATGACGGATTAGAGATAGGACGAGCACTTGAACACTGCATACGGACAAGATATAGACTTATCTCGCTAGTGATAGGCTACCAATTATGTCTTGGCGGCAATAGAGGTTCTTCCCCTGTCGCTCAGGATAAACGTCAACCGATCTCCACAAACTGGGCTGAGCCGATGGAAGCGTGCGTAAGATGCTCCAGGGAGATTACCGCCTGGGTATAAGGCTTCGTCAACTTAGCCGTTTCTGCAAAAGGGTTGGGACTGGTCCATTTCATTGTGAAAGTGCGTTCATAATTATGGTCAAAAGACACGGCAACGGGCTTTGAACTTGCTGCGAGTAGACTGCCATAGAAATTTGATTTCGCTGTATACTCTTGGACTTTTCATGCATGGACATCTGCCATTAGCATCCCCAAGTCTTTGTTACTCGTTATTGGAATCTTTGTTCCGTAAACTGTATCTGTTTGTAGTCCCGTGCAAAGCCGGCTGCAACCAGTTAGCACTACCCCGTAGGTAGGCACCTCATTTACCTTATTCTGCGGTGCCCCTGCTGAAGGATCTCTTGTCATCATAGACTGTAGGCGTCATCCACTCACAACTCTTACAACGCTGCTGCTAGGCCTTGTTGGCATGACCCTGGCGTCTGAGACAGCACACGCGGGGTTTCCGCTCTGCCATCCATTGTTAGCAACGCCTAGTCATCAGGAATAGGCTCAGCAAAGTAAAGCACAGCCCATCCCGGCTTAATTTCTTCCTATCTGCCGCAGAGCTAATTGTTCCTTCATAGCCATGCTATAATCTCTGCAACTCCTTCATATTACACACGTTGTCCATACGCGCCAACCATGGATAGCCCTCAATCGTCCCCAGAACAACCTCAACAGGATAGCCCGGAAGGATCGCCGCCTAACTATGATAAGCCCTATCACTCTAAACGGCCTCACAAGAAGTCGCGAGCAGGATGTCGCAACTGTAAAGTCCGCAAGGTTAAATGTGACGAGGCGCGTCCCGTCTGTCGATCTTGCAAACTACGCAAGGCTGATTGCGTATACCCGAGTCCTGCATCTGCAGCCTCAACTACTCCTTCATCCAGAAACATCACCAAGACAACTCCTCGGGCTTCCTCTGAGGCCCGTATCACTAGTCAAACGGCTCCTTCACCCATCTCAATACCTTCCAGAGATGAGTCTGTGGAGGAGATCGGGCCCTTGACGGTTCAGCCGCTATTTCGACCTATGCCCATGGATGGGACAGATATGAAGCTTCTTTGGTTTTACACCAGCTCAACATGCACATCATTCTCGGTTGATGAGGGACCCCGGAACCCTATCAACGATGTCCTCAGAAACCGCATGGTTCAGGTCGCGTTCGATAATCCTTTCCTCATGGACACTTTATTCGGCCTAGCAAGTCTTCACATGCAGAGCCTTGAGCTGAGCCAGGATGTAGCTCGCGCTTTCTCATACCGCGCCCGATCCTTCGAGGGCTATCGTCTGGCTGTTGAAAGAGCCCAGCCCGAGACGTTCCCAGCTCTACTGGCAAACTCTCTATTACTCACTGCTCTCTCTTCGCAAAACTTCCGCGATAAAGATGGTAAGAAGCTTTACTTAATCGACTGGATGATCGTGTGGCGAGGAATCGGCCTTGTTATTGACCTCATGGGTATTGAAAAACTGCTTGATTCAGGCCTTTACCCTCTCTTCAATCGACCACCAGTCGACATTGAACAGGCTACAAATTATATTCCCATAAATCTTCTCTCAATGATCAGTTCGATCGACCCTACCGACCCAGATTATCTTTATGCAGAAACCTACTACGAAACGCTTCAATTCCTGGGCTCGCTTTACCAAAATTTACATGACGGCTTTGCACCCTCTATGATGCTACGTATAATCACCTGGTTCACGTTTGTCCCCAGAGACTTTGTTCAGCTCTCGCGTGAGCTACGTCCTCGTGCTCTAGTCATTCTTGCCTACTACGCTGCCTTTCTCAAGCTGCCAGTAGATGTCTGGTGGTTGAAGAATGTCGGGGATCGCTCATTACAAGATCTTTGCGAGTATATTGGACCGGAATGGCAACAGTACCTACTCGTCCCCCACATGGCACGGCTTGTCGAGGGGGAGCATGAGATAGCAAAAGTATTGTTTGAAGACCCCAACTGGTCGCCTAGAACACCCAACAGCCTCCGACTAGACCCCTCGGCTTCTGTCAGTCTCGTCGACGAGATGGGGAGGCGTGTTGAATGGAGACCCGCCGAGATGAAACTTGTGCTTGTTGATGGGAGAGACGACATATCTTCAAAGGCACAGGCTGCGGAAAAATGGAGGAAGGAGATGGATGCTGATTTCTCTCTAAACAATGATCGAAATTAGCGAGATGTTGACATGAATTATGGAAGTTTGGCTAAAGTGTAGGATATTTTGGAAACAATGTTGGCTGGTGCGTTTGAAAACACCACCAGATTGTCAGGCTGCACGACAAATATAGGGACAAGCAAAATCTGCCTGAACAACCCTTATAGCAAGCAGCTGGAGCCTAGGAAGGGATTGATCTATAAATTTAGGACCTTTCCCATCAGTTATCTTAGCTTTATCATCAGTTAAGACCTATGCCTTTTCTTCTGATCTTTGCTCTGTCCGACTCCAGTTAGAGGCAGGGCAGTGAATCTTGGAAAGTAAATTACTATATACCCACGAGATTTCAAGGTCTCCTTCCTCTTCCAAACAATAGACAATTCAGAAAAGAATTCCAGCTCCTCGAGTGTGAGTTATGGGGCTCGCTTCTCTTGAGTATTCCCCTCTTCTCCTTTTTTTTCTTTCTTTCTTTCTTTCTTTTTCACCATTTATCATTCCAAGCTGCCGGAAACATAGAGGACTTCAATATATCAGAATATAAATGCTGGTCTTCCCTTAAATCATGAGTAGCGAGATGCTAACTTGGTTATGAGTTAGTGTTTCAGCCCCAACGTCAATAGTTATATCCGTACCTATACCTTGAATACCTGGACGAGACGATACAGTGAATCATACATACAGTTGCCTACAGTTGCCTACAGTTGCCTACAGCTGCCTACAGCTGCCTACAGCTGCCTACAGATACCTACCTGTGAATGACAGATGCCGACCTGTGAATGAAGGAGTGTGAGTCATAGAGATCACTCCAGATCACTCCTCTCAGGTATAAATATCCCCCTCCCCCCCCCTCTCTCCTCTCTCCTTTCTTCCTTCTTCATCTTCTATCATCGCGAGCATGGAAGACTTCAACATATCCGATGTCCCATTTGGGGCCCAATGCCCCTCGTCACGAGCAGGAGATCCGCTTGTGGTAGGAATATTCCTACAGCGAGCATGCAACCGATACGACTTCAAGATCTCCAACAAGTTCAAACCGAACACCTCCAGGCAGCGGATCATCGGCATGACAGGAACTGGAATGCCTGTTATGTCCCAAATGGCCAACCAGCTCAAAACTCACCCAAATCACAACCCCGAGGCACAATGGCAATTCTTCTGGCAGCATCTAACACATGTGCCAGCGGGTTCCGCAACACCCACAAAATACATTGTACCATTCGCAACTCTCTTCCAGGAAGAGAGGCTAAAAGACCTCAAATTGGCCATCATTGATGCCCATTTGGGCCCAGTACTCAACTCTACTGATCTGAAAGAGAGACTCGATAAAAAAAAAAGTCAAAGAAGAGAAATCGTGGGTAGCTCTCACAGAACATGGCCTGACAGCTTCGCACATGGAAAGCCATCCCCTTGACGGTATTCTGGCATTTCAAGACTATCCGTCGACAACCACGCGATTGAACAGACTGATCCCATTGGAGACCCAGGTTTCCTCGCCGACAAGCCCGTATACTAAGCTATCATTTACTTCGTTTGCTTTTCCGGTCTTCAGGATGGATAAGGAGCTAGCTTCAGATGACGCCTAGAAGGCAGCTGGCGATTTCCAAAAGAAGAACCCAACAACTTTTATCACCAAACAGCAGATCATTTACGCTGCCACTCTTTGGTTCTGGATTGAGAAAGACGAGGGGCGACGAGCAGAACTAACAAGGGTGACTGGCCAGAAGAACAAGACGATGAAGGTCCCTCCTGTTCGACTAGGCGCTTTTATCGCCTACTTTCCGGCCTGGCTGAAGTTCCATGAGCTATTCCGCCTTGGCGCTTACGGACACCCTTACGACTTCATCAGCGCAAATTACACAAAAGATCTAGAGGTATCTCAATCATACTTGGTCAAGGGCAACAATTGGGAAGAGGAATTTAAGGAACTCAAGGACTTTGAGGAGCAACCTTGTGCATTTCTTACTCCAGCTATGCAAGATGGGTCTGCTCTTGGTGGACCCTTTTTGCCTGACAATGGATTTTCATTATCCCAAATCCATGAGATGATGCATCTTGGATCCATCTGGTCGATTGGTCTCCCTACTATGCCCGCCAGATTGCCTGTGAAGCATGCAGGAGACAAAGAGAGGTGTTGCTATGCTGCTATAGCATTTCCTGATCACTGGAAACATGACCTTCCAGACGCCTTCATCTCTGAAGACAGTCTCTCGGATCCCGAGTTTTGCACCATGTCGAAGGTCGTTCTTCCTCTTGGCGATACAGTGCCTATCATGTCCATGGATATGCATGATAGGCTTGACAGCAACCAAGGTATTGTTCATATTGGGGCTAAGATTGGGGCCTCTGTAACCCTGGTTGGACAACCCATCTCCCTTCCAAGGGCAATGTCATACTTTGCCCAACATTCAAGAGCCACACAGCATGTTCGCCATTAGACAGCCGCGTCTTGCTGATGAGACACGACCTCTCAAGGAAATCTATCTTGGACACAGCCGACATGATGCTGAAAACTCGCTTTCTGGACTCAGTCAGTAACAAAATTTCATTTGGCTCGTCGCCACCCTTGACGAACATCAGCCCAACACTGTTGGCTAAATGGGATATGCAAATGACTGCACGTAACCAATTCGTGTCACGCGGCTCCCAGAAAGACCCCAAATCTGGCCAGGATGGCACTGGGGAAACCTTGATTCTCGATCGAATGACTTTGAAGCGCAGGATGGAGACTGACCTGTACGAGCCCAACAAGAAGATGCGCCACTCTGTTGACATTGACATGTCGTAGCTATCTAGATAGAGTGCTGCCGAGTACACCAAAATGGTCAACACCGAGGTTTTCCGCCTTGCTGGTAGGGCGGGTTTGATTAACCCCTTTCATTTCGACATCAAGAAGGACGGCATTGTTTCTCTCACCGATATTGCATTGCGAAAGGTCAATGCAGCCGAGAAGGCCGCTGAACTATCCACCCAGCTTCGAAACATACTACATGAGTTCAATCTTTGGGATCAGGGGCACCGGTCCGTCAAACCTCTTCGTGATGGGCTATCCGATGCAAAGACCATGTCCCCAGGAAACATGTATGAATGCCTCACAGAAGTCATGGTAGCCGTCAAGGAGGACTTGAGCGCCTTTGATGACGCACTTAAAGCTGTCGAACACTACGATCGGGGTTATGCCACGCATGAGCTCTTGGTACCTCTGTCTATACACGGCCGAAAGCTGTACGTCGACTACAAAACTGGACGGTTCAGCGGCGAATCAATCATCAAATGGGGTACAATGACAGATTTCTACAAGCCCCGACGTGACGTTCTCAATTACTTTGGGAAGCTATCAGCCGGATACCATCGATTAATTGGCTTCCGTGAAGTCATTGAACGCGAAGCGCAAATCCCAGATCACCCGGTGGCGCCAGAGGATACTAATAACCACGACAACTTGTTGGGAGAACATGCCCATGTCCAATGAGCTGATGCTGCAGATCTCCAGTGGTGGTGGACAGGGAAATAATGAGAGGCCTCGAAAGGCATCAATTTGGCCTGCATCAAGACCAGGATGAGCTTCTAACGTTAGCAGTTACAACTATCCAAGTTTAGTCGACTGCTAGCAAATAATGTTTACATTCTCAAGCTTTAATTGACCTTTTACTGTGACTTTGAATCTGTAATAGACGGCAAGGCTACACCTATGTCCTATAACATAAAAGTATGTATGTAACATTAGAGCTACCATCACCTGGTTATATAATCTTGGGAAAAGATTATTTAAAGCTGTATAAATTAAATAGAGATTACCATAATTTATATAATCTTTAGATTAGAATTATATAAATTAAGGAAAACTTGGTATAATTTCTTTTTTTACATAAAATTATATAAAACTTGATAAACTAGGTAAGACTTATTATAAGTTGTATAATCTTGTATAAACCTCCAGAGGAAGATGTCGGCACTTTTGCACGCCTGCTGGTGTAGTAGCAAATATTAACGTCTTGCATTTAGGAGCACTCCTAGAGTGCATGGTCACTTGTCACTTTCAATTTCAGTCGTGGAAGATCACTTCAGTAAAAAAGAAAAGCTTGATATGGCTACAAGAGGAATTTTGTTGATTTCTTGGTACACAGCTCACAAAAGAGACTTCATGGAGCTTATGAGAAACCTCTCCGGACCTTTGTTCCTCTTCTCTATACACAGGTCCTCAGTTCTCTCCTCCCGTCTCCCGCGGCATTAACTTAAATACTTAAATCCCTTACTGGCCCTCGAGCTCAGCAAGAATCTTCTCACCCTTGGCCTTGGCGGAGGCAAAGTCACCAACCATGTAGAAGGCACCCTCGGGAAGGCTGTCACCCTCACCGTTAAGGATGGCCTTGAAAGAGTTGATGGTCTCCTTAAGGTCAACGAGCTTACCCTCGATACCAGTGAAAACCTGGGCAACAGTGAAAGGCTGGCTCAGGAAACGCTGGATCTTACGGGCACGCTCGACAGTAAGCTTGTCGGCCTCAGACAACTCGTCCATACCCAGAATAGCAATGATATCCTGGAGAGACTTGTACTCCTGGAGGATCTGCTGAACGCGAGAAGCGATGTCGTAATGCTCCTGACCGACAACTCGGGGGTCCAACATACGGGACTTAGAGTCGAGAGGGTCGACAGCGGGATAGATACCCAACTCGGAGATACCACGGGACAAGACAGTGGTGGCGTCCAAATGGGCGAAGGTGGTGGCAGGAGCGGGATCAGTCAAATCGTCAGCAGGGACGTAGACGGCCTGGACGGAGGTAATGGAACCCTTGGTGGTGGTGGTAATACGCTCTTGCATACCACCCATATCGACGGCGAGAGTGGGCTGGTAACCGACGGCAGAGGGAATACGACCTAGAAGGGCAGACACCTCGGAACCGGCCTGAGTGAATCGGAAAATGTTATCAATGAAGAGAAGCACATCCTGACCTTCAGCATCGCGAAAATATTCGGCTACAGTTAACTACAGCACATAAGTTAGCTATTCATCCAAGAGAAGTAGTTTACAGTTAATCATGATCGAGTATAAGCGGATGCTTGTGTGTCGAGGGGTTGAAGGGGGCGGGGGCCGGGGGGCGGGGGGCGGGTTTGGCCAAAATGCTGTAACAAAAAGGGAAGGAACTTTACTAACCCCAGTAAGAGCGACACGGGCACGAGCTCCAGGGGGCTCGTTCATCTGACCGAAAACCAGGGCGACCTTGGACTCGCCATCAAGCTGAATGACGGAGGTCTCCTGCATTTCGTGGTACAGATCGTTACCCTCACGGGTACGCTCACCGACACCGGTGAAGACGGAGTAACCACCGTGAGCCTTGGCGATGTTGTTGATGAGCTCCTGAATGAACACAGTCTTTCCGACACCGGCACCACCAAAGAGACCAATCTTTCCACCACGGGCGTAGGGAGCAAGAAGATCGACAACCTTGATACCAGTGACGAGGACCTCGGCAGAGGTGGACTGCTCAACAAACTCGGGGGCTTCGGCGTGAATAGGAAGGCGCTTGTCAGTCTTGATAGGACCACGCTCGTCAATGGGGTCACCAGTGACGTTCATGATACGGCCAAGAGTCGCGGGGCCGACGGGAATAGTGATGGGAGCACCGGTGTCATGGGCGGCAGCACCTCGGACGAGACCCTCAGTACCTAGAAACTTCGTTAGGGGCTTGCGTTGAAGAAAATACAAAGCGATAATGACATACCGTCCATGGCAATGCAACGGACGACGTTCTCACCCAGATGTTGCTGTGTGGTGTTAGAATTGACTAGTAAAATGAGGCAATTGAATGTGCACGTACGGAGACCTCGAGAACAAGCTTCTGACCATTGTTCTCAGTCTCGACAGAGTTGAGAATGGCAGGGAGCTTAGCGCCATCGAACTTGACTGTGATATTATCAGTAACGGCTCGTATTGTCGTAACAGACTCCTCGAGAGCCTGGAGTAGATGATTGACTAACCGTCGACAACGGCACCGATGACCTGCGAACACTCGGGTTAGTACGGAGTCTTGTGTGCAAATCGGTATCGCCCGGGCGACCGGAGTGCAATCGGGAACGGTTCCTTCTCACCTGATGAATCTTTCCGGCGCCAGCATTGGCAGTGCTCGCCCATCGGCTGGAGATGGGGAGTCGGAGGGCTGAAGGTCGGAGGGCACGTCGAGGAAGGACGGCCGGGCGAGCCGCGCGGGCGAAGGAGGAAATGCCGCTGCCGAGGGAAAAACACGATGGTCAGCTCAATTGGGCTTCAATTGCGGCGGAAAAGTCGTCGAAAAAAACATCGACAGTCGCTTCGGCGATCGAAACTCACCTCTTGAACATCTTGCCAGATGACAAAGAGCGATCAGATATGGGAGTGGAGAGAGGGTTGGTTGAAGCTGAGGGAGAACTTTTACGGGAGGTGAGCAGTTTTGCTCGGGAGGACGACTTGGTCGGTTAGAGCTTTCGTCGAGAGTCACGTGCAGCGCTAGCCCGAAATTATAATTGGTCCCACTGGGGAAGATGCGATGCCGGCAATTTCCCGGGATGGACATGACGGGATTATTCGCACGCCTTCCAGACAGAGATCGGTGGCCTCGTCAGAGAGCCATTCAGAGCCTGGCATTTTTGGGTCCAGCCCAGCGCCGTCCAACAGCGACAGCGGAGAGATGCCTGAGGGGAACGTCACAGAGTCCTTATTCCTTAGGCCTGCAGGCATTAACGGCTAGGACTGATCCATTCCATGATACTGGCGATTGGCCAGGGTCAATAATCGACCCTAGAAAGAAACCAGACCAGGAGCTTCGAACATAAACTAGATACCATAGGCTATTTTTATTGTTTTCAATTCAACATGTCCATAATCTTGCAGAATGATACTTCATGCACCAGATGATGCTTCAGACGGGGAAGATGCAAGGCAGAGCGGGGAAAGTAACACTGGCCTTGCTTGGTTTGGCTGCGTACTGTCAGAGTTGGTGTTGGAAGCTCGAGATGGATTGGCTAAAGAAGAGACAAAGTCACAATACAACCTCTATGGCACAGCTTAAGTGTGACACGCCAGGCTCAATGATAAAGACTTCGTCACTGATCTTGATTGAGCACAAGTATCAGTACTTGTTTGAAGCTATCACTAGAATAAACGATTCTCTTGTTCTACGTAGTATGCAACGGTGCTCTCATCAAGAACTGCCTGCTGTCAGTCAATTCAAGACACTTTCTGGGGCAACGAGTCGGGTAGATTCAAGGATCTCCATCTTGCATCCCTACAGTGTCTAATCCCCATTGGTGCAAGCGCTAACCCCTCCCAGATGTCCCTGTTGCCACCCAATCACGAGGGGCAATTCCCAGTCCCAAGTTTTACAGTTGACCCAGTTAACTTTTGGCTCTCAGAATTGCCAATTGTTCTCTTTTTCAACGGGCGTTTTTTTTCTGTTTCCCCTTGTTACCCCCCATTTGTTATCCCCCCAGCTCAATCTCAACAACGCAAGCCGACGTCAAGATTAGCTTTGTTAGTCGGGGGTTACTAGCTGTAATTCTTTTCCAGGTTATGTTTGGATGGACATCAACATGGAAACGTTGACTTCACATTGAGTTATGAACAAGGTGTAGAGGTATTTTATCCCAGAACCTCATTATAGTCGATCAACTACACTTGAACTGTCAAGTTTGTCGATGTGCCTGCCCCGATTACCCGAGCCGAAAACCCGAGCATTACCAGTCTTACTACCGACCGCCCATAGCGCAATAAGTGTGTAAAAAAATAAATTTATTTTATTTTAGATTTTATATAAACTCTCTAAATTTTATTTTACTTCGAATAATATTATATAGTCTTACTTAGGATTATGTGTAAAATATTCTTACTGGCTTTATGCTCAATCACTTCAAAAATCGTGTTTGGTAACTTTTGTCACTTCAAATGCTATATAGATATCTGTAAGGCATAATGAACTATAGAGACAACCACCAGTGCCCCGCCCCATGGCAGTAAGCCATGTATTCGTCTCAGCCAAATGAAGGAATTAATCGAGTCTCATACTTGGTCAGCTTTTCTTACTGATTCCACCTCTTACCATCAAACTGTTTACGAGTTCTGAGAGATTGTAGACTCCAACGCCAGAACCTGCAAAGATTGTTAGTCAAACGCAAATGATCATTTCGGGCTTATCTTACCAGAGCAGTTCGGCAGGGAATGTAGATGTGAGTCCAGTTTTGTCTGCCATTCCATTCCATGGGGGTGGTGAAGAACCTAGTGTTCTCATCGATACGGCTGTGACCGCCGACATCCTTGCCATCTGTGTTGAGAATCGCGCGGTATGTTCCTGCGACATCGACTCCGATACGGTAGTCACTGAAGCTGTTGGTTGGGTGGAAATTGAAGACAAAGACCAGTCCAGCTCGCTCGAAGACAATAACCTTGTCGCCCTCGTGCTTCAGTGAGATGTACGCCTGGGGCGCATGCAGCCAGCCAAACTTGGCTTCCGCCTGGTTCATCAAACGGTCAAAGTGATCGAGAAACTTATATCGGAGGAGGGGATCGTCAGTTAGGTTGAGCTGTCGTCGAGCGTACCAGAAAGAATTGTTGTTGCCTTCTCGAGGGAAGTCGAGCCACTCAGGATGACCAAACTCATTACCCTCAAAGTTAAGGTATCCCTCTCCTCCAAGAGCATGTGTGATCAGCCTGATCATCTTGTGTAGAGCCATACCGCGATCAATGACAGCAGTCAAAGGCGAAAGTGTTGACATATTGGTATACATCTCCGCGTCACAAAGGTGCATCATGAGTGTCTTGTCACCAACAAGCCTGTGGTGGTGTTAGCAGTTGACTTGGGAACAGGCGAATTAGCATCAACTTACGCTTGGTCGTGACTCTCAGCATAGGCGATTGTCTTCTCGCCATGTCTGCGATTGGTTAGAGTATGGCAGATGTTACCAATATCCCATTCATCATCCTGAACCTCCTTCAGAATCTTGATCCACATATCAGGAATCGCCATGGCAAGTCGGTAGTCAAAGCCTACACCTCCAAGTGATAGAGGTAAGCAAAGTGCGGGCATACCAGAGACATCCTCAGCAATGGTAATGACTTCTGGGTAAAGCTCGTGCAGCAATTCATTCGCCAACATCATGTAAACGACAGCTTCCTCGTCAACATCTGCGCCAAAGTACTCATGGTAACCACCAGAGAAACCCCTGCAGAAGTCAGTTTCAAGTCCAAGAGCCGCTAGATCATATCACTTACGTCCCCATGCCGTGGTGAGTGTAAAGCATGCTGGTGACTCCGTCAAATCGGAATCCATCAAATTGATACTCGTCCATCCAGAAGCGCAGGTTACTCAACAAGAACCTTATCACCTCATGGTGTCCGTAGTTGAACAGACGACTGTCCCACTGATCATGTCGGCCCTTGCCACCACCGTGAAAGTATTGGTGGTCAGTACCGTCAAACTCGTTGATACCATCAAGCACGTTCTTGGAGGCGTGGCTGTGGACTACGTCGAGCAGCATGGTGATACCAAGGCCGTGAGCGGTATCAATGAGCTCCTTGAGGTCTTCAGGAGTTCCATATCGACTGCTAGCTGCGAAGAAGTTGTTGATCTGGTATCCAAAACTGGCATAGTAGGCATGCTCCATGACAGCCATCAATTGAATCACATTATATCCCAGGTTCTTAATTCGGGGGAGCATGTTCTTAGTGAACTCCTTGTAAGTCGCAACCCGCTGTTCTGGGCTGGAGATACCGACGTGCGCCTCGTATACACGGGCACTTGAGGGCTTCTTAGGTCTGGAGTTCTTGAACTTGTAGGTCTCGGAGGTTGGAGGGTTCCAGAAACGGGCATCGTATGCGGGAGACACGGACAGGTCCTGTGTCACGTACTTGATCCAAGCTGGGAGTCGATCGATATGTTCGCCGTTAGGCAAGTCAAGAGAGATCTGAAAATGCGCATTAGACACAGAAGCTCAACATTGGGATATTTTAGCGAACCTTGAGTTTCGAGTTGTGAGGAATAGCGGCCTGGCCATTCTGGGCAGGAATAGTGAGCTCGAAGACACCATAATCGTTCTTCTTCATGGGATGAGCGCTACGATCCCAACCGTCTAGTAGCAGTGTAAGCGCATGGTGGAGCATTTGAGTTTAAAGTACTTACTAAAGTCGCCGATCAGGAACGCGGCGGTGGCATTAGGCGCCCACTCGCGGTACACAATGTTGTTGTTAGAATCGACATTGAAGCCGAACTTCTCAGCACCCTGTTGCATCGATTCGTCAGTAACACGACCTGGTTCAATTGAAGCTGTAAACTTACTCTGCTGAACTTCTCAAGACCACCTTCGGTATCGTTAATGGTCTTGATCCAATCTTGGGTCTTGGAATAGCGTCTTTTTAAAGCTTCGCTGAAAGGCTCCAGCCAAGGATCGAGCTTGACGACACCTAATTTAGAGCATGAGCGTGGCGTTCTTGACAATCAGATCATCGCATGTCACAGCAGCAAACTCACCTGTACCATCGTTAGGAATGTCACCAGCAGCGCCGCCTGAGCGATTGGGGTCCAGGGAATTGGAAGAGTTTTCGACAATTGCGGCCATTTCAAAATGAGTTCAACGACGAATACAACGCGTGTGTAGGAGGGAGGACTCAAGGTTGGTAGGCGTGGTGGGCGGGGTAGATATTGGTGTTGCAAGCTTCAGACAATTGTTGAGCTTGAAGTGAGACACAGCTGAGAGATTATAGACTCGACAAAGCAGCGGCCCAGTTATTAAAGCAAATTTTCAAGCCGAAAGAATGCCAGAAAACTCGGATGAAGAAGCAGAGATTGTGGCAAGAAAATTGACGAGTATAATTGCGATATCTGAGACCTTGTAACCTCCTTTCTAGCTCATTCGCCTAACCAGCACCTGGCAAGAACCAACCTGGTTGCCCACTCAGAGCTTTATCGATAAGTTGGGATGACGTCGAAAATGGGTTGAGTGTTGTCCCAACGGCTCCGTACACTGTGCCCGTTATGGAAAGCATCTGCTGTTCGTGTGCCTGCAAACTTTAATATGTGGTTGAATGGGAGTGGGAGCGGGCCCAACACAAGACTCTCACCATATCGCCACTTGCTATAAGAGGCCATGATGATGTTGCGCGAGAATCATTGTGCAGCTTGGGCCTGGGCCTGGATATTTGATGGGTCTCCCCTCGTCAATTGGAGCAACTGGTTCGTGCAATTTGGGGTTTGGTTTGGGGAGAGGCCGGGGTTTATCAGATCCCCCATGTCTATTTTGTTAGCGGAATGGATGTTGGCCTCCCCTAACCGTCAGCTGCTACACGGGATGTCCTCGGGGCGACCTCTCAGCTCCCGTCCCGATAGCGGAAGGCTGTTCGCGGCAGAATGGCCCCGAAGATCAGTCAAGTTCGTTTGCGTATCACATAATCTTCAGTTTCTGAGCTTCAAATCAACCTAGTATCTATCTACCCTTCCTCTCTACAACTTATTCTCTCGGCGCCCTTTTTGTACTTGATTTCTTGTTGTCGCTACGATAGGCTCTATTCTCGGCTCTCCTCGCGCAAGGCACATTAAGCTATAGCTCGTCTCCCCGCATCTGTATTCCGTCATCGTCGGCCCAGATATACTGGCAACTCGGTCGACTATCGCCTGACTCTCCGCTCTAAAACTTCGTTATTTACTATGCGAACCGAATATATATCATAATGGCGCCCTTCGTCCGGGCCTTGTCTGCGGCTCGTTGCTGTATCTGTCGCGTGTCGCGACCACCCATTCAATCAGTGTCTCTCACTTCGGCTCGAGCGTATACCAATAACTCTTCTTCGCGACGACAGCATCGATATATCTCTACCTCGGCTCTAACTTTAAGGCGGAACAATGACTTTAATTCTGGCTTTAGCAGCAGCTATGATCCATCATCCGATTCCGGCCGTGGCCCAATGTTCAACAAGACGAGCTTTGGTGTACCGCAATTCTACCCACGCGACCTCAAGAGACGAGTAGACGACTACGTTGTTGGTCAAGACCGAGCCAAAAAGACAATATGTGCCACGATATTCAATCATTACCAGAATTTACGGAGAAGACATCAACATGAACACGAAGACCGGAACAGGCGTGACAAAGTTATGCGCCAGAGGTTTGCAAGGGATAGGGAGTTGCATCAAAAACGTCGTGAGATGCATCCCGTTGAAGGTCAGCGTTCACGTGGTTCTGCTCCTGGACGCTATGACGCTGATACTCTTGAAGACGAGTTCCCGGGCCACAACGAGTCCGTTCGTGGGCTTCATGATGGCCATGAGTTTGATGATGATCCAATGGATCATCTCTATGTTGCGGAGGATATTACTGTCCCCGAGCATGTCAAGATTGACAAGAGCAACATTCTTCTAATAGGGCCGACCGGTGTCGGCAAAACCTATATACTGGAGTATGTGCCCTCTCATTTACTGCCAAAAACATAGAGCATTGACCATTTTCAGAACACTGAGTAAGAAGATAAATGTACCCTTCTCCATCTGTGATTGCAACTCCTTCACACAAGCCGGATACATAGGCCAGGATGTGGAGACATGTATTGAGCGACTACTCATCGAAGCCAACTATGACATTAAGGCGACTGAGCACGGTATCGTCGTCCTGGACGAGTTTGACAAGATAGCAAGACGCGAGACCACAACTGGCCGAGATGTTGGGGGCGAAGGTGTCCAACAGGCGCTTCTCAAACTTGTTGAGGGCACAAAGGTGACCATCAATGTCAAGGACAACCGCTCATCTCGGTCAACGCCACCAATTACCACAAATTATAGCGCGTCCGGGCCATCTTCGTCGACTCCACAAGCAGCTCCTCCAGGCGGTAAGGTTGATCAGTATACTATTGACACCACAAACATCCTCTTCGTATTCTGTGGTGCCTTTGTAGGCTTGGACAAGGCCGTGTTAAAGAGAGTAGCTAGGCCGACTATGGGATTTGGTGGAGAGCTTCGAGGTCGCTCGACCATGTCTGGCAATAAGCAGACCCTCCCAGCGGAAACATATACGCATTTACCTCACCATAACCCACAATCGGCTTCTTCGTTTACTCCTCTAGATCTCACAACTCCTGCCGATTTGCAGAGCTTTGGATTTATTCCCGAGTTGATTGGACGATTGCACAATATTTGTGCTCTTAGTCCCCTTTCCAAAGATGATCTACTCCGCATCCTGACTGAACCGAGAAACAGTCTCGTTGCTCAATACACAGCTCTCTTCGAGACGTATCCTTCCCGGCTATTCTTTACGGAGAAAGCTTTGTATGCCATTGCCGAGCGAGCTGCGGCTTCGGAGACTGGAGCTCGAGGTCTGAAGATGGAGATGGAACGAGTGCTAGCAGAGCCCATGTTTGATGCACCGATGCCCTACGTTCTTATTACAGAGGCGTGCGTGAAGGGGACGGATAAGGCTGGATATTGGGGCAAGGACGGTCGGTTTGAGCTTGATAGGAGAATGCAGGCAGAAGAGGTGAACCCAGCCAAAGCAGAACCTGATAGCACATTCGAGAGATACAGAGAGGCTGGGCAAAGCGGTGGGTGAGCAAAGTCTGCATTATATTGGTAAGAAGGCGTATTGGAGCAATTGCAGGCTTGATTAACTGGAATTAATGACCACCTCCTGGTTAGGCATTGGTTTTGTTATGCTTCCACAATAATAGGCAAACGAACAAATTTAATCAAATAAAATGACTCGACTCGGGTTCCGTTGTAGTACAGTATTTACACCAAGAGGACTCGATATCTGGAGCGATCTAGAAACCCCAAGTCACGCCCACACGCAACAAAGGGCCATTTTACACATCGATACGTCTCCGTAGTCACCTCAACTTCTAGCACAAAAGAAATCTCGTTGTGTATTGAACTTAGTTGGCCTTAGGAGGAGACTGGACCATACCCTTGCCAGCGTAACCGGGAGAAGTGATACCAGTGAAAGGATCGGATTTTTGGTTCTATAGAGCCTTGTTAGCCAGCTGATCGAACACGATGTGGTCGAGAAAGAACATACCTTGAGGAACTCGTTGGTCTCCTCCTGGTACTCCTGGGTCATGGTGTAAGGAGCGGGCTTGGCGGCCAGGCGGATGGCACCAAAGATACCAACACTGGCAGCGACACCAATCAAAACACCCCAGGCGATGCGGGCATTGGTTCCAGGGGGGTCAACAGCACGGGGGCCATGAGGACCGAAGGCAATCCAGTAAGCTATTGAGAGAGTTTGAGTTAGTTTTCTGGTGGTGACGCAGCTATATAGTGACGCAGGGTATGGGATGTCAAGCTATGGCGCGGAGAGCCCCATCTACCAATCAGGAGGACGAATTGATTAGGTTGGGTCTACATGATGCAATCGAGGCTCACGAAGGCTCCAATGCGAGGCTGAAGATGCATAATCGAGGTGTTGTGGGTAGATTTGATGGTTGATAAGGCTGAAGTGCTGTGATGTGGTGGTTGTGACCCAATAACCCAAGAATCTCGGCTACGCGGGATGGATATGGAGGTATTTTCGTAGTGGAGGAGAGTTTAGAACGCACCGGCTTTCTTCTCCTGGAGGGTCAGGTCGGTCCAGCTGGACTGCATGCGATCACGCAGAGCCATCCAGAGCTCGGCCTGCTCCTGGAGAGGCATGCCCTCCCATCGCTTCTCGATGTTGGCGAGGGTAGGGTTGGAAATGGCGTGAGTCGAGGCAGCTCGCGAGGCCAGGGCGGGAGTGCTGCGCACCAAGCTCTTGCGCAGCAGGTTGGAGGCTGGTGTGCGCAACATCGTGGGCGATTGGTATATTATGTAATCGACGAGGACGAGACGACGGGGAGAGAGGCTCAATTGGTGCGTTCGTGAGCGCGGAGTGCGAGTTCGAGAGAGGTTTCGAGGAGGAGGACGAGTTTATTCGGGAATGTCAGAATTAGCACGCTGGGAGCAATCATACGATGGGTCCCTCTTGCCTCGGGCTTGGATTGGTGCAAAAGTGGATCACGTGATACCATATTTTCCTTGTTGCCGGTTTTGCACGAACTGATGAAATCGCCTTGACCATGATTGGTTCAAGCTCTCAGCTGCCGAATCCAAGCCCATGGATCAAAGGTAACATCACTGCATGTCACCTTGAGTCCGATATTAATTTGCAGGACCGCAATTAACTTGATACCATGCACTTATAGTGAAGAACTTAACGTGCTTGGGTGTTCCCCGCAAGTCTGGGATGAGCGTTCGTCTACATCTTCAAATGCCCATGGCTACAGAAAGTGTATGTATATGACGTTTACCAAGGTAACAGTACAACACGGCAGGCTATGGCCAGTCTAATACACAAGCGATTGAGCGTTCTAAAAGCGATCAAAATACTCGCATCCGGTCTTTGTTCCGAGGCCGAACACCCGAAGAGGCGATCAAGTCATTTCATTACCCGTTACCGCAGGAAACAATTCTTGAAGGGGTATCAGTTGGTAATGACTCTCTATCCATACTGTCTTTCTATCTTAGTACCTATTTCTGGAAAGGAGATTATTCTGTCTATTAAAATACATAATCCTAACTTTTGGTTCCTCAGTTAATCTCACTGACGAATTCTATGTACCAATATGTGTGATACCACGCTATAACATGATGCATCGTGCCTACTCAGCTCCCGCTTAAAGCTTGACATCGAACAAGTTCCTACTTCGGATCTTTTCGCCGTATTTATAGAAAATCAGGGGAAACGGGATAGCCGCAGCTGCAATAAAGCCTAGCAATGAGGTTCCCCAGCCATAGCCCAAGCTATTGTACATGCTTCGACCTGCTAGAGGTAACAGTGCTCCCACCAGTGAGCGAAGTACAGTGCTTGCGGCAATGACGGACGCAGAATATTCGACGTATGCATCGACAAGGTAAACTGAGATTGACATCTGCACCATGTTAGTAGACCGAACTCGGAGATCCTCCCGGCTTTCAACACTCACAAATACGATGATCATACCACAACCCAAGAAAGAGGTGCCAATGATGGGCAGGATCCAATGGGTCTTCTTCTCAGCAGACCAGCCAAACAGGAACAGACCGGCAGGAATAAGGAGACAAGCTATGAACATGAAAGGAAGTCGATACTCGGGTTTGACATCTCCACCGTTCTTCTTAGCCAGGTACCGAACGAGAGGATCTGATGTAGCTCCAGCAATGAAGAGTCCAAGTATGGAGCCTGTGCCAATACCGAGATAAGATAGGCCAACTGATCCCCGAGAGAAATGATACTCTCCTTCGAACAGTGTTGGCATGGCGGTAAAAAGGAGATAAAGGTACCCATACACCAAGGCCATGTATAGTGATAGAAGCGAGACGATGGGCGCGAAGAGAAGCATCTTTGTGGGCCGTACCATGGCGAGGCTGAAGAGTTCCTTTGTGGTGGTTCCCTTGTCGAGAGCAGATCGGAGCTTTGGGTTTCCTGTCTCTTTGCGAAGCCTCTTGGTCTTGTTCTCAAGAATAGTATAGGCATATGTTTCTCTCATGAACAAAAAGGCCATGATTGTGATCGCGCCGGTCTTATTGACAAGTCAGCTTGAATGTTATGTCAGTGCAATGGGTTTACTTACAATAATAGCCACAACCCAGAAAGACCATCGCCAGCTTTTGGCCTGCGAGAGATATCCACCAGCTATGATTGTTAGAATTCACTCCGGCATCACTGTTGGTTAGGATAGGCTTACCAATTGGTCCAATGACCGGTCCGAATAGAGGTCCAAGAGCCCATGAAGACATGGCAGCTCCTCGCTTCTCTTTGGATATTATATCAGCCAACGTCGCAGCTCCGATTGTAAGCGGGCAAGACCCGGCAAGTCCAGCAAGGAGTCGGAATGCAATGAGACCACCCAGGTTAGGGGCCAAAGCACAAGCCACACTGAAGATGATAAAGAGAACATTGCAAACGTGGTACAATGGAAGTCTGCCGTACATCTCGGACAGTGGAGCTATTGCCAGTGGACCAAAACAGTACCCAAGCAGGTATACTGAAACGATGAAGGATGCCAATTGCTCGTTCGTTGAGTGGAATTCAGTCATGACTTGGTCGATACTTGGTGCAAAGATGGAAGACGCCAGTGGCCTGATAGAGGTTAGCAATGCTGGCTGTCAAGGTATGGAAGCAATGTTATTACGTGACAAATGTGATGGATGAAACAATAATAACTGTAACCGTCTTCTTCTTCATTGACCAGTTCTGGGGGTTGGCTGGATCGTCAGGGCCATCCCAGTTGACAACATTGAGTTCGTCAACGGTAGGCTCATCAAACTCGGCTGATGTCGATGCTTCTTCGAGATCTCGTTCTCTTTTCAGGTCGTATTCGACTGTTGGTGCCGGAGTGGCAGCGCCAGGCGGCTGTTCTTCAATCTCGGTGTGCCTCATGTTGTCTTGCGTGGACCTGTGAGATTACTTCAGGGATTCGAATATACTTTGCTAACCCAAACACTAGAATACTATCAGTTAATGTTGAACCAAGGTGCCAAGACGCTTGGATAGGGCTGAAGATCTGATACAAACGATCAAGATAATTGGGGGGGAGGCTACTATATATGCTTCGGATTATACTAGCTTATACATTTCCCGAATTCACCAGGGCAGATAAGAAAGCTGATGAACCGGAAACACCAACGGTAAATTGCTTAAGTCCGTGTCTCAAGATCAATATGCGATTCCATAGACCGATCTTGAGAACTAACATGATCCAGGCCAATGCCGACATTGGGTGCCATTGGTTGCCCTCAGCAAGCTCGTCATTTAGCATGTATGATCCTCCGACCTAAACCAATAGTCTCAAGGAGATGAGCCAAATAGGAGCCGTACGGCGTAAGCAAAGTCAAAACCTGGGGAGTTATATCAATAGTTGCTCCGAGACGGAGTCGGAACCTTGGATGTTCCGCGGAGTTTCCATGGATAAGTGCAGTTTCCGTCCGTTCTTAATTCCAACGATTCAATCCTCGCAACAGAACCAGAAAATTCGCGTAATCTGCAGCAATGGGCCGTCAGCCTCGTCAGCGCCCTATTTCGTGCCATTTCTGTCGTGTACGCAAGTTACGCTGCAGTCGAGAATTTCCATGTTCCAATTGCACAAGCCGCGGAGTTCAATGTCAGTCTCAGGACCCACCCCGTGTTCCTGCTCCGGCTTCACGGCCGATTGCTAAGCGCGGAGGACCGCCGGCTACGTCTGTGTCTGTGTCTGCGTCTTCGGACCGGGAATCCGACATCATTAGCCGCCTAGAGAGGCTGGAGTCACTCTTGGCAGAACGGAACAAAGACTTGGACTCCAATGCCCAGACAACTTCAACAGCTCCGTCTAGTGTTGGCGGAAGCGATATTGCATCTCGAGCACAACCAGAGTCATCGCAGCCTTTGCCTCTTAATGTTCAGAATCTGACAGCCGATGCTCTTTGGCTCGAGAGAACATGCCTTGGCCCAAAACTATCGGTAAGCCAGAAGTTCTTATCACAGCCTGTGAAATACTTACTCATGCTTTCTAGGATTCTGTCCTAGTTGACACTATCACCTTTCGTGTTTGTCCTATACGCTCCATCTCTCAACCTTCCAGCTACATCTTCCAAAACTCAAGCGGTCCTTCGGGACTTCTCTCTTTGGAGCCTACAAGATGTATTTGGCTACCTCAAAGGCATGAAACCAAAGTTCTTCTCAACAAGTATACCACAGTTATCACATACATGCATCATGTTATTCATTCCCCAACTGTTTTTAAACTTGTTGACGATGTTTATGATACTATAGAAAAGGGCGAAGAAGTTCCACTGTGTTCTCTTTTCCTGATGCTTGCAATTTGCAGCAATGTCACGTACGCATGGACGCCACCGGATAATGATATGACACCTCTCTTCTCTGACTTTTCAGAAGCAAACAGCCAAGCATTCGGATGGCTCAAAGCAACCTTTGACGTATTTGACGCAGCCCAAAGAAGAGCCGAGGTAGGCTTAGAGTCAGCTCAAGGGCTTATTATTGTGAGCTTCGTCTTGCTGAACGTAGAAGGCGTTTCGGCCCGCGCTAGGAATTGTTTTTACCAAGCAATCACAATATGCCGTGAGCTTGGAGTACATCGTCTTGATTGCCCCCACAATCCGCCCTCGATACAAATCGCACATTTCAGCAACCTAAAAGCAGAGATTGCTCGGCGAGTTTGGTGGTATCTTATAGGCACAGATGTGTAAGGCCTCCATCCCCATGCCAATACGGTATTCAACTCATAGCTGATGGTTCTTTAGCATGGTTGGTCGATTCCCAGGTCCTGGCGAAGGGACCTATGTCATCAATCCCATACATATGGATGTTAGGAAACCTCTCAATGCCAACGACGAAGACCTTGTGGAGGGAGAGGAACTAGTGGGACGGCCAATAAGTCATCCGACCAACATGTCTTATTTCTTGCAGAGAATACGACTAGCCGAGGTGGTTCGTGAGTTCGTTGACAAAACTCCTCTCTTCACTGCTTCCAATCCAGACAAAAACACATACGACATTGTGCTGGGGATAGATTCGACCATAGAACGCTTTATAAACGAGCTTCCCGCATTCTTAATGTTGGATGCCCAGGAGTTGCAGAAACTACCGTTGGATGATACCCAGCGAAACCCAGGCATTATCGTTCAACGCCATATCATGAAGATTTTTGTCCACGGGCATAGATGCAAACTTCACCTTCCGTACCTAGCTCGCGGTGCGGTAGAGCCTGCTTATGCTCACTCAAGGCGTGTGTGCCTTGAATCAGCACAACTGGTTATACAGACCGAACACCAACTCGAAGGGGAATACACAACATTCAACTTGACACGACTCAGGCTATGCTTGATCTTGCACAGTATTTTCATCGCCAGTATCGTTCTTCTTTTGGACTTTTGTCTCGGAGTAGATGCAGCTGAGAAGGAGCAGAGACGGCGTGACCTGGTCAAGGCATGGGGCATATTGGAGGCGGCAAAAGAACACTCAAGGCCTACAGCTCGCATACAAGATCTCCTGAGGCAGGTTATGAAGAAGCACAAAGTCACATTACCGACTTGTAAGACGAGCGAGCAGTGTCTAACAAGGTCGATGGGTTGCGAGAACCTTCCACCTACGCCCAACTCGGCGACGGCCATGATGTCTACCAGCACAACACCGAACGATCCACCAGTCTCTGCAGAAGAGTTAAGTGACCTGGGGCTGAATATGGATTTAGATGGCATGGACTGGGAAAATCTGCTTTGGGGGTTGGAGGCCCCCATGTTCTAAGAACTGGTGCAAGTCAATTAGATAGGCCAGGTAGCTGATATATGTGTGTATGATGAGACGTTGGTTATTATCATAATGAGATGTAAGCAAGACAATAACTAAATCTGTAACACAAAAATAGACGGATCCCCGCTCAAGTCCTTTGAATGGGACATCATAGGTAACGTTAGTTATTGCTATAAAATTACATAACGTCACTAACAATGACCTGTTGTGTCAAATGGGTTGGCCATTACTTTGTGATAGGCGTGGGCTCTTTGAACTGCTCTGTCTTTCTCTCGGTACTGTGATGATAATAAGCTTCTACTCTGGTCCTTGTAGCACCATCATATACCTTGTTGTAGGCTGTATTTTCTTCTGTGCATCAGGGGCAAATATTGGCTGGAAAGTATAGATTCCTGACAGCAGGTGAGTATGACACTTGGATGGAAAAGCATGATTTGAGCTAACCAACCTCCAACAACACCACAGAATACAGTCAGAGCCAATGGCAGCGCTCTTTCAAAGACAAACATTTTGTCTGCTTTCAATTATCAGAGTACAACAGTAACAGGTTGATAGAGAAGATAGGTAACTTCAAGCAAATTCATACGGCCGTGGTGAGGTAAAGGGTAGGCAGGTTTGAGCTTTGAACAATTGGGGCGATTTCTGCCACCATTAGCGGAACCCCCGCCATTAGCACGCGCTGAAGCTTCGAGTCATGCCCCACTAAAATATGCACAACTTAGAGTGCATGAGCGCGCTTTCATGCCTGCCAGACGCGTCTCCCGGTTTCCTCAACCGCGTTCGCTGCCACGCCGGGTCAGGAAATCAATTAACGGAACTACGTACCTATCGAAGCTCGACCACCACTTTCAATCATGACATTATCAACCTGAACCTTTCATTGCCTGTTACATTTTGAACCAACAAGCCATACCTCCCCTCGACAATATGCCAACAACAAGATAATGTTATATATGGACCATGAGCAACTGGAAGGAGCTGGGAGAAGTTCCCGATTCTGAGGAAGAAGATGGATTCGAGAGTCAAGAATTACCGTCTTTACCAGCAACTATCTCGACAAGCAAAAACGACACTGAGCAGACCGATGATCGAGAGCAAGAGACTGCCAGTCCTGATAAGGATAAAGAACAAGATCGTGACATCTGGGATGTTCCCGATTCGTCACAAGACCTTGCCCAACACGCACCTTTGACAAAGACGCCGAGTCGAATACCCGGAACAACTACAAAACCATCAGAGACTGGCAACCTAGCATTTGATGAGCTGAACGTTTTATCTTCTTCACCTCTGTCATCAATACACTCTGATGCCGACCTCCCTGATGTCGACACCTTCGACCTGCAACGACCAACTGCAACAGCCAGCGCTAAACCTAAGCCGTCGAACGAATCCCAGCAGAACCCTACAGCTAGTACTGGAGTGTTGGAAAGTTACGTTGAACGGTCTTCGCCTCCCCCAGAGTTCACGACAAATAACCGGAATGTTATACCCCCTTCCTCATCGCTCATCCTTGGGGACGATCATGCGGTGCCCATGCAAAGTCAAGAGCTGGGCGGGGAGGCTGAACATCAGGCCGCTCGACAAACGGTTGTTCGAAATGAAAGGTCCCTCCGCCCAAGGAAGCCAATTCAGGAGCGCCCATACGCTATTGAAATGTCATACTATTCCAACATTCTGAAACGACATGGTGTTCGACCCCTCAGGCTTGCCATTGAAGGAGAAAAGCGACGTCGACAGCAAGCTGAGCAAGAGGCTTCAAAGGACAAGGACTTTGAAGACGATAGCCAGGGTTCACATCTACCGGATGTGTCTGATGAGAGTCAATTGAGGAGTCTGGAAGACTTCTTGGATGGCCTAGACACAATCGATCCTTCACCCTCACCCCCTAAGACCTCGCCCATGGTTGACCGTGCCGGGCCCAGTAGTCAGGCAAGCTCGACGGGCGACACAGAAAACACTAGCATGGCTGGTGATGATCTTCCAACCTTGAAGGATTTACTACGAAGGCCACCAACTACAACTTCGAAACAGCACGGAAAACGAAAATCCTCGCCTTCTCGATCATCTGCACGAAAACGCAAGCGATACGACGTCGTAGACAGCGATCCCCTTGAGCCTGCATCGGCTTTTAGACTTGGGCACAGTGCCACGGACTCTCCTGCTGCCCAGCGCAGTTCGCGGCGAAATGGCGACGACTCTGTGCCTCCTGTCGAGATTTCTGAACAGGCAACGCACCAATCTCCTTTGGTACCGACTGGTCAGGCCCAGTCGTACTTAAGGTTGACTCAAAGGCCAGCTATGGCGAGTATGAGCGACTCGGAGGATGAGCTTGTCGGGCCGGTAACCAATTTACAACCAGATAGCGAAGGGATTGCATCCCAGTCTGACTCCGACTCTGGTTCCGAGAGTGGTTCTGAGATCGTGAACACAGTCGGACGTCGGATCAGGGGAGTGCTCCCCGCATCATGGCTACGCCTGGACCAGCAAGCTGGCCCTAAAAAGCCTTCAAAAGACCTTCAAAAACGGCCTGCTGCGTTCTCGCCCGAACGAGAAATAAGACGTGGTGTGGCACAAAGGCGTGTCGCTTCGCCTAATGTGTCCAAAGCCCTTGACATGTTTTTTGAAGAATCCGACGACGACGATGTTCCTGCTCCGACGATCACCCCGGGACAGCAGACTACAGATGACGTGTTTCACAATCAGACTCGTCTGAATATAATAGACGAGCCCCCGATATATATCCCGGAAGAGTCGTCTGATGACGAAGGATCTGTGGTCGAGGATAACGCCGTTGACCCCATGTCTACCGGACGAAAAAGACAGATGAAGCTCTCGGACTCGTTCAACAGCACGGCGAAACGACGCAAAAGCTCCGATACTCGTCGAAAGCAGAGCGCGCCCAAAGGACCCCATCAGCCCAGAATCACCAGCATGCTCTCTGGCACTCGAGGTGCTTCTGTAGCTGCAGCCGAGCTCATCAAGAAGAAGTACCGTCAGCCTTCGTCGAAACGAAAGTCGAAAGGGGAGAAACGGTCAAAGATGGACGCGCGCAGGTCATGTGCACCGCCTCGACTGAGTATTCTGGACGTTGTGGAACCAAACGCCCCCCGATTCCTAAAGATCGCAGCCCGGTCTGCCACTCGACGTCAGGATATGGGTAGGAGTAGCCCAAGTAGAAAGGTCATCAGACTCGCCACTAGAGAGGATCATATCGATGTTGCATCCGTCCTGAGTAACTGGAGATCCGGCTTGATCTCTCAGCGCCAGTCAGTTACTACCGCTCGTAAAGCTAGGACAGCGAGATCAAAGCCCACGATGGCCAAGCCACCCCTATGCGAGACTTCTGGGAATGGTTCGTCTACCTCACGGCGTGCGCCCATGCCTCAAGGAGCATCTCGTCGTTTGGTCAAACAAGTGAGCCAGGCAGGCTCTATTAGATACCAGACAGACTCCAATGCTGGGGAACTTGAGGTTCTGCAGCATCGGCGCACGAGTTCACTGGCACGGTCTGGCTCAGGTGTCACAAGACCGGCTCAGCTAGAATCGGATGAAACAGATCCTACCAGCCGCTTGTCTTTCAATGCAACCAAAAGACGTCTCGATCGTTTGTATCGGAAGCAACGCGGCGACTTCTCAGCTTCGAGTATCATGACATTTGACAACAGCCCCGATACGTTTTACCCAGCTAGTCCACCTCCTGAGGAGAACCCAATCCCTCTTCGAGCTATTGAGGAGCCACCTCAAGACCAGAACAAGTCACGGTTCCGAAAGAAGGTTAGACCTCAGCGCATTGATGTTGAGGCGCCACAATTCAGTCGTGCAAACGATCCTATCCCTCTAGAGGCGGTACAAATCCCCGGGCCAGTTCAGTCTGTAGAGACTAATGGCGAGAAACTTCAAGGCCTGGGCCCATACGGCACACAGTACACCCATCATTTTGAAACGTTTCCCTTGGATCATCGTGTGTACTTTCATGAGTCGACTCTCCTCGGAAGCGGTGCACTTGAAACAGCATCTAGAACTATTACCTGTCAATATCTGTTCGAAACTCGACCGCGATTACCCTTCAACTTCGGCGAGCAGGTGCTTAGGTGGGGCCCCTGGGATGCCCAGGTGTCCTCTGAGATTGGCGTTCTACTTGATTCAGTTGCGGACCAGATCGAACGAGCCTCAGCCGACGACGAAGATGCAGACCCCAAGCTTGCTACAGGTGCTGCTGGGTTTGTCATGAAATTTATCCTGCATGCTTTGAGCCTCGCGGACCCAACACAAGCCAAATCCTTTGTTTGCAGGGTGATTGAGGTACTCAAAGGATTCAATGCCCGCATAAATGCCCTTTTGGACCGTCACAGCAGCATCAGCACCACCACCGCACAACCTCGTTATTCTCTTATCGCAAGCGTCTACGATCATTTCCTTGTAGCAACGCTCTTTGTTCTGAGACTTTGTCAAGGGGAATCGTCTTTGATGAGTGAACAATTTCAAATGGAGGATTTGCTCAAGGGCTTGGCTAAAACCGCCATTACCTCACTTATCACAACTGGGATAGCCCGGATCACAAATGCATACGACGATCTCAAGAGCCCGCGAATAAGAGAACAGGGTTTGAGAGATGACATGCCAATCATTCATTCATGGGTGATGAACATGAAGGTCCTGGAGCATGCACACATTCTTCGAGCTTCGTTTTGGAATATCCTTTACACTGTCATGGCCACCCCTGAAATGTCATCAAGTCTTGATGTTACTGAACATGAGCGCCTTTGGAAGAACATGTTTCTTCTTCTTCCACTCGCCGAGTTTAACGACAAAGGTATCATCGTTGCAGGCAGGAGGCATGAGACGGCTGTGGATGGTTGGTCATTGCCTCAAAAACTACTCAAGAAGGTCTTCCAAGTGTACAAGGATAACCCCCGGCAGTCACCAAGCTTCAACAACTACTGCCGCGCGTTGGTCGGTCGGTGCCATTATCTTGTGCAGCAATGGGGTTGGCGCAAGTGCGTGGCCGTGATAGGTGTCATCTTCGACTTCTTTGGTTCACAGAACCTTGCGCACCTCCGCAATGAAGAGGCGTACGCATCACCGAAGTTTCTGGACGAACTGGCTGGTAATCCGTCACTCTCTGTCGACAAATCCGACAAATGTTTTCACATTTTCCTCAAGCTTGTTGCGTTAAGTATCAAAAAGTTGAGTGACATCGATGCATTGAAAGACATTCGAAATCTGATTGCTCGTACAATGCCTAATCATAACCGCCAACTTCTCAAGGAGCAGATGATTCAAGAGCGTGACTTGGCTGCATTGCGGAACCACCACGATCTCTTATGTACTCTTTTCTGGGCTTCGCCACAAGAACTTCGCCCAGGTGCCCATCTGATCGAGCGACTTGTTGCCCCGGCAAGCTCCCACAAAGAGGCTTGTCTGATCAACCTACGAGCTTGGAGTCAGCTGGCGAAATTTATTATCTCGTCTGGGGAGGCTACGACATCTTTCAGACCGTTCACGCAATGGCGAAATAACTTCTTCCAATCTATGATGCAGCAATTTGATTCAGTACAATCTGACATGCAGCAGCAAGTCTTAGCAATGTCCAAGGATGCAACTAGCACTATTGACCCTGATTTGATCAAGTCAATGGTGGCCATGAACAGACGAGCTGTGATGGACGTTTTGTATGCGTCCGTTGCAACGTCTTTGGATGTCATGAGACATGCCCCCAATTTGGAGGCTGCTACGCACGCCTTGAACACATTGCAGCTGGAGGAAGTATTCCGACGTTCTAGTGCATACCCTCCAGAATTAGATTGGTCTATCCTCCGAACCTCCCTATCAACTTTGGATGTTTTCTTCTCTCGTGTCAATGAGTTTAACGATGACGAAGAGAGCCAACAAAGCGAATGCCAGATACTCAACTCGGCCCAGGCAGATGACGCTCTTCTGGTTGTTGATCAGAATCTATCCAAGGTCTACTTCTCCATGGCGAGATGTGTTCTTTCTTCCGAAGACGAAAAGAAGGAATCCCCTTCTACGACTGTCGAGAGATCACAGTGCACAGAACAGGTTGTAACTTTGACGGCTCGACTTGCCGTACGATTCATCAACGGTGGTCTTTTCCGACTTATTGATATGTTCAAACACGGAAAATATGGCCTATTCAAAGATGTCCCAGCAAAGCTTAGTCTGGACCAGCGACGACATCTGGTCCTGTTCATGACAACGCTTCTAAAGCATGACTTTGATGATTTTACCAATGCGGGCTTTTCGCTTTCTGAAGTCTGGGTACTTTCAATTGTCAAACCACGTCCGTACTTGTCATACGAAAATCAGTTGGCGGAACAACTGCGACGACAGGAGAAGGAGTTCGTCCCAGAAGCTGTTACTGGACTTACCATAAACCCAGACTACAACACAAACCGAGACTTGTTCGAATTTGCCATATCGTGGATGCGAAAGTCACTGCGAGATGCCGGGCCAGCACTCAGGAAGGTCATCATGGCCGAACATTCAAAGACACTGAAGTTGGCAATGCAACAGATACAAGATGATTTACGTGCCATGTCTGGTATTGCATCTGAACACTCTAGCTATGTGGTATTTGTCCGGGATATCATTGGGCTGATTCGAGCCCATGGCTCTGATCTTTGCACCATCGACAAGTATTTCTACCAGATCAGCAAAGAATACTCTCCCTCCATCCAGGACCCTCAACTCCAAGTGGCCGGCATGACGTCGTACGGACTTCGATTGAGTGAAGGCGATGTCAAAATCGTTCAGCAAGTCTTCTACTTCCTGTCCAACAATTTCAAGCTGTCGTTAAAAGAGAACAAGCTTCGTGAGGAAGTTCAGTTGTTGCAGAAGGGAATAGAGAATCCAGGAATCTTTTCGTTCATTCTAGGCAAGATGCTGCCAGCCATCGTACATGCAGCTGCGATCGAGAGCTTGGCGTTTCCCATGGTTGAGGCTTATACAGAAGCATTGCGAATTTTCTTGACTCGTGCTGTAATCCCTCGTGAGTTGGCAGAAAGCGATATGCCGCAGTTACTGGCCCTACTACGTGCTATTGCTTGTTTTATGGACCAGCTTAGCCAGACAGATGGACAGCTTCAGGCACCACAGATTCACTTGATCACGCAACTGTTAGCACTGTCAAACAACATCTGGCCATCCGTATATGCCTTGTCGCTTTCTGGGACATCATGTGGTCCCTGGCAGGATATTGTCCAAGTCCTCAGAGCCATGCGGACCGGATTCTTGAGAGCCGAGCCATACGTCGCTGATATGACCGACGTTGAGGATTATTCTCTTAGAGCAGAGATTCTCCTTTCTGGCTTTGGAAAACAAGGAATTGGACCTACTCAACTGGACAAAGATGTTGAGGGCTTCACAAACAATCTCGTTAACGATGTACGGAAGATTTGGGTGACTTCTGGAACGAGAATCAGCATCCAAGCTCCTGGGCGAGGCCCCGGATTTACACAGACACAAACTAGCCAGGGAGTGCCCATGCCTGTTTGGGAACCAGAGGTGTTGGTAAATGATGTTTATGGGGAGTTGAGGAGATGGAACAATTGGTGGAATACGGTGTTTGGAGAGAGGCAAGCACCTACAAATGTAGATATACCTATTCTGTTTTGATAAGCATGGCAACGGCGTTAGGAATGAACAATGTTTTACGGACATATCATGAGTATAGATAGCACTCGGATGCGGCGTTTTGTGGCGAAGAGAGCCCACACGGATAGGAATCCATTTATGCTTCGGATAGAACGTCCAATATGCCTGCCATCTTTTTAACTATGTATATCCATATGCTGTACTGAATTATTGATAACCACAGACTCCATTAATACTTAGGCAAGTTGCAGCAAATGCATATAAGTCAAGAGTCGGCCGATAATTTCCCGAGTGACGCACCTTGGACCGTGCAACGCGCCAAACGCGTCTCCCCGGGATAGGGATCTTGACAATTAATGAACCTGCACTTCAGCAATTACAAAAAAAGAGGCGAAATCGTCCAGATGCAAGGAAACACGATGACCTCTCTCTTTGGTCTTCCAGATGAGGTCATATTGACACCCCTATTTGAGTCATTTCCTTGTCGAGAACACCAAATTCGTTCCCTAGCAACACTCTTGCATGTACGTTTGTTAACCGTCTTCATCCCTATATCATGATGATTTGTGACTGACGCTGTGTATAGCCCGATGCTGCTCCTTGCCGAAACCTTGTTGTCCACGGCGCAACAGCAACAGGCAAATCCGCTATCGTTTCCCAACTCGTCTCCGACCTAGTTACCAATGTCAACAACGATGCTTCCTCAGGCGGTCTCCAAGCTGCAGTTGTCAATTCTGTGCAATGCATTACGGGGCGGCATTTGTTCGAGTCTATAGTTGGACAGGTGGCGGATGCTCTGCAGTGGGAGGAGATCCCGCGCCGTTGCGAGACGTTGGCGCAGTTGACCGTTGAGATGGTCAAGATGATCCAATACCCTAAGAGAGATGCCCGATGGCGCTTTGTGCTGGTGCTGGATGCCATTGATCGACAGAGAGATGCGCCTCCTACACTGTTGCCAGCTCTGGCGAGACTATCAGAAATCGTAAGTTATCGCCAGTTACCATCTGCAATTGAGAGGCTAACATAAGCAGATCCCATGCCTTACCTGCGTCTTCATCGTAACATCCCCCCCCGCCAGCTTCTTACGCTCGCCCTCATCAGCACACCTTCTCTTCCCGCCGTACGAGAAGAAGGAATTCGTTCGAATCGCCGCTCTCACGCCACCGAAATCGCTTCCCACATGCAACCACCAAGAAACCGCCGATCTCTGGACCCGTTTCTGCGCGGCCGTGTACGACTCTCTTACAAAGTCCGCCTCTCGCACACTGCCTTCGTTCAAGCACAGCTGTAATGCGCTGTGGCCGCGCTTCACAGCCCCGATTGTAGCCGGAACACACTTGCCAAAGGAGTTCTCGAAGCTGCTTATTGCAGGCAGAGTTCATTTCCAGGATGAGTCTCTGCTCAACCCGAGCATTGTTTCTGTTAGACCCAAGAACAAGCCTGTCGACACTACAGCAACGAAACCAACATCTTCAGCAACCGATCTCACAAATCTCCTTCCTACGACAGCTCGTCTTCTTCTCTTAGCCGCATATCTCGCATCCCATAATGCAACACGGCATGACCTTACTCTCTTCTCAACATATCACCATGGTCGTAAACGCCGCCGTGGAGGCATTGCCGTTCGTGGCGGCACACGCACGAAACACCGTAAGATTGCGCGCAAGCTTCTGGGCGCACACGCCTTTGTTCTTGAGCGCATGATGGCCATCTTTGCCGCTGTACGGTCAGAGTGGGCAGATGGGACTGTGGTGGGTGCTTCTGGGCTCGATGCGGATGTGGCCATGGCTATATCAACGCTTGCAAGCCTGAGATTGTTGACCCGTGTGGGAGGTGTTGGAGATGTCATGGATCGGGGAGGCAAGTGGAGGATCAACGTTGCATGGGAGGTGATACGAGGCATAGGACGAAGTATAGGAGTGGAAGTAGAAGAGTGGCTCATAGACTAAGATACCCAAAGCATATAGAACACCAGACACAATAATCAAAGCATATAGCACCTATCAGGGTTCTACGCCAGCATTAGTACATTAAGGAGGCTGCAATTGCAACTTGTCTATGTAAATCAAAATCCAACATTGTCATTCCATATTCATGTAATAGTACATTGCACCCAACACCTCTCGAGAAGGCCTCGCGAGCGTCGTTGAGTGTCATGTCACAAAAAAAACGCCAACCCATGATATGTCGTACAGTAGTCCAGATCATTCATCAAGATGTTTGGACATAGAAGGATACCCTAATTCGAATGATTCCAATCCACAATCTTTTTGTGTTCGGCTGAAATCGAAACACCAGGCCTGCCCAGAAAGAAGAAATGCTCAATCTAATATACTATGATTCTCACATCTTTTAGACACCGGCAACACGATCACCAGGATGCCATGTATCTTCCTGCTTGGTACCTGGAGGGAGCCAACCTCCATTCGCAGCACCTGGGGTACGAGTGCGGGCACCGCCATCATCAGTCTTCTTAGAATCTTCAGCTGCAGTCGGGCGACCAAAGTAACCCTGGTGATAAGGGTTGAGCTCCGTACTTTGAGGAGATTCCATGATGGGCGTAGGCCGCAACCCGTTGCTAGTGATGGGTAGAATGGATGATCTCTTGTTTTGCATTGACTGCGCCTTTTGATCGGCCTTATTGCCCGATTTTGTTCGGTCATAAAGGTACAGACCCAAGAAAGTGAGAGCAATGCCTGCACCTTGAATGGGCGTTGTGGGACTCCTGAACCAGACGAGGGCCAGGACAATAACGAATACACGCTTGATCAGACTGGCGACTGAGTAGGTAACAGGAGAGACAATGGAGAGAAGGATAAAAGCGAGAATGTTCTGGGCAAAATGGAAAACGCCATTGAAGATGAATTCAAGAGTGAGTCGTCCATGATCCATCGAGTTAGGCTGCTCATTCAAGTCAACTGAACCCTCTCGATAGAAGTTCATGAGGAGAGTGAACCCCTCTGACCAGAACCATATAGGCAGGGTAAGAATGAAGGCCATGCCGGAAGAGTAGCAAAGCAGATTGAGCTTGTCTAACTTCTTTGGCGGCGAATGCGGCGACTCAGCTTCAGCCTTAGCAGCCTCATTGAACAGCTTCTTAGAGAAGATGTTTTGCGTGACAAAGATGACGGTAGCTAGGAGAGCATGGATAACCCCGATGAGCTCTCCACCATAGGTGGTCTTGCCAGAGCAGGCCAGCATAACACCAAGCGTCAGAGGGATCAGAGACAAGTATGTAGTTCTCGGGTACCGAATGTCGTACACGAATCTGTAAGCGAAGACGGTAAAGAGGGGCGAAAGACCCTTGATCGTATGAACAAGTGATACAGGGATCTTGGAGGTTGCTGTCGAACTGAGGAGGTGGCCTCCGATCTGGAATGCCGCAAGTGGAAGGGTCGTTCTGATAACGTCGCGGGTAGGCTTTCGAATTGGGTGCTTAAGAGCTGTGATCTTTGTTCGCAAGATGGGGAACAAGGTCGCCATCCATGCCATCAACATACATAGCGACGATACGAAAGCGAACTGGACCAACGTTAAAGTCGCAGGTTTGTCAAAGGCTATCAGGATGGACTTTGAAGAGGTGTTTGTGAGCGCAGACGAAGCGTACCACAACAGGCACAGAATCTGTGTAAGCGCAACATCAGGTCAGCACTTGTACTGGGAACTCTTTACTTGGGACTCGGCAGAACGGGCGTACAATGAGTTTCGGGGAGACAGGGGCTCGCAGAGCATCGGCGATCTCGTGGGCGTTCTGACTAACACTGCCATTGCGACCTCTTATTGTACGAATGGCATCTGTAAGACTCTTTTGGCGACCATGCCCTCGAGACGCTGTTGCCCAGCCGTTATCTTGCCTCGAGACAGGTAGCCATCGATCTGAGGGACGAGGGGGCGCGCCGTTTGCCCAGCCCGGAGGGTTTAGAGGGCTCTCCGCGGGAGACTCGTCCAGAGGCGTATCGACGAAGTCGGGGAACTTTTCCATCACAAGGTGCAGGTTGTGATAAGTAGGGAGACTAGATTGCGACGTTTAACGGCGCAAGGGCCAAAAGATGGAGCTCGGAGGCCACACGGCGAGGTTGGGTGTTCAATTCGATTTGGTTCGATAACGAGCGACGAGAGACGAGATAATATTCGGGACTAATTTACAATCGTTTTCGGAAACGTATGCTCATTGCTTATCAAGGCTCGACTGGTGATGTACTATGTTCCAAGTACTTGTAGACTATTGCCAAGACGCGAGTTGGAAGTTGAATGACGAGACCAAAGTCAGGTCAAGTAATCGAAAACGAACGAAAGTAACACCGAGAGCGGACAAGATGTCGAACGAGTGAGTAGGATGGGAAGGGCTGCCGACTCTATCCACAAAGTAGAGGTTGATAAAAAAAGAACAGAAAAAGGATGGTGCCAAGTTACAATTAAAAAGTCACTGTAGCTTCTGTTGGATGGCGTTGATGGTGCAAGTGGGATAAGCAAGGTACCGCCTATGATTAAATCAAGGGGGGGCCCAAGCGCCAATAAGACGACGAATCGATGCCAGATAGATTCCACACGGGGGGTTACAAGGGAGCACCTTCTGTAATAAGTCTGTAACTAACATTACGTGGCTTACCGGGGACCTCGAGCTCCTATCCGCGGTTAGTCCGACAGCCGCTATAGATAAGCTGATAAAGACTTGTTGCTAGCCGCCTGGAGCCGCGACGGATTTTATGTTACGTTAGCTCTAGTAGACTTTTGAATCGTCGCGCGAATGACTCCACTCGTATCAGCCAAACCAATCTCTTAGTTAGCGCATCCAAAGGTTATTCACTTTGCTTCCAATACACTTCTTCAACCATTTAACGTCTCAAAGCTCACTTTGTCTGTTGGGCATGAGCAGGGACCCTAAACAGTACATCCTCGCGGTCGCCAGTTTATACGCCCTTTTCCAACTCACCACTCAGCTCTCGAATCCTGCCGCGAACAAAAGACAATATCTGGTCGCGACGCCACCGTCGCCAGCTTCGCATTCGCCATGGCGGCCCCAAAGATGACCAAGAACCAGATGCGAAGGGCTAAGAAGAAGGAGCAAAAGAAGGCTCAAGTAGACGTGCGCTCTATTACCTTTCTCTTAGTTGCGCCATCCTGTACTGACGCGCTGCAGGCTACTCCTGTCAAATCCGAGGAGCAGGCGACAAAGCCCGACGAGACTGACTCCGCCCCCGAATCATCAACGACGGACCTCGAGGTTAAGAAGGAATCCACGATTGAAGATGCCGCCCCTATAGATGGCCCTGCACTCGATGACGATGCCCTGGAGGAGGATCCTGCATATGCGATGTACAAGGACATCTTCAACAAGTTCGGCGTGTCTATGGAAGAGGATGAGATTGCCAAGGAGGCCAACGCCGGAAATACAGGAACAGTATTTTATGCTGACGACGACGATATTCCTGACGAGGATGAGGAAAACTCAGGCCCACCCAAGCTATCCAAAAAAAAGAAGAAGCAGCTCAACAAGCTATCTATTGCAGAGCTCAAGGCTTTGGTCAAGATTCCCGAAGTGGTGGAGTGGCAAGACGTCTCTTCCTCGGATCCTCGCCTGCTTGTCCAGATAAAGGCTCAGCGAAACGTCGTGCCAGTACCGACCCATTGGTCGCTGAAGCGAGAGTACCTGTCCTCAAAGAGAGGTATTGAGAAGCCCCCTTTCCGCCTTCCTGGATTCATCGCGGAAACCGGCATCACCGAGATGCGCGACGCCGTCCTTGATAAGCAAGCAGAACAGTCGTTGAAGCAGAAGCAGCGCGAACGTGTTGCTCCCAAAATGGGCAAGCTCGATATCGATTACCAAAAACTCTACGATGCCTTCTTCCGTTTCCAGACCAAGCCCGAGCTGACACGATTCGGTGAGGTTTACTACGAGGGTAAGGAGTCTGAGGTTGACTACCAACATTTCCGACCAGGTGATCTTACTGAGGGTACTAAGGAGGCCCTGGGAATGCCGCCTGGCGCGCCACCACCATGGCTAATCAACCAGCAACGATTTGGACCTCCTCCATCCTACCCCACCCTCAAGATTCCTGGCCTGAATGCGCCACCGCCTGCTGGAGGCTCCTGGGGTTTCCATCCCGGTGGCTGGGGCAAACCTCCTGTTGATGAATTCAATAGACCTCTGTTTGGCGGTGATGTATTTGGCCTTGCGGCGCAGGGCGGCGGCCAGGGCCAAGGGGCAGCACAAGTGCTTACGGGAGCTGGCGAGCCTGTTGAGAAGAACCTGTGGGGTGAGTTGCAGCCACGAGAAGAGGAATCAGAAGAGGAAGAGGAGGAAGAGTCTGATGAAGAGGAGGACGAGGAGGAAGAAGATGCTCCCGGTGAGCTCGAAACACCTAGTGGCCTTGAGACTCCTGGTGGCTACGCCAGTACAGTGCAACCCGACTACGGACAAGGTGTCGAGACATCCATTGCCGGTGAAATGGATCTACGGAAGGAGCGTCGTGGCCACGACACGGAAGAGTCCAGTGCTCCTCGATCCGCCTATACTATTCTGCCAGAACGTCAAGTCCGTGCTGAAGGCTTCTTTGGTAGCGATAGAGTATACGATCTCAAGCAGGCTCAAGCAGCCCAACGAGCGGGTGTCCCTGTCCTCGGCGTTGACGATGACTCACGGAAGCGCAAGAAGCCTGGCGATATCGATGTTGCTCTCGATGTTGACTCGCTTCACAACAACGACGGTATCAGCAAGGACGACCTGCGGCGCAAGTTCGAGGAGGGTAAAAAGGAGGAGGGTATTGGAGCCAAGTGGGCGTATGATGACGACCTTAGTGAGATGATCGCCCTGGAGAGCCGAAAGAGACAGAAGACGGAGGCGGAGCGTAATGAGAAGAAGAAGGAGGGCAAGGGCAAATACTAATCAATTATCAATCAAGAGTCAAGAGTAGTCAGAATTGTGCTATGGATGGGAATTCGGGTTGGTGACTAGGCGTTATTATATCTTGTTTATCGAAGAGCCGCTTGGTGGCTAGACTAGGACGAATACCATGCTTCTTGAAGTTTCAAAAGTGCATCAAAGGCATGTGTGTAGAGTAAATATCAAACTCTTGGCTCTATACAGCGTTCTCTCAACGACATGTAAACAATTGGGCTTCTTACTTGGAGACTCAGGGAGTTATCGGACATCTTCTGGTTACCAGAACAAGAAAGAAAACTTTAATTGCCTGAAGCCGCCCTCGATTTGGAGCATATCGTCGTGGTTTGTTTTTTATGCTGCCTGCACCCAAGACAGCGTTGGAGAGCGTAATCCGCAAAAATGGTGTCGAGAACATGTCGCATTCAGGTTCAGCCGCCAGCTCTGCAACGAATTTGCCTGGCCTATTGTGTTGGCACCGTTATAGAGCAGATATTTCTGAATCGGTTTATTTTTTTTTTGTTCCTGGTAAGAACCTGGTCATCTAACCACTGCTCATTGAAATCACTAAACATCAGCCTGCCAGGCACTATTTCACATGCCAACATATCGATTGGAAAATGAAAGAAAAGAAATTAAGATATGGGTATGAGCTCTTGCATTGGTGACATTCGCTACGCTTCACATGTCATGAAATGTGGCCAAATGTACCTACTTGAGCACTTATATGACCTCTATACTGATGTATGCTGAATCTCGGTGCATTGATACCTACTTCTGGGAGCGAACTCAAGACATTGTTTTCAGTGTCGAATTGCGCGCTAATCTTTAACTGAAGGACAAGACTACCTGTTGGCTGGCGCCAAAGGGTACTAAAATAGAGGTAATGAACCTGGGATTTCGATAGGAGGAGCTGGTAATAAATGTCTCGTTCAGAAACCAGTGTTAGTTGGAGCTATTGCGTATCATAGTGGTCTGTTGTGGAAGCCAAACATATGAGCATTAACAAAAAGTTAAGGTTGTACGGATACCTAAGCAAAAACATACAACAGCGGGGATTCGCTGGTCGTCACCGACCCAACTACTAATCCGCCGGTTAGTGGCTTGACTATGGGAGAGCGGACGGGATCCCGTATTTTCCACTACCTTTGGTCGTATGTATAAGAAATGGTTGTATCTTAAACTATAACCAAAACTTATCTTTCCACCATCTCTCATTGTGGAAAAGAAACCGAATAATACGACACAGCTCAAGCGCAGACGCAGAGCACGCAGACGCAGTCAGTGCACTAGCTCCTGTTCAATCTATACGCTAAATCTCTAATGCAGTCACACTCAAGCCAAATGCTAGAGCTTTCGGAAATAAATAGCAAGGCATCCAAGGTAGATCCAAGAAACGAACAAGCAGCAAGCAAGAGCAAGAGGGCTGCCGCAGTAGAAGACTGGGAAATATTTCTTGGGCTTTTGGGACCTAGTCACTACCATCAAATGATAAAGTAGAATCTTCAATGGGTTGATATGTAGCAGCCCATTTGGAGAACAGAACAAGGACAGGCAACGGTTTGCAAGACAGATTCTGGCAGAGGTTCAACAAGGGTCCCGGTCTGTCAACAGCTCAATCGTGCAGCATAAGCGCGATCTAATTTCAAGGCCAGAAACGAGGCTATATAATTGGCCAGAATTAAGGCTCTCTCGTGTGCTTAATATCTCGGCGAGGTTACAGTTGGTAGGTAGTCTGAAGTACACGTGACCACTCACAATCGATAACCTGATTGGGAAATTTATTCCTAAAGTTTAAGTGCCAGTATGAGGTAACCAGGTGACGCACTGTGAGGTGGGGGAAAACTTTTGTCAAACAATTATAGCCTGCATCCTGAAGAGTCATAATTTTTTTCTTGCGCGGAGACAACTTTGCGAAGACGATTTTACGAATACCACCGATCTATCCCGTCCGTCGCCGAACCCACGATTACAATGGCTTCTACCCTCGAGGCTGAGGTCCCTCACAACAACTTCGACGTACGTACTGCCACTACCCCGCCAAAGCCTAGAAGTTTGAGTCTCGAGACTCACTTTGTCTTCACTTTCCCCGATTTGCGATTGAACATCCTCGTGGGTGTAGAAAAGCTTGGCCGTATAATATAAAACGCTATAATAGCTTGGACAGACTTGGAGGCGGTAACAAACCTCTGTCTAGGTGTTCCTGGAATTCCTAGCTGAGGGCCAAGTCTTTTCTACACCCCGCCATCACCCTGGACAAAGCGTGCAGGCGCAATACATGCACCACCGTAACGAGAGCGAACTGGCTGACACTGTCTTTCCAGACCATCTTGGTGCTCGATTTTGGCTCGCAGACAAGCCACCTGATCTTGCGACGACTCCGAGCTCTTGGTGTCTTCGCTGAGCTGCTTCCGTGTACCACCAAGGTCACTGAGCTGTCATGGAAGCCCAAGGGAATTATCTTCTCTGGAGGTGTGAAATCTTTTCGATGTGTGCGTTTAACTGAGGTCTGACTGAGATACTAGGCCCTTCTTCTGTCTATGACGAGGGCTCGCCCCGTACGGTTCCCGTCTTTTGAATGTCCTGTTGCATGTGCTCATATGTGTAGATGTTGATCCTGCTGTTTTCGAACTCAATGTGCCTATTCTGTGGGTGCTCTCCAACCTTATCTCAATTTTCCGAACGTAAATTAACACTCATTCACAGTGGCATCTGGTATGGCTCGACTCCAACATCCATCGATACCCGCTATGACACTAATACTGTAACCCCAGCTATGGTTGCCAGGAGATTGCTTGGCGAATCGACTCAAAGAATGTCGTCCGTGGAGAGACACGAGGTTTGTGACATTTGGGAGACTACCTCGAATTATTTTTGACGCTTCTCATAGAATATGGCCATGCGGACGTTACCATCAACAAAGTCAACACTCATGCCGACCGGCTCTTTGCTGGAATGGGAGACGGCATTTCTGTCTTCATGTCCCATTTTGACAAGCTAATCAGCCTTCCCAAGGTGAGTGTAGACGTATTCGGGTTTTTGGACTACTTATTGACTTTGATAGGACTTTGTGGTCATTGCTGCCACCAAGAACTCTGAGTTTGCCGGCATTGCCCACCAGGAGAAGCCCATCTTTGGTTTGTCTCCCAATCTGCATTCGTGGTTCAGATTACTGGAGGATGCTAATAAGATGACTAGGTGTCCAATTCCATCCCGAGCTCGAACACGTTTGTCTCTCTTAGGCCTTGGATTGGAACCCGCTCTAACATTCGAATCTAGACCCCACGTGGAACCGAGCTCCTCTTCAACTTCAGCGTCAACATTTGCGGAGCCCAAGCAAACTGGAAGATGGGCAACTTTGTCGAGCTCGAGATTGCTCGCATCCGGGAGCTTGTTGGTCCCAAAGCTCTCGTTATTGGTGGCGTGAGTGGAGGTGTCGACAGCACTGTAGGAGCGACTTTGATGCGAGAGGCCATTGGAGACCGATTCATCGCTATCGGTGTGAACAACGGCTGCATGCGTCTCAACGAGTTCGAGGAGGTCAAGAAGAACCTCAGGGACCACCTTGGCATCAACCTTACCGTCGTCGAGGCTGGTGACTTGTTCTTGAGTCGTCTTGAGGGTGTTTCTGACCCCGAAAAGAAGCGAAAGATCATCGGATCAACTTGTACGTACTCTGAGTTATCTTGTATGGGTTTGCAACAGTGGATACTGACTGTACCAAAGTCATCGACGTGTTCGAGAAGGAGGCTATTAGAGTAAGTAAATTCCTTTTGGCGTTATGGATGATTTACTAACAGTGCCTCTAAGATCGAGAAGGAAGCAGAGAACACACCAAACTCCGGTAGAGTGGAGTGGTTCCTGCAAGGAACACTATACCCTGATGTGTAAGTTGTTTTAGAGCCTCTAGTGTACAGTCCCAGCTAATAGCAGACAGCATCGAGTCGCTCTCATGGAGAGGTCCTTCAGCGACAATCAAGAGTAGGTTGAGAAAGCTCGGCAGGCAAGAAGTGGGACTATAGCTGACTGAAGATAGCTCACCACAACGTCGGTGGTTTGCCCGAGGTAAGAAAGCCAACATCCCTAGAGTTCACTTCTTTTTTACTAACTAGCATGTAGCGAATGATGAATGGCGTAAGTCGAACACCGCTCAACTATGTATGATCAAAACTGACCAGGTCGGCTCATTTAGCAAGGTTTACGTGTAAGCACACTTCTTCCTATAATTACGAAGTGGAACCTGACATGACATCTATCACAGCTTATCGAGCCGCTACGACTTCTATTCGTAAGTCCCTATACTTATCTTTAACTAGGCTTGGCCATGCATCTAACAATATGTCACAGAAAGATGAAGTGAGGGTAAGATAATAAAGGGTGTGAAGATCAATTTCACTTTTACTAAGCTTTACAGGCAATTGGTCGTCAACTCGGCATTCACGAGTCGCTGGTTGGCAGACATCCATTCCCCGGGTATGCTGGCCACCCTTGAGTTTCTCGTTCTTACTATGCTTGGAGTGTTGGCTAACTGAATCGAATGCAGCCCGGGAATCGCTATCAGAATTCTTGGTGATGTCACCAAGGAGAGAGTTGAGATCGCCCGAAAGGCTGACAACATCTTCATCAACATGATCAGGGAGGCTGGTCTTTACGACGAGGTAGGTCGCGTTGCACATGCGAATGAATGCACACTAAACATGCCATTAGATGTCCCAAGCCTTCGCTGGTCTTGACACTAGCCGCAGTGTTGGTGTTTTTGGAGATCAGCGTGTCTGGGGTTACATTATCATCCTCCGCGCTGTTCGCACTAAGGACTTCATGAGCGCCGAGGTGTTCAACTTTGACAACGCGTTCCTCCAGGTAAATCGCGCAATCCGTGTAACGATTTTCTTCTCGCATACTAATCACTTCCGTAGGAGGTCTCGCGCGCCATTTGCAACCAGGTAGATGGCGTATCCCGTGTTGTCTATGATCTGTAAGAAATTGACGGCTCCTATGAATCCCGAGCTTCGTACTGACACAATCTTCTAGAACTTCAAAGCCTCCTGGCACTATTGAGCTGGAATAGACATCATGACGGAATGCATGGCATTATGGACTGGGAAGAAAGACAGAGAGTAGATTCTATACCGGTCGGGGACTTCTAGAAAGGCAGATAGAATGGAAAAGGCGAATGGGTTCAAAATTGATTGCATTATGATGATGGTCGTCTTGGTGGTGAGACGTAAAGTGTAATGAAGACATCGAGTTGACAAGAAAGAAGCCACGGATAGCCCGTTGTTGGTGCTCGTAGGTATCAGTTTGTGCAGTGTATGTTGTATCGAGCCTGAATGTTAGTGGTCTCATTCCCACAAGCCATAATGTCTACGACTGTACTCTAATCAAGGACTGCTGTGACACGTGGATGTCAACTTCGAAGTCACAAAGCTAGTTCTGAAATTAAGACGACACATATTTGCAGTAGCAAGCAATTTGTTTATCGCACCGTATAGAACTAGATGAACACCATAGGAAAGGCGTGACTAACAGGTGTGGAGACCCGGGAATAGCTTCATGGCTAGATCAGAACTCAGGACGGTAAGTTTTGGTTCAGTGATGCTTCTGCGGGCCACCACAGGCGATTAAACGGCGAATGACGAGTGTTAGTTAGCATCAATATCCCTGGCAGGTTCATGCAAAATAGAGGCCAGAGTGACATAATGTATTAAATAACTCGGGGAAAAGGAAGAAAAAGAACAAGAGAAGGTTATCGCTTCGAGTAGCGCATCAATTGTGGTGCCGGAAACCCGCATATGAGGAGTCTTTCCAGATACGCAAGACACGAGGACGAAGTTACGTACCCTACGACGTGATATTAGGTACATCCACCTCGGAAAGTAAGCCCAATGCAAGCTTTTGGTTCCCGGATTCGATATAGGTAAATTACTGATGTTGCTTTTATCCGCTCTTACTGAGTAGCCTTTCTTATCCTGGGTCTCATCTGGGGTCGTATGATATATGTGCCAACTCATGATGGCGAGTGCTTGGTCTCACTTGGCTCACTTGAGCAATATGGAGCAGAGATTACCAGCCTCCAGTCCAACAGGAACATTTCATATTCACACGCTGGCACCAATCTTATCAATTATGTATACGACCAGTCAACTACAAAATGCTTATCCTCTCTCTGATGAAGGCATGATCAAGGCCATGACCAACAGAGTGCCTATGACGGGGTAGCCATGATGGAATCAAGCACCGCTCAGCTGGTGCTCAAGTACGCGTAGACATCCAACAAGAGATATTAAAATAATGTTGGTGTGTAGTTTAACTCAATTTGTCCATACTACAACGCATCAACAACAATCCTCGTTGAGCCATGATGGAGGCATCATTCCCCCACCAATCGTGTCGACCTAAGACAAAGGCCTAGAGTGACCAAATCACGCCATACGCCTAAGGCCGCTTATATACACACACATGCACCATAAGTCGTTCTTAGAAACTATTCATTTGGCCACAAGCTCTCTGTTGAACGACACGATTAGCTCTGCGTTCAAGAGTGCCCATCTAAAACAAAATCGTGGGTATACGACGGTGTCCTTACTAGCACTATCATAAATCCCAAAAGGTGAGACGCTTTAAGATATTATAGTAGCAACTTGTAGTTGTCTATAGCATTCAACCGGGAATGCAATACAACTGATATACCTCACTCAAATTCCATGTCTAGAATATTTGGTCTACACTACGTGGCTCACTCTCCGTACTCAGTCCCGTCTGCCAACATCATCATTTTGAGGATGCGACCATATCCGAGGACCGACAATTCATCCAGTTACTGTATGAATTATTATAGTAAGTGTTCAGTTAGGTCCTCCAATATATTTACATGCAATTATTTGAGTCCCCGCTTACCCAATCATTCATATGCAGCATGTATGGAGTACTTCCCACCTTTTCTCGTGTCGTATTTCGAGGCTCACAAATACATAGACGGCGCAGTAAACGGAGTCATGCCAGTGTCTTTCCATATAATACGTCGATTTAAAACGGTACCCAGCTACAGGGTGATGATGATGATGATGATGATGCCTAAACCAAGTAATCCCTAAAAGGTATCACGAACCTGCTTAGGTATGCACTTACTTATCGAAGACCAAGCTACAACAGCTGCAACACCAGGCAGCAACGTTCAAAGTACTCATTGTATTCTCAAAGCTGTATATAGTACGAAGTACGAAGTAATAATCATCGTTATTTCGTGTTCGTAGCACGGGAATCGATACGTGCTGCAATAGCTTCATGCACCCTCAATGGCAACACAGTCAGACTACGCCGCCGGTTCCATTGCTTTGAAAATTCAAGCAACAATGCCCATATTAGGTAGTAGATACTAACCACCCTAATAATGCCCGGCTGAGTCTCATCATATTGAGACATACAACAGTCTGCTTGCCCGCGTGTTGGGTGCTGCAGTCAGTCTTATCATGTGCGTCTATGTGTACCCGTCCGTAGAGGCAAAACGCTGCAAGCACAGTCTGAACTCCATGGACGCCTTTTCATAGACTGTGTAGAATTGCCCTATTACCTACCTTGACTCTATGATACAGTAATGCAGGACATCTAGTTTCTCTCCTCGATATGCTTCTGCAGGGCCGCATGATTAAGAAGGATTCCTTTGCCCATTCTTCAGTACAGGCACAAACCATTATATTCGCGTTCAAAACGCACATAAACAACATAATAGAGTTAATATAGTGATATAGTACAAAACCACCGAGTCATAAGTTACTCCAACTTATTGAGTCGATAAGAAACCCAGAACCTCCCATCACCCAGTCAAGAATTCTCCTCTAACTTGGCTAAGTACCGTTGCAATCGACTCCTGGCATGATTCCTTTCTCATCAATATCCATTCCCACCAGCGCCCAAAACGAGTATGAAAAAAACAAACAGATGCCATCTTTCCGCTCAAAATGTCGCCAGGTTTTGTTGCAGTCCACCACGGGGGAAAAAGGCTTGTAATCACTACTCTTCACTTCTTTCTCGAGGCCACTGCCCAATCCTAGCTTTTCGGGGCCTGCCTCTCTGTCTCTTAGCTGATGGTTCGGCCGAGCCAGTCTTCTCAACAGACCCTGCAGTGTGTGTGTTTGCAGGTCTTTTCCTCAACACTTGACGAGTAGTCATCAAAGGAGGTGCCTTTGCGTTTTGCAACACAGTGTTACTGCGTGTATTGCGTTTACTTGGGACGTTCAGTAAAAATGAGGACACCGCGCTCTAGGTGGATCCTTCAGTTTTGCTGCACTCGTTGCAGCACCACCTTGGGCGAGTCACTGGCACAACTGCTGACTCTTCAACGCAGCCCGCATGGTAGAGCCGACTGGGACATTTCTATAAGGGTTGTTAGCTGACAATTCAGCATACAAACAGCGTATGCATTACCTTGTTGGAACAGACCAGCAAAGAAGGTCCAAGGACGGGGAGTTGGCACACTGTACACCCATTTGTGCCCTTCACGATTTGTGAAGCGCGAGGTGACTGCTTTAATGAAGCATCGCCCGGCTCTGTACTACTCGTTTGCTCGTTGCCGTCGCCAGACTTCAGCTCGGCTCTTGCTTCGTCAATCAACTTTCCAGCATTTTCAATGCTCTGGTCATCCAGAATATCGCGCACCATCAAAACACACAAGTGCTTGCTGTACTCGTTCATTCGATGACTTGCACTTACCAACCACAACGCGTTCTCTCTGACAAACTTGAGCCAAGCCCGTCTCAAGTATGCTCCAGCAGTGACACTCTCCTGAAGAATAAACGCGTCCCACCTGCGGATGTATTCCTTCTCTTCAGCCGATACGTCAGAGAATTCGCCAATGTCTTCGCGATGCTTCTGGATCAACCATGAGCTATCCACTACAGATTTCGGCAGTTCCTCGCCCGGCTTGAGGCGCGCCTTGCTGATTGGGTCGAATAGAGGCTGTATTGAGTCCGGAATAATGACGCTCTTCTTCTTTGGTCGTAACGCCACTGGTTTGGCCACTGGTTTGGCCACTGGTTTGGCCACTGGTTTGGCCACTGGTTTGGCCACTGGTTTGGCCACTGGTTTGGCCACTGGTTTGGCCACTGGTTTGGCCACCGTCGTGGGCTGCGAAGGCTTTTTGACAGGCTTGTCGAAGAGCTGCCTTGCAGTAGTGGGCTTTGATGGGCATTTTACAGGCTCATCGATATGATCTGGGCCGAAACGCGAAGCTGTCCAGGAATTTTCCCCATCAACGTAATCTTGCAGATCGAACGATTTTGTCGGCTTCCCGAGCTGCAAAGTCTGTGTTGGTGAACCAGCAGAGCCAGAAATCCGAGTAACACGAAATAACGGCCCTTGACTCGTTGTTTCCAGTGCATAATCGTAGTTTGCATGATATTCCTTTAGATGAGCTCGCAATAGTGCCAACGAATCATTGAGGCACCCGCAAGTCAAGCACCGCCAGGAGTCAAGGTACACCGGCTCATTGATTGGTGGCAAATATGTGACGCGACCTTCGACCTGCGCGAGGTTGCCGGGCCTCACCCGAGGTTTGCGCTCTTTCCCATGAGCTTGCGCAGTCAGTACTTTGAGGTTGTATTGCTTATTGTTGGTCCTCTTTCGTAACGCGCGGTTAGGAGTCTGGTCACCTTCTAATTCCTCCTCAAGTTCATGTGAGTGGTCATGTGAATGGTCATGTGAATGGTCATGCAACGAGTCCTCCTCATCAACACGCTCGCTCACGCCATTTGACTCTCGAATACCATTGACGCCGTTAGCATCGTGCGCAACATCATTGATGCCATTTGCATCAGCCATGTCATGATCCTTGTCATCGTTGATTCCTTCAATATCGTTTGTGCCGGCCATGTCATGATCGTTATCGATCCCGTTGATGCCATTCGCGTCAGCTGTGCCATGGTCCTTGTTGCTGTCGGTCCCATTGACACCGTTTACAGTAGCCATGTCATGGTCTTTGTCGATTTCCTTAGTGTCGTTTATCTCAACCATATTATGATCCTTGTTAGTCCCATTGATGTCTTTCGTTCCGACCATGCCATGATCATCGATGTCATTAATGCCGCCAATTTCATCGATGTCATCGATTTCGTTAATTCCACCGATTTCATCGATACCGTTAATTCCGTTGACTTCATTCAGATCGCTCATGGCTTCGAATCCATCCACGCCATTCTCACTATCAGATGGACTAGTACATTCAAGTAGGTCGTCGAAGATGGGTTCAAGTTGCCCGTTTGTGTAAAACGCGGCATCTGGATCGAAAGCAGTGATGCAGTTTTTGGCGGTAGTATCAACAGATCGCAAATTCGTCGCCCAGCGCAAATCTACATCCATGACATAGTCTGTTGACCGTTCGGGACGTTGTGGGTGAAATCCGGTTGTGAGCTTGACCGGATTTTTGCTCCTGGCGTACACCTGGGCAAACTCGCTGTGCAAAACCCATTTCTGCTTGTTGGTTTCCGGAAGAAGGGATTGCTGTTGTGCGGAGAACCCCAGCTCATTGGCATCGAGTGGTGGCCATGTGCCATCGTGGATCGACTCAAAATCAACATCGAGTTTGTACGAGGTTGAGAAATCGTGAGCCTCATCATCTTGCCTATTGACCAGAATAGTTTCTTCGGGTATAAGAAACGGTTTAGGCAGTTTGATGTATGAGATTCGATGAGGACCAGCTGGGTTTTTGTGTGTGAGAATGTCGCACGCTTGACTACTGCGATAGAGGATGTGAGTGAAACCCTTGCTCACATCAGAAACCGTGATTTGGCATTTGCCCTTGCTGTTGAGGACCCCTTCGGTTGGAGGAGGAGCTTGAAGAGATCGGGTTTTCTTAGAGTCTTTATGAAAGAGCTTATGAACATCAATGCGGAGAGTTGAGCGCTTTTCTTGATCCAGGGGTGAGACGTGTTTGACAGGATCGGAAGTTGATGTTTTTTGACGCTTCTGTGGAGGGCCGGCGTCATCCTGACTCTTGAGTGTAGAGAAACTCGCACCCATGCTTTTTGCGTTGTGTCCAGCTTGCCAGTTTTGCTGAGTAAAAGGAGCAGTCCTTGAATATGTCTTCTTTTGAGTCATGGCGGAGGAAAAGGAAAGCAAGACCATGCGAAAGTTGAGAGATGATGTGCTGAGCCGGGCGATGAGGGCGAATCTCTATGATGGACCTGTTTGCAAAAGGTGACAACAGCTGCTGTTGTGGTATGGGCCAGCGAGTGAGAAAGCAGCATGAAACGCAGTTGTATGCTGTTGCGGTGACTGTGGCAAAGAAGCAATGGATTATTTCAGTAGTTGATGGCTTTGACGATCATTATAGTCGCAGTTTGTTGTCGTCATGCAAACTGGACAGAGGTGTTTGTCAGGGTAGAAAAATGACGATGGGGAGAAAGAGAAGAGGCAAGTCAAAGACCAGACGGATAGAGGCAAATGCGAGAAAGCAGGCGACGCCACAAAATGTAGAATCGGGTTGGAAGAGGAAAGAGAAAGAGAAAAAGAAACAAAATTAGGATAAAGAAGTGGCGTAACAACAAGAAAGATAGTCTTTGAATAAAGAGACGACGAGTATTGCTGAATGGACTCGAGCCTGGTGTTGGTTGTGGTCTTTCTTGGCTGTGGATGTAAATAATGAGTTAAGGAGGAGATGCGAGAACCCGGTCGCGTGTGATGACAATAGAGAGACAGAGAGACAGAAAGACAGAGAGAGCCCCCGTCACTTCAGCGCTGTTGGCCTGTGGCTGTCGCTGCCACTGCAACTGCTACTGTGTATCCGTATCTCTGGCCTTGTCAGTCCGTATGTGTCGCGTCCTCAACTCAGTGTCGTTCTGTCGCATTGGAGAATGAGAACAATAGGTAGGATGAGAATGTATGGATAGATTAGTAGTTAGGTAGTCCTCATGAGAACAAGCCTAGTAGGGATACTTTTTGCTGAGTGAGCGAGCGCGGTAAAAATAAAAAAAGGATAAGGCACAAGGCACAAGACGCGTGCCAGTGGCAGGTGGAGGACCAGCCCTGGAGGTTCTATCGCGACTCCCCCTAGAGCCTAGCGCCGTGAAGCCTGGGCCTGGCAAGCCTGGAAAGCCTCCACGGGCTAGGAAGTCGCGAAACGCCGGCCATTCAGATGCAATAAATGAACAGACCAGCGGGGCGGGGACAAGAACCCGAGCTCACAGAGGAGCTAGAGCAGCGAATTACAGGCTCTGCCTCACACAAACCTGAACTGAGATGCCCGCTGGAAATTATTATGCATGCATGGAGGCGGGGGATGCTGTGCCCCTTTAGACTAGGTAAGTAGCCCGGTTGCCCGTTCTAGTTTGCGACTCGGCTGTCAAATGCATCCAGTTGATTTCGTCTTTTCGCGATTTCAACCTGGTCCATCATGACACGGAAGCCTCATCATGGCTTGTTGCCAGCGACTCATCTCCATGGTTTGAGCTGCCCAACTCTCAATTATCTATTGCCTGCCTTATATCTCTCTCTGGAACCAGTAGATATTACACAAAAATCAAATGTTTGCTCTCCCATATTATGCATGCCGTCCCGAGGTAACTTTACAGGCAGGAGTGTATGAAGAATTAGCTGTGAGGTGAACACCAAATCCTCAGCGACATGACAAGATAGGTCCGACCAATATACTATGAGCAGATCCAGGCAACCTATCCAGAATGTTCCATAATGGTATCATGGCTTTTTTGGTCACATTCTTTCATTGGTATATTGTCCCCAAGCAATGCCCTCTAAGCTTTGTTTCCCAAGTCCATCCATATCCATAGCCTTGTCACGTCTTACTATGGGCCCCTCTTTAATTGGTCGTGGGCAATGACACTCGCAAACAGACCCACTCTACAGTGAACTACCTAACGCAAGGCTGCATCTTGTCTCCTCTGAGGAACCAGGTTCGATCGTGCCCCTCCAACTCTCTTACCACTACATCATCTTCACGCCAACTTCTTTGTTCCACGTCGGTCTACAACATCAAGACACGGCTCAACCCAATTAAACCTAAATATTGTCCTTCTTGCTTTTTGACTCTCTTTCTGGTGTATATTCTTGTCCTTTGGCCCGGCGATTGCCCACCGTCTTGAGGGGAGAGCCCAAAGGCAGAGCCAAGCCTGTCAAAGGTGTGATCAGTCCGTTCTTGCGCCAGCACACAGCAGTCAAACCCCAACATCTCTCACGCCATCGCCTTCAATATGTAGATTGTAGATTGTATGGAGAATGTTACTAATATCATTTCCTGTATCAGGCCCTCCAAAATGGTTCGCACTCGAGCTGCCGACCGCCAGCGCATTCCTGATCCTTCCACCCGGCGCAACCCAACCCGACCCTCCGACACACATCCAACACCTAGATCAAGACGCCCGAGGCGGTCGCAAAATGCCAAGATACATTACAACGAATCTTCTTCTGAAGAAGGAGATTCCGACTCTGCCGTGAGCAGCCTACACCGATCCAATGACGTAGACGATGAGAGCCGAGGGGGACGTGATGGACGGGCTTCGTCCGGACCACGATCACGTCGAGTCAAGCAGGTATCTTCTGTAGAGGATTCTTCCGTACGGTCTGGTGGCCGTCGAAGCATCCGGCAGGCCGCCTTGTCTCAGGCTGTTGTTGACCCTAGTGCCTCAGTTGCTGCAAGAGAGGAAAGATCGGTTCCACGGGGACAAACAAGAAAACGACCCAAGTCACCACAGAAGAAGAGAATGTCTTTGAAGAAACGCCGAGTATCTTCGGAAACTGAGACAATACCCGAAGGTATTATTCCGAACTGGACAGACCCCCAAATGCCGTATGCCGCCTGGACCGACATCTTCTACTACGCAGGCATGGCAGGCCGCGATGAACTTGATGCAGGCTGGTTGATAAGTGCTGCTACGACATGCAAAGCCTTGTCAGAAGCTGCCTTAACAGCCATCTACCGCTCCCCGCCTATTTTCACTACAGGAAAAGCCAAGCGGTTTGCGGCGTTGCTGGATCGTCCACCTTCTGAAACTCGATTCAACTATCGCGCAAAAGTTGAGACTCTCTATGTAGATGTTCATGTCCTGCCCCAAGCACTATTACCCAAAATACTCCATGTGCTCCCACGTCTAAAAGAAGTCATCCTCTTCGCACAGTCCACTCAGCCGCCTTACAGGCAACTGGATCACACTGTGAGGTGGCAATACGGCGAAGAAATATTCCATGCCTTGAGGCCAAGCTCTGAACAGCCCGAATCAATTCATGTCGAGGAAAAGGACTTCTGTACTACCCTAAAGAGCTGGGAATGGAGTGGAAGTCTGTTGGGAGGGCCTGTGACCACGATCGATGACATTGCCCGTATGCACCAAGAACCTTCGTTTGCACATCTCACTAAACTGAGCTTTACCAATCTTCAAGTACCATCGCTTTACAAGCTGGGCGTAAAGGGTTTCGACGAGGAACGAGAGCTGCTCTTGCACAGTCAGGATGGAATTTTCATTGAGTCATTGGCTCAGGCGATTTCGCAACTAAAATCGCTCCAACATCTCGTGTTCGAATCTTCTACTGTTATGAATGATCGACTGCTTCCTCTGTTACCAAAAGACCTTACTCGGCTTTCTTTGATCAATTGCTGGGAAGTCAAGTCTGACGAATTTGTGCCGTTCCTACACAGCCATGGCAGACACCTGCGCAGCCTAAATTTGCTACACAATCAGTCTCTAGACATGGTCTTTTTGACAGCCTTGGCAGATACCTGTCCCAAACTAGAGGAGCTGTATATGAACTTGTCATACTTTCACCATCATAATTCCCGGTCTGAGCTTAACAATGACGCGGACCCTTTGTACGACCAAGTCTTGCTACCCCATCAAAAACCCAAGTGGCCCTCAAGTCTCCGGGTCATTGATTTTGAACATATCCGACATTGGACTGTTGAAACAGCCGAGATGTTCATTGAGTCTCTTATAGATAGTGCTGACTCTCTACCAAACCTCCGTCACCTTGCACTCAAAACCATGCTCGACATACCCTGGAAGACCCGTGCTAATATGCGCTACGAGTGGCGGCGTAGACTGGATAGAGTCTTTCTCCGCCCCTTCGAATCGCCGCAAAGAAACTACTCGTTACGCCAAACGCAAGACGCGAATTTGCCTCAATTATTGGAGGAAAAGAAGAGATCAAAGCGCCTTTCTGATGGGCCGTCTCGGCGGAGCAGCCGCTTAGCGGCACATATATCAGATTCAGATTCTAAACACAGCACCAACTCACACTCCAAAGGTCTCCGCAGCTCACATGGCCGGCCGACATACGCAGAGCCTGAGACAGACGACAACGAATTCGATCTTGACTCGGAAGATGAACAAGATCAAATTCTTAGCCCTACGTCCAGCCAGAGTGAAGATAAGACTGAGGGCGAAGGCTCTACCGATAAGTCCGCCAAGCCAGCCATTCAGGGACGCTGCACTACTGTCTCTATTGTTTTCGATAACCAAAAACCAACTGAACTTCAATACGGTATGGAGGATTTTATGGACAATGACCTTGCTGAGTCCGACGACGAGTGGGATGGTGACCACGAAGATGAGGATGATGCAGTTTTTGTTTGGCGATGATACCAATTTTTACACCAGCAGCCGTGATCACCATCTCAGCAATTAGTGGAACCATGAAGCATCTCACCCTAATGTGTAAGCGTGGGATCTTCTTTCCAAGACCATGTTGTTACCCTTTTGAAGTACACAAAAGCAAGCCTTGGTACCCTTAGCAAAGATAGCTGCTAGTCAAAAGGGACCATAATTTGGAAGCTTGCCCGCACATACTCCCAACACGTTGTGGTCTATGATTACACTATTATATACTTCACCAGGGGGAAACCAATTGATGACTTGATTTTCGCATAGATATAACTGTGTGGACAGTCGGGAAAATTCAAACATGTTGTTTCTCTCTCATGGATTTTTGTGATTTGGCCGTGTGAAGTATACTACATCACTGTGTGTATGTCGCCTGAGGTGGACTTGGTCGATATCGAGACTACGGGAGGGGTTGTACAGAGACCAAAAAGAGGGAATAAGACTGCAGTATAATTGAGAAGTGCTGCTATTTAAGTGTGAACAATAATTGATACTTGTTGCTGTCAGTGGTGGGCAACCCATGAGCATACATGAGTCGAAGGTCACATAAAAGCGAAAGAAGAAGCGCAGCATGTCAATCCTCAATTAAGATCCTATCAAAACCAATACACCCACCGTAATGTACTTATAAGTCTTTAGTTTCAGGCCTGTATTTTGTTCGCCATCAACCATACCTACCTACTTATGACAGCATAAACTTGGCTGTTACTGTAGATACTGGGAGTGACATCATAGCACCTGTTGCGATCACACATTAAAACCTAGAGAATTTGTACGATAATCATGCATGCCTCAGTAACGACGAGGAACCAGGTATGCATACAGTGAGCTTCGTCGAATTTATTATCTATAGACCTGCCATACAAGACATCATACAGCACTACCGGCATCACAAGGTACTAACCCTGGTGTTTCTCATGATAACTGACGAAGAAAGTGACGCTTACAGACCGGGACTCGATCGAAAGCCGTGTACTCGGTATTCATACCAAGGACGAATAATGAATTTGTACCAAGCACCTCCAGCGCCAATCCATATTAACCTTAAAAATTGTCCCAGAATAACACTCATTAGAATGCAGCGCCCCCCATGCCTTCACCTGCCAAGTTCTTCATGCTCTTCTCACTCAAGTCACTGCGCATCTCCCAGGCTCGCGAGTCACGCTCCAGCCGATTCCAGGTGTATAAGCTCTTGCGTAGCCGCTCCTGCTTGGCGTGGAGTTCATCTCGTAACTTTTCTTCTTCATCCTTCAGTTTGCGGAAATGCGGCTCTAGCTCTCGGGTAACACCAATGGCAATCGGTGGCATCGATGGATCTATCTTACCACCAGGGATAATAGGAGGCAGCGTTGCAAGCATAGACTGCGCCAAAGTTTGTCGTGCACCACCAGCATGTTGAGCTGATGGTCCAGTCGGAGGATTGAACGGTCGAGACTGTGTTGGTGTTGAGTTTGAGGGGATATTTGAGGGAGCCACTCGTGGACCAGTAGGGATGGAAGGTGGCCCGTTTGGTGTTGGAGGGGTGGGAGAAGGTCCAGGCATGTGTCTTGGTGGTGGTTGATTCCAGCCTCCCCTCCCTCCACGCGAAGCAAAGCCACCTCTAGCCGGAGGCACATAACCTCGCGGGCCGGCCGGTGGAATGGTCGGGCTTGTGGTACCTGAGCGCTGGGGAGGAGCAGTGGGTGTTTGCGTTCGAGCAGGAGGAGCCGGTGCTGGTGACGCCACTGGAGCTGCAGAATTTCTATTTGCTGCAGGGCCAGTTGGAGGTGCCCTCAACGCCGCAGGGCCTCGCGGCGGTGATCGAGATGGAGCAGATGCCATCGAATCGTAGTGGCCAGGTCTGGGGACCTCTCTGGGCGGTGCAATGCCAGACATAGCATGGTGATGAGGAGACACTTCCCGTGACGGAAGTGGTGAGCGAGCCCTCAACGGACTCGGTCGAGGTGATGATCTTCCAGACGCTGATTGAGAAGTGATCGCTGACGAGATTCCGGATTCTCTGGGAGGGCTAACACGCCTATATGACTGGTATCTGTCGTTTCCACGTCGGCTCATAGACCGTGAACGAGGTCTGTATGAGCCACCTCGAGGCACTGTTATAGGCGACCTCACGGGAGGGGTTCTGTCACGACGAATTACACCGAAAGGAGACCTAGATCGCCGTCTTTTGTCAGTTAGTTCCAAGCCGCGAGTGCAGACGAGGAGAACTTACCTATCATCACGCCGCTCGAAGTCGCGCCCCCTATCACGTACTCGATCACGGTCCCATTCTCGGTCTCTGACTCTGTCACGATCCCGCTCCCAATCTCTAACGGGAGCAGGAGACCGAGGACGTTCGTACCTATCCCCACGGGGAGGCGAGCCCCTCCGAGACAAACTACGTCGAGGAGGAGATGGCCGCCTCATGGACCTACTACGTTGTCGGCGTGGACTTTCTCGCTCCCTTGATCGCTCTCGGCGGTATCTATCCCCTCCACTTCTCGACCTACGACGTGGTGGGTATCTCCCGGGAACGTAACTATCGGATCCTGCAGGGATTGGACTCCGGGGACGTGGACTTCTAGGTCTTGGACTCCTTGGTCGATCTCTGACTGGGCTCCTGACTCGTCTGGGTGATCGATCTCGGGGAGTAGGCCTCCATGACTCTCCAGCGCCGTATCTAACGACTTCCCCATCGTCGAACCTGTGTGAGTTAGTAATTGGGCTTGAATAAACGAGTGAGTGTAAGTGTGAACTAGGGAAACGCTGTAGTAGTAAAGAAAAAGGGAGACCAAAGAACCAAGCATGGCTCATTCGATGGTATGTTTATCGCTGAGTGGTTATGTCGATGTCCGAGTTCCCAGGTGAATCCAATGTGGGCTCAATTGGCGGCGTGGCGAAGTGAGATCCATGTGGCAATGCTTCCTGCAATCATTCTCCGGAGGCTCTTTCGGATTCCTGTTTGATTCAAGACGAACAGGCTAGCGGAGTCTAACCCGCTTCAAAAACATGCCGCATCTCTTTGGGTCTTCTGCAGTGATGACGCTTTATTCTCTCCATAACAAGCGCATGCAGCTTGGCATAATGCTGACAAAATGAGATGCCAAATCCAGCTACCGGCCCAGAGGCAAGCTGCGCGATGATTTGACTCCACGTTGCCCGATGTTCCTTGTTGTGCTTCCAGTCTTGTCGAAGATTTCGATGATAAGGGCATGATGCGAGAAGTTCAATGGCGGGACAGACCGTAGCCAGAACAAGAATCAAGCTTATTTGGGTGTTTTCTACAGGTGATTTTCCCAGGCTGTAACCCTGACGAAGTAGCGGCGTTCGAATCGCGATTTCGTAGGATCGAATGGCGACTGTCCATGTTGCGAGCACTCCTAGGGGGTTGCGTGAGACCCAGCGCCCTATCCGTTCATCGTACTCTAACCGGTCGTGTGAGGGACGTTGGTTTGGTCCTTCTTTCCAGTCCAGGTATGGGTATGCGGCGATATGATGCGAGGTCGGAGAGATCGAGCGGGTTCGTTCCAGATGATAGATAGTCGAGTGATTGTGTTTGTAGTCCAAAAGCCAAATGTCGAAGATACCAGGTGATGTCGCAAAGCGAAGGTGTTGATGATAGATGTGCAAAGACGACGGAAAAAAAGAATGCCTTGAGACTTACCTTCGGCCTCGATCACGGTCCATAGCTACCTCTCAACAGTAAAAAGACTATTCGTAGAAAGTGTTTTGTAGTGACTGGTGTATTGCGCTGTGCTTTCACCAAAGCGCAAGCACGCGTTCTTGCAAGTCGCAAGTTGAATGGCGCCCTAAAAGTCAAGTCTAGGTATGAACAGGGAGGTCGGAGATTTCGCATCCCGACTTCCGGGGGTAGATCCGATTAGAGATAAGCACGGTGCGTATCAACTTTGATACTGTGATTGAACCGATAGGAAAAGATATGGCTTGTATCATGTTTGACTTCCTAGAACTTACAGTAAGGTAACTTTATGGCAGTAAATGTATTTATATCTAGGAGCAACGAACGATCTTTCGGTGCAAAATGTGCCACCTCCAGGTATATAACGTATGAAATCTCTATCTCCAGCACTGTTACTGACTAAGACCTTGGGGTAACAATATGCCTCTATGAAAGGGGAGGGTAAAGGTAAAGCAAACGTCCACTAATGTTCAACTCATTACTTTTCCTCATCTGTCATGTCTGCATCAGATCCCTCCTGTATTCGCTCCAAGATCCATTCCCTTGCCTCTTTGGCGTGGTGTGCCATCATTTTGTTGAGACCAAACATTGGGCTGCGCACGACGGTTCCGAAGCGTCGCTTGTGAACTTTCTTCGTTAGACTAGCATCACTCCAGCACGCATGATCTCCCGCGATATAGACACGCGAGTTCTCCTTATACCATGACGAGAGGTCTGTATCAGTGTCCGACTTTACTGGCCGGAGCGTGCCATTTGCAAAGTTGACTACGCCTGAGATTCGTGACTTGCAATCTGTCATGTGTTAGAGCGATCTCTTTTTGCGGTATATTGTTCAACTTACCCCTGTTAATGAGTAGTACCTTGACGCCCAGGTAGGCATTCCCCACGCCCATAATGAAAATGTCGTCGGCATTATACAGCTGGAGATAATTGTCCCATAGGTAACACACCAAGGTTTGGATCTGATCCGTGAGGTCCTTCTCCTTGAAGCCGGGAATATAAGCATCCGAGTCCTAAGAAAGAGGTCAATGACATGCCGATATCACCAAGAGTGTGTACATACCTCCTCATGTGTTATATATGCGGGGATATTGATGTCCATCACACCGAACTTCTGATCGACTGCCCAGTCAATGTAATCGGTAACGCCATCGACCTAACACAATTAGTTTCCTGGACCATAGTCAGTGTTCTATATTCACTCACAACCCAGGCGTTATGCGAATCAAGCGTTGTGTCTATCACATCTAGCTGCGCAAGAAGTTTAGGACTAAAAGATATCAGTAACTATAAACCAGACTCAAAACCATAAGTGAGTGGTTGATGACTTACGGATCATGGATAATGACGAGGACCTTTTTCGCATCTTGAAGTCCTGGTGTCACCAATACCTGGTTCTCGTATGATTTGTATAGATGTTCTCGCTGAATATAAAGGGGTATCATATTATGCTTCGATTGTAGCACTTGCCTCTGAGCATTCCTGATCACATCATGCAGGCGGTTAGAGTTAAGAGATTGAACCTCAGGGATGTTAACCACTCCCGGCCGCATGCATTCCCAATATGGCGCCTGATAAGATTGAACCTTGGCGAGGATACGCGCGGCTTCCTTATTGATCTTTGGCAGCTCCATCTTGGGTGGTGGTTCTCCCATCAGCGTCTTTGCGACTGCCACAGCGGACACTGAAATGGCCTTGAGGTTGTAACCACCTTCCAGACACACCGCGACCTTGCCATCCGCCAATGACATGAGCATGTGTGTCATATGGGCATAGCAACTTGGAGAGACAAAGCAGCCACCGAGCTCATCGCCATCAGCAGCATCAAAACCCGCAGAAATAACCACGAGATCTGGATTGAACTCTTTCGCGATGGGCATAATGATCTTCTGAAATGCCGCCATGTACTCTCCGTCTCCCATACCTTGGTCATGCCATCCAATGTTGATGTTTTTCCCAAGGCCAGCGTCACTTCCGCAGTTGTCTATGCCACCATCAGGAGTCATAGGGTTAGGGGGTTTTCCAGGATAGAAAATGCCATTCTGATAGACGTGAATCGAGATGTACAGAACATTAGGGTCTTGATAGAAGATGTTTTGCACTCCGTTGCCGTGATGAACGTCCCAATCGAGGATGAGTACTTTACGGCAGGTTTCTGGGTAGTCTTGCTGGCATACCCTAACTGCTACAGGGACATTGTTGAAGAAGCAGAAGCCCATTGGAGCATCGAACTCGGCGTGATGTCCAGGTGGCCGGATTACAGCGAATGCATTCTTGACTTGGCCAGTAACCACGTTTTTGCAAGTTTCTATGGCGCCTCCGGCGGACAGAAGAGCGGCCTGATACGACATACTACCGACGTAAAGAGATTCCCGCCCTTGATCATATCGCCTTGTTAGCTCTCGAAGCTCCGCCGCGCTTATCGTGTCCAGCTTTTCGACCCATCTTAGATGATCAGGAGAATGAGCCAGGCAGATCTCCTCTCGCGTGGCAGCACGAGCAGGTATGCGCCACATATATCGCGTAGGACATTCCCTCATTATTCTGGGCAACTCCGCTTCAGGACCAGTATACACAAGGCCTACTTTCTTGAAAGCCTTGAAAATCTCGTGGATACGACGTGGATCCTCCGGGTGATGTGTGTTTGGGGAAAAGTCAGCGTTCATATGCAACTTCATCCGATCATCGTAGCAACAGCCGGTTGGTAAGAGACCTCTTCGTCTCATCTGGTCAAAGGCAAGGTCTTGAGGTTCTGGATCATCGTCCGCCTCATAAGGGTCTTCGGACGCCGTATCATCATTATCGTCTAAGCTTGTGTTGCTTGTCTGGTGGAAGCCATTTGAAGCATCCAAATCCTTCATAGGATGGTCGACAACGTCTGAAGCACTTGTTTCCATGACAGTCAACGAGCAGTATCCTCACTGAAGGTCCTCTGACCCCAGGAGTCGCTTCTGGTCGAAATAGTCAAAGCAAGCGGTCAGCTTGATAACAGCTAGCAAAGGGCTCGCCTATTTAAACGTTAGAGGGATGGCTCGTGTTGAATCAAAGAGCTTCAAGAGTGCAGAAGAGGCTAAAGAAATATAGAATACAAGAAGCGAACAAAGCAAAGTATATTAGCGGAACGAGCTGCATGAGCTGCATGAGCTGCCACTCTTGAAGCTGGTGGGTGTATTCTTGCAGCGGCGCATAAGTCATTTGTGAATCGCAAAAAAAGAAGCAAACATGCAAAGTCCTTGTAAAAAGGTTCTGGTCTGGCTGTAACAAAGCGCTGGAAACAATGCCAAACTTGGTGATGCCAGGCCATGCTAAACAAAACACACATCACTTACCCCTGCTCAAGGTGTCGCGATCGCAACAGTCAGGACGGGCCCAGAGCGAGCAGAGGAATATGCTCCTGGACTACGAGCTTTTATCTGCAGCTCAAAAATCGAATGATAAAGTCGAGGTTGCGTGGTGGAAGTGAAAACGCGCGTGTGGGTTGGTGGCGGTGGTTCAATATAGTTGAGATGAGATTAGGAGGGTGAATGAGAATCGAAGGAGTTCAAAGGTTGAGCTGGAGGCTCAGCAGTGGAGGTTCGATTTGGCGTGCGGGCGCCCCCTCCACTGGGACGGGCTTGTTTTTCAGGCGCTATCGGCCACTGAATTGCCTAAAGAGCTCCAGCTGCAGTACGCTGCCCGGTTTGCAACGTATGTTGGTGGGGGCTCCTGCTCTGCTATTGACGATTGGAGGTGCTCGGATATTGGCCGCAAACAGTTTCATGACAGGAAAGTGTTTTCCTTCCTTTTTGACTCCTCGATGATTCACTGCTGTGGCTAGAAGCTTGGGCTTGGTTGTGGTCATGGGTGTTTTAGTGATCCTCTAAGGCGGGCCCCAGCTGAGAGCCATATCTTGTGTTTTAAAGCAACTAGTTAGGTACTCCTACATATATCCCAGTTCTAAAAACCTCCTCGTTTGCGATGGACAATGCAGTGGATATACATCTCTCAATCCGGTGGTCTGTGCTAATGCATGACTCTGTCCTTCCACCACTACAAACGATGGTACATCTATTTCTACAAAAACGAGGCTCATGCGAACGATATCATGTACCTCCCCTCGACCCAAGACTGTCTATTCACATCCTCCAAATGAGATCCATCATCTCCCCGAGGCGAGTAGTGAGACGAAGATCGCAGCATTCGTGCTCCTCCTGGTAATGTCCCATCCAAGCTAGCATCTCCTCCAAACTTGGCACGTTCTGCATCCCGCTCGTCGTCCCAGTCTATCACTCCCCCTAGTCCATCTAGAGGTAGGGTAGGCATGTTCAGCGACCACTGCCGCTCATCGAGGACACATTGAGTAGACACTGAGATGGATTCTTGGTCAAAGGTGAGGTTCGGCTGGAGAGAGCGAGCTTCCGTTATGAGGCGTTGTCGAGAATAGCTGTAAATGTTTTCAAACAAATGCATAAGCTCTTTAGGACCGAACTTGCAATATGTTTTGATGATGCGACCCCATCGACTCTGATCCTGCCAACCCCTTGCAAGAGATTCGGGTCGGTCCACGACATCATGCAAATACGAATCGCAACCCTCCTGGAAGTATGTCAGTATGAACAAGAAACCTTGAGATATCTTACTTACATCTTCGCCTTGGCTAGGGTCAAGCCGGGGACAGAGATAATGTAGGACGACATCCTTCATAGTTTCGACCAAGTCCATGAGCTCTACCAACTCGCTTGTGGAGTAAAGTCGGAGTTGACTCAACCTGACATCGTCCACGCCAGGCTCCGGAAGACCCACGCGGGGTCGAGGGAAGTCTTCGTGAAAGTATAAACCATAAAGCCACCATCTGTACAAAGCTCTGCGAAACCTCTTAGCTTCGTGCTCGCGGAGATATCGGCAATTTTCAGGCTCGTGAAACCATCTCATCTGCGGGAATCTGTCTTGCCATCGTTGTACAAGCGAACAGTAGCCTAGGATGGGCTTCAAGTCATGTTCAGTCAAAACAACGGTCTTGAGAGGATTGGCATGGGGCACGGTGGGCTTGCCAGGCTTGCTAAGAGTGATGAACCTATCAACGACATCCGCTGACATAGCAGGTCCATGATCTAAACATGGAGCCAACACTGTTCCTGTATCACCAAGGAACCGCTTGAATACAACTCTGCGCGGAGCATAAAGGCCACTGCGGCAGTCAAGGTCTTCGACTGAGGCTGTATAGACCTGCAGAAGTTCATCAAACGGACTAAATTCTCGGACGAGAACTGGAAGTAAGATAGAAGTCTTCATCTTGCTGAAGAGCTCATGAAATGTGCTGTGAGTAGCGCACAAGTTGAAAACACCGTCCAGGTCCAACTGTTGGTAGATGTCCAGAAGAATCTCAGTAGGAAGCCTTGTCAGGCGGAGGGGTACTGGCGATTTCGAAGCCATGATTACGGGCGGCTTATATGACATACGTCTGATGAAAGAGGTTGAGGTATGGGTGTGAGAGAGAGGATATTCCTATTGATGTAAAAGCCAGAGTATGAGGCGATAACTACTCCGAGTAAAGACGAAAACAAGGTTCTCGTCTGTATACAACGTGGCTATACAATCTGTCTAAAGAAGGAGAGTCGTCGCTCTGACGGACACTGTGAGAATAGTTAGAATACGGAGTACGAACCCTACTCGGATAGAAACAGACAAACTGACTTGATAGACTTTGCATTTTGTTGAGGGGTTGCGGTTTTGACACACGATATAATTTTTGTTCAAACTTGATAGTCAAGTTTGTTATCTTCTGTGATGTGTATTTCACGTAAGGTGCGATGTGGGCAATGTTGAAATAGAAATGTGGTTCTGTCGTCGCTTCAAGGTATCTCGTAGTTGAGTCACCCAAAGCGTCAATGATAAGGATATTACTGTCCACTCACCCCGGCGTTGGGGCTTGAGATAATAGTAGGGATGCACTCAGGCACCAATTTCTGAGTAATAATAACTCTCATGGCTATATTCAACGGCAATGCTTATTTGCATGTGCACCAGTTGAAATAACAATGAAATTAAGACGCAGGAGGAAAAAAGGACGGCGTGACTGTTATAGTTATACAAACCATGACCCAGTCGCGACCCCAGATCGCGTACTGAGAGTATATAACCGATCTTTTCCCGAGCGGGTTAAATGATGATGCGACCTAGCTATGGCGTCAGATCTACCTACAGAGTAGCGAACAACACTTGACAAAATAAGACGGACGGTCTCATCAGCGGTAACGGAAGTATATTCTTTCTTTTGGAAAATAGCAGCGCAGCATGACCTAAAACTCCAACACCCCGTCCCGGTGTTTACAGACCCAATGGGACAAGCCAGTAAATATATCGACAGGTATCAAATAGTCTAGGCGAACAGCATCTTGGTATCCAGCTCACTCTTAGCCGGTCGCTGACCACCAACGGATCGCAATCCAAGGTCGCCCTTCCTGGCCCGTCTCTCCACCTCTTGCTCGGCGCGGGCGTTGTGCTTCGAAGCCTTCGTCCTTCGAAGATCGGCTCGGACCTGGTTTGGCGACACAAACTCCTTGTTCTCGTAGATGATGGGTCCGCCGAAAGATCCCTCCTGGATCACAATAGGTGTAAGGACGAATCGGGGACCAATCTCGACCAGGTTGATGTCGGTGTCAGGCTTTCCGGATCGGGACTTGGACTTGGACTCCTCCTCGTCTTCCTCGCCCTCCTTTTCTGTCGCTTCGACCTCGTTGATTTGATAGTTGCGGACCCAGATCTTGCCATCGACGAAGCTGAAACCCATAACGTGGTCGATGAAAGGCTTCGACTTTCGGGTACCCTGAGGAACGCCAAAAGTGTGGAGGAAAAGCTCCTTGATGACTCGTAGGTGAGGTTGCTCGTCGAAAGCGCCGTCGAATGAGAGGACAGGTCGCGATCCCTTAAGGCAATTACCGGTGAAGTGAAGTTCCTCCATTGTGTGCACTACTTCATGTTAGTGTCTGAACGAAATCATCATTCCGATTTTGGCTCTTACAATTCTGGAGATGGAACTTGATGGTAGGCCCATTGGGAACCTTGCTTAACCAAACGTAGAGATCCTTTCCCTTTCTCGCCTCGAAGAAAAGAACGTTGTTGCAGTTGTAAAGCTCGGCCAACTCGTTCAGCTCGTACAGCTTAGTCTTGGAGTCGAACTTGGCATCCTTTCGACTGTGAGGGAGCATCGACGCAATATCGTTGAGAAGATGGCGATGTCTAAACAAGAATCGCATTGTTAGTTGGATGCGCTCTGGGCGTCAGAGTCGTAGGACACCTTACCTGTAGGTGACACCTCTGGAAGAGAGGATCAGAACCCTCTGCTTGTTCTTCTTAATGCCATTGCTAGGCGCCTCAGCCTTGGGGGTGCTGGTTTTGGAGATGGATTTGTAGACGGCAGCCATTTTGTTCGAGTCTCGACAATGCGTTTGATATCGGTTGTCGAAAAAAAGCTGTCGTAGGTTCGGTGATGTTTCACTGGACCAGGCTTTGCGACGCGGCGGGCAATTTTCAAAAAAAAATTGGTCGGCTAGGATTCGATAAGAGTCTTGAGCTGGCGATAAGAAAGTGGGGTACACTGCGCTGAAGCAGGTGGGGCCGCGACACCGCTCCAAAAAGTCAAGTCGAGACAAGGCCAGGCCAGGGGGGGAGACAAGGGGATATGCAGTGGCACATGTTCTTTTTGGCGAGAACCACTCATAGAGCTGTAGTCTAAACTTAAGGAATGTATTTTGAGCATGGCCGAGGCGAGATCTCGCCACCAAGTAAGAGACAAATCGCAATTCTTAGACCTTATATCCAACACAACAGAGCGTCAAATGTATACTTACCTATCAGCTTTGGGAACTGCATTTGACGGTAATGCCCCGCTCCTAACACAAAGACCCTGAGAACGAGCCATGCACTAATCAAATCGATGTTCATCCTCGAGCTCACGCCGTATCACCTATCACCTATCACCTAACACCTAACAGCATGACGTGGATACGTACACAGATCGTGGCGTTTAGCTTGGATGGAGTGCAGTGCAATGCAACGCAGTGCAGTCTAGTTCAGGGCGAACATTATAAAGAATTCATTCAGCTACGTTAAGATGACCATGTCGCAGCGATCGTTGGACGCATCAACCCCAAAACAACCAGTATGACAAAAAATAAGAACAAAGGAAAGCCGAAGTAACCGCGCCTTCTGATATCAAAAAAGACGTATCACGATTCCTCGCCTCCTCCACTCTCCTTTAGCGAGGAGCATTTTCGGGGACAAACGAGACGCCAGGTATCCCAAACCCCCAAAGCCATATATCCGTTTGCAAACGGTCGTGCTGGGAATTTAACAGCACTTTCCACCCTTCGCAGCATCGTCGTCAGCAGGCTTGCTAAGTGAAATGTTGGTGCCTGCGCCTATGGTGGCCTGGGCGCCTTCGCCGCTGTCGAGAGCCTTGCTGGAAACAATGCGATAAATTTCTGGACTCATGGTTAGCTTTTGATACCGAATAGGGCCTGCACAATGATAAGAGATAACGGACCAGTCAAGATGTTCTGGAATGCAAGCTCAACGTTGCTTGCATCGAGGGCGGATGTCTCGATAAAGGACAAGTGGTTCTCGCCTACACACGGGTTAATTAATAAGGGGTCCCTCTTTGGTATACTTCGTCAAGATCAATGCGTACTGGCAAAAGATTTGGCTTCCTCGGTAGGAACTGCTCTCAGGTGTCGCAAATCGCTCTTGTTTCCAACCAGCATGATAACAATGTTGGCATCGGCATGATCCCGCAACTCCTTGAGCCATCGTGTGACGTTCTCGTAGGTCTGGTGCTTGCTGATATCGTATACGAGGAGGGCGCCGACAGCGCCTCGATAGTAAGCGGAAGTGATGGCGCGGTATCGCTCTTGTCCAGCGGTATCCCAGATCTGGGCCTTGATTGTCTTGGAGTCGACCTGGATAGATCTAGTGGCGAACTCGACACCGATAGTCGACTTCGAGTCTAGGTTAAACTCATTGCGGGTGAAACGGCTGAGAAGGTTGGACTTTCCGACTCCAGAGTCTCCGATCAGGACGACTACAAGTGAATAATGTCAGCAATGAGCGATCGCAGGTGTCGGGCCAGGCGTGGCCTTGGGGAGGAGTTGGTAATGACGGCACCTTTGAAGAGGAACTGCAAAGGGGGGTCCACTGGTCAGCAACTGGCGGGACATTAAAGACTAAGGTAGGGAGAGGGACGACGTACATCATACTCGTCGTTGGCCATGGCTGCGGTGTTGTAGCTTCAGAAGAGTTATTGAATCAAGGCGAGTTCGGCGATGGAAGATGAGGATGAAAGTGAGTGCTCTGGCGCTGCGAGAAAGACAAGTCGACGTCGTTGAGGTGTGGGATGTGGAGAGGGAGAGAATGCGCGGCTCTGGCGATAGGCGGTTGTTTGTACTGGACCTTTAACCCTCCACTGCCAGTCCCCGTGCCGAGGGGTAAAAAGCCTGGACTGGGCTAACAGGTACCTGTCAGGAGCTGTACTTTTAGGTAGGGGGGTTAAACGCCTCCCGGCCTTTGTTTTTGTTAGTAGATATGGGTACCTGGTGGTAGGGTAGTACAAACTGGCCCCCATGGCCTGTGCCAGGTTAGTAGCTAAGGTCCATACGCCTTAGTGCTGCGAACAGCATTGCTACCGGGGTTCCAGTATTTAATTAGATCAAGGGAATGCAACCTGTCCCCAAAAAAGGACTGTTGCTCGAGTCGATTTCTCTAGGTTGGCAGGTTAGGTGGTCACTCTAGAAAACAGGCAACGAAAAAGGGAAGTTTCAAGTCATGGGTGCAATTGTCAGCTACCGAATCCGGACATGCGCGACAGTAATAGACCTTGACTAGCAAACATATGATGTATTACTACGTAGTTGATGGCTGCATTGTGTTTTGTTTGAGGAGTGAATGCAATTGAGCCCGTAGCGTTTTTGGGCAATTTGACTGGTAAAGGTTAGGTGAGTGTTACAGCGAGTTAATCACTGACCGCTTTCAGGTACGTTCTATACCACAGTTATCCATCCGAAGGCAGGCTCCTCTTATAAACCTGGTCGCATCCATATCTTAACGTCCAGGTCTTAATGCACACACACACACACACACATTCGCCTTTCGCTCTGATCAGCGGCAGCTGGCACCACCCTCCAGCAGCCACAAGTACTTTAGTAGTTGGTCAACCGTCAAACTGTAGTATGAATGCCCAGTAACCAATGATACCGGTTTGATGGCCCAGTATTTTATCCAAGTAGACTGCATAAGCCATCCAGCATTCATGTCACAATGTATCCATTTCCACCATCGATCTCAAATGGCAGGGTCGCTGGACACGATATCCACTGAGAACTAAAGCGATTGAAGTTCGACTACCAGTAAACTTTGTTCCTGTTCATGTCGCAACCTAAGTCATTAATGAGATAGGATTAGACGTCATCATATGATAAAAGTTAAAATGGAATAGTGCCGATTTTGATGCCCTTGAGGTATAGGTAAGGCAAACATCCATGTTTTCATGATCCCATCACGAAACGGCTTAGAGGGTGTCTACTTCGTTGATTATTTTGGACTGAGTGATAAGTGGTTTCTTGGTTTAATGAGATATCTGGGTCTTAAAGATGTCGTAGAAGTTTCATAAAATTCTATTTCAGTAAGAGATATCGACTGATTTGTAAACTTGATTATAGAAATATATTTTGAATAAGTCTCGGCAGAGCAGAGTTGACCTTTTGAGAAAGTAGGTTGAATTGGACAAACCATTCGACTTAAGCTGTACGTAGAGTCTCGGGTAGTTTACTTAGACTGCCCAAGAGCTAGGTGGCAGGCTATTGGCCGCCACTCACGTGTTTTCGCGGTTCAGCTCCTGTGTGCCTTACCTGCTAGGTACTTACCTAACTGGTGAACAATGGAAGCAGGTCGCGTTTGGGGAAGCCTCTTTCAGTACGGCGTGCCTTGTAATCTTTCCGACCGCTATTAGATGTTGAACAGCTATTCACCACTTTCGGGCAACAAAAAAAAAGGAAAAGAGGTGAGATTAAGGCTGGCATCGAGCGCCACCAAGAAACTGAAGGCGCTGAACGGGTAAACAACCCCGCCAATCATACCTGTATCACTGCAACGACAAACTCAATCACCTACACCAGTAAGCAAGCTTGTTAACTCACATCGAAACCATTGTTGACACAACTTCAGCGAAGAAAAAAAGAGAAAGCGGTTTACGGTTCAGATGCATATGAAGCTGTATGATCCCAAGTTACAGACCTTTGACTTCTGATATTCGTCGCTACCTGAAGAAGAACCATCACCAGAAAAAGTCGACATGGATGATTCTGATGATGACTCCATCGCCTCAACCATCCATACCGACCATGACTCTGAGGAAGAATGGCAGGTGTCTGATATCTTAGCGGCCTGGGAAGTAGACGGCAGTCTACGGTATTTGGTCAAGTGGGAGGGATTTGACCTGTACGAGGCCACTTGGGAACCCGAAGAACATCTGAACGATGAGCTCATTAACGGATGGGAGAGAGCCAAAGCGGAAGGGGATTTTGATCTCTTTCAGAGAATCAGAGAATGGAAAAATGCTTGGAAGGACAAGTATACCGAAAGGCTCGCACGCCATCAAGAAAGGAACCGACGTCGGAAGAAGAAAGGGCTAAAGACCACTCCATTCACATACATGGACGATTGTTTAGCTTGGGTGAATCGTTTCCCAGATGGCGATGAACTCATCGGCTCGGCGGTGTCAAGTCCATCGGGCACTGTCCCAGACTTCGACATGGACACTGGGATAGGACAACAGTCGCAGTCCCTCCCTGCAAAACGAAAGCTGTCAACTGCAAGCTTGAGTGAGGATAATTCCACGAAACACAGTACCCAAAATAATACAACAAATACCCACAAGACAGCATCTGCACAGGCGAGCCTAAACGCGACTTCGATCAACCACAAGCAAGCATCTCAGAAACCATCAGGCAGTGTGTCCAAACCGAGGTCAGCACCGACGAACAGCCTTCTCTTTTCCAAATTTTCCAAGCCGACAAAGCGTCCTGATCAACGCAAGAGCCAATTAACAGCCCGCAAGACACAGCCCGCGCAGGCGTTCACTGGCAATGTTTTTGTGGGGGGGAAAGAAAGAAAGAAGCGCGCGACTCTCGCTGAATGTGCCACAGATCCCAGCAAGACACCGAAGCTTATCAGGCATCGGTATGCAAGGATAATTGAGAAGGCGGGCCGCGACCGAGAATGTGCTGCACCAATAAGAGTGCCTTCCGACCTGATCTCGTTGAACCCAGCAGACCGATCTACAAGTGATTCGAATATTCCGAGTTCCGAAATCATGAGAAATGGAGGTCATCCGTTGAGCGCTGGGGACAAGTATGCGCCGCAGGATGAAAGCACTGAAGATAAGCCGCCATCGAAGGCCAAACTCAAGAAGTCAATCAGCTGGGGCACCGTCGAAGAGACAATAATCTCTACCCCGGAAGAGTCGACCGTGTTTGATAGGGAAGCTAGTTTGTTCTTACGTGAGAACTCTGTTGCCGATACGGATACAGCCTTGACGACCAAGATGGAGGAGCCTCCAGATGAAGAACCCATTTTCAGCCTTGCTCAGGCTTCAAGCCGATATGATACATGGTCTGAAACTACACCGGCTCCCACTATGCACAGGGATAAGAGCCCTTTGAGCAGGACGATAGCCGCAGATATTCAGTTCGGCCCAGGAACTCGAGAGACAATATCAGTCGACTTTGAGAGGCATCAAATCCAGTCCCAAAACGAAGTACCGTGGCCTGACCTTTTTGAGAACGAGCCCGTCTTGATTTTCACGCACACTTGCATAACGCGAGATTTTGATAGTCAAGAGAAAACCCTCGTTGCTGATAAGCTAGGCACCGGCTCTATTACAAGCGATAGTAACCCAGCTGGCCTGGATCTGGTCGCCAATTGGCTTCGTTGTAGGTCTCTAGGTGTTCTGTTATATCGCTCAGATATATGTATATTCATACATATGCCGCCTCAACAAGACAAGCTGCAGTACTCCTTGTTTTGCCCAGCTTCCCATTTCACAACTCGTTCACTCGCACCGATTGCACTGCCAGAGGGTCTTGATAGGAGAGATGTACTGCCTCGAATAACGTCGACACTCTTCAATCGCATGCTGGGGTTTCAATACGAGAAACTCCTGCCAGAAACCAACCCTATGAGTTCTAGCAAGCATACCTTTTTCCTCGCATTTCCGGCGAGTGCAGGGCTAGAAGCCCAGTTTCTGGGTACATGGCTGAGGAGTTGCAACCCCGAATGCAAAATCCTCTCTAGCTTTTTTCCTGGACACTGGCGCAGTTTCCTGAGGTTAGAACACGGTGTGGTCATCGTGCACGAGGAGGCCATATGGTCCATACGATTGTTTCCAAATGTCAAGTCACCGCTCCAGATGACATCCAACTTCAGCTTTTGGATTTTCTCCAAGTCTCTCCAGCCTCTACCACTATACGACTCTCTCGAGCAGCCTTGTAGAATTGGCGATGTGACTTTACAGCCAATATGTGGACCTAGAAAAGCTCTGTTGGTTACGCCCAGCTTTGTCGTTTCGCAGCCTCTACAGGCTTGGAGCTTCTTCAAATGGTTTTACAAAAGTTGGTACCACGCTCGGGACAGTGCTCGACTCGTTGTCTGCGCTGATTTCGATACCTGGATTCTAGGAGTTGCCGCCGAATACGAGGACGACCGGGCGCGGCATAAGAGCAAATCCTACATCCGGAAAATTGAAAGCGGTATTGCTAGAAAAGAACACGAAGTACTCTACAAAATCTGGGGTATGGTTCGAGGCCTTATGGATCCGTCGAGCGAAGATCAGCCGGCGCTCATACACGCCCCGGATTCAATCGATGGTAACGACGAACAAAGCCTTGTCAATTGGTTTGGGTGGTGGTCTATCATGAACCTGGATATGTACCGCAAGTTCAGTGTGGTCGGATCCAATGATAAAGCGCACGATAGACTCACTCGCCACATCACGAGTCCAGAGTTTAGTACCTCGACGTTAGGTAGTCCGGACGAAGCTTACCAAGTGAAGGACCCAAAGGATTCCTCCCAAACACCGTTGCAGGAGACATCTACCGCTGAATCAGTGAGGAGTCAACCGCGCAAAAAGTTTTGGCTGATCAAAGGGGATGACGCTACGTCGTTCAAGAAAGTTCTCAACGAATCAGAGAATAAAATTCACAAGACTTGGACGCCTGTATCTCTATTGAATTTACCAGTGGCTTACTGGAACCCAGGTATGGCAGACGCCTTTTCGCGCGGGTTTGCGCCATATAGCCAATGTGTTTGGCACTTTAGAGAGGCCGTTCATGGACATGGGCACCATAACACCGGCCTGGCCCTCTGTTACACACCTGAGGGGACTTGGAGCCCTGGTGAAACTCGCGAGAATCTTGGGAAAAGCCGACGACCATGGCTTGTTGCGTATAGAGCGATAGAGCCGTTCAAAAAGCCATGGACAGGAACAGAGCTTGTGATCTGGGATCCTGCCTGGAAGGCGAGTGTCAGAGGTTCTGGAGAGATTTACGAAGGAGATCTCATTGAAGCACAACTACGAATGATACAAGCTGTTCGTCAAAAGCTCGATACGGTGTTGAAATTGAAGAAGATATGGATTGGGGGACCGGATCTAAGTCCTGGCAAACTAACCGAGCCCCTAGATGTCACAATTCACCAGATGCAGCACATCATGAGGGATGTGAAGTCTGGTATTCCAGCTCCGGCATGGGCTATGATCGACAACGGGTGGAGGCTCGTCAACTCCGGCGACGGACCCCCCAGGTCACCGTCGCCGCCTTCTCCAGAGCCAATGGACATTGATGAGCCGATGGATACAAGTGATGTGGCAGAGAATGCCCTCAAGACCGTCTTCCTCCCCCCTCGTGGAAAGACAATGAACCGGCCGAGTAACAGCAAGAACCGTCTGTTTCAACATTGCTTTCATGACAAGGCTCGTGGGAACAATGCGAAGGAAACAGAGTATAGATTCCGACCAACAATGGAATGGTATGAGCAACAGGTCGAAGAAGGCCGCGGTTTCGAGCACATTAGGGTTGCTGCTTGGGACACTGTCTTCGAACGAAACAAGATTGACAACCCTGAACAGGACGGACTGCAATGATGGAGATAAGCTGCCAGGACATGTTGATGGCAAGGAATGATGTGTGTTTTATGATACCATGAAGGGAAGCGTATGGGTATATTAACAGGACTTATGTATGAGATAATATTGCCGAGGCTACTGGTACATTACGGGCGCTTTGTTTACAAAGCAACAAAGGTTACATCGATTGCTAGTCTTACCAAAAAAGTTACTGATCCGAACTCATCGTGCTGAAGCAGGGAAGTTTCTTGTGCTAAGCAAGACTCCCTTGACACGCCGGATATTGTCCCGCACTTTACGGATCTCATCATCTGGCTCTGGTTTGCGTGATCGACCATACAGATCGTACCCTGTGCTATGGTCAGGATAAGCAGTGTATGTCATGGTGTCGAGGTCGTCCCGTAGCACATCGACAGCTGTCTTGATCTTATCCATTCCCTCGCTCTGAGATCGATATGCATCCTTCAGGCCAGACAAAGTTTTATTCAAGCTGGCCAGCTGGCTGGCATTATGCTTTGCAGGCGAATCATTGTCTTTGGAACCCGTCATGGCTGTCACAGAGCTGATGGGAAACGTAGTCTGCGTGCCCATATCCCGATGGAACATCTCTGTAGGGTCTTCGGCCTCACTGTCGTCCTCGACTGTGGCAACAGGCTTCTGGGGTGGGACCTCCGAGACAGTCTTTTCGAGCTTCGCGACGAGGGCGTCGAGCTTTCGGGACGTGAGGCCGTGGAAGTCGGTGCGGGCTTCGGCTTGGCTGTCAACCATGGGCCGGATAACATAGCGGCTTGTGCCATAGACAAGCGTGGAAAGGCCGGTCACTGCATAGAGTGCATTGAAGAGACGCTCCTTAGTGACCAAGGGAGGAGGGCGAGGAGGTTTGGCGAGGAACTCGGGGTATGTCACGATTGGAGGACGGTCGACGGGCGGTTGGGAGGCTGGCGTTGGGGGAAGACTTTCGGTAGGCGTTGGAGCATGTGCGCTGGTAGTTTCTGAACTGGCAGTGGACTGTGAACGTTAGAACCGGTTGCACGACAATACAGACAGGTACATACCTTTGTTTCTGTTTCTGCTGCAGACTCTTCTTGGCCTAGAAGCGCGTGTATCTCGGCTTCATCTATGCCTTTAAACCTTAAGAACTCGACCTTCTTATCATGAGGCGCGTGTCGCACATCGTCGTTCTCGAGGAACCGTCGCGCAATGTTGAGTTTATCTTGGTCATCCTGTACACGTTGTGGCTGTGTATCCTCTTCCTCCACCGACTTTTCTACCGCGGGCGCATCGACTTCTGACGCCGAACTGCTTGTGGACGGAGTCGGCGCCGGGTCGGTATTTTGGCTATCCGTCTCGTCGGATTGCGCCTTCTGCCAGCTCGGGATGGCAGGATTGGAATCGGAGTCGCTCATGATCTATGATGCCGCGCGATTAAAGACTGGGCCTAGCAGATAATGGAATTGGACAGAATTTGGGTAAGATGAAAGAGAAGCAATTCATCCAGTGTTGATCTCCGAGGTGCGGGTAAGGTTCGGTGAGGTCAGGTAGGCAGGATGCAGGCACATGCCTCGGCACTCCTGCCGATAACGGTGGAGTCTGGGCCGCTTCATGATTCCGGGGTTACTTGTGGGGAGAAGGAGCATTCAATTGTGTACAGAGTACTCCGTATAGCCATGCAGAATCAAGTGAAGATATGGTCGTTGAGTTATTCTTTGTCTTCATTCTTATATGGATTTGAATTAGATTTAATTATATATTAAGATTGTAGTTACTTCTACCCTCCTCTCCATCGTGGCTCTCAGCAAGCTGTTACAATTCGTTACCGCTGAGCTGAAAGGATTGAAACACGGATACGAAACGGTCACATGCCGCCTCCGTTTAATACTGTAGACCACATTTGGGAAACATAATCTACCATAGGTAGTAAACGGTAGCATGGCTCGAACGCGCATTCGTTCCAGAACATCAATTCCAGATAATATCTCGACTGAACAACAGCCTATGCTCCCTAAAGACGTATCTGAGCGTCTAGAAGCCTTACCGACTGAATTTTCGATCAAGTTTTTCCTAACTGCTCTGTAGGAGACGCCGGAAACGCGCTCTCAAGTCTCTGCGCCAGGAAGAATCAGCGCCATCATCTCCTATCAGCCAATCTCAGCGCGGCAGGCAATTCAACCACCAGAACAGGTAGCGATCGCATCCCAGCGTGTAACGGCTCCTGTCTCACGAGCTTTCAAACTGAAGAGCAGACATCTGAGGGTTAGGAGACTGCCTAGCAGCTAACGTATTGGAGATCTGACGCTATCAAGTCTTTGGCTCAGTCGGATTCGGGCAGTCCTTGTTCGAAATAAGGCCATTGGAAGAGAAGCGGCTAATAGAACTCAGTTGCAAATTGCTAGTTCTTAAGCGGCAGGCAAGAAGAAGTAAAGCAGCCAGGTGTAACTGGGACTGAGGCAAGCAGTCTTTGTAAGAGGTGAGTTATTGAATATTCTCTTGGTTCATGTTTGGTCCGTCGCATCAAAACGTCACTATTTCCGTCAATCCAGTTCCGACTCCCGTCTTTGTTGGCCATTTTATGTGTCTCCTGTCATTCCCTTCCTTGCTCTTCCCTTTCCCCTAAGATATGGACAGGCAGTCAGTCAGTCAACCAGGCGCATGTAGATATGGCACTGGATACTTGTCTCTGGCCGGTGATCGTCAGCCACGTGCAGCAGCCCGCTTGTACGAATCCCTGATTCAGTGGTAATCACAGGCGAGAAGTCTCACGTACAGTACGGAGTACAGAGTACAGAGTACACAGTCGATCTTTGGTTGGTGCAGGCCAAATTACTTGGTCGATTCTCATTCATCAGCCTTGCATTCTGCAACATCAACTTCGCGCTGTCATTCCCCAATGAACGCCCCGATTCGCCCTCGCCCTCACCCTCTGTCACCAAAATATGTTCGACCTTACAAACAGCAGTCGCCACCATCAATCTGAAGCGCACTTTCCTGTACTCTGTACACTTCACAATCACTTGCCCCTTTGGCTTGTCCTGCCTTAGCCTGGATCTTACCAGCCAATCCCTTTGTTGGCTCCTGCCGTCTTGTCCCCAACGATTTGAGCTTATTTCAGCCTTGTCAATACCAAGACTCCAAACCTGCCACATAAATACTTTCCGTTTCTACACCTCTCATTTTCAAATTCCCTTGTTAAGTTTGCGCTCTTACCTTTCTGAACCCTGAATCCCACCAAATTTTATAGCGACATAGACAGTCCAACCGTCATCCTTCTTTGCACCCTGAATAATTTCCTTTACTCTTATCTTCAACACAACACTCCAGACCCTGCCAGTGCGGAAATCTGTTATCATGAGCTCGCGCCCACGTCGTTCAGCAGCCACAAAGGCCAATGAAGTCATTTCTGTTCATGCCAGATGGGCTGACTCTCCAGAAAGAAGCGAAAGAAGCATGTCATCACGGCGATCTGGTCGCGCCTCAGGCGTGTCCGTCTCCCGAGACGGCCCCTCATCACCAGGAGGTGACCGTCATTTGAGTTTGACAGTAAAGGTGCCTTCCAACAGACTACGACAAGCTACACGAGGGGACCGTGGTTTTGAGGGTGGCGAAATAGTGTCTGGCAAGCGAAATCGAGGAGCTAAGAAGAGCTACGTGGTTGACTCAAGCCCCGACGAGGACGAAGAAGAAGAGGAGGAGGCGGAGATTGAGGTGGAAGAAGAGGATGACGATGACATGGATGTTGATGCAGAGGGTGAGGAGGATGCCGATGGGGATATTGATATGGACGTCGCTCCTCCGACTATCACTGTTTCCAAGCCAGTCCGAACAAAGACAGCTCCCCGGGCATCAGCAGCCAAAGTGATTCAAGATGACGATGAGGAGGACGACGATGATCTTAGCGATCCTGCTGATAGCCTCGCGGGTGACGAGACCATGGGCTTTGGTGACGAAACCATGGCTGATGATGGCGATGAGGACGCTGAAGGTGAGGAGATTGAGGTCGCAGGGCCTGAAATGGATGACGAAGACGAGGATGAGGAGGATGAAGAAGATGAAGATGAAGAAGACGATGCTGAAGGAGGTGAAGATGACGAAGATGACGAGGAGGGCAATCCAGATGAGTCTATCGACCTTACAAAGATGACCAAACGTCAAAGGGCTCGGTTTGAGGACGACAATGCGCACCAGTATATGAAGTTATCGGATGGTAAGCTGATCGTTCACGCTTGTGCGAGCAATGCTGATGAGATTTTACAGAGGTCCAAGCCAAGAAGGTCTTCACAGCGGAAGAATTATCTATGCGGCGACAAGAAATGGCACGACGACGACGCAACTTGAGTGAGAAGCGAAACGAGGAGGTCAAGGTATGTCAACAAGATGGTGCCCGGATAGAAGGAGGGCAATGAACTGACATTGTATCACAGATGGAAACCATCAACAAGCTCCTCAAAAAACAGGCCCCCAAAGTAAACCGCAAGGCAGCTGCAGGCGCTTCTGAAGACGCGAATAGGCCCCATCCTGTCTTCGTTCGATGGATCAGCAACAAGAACGGGGTCCGGGTGGCAGTTACAGAGGAGATGCTTGACAGCCCAGCTGGTAATATTTTCAAGCCTGCGCCAAAAATGCCGGCTGGCAAAATGGTCCAGGAGGTTGCCTGAGCACTCAAGGAGAAGGACAGCCAATTTCTGGATGTATCAATCTGGGTCCGTAGGAGGTAATTGCTTCGCTCGCTTTTCGTTTAGTTCGGAAGTCCAGCGAATATGACGAAGAAATCAAATGGATATTATTGTTGTTTTCTATTATTTCTCATTATTGTATCAACTATAGACAATGCTATTGTTTGGCTTCTTGGCCAAATTTTTAATCAACTAAACTCTACCGAGTGCAATAAGTACATTACTGTGTGAATGAGATTTTAATTGCTACGTATCTGTCAGGTCAGACCACGTGGAGCCCCAAGGCGTATCGAATTTCATGAAGTGAAAATGTGAGGATAGCAAGACTGGCCATCCAATCAGATACTAGATAGTCAAAGTCAAGCTTTACACGCCTTAACGTTCGTTCGAGATATCAACCCCACAAGCTATAAATAGGCGGTAGGTACGAATAGGATTAGGTTGCGATAAATGTTTCTCGCTGTACCTGATACGAACCCAATCGCACGGGATGTATTAAATGCAAAGAGCTAATCCTGCCACTACGGGATCTCACATCACGATAGTTGACAACACCAGGAAGGTAGAATAAGATTTATGGTTTCGTGTCTTCGGCCGTAAGTGAGGGGTTGACCAAGAGTGAACCCACAGGGTGTATGAAGTTTCAATTAGTCATTTGGCAGCTGGATGACTCAGGCTGTGAATAGCATCAACCTTATGTTGCCTGTAAGTGCGAGCATACACTAAAACGCACAATATGTCAAAATTATGAAAATATCAATTGTTACCTCCTGGATCAGGTCTTTGGAGATTCTGCATTTCCGAGCTCTTATGCACTCTGTGCGTTGAGATATGCGCGAGTTCCACGCGCTGTCAGGAGAATAGCACAGCTAGCTGGGGAATCACTCGTCGGTACATAACTAATATACAGAGCCCTTAGCACATCCTCTAATTCAAACGAACTCGGAGTGCTTAAAATTACCCCGCCCAGGGCACGAACAATAACCCAGTCCGTTTTTGCACAATATCAAACAACTGGCAGCTGCTGACAGTGTAAGTGAGTGCGTGGGCACTTACAGCAGAAAAGGCAGAACGCGCCGCCACGCAACACCAAAGAGTTGAGATACATGGCGAAAATTTTAGTATCAGACAGGGTCAGGATGAACATAGGGCGAATGAGATGATAAAATGGACCAAGTTAGCCATTCCACTTAGACATATGGTGAATTCTCGTAGTGTCGAACTCTCCTGCGTTGCTTGTTCAACCTTAAGGGTCATCAAGCTCGCGATATTGGCTCTTGAATACCTTCCTCATGTCCACGTGTCAGTATTCACTTGAAGAATATTAAGTACACATCTCTCGAGTGCTGCAAGCTCTCCGAAATATGTAGCCATATGGTTGACCACTAGGGTTTGATGGGTTAATGCTGCAAGAAACTGTCCTCTCGCTGCCACCCCTTTGGCAGTGCCATCCACCGATAACTCAATATTCAAACTTAGAATCTACGCAGTATAAAGGCATCTTGTGCCCCCTCTTCTATTCTTTTACTTCTTTTCCCCTTCTTCTCCACCATCATCAGAATTCAAAATCCTAGCTTCCCAGCTTCCACATCATTCTGTTACTGGTATCATTCACGTTCCCATCTTTTCAGCTATCGAGTCTTTACAACGTTCAAGACCTGTTTCTTTCCATCAGAAAATTACAGCATCTTCCAAGACTTCTCGCAGAGGAGATATTCTTCGCATTCTTTGCACATCATCAACCACTCTTCATCTATTCCCCCTCGCTTCCTCGAGCCCTTTCTGCTGAGCAGATTTGATTCCCGTACTCTACCCCCAGCTACATACTTCAATACTCGTTAGCTATCAGCTACTATCCCAGCTCCCAAGTCGCTACTCGCTTCAAAGGAACTTCAAGCATCTTTCCAAGAAAGCAGCTTTTATCAACGACACGCCGAGATCCTCTTTCTACTTGAAGCAGTAAATCTCCAATCATGTCGTCTCAGCATCCCAACATGGGCAACCCGCCTCAGGCTGTGGCCCAGGAGATCTCTTCCCATGGAGTAAGTTTAGATATAGGCTCAAAGTCGGGCTTATTTGTTCATCTGCCGCACAAAACTCAAAACAGGACTAACATTTCATCGCAGTTTTCCGCCTCTCAGTCCGGTCTTGACTTTACCGCCCAGTCTGGTCTCGACTTTACCTTCCAGTCCGGTCCCGACTTGAACTTTCAGCTCGGCTCTGACTTTACCTCTCAGCTCGGCGCTGACTTTGAGCTGCAGCAACAGGAGTTTGAAAATGGCATGGTAAGTTTTCCACTTCCTCATTTGACCTTGCAATGATCACAGTCCGCTAACATATTTGTCCGCTATAGCCTACCGGCCCTACTCCTCTTGGCTCTCAGCAGCAGCACCAGCAGACGAACCAGTTCATCTCTTCTTCGTCTTCCCCTGCTCCTGAGAATTTCAACAACTCTCGCCCTATGGTGGTTGGTTCTCACCACTACCGCCCCGAGAAGTTCTTCAAGCCCATGATGTCTGCTCCTACTGCCAACATGGCTAACCATGGTCCTGGCAACTTTGATAATTACCAGCCACAGATGATGGCTAACGGTCAGAACTTGGCCATGAGTAACATGCATGTTCATCCCCATCTTGGTAACAGGCAGGTCCCTCCTATGGGATATGGCCAGGCCAATTTCATGAACAACATGCACAACTCTCGTGTGGGTGATTTCATGAACGGCAACCAGGTCCCGCTCATGAATGGTATGCAGATGCCTCCCATGGGAAACAACCAGGTTGATTTGATGAACTTCAACAATGCTGCTCTCATGCAGAACTGTCTCATGGCCGACACCATGAACTTCAATCATGCTGCTGCTGTGGGAAACATGCAGAACCTCCCTATGGGCAATGACATGAACACCAATCAGTCAATTTACTTTAACGGTATGCAGATGCCTGACATGGGCAACACTGGGTCTCCAGCCATCCCCAACTTTCAGGGTGCTCGACAGCAGAGGATCTCACTTCGCCCTACTGCTCCGGCCTTTGTCCCCAACCAGAACAACATGCTTCCTCAGCAGGCTGTCCCTATCGACAACATGCACCAGCAGCCCTTCATTCAGGGTCAGATGCAACAGCCATTCTCCCCTCTTCCTGCGATGAACATGCCACCTCAGATGACTGGCCTCAAAAGACCCTTCGTTCAGGTGAATGACCAACAGGGTCAGCGTCTGCAACCCCATGCCGTGCAAATGCACCAGCGTTCCATGGCCCCTGCCCTCAAAGGGAATGCCAAACCTAAGCGAACCAAGCAACCTGCTAAGCGACGTGTCAAGCAACCCGCCCAGGCTGGTTCTGAGCCTCAACCTGCTCAAGGTGTCTTTCAGACTCAACCTCCTGAAGCTATCTTCGAACAGCAACCTGCTCAAGATGTTTCTGAGCCGCAACCCAGTGTATCGCAGACGGCCACCTCCGTCAGCAATGCCGAGGCTACCAGAGTTGTCAGTATCGAGAAGGGGAGCGGATATTTAGGTGACGCCCTCTACGTAGAGCCCTCGGGGGGTTCTCAACAGGGTGGTCTAACCAACTTCAACGTCGAGCCCCGAGGTTCTCTGAATCCTGCTGAACAAATTACTTCTGGCTTTCTGGCTTCTGCTCCTGTGTCTTCTACCCATGCTGCCAATCCTCCGGTACCAGCCCAAAAAGTCACAAAGAAGACCAAAGCGAAGCAAGTGGATAAAGCGAAGTCATTGGATGAAGCTGAGGCAGCAGGTATCCCCGTCCCCCCCAGCCAGCGTCGCTTCGTCACTCTCAGTCGAAGTGATTCTCGAGTCACCAAAAAGAACGGTAAAGATTGCGCTCCCCCATCTGATGCCTATAGCAGTAATTCCTCTTCCTTCTTCCCCCCTCATGTCTCCCAACATTCGTTACTGACCATGCCTGCAGTCTACGTGCTGGGTACCGAAGCTGTCACCAACGAAGCTGTCACCGACGATGCGAAGCTCGTCAAGCTCCTCGGGTTTCAAAAAATGGCCAACAACCTACGGGCTGAAGACGGACAACGGGCTCGAGACCAACAACGGCGTCAAGACCAACGGGTTCCAAACCCACCTTCAGAGACCGTCACCAGCAAGAAGAAGCGCAAGGTTACCAAGGAACAGATGAGGAAAGCTTCCCTCGAATCTGCCTATCTCGAAAATGAAAACCTTGCTCAATCTAACCCCGACGAGAGCTTCACTGACCAACCTCCTACTGCTCAGGCTCAAGCTGCTCCCGTTTCTCAGCCTATTTCTGACGAGAGCTTCACTTCTCAAGTTCCTGCTGATGACGAGGCTATGCCCGGGCGTACTTTTGACAGTGGCTCCGACGCTCAGCCCTCTCCTGCTCTTGAAAATCTCACCGAAATGAATGAATATGGCTACCAGGATATGCTCAACGACAATGCTGGCGATGATTCCCTGAACTTCTATCCTTCCTTGCCTTCTGGAGACGCCAAGATTGGCCTCCAAATAGCGCCTGCCACCAACCAAGACAACTCTCTCACGTCTGCTATCATCGATCCTCCTACCGCCGACTTAGACAACCCTGTCACGTCTTTTACCACCGTCCCTTCGGGCTCCTTCATCGACCCGGTCAGTGGTGTGGATGTTGGGCCTCTACAAGAATTCCTTAATTCCAATGACCCTCCCTCCGACCAGCTTCCCTCTGCTCAACTTCCTCCTGATCAACTTCCCTCTGATCAACTTCCTCCTGATCAACTTCCTCCTGATCAACTTCCTCCTGATCAACTTCCTCCTGATCAACTTCCCTCTGATCAACTTCCCTCTGATCAACTTCCTCCTGATCAACTTCCCTCCGAACAGGCCGCTCAGCTTCAAGTCGACCCTTCTCTTTCCAATCCTGCTAAAGACGACGTTGGCGTTTCTGTGCGGGATCCTGACATGTTTACAGGTGAATATCACCGGTATGCCCCTGCCTCTCCCGAATCGGCCTTTGAAGATGCTTAGCAAGTACTCATCTCCAGCCGATATCTTGCTCAGGAGGACGTTCAGGAGGACACTCAGGAGAATGTTCAGGGGAATGCTCAGGAGGACCTTGTCGCCCCACAAGGCAACCAGTTGCGCAAGGTCTCCAACAATCTTGAACGTCTTCTTCGGGAGCAGTTTGGTGACGCAGCTGGAGAGAAACACATCCCAGATGAGCACGTTGCCCTCTATAACAAGTACATAAATCGAGCTACATTCCTCCCCCAGGAAGTGGAGGCTCTCGGGGAGTTCTCAAAGACTTACCCTTTTATTAACATCGATCTCACGCTTATCAGAACCGAGTCTGGCAAGGGCCTTCCTGCCGCGGGTGAGGGTCTTGGTTTGGGTGAATCCTCAAAAGGAACACATCCGTTTTCTCAAGATTCCGATATTCCTGACTTCAACAGCGCTCACGGTATCGTATCTTCTTCTTCCAACGACATCACTGTCAACACTGCTTCCATCAGATTCCCCAATGCGCCCACCACTCGCCTTGCAGATATGCCCTACTCTCCTGTCGTATCCCCCTCTCGACCTCCTGCTAATTACTTCTATCCTCAACCTCAACCACAGCCCCAGTTCCAACCCCGAGACCCTCACAACACAGTCTTGTCTGACGATTGGTACACAGAGTTTATGAACCAAGGCATGGAGATTCCCATGAACAACGAGCCAAATGAGCAGGCAACCAACACTACCAACACTACCACCACTGTCAATACTTTCAATACTTCCAACACTGTCAACAATGTCAACACTATCAATACTGGGGCCAACAACAAGCGCAAGGCGGGTAACAACGAGGGATCTACATCAAACAAGAAGGCCCGCACCAACAAAGGTTGAAGTATCCGCGGTAGCCGAGCATTAACCTACCTTAGTGCCTGTGTGATGGATGATCTTTGCTACGAGTGGATAGATCTAGGGTCCTTGAAGGGACGACAGCCGAAGTCAACGCACGATTAAGACCAAGTCGGGAATAACTTGGAGGTATATTTGGAATTAAAAACTGCCTGCTCCATGTCAATCAGTCAGTTAGTAACTTGTCGTAAACAAATAAACTTGATACAAAACATGATTTGATGCCAATTGTCAGGTGCTTGTGACTTGTCCACGTGCATGAATCGAACAATCCAGGGTCTTTGAGTGTGGGAGTTGAGCGGCTGACTACTAACCTACTAACTGAACCAATCATTGTCATCAATTGACCGCCCCCAGGGCCTGAGCGCTTCACACACACCCTGTGGCTGGTGGTTTCCACTGTAGTCTTTCTCCCCCGCCATTCTCAGGTGCAGATGCGGATGCAGACGGGAGTATGTATTTGGTCTACTTTTATGTACCTACTTTCATTCAATTAAAAAGCAGACATGCATGGATTTGTTTGTACTGGAAAGTCAGTCAGTCACACGACATTTGGTCCACAATCCACGGACATTCCGCATATGCATTGCTTCAAGACAAAAGAGAGACAAAATACGAAAATTACTCAAAGATTTTGTGTTTGTGGCTGCCATTCGGAAATAGGCGTGAACGGAACCCGAACCTGAACCTTGTTATTATTTATTTACTCATTTATTATTAGACAATGCATCTGCGGCTACCTTGCGTGTATGTTTGTACCCGGTTGACCTGCTTGCAAGTTGCAACCCAATCTAAAATGCTCCGGACGGATGAAGGTTCTGTCGCACATCGTCACAGACAGTCCAGTGGATAGGGAGCCTGGAATCTGAATTTTTAGAGGGGGGAAACAGGCCTGACGGGGATGGTCTAGTGGAGAAGAGATGCCTTAGCTTACCCATACATGGGCCATCAGGTTTCCTTTGGCAGAATTTGTCGTACTATGGATACGACAAAGCCGAAGCGAAACAGGTCAGCTCAGGCTCAGCTCTTCCATCATATTCATATTCACTTTTCACATTCCCATTCGCATTCCCATTCGCATTCCCATTCCGACCTCGCACGTTTCAAACTCACTCCATCTTGACCAAGTACCGCATTATTCTATTCCCGTATTGTCACATCATCTAGTTACTTCACCTTCCGAGTGCGGTATTTTGTTCAGAGAGTACCTAACCTAGCACTTGTTCAATCTAGACTCTCCCCATAATCCGGTCCAGAACCAAAATCAAAACCAAAAACCAAAAACCAAAAACCAAAGCCGAAACTCTGAAGCGCCCCCTCTCAAGCCAAAAACTCTGTCAAATCGCTCCCGTTCTGGGCTTTTTGGGAGTCTTTGAATCCCAGCCCCAGCCCCAACCAGATATCGAGAATCTCTCTTGCCATGTCGTCTTCTCCGCCTGGTTCGGGCTTTGCCTCAGGCGTTGGTCATGGCGTTGACGATCCATCGTCCGTCGTCGTCGGCTCCGACCGCCATCAGACACCTGCGCACGCGCACGCGCACACGCATACTCATACAGATTCGGTAACTGAATCGCATGTTGACAATGGTAAGTTATCACCTTTTTTTCTCTCTCTCTCTCTCTCTCTCTCTTTCTTTTTGGCCATCACCTGCTTGTGATTCCATGAGACGTATCCCTGAGTCTTGTAAACACACCGTCTGTTAATGTCAAACTCTCAATGATCTGTTGTCTCTCTCCTCTGACTCAATCAATGCCCAAACCCAAACCAAACCCAATTCCAAACTAGCTTTCCCCCCATTTTCCGTTTGTCTTGTCCCATCCATGCAGGGTCAAGGCTGCACAGAAAGCGATCACCGCTAGATTGACTGCCTGACTATTACCCAGAAGCTGGGAGATGCAGGGTCTAGGTAGGACCTCCACGGTATCCAAGCTTTTGATGCGTCAAGCAAAGTCAAACAACCTAGTCCCTACTGCACAGATATTCTTGGTTGTTATTCATGGAACTTGAATAATAAGACGACGGAATTGCCTCTTTTTTCATTTTTACCTTCTGCTGTTTGCTTGTCATTTCACTTCACTGTCTCAGTTCAATTTCACACTCAATTCCTTCTCCTCCGTCTTGCGTCGAATCTACTGTTTTTGCATTACATCGCAAAATCCACCGCGGCTCTAGTGTCTGGGGATCCGCTGCAGATCATTGTCCTGGTGAGCCAAGTCTTTGCCTCTCTCCCGTTGCAGTTGCTTGCTTGCTTGCCTGCTTGCTTGTCAATTGGGTCGCTTTGTCTTGTTAGCCTTGGCTTCTCTTATTCCTCTCCTTATTCCCCGCGCTGCATGCCATGGCCGAGCACGTCGTCATATAACGAGACACTGCAATTCCCTTGTCTTCTCTTCTCTTTCACCTTCAAGTTTGATCGGGCAAGGAGCCGCGAAGCGAAGTGACAGGCCCGGAACGTCGCTCCCCCAGGATGTCTCCGTACCCTTGCGAGCCCTGTCAATAGCGCTTTACCTTAACCTGATCTTCGTACGCCACCTCCGCTTAAACGATGCCACCAAGACCTACATAAACCAAACCCGTTGGCGCTTCCCCCCCGTACCACGTCCACTCGCACCCTTCTTTCTTGCAGAACCGTTGGCCGTTGCTATTCTTTTGTCTTTGTTGAACATTGCCTTTACAAGTCTACATCTCTCTTTCAGAGAAACCATCTAATACTATCGCACAGTCGCAAACATAAGTGACCAAGAACAACATCAACAGCGCTTCCAACAACAATCATCACCTCGAGATATCATATCATCCTCCCCAACAAGCGTTCACCCTCTACTTCAGGTCGCATCCGCTCCCCCGCATTCTCGCTCGACCACTGCCGCCACAGCTGCCACCACCACGAGTCCAACGTCTGAGTCGCTTCCATCGCCATTGGGCAACTTCAACAATCAATCGCCCTCAACTACTGTACTCGCCGCAAAGGCCTACCAAGGCCCGGCAGATTCTCCCTCAAGCATGATATTCTCAGATATCTACAAGAGCCCGCGCTCGCCCATCGCTAAGCTTCGACACCACTCTGTCCAGCTGCCGAATCCACTGCCCGCCAATACCCCGGACTGGTACGACGATGACCACTCAGACCTCCTGAGCAAGGACAAGGTGAAGCAGAAGGAAGCCGTAAGGCGATATCTCGAAGCAAAGGTCAAAAACGACTGGGATTTTTCATGGCCCTCTCGCGTTGTTGATCCGCCGCCAGCTGAAGGTGATGTAACTGTGGTCAACACTACATCAGAGTCACCTGATGGCATACACCCCGTGACTAGCCTGGATGCTACAGAGCCTGCAAAGCCAGTCCAAGATGAGACACGTGAAGACGGCGGTTATCAAGTTGATGATTCGTCAGAGGACGAGGACGGAAGTGATGCCGAATCCACCTACAGCACTGTATCTGAAGATCCCATTCGCTTTCGCGCACGTCTAGATTGGACCTCGGACCTTTCCGACGATGACGACGAGCCCGCTGTTTCGCGATCACCTTTCCGATTCGACAATCCGAACAATGTTGGTTCAACAATTCAAGCTGCGGTTCATACCAAACGCGCCAAGCGACGGAGAGCGGTTCGCAAGGAAATGGAATGGAACGAGGGACTCGCATGCTTTGAGGCGCGGCGAACTGCATGGACTGGCGCACGAACTGTCCGTGTCCGAGCCAAGCCAGCAACACCCCCTGCTGTGTCACCATTATCTCCCCGCCGTTTCTTTTTCCGTCGATCCATGTCGACATCTCCCCCGAGCTCTACAATTGCGTCGGCCTTGCCACCCCAGGTCAGTGATGCCTCTGACAATTCGTCACTAGCAAGAAGCGACGAGCTGCGCAATGCCCGGTCCAAGGACACGACACCATCGACACCATCTGATAGCCGAAACTACCCCGTCGAGGTTTTGCTTCCTCTTGCGCCACCTCTCCTTCCTCCAAACAACCCTCTCCGTGCGTCTATTACACCTTCTGTATATCTCAGCCTTTACGACAAGGTCATCATTCACAGCCTCCAGCCTTCATGCCCCATCAACCTCTCTGACATGCTGCGAGCCTGCGTCACGGGCTGGAAGCGCGACGGCGAGTGGCCTCCTCGGCCAACAATGGCTCCTACCCCCGTCGCAAAGAAGAAGAAGCCCAAGAAGGCCTCGAACCCATCAGATAATTCGGGCAGCACCGTTCGCCGAATGAGCTTTGGTCTACTGGGTCGTGATAAGGATGACACAACAGGTGGGAAGGGCATTCGCCGCAGCCTTGTTCGCGCTTTCGGTATCGGAGAAGCCGCAGACACACCCAAGTAAAGCTATCTCATTACGAATTCATGATTATGATCAAAGTCAGGAGGATTGTCATTACGACGGCATGGCGCTTATATATGGGCTCTTGCTTTTCTAGCTCGGTATACCATGTATGGAAGGATATGAGTTGGGTTTTGTTGGTCTAGTTTGTTTTATCTAATTATCACCTTCATGGTTTGGCCATGTTGGTACATGGCGTTTTTCGTTTTTGGGATATCGGTTTCTCTCCATGACGGAGCCTCTCGTGATGGATTGAACGGAAGCATAGTGATACCTCAGTGTCTGATCGAAGCATCGCGACAGCGCTAACTAGTCGCCAGAGACTATTTCTCAATTCAGCATTATTTTTTATCTTGATATTTATCGGCTAGCGACGGTGACGAATCGCTTTGACTTATCGTGATGTAATTGACTCGGTAGTCATGTATGATGACATGTTCTGGCGATATCATATGTGAATAAGTAGAATTGAGTTTGTGCGATTGGAAGCCATTTCGACAAGTTTCAACGGACGTTCCCATAAACATCCAACTAACGGATCGCTCCGCCCCTAATACGAAGTATTGATTCTATAGATGATGAAACAGTTGCGAAGTCCCTCCTGTGCGTGATTTCGCTCGACATTTCGAATAGTCACCAGAGCTGGTGTAGGGTATGTAGTGTTGCCTCAGGAGTCAGACCAGATTTGCAATAACTTGTAGAAGATATTTGATTCTTTCGGGGTTCATAAGTTTATGCAACAGCTGTACTTGATACGAGCGGATGACACAAGACATAGCCTTGAATATCCGAGATATGCTCGTCGGCTTTTATTCGTACAAAAGCAACACTCCACTGTTCAAACAATGGAGACTAAGCATCGGTGGTATTGCGGAAGGCCAGCATCGTATAACGTCACGTCTGCAGCACAGGAGCCCAATAAGATAGTTCAAACCTATGACCAATATTGGCTATAGACATGAAGTTGAACTATGATGTTATCTCGACTTACCTGGACAAAAACACAAAACCGAATCGGCATGTGCTCACGCAACCATCGATGTGAAACAAATGTGTTTCTGGCTTGCTATGTTTAGATAGCGGTCTGGGTGATCTAGAGCAAGCATATCTTGACCACTGACTAGAAAGATTGTCGTCCAAATTTGGTTGTTTCAGTCAACTCCAACTCCGTATCGCTAGTAGGAATTCCCTGTACGTATAGCATCGTGAGAGCCAGTTGAGAATACTGAGATTATCATAGGAAGCGAAAAACCTGGATTCTGTATATAAGTATAAGCCATCTATGGAATCATCACACTCCAAGCTAGTTGTTTATGAGATATTGTTTGGTTTTTCGTCTAGATGCATTTGAGACTTGACGGGACATGACCAACTGACAAGAGCAACACTCTGAAAATATCAATGCTGTTGATCTAACAGAAAGACCAGTGTCTACCGTTCCTCTACTGTTCCAGAGCTTTGACTAGGAAGTCTACTATTGAAAATGTGCGTTTCGTTGAGCTGCCTGTGTCACTCAAGCAAATGGGGTAGTTTCTACAAATAGTCGATCTAAGGTCTGGAAAGCTGATTCAAGATTGTCACTTATCGATCAGTCGTGAAAACCAGATTCCGGTGAATTTTCCTGCGAGGATAGTTCGGGCTGAGCCCTTGATCAGGTCTATGGATATGGAGGCTCGACTGCTGCTATCTTGTAGATCTCTTACTTTTGCCGCAAGATAGATAGTACGGATACGAGAGCTGGAAATACATCAGATAGTACAAGGCTAGCTTATTGGTCAAGTAGTATAGGTAGAATAGGATTAATTTGTGACAAATATTTACTAAGTTTATGGCAAACTGGTCAGGTCCCTTTGAATACAGCATAGTCTTGCACGAGTTTTACTTCGCTTTCTGAATTAATCTAAACCTCAGGATACTTACACTAAGATATATTAAGGCTCAGATGCTCACATCCAAACGTCGTAGCAATATGGAATAGCTGAATGGAAGTTAGCGTTGGCACTCACACAAGTTGGAATCTAGAGCATCTAAGAAAGCCAACACCAACTGTTAAAAAAAGTGATTGAAGAGCAAAAGAAATGCGTAATCAGGGAATCGAACCCTGGGCTCCCCGACGCTGCTCGAATGGCAACGGAGAATTTTACCACTAAACCAATTACGCTTGTTCATGACTTTGGAGACCGTATTCCAGATTGTAGAGCATTGAGCATGGATACGACCCATCGGCACGCATCTTGATGTCCGACGGACATATGCAACTAAGACCAATCTCCGGCTTGCATCCCCTGGTAGCCGTTGGAAAGTTGTGAATCTTGACAGAAGCGGTATGTGATTGTAGCTTGGCAGCGTGTTGATCAGATCAGATGAAATTTTCCATGCATGGGCCGATCTCGGTCTGGGGTGTAGACGTAACAAGACACCCCCAAGAGACTCATCTTATCTGATGATCAGATTAGATACTTAGCGTTAAAGCCCGCTAGAAAAAACTTGGTTACTTGGCGTAATGAGCCAGATGCAGGGCTAAAGTGACGAAATGGCACAGTAGCATGGGTACCATGAACGTAGGTGGCCAAAATCGAATGAGTGTGTGGACGTGTGGATAGGTCCTCCTTGGCTCTGTCACAACGGAAATAATTCCTGGCCAGTATTGTAGAGTGCCGTGCTCTTGGTAATCATGCCAAGGCAAGATGTGGTAGACGTTTCTATGCGACCAAACAACCAGAGCATAGCAGTCTTCATTTAAAGACTGCGGCGAACGATGACGCCCAAGCAGTGGATTCTCATCCCCTAAATTCTCACAATAATGCCGCACCAGCTCGTTTCTGGGCAAGATCCCGCATCGCCCGGCTCTTTACATGCGCACTTGGTTCCGTAATTGGTGTCAACCCCATCTCGAAGATGGGCCTGGACGGAGTACGGCACTAATGGTGGGGCAGGACATCATGGCGGGTTAACACGGATGTGCAAGCGTTGATAGTGTCTGCTGGAGCCTGTACATGCATATTATGGCAAGGTCGGACCCTTGATCAGCGTCCACTGATGTTTTCCCCAAGTTTTGGATTCTCCCAAAACCGGCTGGCAGTGTTCCTCTGGAAAGTTTTCAACAAAGGGTGATCGCACCAGTATAGTTTTCCTCTGATTTCCAACATGGCGACTGGAACGATGAATGTGCCTTCTGTGCCATCACGACAACAGCAGAAGCTCTCTCTACTCGAAGGTCCTGTTGACCCTCCCCTCGTCGACTTCACACTGGGTGAGCTTCTTGAGCTTCAGACATACCAGCATGGCAGCCAAGAATGTCTCGTTATTCCGTGGACCGGCGCTCGTTGGACGTATAATGAGCTCAGCCAGCAGAGCTCATCTCTGGCGCAGTCATTGCTGGATATGGGCATTGGAGTTGGCGATCGCGTCGCCATCATGGCTGGCAACTGTGAACAATACGCAGCTGTCTTCTTCGCCGTTGCCAAGATTGGTGCTATCCTTGTCATCCTTAACAACACATACACCCCAACTGAGGCGATGTACGGCCTGAAGTTTTCTGACAGCAAAATCTTCTTTACCACACCAAGGATCGGACGTATGGACCAGACACAGCTGCTTCAGCAACTTGACAACAAAAAGACGGCCCCCAGGGTTGTGATGCTTAGAGGCGATGAAAATGATAAATACGAGACCTATGACGAATTAGTAAATGCTGGTCGACGCCGAAACCCGCAAAGGCTCTACCAAGCCATGACCAAAGTTCTGCCCCATCAAGTGGTTAATCTTCAATTCACAAGCGGCACAACAGGTCTTCCCAAGGCTGCTATGCTCACTCACCAGTACGTGCCCGTTGGCTTCTAAGTGATGACTTGGCTCGAGTACGCAGGAGCAAGCGTGTGGTCACTAGCTAACAAAATGATAGCAACCTGGTTAACAACTCACGATTCATCGGCGATCGCATGCGGCTGGGTCCTTCTGATATCCTGTGCTGCCCTCCTCCGCTGTTCCACTGCTTCGGTTTGGTGCTTGGTCTCCTTGCCGTTGTTACTCACGGCGGTAAGATAGTGTATCCGGCCGAGGTTTTCGATATCCAAGCGACGCTTCAGGCTATCTCTGACGAGCAATGCACTGCTGTGCATGGTGTTCCGGCCATGTTTGATTCGCTATTCCAAGCTAAGTGGCCCGAGAACTTCAACTGCGACAACCTACGCACGGGAATTATTGCGGGTGCTCCAGTGCCCCGATATTTGATGGAACTTCTTGTCAACCGATTTGGAATGACCGAGTTCACCAGCAGTTATGGCCTCACCGAGGCATCTCCAACTTGCTTCAATGCTTTTACCGATGACTCTATCGATACGCGACTAACCACTGTCGGTACATTGATGCCTCATGCCAAGGCAAAGATCGTCGACCGTGATGGTAATGTTGTTCCGATTGGCGAGCGTGGTGAGCTCTGTATTGGTGGTTACCAACTCCAGGCTGGATACTGGAACAATTCGGAGAAGACCAGCGAAACCATGGTCCGAGACGCTTCAGGCGTACTTTGGCTGCATACCGGCGACGAAGCTGTCTTTGATGAGAACGGTTACTGTTCGATAACTGGCCGCTTCAAGGATATTATCATCAGAGGTGAGTCTTGCGTGGTCCTGGTCAAGAGGAATTCTGCTAACCCCGCTCGGATAGGTGGAGAGAACATCTACCCGCTCGAGATTGAGGAGCGTCTGATGGACCATCCTGCGATTACTCGTGCCATCGTAGTCGGACTCAAGAATAAGCACTATGGCGAGGTCGTGGGTGCTTTCGTTGAGCTGGCTGATGGTCATCAGAAGCCCGCTTTTGAGGAGCTTAAGGACTGGTGTCGTAAGAGACTCGGTGGCCACAAGTCTCCTGCCCATGTCTTCTGGCTAGGCGATGACAATGTTCCAGCGACAGTCCCTTTGACAGGAAGTGGAAAGGTGCGCAAGTTCGAGATGGCCAAGCTGGGTGATGAGCTGTTGCGACAGCAGGAGAAGACCTCGAAGCTGTGAACATAAAATTGGAGTCGATTCAATCGTGGCAAAGGATCGGATGGAAGCATGTATTTAGAGCGTAGTATTTTCGCATATGTTTGGGAAGCAAAAGTTTGTAAGGGTAAAATAGAGTAGAAATACAGAATTTAGAAGTTGGGTAAAATCCGAGCACCTGCTGTTTTATTTGGAGAGGAAGGAAGTGATCCATGCGAGCAGCCCCCACCGTACATACAAGTTTGGAAGTCACGGGTGAGACAGCTGTTACACAACAGAAGATCTGCACAGGAAGATCTGCGCATGGGGAGATTGAGTGATCAAATAATATCTTTTCATGTGATGACCCCTCAAATACTTTGTCCGTCTATATACAAACAGTCCATCCTGCCCGCGATAAGTGTCTCTACTTTATACTTGAGAAGGGAAGCACTTATAACTTAGGTACGAGACCTAGCTTCGTGCCAGCAACAACTTTCTCATTATCTGCCAAAGGACACAACTGAAAGAAGCGCTCACGAGAAGATCGTACAAAGGCACTTCGCTGATGTGGCAGATCGATCAGCTTGTCCAGGCCGGAGCCGTGAACAAAGTCATACATGACGATGGTTGTGTTTGTTTCCTGGGACTCTCCCACAACAAACATAGTCCGCGGGTCGTCGAGGTATAGGTAATGCATCAAGCTGCTCCACCAAGCCGACACACGATGTGGTCCGCGGAAACGCACATCACCTACAAGCGAATGACGACCGCGGTCGAAATCACCCGCATTGAAGTAACCGCCCAGCCGGTCCTCCTGTCAGACAGAATCGTTAGAATCGCATCGAGCAGAAACAGGTCAAAGAATAACATACCTTGGCCCAATAAACCTCAAAGTAGGCGAAGTGGGTATCGTCATATTTGGCCAGAATAGCAATCACATGAGGATCCTCATGCACCTTGCGCAGATATTCCCGGTGCTGTTCCAAAGTGCCAGTCAGGTTCCAGCCTTGCGAGACGCGAGGATCGTTTTGCCATTCATGGAACATCCGTACATGTTCGGCATCGGTGTAATCGAGAGAAACCATAGAAAATGTTTCATTAAGGTGAGGAATCCATCGACTGTAAACAACAGCACCAGCTGCAGGTTTCACGGGCCTGACTGGGTGCCATGACTGCTGAACACGCTCAGGATCATCCGGATCACCAGCTGAGGTGATGGTTGTGGTATTCTGCAAAGGAGTCAAAGGGTATGATCCAAGAGGGTTTGTGGCCGGTAGTGATGATGGCGACTCGTCCGGACACCAAACAGGGCGGGGACCAAAGGGCGATCCAGCACCTTGCCAGAACGTACTTCGCAGGAGAAGAACGAGGCTCCTGTCAGTCTTGTCCACGGCCGGGCGCTTCTCTCGGCCTTTGAGAGGGTGGTCAATAGCGAGCAACACTGCTTTAAGCTGTTGGCCTAGAATAACAGCATTGATGCCGCAAAGTTCGAGTCGGTATGACTCCACGGATGTTCTCAGAGTGAAGAGAGCATATACAAGCAGCCATATCTGTGCTAAGCTTGGCGCTTCTGAGTTCTCCCAGTACACGGTGACACAGGGTGAACGACGAGCCCGGGCCCAAGGACTGTTGTTGGACTGCGGTGGAAGCTCACTTGACTTGAGATCAACTGGGTCAGAGAACACCAGACCAGCGCTGTGAAGGTCGAAGGGTAGAGGCTTGGCCGACGCAGAGGGCCTTTGGACCAGCTTATATACAGCAGCGTCCACGCCATCTATCGCAGAGGCTTTCTCGATTGCATAGTCGGTCTGGTAAGGGTGTGGAAGCTTGACAGCAATTTCATCAGCCTTTATGGCCGAAAATGCTCTCAATGGTGCCGACATTATTGCAGCGTTTGGGGTATCCAATTTGAGAATCAGTGGTAACAAAGGCGATAAGAAAAAACTTTACTGAACTGAGAGGCTATTCACACCATGAGAGGATGGTGCATATGAGAGGATGCACATCGGTCCCCCACTTCGGAACCAGGTCGACCGAAATCTTGGGGCTTGCAGTCGGTTGTATTCTGCATGGATCGTGTGCGCACCCGTAGGTATCCATCAGTTCCGCGGCTTTCAGGCCATTACACAATCCATTCGGCTCTGGCACAGTAAAGCGAGGAGCTAGTCGAATTTACGAGACGACGTCGACGATGCAGCAACAAGCCTAAGCAAATTTAGTCAAATTCTATGACCACAGGTGCCGAAGATCCCCTTGACCCTACTGCGAGCGGTGCAAACTAGCTGTCTAGAAAGATTATCGAGTGGGTCAAAGCGGATCTGATAACTTGGAGACCTAGAGACCTATCACCCTGGTCACCAAATTTTCTGTCTTGTTTGATACACCCCCCTCCTCTTTATCCGATCATCGGAGCTTGACGTTAGCAGGATCTGATAAACCACTCAACAACGCTAAAGACATCAACACCACCAAAAAGATCAACTTGGTCCCTATAATCCTTGCAAAGACCAGCAGGGATGTCCTGAATAGAAAAGAAAAATGAACTGATGAGCTGTTTAAAATAAAAAAACCAACGTGGCCCTGGAACAAAAGTTCCCACAATTCTGCTCCGAGGACAATTACCCAGGAAGAAAATATGCACGTTGCCAGCCCAACCATAATTCTCAGTGGCTTTGAACACCCATGGGCTTGCTTTACGTGTACTACGTACAGATGAGATTGAAAAGCATGCATGGCAAGTCGCCCCGAGTAAATGGTGTGACAAGTTTCGAGAGATTTATACCTGTCACTTACGCATTGCTATTTCATTTGGTACTTCTATGCATGAACTTAGTCACCACTGAAGATCCAACCATACTGTTACCGAGAGCTCGGAACGTCGATATGCGGCAAGATGCATCGTTGATCGGTCGTCCATTTTTTTCGCTGATCAGATTAGATCTTATCAATCAAGCCTCGTAGAAAATGCCTCCACAATGTTGGTTGTGAGATGAAGATCACGGCAGACCAGCACTGAGATATTTACGGTTATTGTATTCGTTACCGAAATCCTTGCCTCTATAAACTAAGCCCTCTAGGGTCAATGATATCGATGGTCAGTAGCTGTAAGCCAAAACCCAGAAGGTTGTAAAAGTACTTCGGTTTTAGGGTTGAATATATGTGTAAATGACAAGAAACGTGGTTTAAATGAGCAAAGATCACTGCAGCTGTTCGTCATCTTAGAGCGCCTCGACCTTGAAGCTGGAGAGGATATGATGGCAATCGCCAATGCTGATGAGAATCGCCCATGCTATTATCTACGGGACAACTTTATTCACGACGAAAGTTCTGCGAAAAGGTGCATAAATAGCATCTCATATATAGTTAAAGCCGCCTTAGTTCATATAAAGGTATCAGCAATTAAAAACAATCATCATATCCTGCGGAGCACATGGCTTCCTCGTATGCATTCTATCATCTCTATCAATATTCAGCCAAACGCCGCACAATTTTATCGTCCTGTATTAAGCCTTGGCCTCATCGGTCTTGCGACCACCAAGCTGCATGTAGTTCCAGCAAACTATCACGACAAGTCAGTATTTCTCTTCTATAGTAACTTATTGAACCAAACTTACTTGTCCAACCGAGGTCGTCTCTGAAGCAAGAATGGGCAACTTCCTCGCCAGAAACGGTGCCACTTTCAGGGCCGTATGCCACAGCCTTCTTGCCGACTGCGAGTCCGATGACAGGAGGATAGACGACAAGCTCCTTGAAGTCAGGGACGTGGCCGGCTCGATGGCTGAGGATGCTTTGGTGGATGTTCAAAGCTGCATAGTGGCCGTGATGCATGGCACCACCGCACCGCTTAATGCCAGGCCAGTTGTTGATGTCGCCAACGGCGTAATGGACGTCGGCGTTAGGTGTCCCCTCCTCGAGCTGTAGGCTACAGGAAAGGGTTAACTGCTGAGCAGGTTGAAGGACGAACTAGATTTACTTACGTAGGCTTGATCTTGACAAACCCATCCTTATCCAGTGCAGACGATGGCAGATATGTGGACGTGGGAACGCTCCTAGAGATGGCCATGACGACTTGGCTGGCAAACATCTTGTGCCCGTTGGTGAACTCAATTTCGTACTTGTCGGTATTGTCAATCGTCTCGACCTTGTTTGTGGCTGCCACGCGGTGGCTCATCAGAGGCTTAACGCCAGCCTCACGAAGTAACTCAAGAGCAACATCCTTAGTTTCGTCAGGAAGGCCTTCAGATGAGAGCAGCTTGTCGCGAGAGTGAACTAGAGTGACGTTCAGATGAGGCTTGACCATTTTGAGTTCGGCAGCCATCTCAATACCAACAGCACCTCCGCCAACAACAACGACGCCATACTTGGCATCCTGTACAGAGTTTATATGGTTCTCAGCCTCGAGAAGGTATTGCTTTCGAGTCAAGGACTGAGGTACGACAGGCCAGACACGGCGCAAGCCAGTTGAGGAAACCAGGTAATCGTACTCAAGCGTGGTCTTCTCCTGTGTGAGATGGGCAGAGATTGTAGCCCTCTTGGTCTCAGGGTCGACACTGACTGCAGAGCCCTGGATGATGCTGATGCTGGGGTCCTTAAGGCCAAGAATATCAGAATACTTGACCCAGTTCTTCTCGGAGAAAGCAGAGTCTGCAAGAGCCAAGGGAGAGCCGATTGTGTGGTCTATTATCAAGTCAGTGCCGGAGATTATGGTGTGATGGGATTCGACCAGAACAGGTTCATATACTTACAATAACCATCTCTCTCATCAACGATAGTAATCTCAATGTTAAATTGAGGAAGTTCAGGGTGGTGAATGTAAGGCTCCGAGTTCATGCGGGGAGAGTAACCCTGGCTCAGGTCAAGCAGATTGACGGCAGCAGATAGGCCACCATAACAACCTCCGAGAATCAGAACGCGGACAGCGCTAGATGCTTCAGGAAGCGAGCCCATTGTAGCAAATGTCTTGGGGTAGTGGGCTATTGGCTGATATCGAGGAAGATTCGCAGAACTTGATGACACCAGGGGAGATCTTGGACGGGTCTGAAGCCTCGGCACGACTGCAGTTGAACGTGATGCACTGGATGTGAAGAAACGTGTATAAACGACCTGGGGTAATCTGAAGATTTGTCCTGAGAATCTAGAGGACGATCGAGAGATTAACATGAGCTGGGGAATAGAGTGTTCGAAGATGAGAGCGGAAGGGAAAATATGAATAGATGATTTAACTGCTATGGGAAGAAGGGTAGGGAGAGGAGATGAATTCCCGGCAATAAACGACCCTACATAAGCTCTTCGACGGCTACCAGTGACGCAGCACGGGATCGGATACGACACGACAGACACGGTATCCGTACTCGGAATAAAGGCATGTCTACGGCTTTCGACCTCGGGCCAAAGCCCTGGCTTCTGAACAAGGGGGGTCAACTTGGGTCTTACATTTCTCCATCAGGATCCCCAAGGATATTGGGACAGCGAGATTGATAAGCCTAGACGCATAAGCAGATAGCCAGTAGGAAGAGAGCACTGCCCAAAAAGCAGCGGGGCATTCTCCATTGTCATGGAGTTAATGTTGGTGTTGGGGACTTTTTGGGGAGGATTGTACAGTAGACTAAGGATGTGGAGTTAAAGTTATCAGATCCTCCAAGTAAGTACATACCACGCACTGTGTTAAATTAGCTTCTTGGTGATGGGGCACGCTTAGCCTGATTTGATAGAGGGAGAAGTTATCAGATCAGGTCAGTCCTGGGTCATTTTAGCACGTCCAGCATCTCAAGTCCGCAACCGTGAGAAATCACAGTGTGAGTACCGTTATCTGATCAAATCATGAGCAAGGTCAGTGACATGCAGAGACGATCAACAGACTAACAATTATGTAACCTCAACATCTGTAAACCCCTTTCGAACGGACGGAGAGCAAAGTTGTGCCGATTTATGCCTGTCTCCTGTAAATGGAGTGAGGATGCCAAGGCCGTAGGGTGGACAGCGGATGAGGTGCTCGAATTGAGCCATTTTCAAGCTTCTCATCCATAAAAGCCAAGGTGCCCTCAGTAATGGGTTCTCAGACATGGGAGAAGTGTAGCTCTCTGTATGCCCTCATGAACTGTTGTATCATCGCACGCTTATTCAAAATGCAACGATGAATCTTGAGGTCTTGGTCTCTTCGTCATCTTCAAGTCCAAGTTCGCCGATTTTCGGTGATGCTCGGTTCAGATAACCACCGGAATCAGTGTGAACGCCGATCAGATAACTCGACTCACACAGTCTCCAGAATTTAGACTTGGCATGTTGACCAGTGACAAGCCAAGAAAAATTATCAGATCCGAGTGATCCTTGTCTGACACGAATTCACCCCCACCAATAGATCAAGCGATGGCAACCAAGCCATGAGTGAATACTACCTTGAGGAAATTAACGGAATATACTTATGCAGTACGACTAACAAGTCGTTGTTCTTATGTGGCTGGTAAGCTGGCTCTATATGTCAATTCAAACCTCTATCCTTTATCTGTTTTGGAAACGACGGAGAAGAGTACATCTAGTTCATCTTCTGGCGATATCCTCATATTCACCTGAGACGACCACATCACAAACCCCATTCTCTCCACAAAGCTAAACTACTTACCTGTACATGATGCAACACAAACCACACCCATGATCATTCATCTAAGAGACTTTGTTATCATGTCCAGTGGGGTTTCAATCCTTCGCTCCCTAACCCACGGCGGTCTTTTACCCCATTGGAGATGCCAAGCAAAGACAAGGGTGCGACTGAGCGTAAAATTATGCTTGTTTAACAGCAAATTAGAGGCTCTGCAGCTTCACCCCGGCTCCGATTCCGGGTCCGCTTCGGTGTCTTTAACTGCTTCTTTGCTAGTGATCGTCCAGGGCTGATGCTCAAACTCGTGCTCATGCTCGCTGAGGGCCCTGTTGTTTGCCGTGCTAAGACAATCATTCCCTCCAATGAAGGGTCTTCAGGGCCGATGCTTCGCAGGTTTTGTAGTGTTACAGTATCTTCTTCTGTGCCATGAATTTCCTCTTTTTCTCTCCTTCTTCCTCACTTCTGTCCGAGTAAAGGCGTAGGCTGCAAAGTGGCATCTTTGTCTTTACGACACATACAACTAAGATGGCCTCGGCTTCGCCAGAGAAGCACGGCGATGCTGTCGAGAGAGAAGTGATCTCTTCTACTGAGCCTACGCATCATGACTCTCCAAAGCATGATCAAGCCACTACAGACACGGTGATTGATGTGCTCAACAATCCTACCGTCGAGCGTCAACCCAGTCATTCGCCGCGACCATCAACACGCTCATCGTCTGTGTCTACCACATCTCAGACACCACCCGAGAAAAAGAAGAAAAAGGTACATATTCACGCCCAAAGGTCATTCTCTCAAGATGCAAAGATATACTAACCATCCTCCTCCATAGACTCTTCGCTCGTTCTTCACATACTTCCAGCTCCTCTTCTATGCCAATCCAACATGGATCGATATACTTCTTCTGATTGTAGGCACTTTATCCGCTTGCGCTGCTGGAGCGCCATTCCCCCTGATGGGTATCATCTTCGGTCAGCTCGTCAACGACCTCAACACCGCGTCATGCGACGATCCGGAAGCAGCATCCCAATACTCGCCTCAAGAACTCCAAGCCAGCATCAACAAAAAGGTAGTCATGATCACATGGATCGGAGTGATTAGCTTTGCCCTCATTTACACGTATATTGTGTCGTGGTCTATCTTCAGCCGTCGTCTCGAAAATCGTATTCGCGATCGATATTTCATGAGCATCCTTCTACAAGATGCTGCCTTTTTTGACAAAAGGCAGGCTGGAGAGATTACATCTCGCCTCAACACGGATATTCAGGCTATCCAGTCGGGTACTTCAGAAAAGGTCGGCATCATCATTGGATGCACATCCTTCTTCGTCTCTTCATATGTGGTCGCCTTTGTCAAGAACACCACACTCGCTGGTATCCTCGTATCTCTTGTGCCTGCATTCATGATACTTGCCGTCGTAGGTAGCATGTTCACGGCGAAGTTTGCAACAGCCATGTCTGAAAAGATCGCATCTGCTTCATCAATTGCCTCAGAGGTTCTCGCCAACATTCCTGTTGTGCAAGCTTTTGGCGCAGGACCGCGTCTCGAGGCCATCTTTGCTGAGAGAATGAAGGGAGCAAGAAAACAGGGCATCAACAAGGCTTTCGTTGCTGCTGTACAGGCTGGATTGCTTTACTTCATTGCCTACTCTGCCAACGCCCTTGCTTTCTGGCAGGGTAGTTCGCAGATCGCGGACATGGTTGAGGGCAATGGCGGCGCATCTGTGGGTGATATCTACACTGTCATTCTTCTGTTGGTTGACGGTATGTAAAATTGATTCCCTTTCTTGCTAAACCTCTTGACTTACTTGTCATAGCTTGCGTTGTTCTTGGTGGTATTGCACCTCTATTGCCACTTGTCGGTGCTGCTATTGGATCTTTTGAAAAGCTTCGCGAAGATATGGACAGCCCAGCCGCCATTGACACAGGTTCCAACAGTGGTGAGAAGCTCTCTTCGGTCGAAGGAACTGTCTCCTTCAGAAATGTCTCTTTTGCGTATGTCTCTCGACCTCACCACCCTGTTCTAAAGAGCGTTTCATTCGACTGTCCTGCTGGCAAGCATACCGCCCTTGTTGGACTTTCAGGTAGTGGCAAGTCGACTGTCGCTGGTTTAACATCCCGAATCTACGATCCCACCGAAGGCACCGTTTTTCTGGATGGGCACGATCTGAAGAGCCTGAACGTGAATGGTTTGAGAAGCCATATGAGTCTTGTGCAGCAGGAGCCTTCTCTCCTGGATCGATCCATCGTGGAGAACATTGCTCTTGGTATCCTGAACTCGCCTCAGCCGGAGCATGCACGATTCAAATCCACTATTATTGGTACCGGTCTCTTAGAACTTGCTGCCAAGCTCCGGCAGGGCGAGGGTTTGGCGACCGCATCTCAGGGATTTGGTCAGGACATGGTCGATCTCGTCGGTCGTGTTCAAGAGGCCGCTAGACTTGCGGATGCATCTGGATTCGTTGATAGGCTTGAGTATGGTTATGGCACACTTGTCGGTAGTGGCGGAAAGCTCGTGAGCGGTGGCCAGCGACAGCGTCTTGCGCTTGCTCGAGCCTTGATTCGCGATCCTAAGATCCTTATCCTTGATGAGGCCACTGCATCTCTTGATTCTGCGAGCGAGCACCGTATCCAGATGGCTATCGAATCCATCGCAAAGAGTCGCACCGTCATTGCTATCGCCCATCGTTTGTCTACTATCAAGAACGCCGATAATATCATCGTTATGAACAGTGGCGAAATCATCGAGCAGGGAAACCACCTTGAGCTCATGGCTTTGAACGGTTCGTACGCTAGTATGGTTCGTCTGCAGACAGTTGACTCTGAGGATGCTGGGTCTACAACAAGCACTGTACGCACTGATAACGTATACTCCGAGAAAGACTCCATCACAGATCTCAAGACCAAGAATATTGAGACAGAAGTAGCAGATGATGCTAAGAAGGAAGACGAGGAGAAGGCGGCAGTTCCTGAGGGAGATGCTGCTCTTGATTCCAACAAGTCTGCATGGACTGTCATCAAGACGATCGGCGGCATGGTACGACCATATCTGCTGCTGATCATCCTCTGTCTCTTCGCTGCCACTATTGTCGGCCTCACATTCTCGTCTGCTGGTCTCATCTTTGGTTATACTATCGACAACATCAGCCCCTGCAACCCTGTCGAGGATATCCGATGGGCTGGTAGGTTCTTTGGAGGCATGTGGTTTCTGGTTGCTTGCGTCGAACTATTGGCCAATACCACAAGTTGGACTGGCTTCGGCATGGTTGCTGAGAAGTTGTTGTACAAGATCCGAGTCCTTTGCTTCCGCTCCCTGTACGAACAGGATCTTGATTGGCATCAGTCAGAGGGCCGTACACCCACTGCGCTCTTGTCTGTTATCACAACAGATGCTGCAGCAGTTGGTGGGTTCAGCGGATCCATCATGGGCACGATCTTCTCTATTATGGTCAATTTCCTGGTCGCCATTATCCTTTCGCATATTCTTGCCTGGAAGATTGCCATTGTGTGTCTGGTTATTGTCCCTATTCTTCTCGGTTGCGGTATCATGCAACTTCGTTCACTCTCCAAGTTCGAGCGTCGCCATGCTGGAGCATTCTCTGGCGCAGTTGGTATCGCTAACGAGGCTGTCAACTCGTTCAAGACCATATCTTCACTTTCCATCGAAGAGGAAGTCATGAGCTCGTACCGACGTGCCCTCAAAGCACCCCGCAAAGAAATCACTCTGGCTTCCATGTATGCCAATCTATGGCTATCGCTCGCCAACAGCACTGGAAACTTGATCTACGCGTTTGCCTACTGGTGGGGATCAACACGAATTACTGCAGGCGAGGCAAGCCAGCGAGAATTCTTTGTTATTCTCATCTGCATGCTTGTTAGTGCACAACTCTGGGGCCAAATGTTCAGTCTTGCCCCAGAAGTATCTCGGGCCAGAGCTGCAGCCTCACGCATTCTCAGCTTGATCAACCTCGGGTCTTCTGACGATGATGCCAAGAAGGGTAAACTCAAGCTCGCCATTGAGAATACTGAAAAGGACGTTGAAGCTCGTGCTGAGGCCCCCACAAAGGGCAGCGGAGGCAAGGGCGCGACCATCGTTTTCAAGGATGTCAAGTTCTCATACCCAGCTCGACCTCATATCCAGATCCTCTCAGGCATGTCCTTCACCATCTCGGCTGGACAGTTTGTTGGTCTTGTCGGGCCCTCGGGTGCCGGTAAGTCTACCGTTATGTCACTCGTCCAGCGCATGTACCGGCCATCGAGCGGAACTGTCGAGATCAACGGCGTGGACATTTGCGCGCGTGAAGGAACGGAATTCCGCCACGATATCGCAGTTGTTCCCCAAGACTGTGCCCTTTTCGACGGAACGATCCGATTCAACGTATCTCTGGGTTCGACTCCTGACCACAACCCGACCGACGAGGAGATCCACGAGGCTTGCAAGCTGGCCAACATCCATGACGTGATTATGGAACTGCCCAACGGCTACGACACTGAATGCGGCCCGAACGGTTCTCGTCTTTCCGGTGGACAACGCCAGCGTCTAGCAATTGCGCGTGCTCTTGTACGTAAGCCCAAGCTATTGCTCCTTGACGAGAGCACGAGTGCACTCGATGCTGAGAGCGAGCGGGCTCTGCAGGAGGGCCTTGAGCGTGTGGCACGCGGTATCACAGTGATTGCCATTACACACAGGCTTCACACGGTGCGCAAAGCGGATGTCATCTTCATGATTGAGGGAGGAAAGGTTGTTGAAAAGGGACGGCACGAAGAGCTAGTGGAGAGGAGTGAGACTTATCGCACAAATGCGCTGCAACAGATGCTAGGAAACTAGACTGGTTGTTTAAGTTATTGGTCTGATGATGAAAAGCACGAGTTGTATAGTAAAGATACCAGGATACAAGCATAATTGACAGTGATTGATATCAAATCTGAGCCTCGCGTAACTTTATGCAGGCTAGAGTTGGAGTAGGAGTCTCGATCAAGAGTTGGAGATTTTAACCCCCACGCCTCCAAATCGACGCCTGACCTCCATCTTCTCTTTCCATGTCTCAGCCAACCAAGTGTAAAGGGTGCAGCCTCGTGAAAAGACATCCTGTCAATTCAGGGGATTTGCCCACGTTTCTTGTCATGTGAGCTCTGAACGACACACCAGCATCTTTGGCTTTGGTCTGCTATTTACAGTGTATATTTACCGGTCTGGTGTTCGGTAAAGAATGCGAAGTAGACAACATGATGTTATCATGCATTTTGCCGGCACTTAGTTCGTGTTTACAAGGGGTCCTGGCTTTATAGTGGATGAAACAAAAATGAATCTTTAAATGTGAAGCAAATTGGCTCTGCAAGTCGGATATTAATAGCATTGCAACTTAAAAAAGGGAAACATGCAAACGCTGGGTATAAAGGTTACAGTTAACCTCTCTATTAACTCACCTGCTACTGTACTACGTAACTGTAACCATAACTGTAACTCAGTACGACGGAAGCCTTCAAGAACTCAAACACGACGTCACAGTGTAGATACAGGGGTCTCCATCTGCACGAGAATACCTACAAACCCGGCCTATCACAAGCCACATAAACGATCCCTAGCAAGTATCCCCCCCTGACTTACTCTCGTCAGTCGCTCTCGATCTGTCTTTGTGCATTGCAGTCAAGCCTCACTTCTCTGTCCATGTATCATCGTATTGTCGCCTTGTCCGAACCCTAACACGCCCACCCACTCACAGCGTGCAAAACAAGGTTAAGGCTTCAGTGGGGGACGTTAACACTGTACCTGGGGCTTTTTTTGTCACCGACGGGGGCTGTCTCGACGATTCCCTCACCTCATCCACTCTCCAAGAGGATCTCGACGCTAAAGGGACTGCCAATACCCAATTGGGCCCCTCGAACCATATGCCTTTCGTCACCGGCACACACCATATCTTGATTCAGGTCCAGACTGTTTATCGATAATAAAGAAAACCCAGACTTTCTGACACCACCTCGCAAACCAAAGTCGCAACCATTCCCTCGACATCTCCCCTTGACAATCCCTCCTCCGTTCCTGGCGTTGCCCTTACCACTTCTCAATCCCGCCTTAACGACGCCCACTCGACACGAGGAGGGAGTGCTTCTGCCTCCCTGTTAGACGACTCAGTCTTGATCTCACAGCAGAACCAGCGCGGCATCAGCGCCAACACAAGCAGCAGCGCCAACCAGAGCGAGCAGTTTGAACTTGTCGATTATCCTCCCATCCAGGCTCGTCGAGACGCCGCAGACCGCGAAACCAGAAGACGGGCGAAACGAGACGAAAAGCGCCGCTGGCTCGACGAACAGGACGAGATGAAGTTCTCCCACAGTATTCAGTTCAATGCTGTTCCTGATTGGAGCAGTCATTACATTGCCTATAGCAACCTCAAGAAGCTGTGTGTTCTATCTTCCAACTTCGCCAAGCCTTGTGTATACTAACTTTACCTTCCTATAGAATCTACCACCTCGAAAAGAATGCTCATCAGGCGCGTGGCAGCACTGGTGACGCCGAATCGCGACCTCTTATAAACCAAGAAGATGCCGAAGAAGTTTTCTCCCGAGCCCTGGGGGTTGAACTAGAAAAGATCTGCTCCTTCTATGTCGCCAAGGAGGGTGAGCTTCTCGAGGAGGCTGCCCAACTCCTACGCGACGTTGGCGACGAAGCTGAGGATGCCATTGCCGATAACCGTTACTTGCGCCGGCTCTCTGTTTCGTCAGCCCATCGGCCCGAAGGCAGAAATGGGTTTCGCTCCAGAAGCCCTCGAAGTCGCAGCAGCGATAATGAAGAGAGCGGAAGCGAAGAGGAGGATGAGACCACTGGACTCACAACAAGGCGACGCAGCAGTGGGGGCCGAAGGCGGACACTTCCCAACATTAATGCCAAGGCGCGCTCTGAGGATATGAATGCCTCTAGCGACTTTGGACGAGACATGAGAAGGCACAGCACTACAGCTGACGAGAACGAAGACCAGGCTCTCATGTTCTCTTCGGGCATCTTTTCATCCGCCATCATGCTCAAGAAGCGCATCATTGGCCTCTATGTGTCTCTTTGCGAACTCAAGTCGTTTATCCAGCTCAACCGCACCGGTTTCACCAAGGTTCTCAAGAAATTCGACAAGATTCTCGATAAGGAACTCAAGGGACCCTACCTGCGAGCCAATGTCGAAACGGCGTATCCTTTCAAGGATGAGACGAAGCGCGTTCTCGAGGAGCACATCACCAAGATGGAGAAGGCCTTTGCTGAGATCGTTACTGGTGGAGATGAGGAGTTGGCTCGCAAGGATCTTCGCTCACATCTCAGGGAGCACGTTGTTTGGGAGCGCAACACAGTTTGGCGAGATCTCATTGGTATTGAGCGTAGAGCCGAGGCTGCGGGCTTGGGACAGGCGCTTCTCGGCCAGGAGAGAGGCAATGTTACAAGAAGGTTACAGGGCGACGAGGCCAAGGCATTCAAGGCCGCCCAGTTCCGTACGCCGTTTGGCAGGGTCACATTACCCGCGTGGCTTGCCAGCTCGTCTCTGTGGACCCTTATTGCCTGCCTTACGGTCTTTGCCTTGCTACTTTTGCTTCCCATCATGGAAAAGGCTGAGCAGCAAAACTGCCTGGCGATGCTTGTCTTTGTCAGTTTACTATGGGCGACCGAGGTAAGTTTACATGATCAAACTAGTTCACGATTAATCAATGCTAACGTTTTCTAGACCATTCCCCTCTTTGTCACTTCATTGCTTATTCCCTTCCTCTCTGTCGTTCTGAACGTCGTCCGTGATGAGACACCCGGAAAGCCTCCAAAGCGTCTTGATTCTAAGCAGGCAACATCCGCCATCTTCGCCGCTATGTGGACGCCTGTCATCATGCTTCTTCTCGGTGGCTTCACCTTGGCGGCGGCTTTGTCTAAGTGTACTATCGACAAGCGACTGGCAACTCTTGTTCTGAGCAAGGCTGGTACTCAGCCCAAGACTGTACTGATTGCCAACATGTTTGTCGCTGCTTTTGCATCCATGTTGATCAGCAACGTTGCTGCACCTGTCCTGTGCTACTCTATCATTGAGGTGAGTTGACTAATTATAAAATCACAAAAACAATACTGACCTGCGAATAGCCCATGCTGCGAACCTTGCCTTCCGACTCCAACATGTCCAAGGCAGTCATCATTGGCATCGCCCTCGCCTCCAACATTGGCGGAATGCTGTCTCCTATCGCATCTCCCCAGAACGTGGTGGCCATGGGCATTATGCAGCCCGCGCCTACATGGCTTCAGTGGTTCTTCATCGTTATCCCCGTTGGCGCTGTCTCGATCGTCCTTATCTGGCTTCTTCTCCTCGTCACTTTCCAGCCAGGTAAGGGTACGACAATTGCTCCTATTCGCCCTGTTAAGGAGAAGTTTACTGGCGTTCAATGGTTCGTGACCATTGTCACTATCACTACCATTGCTTTGTGGTGCGCTAGCCACCAGCTTGAGGCCGAGTTCGGAGATATGGGTGTCATTGCTATTATTCCCATCGTGCTCTTCTTCGGTATTGGTCTTCTGACCAAGGAGGACTTCAACAACTTCCCCTGGACTATCATTATCCTTGCTGCGGGTGGTCTGTCTCTGGGCAAAGCTGTGCGCTCGTCTGGTCTGCTCCACACTCTTGCGGAGATTGTTTCTGCGAAGGTTGAGGGCATGAGTCTTTATGGCGTGCTGGTTGTCTTCTCAGCCTTGATCTTGGTTATTGCAACCTTTATCAGCCACACTGTCGCTGCTTTGATTTTCCTGCCTCTTGTCTTCGATGTGGGTGTCGCAATGGAGCAGCCTCACCCCAACCTTCTCGTCATGGGCGGTGTCCTCATGTGCAGTGCCGCTATGGGTTTGCCGACTAGTGGCTTCCCCAACATGAGTAAGTCAATACCATCTGCATGTTCTGTTTCACTTCTAACTCGATACAGCCGCAATCATGAAGGAAGATCCCTTTGGTCAGCGTTATTTGCAGGTCAAGCATTTCATCAGCCGCGGTGTACCAAGCAGTCTCATCACTCTTGTCGTGGTTGTGACCCTTGGATATGGCATTATGCAACTCGCTGGACTCGACTAATTCATAAGGGAGTATGAATTTTTGGGGATCTCTTGATGTTAAACATGCTTATTGTCGTTTCTGGCGTCTAAGGCATAACATTGGATGTCTCTTTTGGTTCTGGTGAAGTAATTACCATGGCGATGAACGTAGATCAAGCGCGGCATAGACTGGAATATTTGTTTTTATTTTGATAGCTTTAGTTGGAATAACGATTTGAAGAGTGACTGAACTAAACCGATATAAATATTCCAATTGTTTATGTGAAATATTCCGGTAGTATCAGCATGAAGAGTTGAATTTGATTATATTAGTGCGAACTCACACTGTCGTACTGTACTGATGGAGGAAGCTCTGGCCATCCGTTGACGTCGATGCTGGTGGTTGGCGGCATGACCCTGCCACCGAACTCCGACACCCAAATACCGTCCTTGTTCACCAACAACACCAAAGCCTGGCGTCGATACCACCCTTCTGCATTACAAATCTGTCGATTGCAGCTTGATTAGGCACAGCTTACGCTTACATATCCCTGATATCAACTCATGCGCCCCTTCTCCCAATAGCCTCCACAGCTTCGAGCTGGCCGGCGCCATGCTCTCCGCCTTTACAGCACGTCCCATCATCGAGCTGCGACAGCGAGATAGATCAAAGATCGAGACGATACTTGCTTACGGTACGCGCATACTTCACGACACTTGCTGCTGTCATCATAATCTAAGCTCTTGCTAATTGACAATGTTTAGGTGATCGCGTTCTCGTCGGCCTTAACAATGGCGCCCTTCGCATTTACCGCTTAAACGAGCTTCCTGACCAACCTCAGAACGGTTCCACTGAAGCAGATGATAATGCTCCGACTTCTACAGCGAATTATGGTCATGCTGCTGGGCCAAAATCCACAAACCCAACAGACTTGATGCGGGAGGTGGACCGCTTCTCGACCCGAGCTATCGAGCAACTGGCCATTATCAAGGACGCAAACACGATCGTGTCACTGTCGAATTACCATGTATCTTTTCACGATCTAAAAACGTACGAGCTCATTGAGACACTGAGTCGGACCAAGAACGCGACGTGCTTTGCATCGACGTCGAATATTGTCAAGGATCCGGACACAGGCATCCCCGAGATTGTGAGCCGACTGGCTGTTGCGGTCAAGAGAAAATTGCTGCTTTGGAGCTGGCTCGAAAGCGAGCTTTCTGAAGATGTCGAAGAGATCGTGCTAGCCGAATCGATTCGGTCAATAACATGGGCGAATGCGACAAGACTGGTATGTGGCATGAACGGCGGATATGTCATGGTCAACGTGGTTACACGAGAAGTCGAAGATATTGTGAGTCCTGGCTCAGGGCCAGCGACTGGGCAGTCTAGTCGCTTTGGTGCTATGAGCAGTGCTAGTATGGGATACATGGGTTTGGGAGGTTACATGCCTAAGCCTTTGGCAGCCAAATTGGCTGAAGGGGAAATGTTGCTTGCAAAGGACATTCACACTCTGTTTATCGACGACGATGCAAAGCCCCTCGAGCGGCGGCAGATTCCCTGGCAACATGCCCCTGAATCCATAGGATACTCGTACCCGTACATCCTCGCCCTGCAAGCGCCTTCGAAGGGCTCTCTGGAAGTCCGAAACCCGACGACACTCTCATCACTTCAGAATCTGTCACTTCCTGGCGCGGCACAACTTCACTTCCCGCCACCCACTTACAGCCTAGCTCACCGCGGTAAAGGTTTCCATATCTCGAGCGAGCGATGCGTTTGGAAGATGGATGCGACTGATTATGACTCTCAAGTCCAGGAGCTCGTTGACGGTGGCCATTTCGACGAAGCCATTAGTATTCTTGAAATGCTTGAGGATGCTTTGTTAAAAAACAAGACACAAACGTTGCGTGAGATCAAGATGCTCAAAGCCGAAGGCCTATTCAAGAAGAAGAAATACCGACAGGCAATGGATCTCTTTAACGAGGACACAGTGCATGCGCCTCCTGAGCGAGTACTCAAGATGTTTCCTCCGTCAATTGCAGGAGAACTTTCTGCATGGGCGGGACGCGAGGAAGAAGAAGAGCAGCAAGAATCTGACGAAGCTCCTGGGACACCGAAGAGGACTAACGGAACGCGTCCTACTACTCCTGAGCCCGCTGAGCCGGCACACGAAACCCCTCAATCAAGCAAGGGAGGGTTTGCTAGATATCTCACAGGAAGCTATAGGAGGCCCCAAGCAGATACCGCGTCCATTTTTTCAAAGAAAGAGACGAACGAAGTCGATGATGCTGTCAGCGTGAAAGACAACGATTCAAATGATGATCTACCTTTAAAAGATAAGGACTTGACCAATGCGGTTCTGGAGCTGAACAGTTACCTTGCTGGAACACGTGCTCGTCTACAGCGGGTTATTGATCCCAACACTGGAAACATGAAGCCCCGGAGCGAACGAAATGGCTCCACAGAAGAGATAGCAGAGAATTTCTTGCGAATAGGACTCGACGACTCCGAAAAGAAGCTTGAGGAGGAGCTTCGAAACACATTTCGCCTGGTGGATACAACATTGTTCCGAGCGTACATGTACTCTCGACCAACGTTGGCAAGCTCTCTGTTCCGAATTCCCAACTTCTGCGACCCTAATGTGGTCAATGAAAAGCTTTTGGAGCATAACCGTTACACTGAGCTGGTCGACTTCTTCTACGGTAAAAAGCTACACAAGGAGGCTTTGGAACTTCTTCGTCGATTTGGAGCTGCTGAAAAGCCAGATGAAGCCGCGCCAGCACTTCATGGCCCTGAGCGCACTATCCAGTACCTCAAAAGTCTCCCTCCTTCAGAAATCGACCTCATTCTCGACCATGCAGAATGGACGCTCAAGGCCAGTCCAGATGATGCTTTGGAAATATTCACAGGTGACACCGAGAATGCGGAAAACTTGCCACGAGACAGAATTGTTTCTTTCCTTCACGGCGTTGATACACAATTAGAACGGCGATATTTGGAACACATCATCAACGAGCTTGAAGACACGACACCGGATCTTCAAAACCGTCTGGTAGAGCTCTATGTGGAAAACTTGAAGAAGATGGATAAGGGAGAGAAATGGGATGAGTTAATGAACCATTTTGTCGAGTTCTTGAGGCAACCAGGGCATGTCTATAGTCTCACAAAGGCGTTTGGGCTGATTCCCAGAGATGGTAAGACGTATTTCCTACTTTACTGCGGTTTACGCTGACACATTCAAACCAGAACCAGACTTTTACGAGGCGCAGGCGGTGGTATTGAGTAACATGTCCCAGCACAAGCAGGCGCTTGAAATTTATGTTTTCAAGATGAAGGACTATCAGAAAGCTGAACAGTACGTAACTACAAAAGTTTGAAACTTTTACCCTGCTGACTTTAATAGATATTGTAACCGAATCAACTCGACTCAAGACACCGCCCCATCATCTCAATCGAATTCGAGGGACGACAAAGGGGATGACCCTGAAAGCACTACACCATCCATTTACCACACACTTTTGTCGCTCTATCTTCAGCCATCACCGCCCAACAAACCCAACCTTGAGCCAGCGCTCGATCTACTCTCCAAGCATGGATCGCGCCTCCCAGCAACATCAACTCTAGGTCTCATTCCAGACGATTTGCCGGTTCGATCGCTGGAAAACTACTTCCGAGGTCGCATCCGTTCAGCAAATAGTTTGGTAAATGAGGCAAGGATTGTTGCCGGTTTACGGCAGGCTGAGGGCGTCTCCATTGCTGCACGGCTGCACCTGGGCGATGATGTTCAGGGTGGACAAGGTGGGCGCAACAGGCACGTCGCCATAACTGACGAGCGGCACTGCGTCGTGTGCCACAAGAAACTCGGAGGAGGTATGCGTATTGGCGGAAGCGTTGTGGCCGTTCTGCCTGACAATACGGTGGTCCATTACGGTTGTTTGAACCGAGCAACGGGGAACAAAGTAGATACATCCCGAGCGCCAAGTTGGGGTCGAGGGTTTTAGACAGGCGGTTGTGCTGTGCGGGAGCATCGTTTTGGGGAGCATTTGCATGGATTGGATCGGTGGTAGCCAGTATGATATTTCTTCAAATACCCTTCATATTCCAACATGTCTTGTTGCTGGGAGTTTCGTTTCGATTTATGCGGAGACGGGTTCCTTAGTCCTCCTCTTCCTGCACCTCCTCGCCATAGTTCTCCTCTTCCTTAGCCTCTGCCGCCGCATCCCTCGCCTTGTCCTGCTCCATTCGGGCTGTAAGCTCCTGGTTGATGGTGGCCTGCGTATCTGCGATAGAGGCACGAAGAGCCTGAAGGTATGACGATTTATCGGACGTAGAGGCTGTAGAGGAGATAGCAGGTAGCGTGTGCGAGACCTTGAATGGCTCGCTCATGGGAGATGCGTAGTCAGCGGTGAGAGTTGGTTGCGACATTGTGAAGGTTTAGTGCTGTGTGAAGTTTGGTGATAGATAGAAAATGTAATTCAAGATTCAAGGCTTGGAGTTGGTGTTGTGACGCGGGGTTGTTAAAAATGACCCCACTTGCTTGCAGTTTTATGCAGCTGGAGGAAGATCCATGGATACGCTACCGGGTAGTGAGATGCGATGAATTGAGATTCCTCCCTGCTAAATAACATATCAATATGTGAAATACCACAAGTTGATGTTAGTCAATGAGAAACCTGAAGCATGAGTATGTTAAGTCAAATTGCTATCTCATATATATACGGCCAAAGTAGTTGATAACTCATTGTAGCGTAGACAATGTTAGTCAGCGAAGTGACTTGCTTGAGGCTCCCTCGACTAATTGCTGAATGGTTGGGTGGTTTATCTTAGTGGCACAGCAATATCAATCTTCTTCTTTGATTCAACGTCAACCTCTACATCTCGACGACAGGCGCTCGTGCCATTGCTTTGGCAAAGCGACAGGCGATTAACATTCTACGAAAATTCCAAACCCGAAACCAATCTAAAACACATCCCCTCCTACCCTAGGTCCAATCGATCCGACCTCACGTCCCTTTGGGTATCAAGATGTAACCGCGGCCCTGGCGGCGCATAAACAACAATGCAACCTTCACGCTCTCAACCCCGCGGCCCTGGCAGCTTCGCTCCTTTATCAAGCTCCTCCGCTCAGCCCTCACAGCTATCGTCGTCCTCGCGACCTGCTCTGCGCCGAGTCGAAACCTCAGACGGCGAGGATGATACCCCTCGTCCATCTATCACGATACCCAAGGCGCGACAACCTTCACAGCCTCAGCCCTCGTCTCCCGCGACACCGATATACTCCCAGTTTACGACGCATGGAAACTCGAGTAGCGCGAGCCTAGGGCACCATAACTTCTCAAGACCAGCGAACGCGCGCTCCGTTACCCAGGGATCGCCGGCGACGCTTGTGAAGGGTCATGCGCGCAAACATTCAGCTACACAGGGCTCATTCGAACCTACACTACCATCTATGAGCATTTCGAACATGTCTTCACATCTCGGAATGTCTCACCACAACGCTTCTACGACGTCTGCGTCCGTGGCGGCGGCAGCTGCTGCGGCTGCCTCTGCCGCCAACGTCAGCCTGTCGGCAAGTCAGATCGCAGCGCAGGCCGCTGTTATGTCACACCAAAACCATTCGCGCCAACGCTCACAAACGGTCCCCTTTCCTGGCGACCAAAACGACGGTGTGCGTCGAGGAAGTGGAAGCAAAGGTCCTACAAGTCCGCCCATGCTGAGCTTGACGGAGGCGAGTGCGCCACGAGATACCGGATTTGGACATCATGGGGGACATAATGATCGACTTGGAGGATATCACTCTTCTGCTGCTACGGCTGCCGCGAACGTGGTATTCCCACGATCTGGCCATAACTCTCCCAGGGTATCGCCTCAGCCATATTCGCAACCTCCCCCACCTCCGCCTGCGTCTGAGAAGCCACCTAAACCAGAGAAAGAGAAATCCAAGGTCAAGCTGTTCTCCCGTCCAGGAAAAATTAGCACAAAAGGCGAGACAAAAGAGAAGCCGTTACCAAGTCCGGGGAAAATTGGCTCGGCTTTATCAGCGCTTCAGCGTGGGAACTTCAGTACGAACAGCCTTGTTGATCCGAGCAATCAGTCTATCTACAACCTCAACAACTCCTCTTCAGCAACCATCCGACCTATCGAGACACCAACTGAGGACAAAGAAAGGGATAAGGAAAAGGGAAAAGAGAAGGAGAAGAAGCACCACTTCCTTTCGCGACAGAAGCATAAGCTCAAGGATGAATATCATCTACCACTCTCATCGGCTGCCAGTAACTCATTGCCAACCGATCCCAATGCACCAAATCCTTTATACAACTTCAATATTCCTCCGAGTCCCGCACCCACATCTTCCACTTTTGCCAAGGCCAAAAAGGACAAGAAACTCGCCGAGCGAGCGGACAGTCGTCTGGAAAGCGAATCAAGCTTCAATCTACAGAGCGAATGGCCGGGGCCTAGTAGTCTACCGTCGCTATCTCAGCAGTCGACAATGTATGACCCTGTTGATCCTGGGAAACTTGGGCTCCACAACCATATGTCGCTGGACGATGCCTGGCCATATCTGAGAGCCAAGCTCTTAGGCATCTTTGAGGGCGAGGATCTTCGACTTCCAGTGGAAGACTTCAACCGGGTTGTGCAAATGCATATACAGTACTGCATGCATAGACGATCACCGAATACCACGTTAGAGGACCTTCGAGATCTTTTGCACACAGGGTTTTTATCACTAGATCGAACACTTCGTCATACCCCTGAGGATCGCTTTATCCCAACTCTGGTAGAGCTCTGGATGTTTACCTTCACTTCTATTTTACCGTATATGCAAGCTGTTTTTCTTCCGCTGGATCTCGAGGTGTCAGGTTGCGGTACACTTATGACCGGAGAGCAGGCCCGCGACTTTTGGGGTGGTGCTATGATGTCGTCTTCTACTTCAGAAAGACCAGCACGTGTGGCTCCTGCGCCCTCAGTTCTTGATGTAAGGAGGCTGGTCCTCATTGCCTACAGAGATACTGTCATTCTGCCACGATACGACACGCTCAAGACGATATTTTCACGACTCTCTCTTGAGTTTCTCCCATCATCACTAGCAAGTATGGCAATGTCTTCTCCCCCGGAGGCATCTCTGTCCACTTCTCCCTCAGAATCCTTTGGACGTCCTGGGACTGCTATGTCCCTTGATCCATCTAATGCCTCTTACAACTCAACAAGCACAACTCTACTTGGCGAAGGCTCTGCCGGTGGTCGCAGCCGCGCCATTAGTAACGTTAGTTTCGGCAGTCATGGGAGTGATGGTGGATTGCGACCGTTTACACCATCTGGCAGTAGCGGAATCCCACCTCCACCTTCTCTGGGTAGCCTACGGGAGCGCGAGCAAAACGTCGAGGATTCCAAACACATCACTGAAATGGTTGGCCGAATGCTGCAGTGCATGAGTGTTCTGTCTGGGGTATCGGCCGGTGACGTTGGAGCTGAAGGGAACGAGAGGGTTGTGGAGCTGTGTAAGATGTTGAAGCTCAACTGGCTTGGCAGAGGAAGGACAGGCAGAAACAGGAGAGGAATGGTAGGTGGCAGAGTGAGGAGAGACGATATGAGGGAAGAAGTTCGTGTTATTTAAAAGATTTTCTGACTAGAACATGCCGGGTATGAATGACTACGAGCAATGGACTTGGAGACGACGTATGAAATATCATTTAAAGACCTTTTCGCGACCTATGAACTTTGGCGCAATCGCACAAGGGGATAACCAGGTGTTCCGCATCATGCTTCGTTTTTCATGTCCATGCCGTGACGGTTCAACAAAACTGCGTGGAAAGTACTGAGACTACATGGGTGGGTGTCATGATGCTTATAATACCATCATGACAACTAAGCAAACTTTAAAGAACAAGACAACATTTTCACATCACATCACGGATCTTTAAAACATTTGAGGATAATCATAATTTTATTTAATCTGTCGAACCCGAATTGTGGAATGGTCTCCATGGCAGCATCTAATTCTTTTCAACAGTTAGCTTGAAGTCCCAACAAAAAGTAGGCAATAGCAAAAAGTGAAGATTTGGTGTTTGGTCAGACATCCAAGGAAGAATTAACTCTCATTTGTCCCAAAAAGGCTCGATCGGGACTCGAGTGGAAACTGCGAATTAAGAGGAAAATTTCATCATGAAAACGGGGAGCTGCTGTAAAGAAAATGTTTGTATACTTACGTTAGTGAAGAGAAGAAATTGTCGAGCTGTAGTGGTTAGTTGATCGTTGGTAACAGCAAGGTATGTGTATCTGGAACAGCGATGTTAGCAAGACTGGCAAGTAATGCGCGTCCTATTAAAGCTGAGTATGTTTGTGTAGTCAGACGTTGATACTGGCAAGTAACAGGCCTAGGGCCCGAACAGACAGAGTTTCTTCATGTTCGATTCGGTTGGGAAAAGAAGACTTGTAACAAGTGTCATCACACAGAGGGAAGGGAGTGCTGTGAGGCAGGGGAAGCAGGTGTGGTAATTCTTACCATTCAGATGTAGGATCTCGGTGAGGCTGCAGAAAAAAGAATTCCGAGCCAAACAAACCACCAAAACAAACATCCAACGCGAGCACAACACTACACAAAACGCTTCAACGAAGCCGCTCAAATTATAGCAGCTGTTCCAAAGGAAAGCCGTCGTACGATCTCGCGCGTGGTGCTCGTGTGGGAAGAATGCAGAGGTGATTGGTTGTTGTTAAGAAGGTTGAAGCTGAGAAGAAGAAATTTTGAGAGCCGCATCGACAGAAGATATTGGAAGACAGTGCAGGAAAATTTGCCAGATGCGCTGCACTGTGCTGGGGACACGTGACCGGACCCTTACCTCATCTAGGCTTTAGCGGCGGAAGCCACATCAAGGCCCGCTTCAATATCGCGATAGATGCATGAAGCAATTTGTCTTGTATGCCGAACCTCCACCCAGGAGGGATTGTCTGCCTGAGAATGTCTCCGTAAGACTAAGGAGGTTGTTAGCGTAAAGACGTCATGGTCTTTCGAGATTTGCCGACCTGTTACATGGAAATTGTCTAGGGCGCAGTATACCTTGCAACTATTTTACTTACAGATACACGCCCACATTTGGAACGCTGAGAAAATCTGCATCGACGAGATGTGGTTGGCGACAGGCTAGCTTGTTGGCTGAGAAGTGCATATCCCGGTTCTGGGAAGATCGCGTGTCGTCAGGGATCCAAAACGACTCGTTATATCGGGGGCTGTCACTCCATAATTTACGTGAAATATTCATCTATCGAGTCGGTTGACAGAGGCTGACTGTTGACAAATTCATGGAACCAATATCTGCTGTGTATTCGGTGACAAATGGATGGTTTGATTTGGTCAGTGCTGCATTTGATTACCCGGTAAAGACATAAATACCCACTCTTATCTCGGGGTCCCAGTCCGAATCCGCCGACTGGTATCCACCTCTTAGTCTCTCAACGTATCAGAGCTCGTTCTGCCCACAATCAAAACCCACTCCGTCAAAGGTCCAAGGACTCCCCCCAAAAGTCGACGACCCAGAGATTGTGACGGAGAACGAGTCGAGTGAGATCTCCCCTGGTCTGTAAGAGCAAGCCCGTCGATCTTTATCGATTCTCTCCAGACGCAGTCATTGTCACTTTTAGATCTGTGGCGTGAGGGCAGTCTCAGACAAACCAACAAGATTTGAGGTCTCTTATTCGGAACTCACCTACTACGATAACCTGAATAACCTCTTGTATTGCCTTGGTTTGGCATACGTCCTTCTGCCTTGCTTGACACGCCCTGTCATAGGTAGACAGACTATCCTTACAGCTGGCACCCTTTATTACACTTCCTCTCCCACTCTCAGAGTGTTTGGTCGTCTGGTCTGGTCTGGTCTGGTCTGCCAACTTCTCCCACCTCTTCTCCCCCTTCTTCTCTTCCCTCTCTTTTCCCTTGGAACAGTATCCATCCAGGCAAGTTGGAAACTGGTACCATTCACCGTTCATCTTTCACCAACTTCCCCCCCCGTCACGTCAGATCACACATCCTAGCATCTTGCGTGCCCTCTACTTTCCTTGTCAGATCAACCAACGTGTGTGTTCTGTACCTGATTACCGGGCCCGCCGTCGCATTTGCCTTGCCTGCAAAAGCCCAGAAGAACCGCGCGACAAGGACAGCTACAGTGGGAAGCCAGCCCAGCGCAGTCAAGCCTAAGCGCACCCGCGGGAAACACCCAGCGCAAGTCCAGCACAAGCCCACTCAACCCAACTCAAACTCAGCCCGGTTCAGTCCCCGTCGCCCGTCCCCGTCCTTGCGACTCCCGTTCTTCTCCCCCATCCTATCCCAGTAACTGAAAGCGGATCAACCCTCTTTGTGGCATCGCTCTCCCGCGTCTTTCGCATTCTCCTGGGTCCAGTCCCGTCTTTCGACAATCTTCCAATTCCTTTCTCAACATATCGACTTGCGCTCTATTTGGGCTTCACTTGATTCTTGTCACTCACGGGTTACTTTGACCGACCTATTCGCTGTTCTCGGTCTGCGGAATCTCGTGACGTGCCACTCGCCCCATCGTCGCCCTATTCGCCCACTGCCTCCTCTCCCCCCAGTCAGTCGGCCTCATTCTCTCTCTTGTCCGCATTCGCAGCGCGAAACCACACCACCAATTTTTCTCTCTCGCTCCGCCGATGCTCTCTCGGCATCTATCGACTTGACGCTCTACGATTTCTTAGCCTATTTCAATTTTCGCACTCCGATCCTCCTCTCGCTCTCTTTGCCTGGTCACGATCGCCATCGCATCGTGCCCCCCGATCCTGTCTCGTCGCGACACGCGAAATATCTAGAGTACACCATCTCCCACAACTCGAATACTCAGCAATCGACTTCGCGCTCGCGTTGTCGGTCAACCTCCGCTTGTTCTCATTCCTCGACGCATGCGATAGTATTCAAACGCGACTGTCGATATCCACGTCGTGGATAATCGACCCGACCACTCAGTCATGATGACAACCAGTATGGGCCCGAGTTTCTCTGGGCATCCTGCCGGTATGGGGCATCCAGGTGTCGCCGGTCATCCTATGGGCCCCGGTGGTATGCCTCACAACCCAGGCCAACAAGGCGCCCCCGGCGGAATGCCTCATCAATTCGGAGGGCCTATGGTCTCTGCTCCCGGAGCACAAGTAAACCCTGCCCTCATGGGCGGAATGCCGCCGGGTGCGAACCCAAATGCTCATGCTTTACAGCACCTCAATCCTGCCGCTCAGCAGCAAATGCTGCAACAACAGCTTCAGCAACAACATTGTATGTATTATCTTACTGGCACTGTCCTGGCTATCCCCTGTCTCTGCGCACGCGCTAATTGGTCCTTGCATAGTTAATAATCCTCAAGCGATGGCCGCAATGCGACAGCAACAGCAGCAGTTGCTTCATCAACAACAAGCGCGGCAACTGATGGCTCAACAAGCTTTTCAGGCCAACATGCAGGGTGGGGTGCCCATGAACATGGCTCAGTTTAGCCAGCTCAACCCTCAGCAAATTCACCAACTTCGAAGAGGAATGGGTGGTCCGGTAAGTAACATTGATACCCAACCCAAGCTGCCACCTCGCGCATTTCCGGCTAACAGATCAGGGACAACATCCTCAGGCTCAAGTGATTATGGCTCAGCAGCTTGCGCTCCAACAACAACAGCAGCAACATCAACAGCAGCAGCACCAACAGCAGCAGCAGCAGCAACAGCAGGCTGCTCACGCCCAGCAAATGCAAGGCGGACCTAACCAAGGACAACCTATGCAGATGAATGCTCAAAGCATGCAAGCCCTGCAACAGAACCAGCTTGCTCTTCAAAATCAGATGGCAAATCAACAGAGTCAACAGTCACAGGGCCAGCCCCAGCCTCAACAGCAGCAGCAACCGCAACAACAGCAGCAGCCGCAACAGCAGCAGCCCGGGCAACAGCAAGCTCAACATACTCCCCAGCAATCGTCACAGGCTGGTACACCTGCCCCTACCGGTCCCCAAACCCCAGCTCAAACACCAAGCTCAACTCCCGCCCAGCCAACGCAGCTACCACCCGGTCAGAGTCAACCTCAGGTGCCGCAAACTCCTGCTCAAGCACAGGTTCAACCCCAGCCCCAACCTCAGGCACAGGCTCAACCACAGGCTCAAGCTCAAGCTCAACAGCATCAGATGAATGCCGCTGCTGCTCAGCAGATGGCGATACAGAGTCAGATCCTCCAGCAGCAGCGACGGGACAGCATGAAAGGTCAATGCTTGTTAAAACTAATGCAGTTCAGCGAGCACTTGAGTGGCTTCCCTGTAGGTTTATGCCACGAAACAGTTAATGACGGTACGCTAATAAGTTCACAGGGCTCCAAAGGTCGAGACGATCTTTCTTATTGGAACGGCTTCGTGATGCGATTCTTCTCCCCAAATGGTGTCTTCCGTCACTCATTACACATTACTGATGCGGAAGATACGGCCGACAAGCAATATGAAATTGCATACCCCGCCATTGCTCGATACTTTCATACTCATTTTGGCAGCGGTGTAAAGAACATGCAGTTGATCATGGATAAGGGTGTGACAGATCGACCGCTTCCTGGTGACTGCCACTGCATCGAGAACTCCAAGGCCAGTCTCGTTTATTGGTTCGAGACTGGATCTCATGTAAGCTCATCTTATCAACCTTGAGTTTATGAAAAGCTAACTTTGATAACAGCTGGTTGCGAGCGGTACACTCCGAGCTCAGTTCGACGCTGAGCAGAAGATCGAACTTTTCGAGTTCCTCACCACAAGCCACGACGAATTCATCTCGCGGAAACAGGTCATTGATGCCGCGAAACCTGCCCACATGTGGATGAAGGATTGGCACAAGACTAACTCGCAGGACGGGAAATCACCTGAATTGTCCAAGAAGGGCAAGGGTAGGCAGTTGAAGTCACCTCAAACACAGCCACCAGAGGTCTTGGTCGATCTGCCAGACTCGGCCGTGAACAGCAAGGGTGTGACCGAGGCTGTCTTCCAATTTCTTGAGGTAGGGCCAACTCACTCATCGTAAGTAAAGAGTGAGGCTAATAAATACGTCCAGATTGTTGAAGTGATGGGACAGATGAACCCATTGTTCCAATTTTACCATTCGAACCCCGGCCTCGGCCCGTACCAAGCTCTCGACCAATACGTCTCAACAAATATCAACGGACTGCCCCCAAACATGAACGGCCAACAAATGCCCCCTGGTGCCCGCACACCTAGCTTTGGACAATTTCCCATGGGCGCCAGCCCAGCTGCGGCTCACATGAACCTACCCGGATCACCACATATGGGCAGCCCGGCACAAGGTCACATGCAGGCCCCCGGAATGCAGATGCAACAAAGCCAGCAAGGCACTGGATCGAGCGGCCCTAGCGCAAACACATCTCCTGCTTCGAACAAGCGGAGACGGCCATCGGCAGTAAAGGACGAGGACATATCTGGAGCTCCTACACCAAACACCAATGGAATGACTCGTAACGCCAAACCTCCTACACCGCGGATGCCAAAGCGCCTCAAGGGCAATCCACCCGCACAGTAAAGGAAAGGGGTGACTTGGTTTATCATCTCGCTTTGTCAATATTTATGCATTGTATTCTGCATCATGGTGCATGGCGGCGCCCCGACGTGTTTGGTTCCATTTCAGCCTGGCTCTTAGAAGAATGCTTGGTTGTGATAAAATGAACGCATATGGAGCAGCGTGTTATTTTATCGTCCTTCGCCCCTATATGGCTATGCTTGCCACTACATGGCGAACGCTCTTGGGTTGTCTCTTCACGGGGCGCACTCAGCCGTGTTCAGCTGCTCTCATCCAGCAGTGAAATGAGGCTCAGAGCACCAAATGACGAAGATTACGCGTGTTGTTGAACATGCATATAATGACAGTAAACGAAATCGTCATGGGCCTATTTCTCGAGCGTCAGGATCAACAAATAGAGGCGGAAGGGGGGGGGGGGGGGGTCCAGGGATTAATTTGGGTAATGGAGTTGCAGTCACTCGTGTACAACACAACTACAAGGGCTCACGGCACAGGTCGACGTCGAAAATCCTGGCTACCCTTTTCTTGTTTTTGTTTTTATGTTTTTGTTTTACAACATGCATTTGCTTTTACCCTGATTTTTATCTGAAAAGGGACTCTCAGCAAGCAATCAGGTGTACATGGAGGAGTTTGGAGACACTGGGGATTGGTCGAGCAATGCAGTTGTTGCCAAGGGGGCGCATTAATTCCAGATTCGAAGACCGAAAAAGACGGAAGAGGATTGAGTGATATTTGAATTATGAGCTGTTTGGGAGCGCGTAGTTCTCGGGGGTTATCTCGACTATACCTACCTTACCTTAGGCTAAATCTGGAGTTTGGTCTTTATCGTGTGAAATTTCATTGTCTTTGGTTATGCCTGATTTGGTTGTTGACGTTGATCGTGCTAATGAATATCCCATCACATAATTCAAGTCTCTGGCGCCTGCACATGCCATGGATAGTATCCGAGCCCCTTAGGTGTCTCCTGAGGTCTGATATCAGGCCCGATGTGTGACAAGTTCAAGACAGGTATCAACTTAGCGATAAGGAAGTCTACGCCTTTGCAAGGAAATGGATAACTTCTATTTTGTGGATCGTATGATATGTTTCATGACATGCGCGGTTCAGTGCCAGCGTAGTTCCCTCCCGTAGTTATTCATCATGCTTTCAGCATACATCAAATTCGCATACATGTTCCTCACTTCCAGCCCAATTTCATCCTTCCTACATCACGCAATTCCTATATGCAGCTGCGTATCTATCTATGGTCAGTACTGTGAACGGTCTTCGTAGATACTGGGGTAGACATACATGTAGTGATCAGCCACTGTTTCCGAACCACCAGCCGGTAGTCTTCCGGGTTTGGAGGGCCTCGCCACGAATGGCAAAGTAGCACTTGAGCGCGCCTCCAGAGGAAGCCATCATCTCCTTGAGGAGAAACCACTCCAGCTCAGTGCGGTCCATGATATCCGTCTTAGTGATGGGGTCGCGGTAGTGCCACTCCTTGTCACTGGGTCCGAGCGGAAGAATGATGCCTCGGAACGTCCAGTAAAGGGTAGCAGCGATGAGCTTGGGACGACGAATAGGGCGGCTGCGACGACCTTTGTTGGTAGAAGTCTCGGCTACCGGGAGCTGTTCTCGCAGGAGAGTGAGAAGGTGGACTCGGGAAGTATCAAGAGGGATGCGCAGGGGAGTCGAGGGGAGATCCCAAGGGTGAGTCAGTGAGCTGTCATTAGAGGGGTCGTGAATGATGAGATCGAACTCGAGCTGCGAAGCTGGCAAGATGGGCGCAAGAGGAGCAGGTGACCCAAATGGGCGAGAAGCCGAGGTCTTGTGAGGAGTGTTGCTGCCGGTGGTAGATCGCGAGACGGGAGCAAAAGGTTTGGTCTTGGGGGGCTCATAAGCGAAGGGCTCCTCGGCGGTGATGCAGAGATCCATGGTGCTTGGTTTTTTTTATCTTGTGTTCAGTTGAGTTGCAATGGAACAACAGGAGGGGGAGTGAAAAGGTAAGGATGCTGTCGTGACGATGGCAAGTAAGAATACTGAGGAGGAGGGCCGCTGTAACTCCAAGGCACTCGCGATTATTGAAGTGAGGGGTTGTGTTATATCAAGCGCGTTTTGGGCTCGATTATTTATCACTGCGGTCCTGCGTTCACGATCAAAGTGTCGAAGCCGAGCGCGTGTTGGTCGTGATTAAGAGTTGTCAGTTGTCAGGGGCTGGCAGTGACAGCAAAGCTAAGGTAGTTTCTAAGAACAGCACACGACCACACAATCACACTGGTGCACAAGCTTCGTTTGTTTAATATTCTATGAGTAGGTACCTAGATATCTATCTACCTACCTAGCTAGGCATGTAAGCTAATAATATCAACTCTAGGTACTAAAGGTGCAATGTTTGGTGTCAGTGAAGTAGAATAGCCCGGTTCCTGTTTCCTTTAACTGTTTGCAACGACCCCGTCTTCCCCTTCAGCAGGCTTGGGCTCCGTATCATCAACCGTTTGACCGTCAGTTTGCGTATCGTTCACTTCGGGCTGACTCAAGTTGGGGGTTCCTGGAGCAGGCGTTTGTATGTTGCTTCCACCATTCCCTGTGTCTGAACACCGAGGCTCGCTGGTGTTGGACAGATCGCTTGGAGGGGCCGATGCTGGACGAGCAGTCTGAGGAGTGTTAGTTAAATCTCCCGAGTTGTTGTTCGTATGATCATTTGAAGGTTGAGGAGGGGGGGTTGGAGGAGGCGATGGGGGCGGATCCGGGACAGGATCCCTATGGGTATCCTGTGCCAGAAGCTGAAGAGGCACATAAGCATGCTGTTGCACTCTGGGTTAGATGATTGCCTACTTTATGTCGACGACCTACTTACGTCGACAACGATAAAAGCCCCGTAGCCATTCATGGCTATCTGAGACATCAATGACTCGAACTCCCCTGGAGGCAGTTGCTCTGTGAAGGACATCTTTCTCACGATATCCAGTGGCGTCACAGGTCCTGTTCCTGGAAGAATGTGGAGAGTTGAGAGGTGGCTTCGTGTGATATACAAGGTGCACTGCCCGGAGTACGCTCGATCTCCGAGTCCATGGCCCTTGGCCCACCAGGCTACATTTCCAAGGACTGCATCTCGAGATGGTGTGTAGTTGTAATAGGCATCGTTGGAGCCGAGAATGGTTCCTGCTCGGTGGAATATCACCTTGATTCTGGTGGTTGGGGCAGTGATGTATCGATGGACTGGAACCACTACCGGAGTAGGCTGCACGTATAGAGGTACGGTATACTGAAGCTGGGGTGGATTCACCACCAGTGTAGGGGGGAAAACTCTTGGGGCTGGTGAGAGGAGATAGTTCCCAAAGATGGGAGGTTGAAAGTAAAATGCCATAGCTGTGTAAGTCGGGTGGAACTTGGTGGTCATGATGTAAGTTCAAGCTTCCGCCTTTTTAGGAAACGAGGTTTGCCTTTAAGTAGTTGAAACACTCGACGGTGGGTCATTTAATCACGAACTTCATCAACACTACCCAGTTGAGTTGGTGATGGGTTGCTTGGTGTTGATAACCGCAGATTCGTATCACTCACGGTCTTCATCGGTACTTTACTTGAATACTGTCCTTCCATGGCTATGATCCACTGGGCATAATATGGAGCAATTATTTCGTTTCGTTTATCCCTTACGTACCTGTTTTGTGTTTCACGTACAGCATCACATTTAAAGGCCGACAAGTTATGACAGTACCTACCTGGGGTTCAACACGAATACAAACCACAGCACAATCAGTCCGTTTCAAGGTGGCAAGAATGCAGCAGTAAGTAAACGTATTAATGGAACGAACAACCCAACTTCCTAGTGAAGATAAATATGTTAGTAGCTAGATGGGATGAGTTAGGTAGTTACCCTATTGGTGTCGTTCGCACTTGCCCTATGTTAACGTGTATCATGTGTCTTGCTTGCCGGCTGTCTCCTGCCTAAACAATAGAACAGAACATCTACCTTGAATGAACGAATTGCGTGAACGCCATGGAAATGTCCAACTCCCATCCTTTGAACCCACCAAACATCGTTTTTGGTTTATCGGAAACTACCACTTAAAATGGACAAATCCAAGACACGGCAAATGCAGCTCAGAGGCAAAAGCCAAAAACCAAGCAGGGAGGCCCGTAGCTTGTCTCTGACGTATCACATTCCGCCAAGATCGGCAGTCTTGCCTTGCTTCTCACAGTCTCACTAACAAAGTACTTTAGTGGCCGTGACCCCGACAAACTCCATCGATCGCTATCGCTATTTTGCAAGCGACACTTAGAACCGTTGAAGACATCATTGGTCTAAGTGGCCGGGGGTGCGATGTATAAATGTCCCATTGCTGTGGATAATGACATAACAATGCGCCAAATGACCATGGAAACACCATCCATTCGATTGCCAGATGCAACTGAGATTGAGAATATGTCTCGGCATTGTCGAATGCCGTCTCTGGAACTGCACTTCATCCCTCGAATACAGAAAAAAAGAAAGAATGAAGCGGTGACGACAGTCGACGTTAAAAGCTACTCTCCCTCCATAGCCGGCCCATCCAGTCCCCAAGTCCACCACAGAGCGCCACGTCCTCAACGTCCAGTCGTTAGTCGACGATCTGCCTACATCTGCATTGCGCCGGCTACTTTGTTCCGCTTGACCTGCCAGCTTGACAGCTCCTCAGACCTTAGCTTGTGGAAATGCTTTGTTAAGGACATCCAAGATTCGGTGGCGCGGGAATCGTGTTTTGCTTCTTACAACAATTTCACCCAATATCAGTTCCGACCCTGGTTTCCGGCTTGGATGACCTGCTCCCCCTCGCTGCTGTGCTTCTACACTCTCTCGACGTTTGCGAACATCGCCCAAGCCTATAGATAAGCGATTTACGAACCCCTCAGCACCCGCACTCTTGACCAGCCCGGCAGTCATGATACAATGAAGAATTACGGCTATCTTATTCCGCCATGGTTCGAATACCATGAACCAAGTTGCGCAGATTGGGCCATTGTCAGCATCGTCTTTGGCATGACCCTCTGCTTAACCATTTTTGGACTTATTCGCGTGTGCATCCAAACATACAACCAATGGAAACGCGCCAGAAGAATCACGACCTATATGGTTCTGATATGGCTTGAACTGGTCTCCAGTGGAATAATCGGAGGCCTTGGATGGGGTTATGTGCGCGGAACCATTCGTCCTGGGTATGCCCTGATTCTCGTTGTTCCTTGAGCTCGTGCAATGGCTAACAAGCGCCAAAACAGTTTCTTAATCTACTTCTTCATTTGTACGATACGCTTTAACATGACCATATGCTTTGGCTAATGTGTACAGTGTTTCTTTGGGTATTTCAGATCCATTGCATTATGCAAATCATCGTCAACCGAATTGCTCTTCTCCACGTTTCCCCGACCATCGTTCGACGATTGAAATGGGGAATCTTCGCCATCTTGGCAGTTATAAACGTATCGGTATTCTGTATCTGGATACCTGCTCGACTGCAAATCAACAAAACTTACATCGAAATCAACACTATTTGGGACCGAATTGAGAAAGCTATTTTTGCGGTTATTGACCTGGCCCTGAACTTCTACTTTCTCTATCTCGTCCGATCGTCCCTCATATCGTATGGCCTTACAAAGTATGTTGTGCTGTATCGCTTCAACCTGGTTATGGTTGTTATTTCCATCTCAATGGATGTAAGTTTCACGTATCAAAATTATTATATGGGAACTAACACAACGGCTTAGATTCTGATCATTGCTTCCATGTCATTACGAAACACCTTTTTGTATGTCAAAAATCCCCAAACTGCACATCTGTTCTAACGTCCTTTTTAGATATGTCGAATTTCACCCGCTTGCATATCTTGTCAAGCTTCACATTGAGTTATCCATGGCTGAGCTTATCGCCAAAATTGTGAAAGCCTCGGGCCCTAATCTTGCTCCATGTCGCTGCGCCTGCCATGATGGCCCAAATCATTTATTTCTCCATCAACTGGGCTCTAGACACAGTGCTCCCGCGGCGCCAGTTGTTACTGCACCAACTATTGGAAGATTCCGGCGTTCTTGGCCAGCTTGGTCAAAATCTACACGCAGTCTGGAGAAACGACGCGGCGGAGGCCGATCTCGTCCTCCCTCTTTGGTTGGGAAGATTGCTCCACGAAAACGGCGAAGTGCCGAAGAGAATAAGCCACATGAGGAAATCTGGGAACCCGGTACCAATGCCGTGACAGACGGTTCGCAGAGTTTACCAGATTCTACAGGGCAGCTGAACGGAAGTTGCCGTGACCACAATGACTGAGGAATATCGCCAAAGAAAGCGCAGAAATCAAAATGTCGCTTTGGCACTGATAGCATGTCTGTCTAGACAAGAGAACACCAAGTCGACTTGCTGGCCGATGACAACCTCACCAACAGCTCTGAACGAGCAGAGAGAATTCAACATTAAGAGGGTGGTCGAAAGCTACACGAGGAGTGATATCTGATCTCGACTATTAACACCTTCTCGACATAAGTACGGAGTACTGCTTATGATCTTCCCTACTCGGCACGCAAGTCGGCCCCACCTGAGAACTACCGACTCACCCCGGTTAATCTCCATCTTTCTCCCCACAGTCCCCACCTGGCGCATCTGCTTAGGTATTTCAAGTTGGGTAAGAAGTTGAAGAGAGATTTTCGCTGTTCCCATTTTATGATTGAATAGCTATTGGAAACACTACGGGTAACTTATATCCCTGTCTCGCATAAGATACCAGAACTGTCACTTTGTTACCGACACACAGAGTCGAAGGTTGCCATTGTGGGCAGAAACTGGCAAAAGAGATGTAAAACGTTGGGAAGACTTTTAACATCCTCGCTATATCGAATGGTAGATAGGAAGGCTCTGGAGGAAAACCAAGGAAACTGGAAGTAGTGTACGATCTGGGCCGGGGCAAACAGAACCTGTGCACACATGCCAGGCATTCGCTGTGATCTAAGAGCAAGAATCCACATATCACATTTCAAGGACTTCGTATTGTGTTATAATCATCTTGCAGTTTGCAGTGTTATGTCCTTTGATATCATTTTGTAAAGACGCTAGTCATTATCCAGCCTGATCCGTTATCAGACTTATAGCAAAAGAACGCCGTTGATCCTGTGCAAAGCAATACCGAAGCCCTTTCATTGTGTCGTTCGCGACACCATGCCGTGTAAATTTTGTTTCCGAACCGTAGTTCCTGCAGATATCGTCCCAGCTCCCGTCCTCATAGCAAATAGTCATGATATACGCCTCAAGATGCCTTGTCGTTCCATCATACCCCCAAATGTGTTCCATATACGTGCTCATTTCAAGTCGTAAAAGAGTATTCTACTGAGCGTCGGAGCTCTGTAGAGTCAACTCACAGGACTGCAGGTCTTCATCGACCCTGCTCACCCATATTGCATATCGCTTACAAAACACCAGGGGCTGGGTTTTCATGCTTAGCGGTGCTGCCCTTGCCTCTCCAAGTACTGACGGCCGGGATGTTGGCTTCGTAGCGGACCTCCTCGGTGCCATAAGCGCCCGGAGTAAGCTTGATCAATGTGTGCAGGGGAACATTCATCCAGGGGCTCTTGGACTGGTCCTTCTTCATGAAGTAAGCATACACGCATCGCAGTACAGCTTGGTGAGTGACGATGAGGATGTCCTCGCTACGCTCAAGTTCCATGATGATGGGCTCAAGGCGGATGACAACGTCGCGATACGACTCTCCGCCACGGTAGCGGTAGTTGTACTTGTCTTCATCGCGCGCGGCAAAGTCCTCAGGGTATCGATCCTTAATCTCTTGGTAAGTCAAACCGTCGCAGACACCTGAGTCAAGCTCGTCAAGTGCCTTCCACTGAAGCTGGTTGTAGTGCGGAGGAAGGAAGCGGGAAGTTGCAATGGTTCGTCGCAAAGTCGAGGTCCATACTGTAAGGGGGCGATCATCCTGAAAAGCGTTAGCGGTGGTAATGGCATTGTAACAAAGCTGGACTTACGCCAACAGACTTGCGGACAAGCTCAGGAAGCTTCCTGGCATACTGCTCACCACGAGGAGACAGAAGAGTGTCACCACCAATTCGTCCATCAATGTTGTACAAAGATTCACCATGCTACACGGTATGTTAGTAAATGGTCTGGATGAGTATATATGATTAATTGTCTTACTCTTGACAGCCAGACTGATCGTGGACGAATGTGAAGGTTCATGAGATAGTAGACAATTCGGCTCTGGAGGTAATCTCGGATGCGGCTAATGATGACCTGCTTCCCGACGTCCATGATCTTGAGGTAGGTGAGGTGAGACTCCTTGCCCTCGGCATCAATGGTGCAGTACACCTTCTCGTAGTTGCGAATACGGTTGCGGAAATCAAGGGCGGCAGTTTCAGGGTCCTGTCCGCGGTAATCCGGGCTAGTGGTCTTAACATCGCGGATATTGGCCATGATGAGCTCTTCGTCGTCGCACTTGCTTTCCACAAATAGAACTTCAACGCCGTTGTCGTTGCACACTTCCAACACCCATTTACGACGCTCTAGAGTGGAGTTTGTAGCATCGAGTATACCAACAATACCGCCAGAGCGGAACCAAGCGAGCATGTCGGCAACAGCAGCTTCGGCAGCGGCACGGCGGGTACGTTCTCCTTCGGGATTGTTGATGTCGAAAAAGTCGGCCTTGGGCTGGGGGGCGTCATTGCGACGGTAATTGCCGACGTTAAAGGTCTGGGCAGGAATAGAGAGCCATTGAAGATATCTCTGGGCTGGATAGCAGTTAGCAAGTCGTGGTTCGACGAGACAGGTTACACGTAGCGACAAGACTTACCTCGTTGGGCAATATAACTCTTGCCTCTGGCTGGAAGACCGACCATAACCACACAGATCCTGGTATCTTCGGCCTGAACGCCGACACCGTTGGTTCGAGAAGGCATCGTGGTTAGTTGTTTTGCGATGGGAAGGGGTGTAAGTTGAGCGGCGTGGGCTTAGTACGATTGCTACAGAGCAGATCGATCACGGTTTGATAGTAAGAAGAGCAAGTGATTGATCAGATGTGATGAAGCTCCAATACTGCGGAAACATGAACCGGAGGAGATTGTAAGAGAGAACAAGACCGGCTGAGAAGAGTAGTCGGGTGAGCCGAGGTAGTGTAAGATGAAGGAGGAGGAGAGAGCTCGGTAGGTTCCTTCCGATAAGAATAGAGTCCGGAGGTAGCTCAGCTGAGATCAAACGAGGAAGGCACGGCAAACGGATAGATTATAGTTTCCTTCCTAGCCCAGGTCGATGACACGCCTAATTGACCCTATAGAGTCGGAGCAATGCGATGGAACTGTGCTCGTTTGCCAAACAAAAGTAGTCTCGTGATGGAGAATTGGTTTGTCTTTAACAGCACTCTAGATGCGTTTGTATGCGCCACGTCAAGGGTGAATTGGTTGACGAGAGCAAGAATCAAACAGTGAAGACGTGATCTGCAAACGGCAGCAGAAGCACAGAGAGCGAGAGACTCGGAGCAAGGGAACCAAGACTTCGGTAAGAAGCTGTTTGAAGATGAGGTGGGGGACTGGGTGAGGGGTCGTGTTTTATGGATGAAAGGAAAGGAGAGCAGAATTGGGATGAAAGGACAGCAGCTTCGTTACTTTAGCTAGTCGGTCTGCAGAATACCAAGCTATACTAGGAAGCAAAGCGAATAGTTCAAGAGGAGAGGAGGTTAAAGAGGATCAAAGAGGTCAAGTGACGGAGGCCCAAGGTGAGGTAGGTAAGGTAGGCAAGGTAAGGGTAAGGTATCCGTATCCGTAGTCTAGTTAGCTAAGGTAAGGTAGCTCCGGGACGAAAAGTGATGGAGCCGACTTGACGCAACTCAACCAGCTGAGTGAAAACAGCACCCAATGCAGTAAAGCTTTCGCCGCGCTGCTGCTGTTGCTGTAATTATGACTGTCAAGCAGAGGGAAGAAGCACTGTCCTTAGTCAGGATAACCAACTTTGCTCAGTCACAAACATGAATGAAAAAAAAAAACCCATGTCAACCATGCGGCTTGCATCGTCTTTCTTACGGTCCTTGCTCCATCATGAATGACGATAGAATGGAGACAGACCAATGGAATTACGTCGCTGCCCCGCTAAAGCCCGCGTTGGTGATCCACTGCCGCGGGCCAAAGCCCCCCGCTGGTCGGGATTGACGCCGTGCGTGCGTGTAGAATCGCCCCGGGGCGGCTGAGACGCCCTGTAAGGTGACTCGGAGACGGTCCTGTAGGGGAGGTACAGAAGGTCGGGTGCTCTGAATAAAACCCCTGCCTCTGCCTGGGCTTGTCCCGGTCTGTTACGGGGGTGAAGAGTGGAAGCCCCCCCGGCTAGACTCCAATTTGTCCTGCATCTTCTTGACCTCCACTTCACAAATTTCCATTCTCTTTACCGATGAGATGGTGGGGGAGGAAAGCCGCAGAGCTGCCAGAAAGCTGTACCTAGCGGCTAGTTCAATCCTCATTGCAGTTGCTTCGGGGTAGCCTGCCTCCGGATCCTCCCGGTCTTGTCCGGAGAACGCGACCATATATCAGGCATTGAAGGGCCATCTTCGGCGTCAAAAGATCAGCCAAATGGTGATGGCCAAAGCACTGTAGCCATGGAAAATAATGCCCTGGGTTATGCGCATTTAGGCGCTTCGCCCCAGACACCGACAAGAGGCCGAACCTAGTGCCCAGGTCCAATTTGAGCTCCAGCAAACAGGCACTGTTATTAACAGATCCGAATCTCATCACTTCTTTGCCCGGTGCTCTGACCCGGCTCGGTTTCTTAGCCAGTATCAATCGCGGTCTGTCTGGGGTGAGCTGCAGGAACCGCCACTGAATGCGCTGCCCACGAGACCTTTTCTAACTCCGGGTCTGCCCGGGTTGACACCACTCATGCCGTGTCGTGTTATGTTTCTGCAATATCATGACTGGCAATTTTGCTTCGTGAATCAACAGTTTGCCGGTTCCCGGAGTGAATTGTCGACCGATTTCTGCATTATAACGCATGTTATATCTGGGTCGTCCATCTTCTGACCTGTCCCGCACTCAATTTGGTATCGTGATATGATGCATTTTCAGGGCCCTCGCATCTGGCTCCCCATGCTCATGAGCCTCAGGACGTGGGGTCCCCTCCTAACCCCAGATTTGGTTGGTTTGCCGTGCTATGCCATGTTGGTTCAATCCAGGCCTTACACCGCTTTGCGACTTTAGGATAATAGGACTTGGAAACATCGGATTCGTTCGCTTGAAAAAACGAGAGGAGTTCGGACCACGACTTCTTCTTTGCTTTGGTTACTGATGAAGGTTGATACAAAAATGCCTGTCTTGTACCTTGCCGAGCTTGCTAAGAGCCATGTGTCTGCACTCTGCACGACCCCTGGTCTGTACATGTGAGAGTGGTCCGGATGATACCCTTCATGATGGTTTCGTGCGCCGCACCCGTGATATTAACCATGGGTGTCAAAGTTTGAAGTGGTGAGATTACCTATTTTTGCGGTGATTCGGAGTTTACTTATGGCCAGATGCATTTGCCTTGATCAAGTTCACCTGCTTTTCACTGAATCTCGTGACTGAAAATAAAGCTTGACGTACGGTACCTAGGAGGCACGATGTATAGCAAACGGTAGGAACGACACTCACAAGCCTCTACTACGAGCTATCACGATAAGGATCGTAACATGGTGGTTGGCGTTTTACTGAAGATAACATAGGAATTCTTGTATATCATGTACACAAAATACATGATCCATTTTGGTGAATGACTTTGGCTTCAACTGACACAAAGAGTTGGCTGTAGTTTATGGGGAGATGTTCTGCCTTACTAGGTAGTACATGGCGCCATGATCTTGCTTTTACACAACCTCTCCTTGAAACAACCAAGAACCTGAAGCATCTCGTATATCAACGACAAAGACCATTATGGAGTTGGGTAGGGGACATGTTGCTTGTAGACATGGATTTATGTCTGAAGCCAAGCTAGCTATTGTACACTGCCGGTATATTAGGGAACCCCTTAGGGTATTATGTCTACTTATCTTTACTTTTCTTGAATTCTCTCATCCCTTGTGCTACCACGCCATCCATGGTAGATTTGCGACAGAGCCCAGATTTCTTCCACTCAGGTACATGCAACGTCTCTCCTAACAAGATTATCAAGCTCGAAATATGCAGCTTATTTGAGCTCCCATTGCTACCGGCAACTACTGCTTAGAGTAAAATCGCATCTCTGCACCACCTACATCAAAGGCTGCTACGACGTTCTGCAGGAATACGTCCCCTAAGATGTACGGTCCAGGGCCACCAGTCGAAATAGCAATCGCACATTTGCCCGTTGGATCAGTAAATTCTTGATATATAAGATCGGCTGGGTTGATCCAGAACCGTACCCCGGAGATAATAACCGCAAACCGAGGAGGGATGGCATGGCAGTCGGCGAAGTAGGCTCCCCATTGTGGCATGTACGTGGCCGGAGGGATGAAAGACCTGGCAATGGCATCGGCCAGTGCTTTAATGGGCGGTCAGCTGGAGTCTTGAAGGGCAAGGATGGGGTCTGACTTACGAGGTGGAACATGCATCATTGTAGTCCCTGTATCAACGATATAGGGATACTTTCCAGTGTCGGTTGTGCTTCCCCATTGTAGGCCATCCGGAATGATGGTATAGAAAGAAGGTTCCCAGGCAGTGGTGTCACGATCGACAAGTTTTGCCTAGAGATTTCTGTTAGCTATGAACCAACGAGACGGGCTTTCGTGAAGCTGAATTCAACTCACGATTATAAGGTCCGTGGCTGCGAAGGCTTTAGGGTCCCACGGCATGGGCGGAAGTCCACCCCATGCTAGTACTCCATCACTAGAGTTCCTGTCGATAGAAACACTAAAGACAGGATCTATCAAACCCTGCGCGATGGCATTGGTTAACCAAGGTGTGTAAGGATAGTTGTTCCAGTCCGAGTCATCAACGGGATCAGCTGGGTCGCCAAGATAGCCACTTGTCAGAGATGGGTATGCAAGGCCAAGGATACCAACAGTGACGTTGTCGCCGCGCCAGTACGCCCTGCTGGCTAATCCGACTTGCTGTCCAGAAACCGAGATGCCGCCACATGCAATATCAGAGGTGCCCATAGGTCCTGACACATCTTCTCCAGACCCGTATCGTCGATGGAAGTACACTCCCGAAACGTCCTGGAGGAAGTTTGGAATGTGAGGCTGGCCAAAGTTACATGAAGCTTGGTCATGGGTTCTACCTGCACCGTCTTCACATCTGAAGCCAGTTTTGGCAGCCCAAGTGTCAGAGCTCCCAGTGTCGAAAATGAACCAAACAGGGGTATTGTCCCAACTGCACTGAATTCCGTATGCAGTGGAGAATCTACCGAGTGCAGAGATGTTCTGATAAGGAGCCGCACTTTCGCCTGGAACTGAGCTTTGGGATCGCGAAAGAAGAGAGAGAGAAGATCTCGGATGGGAATCAACTTTGCCTTTGAGGTTCTTCAGTCGCGAAACATGAGTACCAGGTCGATCAGTGGTTTTGGCGGTAAGTGCCTTGGCTCGCTCGAAGGAGAATCCATTCAGCGAAGTCGACAGATCCCAGTGCGCCTGGTCAACTTCGTTGCTCACAACGGCTGAGAGTACGGGGCATAAGATGCCGACGGCGAGAACGAAGATCAGGCAGATTATTCTCATGTTGACGATGAGGAGGTCGAAGGAGGATGCGAAGAGGAGAAGAGAAGAAAGGAGAGGACTTTTGATGCGGCAGATAAGTTGGATAGTTTGGTTCTCAGTTGCACGCAGGGAGGTTTGAGACGCAAGAGAAAATAAACAGTGCGAGTGAGCGGAGATATTCTTTAGGCAGGCGGAAGTGTCAGTGCCTGCCAGTGCCGCGAAGATTCCTTCCTTCTTGCTCGCGTATGGGCATAGTGACGACGTAGTGATACAAGGCAGAGATTCGGTCAAGATATGAGACGGATTACAACATAGGTATCTAGGCCAGTATAAACGACATGCTGATTGATTTTAAGAACAGGAACTCAGAACAGGATGTGTCCGTACTATGATCTAGTCGGATCTATCAACACCTACTTACAGCCTGTGGATATCATGTTCATCAACAAACAAAGGTCTGCCAAAATGCTTTGAGAAAGTGATTTCGAAACCAAGACTAGAACAAGTGATGATGAGCCCAGGCTCATTACTGCATGAAGCCGCAATATATCATTCAGTCATTAGATATGGGAATTTTGCAAACGCCCGTTAACAGCAAGACACTTGTCCCACGTCCATCGGCCCCAAGATCTGGTACAACAGTGGACTCGAAGATGGAGAAGAGATTTCATAGGCAGATCATGTCGATCAAACTCCGCCTACGGTTGAATTAACCGAAAGCTAAGACAACACGCTTACTGAGCCTCTGGCAGCCCGGCTCCAAGCTATCCGAAATTCACATAGACAACCTCACTCAATGTTACCCCTGATCCAGACTTGCCTGTGCGCTTTCCCACCAAAATCTAGAAGATAGGGTATAGAGCTGACTGAAATTATGAATAACTCGGGATCTGGCATAGTTGTTCATTCTGTCAGTGATATTGGTTGAGATGCGAAGCAAATCAGCCATGAAGTGGCCTTGGGCATGATAACGCTGCTTACGGCATCCATACAAATGGCTGAAGGTTGAAGTAGTTTACAGAAAACATGACCTTGAGCTCGAATTCATCTCATTATGGTATTTATTGTCTTGTATTTATTTAATCGCTGTTAAAAGCATGAGTAGAAGTGTAGTTGGCACAAAACTCCATAATCTGATACCCCCCAGCAACCAAGTTCCTACAACCTTTCTCTGGAGTCAACCGACACCATTCTTAACTCCGCAACTGGTTTATAATCACAAATACTCCCGCAAATTAAACGAAAACATCACTAGTTAGCCGTTATCTACTTGCAGATGCCGCATACCCGTGCAGAAAACAAATGACGAAAACCCCCAAAATTCTTCTTGCTTACGCTGTCAGCATCATGACACAGCCCATAAGGCTGAAAGTCAGCGGCAGGTTGGTCTTTGTATAAGATAGCGCAGGATCTGATCCTTTCGGCTCAATATTGTCCTGGAATCTATTGGATCAGATACGCTAGTGCTGACAATGTTCAAGCTTGGGTAATTAACTGATTTGCCAGTTGCGGGTTGGAACCATTTTATAGTAAGCTAATAAGCAAGCCAAACTTGCATATTCGGTCCTCAGGGGTTTCAAGATTGCGTAGTCGGATTGTCGATAGAAAATAAATAGAAACGGGGGCTCTAAAGAAGCGGGTATGCAGAGTATATAAAGCAGGATTCCTTGCTCCTCTGCTCAAACTCATGCTTGCCAGGCTTTCCACATCCATTAGTCTCATTGTCAAACTGTTTTGATAACGCGTACTCCTTTCATACTTCACTTAGCACTTACACTACAATGGCATCCGTATCTTCTAGCGTAGCCGAACTGGCTCCTGGTGGCAGACAAACAAACACCACCGAGTCTACCAGCTCCAAGAAGCCCCATCTTGTCTTCGCTGCTACCCCTGTTGATGGGCACACAAATCCCCTTATTAGAATCGCAGAAGACCTCGTCCACCGTGGCTTTGAGGTCACCTTTATTGGCGGTGACCAATTCGAAAGCACAATCACAGGCATTGGCGCAAGGCATGTTACCGTTGGACCTCTACTCAACGCCAAGCTGATGGCGGAGCGTGAGGCTGTTCCTCCTGGTGTTCCTCGGTTGCTCTATGATATCAGACATATCTTTACTATGCAGACTCCTGACCGTTGGAGGATTCTTAAGGGAGTTCTCGAAGGCATTCGGGCAAAGGATCCGCATCGCGAGGTGGTGGTCATGCCGGAGACTTGCTTCATGGGCGCCAACCCTATCTCTCTTGGGGCACCTCTCCCCAAGGGTTATACCACCAGACCCAGGGTGGTCAACTTGCATCCTATTCCTTACATGGCTACCAGTATCGACACTGGACCTTTTGGCCCTGGTCTGCCCCCCGATTCGACCGAATCTGGCCGCGCACGAAACCAGGTTATAAACCAGATGATGGTTGGCGGTCCCTTTGCCGAGGTTATTGCTCATCAGGAAGAAGTCCTCAAGGAGCTTGGTGCTACTGAGATTCTTGAGCCTCAGATTCCTTTCCATCACTGGATGCTTATGCACGACATGACACTTCAGTTATGTCCTCCCAGTCTCGAGTATCCCCGATCTGACATGCCTTCCAATGTCAAGTTCGCAGGCTGCGCGACACCGAAGCCTACCCCCGCCGACTTTGTCTATCCTTCTTGGTGGGATGATGTGAAGCGAGGAGATCGCCGTATCGTCGCCGTGACGCAGGGAACTATTGCTCGTGATGCCACCAATCTCATCATCCCCACTATTGAAGCCCTCTCCCATCGCGATGATCTTCTCGTTGTAGCTATCCTCGGCCAAAGAAACGCTTTTCTCCCCGACAACGTCACCATCCCCTCCAACACCCGGGTCATCGACTACCTCCCCTACGATATCCTTCTACCTCACACTTCAGTATTTGTTATGAATGCTGGCTACGGCGGCTTCCTCCATGGAGTGACGAACGGCGTTCCTTTGGTGCTTGCAGGCGAGACCGAAGACAAGCCTGAGATTGCGATGCGCGGAGAATGGAGCGGTGTTGCGGTGAACCTGAGAACAGGCCGTCCTACTCCTGATCTGGTGAGGGCAGGTGTTGAGCGTGTTCTGGAAGACGACAGCTTCAAGAAGAGAGTTATGGACGTCAAAGCAGAGAACGAGGCTATGAAGTACTTTGACTTTATAGAGAAGCAGATTCTCTCTATTGGAGATTTGGAAGCGTGATGGAATTTGAATAACTTGGATTATCCTAATATTTAGTTAGATAGCATTTGGATTACTGAAAAATACTGCCGACGGTGTTAAATATGTCTCCGAATGCTGCACTTAATGGACGTTATATTTCCTCCGTTCCGACTCCGTCCTGACTCCGGCTCCAGCGGAGCCCGCGGATTCTCAAATAGTACCGACGGTGACGGAGCAAACCCGGGGGGCATATAATTTTTGCATGAATTATTTAAAACACTATTTTGGCCCCTTGTAGATTTGCGCTCCGGCCTCTTCTCCCCTAAGGATCTAAGTAGACTCAATAACACACTCCATTATGGCCACTACCAAAGAATCACCCCTGGCCTTCATGGACATTCTCAGCCCAGCTGTGTCCTATTTTCGGCCCAAAGAAGCGGCATCGACAACTCCCAACGACGCCAGTTCTAAAGATCCTCCGCTTATAATAATGCTATCATGGTCGGAAGCTCGCGATGTTCACATAGCAAAATACATTGCTCAATATCGCGCCCTCTTCCCAACTTCTCCCATCCTCCTTTTCCGCGCCTCCACCAAACTCTATATCCGACCTGGACTCCGCCGCCGTCTTTTTGAACCCGCCTTACCAGTCCTTCAATCTTTCACAGCTACAAAGGGAGATGAGCCTAACTTTCTGCTTCACGTATTCTCCAATGGCGGTATTAGCTCTGCCGTCACATTGTGGGAGTTATGGCAGACCGCTCTTGGAAGTGAACCAATCCCTCGCCATGCTATGGTAATGGACTCATGTCCGGGATATTTCCACTGGAAACGCAACCACCACGTAATCTCCATGGATCTTCCATCCTTTCTATCCCCTGTCGTCTGGGTGTTCTTGGGCTTTGCCTGGGTGTACTACGTCCTATGGCTGAACGAGGAACCGCAAGAGGCCAACGCCTCAGCGCTCAATACGCCGGAAAGGATCAGTCGAGAAACAATGAGGACATATGTGTATGGCGATGCCGATCTCTCGGTTGGATGGGAAGATGTCGAATCACATGCGCAGGAAGCGAAGAAGAAGGGGGCAATTGTAAGAACAGAGAAGTTTGAAGGCGGTGCGCATGTGGCTCATGTCCGAGTTGATGCGAATAGATATTGGAGGGCCGTTCAAGATACATGGCAAGGGAAATGCACGTAGACTGACAGTTGTACTCTCTATTGTGAGTTGATTCAATAAATTCTCATATATGTATTATACTCATTTGGTATCTTTGCCCCTAAATCCAAAGCCCTTCATCGTCGATTATAATTCCCAAGTCCTTTCTTCATGTGTCATGCCTATCATAGGCCGCGCACGCAATGATCGCAATTCAATAATAGCCCCCCCTAACTCCATTCACAAACAATAAAGCCTCCCATAAACGCCTGTTGTCGTGCATGTGTTCAAGTTCTTTGTCTCTTACAGCCCTCACCCGCTCCCCCTTGTCCCTCAGCGGAACCTCTCTTACCAAGTCTGCTCGGTGGACCCGGGGCCTGTTGGAACGGCATTAAATGGTCATCATCCAGGCCACCAACGCCTTCATCTTCCTCGTGGCATGTGGGACATTCTTGGTTGAAAACGTGCTCCTCAATACGGATGCCTCGCTCGCATCCGCCAAACCATCCCATATTCTTGGCCTCAAGGCAGGAGAGTTCTTGGGTTAAGTCAACCCATGTCTGAGCCGAACCACAATATGTGCAATTCCCTCTGAAGACCATCATTCGACACATTTCTGCACGGATGAATCGGTTGGTGATGTCTTAAAGAGGAGTGAGTGACAGTGTGCTACAGAAATAGCTTGAAGAACTGTTTGACGAATGTCAGTACATACATGTAAGCGATCCTGGGGTCTGTAAAATTTACCTGTTTGTAGAGAGCCCTCGGCAAACTGAGTTCTTGTAACGGAAATTCTCGCGATGTCTCAGTTTGAGGAGATGCCGAATACCGAATCGGTGTCTTCCTCAAGCGGCGCCTTGTAACGTCAGACGCGAGACAACAATCGTGCTGTACGTACTGTGGTAGACTGTAGATAACCTCCCAGCCAGCCACAGTGCAACGTCGGCAGAAATAAAGATGGACGGAGAGGGGACAAATGACGATGCGCCACGAAATATTTCAGTCTGCAATTTGTAGCAAAAGACGGCAATAAAACGGCTTTCGTGTTGGTTGATGTGTCGTTGGTCGGGTCTGAATTGGTTCGATGAACCACCAACAGAATTGACAGCAAAAAAGTGACAGATGGATGACACAAGAGTTCGGTGATGAAGAAAAACAAGTACGCGATGTGCTGCTGGCGATGAAGGGTTATATTACTGGAACTGGAGTAAGAAAAGAGACGATCACAACAGGGAAAAAGCAAGAAGATGTGGAGATTCTAATATAGAAACAGATTCAGCCATGCGCATGTGCATGTGCATACATCAAGTGAAGTGAGTACGGCATAGACCGTGATATTGGCCGTGTTTCAACCAAATAGCGGCCAACTCTAATCACTAATCAGTAACTGACATGTACATCCACATAGGTAGTGATCGGTAAGCCCTTTTACTCCGTACAATCTTCATCTCTCAAACGTCACACATGAACATCCCAAAACGGACATGTCAGTGGACTTGGCGCCAAGAAAGAGATCTCCAAGATAGCCATCCTCAGCCCCAGCCCCAGCCCAAGCCCAAGCCCAAGCGTGTTTCGCATCAACATACTTCGCAATGGTCGTCTTTTCCCCTTGAACTTGGCTTCTGGGGCGATAAGCTTTCCCACCAGCGCCATTAACAAGCCTTCGCCACTGTCCGACGATCGCTGGCCCTTCCTTTGGTGTTCTAGACCTTTTCTGACCTTTGAGCTTGACCTATTTGACCTGCTTCATGGGGAATTCCAATTGTTCTGGGCTTTATTCTGGAAGCCCCGTGGTTGGAGGACTTCTTCTCCTGCCCTTTCTTCTCTGCCTATGAATTCTGCGCTTGGCGATAGCTTCAGAGATATACAAATAGTTATTTGGAATATCGCCAAAACCACATACGAAGGCAAATATCGTCAGAAGGTCATAGGCCATGAACCAGGGGCAAAACACAAGCTTGGCTCGGCTGTCCATCCGTTCCCCAGCGCCGCGCTCCCGAAAGACTGACGCCTTTTGCAGCCCAAACCACCAAAATGATCATCGCCAACACATGACGATCCCATGAGCCCGCCAAGAGAAGACCCCTTGGCAACCGCCAAACTCTCCCATGTCCCCGGTTCTTCAACGGGATAACGTTTGACTGGCAACAGACTTTCCGCGGATCGTCTCTACTTCCCCAGAGTTCTCTGGCGTACGCGGTGCTTTACACAGAGGAGAAGCTAAGCAAAGCCCGAGAGTCTTAAATCCGGCGATACTGGAATTCTCGAGACATCCACCGGAGCTTCTTGGGACCAGCTAACCTCCCGTCCGTCCCGAGGCATCACCTCAGGCACGAGACGACTCTTCTGCGAGCGTACATGAGGTTCCTTCAACACTTCCCTCATGATTTTTAAGCTTCTAGGCTGAGAGTCCGTCAGTTTCATCTACTCGCTGGTATCGGGTTTCACGTTCCTTGAACTCTCTTGTGGATAGCACAAAACAGCCGTCTGAGGTTTAGTGCTCCATCATGAAGTATATCACACAAAGACTTGTCTGGTAAGGTGTCTCCTTTGGATGGCCTCACTGCTCAAGCACCATGCGCTTACCGTCTCCGAGGCATGTAGTGCTAGGCAGACTGGGTAGTCACTCGAGTTAGAATAAGCCATGTTTCTCATCTCAACGCAGTTATTCGTCTCCTTAATAGCTGATATGAAATAAATGACGATACGCTTAATTGACTAAAGTAACTATGAACTAGACGCTAATCCGCTCCATCTTGGTCACACAGACCCTCGTCCTCAACTCGGCAGCCATGATGAAATCTCGATCCTTTCTTGAGCTATTCCTCTGGCAACATATCCTTTCTTATTTCTTCTGCCATTGGTCCTTGTAGTCTGATCGAATGTTGAGGGGAAATGTTGGACTCTGATATCCGAGAAGTAACATGTGCTTGGGCTTTCAGGCTTATCCATGAAGCTTTTCTCAGCTGTTGACATGCAGAACGAGGATATTTCTGCTCTCCCTTGTTTAAGGATTTCCGTCAGTCGCAACGTTGATGTATCAGGCACGCGATCTTGTCGGGGGAGGAAAATTCAAGCATCGAATGTATCAGATTCCTCAACTGGTGTTGGTTCTTCGGAGTGTACCTCATCCGGCTCGCCAAACTCCGTAATCCGTCTTGGTTTCCTCGAATGAGATTCCACATCGTGATCACTGACAGGGATTTGAAGCCGCTCAAGTTGAGGACGCCAATTTTCAAGGCACCAAAGTCGAGGAGGACGCACAGGTCGGTAATTCCAATGTGGAGGAGGATACCAATCCGGAGGAAGTATAAATGAACAATGGACTTGAGAGAGGCTCGGGTCGGGCCGTCTAAATCCCACATTCTCGTTGTCAAGTAGCTCTGTTTCCAGGGTTAGCTAATTCCGTGAATTTTATATAATTTTATGAGAACTTCCTCGAAGTCTTGCGCATTTTACGTAGACTTCATAAGTTCATATTGTTACCTTGGATTAGTGTTCCTGGGTCTTCTCCTGGCGGTGGTAGTGGTTGTCGTAATGGTTCGAGAAGTGACTGTGATTCTAAAGGCGAAACTGAATCTGACTGCTGTAGATTTGATTCTTGATCTAATTCTGGTGCTGATAGTGATCTCTGTCGTAGTGGCATATTTTCTATCTCATCCTGCAGTATACGAGGGTTGGTTACTTCTGTATCCGGATCTGGAAGTCGTGATTCTTGTCTCAGTTCTCCCAGCCGCAGAACAAACCTATTTCGATTTTCGCGCCGGGCCGCAGAGTCAGACATTGTTGATTCAAATAAGAATGGGTAAGTGCAAATAAAACGTCAAACGATAGTGAAGATGATGATGCTTGGTTGCAGAGAAGAGAAGAGAATGGGATGCCTTCATGTTAGTACCTTGCTAACTGCAAGGGCGGGGGATCAAGGAAATACAGCAGGAACGAGCTACTTGTATGCAACTGCTTCTCCTTGTTAGATACATCAGCATGTCAGGAGTAATTGCCGGAATGGACTGTTCCAATTTGCACAAATCACAGCAGCTCAGGAGAGGTGCGTTTACCGCCATTGGATGATTGTTATTGCACATGTATGAAGCGACATGACAATGGTTTACATGAATATGAGTAACAATAGACACCATAAATCTAGGACATCGTCTAAACCCAGTTCATAGCGAGCTGTGATAGGTATATCAGCTTGGATAGGCCACGGACCTCCTTTTCCTGCAACACCTTATATCAAGCATGTAAAGGTACAATGGGTGTGCAAAAGTTCCGACAGCTTTCTCCATTCTGGATTTTATATAATCTTATAATCTTATCTTGGAGTTATAGATAAAATCTTCTAACTATAGTATAGTTTATTTTTCTACTTTATTATATATCTCTAGTCAGCTTGTTGTCAGAACTTCCACGCAGAACTGTAGGAGGTAGGTATTTTAGCTGGGTCTAGACCGGGGCACAAGTTGAAGGCTACCTAAGGTACAGCTTCAATGAAATCTCAGTATATCAACAAATACTGTAGCGGTGCTGCCTACTCTTCGCTGTCAGACAATAAGGTTCAGCATGTTATAAAGATGCTCTCGCCTGTCATGTTAAGTCTGTACCCGACGAGGCCCAGCAGCTTAATGCTGCTTAGAAAAAGATAGTCCAGGTTTGTTATGCCCATTTTATGATGATACATGGAAATACAGTCCAGTGTTGTCAACAGGTTGGACGTTCAGGGGTGTTGCCTTTCGAGCCATCACACCACAGCCCAGAATAGCACTAATTGTCAACTGTGACCAAACCGACTGGTGTCGTTGCCTTTCGTGGCTTTGTAACCACATCACATATTTCATTTCAAAGGGCAAGAGACGAGAGGCGAGAGGCAAGAGATAATAACAGGAAAACGTGGAACTCCACGAGTGTATGAGGCTAAGTAAAATGTTACGGTGGTAATACATGGCGATTGAACCCCAAACTCCATTTCTCCAATTCCTCCTTAACTAGAAAAGACATTCCCTTTGCTCATGACATGCATGCAGTGACGAGAAGCAGCCTGGTGTTGAAGCCAGACTCAAATGAAATCGTAGACGAAAACGTCACGCGCTGGTGCACAACACGCAACATACATGCAGAAAAAACGAAACCACTTGCACGACACGGTCGATTTCATCCAAGAACGTACGAGTCTGGTTGGGAGAGGCACACGCAAAACCAGTACCACATGCAGCGAGGCACTACTGGCCCAGTTCGTGTTGTTGAGGTGTGGTTTGATTTCAGAGAATTCGGTTGACCAGTTCACAACTCAACTCCACTCCACTCAACCGCATCACGACGGGTAGCAAGTTTCAGGATGTACGGCCATACCAATGATGAGCTGGCATCAGAAATCGCATATGTCATCAACGTATTAGTCGTGGGCTGTCAATCGGTAGTTCCACAAGCATCATGGTTGCGAAGAGCCAACAAAAACGAGGATTGCAGGCAGATGGTGGTAGAGGCATTCAGCATCAGGTCGAGGTATCGGTTAGAGGAGATCGCATGAGGGTAAAGCGGAACAGGACAACCATGGACGTTGCCCCCGCTCTCGCACCTCAATATTAAATGTCGTCAGGGACGGTCGGGTCAAATGATATACGTCATCAAAGAAGTTGAGGCCAAATGGTTCTCAGAAAACGAAAAGAAAACGGATGCTGTACAGTCGTGGGTCGTGTCAGCGAGCCATGAGGGTAAAGGGGCGTCAAAGCGTCAAAAGGCTGGCACGATGTCAATCGAACCACAAGGGAGTGCCCTCGGTCCACAGATTTCTGCAGATGAGAGCTCGATCATGGTCACTCAAACACGAGCGAGCAACAAGATAGATATCACTATGCCCCAGGTGCAGGAGCGCCGGCAGGAGGGGCACCTTGTCCGCCTTGCTGCTGTTGATACATCAAAGACTGATACCACAACGCGAGGTAATTTTGGTAGCCACCATCTATTCTGCATCAGTACTGGGCTTGGGTGGGTAACACAGGCTTTCATAACTTACATTGTGCATATGGGTCCGCTCCGTCAGCTGGAGCTGGTTGAGGAGGTTGGTTAGTAGGAGCACTAGGAGCCTGCTGTTGAGAATAGCTGGGCCTGTCGAGGTCTTGATGTCCACGACCACCGCCGCCGCCACCTCCACCACCACGTGGGCCGCTTCCTTTCTGACGCTGCACTGATATTAGGTACATGAAAAGGCGATATTGTCATGGGTTAAGAACTTACCACTGCGTCCACCTTTTCATCGATGGCCAGCTTGGCTCGGGCAATGCTATCGCGGGATCCGATCAAGGCGATCTCCCTCTGGGTCTCACCAGGGCCAGAGGACTGGGCGACATTGATCTTACAGCCTGTAGTGTTCTGCATCTCACGGATTGTTTCGCCACCCTTGCCGATAATCATACCTACCGCATCCGAAGGCACATACACAGCATCGTTGATCTTGTCAGGGCCACCAGAACCCCCCATATCCCTCTGAGGAGCGTCATGACGGGCAGCGGGAGCTGGTCCACCACCACCTCCGCCGCCGCCCAACCTCTTCACAGGTGGTGGCGCGTCCCCTCGGCTGTCACTATCAACAATTTCCATGATAAAGTCCTTGGCACGTGCAGCAGCTTCAGGTGTGCCAATAAGATTGACAGGTCGTAGTCCATTCACACTCTTGGATTCACCAACAATGTTGATGTGGCAACCCGAGCGTTCTTGGAGATCGCGAATAGTCTCACCACCACGTCCGATAATGAGACCAACCGTCCTATCGGGCACCATGATTTGCATGTGGTCCTCTCCTTCACGCAGAGCAGTCGCGCCGCCCTTGTTCGGGTCGCGGGGCTTTTCAGGGCGGTTGAGCGCACCCATTCCGCTGTCTTCTATGATGCGGTTGATTGCGTCTTTCACTTCAGCACGACGATGTCTCGGTCCGGAGATCTTGCATTGTCTAAATGGACCGCCATCAGTGGCAGCCAAGAATTGAACGCGGCAGCTAGAGTCCGCTTCGATGCGTCTCAGGTTTTCTCCCTGTCGGCCAATAATAAGACCGACCAGACTGGATTCAATCTGAATGGTTTCGGAACTGTCATCTCCTCCTCCTCCTCGCAGTGGAGATCTCTCGCGTCCGTTTCCTCCTCGAGGAGAAAAGTTGCGACCACGAGAATTGGGAGAATAAGAACGATCCCGATCATAGCCTCGACCGTGAGAACCACGGTCGCCACCACGCCGCTCATCTCTGTAAGGGTTCACGCCGTCACGGAACTCATCGCGGGCAGGGGACCGAGATCGTGAGCGATTGTATCCTCGGTCGGGTCCTCGGGATTCAGGGGCATAGACGAGGGGTCGGTCGTAAGATGTGACTCCCTTTTCGGCGGCGTAAGCCTTGGCTTGGGCAATTGCATCAGCGATACTCAATGTTCCCGAGTTGACAGGTCGGATCGAGCTCAAATCAAGGTTTCCACTGGATGATGGTGCGGGGAGACCATTGTAGCCAGGTGCGCCATAGCTGCCAGAATTCGGAGGGGGCGGCTGGTATGCGGACACAGGCTGCGCAGACCCGGGCGGGGGAGGATATGCCTGGCTGGGAGCGCCAGGTGGTGTCTGGGTAGGGGTCGCCGTCGGGGGCCGCTGCGACGCTGTATGAATAAGTCAGTAAGCGCATGCAACGAAAAGTGAATGCTCTGACATACCGAGGGCAGCCAGAATGCTCTGAATGTCGGGTCGAGAATCCGCCATTATGCTGCTAGTGGAGCTGAACAGGAGCCAGCACGAGCAAGTAGCTAGTTTTTATCGTGGGGATATGCCAGAGATGGTGGCTGATCAGGTGTACGGACGAAAAGAGTTTCCGAATAATGAAAAATGAAAATAGTGATATGTCCCCAGCACAGTTATGCAAGTCGTTTCGTGAGTCGGTGTCGCGATAACTTGATGTATCTGCTGGCCACAGTTTTGAGTCGGATGAGATCAAGACTTTTGGCGATGACCGAACTCTAGCGATTCAAGAATATTGACAGATCGCCAATAAATGTCTCAGGTCGCGTAAAGAAACTGATGCGATCGCGGCGACGGTCAAAGGGAGTGTCGCTGACCACGGTAAATGCGATGTCTTGGAAGCACAGAAAAGATGAGGAGGGAGGATTCTGATTTGGAAAGAATCAGGTTCATAGAATGGAGACGACCTGAGCGCGAAGGTACCTACAGTACCTGCAGTGTAGCGTGATTACAGGCTAAGCCATATTTGGAACTTGGGTGACAACCTCCACTACTTTAAAGCCCCGATGGAAATCTGAGCGAATATTGAGCCTGCACCTGCTGCGCATTTCTTGCGCTAGACTGTATTTTGCATTTTTGTCGCCCCGCCTTGGCGTGCAGTAATTTTCTGTTCTGCATTCAAATGGATGGATATTCTGAATTTGCTGGTTCAAATCCGCAGCCTGATGTGGGATATCTTTTAGATTATGGCTTGAAGTATAAGTGACTCATCTACAGGCAACTGAGGGGATGTAGCCCAGAGACGCAAACTTAAATTCGCGTCAAGATAGATATAAAGTTACAAAAGCCACCTCAAATCTGTATCTCGATCAATTCAGTCCAAATTGCAAGGTCAATGGTAGGTTTCGAGGTCATTACACGTAAAACTAGTCCCTGAAAGGCAAGCTTACAGCAACAATTGCCGCTGATCCACTGCGGGGGGTTCTGCACAATCGACAGTTGGGACGGAAGCCGGAATAATAAGTTCCCGCTTATCGCCCAGACTCTTCTTATCGCAGAAAAAAAGTTCTCGATTCGAGACACTGCTGGCTGGTCGGTTCGGTTATACAGAATACCTCACAAGCAACAAAATGGATTTCGCAGGCAGCAAGAAGCGCAAGTTCAAGGACGCCAATGGCGTTAAGGCTTCAAAAGTCAAGAAGTCTGCTACTACACCTGACAAGAAGTCTAAGAAAGTCAAGCGCACCGAACCCGAGCCCCGCGATGAGCCCGAAGACGACTCTTCCAACGAGGAAGAGAAGGCTCTGAAGGAGGACGAGGAAGAGAGCGACGAAGCTGATGAGGATGCTGTGGACGCAAAGTCCGGAGATGAGGAGGAGGGTGACGACGAGGACAAGGCGGAGGACAACACAGACCTGCCTGACGGCGGAAAACTCACATTACCTCCGGTCGCTGGTGCTGAGGCGCAATCGTTCGACGAGCTTAACCTCTCCGATAAGACCATGAAGGCAATCAAGGAGATGAACTTCACCAAGATGACTGAGATCCAGAGGAGAGGTATCCCTCCTTCGCTGGCTGGGCGCGACGTTCTCGGTGCTGCAAAGACAGGGTCCGGAAAGACTCTGGCTTTCTTGATTCCTGTCATTGAGATGCTCAGCGCTCTGCGATTTAAACCTCGCAACGGCACTGGTGTCATTGTCGTCTCCCCAACTCGCGAATTGGCTCTTCAAATCTTTGGTGTTGCCCGAGAGCTCATGGCCCACCACTCCCAAACCTACGGTATTGTCATCGGAGGCGCAAACCGTCGCGCTGAGGCCGACAAGCTCGCCAAGGGTGTTAACCTGCTTATCGCTACCCCAGGGCGACTTCTCGATCATCTGCAGAACACCCCATTCGTCTTCAAGAACCTGAAGTCCCTTGTTATTGATGAGGCGGACCGAATTCTTGAGATCGGTTTCGAGGATGAAATGCGACAAATTATCAAGGTTCTTCCCAAGGAGGATCGACAGACTATGCTTTTCTCCGCCACCCAGACAACCAAGGTCGAGGATCTTGCCCGTATCTCGCTGCGTCCTGGTCCCCTATACATCAACGTTGATGAGGAGAAGCAGTACAGCACTGTGGAAGGTCTCGAACAAGGCTACGTTGTCTGCGAAGCCGATAAGCGATTCCTTCTTCTCTTCTCATTCCTCAAGCGCAACCTCAAGAAGAAGGTTATTGTCTTCTTCAGTAGTTGCGCCTGTGTGAAATACCATGCCGAGCTCCTCAACTACATCGATCTTCCTGTTCTTGACCTCCACGGCAAGCAGAAGCAGCAAAAGCGAACCAACACCTTCTTCGAGTTCTGTAACGCTAAGCAGGGCACCCTGATCTGCACTGATGTCGCTGCTCGTGGTCTTGATGTACGTATTGCGCTTGGATTTTCGCAAGAAATATTTGCTAACTCGTGACAGATTCCTTCGGTTGACTGGATTGTCCAGTTCGATCCTCCGGATGACCCTCGTGACTACATTCACCGTGTTGGTCGAACCGCCCGAGGTAACAACAGCAAGGGTCGATCGCTTATGTTCCTTCAGCCCAATGAGGTCGGCTTCTTGTCGCATCTCAAGGCCGCTCGTGTCCCCGTCGTCGAGTTCGACTTCCCCGCCAACAAGATCGTCAACGTTCAATCTCAGCTCGAGAAGCTCATCAGCCAGAACTACTACCTGAACAAGAGCGCTAAGGATGGCTATCGCAGCTACCTGCACGCCTATGCCTCACACTCGCTGCGCAGTGTCTTTGATATCAACAAGTTGGATCTTGCCAAGGTTGCCAGGAGCTTTGGTTTCTCGGTGCCGCCTCGCGTCGAGATCACGCTTGGTGCCAGCATGAGCAGGGACAAGAAGCACCAGGGCCGCAGGGCATATGGCAGTCAGCCACGACAGGGCGGAGGCAACAAGTTTACCAGGTAAACAGCCTGAGTGATAGAAAAAGAAAGAGGCAGTGACGGGTCAAGTTGGCTGTCAGTGGACATGGTAGGCTTTAAGCACGGCGTTAGGTTATTCAAAATGTAATGATGGTACCAAGCTACGGCAGGATCATAGACAAACCTTTTCGTTTTTACAATTTTGAAGTAATGTTCTGAAGAGTCATTGAATCGTTGTAGCTATCTGCCATGCTCAAAAAAACTTACCAGGCAAGTCTTGGAATAGTGTCCGTAACGTAGCAAGATATCAAAAGGATTAAACTGAGTGAGGCCTGGCGTATGAATGTGAATACTTTGTTGGCCAATCTTGTTTGTTTCAAGTGAGCTTGACTCGATTAGGTGTTGGGAAGAGTCTAGCACTACGAGATACCTATAGCGTTGAACAAGGGATAAAATCATCGTGTGTCCAGTGGGCTCATTTCTCCCTTTAAAACGTTCATTTCTCGCATCATCGATGTCTTGCGATGGGTGCTAAACCTACCTCGGCAGAATGCTATATCATTCACTTAACTATTGCCCCATACTGAATCAGCAGATAAAGTAATGGAGTCACTCAGCTACCCGTAGATCAATAGAATGATCGGCAGTGTCATCCACGTCGCAGCCAGATCTGTAACTTTGACGGAACCTCAACGGTGTGAAATGCACCATCAAGCCACTCACAGATCGAGCCATCAGCCAAGACTGGAAAAAAGGCCTGAAAAGCCTCAGGTGGTTGTAGTTAGTCTAGTCTCAGTGTAAATAAACCTCGTATCCAACCGGAGGCCGCGGCATGTCCCCAAGTGCAACATCTACCACACTCATACAGTCATTGGCCATTGGTCGAAGCCGCGTCACGAGCTTCACTCCCTTCTTCCCGTTGGGGCCATATAGTCCGCGTCATGCCCCTTCGACCGTTGAGGCTCAATTGCTTCTTTCTGTTTGGGTAGAACATAACTATTGAGGCGTCCCGAATTTCTGCCAAACCAAAAAGTTCACACGACTCGAAAAGGATTGGAAGAAAACCGCTGAGCGATTCAAGCTGTAACTGAATGGAAAGCTGAGCTGACGGGCGTACCACCAACTCACAACAATCCCGCGCATATAAACAACAACTGTCCTTTGACTCACAACTTCTATCCCTCTTCTATTTGAATCGAACAACAGCAGGTCGAAAAAGAGCAAGAGCCTAGCATGACCTCGGGTTCAACTTGCAACTTCATCTGGTCACGAACATTGCAAAACTAAACCAACTCGTTTCAACAAACGTCAATTATCCCACACCAAAACGGTTTCGAAACTCAAAAAAAAAATCCAAATCCAGTTTATCCGCCAGAGCCACCATGTGTACCAAAACGTTAATCGAGCACCGCTGCGGACATCGCGTCCTGCGCGGCAACACAAGATGCTATCGAGAAGACTGCCCCGGAAGAAAAGAAGACATCACCAAAGTTGAAGACAACTGCGCGCAATGCGAAAACAAGCCTGGTCGATTCAAGTCTTCGCGATGGTGCTCAGTCGGATGCTGTGTTTGCCAGTGAACGGAGGGAGTCAAGGGAGGGTCTGGATCAGGTTATGGAATGATGCGGAGCAATACGGGCTTGATTTTGGGGAACCGGAGTACGGGCGAGGCATTTTCTTCTGTGAGAACGAGGTTTCTGGCGTTTACGAGTCTTTCGGTTCACTTACTGCGGGTTAAATAATTCCATCAGCTTGCGTTACAGCAGCATTCAAGCATTATCGCAAACATTCACACTCTGCAGTCAGTCGCGCATTACCATGCACATCCCTTCAAATGTGACTAGATCTGAGACATGAGACAGCTTAATTAACAAATCGACAAATGCAAACAGATCAGCAAGATTCACTCAATATCATCACGGCTTCACCCACTTCTTCTGGATCAAAAAGAAACATATGAAAGAGCCATCAAGACAAGTGGACTGGCTTGACTTGAAATGGGATTGGATGGAAGTCAATTAAGAGTTGCCCTGGGCTTGGGGGTGTGCAAGTCGGTCCCCGCCGTTGAGCCGGCCCTGACGTCTTGATGGATGGTTCCCCCGCCGGGTATTTCAATGAGCGACAGGGGTCCAGGGACCCTAGAGCCCTGGCCTGGGGCTGGGGTGTTTTCTCCAGCTTCCAAGTTGAGCCCGAGTTCACGAGTCTTCTCCTCTCGGGACAACCCAGCCCCAGCCAGCCCCCAGGGCTTCCAATCCTCCACTGTTGCTTAGGGAGCGGCACAACGGCCCAGCAGCCTAGTTACAGCATGGAATTAGGTCTTGGAGATAATTCATTGGATACTTAGGTAGGTACCTTAGGTACCTAGGCAAGAGCTACATTCAGACGAGGAAGGTTGGCCCACCATTTGAGGTGATCACCTTTGTCGGGTGCTCATTGTACCAGCCTACTCGGCGTCTTACAACACCGAACAGGCCCACCGAGGTAGGTACATACGCCTATGTACCTGCTAACGTTAGCTCGGAGAGACCATGAGGTCGGGGCCCTCCACTTTCGAGCTTCTCCATCCCGCATTCTGCAATCATCACCACCCAGACCCGGCCTACCATCTCCCATTACCACTACGCACAGCATTACTTTGATTGGCATTCAGAATACAGATTAATACCGCCTCTTCTCTTCCCGCTGTCGCATACTTCTGCGCCTTGCCGTTATTTGTACTACCCTTATTCCCGTCATTGGCGCATGAGGTGCCTGACTTGACCAGTTACTATCTCACCTTACGCCATGGCTAAGAAGGCGCGCCAGAGAATCAGCTACGGTGAGATCTCATCCCCGGTCGCTTCAATGGCTTTCAAACGTGCAATGGTCACTCTCTAACCCATGAATAGTTCTTGAGAATGCCAAATCCTCCGAGGGTGGCCATCGCCTAGGCGTCAATGGTCTTGCCGTTGATAACGACAATGCGATTCTGTGAGCTTTGCATACCGACGCCCCAATTCCTACACGCACAGAACTAATCTGCTTGATGAAGATACTCAGGTGGCCGAGATGGCATAGTATGCGCCTGGGATCTAAACCTCGATCTCAAAAGCCGCAGCGATATCACCGATTCGACGCCTGCCACCTCCGAAGACAAGAAGCCGAAGCACACGACCAAGTTCCGCGCTCAAACTCATGCCCACATGCACTGGATCAACGATATTGCTCTCGCTCAGAAAAACACTGCACTAGTCTCTGGCTCGTCCGATCTTACAGTAAAGGTTTGGCGGCCATATTCCGAGGAGGACAATACCCGCGTTGAGACGATAGGCGAGCATGCCGATTATGTCAAGTGTGTTACAACCCCACCTCAAGATATGGGCGCGAATTGGATCGCATCCGGTGGTCTCGACCGCAAGATATGCCTGTGGGATCTCAATGGCGCTGGCAAAACACTCGAGATCGATGTTCAGGGTGAGGAAATTCCTGAGAAGGGGTCAGTATATGCTTTGCGTGTTGGGCGAAACATTTTGGCAAGCGGTGGCCCAGAGAAGACAGTACGCTTGTACGATCCCCGAACGGGCAACAAGGTCTCCAAACTTGTTGGACATGTCGACAATATCCGGGCCATTTTAATCGATGATGCTGGCGACACAATTTTAAGTGCTAGTGCCGACAAAACTGTCAAGATGTGGAGTATCAAGAACGGTCGATGCATGTACACATTCACCATGCATGACGAGAGTGTTTGGTCGCTTTTCTCGGATGACCCAAGCCTCGGCGTCTTCTACAGTTCTGATCGCTCAGGTTTAGTAGCCAAAACAGATGTACGGGGCAGCCTGGAGGATATGGATGATGGTCTGAGTCTTGCTGTCGCCCATGAGCACATTGGGGTGTGCAAGGTTGTTGCTGCGGGAGGGCATATTTGGACGGCAACTAACAGGTCATCAATCAACCGGTGGGAAGACGTTGATCCTGGCACCAACATCCAGCTCCCAGAAACTGTTCAACGCCATCGGGCTGCATCAAATGCCTCCAATAGACCACGCGAGACTTCTCCCCCGGCTGTTAATGGGGTTGCCAAGAAGGAAATTCCTGCTGAATCTATTTTACGTATCTCTGCAGCTGCTTCGTTCCCCGCACGATCTGGGCCGGACCCCGATTCCACTACCATTACGGATGGCACAGCACATAAAGGGTCAGAGGCTATCATAGACTCTGGGGAGTCCGATGTCAAGCCAATACATGCAGTGGCCGAGGAAACTATTGAAGGACAATTCGGATTACTCAAACATAAGTTACTCAATGACAGGAGACGAGTTTTAACGTCAGATACTGCTGGCGACGTATTGTTATGGGATCTGATTCAGGTTTGTCTTATTTGTTATTGCATAGCGACATAACTGACTTTCGCAGTGCAAACCCATTCAAAGTTTCGGCAAGCAACATTTGGAGGACGTGGAGCACAACGTGAACACTGTGGAGGCTGTAGCTCCATGGTGCTCTATTGATCTCAGTTCCGGGAACCTTACTGTGGTGCTGGAACCATTCAACTGTTTTGATGCTGAGGTATATGCAGACGAGCTGGATCTGCCAGGAGCTATAGAATTCCGGGAAGATCAAAGGAGTAAGTACAACGGTGACGACAGGCAGGATATAGCTAACCTCTTCCAGTCAGTCTCGGAAAATGGATTCTTCGGTATCTCTTTGCAGATCTAATCGATGAGGAGATTAGAAGAGATGAGGCACACCGTCAGAAACTTAACGAGGGTATCGAGCCGAGGCAGATCGCTGTCGGGGGGGCTGCTGAAGCTGCACCGTTAACCATTTCGTTACCAAAGTCAATCATGCCAGACTGGGATAACGGGGATCAGGTCACCCCGAAACCCAATCTCAACCCTTATCCCAACACTCCTGGGTTAGGTATTGGTCTGGCCACTCCTGGCCCGAGCATCATGTCGGGTCCGAACAGCTTGCCTGATGTTCCTGAGAATGCTGCGACAAGTCCGATGACTCCTATAGAAAGAAGAACATCGCATGTCAGTCGCCCTTCAACGGAAAGGGAGGACTACTTCACCAGTCCCTTGCAACTACTCGAATCTGCAGCCAAGGCAGCGAGCATGGTGTCGACTCCGACACAGGACAATGCGGATTCAAAAAAGTCCATAGATGGTGGTGATAAAGAGAAAGATAAGGATAAGGACAAGGCTGACAGTGCAAAATCACCAAGCACTCCGTTTAGCAAGAAAAAGTTCCGAATGACATTTGGCACTAAAAAGCTTTCACGGTCGGGTTCTCAGGCCACCACAGAGAAGCCTGCTATCGTGGAGGAAAAGGCGGAAGAGTCTGAGTCCTCGTCTGTTCATGAAAAGGAAAAGGAGGTCGATGACAGTTTCTTCGGTGTCATTCAAAAGATCCATCAGGAATACGACCGTCAACTGGCCGAGAATCCTCACAAGCCAGTCGAGACTCGAGTGGTACCTAGTTTGGCTAACGATACACCCGTCCTGAAGCTCCCGTCGGGAACCAAGGTTGTGATCCAGGAAGAAACTTCAGGTGGCAGTGCCAACTTGTACCAGGGCACCGTCGAGAATATCGGCAAAGATGCTGATCTAATCGAGCAGAAGGCCCCTATGTGGCTAGGTGATGTTCTACTTCAGAACATAATGCCCTTCAAGGAGCCGGTCAAGGTTTCGTTCGTCCTATACCCTATGGATGACAGTCTACCAGCCATCACTTCAGCAGATGGAAACAACAGATTGAACGCAAATCGAATGTTGCGAGTCAGAAAAATTCTGTCATATGTTGCTGAAAGGGTTGAGCCTCCACTTGAGGAGCCTGAGGAGAATCCTATGAGGCCAGAAGAGTATCTAGAACTCTACTGTAATGAACAGGTAAGCACTCTTTTCCCCATCAAAATTGTGCAACTATAGTTCCCTGTTTGCTGACTTTGATATAGCTGCTGTCCCCTGTAACGACCCTAGCCACTCTCCGCACCCATCTCTGGAAGGGCGGCAATGATGTTGTCCTTCATTACAAGGCCAACGGCAAAAAGGAGATCCGACCTTTCCCTCCCCCTCCGGAACCTAAGCCTGCTGAGTCCGATGAAGCCCAAGAGGGCTCTGCTACAGAAGAAGCAACCACTAATGGTCAAGCTAATGCTCTGCCTCAGGCCCAAGCCAACTGAGTCGACAGCTTGTGGTGTTATTTATTGGACAAGGCGACAAGCGAGCTTCGAGACCTTTTGATACTCATGTTACTTTTTTCCATTACATATACCAAGAAGGTAGACTTTTGACTTCAGCGAGTCACTTTACCGTGTATAGATTTGTACAGAGGTTAAATGCCGTCAGGGCGTATATACCATTAGCGAGAAATTAAGTCTTTGTATCTTCATGTATCCCCTTGTGTCGCGATTAGCTTATCCCCAGAGTTTCATCGCCAAAGGAAGTCAACTATGCATTGTCCTACTTTGGTAACTTCGAACAAAGCCGTCTAAGCACACCATATTGTACAGTTCCTTGACTCCTTGCTCCATGATTTATATCATACAATGCCGCCAATTTTGTTTAATACATCAGCCTATTACACAAGACTGTTGTTCATTGTGTTGATAGCCCATTGATAACTTCCCAAGAAGATTGCGCCTCCGATAGAGATCCAAGTCACACGCGGTGCTATACCCGCAAAGAACGCTCTGCTACCTTCTTCTCGCATTATTCTACTGAACGCGTCTGCCACTGAGACGCTCTCCTTTGACAGCATAACCCTTGTCTTGAGAACATCGAGAGGCGTAGTCAGTGCTGCAGACAGTCCGCCAGCCATGCTTCCGTAAAGAGCGCTCTCAGCACCGGTCACTTCGCGACCACCACGACGGCGCTGACCCCAAGACTTCATGGCTTCCCATAGCGGGAACTGGATCACGGTGAAGGGAACCTCACGGAATACAGTAATTCCCCAGCCGCGATAGAGCTCGCGCCACATGGCTACAAAGCCCTGGGTTGAGTAGCGCGAGAGGATAGCCCGCAGAGCAGCAGCTGAAGAACCTCCATGATGTCCCGCCTGAGCACGCTGCTTGACGACTTCTGTCGGTACACGCACAGCGCAAGCGGCCACCTCGCCCGCACTAGCAGCAGCCATATGCGACACGGGAGCCTTCCACCCCGGCGCATTACCGTCCTTATCGGCCAAAAGACCCTTCACGCCCTCGTATGTGCAGAAGAAGAAAGCAGCGCCTGGCGCAGAGCCGACCAGGGCGGAACCGATACCGCGATAGATGCCGCTGAAACCACCAGAGGGAAAGAAGCCGGCCGAGGATTGGAGGCGGGTCTTGAGGGTGTCGAGAGGAAAGAGGGAGAGGTCGACGGTTGTTCCGGCGAGGGCGCCCGCGAGGAGGGCGGATTGGAAGGTCGGACGGTCTGAGGACATGATTTCGGCGGGTCGAGGGTGATTTTAAGGGAGGATCTTGTTGGAGGGAAGCTCCTGGGGAGTATCAATGGGCTATGCGAAGCCCAGAGGGAAGGGGGGAGAGATATAGAGCCTCGGAGGATTGGGCCGACCGAGACCGGCGAGATAATTTGATGGAGGAGCTTGAGATGGGCTTATCGATAAGAGGGTAGCTTTCAGTGAGGGGCATGGGAAGCTACCCTGTATTGCATCATTTGAGTGCATGAATCCTCTACTATCTAACAAAAGCAGTTGAAGAAGACGTTCGAGACAAGTTGTTCTTCTCATGCGTTATTTAATATTTGATTGTCATCTGAACTTTTTGTGGAGGTCGGCATAGAGATACTATAACTTAGTTACTGCTGTTTGCATTCGTTCCAAAGACAAGAGTTTAGCGTTTGGATCACAAGAAAATTGTGTGGTTGCACAACACAATAGGATAGTTCAAGCAAGTTCAAGCTCAATGATTGTCTAGAATGCCAAGCAAGTATAGACAACTACTTACTATTTAGTTGAAGCGCAGCTGGTGCAAGTTCAGCTGAGATCGACTGGGTGTCTAGTATGTGTGTAAATGTGGAGCAAGGTTAAGGTATCATCATCGAGACAGTTCTCATTAATAACTATTTTGCTTTAGACATCCTAGTCTATCTTCCGGTCCCTGTTAACTCCCAGAATAATCCATTGATCAAACCACGAACCGCTCATCAACATCCATCATATCGTAAGTCCACGTTTTACATGTTATCGCGCGTGCTAGTGCCGGCCTTGTGAGTCTCCTCAGCAGCCTTCTTGGTTCGCTCCTGGAGGTTCTTGATGTCCTTGGCAGGATCGGTATTGGATCGATCAGCCTTGACGGCCTCCTCGCTGTCAGAAGCGAGCTCGGGCTTCCAGTGGCCGCTGCCCTGCTTCTGCTTGTTCAGGGAGTCCTGCTTGTGCTTCTCATAATCGACGTCGGTTTCTACGATATCACCGTTAGAAAGCACTCAATTGGGTCGCTAGGAGGATAAAAACTTACGGCTGGATGACTCCTTGAGGCTGAGACGTGTTGATGTAGTGAAGAATCCTCGTCCCAGGATCATCTTGCTAGGTTGCGCAGAGCGCAGAGCCATCATGGATCGTGCTGACATCATTGTTGTGGATTGTGAGGAGTGAGTTGCTGTGGTATTTGATCCGTACGGTGTATGAAACGTTTAAAGAGATCAATTAGTTGAGAGAAGATGGAATTAAGATAGTGAAGGAAGATGGAGAGGAGGAGAGAGAAGCAGCCGCAGGGGGAAAGACCTCAAGAGCTTAATACTGTTCCCATCGGGTATCGACCATTTGCGGAGAGTGACGTCACGAGCATCATCAACTTTTTGCTATGCTTCCTTTACTCCTTGAAATGAAGATGCGTTCATTCCCCACAACGCCTACATAGTATGCTACCCCAATTGGGGCAAGAGAGTTGTTTTTTAACCTTTTGCCGAGGATGAACGAATGCCATGGTTTCTCTGGAGGTTGGTTTGGAGGATCCAATTGCGTAGCTATGGTTGATAATGAGCTGCTCTTTGCTTGTTTTGTGAGGTGGGGTTCAGGGGATATCAACTGAGCTGAACAGGTTGGTAGGTAGGCTGCCTTACTTCTGCGAGCTACAAGCTTTGTTATTTGTTTACCTCATATGAGACATACATATCAAGCAAATAAGGTCAATAATAAAGAATCCCATAGTGTGTAATAGTGTTACTCAACGGATCAACAGCTTTAATCAGTGCAACTGCTTGCAACACTCAATAATCCACTCATTTTGTAACTATACCATCACAACGTCAGAGCTGAGCTTTGCTTCACATAGTAACTCGTCATACCTGTCACTCGTTTCTTTGCACCATCACAGCATGTCACAGATGAAACTTCAAAGTGTTTGAACATTCGTATATTCTCGTCTCGCGGCGCTGAAGCCGCGGCGTCGCAACCAGACAGCGCCAATACCCAGTTAACAATAGCCACGCATATGCAGTCTACCGCTGCATCGCAAAACCAGGCGCGAGGGCCTCCCATAATCCCAAAAACCTCTTTGAATCTGATCATGACATGTATCCCAGGCCCACAACGCTCCAGATGCTTGCCCAGGCGAGACAAAATATTGTAAAAGAGACCTGTCCTACCAGGACCAGGCCAAACCAAGCAACGCTCCAAAGTATAAGCTACTCCGGTCCCAAAAACAAGTCGAGCCAGCACTGGTGCTGAAGCCCAAGCCATGAACAAGAAAACAAAAAGAGGACAAATATATAGGCCGTCCCAAGATGATACAAAGAAAACAAATGGGCAAAGGTGAACCTTTTGTTCCCGTTCAATGCAGCAGCGGGACAACACCAAGAATTCGACCAACTCCCCGTAATTTCCCAGATTCCGTCCCATAAGGGATACCAATTGTCGCAATAAACACCGTTCGTCTCGATCCTGACCACCGCCCAAAGATATTTCCAAGATGCGACCGATCAAATAACACCGGTAAAAACCCCGCTTGCGAAAAGCACTCCTTCTATGTTGTTCTTTTTCTCTTGTTGACTTCATAACCCATAACCGCGATGAGAGAAGACATTTTGGTATGAGTGAGACGGCCAGCCCGTGCCTCCCACCTTAAATGAAAACAATTGATGCCAAGAAAAACCGATACTTGTACCGCCAAACACCGATGCAATGTCGTCTTAAAATGCAAAGAACGCCCGTTCGTGTCTTGTAGCCCCATCTTGCGAGGCGGACACCCAACCCTAGGTATTTGATTTGTTGCAAAAATAACAAAATAACCAAGCCGAAAATGGTATCGATCTTTATCATGCCGTGCTAGTAATATCCTCATATAAACTTGTTGGTATAACAAGGAGTATGTCGATTAGGGGATGTTTGTACAGATGAGATAGTAATAGTGATGGTTGTCGGAATTGTTGTGACCAACAATGGGGACAATCGCGTCAAGCGATTACCCTCGAAAGCCTTGAGGAAACCAGCCCAGTAGATAAGATGATGCCAAGTTGAAGTCTCGGTCGGTCAAGATGCCCGTCAAGATGAACAGCTGCCAAGAACGAACGGTTGTGTTTACAATTCAAGGTGCACCGCCGGTGATGCGACACACCAGCCGGCCCATACAATGGGCGACGACCGGATGCGGCTTACCACCGACGCATCGACTGTTGCATCCTGCCAGGTGATACTGACTGGGGAGGGCTTGACATGGTAATGCCGGTAGCGGGGTTGATAATGGGAATGGCATTGCGGCCGCGGGTGGCCGAGGGCTGGTGAAGCTTCATGCTTGGTTGTTGCTGGTAGGTGGGAGGGATGAAAGCGGGAGATGTTGAGTTGAGAGAGAAGCCAGGAGCAACAGTGTTGGGGTGTTGCGTGGGGGAAGAGTCGGGCGAGTTACTGGCTAATGAGGAGCGCTCGGATGAGCTGGAAATGGAGACCAACTGATAACAATAGGTCAGATTGACGCGCTGGTAGACACAGCGGCAGGGCAACTCACGTCAGTCTCGGTCAACAGACCGGGGCAGAACTCCATGTCATCTTCAAGATCAAATGAGCGGCTGGTCTCAAACTTATTGCGGAAGGTCGAGAGGGAGGCGGTCTCGTTGAACTCCTTGATGCTGCGGACGCCGCGGTACTGGCGCTGAGCTTGTTGAGAAACAGAGAGGCGAGGAGCTCTGCGATTTCGACCACCGTGGTGGTTGTGCGACACAGGGGCGGGGTGCACTTGGTGAGCGTTGTAGTGGTAGTATGCAGACATTATGCGAATCGGAAAGCGCGTAGTCGTGGGAGATTCCGGAGTTGGTGCGGGATTAATTGGTTGAGATGGCGTAAAACACGAACAATCAAGACAAGTGCTTTAAGAAATCGTTAAGAGATTCGTGATAGACAAGATCCAAAAAGTCGCAGACAGAATATGTTGAGGTGAAGAGTATGTTTAAGAGGAGAGCAAGTTTGTTGGTTGCGGTAGATTTTTGGTAGATGAGAGATGAATTGTGGGAAATAGTGGAAGAGTGGGAGCGAAGCGAGGCGAGGTAGGTACGAAGGGAGGGGCGGAGTGGCATTGGAAGGTGACGGGCTGGCTTTGATAAGTAAAATGGAAGTGGAAGGACACCGGGGACGGCGGGCGACACCTGCTGTTGGTTGGGGACACTGTGAGCCCACTAGACTCCACTGAGTCCACATTCGAGCCCACATGAAGCGCCTGCCGAACAAGGAGATGAGGGTGCGACCCAGTATTGACAAATCATAGCCCGCAAACAGTCTTCGCCACTTTGTTATGATTGGCATTCGATGGGAGTAGCGTGTGCCACAGTGCAATCTTGGTGGCATGCTGCTAGCTGATCCTGGTCACTCGGGGTAGGGTTGTAGAAGACGGCACAGTTTATGATTCAGATTGCAAACACAGTACGGCCAGCGTGTTCCAGAGGCTAGACAGCACACGCTTCTGCTAGGGGGCTGAGTTTACGCTACTCGTCCTATTCTGGGCTCGCCTGCACACCTGGCGGTATCCGAAACTCAGCAGCTACCCAGCATGGGTGTTAGCCAATGCGCTCACACTCATCCCAGCCCAGTGTTAAAAGTATAACTGCGACTGTCAAGTCTACGGCCTCTCCATTCCAACTCCAGCCTCTGGGTCACTTGACTGTTCCCATCTTGTTCAGCTTTGTCCCTGCTGGTGCTGGCTCCAAACTTGGATCGTGAGAGCAAGAGACCAGAGACCAGGGCCCAGGACCCAGGGCTGCAAATGCTGGTCTAGTGCAGGGATGCGCATTGTCCATCAGGTGAGTGACGGAATCTGCTCTAGGTGCTCTGCTACGGCCTGTAACTTGCACTTCACCACACAGTGAGGGACCTCTTGGTCGTCTCAGTCTCAGGCACCATTTTGACCGCGTGCTCTTTCGGAACTGCTCCTCTCACTTCCCACTGCAATTCCCCTGTGCTAGCGCAGGAAAGCCCCTTTCTGACCGTCCCCTTCAGGGCTCTCGCAGTCGTGTACGGTAATTAGGCGCTATGCTCTTGTGCAGCATGCTAATCTTGTCAATTGATTGGATTGCGTGCCTGTTTGTTTATTGTTGACATGCTGGAGATTGTTATTACCCACTGCTTTGGCGCTTCATTCAAAGGTGAGGTTAAAAAAAGGATCGGAATTTGTGTTTCTCATTTATAATGCTGGATGATCCCCCCACAGTCTTTCATTACCACGTCGCACATATCTGATATGGTATACTGAGACGATTGAGGCACGGTATAATCCGGTACTGGATACTCATCGTTCTACTACTGAAGAAGGATCCACGAGTTAAAGGTGAGGTGCAGTCACTCTCAAGTGCGTGCAGTTCAATGCCGAAACAGCCCCAGTCACAAACGGGCAGTCCATCCATCGACCATCGCGGGACGGGAAGGGAAGTGAACGGGAAGGGCAGGGCTGGGCTTCTGTCGTCCAAGTTCCAACATGACATGGCATTGGATATCGGGCGGCGATGGCTCAGGTGGATTGGTGGGTAGGCGGTGGTAATGAACTGGCGATGGCGGTACCTTGCGAGGCAGTGAGCACTAGGCCCCTCTGCTCTGCACGCACTGCACTGTGCATGACCGTCCATGGAGCCATCCAGCAGAATGAGAGGGAGGGTTGGAGTCAGCTGTGACTGGGCGGCCTCGAGACCCTTCCCTGAACATGGATACATGGGTCCGTTGGAAACGTGGCGGGCTGGGCTGGATGAAGATGCTGCACTGTGCTATTCTGTCATGGCCCCTCCTATCTGCAGATCGCACTGCATCACATCACGTCCTTTTTCTCTTTGTTTTGTTATTGTGCCCTGGACAGCTGTCGAATGAGAAGCTGTTGATAATCGACACTGTTTCCCCAATCGTCGAACCATTATCAAAACAGACTCAAGGGTTCGCCGGTTGCTGAATATCGCCACGAAGGCAAAAATGGGTGAGAGAGAGACCAGCATCATTTCCTGGCTTCTAGAAGGGTTGTGTGACGTGATATGCCTCTGGCTTGTTTGAACCAACTTGTTCTGTAGGGTAGCGATTTTGAGGCATGATGGTGATCAGAGCCCAGACCTCCACGTCCAAGACCAACCTCGTTTGAAAGAAGAGGTTGAACATACATGCAGACATGGAAGTCCAGGCTTGGAACACCACAGCACAGTGGCGTTGTGTTGGCGTTCTTCTTCCAGGGTAGGCTCATACACACGCAAGCCAATCCCAGCCATCAACCCCAACCCACAAGCACAGTTGCAACTGTTCCTTTCTGCGAATCTGTATGCACCCGCGTGGGCTGCATTCAATCAATTGCACCGTTGGACCCTGTAGTTTTACTCTGCTACTGTAGAGTCGCCCTGCCCGAAGGTCTGTTTCTTGGCGAGACGCTCCACGCAACCCTCACGCAGGAACTCGTTGACGGCCATTAGCGGTCACACCGTTGCAACCCTTTTGCGGGCGTCTATCAAAGAAACCGACAAAAGATGTTAGTTATGGATATGCACGACGGTCTGAGAGTATGCATTGTGTCGCAGAAACCAAGCCTGTACAAAGACGCCGCTATCAAAGATCGTCGTTGAATATACGTAGTAGATGAGCATTAACGATAACGGATAAGCAAGTGACGACGGCGGCAAACAGTGCAATACGGCATTGGTCTTTTACTGATGCATATCGTCAATCGTTTCATCATTTCTAGAGGTTGTCTTGCCGCCAGCCTCATCTTATCTTAGGTACCAAACGGGTTCTCATCCTATTCCGCTTCTGCATAGAATGCATCACACCATCTCAATGCCGACAAAAGATTATCGTTATCTTACTCCATGTGTGGCCTCTGATGCTACATGATAGATGAGAGATGATACAGTACCTATTTGCTGTTGTACTGCCCTCTGGCGCAATCCAGCTTCTCGATCTAACCGAGATCGTGGTTGGCCTCTCAAGCAAGCACCCTGCCTCAGCGTCCAAGCGTTCCATCAGGCAGTTCGGAGTACCACGCCACGAGAAACCTCCCCAGGGCTCTTGTGTCATTTGCTAGGACACCATGCGAGGGGATGGCTGCTGTCTAATTCGGGCGGGCTGCGAAGGCTTGTTAGCGGGAGGTTTAAACCTGGTGTGGCCTTGTCTTGCATGTCCTGCTTGTCTTGTTTTCTTTGATCGGTTGGGTCCTGGCTTCGCCCATGCCGATCCTTCTTCAACGTGCGTGCGGGTGGGTGACCGTTCCTGGAGAAAGGGTCCAAATACCATCCCGAAATAACGCGAGACGCTCAACCGAATGCGTTGCTTTCCGTTCCCTAGCGCAAAGCATGCCATATTGCTAGACGAGTTGAATATTAGCAGAGAATAGCAAACTAGTCGTAAAGTTAAAACTGGCAGAGTCAGACTCACTGACTGACCAAAACATGCTCATTTGGGGATAGATACCCTGAAGGGTTCGAAAGACAAAGACTTGGGTCTGTGTGCCTTGGATACAATCCCTGTTTAGATGGGATGCTCAGACCTTCGGCATTCAGACCTCTGAAGCAAGAGTGATTGACTCACGAGAGACATGTTGACAGAAAGGGTAAAGTCGAATAAGTGATCTGTTTCCAAATTCCATTATTATGGAAGCCCGCTTGTCCCTTGGACTAGTCGTTCTCTTGGTCTGCCCACGTTGACGCAATCAGCCATGGATGGGGATGCCTAGTCGCACGACCCATTCCTCCAACCGTGATCTCAGCATCGACGACAAGATGCACGCAACTGCTCAATCACAGTTGTTTAAACCGTTCATCACGGGTTTGTGACCCCTCTTAATATCATGAGACGAAGTCAATTATATGATGCACACGGCGTGCCATATGCAACAGCCACACCGCCATTCTTCACCGACGATGGGCTGTTCTATGTTGTCGGCTGGGGCGCTTCTCTGCGAGACGACTCGCTCGACCTGTCTCTGTCTCACCTGGCGGAGAACAAAGGAATAGTTAGACAGGGCCCTTCTTTGAAAAGTCCGAGCTCAGCCTCCCTTGCTTCAATGCGACTCACCCCGCGCGCCACAATCTGTGGAGAAACGGCGACGGCTGACTCTGAGGTATCATTGTGACTTTCATGAAAGCTTTTGGCCCTGATTTGTTAGTCGTCTATCAACCGTCAATAAGGCAAAACAAAACAGAGAGCATCAAGACAACCCTTGTATTGATTTGAAGTCTTCCTCATCCGAGCAGGTAAAAAGGTGGTCTAGTAATGTGAAGCTCTGATGTCTATACATAACTAATTTATACAAAATGTATCGAATCCACTACACCACCGTTTCTTTTCCCTTCTTAGCCTGTGCTTGTTTCAATCACTCTACCTCCCCTGCCAGACATATCCGATAACTGCTCCTGCAGACTGCACATCTCTGCTTCCAATTCCTTGGAACTAGTCGTTCGTGAAGCGTTGTCGAAATCAATAAGCGTTGCTCTGCCAGCATGAACAAGAAAATTGTGCTTGTTGATATCACCGTGCTTGATCCCTATGCGATATAGTTTGGACAAAGCCTGGTGGCATAGAGCGAAGTCGTCTGGCGTGGCATGACGATAATTTGCAATGCGAGCCACAACAATCCCAATTACTCGACCCTCCTCTATTAAGTGGCCAAGAAAGCTTGGTCCAATCGGTTGGCCTTCTATCCACTGGTACGCTGTTGTCTCTGCTTCCAGTTGAGGCACCTCCCAGGGGAACCGGGCGAATTTGGCAGTAACTGGCGGGTTGAAGCGAGAGGATGTGGCCTCGTAGACGTTGGAACGAAGTTTTTGGCCCATCTGGAGATCCAAATGATCAATACGAGTGGTATGCCAAATGTTGACAACTCCAGGGAGATGTGCCCTCGATACGGCGGAAAAACAAACTGCTCCTGTCACAGGATCCTCCGAGATGCGGCCTTGATTCCAGGCCTTGTCTGGAAACTGTGGAAGCAAGGAGAATAGAGTAGGACCAAATGCCATTTCATCTATCTCAAACAGACCTGCGTCGATAGTGAGATATTTGACAAATCTTTTGTCCACGAGAATTCGAAATTCGCTCTCGCTATCTGCATCGATGCTTGCTTGAAGCAGCTGCAGGTCAGGTACATGGTCTTCCATTGCTTATTCGAGACTCAGTTATGATACCTCGTTCCCTGCTTAGATCGTAGTTGTAGGAAATAGCAAGTAAGAGAAAGAAAGAGCAACGTAGCCGCCAGCTTATGGTCTAAGCGCCGTGTAGAATATTGTGAGGGGTAGTATTCTTTGTTTTCCATTCTCAACAGCCTCAACTCGGCTATTGGTTTAACAGGTTGATTCCTTGTCTTCAACGTACTTTATAGCTGTGGCTGGCTACACAATTCTTTTGACTATACTGTCATTAGTTTCCACTCATCAGTGGCTGATACCAGATGCTTCTGCTTTTGAATTTAGTTGTCCTTCAACTGAGCCACTGCAGCCTACCGCTCGACAGGATTCTCGTGGCCATCGATCCTTGTATACTATTCCAACTTGCTAGTTATCGAACTGGTGGCCGCAGCATGCTATAGCCTAGATCCTCAGAATCCTTATCCCTACTATTTCCATAAGGATCGGGATGAATTGACTTGGGAACTATCCAGATCGTGGTGATAAAAAGATAAGAAAAGACTCCTTATATGACACACTCGGGACAGAGAGTGCGTCAACAACCTGGTGACTCTATTTGTCCCAAGCCTGTTGTTCAGCCGAGTGAGGGCAGTAAACGTAGTATTGATTAGGAATTTGAAGAAAACTTGGCCGGGATGCAGTAATATCAAGTAGCGAGTTGGACAATATAACATCGAGGCGTGAGCATAGTGTCAAATCCGAGGCTCTAGGACCCTCTATGTCTGTGACGTCGCTTTACCAACTATGAGATTTATGCCTCGGACCAATATCTTTATTGACCATCGATACCAAGTTGTTCTAATATTATGGCCTGAGGCTCTTTACGATTTGGAATCATTTGTCACGACCCACAATGGATTGTTATATTCAACTACTTGCGCCTGTTCTAAGAGTCATCCGTATAGCGAACATATAGATATTCGGGTCCGATCTCGGCTTGAACTTGTTAATCTATATGCATATTAGAGCCCGATGTAGAATTTTGACATCCGGAGCATGGTGGTTGGGCGATTGTTGTTGTTGAGACGAATGGCAAGAGGCTTGTATCGTTTCTTAGCCAATATGACTTTATGAATTCCTGTCCAAGTATGGAGATAGTAGACAGTTATGAGGAATACGTAAAATCCTTTCAGAAGAGACCATACTGGATGAGGCAGGTAGCTGATTTTCTCAGTCATGTATGTAATTGAGTCAATTCTAGATCCATATCGTTGCGGATAATACGGCTACGAATGTCAGGCCCTGAGCTTCGGGCTTCAGAGCTGGAGTGGGCCACTTTAAATTCTCCAACACCTCCTCCAATTCTCGGCTTTTTGGTCTTCTTACTGTAACTTCCAACACAGCCTGATCATTCACAACAAATCGTCATGGATTGGCTACAGATTACGGACAATTATGCGCCGGCACGCATGTTGTTCATCGCCACCTCTGTGATACTCCCCATCTTGCTTTTCCTCGTTCTCTTTCGCAATACCGGCAGTTCGTCTGTCGTCAAGTCCTTACCTCCTCTCCCAGCCATTGACGAGATTGTACGCCTGCGTGTCTACCCAGTGAAGTCATGCCGTGGGTTCGATGTCAAGTCAACTCAGCTTCTACGAACGGGCCTGGATCTAGATCGTAATTGGATGTTTGTTACTGCGGTGAAGAACGAGTTCATTACTATCAGGACAAATTCAAAGATGACTCTTATTCGTACGGCTTGGGACATCGACACCGACACTCTCACAATTTCTTTGAATGAACATAAAATTGAGATACCCGCTCATCCTACGACCCAATGGCTCGAGAACAACACTGAATTGAAGAAGGCAGGTATCTGGGGCGAGCAAACTGATGCTTGGGAGTATTCGGCCAGCCTGACCAAACCTATCTCGGAGTTCCTAAATATGGACATTCGCTTGGTGTATAATGGCCCTACGCCTCGAATTTTGCGTGGCAGCGGAGCTCCTCACCGTCTTGGCCGCACTGAGGCCACCAACTTTGCCGATATGATGCCTGTCCTGGTTAGTACTACATGCTCCCGATACGATAATGTATTTGAAACAGGAGCTGATGTGAGACTGTTGCTAGGTTGCTTCTATGGCGAGTATGAATGAGCTCAACGACCGCCTCGCTCAGGCTGGGGAGGATAATATCGACATTGAGCGCTTCCGGCCAAACGTTGTCATCCGCGGAAGCACGCCTTGGATCGAGGACGGGTGGAAGACTTTGCAAATCGGTGAGGGCGAGCACCGCCTCGACCTCGATGTGGTGTGTCGCTGCCTTCGATGCCAGGTTCCCAATGTCGACCCAGTCACTGCCGATAAACATCCACGCCAGCCTTGGAACCAACTGATGAAGTACCGAAGGATCGATGCCGGTCTCAAGTTCAAGCCAAGCTTCGGCATGCTCTGCGCGCCAAGTGTCGAAGGACATATTGAAGTTGGAATGAAGTTCCAGGTTACGGCTATGACGAATGATCACTTCTTTATCAGCCCGATGAAGTAGGTTGGAACGCTTTTATAGATAAAACCCGGTGAAATAGTTGTAAAAAGCTAGGATATGTTCATATTCTTGAAAGCCTGCAAGTCTAGATCTATTTCATAAGGTCATGATCGTATGTAGGAAAACTATACAAAAACCACTTGCCTCCCAAGACGCCGTTGGGTATCAAACCTAGTCTAGTAACACTTCACCCCGTGCTATTCTTTCAAAAACATCGATAACGTCGGACTCCTCCAACACCTGACTATCACTCTTATCAAACATTTGAATCCCCTCACCAGACGGCTTGAAGATAAGCGCACCGTTTGAATCCTTCTCATCAACTTGTATAAACCCTAGTTTTGAGCCCAAGGATTTAGGAACGAGAGCACACAGAAATGCGGTCAAGTCTGGCATGGAGTATTGTTGGTCGGGGTATTTATCTTCCAGGCAAACTTTGTTTGTGACGATGTCGATGGGGTCTTCACGGCAATTGAAGCCCAGAATTCGCTTCTCTAAGCAGTGTCCTCCAATATGTTTCAAGCCTAGTGCCGAGTACTTTATACTTTGCGCTGTGTGTGAAGGTACGACCGTGAACTGTGAAAACTCTGTGGATCGTTCCAGGACAGTCTTGGCAGCTTCTCGGTTGAGGGCGATATTGAACTGATTAGCGAATAGATTCGCAGACATATCGCAGGAACCCTGGATCTTGTTAGTAACCATACGAAGAGGGAGTTTTGCATTCTGAGACTCACCACTTGCAGATGACATTTCATCTTATCGGCTACACCTCTCTCAAGGAATTGCCGGAGAATTCTCAATGATGACCCTCCAAAGAAACGAACGGTTGCCGCGGTTTTGATTTCCTCGCACACGAAATCTAAATCAAGGGGTTGAACAGATGTATTTGAACTGATTTCTTCGTGTTGAATTCTCCTTACACATTTCTCGTACCAATAGTGTAGGCTCTGAGTCCTTTTGAGGAAAGGTTCCGTGAGAATATCGTTGTATGACTTGAGCTCATCTTCGCTGCGATTAACGAGTTCTTCATGATGGTGAAAGTTAAGATTGACAGGATTATCGATCTCTTCTAGACTATCGAAGTCCACGAAAACTTCGTTAGAAGCGTTATTTGACCACTGAGCAAGACACGATGCGAAGTCCCAAGCAGTAAGCCGGCCGTGAAGCATAGCATCCTTCCTTGAGCCGAATTCATGCCTGACAGCCATTTCTAGCTATGTTTAGGATCAGTAAAGATGAAAGTATGCTTATTCAAGGAAGATCAGCCTACCAGTTCCCGGTCAGATTCTGTTAGGCCGCTGATGCTATCAAGATGGTTCTGATTGATAAGCCCACCCAAGAGAACCCTGAAAGGATTCCCAAGGGAGGCAAAGTGTTGTTGTATCAAATCCTTGCATTTAGATACTTGCTCTGCCGTCATAGATAGCCCAAAGCACACCTGACGAGGCTCCAAGATCCATAGCACGCGGGTGTTTGGTCTTTGGAATGTTGCTCTGAACAAGGCCATGGCAGCGGCCAAGTTGTCCGAGTCGATGGAGTCATTATAATAAATAATGAGATTCTCACTCATTGTGGATGTTTCTCTGCTGCTATGTCTGAGCTGATGGTCTGTCTGTGTCTGATGCGATTGCGCTGAAAGTTGATGGGGGTTGTGAGAGATTTAAGAATCAAAAAGGCACTTATGGATGTTTGAAAGAATGGCCACAAGAGGGAAGGGAAGCCTTGAGGCTGTTGGTGGTTGGTGGGCTGTGCAAGAACGGGCGGCTGTAAGTAAGCCAGTGTGTGCCACTTAAAAAAAACTGCCCCGCGAAGCGCCTAGCCACGCGAATGATTAACGCCAATACCTACTGACACATAGAGTCACAGGCTGCAGCCTTGTACCTGACAATGTGATATATGGGGTGGGTAAGGGTGATTAATGATGTTCTGAGGCAGTTTGGAAGTTGTTTCATTGCCTCCTCCAAGCCACCTTTTTCTACATTTGTTCATCTATCAGAACCAACTAACACGGAACTAGCAATGCCCGGACCTTGATCCCCGTCACTCTTTGTTAGCATAACGTGGTTAATCATGCAATCAATTAAACTGAAGTTTATCGATCTGGAAGGATACTTCCTGTTCACGATCCACAGAAGAGATCACCCTTGGAAGAGGGTGGCACAATCCCATCACTGGGCTCATCACCGTCCACAGTCTGGTATCATGTGGCCAGGGCAAACAACCTTCTTGTTTCATTGCTCTAGTCAGGAAGTGAGCCTTTGGATCACACTTTATATGCTACTTATAGAATAACTGTAACTTTTTGTTCAGAAGGATACTCTTAGACACAGATTGTTGGATTGCGAGCCGTGATGCAAGACTGTCAATACATTATGGTGAGTTACAGACTCTTAGTACTAAAATGCGTGAACAAAAGCTGCCGTTTTATCCGAAGCATATTCAGAACTACTTTGGATTTAGCTCTAGTATAAAAATTTTGTCATTTGTCCTAGCCTAACGCCGTACCCTTGCGTGGATGCGGGCGTTTTTGGACCAAGATGCTTTGAAATTCTTCGTATTCTCACGAACCCTATTCCTAATTAATTAACTTGATGCCAGCAAGGCACAAAGCTAGTGTGTTGTAGAGGCTGTGTATAAGAGTGGTGCATTCCGGCTAATGTACTAAGTATATGGAGTTGAGTGTGGTTCTTCGTTGACCGACGAGACTAAGTCCAGTAACTTCAAAAGTCCCTCGAAATTACATCCTTCATGATCTACTAGATAACAAGTTTGTAAATTCTTCAAGTTCTTAGCCGGTTTCTTTTAAATGGACTATCTAGGAGGGAGCCCAGGCATGTGAACACTGAGTTGTACACAAAAACCAAGCGCCGTAGTCACTTCTTCTTGCCACACTGAATACCAAAAAATTGCAGCAGTTGCCACCCATCTCATGACCCACAGGCATGGAGGGTCCTCAAGTGACTGTAAACAAGCAAGTAAGTCATAACTGGAGTCTCGATCATGGCCCGAGTTCGTAGCCAAGGCCGTTGATACTGGTCTCCCTGGGTCTGGTCCTGCACCGCCACAAATACAACCCACAAGTCTTAGCCAGCTCACCTCCCCGGCTGGATACTAACACAGGCACTAGAAGTTGTATGCCTAGATAAGGATGGATCAGACTGTTATTGGAGTAGTCTGGTCATGCCCAAGGGTTTCAACCAAAATCTGGTCTCATACACATGCCCGTGCTCTCCGAATACGCAAGGAGTAATATTGTTGACGATTAGCACAAAAGTGTACTGGGATTGTGACAGTTTGAGATGGTGTGTGGGAATAATTCTTTTTTCTTCAAGTAGTATTCACTGTATAAAAAGTGCTATTGCAGTTCGGTAGAATAATTCCGGCGTCTAAGTAGCCACCCTAGCCTTGCAGGATCTATCACCAATCAGCCACATGACCCTTTCGTGTGGCGGTGTCAGCCTTGCGCATTCTCCTCCCTCCAAACTTATCCCAACAAACCTTCAACAGCTTGATGCTGTCGCATAATATCCTCTCGCCATATTCATACTCTGACAGGACAGGCGCCTTTATGGACATTTAAATATGTCAGCTAATTACTGGTCCTCGACACAATGTCGCTTCTGGCACTTCACAAAGGAGCAGCTCGCGACAATGCGACAGAAGCTTGAAGACGACAATGCGGAACTCGTACGCATGTTTCCACTACCGCAGCAGCGCCACCTGAACATATACTTTAACCAACGTATGCACCTTATTTTAACCTACTCTGAGTGTATGGTGTCCGATCGCTGACTTTCTCGCGCAGAGTTGATACGGTTGGCCAAGCGACTGACGATTCGACAACAATCCATGGCTACAGCGCAGGTCTACATGAAGCGATTCTACTCCAAAGTAGAGATCCGTCGGACGAACCCATACCTTGTAGTAGCGACCGCGATATACCTTGCCTGCAAGATAGAGGAGTCGCCTCAGCATATCCGGCTCATCGTCACGGAGGCTAGACAAATGTGGGGAGATCTTGTTGCCATCGATACTTCCAAGCTGGGCGAGTGCGAGTTCTTTATGATAAGCGAGATGCGATCACAACTCATTGTGTTCCAACCCTACCGAACCATCACAGCCTTGCGAAGCGAACTATCCCTATTAGAAGACGAGGTGCAGCTGGCTCGGTCAGTGATCAATGATCATTTCATGACCGATCTTCCTATGCTATACCCCCCGCATATCATCGCAATGGTGGCTATCCTGCTGGCTTTGGTGCTAAGACCTAATAGCTCTGGCCCTGGTCAGAGCACTTCAGGAGCAGCGGCAGCAGCAGGACTTGCGGCGGCTCAACAGGCGTTGATGCGAGCACAAGGCCAGCAAACCCCAGGCGGAATACCAGAAGCTGCTGCTGCAGAACCTAAGGAGAAACAGCAGCAAGCACGAGTATCCCGCGTGCAAAGATTCGCGAAATGGTTGGTCGAAAGTAACGTGGAAATTGCATCCATGGTGGATGCTACGCAGGAGATCATCTCCTTTTACGAGTGCTATGAGCATTACAATGATAAGCTCACACGGGAACAGATCAATCGTTTTGTCAAGGCTAGAGGTCTAGACAAGTGATGACAGGTGGGGAGACATGAGAAACGAGACATGAAGGAATTATGGTGGGTTTTGCATTTGGGGGCATTGCGTAGCTTTGGTTTGGAGTTTGGGCGTCGAAGTCATATCTGATTTAAGAACAATAGTTATAGACGTTTGCATATTCTCTTCATAAGGCTGAATCGATGGCTTTCTTTTGTCAAGAAACCTGACGCCACAGCCACAACCACAATCCCAAACCACTTCAGCTTGATGCAAAGCGTTTAGGATTTGGCCAACATAGAATCACCAATCAGGTCCAACTTGAGACTGGAAAATTTTGACAGGACCCTCCAGGAAGTAAAAATCCACCGTCGATTAATTAATTAATTTTCAACTCGCTGATTTGTAAATCATGTGAATGTTTGTATCCATTCTAGAAGAAAATCATTCAAACTTCAAGTTTATGCCGAGACAGAGCGAGCCTGTTAGCAGCTAGAGACAGCTAAAGGATAGCTCAGCGGGTCCTTCCGGGCCACTAAGCATAATACAGTGGCTCTGATTGACTGCATCCAATGCCCAGCGGTCCAACAGTGCCCGACAAGCCCAGGGGCGGCTTCTGATAGCCACCCCGGCCGCCCGGACCTTGACGGACGGAGCTTAGCTCCACTGTAGCATCTGGTACATTTTTGAACAAGCCCCATACCAGCAAAACATTAACCTGGTTTGGGGGGGTTTCCTTTCAGCTACCAACGTCACAGCTCGTCAATTGGCATTTCAACACCAGCTTTTCCTACCCAACCCGACCTTAATCCTGCGACAATTCAGCCATGACCTCCCGGTAACCCGATAACACTCCCGTCGAAATCGCTGCTTCTCGTTCTTATCTCACGACTCGACCAAGACGACACGACTCTCCCGCAGCGCAGGGCTTTTTGCGCCTGTTGCGCCCGCTGAACCCGAGATCTTGCCGAATCGAGATATGCAACCAGCGCAGCTACAACCTTCGTCATGAGCGTGACCAGCATTGTTGAGGAAGTTCAGGAGGAGCTTAGGGAGCCCCAAAACTCTCGCGATGCTCGCGTCGAAGAGCTCTGGGCAAGCCTCGAGCCTGATCATACTGGCGAGCTTGACCTTAAGGGTTTGAGGAAGGGGCTTCGGAGGATTGATCACCGTAAGCGAGAGCCCCTGTTGGCCCACGCTTGATGAAGATACTGATGAGCGATTACAGCCATGAAGAATGCCGATGACATGCTGAAGCGTATTATGGAAGAGGTAGATCAGGATGGCGATGGAAAGATTCAATACAACGGTACGCAACTCTGTCTACTTTGACTCGACCGCTCTCCGATTCTCCGATATTGCCTCGGTAGCCACGACCACGATCTTGAAAGCTTACTTTTTTGCTCTTTCACAACCTTTAGAGTTCCGAAAATTCGTTGAAAATGCAGAGCGACAGCTTTTTGGCCTATTTAAATCAATTGACAAGGACGGGAATGGAAAGCTGGACAAGAACGAGCTTCAGACAGCTTTCAAGCACGCCGGACTCACACTATCGAACCGCCGCCTTTCCGAGTTCTTTGACGATATGGATATCAACAACGATGGTTATGTCACTTTCGACGAATGGCGGTCAGTTTCTTCCCTTCAGCTGTCTCAGAGTGCATTTCCCCTTCTATTTTCCCAAGATTTCCTCACGGATGTCAGTCGCGCATCCCGTCAGATGTTCATAGCCCATGACTGATACTCAGTCATTTTGGCGGGGGACAAACCACATAACGTCATGTGCCAAGCCCAAGCGCCGCCATGCGGGAATACAATTGCGACCACTTCCTCAAGTCGAGATATCATTTGGAGCTTTTAGCATTTAATCAGGGACTTTGCAGCTGATCATGAACTCTTAGAAACTTCCTCCTATTTATGCCACCTCACGATCACGACTCTCAGCTTCATGCCGTCCTTGACTTTTACTATTCCGTGGTCAGCGTGACCCCAGAAGGAGACACACTTGTGAGCGAGGAAACATTAGAGGGCTTAGGTACGGACGGCTTCCGCTCTCTTTTCATCACCCTTTTCGGCTCTCTTCTTAGAGTCGCTTTCCCCTTCGATCCTCCAAGACCTATACCCGACCGGACATCGACTTCCGCCAGCCAACCCGACCTCCCAAAACCGTATGAATCTGCGACCCAGACCGAGAACATGGCTACCGCCGCCGCGGTATCATATCCAGACTACGATGATTCAGCTACCGAGATATCGCAGGAGGTCGCAGAAACGCTAACACTACCCGTCGACGATGGCACCCATGAACCTATTACTGGAGCTTCAACAACAGTGCACAAGAAGTTTAGACTAACACAATTTATACCTGATCCAGGCTACTTTTTGGCTGGTGCCATCGCCGGTGGAGTGTCGCGTACAGCTACTGCGCCTCTCGATCGATTGAAGGTTTATCTGCTCGTAAACACAACGATTCGTGCCGAGACAGCGGGTGCGGCGCTCAAGCAAGGTCGCCCTATCGCTGCCCTGAAGAATGCAACAAAGCCATTTGGTGATGCTGTTCGAGATCTCGTTCGGTCAGGGGGAGTTCGAGGTCTCTTTGCTGGTAAGGCTCGCAAAACAAAACATGCCTAAGTGTAATTGAAGACTAACAAGACTAGGAAATGGTCTCAACGTCATCAAGATTATGCCGGAGACGGCTATAAAATTTGGTTCATACGAAGCTGCAAAACGGGCCCTTGCCAATTTCGAAGGTCATGGGGATCCCAAAAAGCTCAGTTCATGGTCAAAGTTCGCCTCTGGTGGCTTTGCTGGCATGATTGCACAGTGAGTTTGATCCGAGTATTAAGCGATTCGCAAACTGACCATCAATAGGGCTTCAGTATATCCTCTTGATACTCTGAAATTCCGCCTGCAGTGCGAAACCGTTAAGGACGGCCTGCAAGGAATGGCTTTGGTTCGCCAAACAGCCGTCAAAATGTTCGCAGATGGCGGTGTACGGTCGTGCTATCGAGGATTAACAATGGGACTTGTGGGCATGTTTCCCTACAGTGCTATCGATATGGGCACCTTCGAACTACTAAAAAAGTCCTACAAGTCCTACTATGCTAAGCAGGAGAACCTCCACGAAGACGATGTCAAGCTGGGAAACATCGCTACTGGAATCATCGGAGCTTCCTCTGGAGCCTTTGGAGCTAGTGTTGTTTACCCCTTGAACGTGGTTCGGACACGACTCCAGACCCAAGGCACGGCCATGCATCCGGCAACATACACTGGCATCTGGGACGTGACGAAGAAGACGATACAGCGAGAAGGCTACCGTGGCTTATACAAGGGCCTTGCGCCCAACCTCTTGAAGGTCGCGCCCGCCCTAAGTATCACTTGGGTGGTGTACGAGAACTCAAAGAGAATTCTCGGATTGAACTAGACGTTTCAACTAGCCGCAAGAGAAAAACAACAAACACATGAAACTCTGGGTAGTCTGCTCGGATTTCACAATCAATATTTACTATACTCACGCAACAAATTTCATACGAACATTCAGGAAAGCGAGGATCTTAGCGATTGGATGGCATTGCGTAACGATGGGGGATTTTTTCGGCGTTGACGGGATTGACATATCAGAGGAGGACGGCCAGGTAGCCGTTGTCAGCGGATAAGGTGATGTTCCGGCTCATACTACAAGTTTCTCATTTTTGGAGGTGCTGGAGTCGGCGGTTAGAATCGAGTGAATATGTCTTTGCTCAAGATAGAAGCGCGTATAAGAAGAGACGTAGGTCTTGTGATACATCCACCAGTTTCCTTGATTGGGCTTCAAACGATTGCAGGCAATGTTCGTAAAGAGAAAGGAAGAAAATAGCTAATGAAGATCTTTGGTTTTCTGACTTATTCATATACCCCGTTCATGTCCAATGCGTAAGATCGAAGTGCTTTGTGACTGCAGAGGATGCTAAATGCCAACCGCAGGGCCGGAGCCGGAGCCGAACATATGGGGCCGTCCCGACGCCATGGCTCCACGCTATCGACCGTGCTTTCGTCCATTCGATGAGGGGTGATTTCTCTCTTTTTGGTGCAGTTGACCATATAAGCTTATCGGAGAGGTTAATGAACTTTGATTCCGGATGAGAAACGTTTGCGGATATGGTCGAGGACGGATCCTATAATGAAGAGCGTGGTATCAGTAGAGGTCTCATTCTTTTGATCGCAGATCCTAGCTTAGTTGGAGTAGCCCAACCAAGAAATACTCGCTGTCAATCAGCCCTATCAGGGTTATTCCCAAGCACTCGACGTCGTCTTCGTGCTTTTAGGACTCGTCCATGTTGCGTCTCCTTCCACAGGCTGTCGTCACCCACATGTCAAGAACTCGCGGCCTTTGCTGCATGGCTTACGCAAGAGCGCAACCACAACTGTCGGATGAATTGAGCTTGCACAGGAATGGCAGCTCACAGGGATGGGAGAGAGAGCTGCGGGGTTGGAGCTTTGGAGGGGAACTTTTGTAGAGTGAGAGAGGATCCTTGCTAGAGCGGGAGATGGGGAGAGATAAGACGAGGGAATGGCGAATAAGCTTGAGGAGATTGTGTTTAATGAGGATGAGGAAAAGGCATTGAGCAATTGCGCGGCTTGTATCTGTGCAGATTCATCAGCCTTTTCTGCGACTATTACTCCGCTTCATATGTGATCTTACCATGAGACTTCACTTCAGCTCACCCCGAAAGCGGCCATAGCGTGATCGACCAACGTCTTTACATGATCAAATTGTTTCGTTGAAGCAACGTAACCGAGTGAAAATCTCATTGTCTAGTGTAGAATGTGTAGTGCAGCACGACAAGGTAGAAAGAAGTGAACCTGTAAGCAAGACCCGTTCCCCTCTTTTCTGTTCCTCCGTGCCGCAGCTCAACTTCATCTTTCTTGTCCTGTCTTCGTTTCGTCTCTCGTAAAAAAAAATAAAAATAGTCACCTCACAATTATCTAGCGACAGACGGAGTGAGCACGCCCATATTCCATTTTTGTGAATATTGCGCGTACGCATTACCTCCTTTCTTTTGCAAGATTATCTTACTCTTACACGAATTACACCCGGGATTGTTCTGCATTGTCTTACACGCCCCCAGGTCCATCATCATACGCCCGTAGCAACGAACCAAGATCGAGACAGAGAATGCCGGCTCCTTATTCTGACAATCTCTATTCTGCCGACTCTGACGATGAGCCTGATGCTCTCTCGCCAACAGACGGTTACTTCCACGCGTCTGAGTCGTCATCTCGCTCTGGGCTGAACGTCCCGCACGTCCCAAACGTGCTCGTTGAGGACCCTACGCAGTTGAGTCGCGATGCCAAGGTCCAAGAAGCAGAAAGGGAGAGGAAGTTGTTAAGTAGTGGAAGTCCAGCTGGACATGAACCCGGAAGCACTGCCTCGTCACATGCTGGACAAGAGAGTGCTGGCGACTTCGAGAATCCTATTGCCTTGACGCCTCGCTCTCCCCCAAGAGTTTCTCCCCTGTTTGCTCATCCTGTCGATGCACCGCCAGCTTACTCGCCTTCGCCTACATCGCCAAACACGGTGAACAACTACCAGACCTTCGCTTCAACAGCCACAATGGCTCGACCTGAGGAGGTCTCGCCTTTGATTGTTCATGCTCCCGAGTCTATGAGTAGCCCCTCCAACCCCAGCCAGTCGCCCTCGCGTTGGCAGAGATTCAAGGATTCTGTCACAAGCTTCAATATCAGAAGAAAGGTCAAGACCGTCCTTGCCTCGCTCGTTATTTTCTCTGTTGTCTTCATGATCTTCAGCAGTTTTACCATGAAATCAAACCACGGCGTATGTACAACCCATCTCCTACACACCTAATACACACACCACTTACTAATCTGACCTATATAGTCACACTCAAGCCCCGTCGGGGACAACGACCCTGTTGCACCACCCGCCAAAGATCATGGTGATTTCGTCTGGAACCCTTCTGGATCATGCCTTGACAAGCCCCGTCGTTTCGGTCGAGTCATCCAAGACGTGGACATTCGACCCTCTCGTAACCTCACCATTGTCCAGACTGTCAAGCACTCACCAGAAGGATGGAGAGCCCAGATCTCCGGCGAAGTTGTCCTTCGCCCTGTAAAGGATTCACTGGATACTAACATTGAGTTGGAGGTCATCTCCAACAATGACGAACTCAGTGTTGAGCTTGATTTCGATAAGGAGACACAATTCCTCCAGTTGATAGTTCCCGAGAAGACCAGTTGGACCGCATCCGAGAAGAGGCCCTGCGTGCAGATCTGCCTTACCGTCTCGGTGCCTCGGGAGTCAATCCTCAACTCTCTCAGCATCAGCACACTGCAGCTTGATGTCAATATCGAGGAGGGTCTAGTCCTTGGAGCTTTGAACGGCGTCACTATCCGTAGTGCCAGTGGTGACATCAACGCACCTGGAATCAAAGCGAGCAGCAACGATAAGGCCGTTGTGCCTTATACACTCTCATCTCGTGAGATTCGCATTCACACAGCTAGCGGCGACGTTACGGGATGGTTTCCTCTCTACGACCTTCTCAACATCGAGACCATCTCGGGCGACATCACCACCAACATCGGACCCAAGCCAGTTAACCCTCAGAATGTCAGACCTGCCAGTCTTTACGTGCGTTCTGCTTCCGGAACTATCAACGTTGATGAGCCCGTGGATAGTGCTCAGCAGGCTGCCCGTCCCGATCGCGAGTTCCCACCGCGCGACTACACAGTAGACATCCTTACAGCGTCAGGAGATATCACAGCGGACGTGGCTGTGAGCTCTTTTGCATCTTTTGGGTCACAGTCCGGTGATCTGAAGGTCCGTATCTGGCCAGTTCTAGACTCGGGCTTGTTGACTGCCAGCAGCAGCGTCAAGCCGTCTTTCAACACTGATACAAAGAGCGGCAATACTCAAGTGACAATCCTAGAGCCCTTATGGACAAGCCTCGCTACCATTGGAGGAACAATCCCCCCGTTTGAACCCTACGATCCAAAAGATGACCGCTCTCCATACATCGTTCTGGCTGAAGAAGACAGTGACGAAGCCGAAGCCAGCACCAGCAAGCCCGCACTCTCAATGCTGAAATCGAAGCACAAGTCCATTAGCGGGACTGTTAAGCTGGCCTACCCAGCATCATGGGAGGGCATTCTTTTCGCGCAGTCCATCTCAGGTTCGCAGGACTTCCAGGGCAAGGGACTTGTTATCTCAAGTGAAGGAGGAATGGTCAAAAAGATCCTCAGGGGACGCAAGGGCAAGGGCTACTCTTCGCTCGAGGTTAATACCGTATCTGGCGACCAATTCGCCTTGATTGGAGAGAAGGAATAGTAATTACGAACTATGAAAGGGTAATGATTTGAGGTGTTATGGCGTCAGCGTTTATTAAGGAAATCTACTTGCTTGGACAGCATCATTCGTTAGGGACAGGATACCATATCATTCGTTGAGCGTAGCACACATATTTGTCGCAGCACACGCGCGATGTTAATGAATTAAACACGATCAATTTGATTACAGAGCTCAGCTCCATCCAGTTCGTATCGACTGCCCTTGGTCCAACCCGTGTCCAATCGGTTGTCCTGTGTCTATATAAAGGTGCATCAAATCAAAAATCATTTAGTAACAGCGTTCCAGGCCGCAGGGAATATACAAAGACAGACACAAAGGAATTTCAACAGTATGTCCAAGCATGGGGTATCCGCAAAAAGAATCCAAAAAGGAGAACATCAGGTCATAAAAATCGTTGCATCGCATCAACGCAACCACCAGGCTTGGTCCAATCCAAGTCTGATATCACCCAACACGCATATATATCAGTTGGCAACAAGCCCTACTGCCGCCTGATCCTCCATCACCCAAGGCAAGTCTCGGTTCACAACGGTGGTGCAAGTGAGGTAGGTAATACTGTCTGGGGTACGCGAGGTACCGCCCATATCGAGTTCGAGATTGCTGCCCATGAGGGGTCGCACAATCTCTCGAGCCATCGTCTTTAGCTCGTCCAGGCGCTTCTCGAATCTTCGGAGGTTCTCCCGGCTGTAGAGCTCCGGGGTAAGCTTGAGAAATCGCTTGCAGTCATCGTGGCCGAGGAAAGAGGTGGGGTTATTGGAACCCAGTTGACGATATGCACGTCCGACAGAATTCAACGGCGGGGCGGCGGGGGGTAAGGCGGCGACGCTGCGGCCACCGTCACGAGAGGTTGTCCTGCGTCGCTGATCGGGAGGCGGCTGCGGAGAGGTGTTGTCGGCCAGCCATTGGCGGAAGAGGCTTATGGACAACCAGTCGAGATAATTGTTGCTTGGGCCGACACGTTCACCACGGCTGTTGGTGAGCCCAAGGCGGAAGAGGCGTCCCTCGATGCGGCCGACAGTTTCCTCCAGCTCCTCCACCTTATCCTCGATAATATCCAGGACAATGTCGGGCAGGGCTGCACGCAGGCTGCGCTCACCGGCAGGCCACTGCCCAACGACGTGAATCAGGGCTTCCTGAAAGATGACCCTGCTGCGAGCTAGGTACCCAAGGCGCAGATATGAGATTGGATATTTTGCGATTTGCTTCCAGAGACGTGACTGGAACTGCAGCATGTGGTGATCAACTCGAGGTCCCACCACAGCAAGGGCGTCATATTGGTCGGCGAGATTGAGCAGGCTCTTGCATTGGACATAGGCATCTGCGACATTGACGCTATCGAGCACAGGCGGGTAATTGTAAAAGATGCGAAAGAGGTTGTCGTAGTCGCGCAAAAGGTCCTCATCAGCTTGCGATAACTCGGGAGCTGGAGGAGGGTGGTTGGAGGAGAGACTAAGATTGGCGACGGAGCGGAAGAATCCACTTGGAGTCGACGAATTGGATAGCGATCGCGAATGCGAGTGGGAATGCTTGGAGCGACTTTGAGAAGAGCGCGAGTCTCTAGAACTGACTGTAGGTGGAGCTGATGCAGGGCCGAACAAGGATTGTGTGGTGTCTCGCGACGATTCGTCTCGTTGAACTAGCATAGGGATATCGTTGGGTCCCGATCTTGGGTCTAGCTCGTATCGCCATTTCTTTCTGGGCGGATGGGTGCTTCCTCTCTGCGATGAGGAACTGACTTCGCTTCCATTGATAGGACTGGGCTCTCCATCCTCGCCAATACGGGAAAGCTCGTTACCAGCTGGAAGTGCGCGAGCGCGAGACCACTGATTCGATGTGCTAACTTCAAAGAAGCCGCTGGACCGAGTGAGAGTATGGCGATGAAGCAGATAACGGTTCTGCGTGGGAGCTGCGTCGCGGGGGGTCTCTCGCGCGCGGACTACAATCTCGACATCGCCACTGCTAAAGACAGGGAACTCATTCTGGAGACCGTGAGAAGTGCCTCCAGTATGAGAGCGATTGTAGCGCTTCGATCGCGAATGTGATTGAGACTGACGAGAGACGATGGAGGAGGGGCCGCGGCGGGAGACTGAGGAGGCGGTTGGAGGCTCCAGCGTGGACACCATGAGGACTTTTTGCGATATTAAATATTTATATACCCGTAGAGGCGATGGCGATAAATCGACAGCCGCGCAGGGGAGGGATGAGGCTCAGGATATGCGACTGTGGCGGAGCGAAGCAGACGAAGAGCTAGCGACGAGGCTGGTAATTGATGATGAAAGGAGCAAGACAAAGACAAGCGTGAATCATATGGGGCGGGATGTTTTGGTTTGTTGCGGAGCGACGAGGGGGAGGAAGGGTTTCTGGCCGACAGAGACAAGTATATGACGCGATAGAGTATGGAGAGAGGGACAAAGTTTGGCGAGAAGATGGTTGAGAAGAAATAATATAAAAATAAACAAGACGAGACAAGACAGTCAAGTAAAGTACTAGAGTAAATAAGTAGACTGCGGATACGTGACTGTGGGTGTAATACTTGAGATATGTACAGTACAAGGATGGCCTGTGATGGTGGCACGCGGACAACAAGAGAGACAAGAGGGCTCCTGCAGCCACCTCAGAGCCAGAGATTCAAGGTTATGGAGGCATCTTCTAAAACATTGGATGCACCCGCCCAGATTATCCACTCCAAGGCTGTTTCTGTTTTTCTTGCTAGGGGCCCCAGGGGGGTTGTCTTTATGCCTCGGAGGCGAATCAGTTGAGACCATTACAGGGGTTGTTAGGTATTAACTATTACCCGCATTAACTAGCGAGAGTCTTTGTCGGGTCACGAATCACGATGAACCTATGACTGACTGGCTCTATTTGTTACAGCATAGTCGGGGGAACTGTACTCTACTTTGCTGGAAAAAGAGTCTGTACGACAGTAAACAAAGTTATGACGATTATTGTTTATTTACTAAAAGTATAATTGCCGCCCCTAACTTTTCTAACTTTATCTCCACCAACACTAACATCAACCGTTGTGCTATTGACAACTGCAGCTTGGCTTCTAGACTAGAAGCTTGTGATTCTACAGACGATCACTGCCTTGATTGTTCAAAAGATCCCTAACGCGAACTTGGACTGGCCGACAGAGGTTCTTGGTAGCGAAGAGACAATTTATCCACGCTCGAAGCCTTCCAGATAACATGTTCCTATGATATAGAACACATCCATCCACTGTCTTTGTCCCTAGCAGTTTACGTTGTTTCAGTCTAAACACTCCAAAGCCTGTACTGATCAGTAAACTCTATCTTTTCAGTGTGTCCGATGTTCGGCCCCACCATCTCGGCCGGAATTCAGATGATATCCAGACCCACTCAAGCTTGAATCCCGGCATCACCACTTTTCCTTTCAACTTTCAACAATCACCCTCTCCTCCGCCAATTGCGCTCCAGGCTCAAGCTGGACATATAATGGAATGACTACGGCACCTCGTGTCTTTCATCACGTACCCCGGCCTATCAGCCTCTTCGAGTTCAAAGATGCCGTCGAAGCAGTATGCCGTCCACGGTTTCCAACCGCCCGCTTCGCTAGGCCGCAGCGTATAGGTGTGGATCACAATGTTCTTACAGCTTTGCCATATACTGACATAACGATAGTGCTGGCTACTAGTGGAGGCGTTGACTCAATGGCTCTCGCCTTTCTCATGTCTAGACTTGTTCGCACATTTCGCGGAATCAAAATCGCCGACAATCCTGTCCATGGCGTTCTAGCTCTCGTTATCGACCATCAACTGCGCGATGGAAGTGCCAAAGAAGCTAAAAAGGTAGCTGAAGAGTTGCGCAAGCTTGAAATCAAAGCCAGCGTTTCGACTCTTGCTTGGAAAGATGAGAAACGCATGGGCCTCGATCCACGTGAACTTCCTAATATCGAGGGCCTTGCTCGAACCTACAGATACCGTGCGCTTGGTCGATATTGTGCTTATCATGGCGCCGATAGTCTTTTCTTTGCGCACCATGAAGACGACCAGTATGAGACGATATTGATGCGATTGCTCGGTGGGCATGGGTACCGAGGCCTGCAGGGGATAAGGGAGGCCAACTCGATCCCCGAATGCTACGACTTGCATGGCGTGTACAAGAGTGGTCTACTGGATGATCAATTGAGAGATAACCCGTCTCTGAGTTTCAGACCAGCTCAGCGCGAGATGAAGCGCTTGAGACGATCAATCCGAGACGATTTGACCCTCGAGCCATCTCCTGCTTTGGCAGCTTTTCCTCGAGACCTGGTAGACTCTTATCCAGGATCACCCGAGATCGAAAGACCGTCCAATGTTCCCTATCTCAAACCCTTGGATGTTGAAGATGGCGGTGTCATGATATATCGCCCACTTCTCGGATTCGACAAGGACAGACTTATTGCTACTTGCGAAGCCAACAAAGTCCCCTGGGTAGAAGATGCAACGAACAAGGATCCTACATTGACGACACGAAACGCTCTCAGGTACCTCGTGAGAAACCATGAATTGCCGAGAGCCTTGCAAAAGCCATCCATTCTGTCTATGAGCCAGAGATCGAAACAGAGAACCGAGTTTGAAGATGCAGAGGCAAGACGCTATCTCATTCGAGAAGCTGTCGTCAAGGATTTTGATCCTAATGCAGGGACCTTGTTAATACAGTTCCCGGCCCGGCGTCCATTCGAGAAACGATCCAAGAGGCGTTCATTTGACACCGAGAATGAGCTACGTAAGGAACATCGAAAGACCATCATGAGCATCGCAGTTCGCAAGCTTATTGATTTCGTTACCCCTGAATATCACCTGCCACCCCTGGCAAACTTGGAAAACGTTGTGAATAATATCGTTCCTGGTATGGCTCCCAAAGCAAATCTTACCCCCAAGGCATTCACCATGTCCGGTGTGTACTTCCACCCAATCGTAGAAGGAAACTTGGTCAGATGGTTTCTCTCCCGAGCACCCTACACATCGAAGCAAACCCTTCCCACTGCAAAGCTTTACTTACCCACATACTATTCGCCACCATCCCCTGAGTTCATGGCAGAAGAATTTGCCGAAGCTACGCCTTCGTTTGGCCACTCAGGGTGGATGAAAGCCAAGACGTTCGATGGCCGTTTCTGGGTGCGCATCGGACGAAACAGGTGGCCCATGTGGCAGGTCCATCCATATCGCGCGGAGTACGCCAAAGCATTCCGCAGGGCACTGCCTCCGATGCGAAGGGCCCGGCTGGAGAAGTTGCTCAAACACTACGCACCGGGGAAGATTCGATACGCACTTCCAGCCATATACGGCGTCGACCGCAAACCGGATCCGTACTCGACCCATGTAACCAAAACCCTGACGCTTCTCGCGCTGCCGACTTTAGGAATCCATATACCTGGCCTTGAGCGATGGGTCAAATACGATGTCAGGTATAAGAAGGTCGATATTGGACTACTGGGACATCAACCTCGGAGGGAGAAGAAGAAAAGGCTAGCGGTGCATCGGCCTCTGTTTGGACCTGCGCGTAAAAAGAGGCTGCGCTTGATGGGCCGGTATGGACCGCAGTAGTGAACATGTTCTGCACTTTGTATTCAGGCTAGGAGCGACTTATACCCTAAGAGTTCAGTTACTTTACAATACTTTGGAGTGGCCGGTGCTGGCCCTCTGATACGTCTCTGAGTCTGCCACGCTCCATTTCCCCCTTCCTTTCCTTTTGGGTAATATATTTATGAGTAGCTTCACACTTAGAAACTCAAGTGATGTGTGAACTGTTCTCAAAAGAAAGGTTCTGTAGATGCAAGTGAAGAGATCCTGGAACTCACAGCCGGGTCAGAAATCTAACGGGGTTAAAGGACAACCCTCATCTCACCCGTCAAAAAGTGAACCTAAGTGACAACGACAAAATAAGAACCTGCGAGGCCAGAGCCAATAGATATCTAATTCGTTTGATAAATTCAAGTCTATCTCCCAAGGATGGTAGCATATAAGTCATAGCATATATGCTATATGCATTGAGGCAAGATTCAGTGTTCTTGTACAATACAGCTAATACAACATCTTCGCGTCACGTATGTACTGCTTTATGAAGATGATTCAGCATCAAAGATATGAGGCGCTGTGGCGGAGTGGTCTATCGCGCTAGACTTGAATTCACAAGAATGATATCTAGTTCCTTCGGGAGCATCGGTTCGAACCCGATCGGCGTCGTTTCTCTTTTTGCGATTTTCTTCTTCTCATGTTGTTGCATGTCCAACGAAGGAACCAGTGTCAATGATGCAACATACACATCTCCCACGTTGTCCAAGTACTAGTTGTTGAGGAATGTGTGAGAATTTGGTATCTATACCTGAGCCATGCTATTACCAACCTTTTGGCGGACAACCTGGAAATCGAAGGAAGGCTGATTGACGAGCATGACTTGACCATCCTTATTTGCTAGAGTATTTCTATGTTCAGCGTTACAATCACAATTCCTTAGTCCATGTTCTTGATGTCGCTCGAATCGCAGGCATATTTCGGGCCACTATTCTACTTCTACACACCACAAACAGACAACAAATATGTTCACATTCGGATCCCGGCCCATCATTTTTGATATGTGTGGCATAGCATGTTTCGGAGGTCCTATGCAACTTATCGATGGTCCGTAATTTTATAATATTGATACTTTGGGCAAAGATGTGCTTGCGTTTTGCATGGACTGTGAGGCTATGCTCGGGCACACGTGTAAGTCGTGAATAAGAAAATCCTGTGCTACCCTATGAAGACCGTCACTGAATTCACCACACAAATCTTCAGCACAAAATTAATCATCAAGCCCTCCTAAAGAAATCTAGATGCTTGTTATTTTATGATCATCGTTAAGATGGGTTTTGGCATAAGTCTTTTTGACGTATGGTGGTTCGTATACGCAATGACTCCCACCACACACCCAACCTAATCACGCTGTCAGCGAGCATCGCCACAATCATTCATGCAGTGTCACTGCCTAATATCTGCTAAACAATCTTCACGATTTTATCACGTTTCAAGACCCCTTTATTTCGATTATTTTATATTCTTAATCCATAGCAGGGTTTAGAATAAATGTGCCCGATCCGCAACAATAAGATTCTTTCTGCTTCCTACAACTGTCGCCTGTTCAAACTGGTAATGAAACTCGACCTTCTCTTGGTCGATGAAGAGAACACGTGTAAAAGCTCGAGCCCTCCCTGGCATTGGACTGTTTCAGTATGCTGATGTCTTCAGTCAATCATAGTATCCGGACGACACTCGATATAGCCCCCCGTGCAACACCGCTAACGAGGGCGAAAAGAGACGAAAGCAAACGAGAGGAAAAAGAGGTCCTCCATCATAACAAGATTTGAAGACACGACCCTCTTAGCAAGAGGATGCCACAAAGCGAACTTAAAAGGCCTTGATGCAAGTGCAGAATACTGCAATGTTCTCCTGATCAACAACGACATACAAGCCATGGAAGAATCTTGAGCAACTTCCACCCAGTGGCGGAGTCCTTGCTTAACAATGGTACTTCCGAGACTTGCGGTGCCGCGACCGGCTTATCTCCACCTGTGCAGGTCTTTGGTCATGTCCAGGTCTCGAGCCGGCAGGATACAGATCTGGGATCTGAGGGACCTCGTGATACCCTGTCGCTCTCTGGAACATCTCCTCGTCGATCAAACCACAGTCATGAAGATGGCTCAGGAAATAGAAATCAGGCCTCATCTGACTTCCCGGAGGCAAGCCGCCTCGCAAGTGCTTTGCAATATGATGCATCCGCTTCCGATAACAGGCCTCGGTGTCCGCTTGGCTGTATGATGGTGCATGGAAAGTACGATCGCAGAACCAGCATATGCATGTTGCAGGGAACATGTGGTGAAGATGCATCTCTGCGATGTGTGCGATCCAGCCAGCCTCGTTGGAGGAGTCAAATACTTCATTGCACCCTCCAAGGCCGATGAATTCGCATACAAGTGACGGGGAGATAGGGACAGGGAAAGGTTCTGTGAGAACAGATGCTGCTCTGGGGGTTGACCTGTCGAAGCAGGACGACATATATGTCGAGCTGCTGGCGATCGACATGTCAATGCTCTGGGTAGGAGGGCCATTGGTGTCTTGATCCGAGAACATCAAGCTTGGGGCATAGTAGGTCGAGTGCACGACGGGAAAGATGTTCCGTGTATCTTGCATCCCTCTCCTCCTTGCGTTGTGCTCGCTTATGAAGCCATTGATTTCATTGGCGATATCTCCCATGTTTACAGGAGAGACCAAGATACAACGTGTATATGGATAGGGCTGGGGCTGGGTAATGTATGATTTGCTAAGGGGAAATGTATGCGAGAGTCAATGCTTGAAGGATGCTAACAGATACAATAAGGATACTCGGTACAATTCAATGACGGGAAGGATATAGAACAATGTCTCGAGGGATGAAGCAGAAGACGAAGAACGACGATACCAAAAGAGACGGGAGAACTAGGCTTCTTATTGTCCTCATGTTAACCACGTCCAGGTCGAACGTCAGCATAGACACCCTTTCGCCAAACCGCCCGTCTAACGCCTACGTCGACATTGACAGCTTCACGAACCATTCATCTAACAAACCTTCCTTCCTATTCGTCACCGGTAGCCGAAACCACTGCTACCAACGCCATGAACGATAGCGCACCCAGATCATGGGGAATGCGGTGCAGAGCTGTAGGTGTTCAGTGCATGCACGCACGGCTGATGGCTGATCGCATGCCCCATCACATAATGCCCACCAGCGGGCATATCGTCACCTTTTGGAGCTTCATCCCAGGCAACATGCAAGAGCCGTTCTTGGCTCGGACGAAGCCGATGGCGGTCGGCATATTTCGATCGAAACACGGCCAATTGGATGATGGTGATGGTGATGATGCTTTGGATGCCACGACTTGTACACCCACCAATGGGTGTACTACATGACGCGGAATGTAAATTGCACCGATTTATGGAGCGGGTTGCAGACCAAAACGCCAGAGAAATGAACAGTTCGGGCTACGATGACTCCTCGGCTCATCACTTCCTTGCAATCGACTACATGGAAGACACCGAATGAGCGAGATGATGAGGGGAACCCCGATCAAGTACTGTCCATGAAGGAAAGTAAGAGCGCGGGGGGACATGGGAACCCCCAAATTTGAGGCTTAACTGCCTTGGACCGACGGTAAATGGGAAATGGTAAATGGTCTCAGCTAACAAGGCTTAGGCTGCTAACTAGACAAACCCTGGTCCATCAAAGCACTCGTCTGACCTGGGGGTTGCAGCAATATCATACATATGATATGCATATTTGGATTAATTAATTAGTTTGGAAATTCTATTAACATACAAAACCCGATTCTAACAGGACTTGAAGAATCACTCTCTCAAAGATAACGAACGATCAAGTTTCTCTCCCTCGTGGAAAAGAAGAGCCATTCTATCCATCACAACTTGGAGAGCAAGCCTACCCACACATCAACACCAATAACACCACCCTGTTGACTATGAGTCAATTCAAATGGACATCTTGACCTGCAGCACGACCCGCCTGTCCTAACAACGACTGCATCTTACATCTTGCATCTCGACCTGAAACACTGAAAGCGCCAAGCAGGCTACCATTACGACAAACAGACCGATTTATTACTTCTGAATGCTTGATCTGGTATAATCTCGAAGGAACACCGTTGACCGTGAATGCAGGGTTTAGGAACGGGTGAGCTGGCATGCGTTGCCCAAGATAGCATCAGCCCTATGTGGAATAGGTGTTCGGGAATATGCCAGACGAGGAATGCAATGCGAAGGCCCGTTCGAGCTGTCTCACATGTTACGTCCCCTCACACTAACCCCAAATTTAGGAGAAGAATGATTAGAGCAGCAAAGTAATCACGATAGAGGTTCTTGACTAAAGTCATACTATATTTATACTGGAAATCATACTGAACATTTAGGGAGAAATTGGACAAATAGGATAAATATTCTCATAATTCATTAGTATGCAGTATTCTAAATATGACTGGACCGACTCCTCGTAGCTAACTATATAGCTGTGGTAGGCCTCACTATATGATTCCTTACATATATAAAAGGATGCCCCATCTCTGGCTAGGGTGAACCCCATATGGTAAAAGCTGGCTATAAACGCTTTATCAAATGCCCTCAGCAAAGCAATAGCTTCGTAACCATCGTTGCGGCGTGATATTTCATTACTCGGGGCTACAAAGAACCCTCGCCTTGAGGATTATGTTGCGGTATTGCAAGTGTCCACCATGTTCATCACCATGCTTAATTACCCCCGGAAAAGCAACACAGCAGATCTCCCTCCCAGTCAAGGACTCTTCGTCCTCACCACCTAAGTCCTCCATCGTCTCAGACTCGAACATGACCCTCTGATGCGGCAACACCGTAGGCATATTCACCCGCAGCACGGCCTTTTGAACGGCAACGAGGCGCGCGAGCTCTATTGAGTTGTTGACGAGAACACGTAGTCCACTGTCTCGAGCCTCGGAGGGAGATGTACCACAGAGGGCGTCGAGAAGACGAGTTATTCGGGTCAGGATGGCTTCACTGACAGATGACGTTGATGTTTCAAGGGATGAGCCGTCTCGACGGAGAAGAGCAAGGGTGGAGGATCGCCAATGGTTTATAGCCTCATCAGAGGCAGCTACATGAGTTAGCGATTAATCATGGCTGCTACTAAGTGACATACCGTATGAAGAAATAAGCTTTTCCACCTGTCGAAATTGCTGAGTCTGCTCTTCTGAAAGGCCAACAAAGTAGGCGTCAAACACCATTTCGACTAGTATCCTCGATACGATAGATTGCAAGAGGTAAACCTTGTGTGTCGATGCAAGCTCCTCATACATGGGCACCAGTTCGTTGACCTCGGCCAGCGTTGCCTCATCCAAGTTCTCCAAATCTACCAGATATTAGTCAATCGAACTTCCAGGACAAACCGACATTGCTCACTTATCTTGGCCTTGCGAAAGTTCACAATGACCCAGTTCTGCAAACCATTGCCCAGCCGTGCCATCCCATCGCCAAACACCTCGTCGCATTCTTGCCCATCTGTTCTTGTGCTACTGCTCACCCACTCTTTCAACCCACGTACTTGGCCTCTGAGCCCTCGAATTTCGTCGTCTCGCTCCTTGAGCTCTCGTCGTAGGACCTCCCAACCTTCTCGCAGCTCTTCACGCTCGCCCTCTCGTACTTCAACCTCGGCGCGTAGTAGCCGTAGCTCTGTATCGGTCCGTAAATATTGTTGATTCAGCGCGCTATGCTTGGCTTGCCAGAATGTTGCCGTTTCGCTTTCGTTTTGGCTCAGCTTATCCAATTCGCGGTGGAACTCTCGCTCCATTATACCCATTTCCTTCTCCAGATATGTAATCTTCTCATCCTTCTCTTTCAGAACGACTTCAAGCTCGCGGTCCCTCTCCTTCTTCTCCCTCTTCTCCCTCCGCTCTTTGCGATCCTTGTCGCGGTCCTTGTCCTTCGTGCCACTGCTCCCTGTAGTTGTGCTTTCCTTCTCTTTGAGCGGGGCACCGCCGCTGGTCTCATGGGTCTCTTCGGGCGTCGCGTTGGTATTGGAAAGCATCGCGGCCCTGGGCGGCAAAGCAGGCATGTTGGTGCGGTTGTTGTTCGAAGCACCAGTTCGCAGGATATGGGCAGACAAGTTGCCGGGCGCTTGACGGCGCTTCTCCGTAGTGTTCATGGCGGTAACGAGGCGGAGCTGTAAGATCTAGGCGTGTATAGCCTCCACTGCAGAGGATCGTCAAGTCGTGGGGTCCGGGGCCAGGGGATGCTGGTTCCGCATTGTCGCTGGCATCAAGTGCGTTGTATGGTCGAGTGATGCTCTGACGGTTGCGCAGAGGAAAGAGGTTACTTATGTTGATGACGTTGGTTCTTTGTATTTTGATGCCTGGAGGTGAACTGTTGATAGGACTCTAGGCGGCCGCCCAGTGGAGGGTGCGCTAATTCTAGGTTTAAAGCAACCTCCGTATCACACGCTGGCGCAGAGGTTTTATAACGACATGATACTTCACATTTTTTAAGGATATGATTTTGGATATCAATCAATTGGAAGGACTCTCACATATTGGCATATGTTTTGTTTTGTCATTCTTGAAATGATATCGACAAACGCCCAGTCAGCCTATGACCCTTATGTCTGATGGTTCGTAATCCGGACGCAGTTATCATGCGACACTCGAGGATAAATGCGTCTACCTAATATGCAGATGAACCCGTTTCATCAATTGACGTGTCATTTGTACTTCATCAATCGCTCTAGAGTATAGTTGCCTGAGACGAAACTCATACTGGAATTTCCACATGCCGAGAGTATTGACACAACAGTTGTAACATGATGCCCGTCAAAGTAACATGTCTACACACACTCTAGCGCTTCATAATCAAAGCCCAACCTCAGCCTCAACCTCATAGGCTTCATCATCCGCCCCCTCAATCTTCTTCGCGCCCATCCGGCAAAGCGTAACTTTGTCAAGAGGCATATTCTCCAGCCAAACATAGTCATCATAAAGATTGACCATGTCCCGCGCATCGAGCGTCAACTTCTCCCGTCTCCTTCCACGGCCATCTTTGACATATATTGTGTTGACCACAGTTGCGTGGAGCAACAATGGCCTATCCTCTTTGGCCATCAACCCAGCCTCCTGAAACGCAGTCTTGATTTGCTCGCAGAACTTGTACAGGATACCATCTGCATCAACAGGCGCGGCGTACAGCACTGAGGTCTTTGCGGGTGATTGCATAGCATGCAAGCCCTTAAGAGTTATCGAGGGCGTATCCTCAGTCATCGAAGTTCCGGCCTTGGCACTTGCAAGGAATTCGTTCAGTGTCAGGCCCTTTAATAACTCTTTAGCATGCTCAATGCTCTCGTCTTTGAGGGTCATGACGCCAAGCGTCAGATGCATTGTGCCAACCGGACGCACTGCAGACGGGGGAACACCAAAGCTCGCGGGATTCGTGACTTCAGTCCGGAAAGCAGCCATACTTTTGGCAAGCTGCGGCCCGGCCAGTGAGATGCACACAAAATGTGTCGGAGACGCCCTGACTGGTTTGGGTGGCATGATGAGCTTTTGAACCTTTGCGGTTTTCCTCTGCAAAATATAGCCTCGATTGGTCTCCCAGAAACAAAAAACAGTATGGCTCTAGCCCACGATGTATATCTCCGCGGCTTGGGACAGGCAGATTGATTGACCTAGTAGACTTGGCTGAAATTAGCAATTATCATAAGAAGACGTTGTACTTCACTAACAGAGCACGAATGCAAAAGCCTCGTCTACTCTGCCACGCGACGAAGGTTGTGGAATATCACTAACGCGCTGTGTACAACGTATCTGACGTTGATTTGTAACACCTCAATGATGTCAGGTGTTCGTATCGAGATGAAATTGTAGATGGGTAGTTATGTCAAGATTTACCCCACCAAATCGAAGCCCCCATGAGGATGCAGTTAAATCACGTATCTGATCTGATACCGGAAAATCGGATCAGGAAGCAAAGCCGACTAGAGAAAAATAAACCTTGCAGAATAGCAATCTCGGGCCGCAGGCGTAAAAGACCAAGTTGCGATATGAGCAGTGTTCGTTTTGTACCAATCCCAAGCTTCTCATCAAGTCTATCTACAAGTCTGCTTCTACTCTCCATCATGGATCTTTAAATAGGCTTTTCAATTCAAAGAGGGGGGAACAGTATATCGTTCCGCACTACCTCGTAGTGCCTCTGAACATGGTTGACCTGACGGGTCGTCCTCTAAGCCTCAAGCCTTTCCAAGGCCTGGGGTATCTGCTTCGATGAACCCGGCCTCTGCCATCTCTGAACATACCCAACACAACAACCGTTTATTGAACCGAAAAAAGTCCCCGTAGAGGGTCCAATAAAAGGTCTCGAATGGGAATCAAGCTGTAAACAAGCTAGATATTGATTCGAGTGTGGACGTGTCGCCTCGCTCTGGGGTATTGTGCGAATGGCGTAGCTGCATTATTCCTTGCTTTCGTAGTATTCCCTCAAGGCTTTCTCGACATCGTGATAGTCACTCTTGACAGCTTCGAAAGCTTCTTTGATGCGCTTCAGGCAGATTTCTTCGTCGTCTTCGGGAGAGCCATCCACGTTTTCCTTCTTGCCGTATCGCTGCATCTTCTCACAACCGTCCCTCACTTTGGCGAGTCCTAGTGTCGCTGATGAACCCTTGAGGAAGTGACCAAGGGATGACAGGTCTGAAAGGTCTTTCTTTTCCCTGGAAAGCGAAGCCAAGGAGGTCAACGATTAGCGAGTATTCTCAACCCAAAGGTATCGGGTTGTCGAGTAGGGCTGAGTGGCTGGTCAGTGGATCAAACTCACAGTGCTTCATCGATTTGGACGAATGTCTCTTCTGCCTGGTCAAAGAAGCCGAAAACGATCGATTGGCTGAATTCATGATCGTCTGGTTCGTCCATCTCAAGAATCTGCTCAAAGGTGTCCACATCAATGTGATCACCAAAGCGAGCCTTAAGGTCTTTCTCCTCCTGAGGCCAGGTTTTGTTAGTGGCCGTACTCCAGCGAATTCGCAGCCAGGGTCAAGCCCACCTTGTTCTCAGCTGGTGACATTTTGCCCGTGAAATCCGTTTATGCTCTCGGGATAAAGGTCTGGTTTGTGGTGAAGCAGAGCGGTACTGGACAGCTCCGAGATGGCAGCGCGGGGCCGGCTGGAGACAACGACGGTAAGGGGAGGGGAGGTAATAGAACCTGAGTCTGGAGTTAGAAATTCCGCCAAAAAAGAAATAAGAAATACAATGTAAATGAGATAAGGTTCGGAGGCCAGAGCCACTTGGAAGAAAGAAGATTTTGAAGGTTAGAGGTGGTAACGCCAAAGCGGAAGGGAACAAGACGTGAGTGGCTGGCGAGGGGTTTCAGACTCAGAGCAAGCGAGGCCACGGCACTCGAGTGACGCTTGCTTGCTTGCTGTCAGAGCGGTAGAAGGGGCCGTTGCGCTATATCACGGGTTTTGTGCTTTGTACCTGAGGTTTGGTTCGCGGTCGTTAGAGTTCGGGGTAGCTGCAGCTATCCTGGATGATGACGATATGGCGGGGAAAAGCTAGAGACGGAGAGAGATACAGAGGAGCGACAAAGGGCGAGCACGACAAAGCAAAGCAGACAGAGCAGAGCAGAGCAGAATAAACAAAGACCAAAATAAGGGTTTGACAGATATGGCTTGGCCAGAAAGCGGCGGTTGGCGGTTGGGAGAAGTGTTTAGTGTGTGATAATGGATGTCGGCTGCTGGTATGTGGGCAGTTAACACTCATAGGTGAGGGGCTAGCGATGGAGAGGGAGGGTCCATTCGAAATCATCCAGATCCATAAAGAGACCAGCAACTGCAAGAATAACGAAGCCCGAAGTCATCACTTATGGATACTCTGGGAGCCATTGCATTGCGAGTGGGGTTGAGCCGCTTTAGCAGATGCAGGGCGCCAAACCAACTGGACTGCGACGGCGGGGGGGAATCCATGGATGGATGGTGTTTAGTGCGGAAAAGCGAAAATTTACCTAGGCGACTTCTAGCGAGTAGGCGAGAAACATCCATATCCATTCTGGGGGAAGCGGAAGAGAAATGGCTTGCGTAAAAAGTGACAGCAAGGGAGAAGCAGTTCAAGGGTATCGGAAACACAGCATTTGCATATCATGGGCTTGGCTTTAGGCTGTGAGAAGAGCTGAAGAGATGTGTTTCCTTACCTTCAAAGTGCTTATAGGATCCTAGTGGGACACGAGTGGGCGATATTAGCCGTATCGTATTTGTCAAGATAAGAGAGATGTTCTCTTTCTTTTCCCCTTTTGCTTCTGCGTATAGTAAGGTATGCTCGCGGATAGACAAATACTGAATGTGTGGTGAACGAGTGTCCCGTTGACTTGGGACCGCTGTTCCGCAGAAGATCCCGAAGCGGGTTGCTCTGCTACTATTGACGACAGTGGCTGAATATAGCGTCAGAGGCACGAGTACCTAGGGAGCAATTTGACGGCCGAGGATATACAAAACAGAGATGGAAAGCCGTTGAGGGTTAGGTGCCGTACGTGCTTAGGGGACGATAAGTGAGTATCCGTACTTAGGTAGAGATGGAGACAAAAAGATAAGAGGAGCAGGTGAAGAGGAAAAAAGAAGAAGAGTTGGAATCAAGGCAAGATCAGATTCGGTTCTCGGTGTACGAGTGCGCTATTCATTTTTGATGCTTGATGCTTGATGCTTGCTGGTCCCCCGTAAGAGAACACCCCAGTTCCCCCCCCTTGTCCCAGTCTCAGGCTCAGTCTGGAGGGGCCCTGCCGATTACGTCGGTGTTTTGCACAACAGTCCACTAAAACACACAAGAAAAGCGAGAAATAATTGGGGAAGTGCAGCTGTTGCATCATTTGGTTCCATTCCGTCAAAGAGGCAGAGGGTCTAGAATCCCACTGCTTCCATTAGGGGAGACACCAATCCTCAAACCGTAAATGATCAGCCTTTGAACCAAAAGTTACCTGTCGTACCGTTAACACACAATATTCTTTCTCGTCCTGTTCTATCGGACTCTATTCGTTTTTGTTTTTGTTTCGATATTAATTCTCATATTTAATGGGTTGTGTTCGTCGAGTAGCAGGTCAGTGCCATCCATGCTTGTGCCACGCGATAACCTGACATCAGAAACATGGCTCTATAATCTACCGCTGACTCGGTACACCAGATTCATGTCACCACTTGGGCCCAAGCCCTTGACAGCGCAGGCATCACCCTCTTTAGGAAGTTAATCGTCTTCTCCGTTCTGGCTCTCCGGGACTCAGAACCGCCGCCGCCGGCTAGCGCATCGCTCTGAGCCTTATTCCGCTAGCCCAAACTCCAGAGAGACAACATGCACCACAAAGGCAAGCAGACTCGGAGCCTTTTCTTCGGTCTGTGTCCGGAACTCTGGAGAAGTCCAAAGATGGATGTTTCGTAGATCACTTCCCTCGGCTTGTATATGCTGGCAGCCAGACAAAGCTAGTCATACATGAAGGCTGAAGCTGCATACCGTAGTCTCGTTATGTTCCAGAGAACCGGTCACAGGAGGAAGGATAAATACTTTCGATCTCCTGTCATGGTACGTTCCCGGGGCCCGGAAAACCGTCACCCGGAGCTGAGCGTCATTGCATCTGGCGCCTGTCACTTACAGCCTCTAACAATTCTGACATCCAGCTTATCGTCCCAACGAAAGTCATGTCACCGCACTCCGCTCAGACCTACTCGGCCGAGATACCTACGATTAGAAGCCGCTTACCTACAGCTGGTAGCTGTACGGAGAAAAAGCCCGAATAACCAGACACCATGCCCCGCGACCGCAACACACCGAGTCACCGGTCCACATGCTCAACTTTTGGTGTTTCCATATAGGACATGATCGTCAACTCGGCCGTGGATACGGAGTAGCTAAGTACCAATGCCGATAGCTCTATGAGATGATTCCAAGTCCTGGGAAAGCTCCTGTACTCCAAAACTTAGAATGACATGCACGCCGTGTTATGCCCACTGGCCCACTCCAGTTGGATGAGGACCCCGCGCATATGGCACCCTCGAGACTGAAGCTCTTCCAGATGCCAAGCTACCTAGGCTAGGATTTTCGTCACTAGCCACCGCACGGAAGGTTTGGTGCGGCATTTTCGCCATCACTGGTCGGTTGACGTTTCTTCGAAGGCTCCAGTTGCTGTCAACCTGTGGCTTGCGTTGCTCTCGCTACGAGCCTACGGAGTAATTACAGGCTACGGTATTGACTGTCGGATCCTGCAGGGTCCGTTGATCAATCTCATTTAGCACCCCTCGCTCTGCCCCTCGTGCACGGTTGGTATTGATGGTGGGGTTTAACCACTGATGGTTGAACGAGCCAATGCTACGGTAATTGCTTTTTCTTGCTTACCTGCACTGTTTATTCCCTGGGATGGACCATAGCATGATCGAACTGCAGTACCTCGCCGTTCTGAGCTGTATCAAACTTGGCCCTACGAACGCCTGCAAACCCAGAAAGCCCACATGATGCAAAGAGGGGCAGGACAGTACGATTAGTAGCACAACGACTCCCACTTCAGACAGGATCTTATGAAGCCCACCGTGCCCTCTCATACTTTAGATATTGGATATTGGGCCGTTGTTCACACCCAGTATCCACTACTTTGGACCTCACCGCAAACTGCTCACCAACGTTACGCTTTTAACACCTTAAGAAGACTGACGGGCGTCTGATGCATGACCTCTGGATCTATAGTTGCACATGGTATTGTCAAACCGCATAAATCGGCAACACCTTGTCGCACTTATTCCGCTCGACATCACGATCGAACCACCAGTCAACCCAAGGACCCAGTTCCCGGGAAGCTTGTAGCATGCGCGCCTCACAAAGCCAAGCGCTTCTGTCACTGCGTATAATAGTCCATAGACACAGACCACATCTATACCGTCGTCCAGCCTTGACGGGTGACAATCTCACGTTGAACAAAAGCTGTAAGGCCTGAATGTCAATCACACGCGGAACCGTCCCTATTCGAGGCCCGCAATGCACCCTCCTGCGAGGTGACAACTCTCCGCACAAACCGGTTTTTGACTCAGCTTCTGTGTCTTGGCTACGCGGTTGTGGTGGGTATTTGTTTTCTTCATTGTCTTCCCTTCCCGTTGGATGTTTCTCCAACATGACACTGGTGTAAAACAAAAATAAGAAGCGAGAGTGACGTGGCGACTAGTCCCAGTCAGAGGACGGCCCTAAGCGGGCCGCTTTTGCTTGTCGGTTCATGCTCGACCCCGGCTGCGGAACGGGGGTGGGGCGGTGAAGGGACCCCGCGCCGGCTTAGGAAGCTCGGAGGCGGGAGGCTTCGCCGATGCCATGTCTACGGGCCAAGGGAGTTAGTAGATCCTGGCATGGAAACCCTTGAGGAATGTGGATATATTTCGAGAAGCTTTCCAAATGTGTTCTTGATAGACAGTGTCTGTACCCATTGTCATAAGACGTAGCTAAAGGCCAAACACAACTAAGTAAAGCAAAGTAAAAGGTAAAGCAGTAAATCAGTCCCATCTTAGGGTGTTTGTTCTGGGGATGCAAGGCTAAGACGATACACGCAAGAGATAGTATTAATCAATGACACTCCCATATCCAATTTCACAAGCTTGTCTGTTTCCCAGGTTCTTATATAATTCACAATGACACGGTTTATGGTCCTGAGAGTAGGATATCTCACTCTAAAACATCACCTTCGTCGCCACGCTCAACAACCAAGCCGCATCTCTCCAGCCGCCCTCATCAGTACGTGGAGGTGGCAAACGTTCTTCGGGAACTGTTGATATGCCTGCCAGATTCCGAGAAGACCAACTACGAGAGCGATCGAATTGAGAGCCTCCTTCAACCGGAGTCTCGTCACTATCTTCGTCTGAATCCTCATCGTCTTCTTCGACCGAGAAGAGGGACCAGACGCTTCCGAACCAGGTGCCAGTACCTGACTGGCCCTTACGCACTAGCCGTCTTACGGTAGCTTCGTCATCCTGAGTCAGGTCCTGCTCGAGCTCCTCGAGCTTCTCATCAAGGTTTACAAAGTCGGGACCGGGGAGGTCATCATTTGCTTCTTGGCGGGGGAAGTATGACTCATCAGCGGTTGTTGAGAGCTCCAGAGGCGAATGGAGGAGGCTTCGAGGTCGTGTCAAGCTGTGGGACCGACTGTGGGCGCGGCTGGGAAACCGGCTAGCGTATGGAGTAGAATCTTCTTCATTGAGAGCAGTGCTACCGCGACGGCTACCACGACGACTGGTGATATCACGCTCGCGAGCGAGTTCGGTCTCGAAAGCATTTTCGTCAGGGTCCATAGCCCCGAGGCTGGTTGAGCTCTGACGCGAGATGAGCCAAGCCTGACCCTTGAACTCGCGAGCCTCAGAGCTCATGAGCGCGCCTGTTCGAAGCAGCCAATCGCTATCATTGCGATGACGCATGCTAAAGCTCAAATCATCTTTGTGGCGTTTAGGCGTTCCACGACCAGATTGGGTCCTGCGTGTTGTGCCAGCTGCGAGGTGCGAAGCGGATTTGCTTTTGGCGAGTGGTGTTGAGGGCGTTCGGGTATGGGATCTTGAGCGCGATGCTGTCGGAGAGCGAGCAAGAAGACGCGGCGTAGTAGGCGCAGACTTTCCCTGGATGTAGGAAGGAATTGGATGGGTGGGTGAGTGAGGATGGGCTGCGATGCCGTCGGCGAGGAGTTCGTCGTCATTGAGGGGGAGCTTGGCGGTCAGAGGCGCGAGGGAGAGATGGTTGAGGTTGGAAGAGGAGCGGTTCTTGCGACGAGCTCGGTCGGCGTGTTGATTGTATGCGACATCCATGATGACGATAGCTATTGTTTTGGCTACCGGATGGAAATATTGTAGATGTTGAATAAACAATGACTAGGCGAGGAAGTGGCCTAGTACGATACCTTATGTTGTGGCGTGGTGGTAACAGTTGAGAGAGCAAATGCGGAGAGAAGCCAATGTGTTGAACCTAATAAACCGATAGCGTCGATCGGCATGTGATGGTGAATAGAGCGTGAGACTGAGATAGTAAATGAGCACGAAAAAAGACAATGAGATCAAGTTTGGAGGAATTAGAGAGGAAATGTATTAAATTGGTTGGATAATTGGCATTAGATAAAATAAGGTGATTGATTCTTCAGTCGCCGAGGCCCGGAATAGTAACGAAAACGCAAGTTGCCTGCGAAGAGCTGAATCTAGACGAAAAAGAGAAGATCTGATGCAAGCAGAGGAAAAAAAGCTCTTTTCTGGGGACGTTCAATGGGCGAATACTTTATCTAAGAGTCACAGCATGTATCTCAGAGGCTAACTCACCCCGCATTGCTACTTTACCCACCAGCTCGATCAGGTACCGCAGAAAAATCTCAAGTCCGGGCATCAACTCCAAATCTAGCAAAACCCATCGCCTCTGGTTGCCAAATTCATTCGCACCAACGAAAAAAAGAAGAAGAAAAAGAATATCACCACCTTAGCCGTCGGCCTTGTCCGAGAGACCAGAACAGGTCGAACGACAGCTGCATACAGGGCCCTAGAGTCTGCCCATTTTCTACTGCCGCAGGGGGGAGCATTAATTGTTGAATATCATAAGGCATATTACCCTTGGTGGTAAAGAAAAGAGTCAGCCAAGATGCGCAACCTTCGTAACCTCCGATTCGGACAGTGTCAGCGCGCAAATGTCACGGCTACCTGCTGGGATCCTGAGAAGGATCAAGTTCTTTGCGTGGCTGGACCAACAGAGGAGAGCAGCGGCATTGAGTTGTTGAGAGTCACTGGTGATCAAGATGTGTAAGTATCTAGTAGAATATTCGAGATATACACCGTCGCTGACTCTATGTAGTTCAGTCCGTACAGTGGCCAGTTGGGATGCTCCCAACCCAACACCAGATCTGCTCGCCGACAGAGTTGTCAGTCTACAGTATCTCAGTGGCTCGGCAACTGCATGTCTTGTTCTCGAAGGCGGCGACATTGTCACCGTCCAAGAGGATGAGTTCTCAGGGCAAGATGCCTACATCGAGATTGTCGGTTCCATCGATGCTGGTATTGCTGCCGCAAGGTGGTCTCCTGATGAGGAGTTGCTCATTGTCGTCACAAAGGAGAACAATGTCATCTTCATGGGATCAAGCTTTGACCCCGTTGCAGAAATCGCAATGACCGTTGAGGACCTCAACGCATCAAAGCATGTTTCCGTTGGCTGGGGGAAGAAGGAGACTCAGTTCCAGGGTCGAGGTGCAAAGGCTATGCGTGATCCTACTATCCCAGAAAAGGTCGACGAAGGGTTGCCCAGTGTCCACGAGGACGGTGCGACGACGATCAGCTGGAGAGGAGACGGCGCTTATGTTGCTATCAACTCTGTACAGGAGGGTTCTCGCCGTGTAATTCGAGTTTACTCTCGCGAGGGCGAACTCGATAGCGCAAGTGAGCCAGTCGATGGTCTTGAAGGCGCTCTGAGTTGGCGACCAGCTGGAAACTTGATGGCTGGTATACAGCGATTGCCTGATCGCATAGACGTGGCATTCTTCGAGAGGAATGGTTTGCGCCATGGAGAGTTCACCCTGCGTTCTCCTTCTGGAACAGTAGGAGCCCATGAGAAGATACGTCTTGAATGGAACTCAGACTCTACTGTCCTAGCAGTCATTTACAAGGATATGATCCAACTGTGGACTATGGGCAACTACCACTGGTATCTCAAGCAAGAGATTCCTATTGAGGCAAGCTCGGCATGCCTTTCATGGCACCCTGAGAAGGCCTTGCGGTTTGCTGCTGCGTCTACAACCCAAGTCCTTGTCGCGGAGCACATCTTCTATACAGCAAGGGGGCTTTGCCTCCCACCGCATGACAATGGTGCTGTCGCGGTCATCGACGGCGAGACCGTCAAGTTGACCCCTTTCCGAACAGTTAATGTCCCACCCCCCATGTCGATGTTCGAGATCACAGCTTCAGCAGCTGTGGCTGATGTTGCATTTGGCCGTGACAACACTTCCTTTGCAGTACTGCACCGAAAGGGCATTGACGTTTACGAATGGCCCGTCAAGAATGGAAGATCTATCAAGCCGCAAATTTCCAAGAAGGTCACTTTTGACGAGATGGCAAGCCCAGGTTACAACACATCCCTGAGAATCGCTGCTGTTTCAGATGCATTCCACTACTTCGCCTACGAAGAGGAGAAGGGATTCGTCCAACGGTCTGTGCAAGCTGCTGGCGAGGGTGAAGCGTCCACCACACCTGTTAACACCCAAGAACTCTTGGTTGCCACGACTAGTTACCAAGATGACAAGTCTTTTGAAGGCTACGGTCAAGATAACTCAGGAAAGCTATTCCAGATCACCGAGTCTGGTAACGAAAATCTTCATGTCCAATTCCAGACTCAGCTACCTTGGTTCGAGATCAGCAAAGTCGACGAAGAGATCGTTGCTTTTGGTCTCTCTAGAAACGGTCACATATACGCAAACTCCCGCCTTTTGGCAAAGAACTGCACATCGTTCATTGTCACGCCTAGCCATCTCATCTTTACTACCAACAACCATCTGGTCAAGTTTGTTCACTTGGCTGCTAATGTTGACGGTAAGTTGTTCCGATCTAGTCTATGATCAGTCACTAATACTACTTAGAGCTCGAGGTTCCTGCTGATGACCCCGAGACCGACGAGCGTTGTCGCAGCGTAGAGCGTGGATCGCGACTCGTTACCACTCTCCCTGCCAACATGAGCATTGTGCTGCAAATGCCTCGCGGAAATCTCGAAACTGTCTTCCCTAGAGCCATGGTCATTGCGGGCATTCGTAATCTGATCGACAATAAGAACTATGCCCGTGCCTTCTCATACTGCCGAACGCAGCGTGTTGATATGAACATCCTCTACGACTATCAGCCGGAGCAATTCTTGGCTAATGTTGGACTTTTCCTCGACCAGATCCCAGATGTCGCACATATTGACCTCTTCCTCTCTTCTCTTCGGTAAGCCTCCCTACTCGGTCCATACCTCATAGACCATCACTAACCTATAGCAGCGCCGAGGATGTTACCCAGACCATGTATCAGGATACAAAGCGCTCCAAAGCATTTGGCATTGACATGCTGCCCGCTGAGATGTCTCCCGCACCAAGAGGTTCCGCTGCCAAGGTCAACACTGTCTGCGATGCTCTTCTCAACGCTCTACAAAGCCGCAAGGCCACCAACCTCCAAAATACCATCACCGCACACGTCTGCAAGTCGCCGCCTGCTCTTGATGATGGCCTCCTCCTGGTCTCTGAGCTAATGCGCGAGGATGAGAAGATTGCTGAAAAGGCAGTCGAGCATATTTGCTTCTTGGTCGATGTCAACCGACTATACGAAAATGCTCTTGGTCTCTATAACCTCGAGTTAGCCCTCCTGGTCGCTCAACAATCTCAGCGTGATCCTCGTGAATACCTTCCGTTTATGCAGAACCTACACTCTCTTCCTGAGCTTCGTCGTCGTTTTGAGATTGACGACCACCTTGAACGTCGTGTCAAGGCTCTTGGTCACCTCCAAACTATGGATGTCTTTGACGAGCTCCTCGCTTACACCATCAAACACTCGCTATACCACGATGCCCTGCGCACTTACCGTTATGACCCTCCCCGCCTTCGAGAGCTTACTGCCGCATACGCTGCCTATCTCGAGTCAACATCAGCTTATCGCGAAGCAGGCCTTGCCTATGAGTCTCTCGAGAACTTCGCCAAGGCGACTAGCTGCTACCGAACTGCCGGTGCGACATGCTGGCAGGAGTGTCTCTACACTGCAGCCCAGCAGCAACCCCCTATGTCTTCTGAAGCCATGTCCGACCTTGCCAGTAACCTCGCGGATGCCTTGTGGGAAGCAAAAGACTATGCTTCTGCGGCCACTATTCATCTCGAATATCTTAACTCTATCGACATGACTGTCCGCTGCCTCTGCAAGGGGTATCACTTCGCCGATGCCATCCGCCTCGTGGTCCAACGCAACCATCCCGGTCTCCTCACCAGCAGCGTTGACACCGGTCTCGCTGAAGCCCTAAGCACAACGACTGAATTCCTTGCTGACTGCAAGGCTCAGCTCAAGGCTCAAGTTCCCCGAGTCGCTGAGCTTCGCCGCAAGGCTATCGAGGATCCCCTTGCCTTCTATGAAGGAGAGCGGGCTGGCGGCATGGACATCCCCGACGACGTCTCCGTTGCCGCTTCTTCGCGCGTCAGCACCAGCGCATCGCTCTTCACACGATACACAGGTAAGGCTGGAAGTGTAGGCACGGCCGGAACAGGCGTAAGTCGCGCTACAAGCAAGAACCGCAAGCGCGAAGAGAAGAAGCGCGCAAGAGGTCGCAAGGGAACAGTCTACGAGGAAGAATACCTAGTGAACAGCATCCGCCGTCTCATCGAGCGTGTCAGCGCCGCCGCACCAGATGCCGAGCGTCTCATCTTCGCGCTTGTAAGAAGGAACATGCCCGAGCGAGCGCGTGCCGCCGAGGCTCTCATGGCTGAGGTGTCAGAGGCCTGCACTGCTGCTGTAGCTGAGGTCTTCAAGGTGCCCGAGGCGGAGGTTGCACAGAGGAACGATGATGAGCCGAAGTGGCAGGCTACAGGAGGAGAGGCGGTGCTGCAGGACTTTGTGATGGGTCAGGGGAAGAAGTTGGAGCCTCCCGTTGTTAGTGGGCTCAAGAAGCTCACACTGCTAGGGTCATGATGAGATTTTATGACAAAAGTTATGTTTAAATGATGAGATAAATTAAGAAATTTGGCATCTTGCTTGTACAAGCCATTTTGCGAGAGCAAACCTACTGCACCATACGAGGAACATTTCACTTAAGGTTATTGCACGACGCGAGTAAGATGGGTTTAATGCCAACTCCAAGTCTAATTTACATATCAATGTTCACTTCTTAGTGTATGCGCTATTATTAAAGAAGATGGTAAATCGTTCGAGGTTGAACGGCTTAGGGTAGCATAACCTTCACATGACAAGTCACCAAGATTTCGAGACATAGATGAACGACACAGATATTCCCATTTCGCCTCCGCTATGACAAAATCCCAACTAAAAACTACCAAGCCTGTATTAAGTACGAGAATATCGAAGAATAGGGCATGGCTAAGAAAAAGCCTGGCGGAGCCAAGCCCAGAACACCCCCCTTCCTATATGTCTCCCTGAGCTCATAACCGTAACCATAACCATATACCCGTTCCATACCGACATGCATCGCGTTTCAAACAATTTCGCATAAGACATTCCTCTTCCCAGGCATCATCTCCATAGTATGTAGTCGGACCGATCTAGGCATGAAAAAAACATATGCTTCGTCTCACAACTAACGTGCCTAAGCACCGTTTGGCTCATCTGGCTTATCATCACCATCCTTTGGAGGTGGTGGAGGGGGAGCGTCTTCCGCTGCCGCCGCTGCTGCCGCCGCCGCTTCTTCTTCAGCAATAAGTTCCCTAAGGAATGCCGCTTCCTCATCGTCCATGGCCTCAGCGTCACCCTCACCACCAGCTTCACCATCCTCGCCGATGGGGTTCTCAGGGGTGATGCCATTTTGACGCTGCCAGACCTCTCGTCGAATTCGATCGTCCTTAGCTTTGCGCGCCCGCTCAACCTCTTCAAATCCGCCCGATTTCTTGAGCTTGCCTTCGGCTACAAAGTTACTAATTTCGCGGTGCAGGGGGTTGACGCTGCGTGTAGCCAGTTCCTTCTGGCGCAACTTCTCGGCTCGCTCGATAGCTTCCAGGCGATCTTCGTGGTTCGGTTGTAGAGCCCTCACTTCACCGAGGACACCCTCCTTTGCCGCGCTCTGATCGGTGCTGTTACCGAGGCTGACAAGGCCCTTTGAGAATTGACGAGCGGTTCCTGCGCTTGCGCTTGTGCCGTTGTCTTTCATCTGCTCCTTGGTAGCCTGCTCCACGAGAGTAAATGTCTCAGCGGCCTTCTCCAAATCGTCTCGCAAGTCGACCAAAAGATCCTCCATAAGGCGAAGCTCGTCACGACCCTGGCACACATCCTCTAACTCCTTCTCCCATATCTTGGTCCAAATAGGCTTCTCCTGGCCCATGTACTCTTCCATTCTCTTCAGTTCTTTGGTCAATGTTCCGATATCTTTACCAACGGAATCCAACAGTCGTGGCAAAGGTCGAACGCCACGGTGCACCACGTCCTTGCGCAGATCCTCGATAAGATCTTGGAGATCGTCCACCTTACCGACCAATCGGTCGGAGTCGCTGTTGAGCTGTTTGCGCCCGCTGGTAACATACGAGTAGCCAGCATCGCCCTCAATGTCGGGAATCGCCGCCCTGACGGCGGCAACCTTGACATTGGCAGCTTTGTTGCGAATGGTAGTCATCGAGTCTTGAATGTCGGCCTGGAAATTGGAATAAGTTTGGCGCATGATGGCTAGATCGTGTCGCAAGTTCTTCAACTCTCCGAGATGGCTACTGTCTAGTTTGCGCCCCGAGCTGATCTGCGCCCTTGTTCCATCGCTCGAGGGAGCTGCTGAGGGAGGTGCCAACGCCAATCGTGCCATTTCGTTCGCGGCTTCTTGTTGTCGGTCAGAGACTCTCTGAATAGCCGCTCCTTGGTCAGTAACCGTCTGCTTGACATCACGGACAATTTCTGTCAAAGATGCGATTCCTTCATCAATGTGCTTTTTGACTTCATCAAGCGCCTCGACATTAAGAACAAGGACAGTGCGGTCCTTGACATCGGCAAGATCTTCCAGTTCGTGCCGCACCCCTGAGACAGGATCCTGGATATATATTTCGGGCAGGTCGGCGCCATTATGTTGAGTATTCCATGAAAACTTCTCGATGAATGCAAGTTGTAGGCGCCCAATAGTAAGCTCGGCCCGTCCCTCCGACAAAACAAACTTCTTCACCTTGGACTTGTACTGGAGGAACAAGGTCAGATCCTTAGATGGTGTCGGTGGTGGCGAGTCTTGGAAGTATGATGTCTCGGTAGGCTTTTGCTGTGGTGCAGGGGCAACCTCGAACTCGGCCTTTGGTTTCTCAAGTTTCGGTGTTTCCGGCCCATTGACATCTCCTTGGAAGAACATATGGTCAGTCGGAGGCCCGCTAAGCGTTGCACTGGCCGCATATGCCTCATCAGGAGTCTGCACCATAGGGCTATCTGCCTTTGCAGGCAATTCTGCCCTCGACGATTCTTCGGAAACCCTGTCTGGTATTCTAGCGGGGGAGTTTTCGGCGGCCGCATTTTGTAGAGATTGGCTCGAATTATTGCGATTGTGACGTATAGATTGTCGACCTTGAACTGCGCGGAGCGACTCTCGCACCTCCTTTCTCCCTCGATTTGGCACAGGCGAATTCTGCGGAGGAAGAATCGGAACACCATTGGCACCTCCCAGGTGCTTAGATATTTGATATTGAGAATATCTGCGCGAAGCTCGTCGTTCGAGATCTCCACCCTTCTGTAAAGCTGCGAGGGCGCTTGAAGTATTGTCTGGTGGAGTTGGCGGGGGCGGAGGAAACGAATCGATATTCAACTCTCCTCTAATGGGTCCCGGAGGCGGAGGCGGAGGTGCAGGCGGCCCAGTGGGAATTGTGTTATCGTTCTCTGGGTACGGCGGTACAACTGGCATGCTCTGCATCGTGTTGCTGGAAAGCGAAGATTGCTCCGATAACACAGATACTCGCGACGAATCACGCTGGGCATTGAATCGGCGTGGAGATTGGTTGGTACTGCCACTCGATGGAGGCAGAGGGTCAACCGGTTGCGAGTCAGTTTGGAAACCATTCTCTAAACCCTCTTCCAACATGTTGGTAAGCCCGCTGTTGGTGCTGCCAACGGTACTGACGCTGGTTGCCCTATCGGGTGCATGGCCATCGCGATCTCGAGCTTGTTTCTGACGGAGCTTCTGTTGCTTGCGCTTAAGGCCATGTAATAGATTAATAATAATATCACGAATCCTAGGCAAGTATTTCTCCAAGCTCTCTGCGCTGGCCTCTTGACTCAAGGTCGCCTCGAGAATATGTCGCAATAAGTCGGGGACATTTCCCAAGTCGGACGTGTCAACATGAATGGCAGTGAAGGCGCGGCACGCCATATTAAATTCGTAGCCCAAGCGCACGTAAACGTCTGACACCTGGCTGTCGGTAGCTTGGCCGCGCGACCATTGCGTCAATGTTTCGAGAAGCTGTTTCGTTGCGACGAGGAGGTGGGTAACACTCTTTTCGATTTGCGACAGAGGCATGTTGGAACCGCTACCAGAGCCCTAGATAGAGAACAAGAGTGTCAGCTTCTTGCCTGCAATTGGGCATGGACGTGGGGCAGCAGCAGGGCTCGGCAGGGGCACAAGTTCGCCCACGTTGTGCGTATACTCACTTCACGATTCATCCTACGAGAGCCTGTGGACTGGACAGATCTCGCCGAGGCGCTCGACGTTCGGGCCTGCAGCGCTGGTGAGATGGAGCGAACAGGAACATTGGGTGGCGGCCCGGGCTCGGCGCCAGGTGAGCGACGATGGGCGAAGGCGCGTTGGGAACCGGATGACGGAGCTTGCATGGCGGTTTATGCTGTGTAATATCTGTATAGTCGCGACAAGAAATACGTGGTCGATGACGCTCGAACAGGGCAATAAGGAGCGGCAATTTCCGTCGAAGGGCGGTTGGCCTGGATATCGAGCTCAGCGGCAGAGTTACGCTTAATGATCGGATTTTGGTGGCCTTCGAGGGGCAAGAGGCATCATCAAAACGAGCGACAGGTGAGCAGCTTGCAAAAAACGGGCGTTGAAGGACGTGAAAGGGTGTCGCGGGAGGAGGTCGAAGCAATCGATATGGTGAGGGTACCGAAGCCGACGTTGAATGGAGGAGGATGGTGGGATAGAGTTGATAACTCCAGAGTGTGAAGTGGATGATGATGGTGGATGGAGGTCGCCCAGCGGCCTAGAGATACAGCACCTCATCAGCGACCCAATCGCTAGAATAAGGTACCAGTGCCCGACCTGGATCCATGCCTTGGAACCCCTGCATCAGCACGTGCCACCATTGGATAGCGTGTCTACGAACGTTCTTGGACCTAGAAACATGCCGGATTCTGGGGACTTTTAATATATCGGACACCATTTGAAACGGTATGTATGCTTTCATGATTTGCTCGATAACCTTTTACTTACACGGTTAGACTAAGTAAAGCAAACGTTTAAAAACGGTTTTAGACGATTGCTCACTGGAATGATCATGGTATACCAGACCTAGTTCGGTTATCATGATAGCGTTCGATGGTGAGTCTTTGTAACCCAAACCACAGACCAACGTGGCTCTACCTGATTTAACAACTCCCATAATAAACTCTGTCCTAAAACCACCAAATACTTGATTTCTGTATTGGTTACTCGTTATCCATGACATATATGCCGCAGAACGCGCTGTCGGCTAGGGAACGGCTTTACCGCTACCACCGTCTTGGCCAGCACTAGCTCTAATCTCAAGGATCCGGGGTTCATGACCTGTATGCATGACCTTTGTTTCAGAGAGTTGTTTTGCTGCAACAACAAGTTGTGTGGTCACATGGGCTGTGGAGGCTGAATTGCGGCATATAAGCATATGTCGCAGGGCTTATTGCGAAGCAACTCTTTTCTTTGAGTTCCTGGGATAGAACTAGCAAAACGAGGTGGTTGTTCCGTTGAGAACATCTGGGCATGGGTTAGTTCAAAGTCGAGATAGATGTGTTTTGTAAAACTCCTCTTTGACGATAATCATATTTGCTCGAACTTTCTAAAAAGGACATCTTTAGCTTGATCTTCTGAACTCTGAATTCTCAAGATACCTTACACACAGATAACGAAGTTATCCACCCATCAACAAAATAGTTAAAGTACCTACTTTTATTTATTTTTACGACAGTGATAAAAGTCTTATCTATAACATAAAGTAGGACGTGCCATGATATCCATGGAATTGCGTCCAAAAGCTGTAGAACATGATAACGGTGTTTGAAAGCGTATGGCATCTGGCTTACACCAGTCGGGAACGGGGTTTTTCTTTAACCACCTTCTCCGCATATTCCAGTCAGAGTCAGCTACGCAGAACCACCAAGCCTGCAGGTAACAGCCTAATAATATCATTAGCCTCTGTAAACAGCGATACCATAACTTATGGGCTAAACGGCTAGCGGCACCGCCTCAGCAGCGCGTGGCACTGAGCCGCTGTCATCATATCCAACAGTCCGACATCTTGTTGAAACGGTATCTGAGAGAGAATGCCACCCACGATAGAATGGCCGAAGTCCTGGCCCATGAAGTTGCAACGTTGTTCTCAGCTACGGGAACTATCTGATAGGATGGTTGTCAGATTTTAGATACAGTATGTAACCCGCAGTCAATGACATATCCTGAATGGTTCAATGGCGTACGCCAGGGCTGAACTTAGGGGCCGGTTCAGCCGTCGGGGTTGTTGTCTCGACCCTTAAGCTCCGTTTGTGAACTAGTTAATGTTAGGTGATGGTGGTGTAAGTCCAAGCCACCACAGTGTTGTGGTTGTGATAGACCAAAGTATTTAAATACGAAGAATAGTCCATCATTATAGGTATTCAGTATACAAATACACTCCAAACAGATATCTCTGTACTATATATCATACCCTACTCTACATACACGATCTAGCAATGGGAAATCGCAAGATTGCAATCATCGGTGCAGGCCCAGCTGGTAAAGTCGTACCATTGAACCATTAATAACCCATCCTAACATATACCAGGCTGCCTATTAGCAAGACTCCTTCATCTTGCAGGCACTGAAGTCACGGTCTTTGAAGGAGAAGCACACCCCAACTTCCGGTCCCAAGGAGGTACACTCGACCTACACACAGCCACCGGTCTTGCAGCTCTCAAAGAAGCACAACTTTTTGATGAGTTTCTCAAGCACGCTCGCTACGATGGGCAGTACATGGCCATTGTCGACAAAAATCTGGAATACCACCTTGTTCGAAACGCAGTAGGGAAATACAACAAGATCGAAGAACGCCCTGAAATCGACCGCTCTAGCCTTCGTGAGATCTTGTCTCAATCACTCCCTGAGGGTATGATAAAATGGGGCTATCATCTCAAGAAGATTGAGGGCCGAGCACTTGTCTTTGATCACACCACCGTTGACGGATTCGATCTCATAGTCGGCGCAGATGGCGCTTGGAGCAAAGTACGAAAGGAGGTCGACCCAACTCTAATACCGGAGTTCGTAGGCATTGCAATACATGAGCTTGAAGTCAAAGATGCCGAGAACAGAGCCCCTGAGCTATGCAAGCTGGTCAACCGGGGTAGTGTCTTTGCCAGTACAGATGGAAACCGCACAACGATTCAGCAGATGGGTGATGGCAGTCTGAATGTGTACTGCGGTTATGTTACAGACAACGAAGACTGGGCTAAGGCCGAGAATTGCGGCTTCGACCCTCATAATCTCAAGGAGACGACGCAGGCATTGCTCAATACGAGGTACAAAGACTGGGACCCTCGATTGAAGCAGGCACTGGAATTGGCAGATGGACGATGCAGCCCACGATCACTCTACATGCTTCCCATCGGCAGCAAGTGGGAGCACAATCCAGGCCTGACTCTCATCGGCGACGCGGCGCATCTCATGACACCTTACGCCGGCGAAGGCGTGAATCAGGCTCTCGACGATGCAATGCAACTTGCAAAGGCCATCATCAGAACAGCTGATGAAGACGGCAAAGCGCTGGACAAGTCCATCAAATCTTTCGAAGACGACATGTTCGCTAGAATTGGCCCGATCCAGGAACTCACTTGGGGTCTGTTACAGGACTGGATGTTTACGCCTGGAGCTCCCAAGACTGTCATGGCCAAGTCTATGAGCAGACATGTGAGACATCGTCTACCGTGGGCGCTTCAACCGCTGGGTGTGGCGGCTGTGCATGGTTATTATTTTTTGAAGGGTAAGAACTTGGTAAAGTAATGATTATTTAGGGATAGTATTTCTGAGGATAAGATTCGAAACGAGGGATTGTTATTTGACATGCCGGAGCTGTCGGTAGTTGATGTTGGTGTATGGTAGACTGGTACATAATATTATACTTAATTTGAGCCCAAGCCCAAGTACCCCCTTGACTCGGGGAGAAGCCCATGTGACCGGGGGTGCTGATCAGCCATCATAACGACCCTGAATCTCAACGCTCACTTCTCAAGACCCTCATGACCACGTAACACAACCTTATGGAATCGCATTGAGGCATTCCAACAACTACCCAAGGCACTTTCGAAGGGACAGAATGGATAGCTCTCAAGCGCCGCTGATTGCGGGCCACGGCGACGAAGATGAGCTTGAATATGATGTTGCTCTGGACTCTCCCGTTGAAGCCGACAAGCCGAGCAGCGGAATGCCCAGTCTGTTTGTCTTGGCCTTGACTTTTGCTGCTGGCATCAGCGGTTTACTCTTTGGATGTATGTGCCAGATCTGTTACGTGTTTGAGACCTGAATGTTGTGCTGACCGACGAATAGATGACACGGGCGTAGTATCGGCCACCCTAGTATCAATAGGACCCTCGCTCTCGAATCGCGAATTGACTTCGATGGACAAATCGATCATTACATCCTCCACGTCACTCTTCGCACTTATAATATCGCCCTTTTCGTCCGTTCTCGCCGACCGACTCGGACGCAAGCACGTCATCCTATACGCCGATATTCTCTTCATCGCCGGCGCCCTTCTACAAGCATGGTCTTCCACAGTCCCGATAATGGTCGCTGGGCGATGTATAATTGGCGCTGGAGTCGGCGCTGCTAGCTTTGTCGTTCCGTTGTACATTGCTGAGGTAGCACCTGCTGCGCATCGCGGACGGCTGGTGACGCTGAACATCATGTTCATTACGTTGGGCCAGGTAATTGCATATGTTATTGGATGGCTATTTTCCACCTACGGCTCGCAGGCGACAGGATGGCGGTGGATGGTAGGTCTGGGAGCTTTGCCTGCTGTTATACAGGGGGGTATGATTGCCTTCATGCCCGAGACGCCTCGATGGCTTGTCAAGGTAGGAAGGTCTGCGACAGCCAAGGAGGTTATTCGGAGGGTAAACGGCGATGCACTACAGCACAACGCGGATGCGCTTGTCAGGGAGATTGAGATGGAAGTAAGAGAGGAGTCTGAGGCGCAACGCTTGCGAGATCACCAGGCCTCTGGCCGGTGGAAGTGGCTAGGCGGATGGGAGACTCTGATCAGCGAAGGCAGAAACCGCAGAGCATTGGCTATCGCGTGTCTGCTTCAGGGCTTGCAACAGCTCTGCGGATTTGTAGGTGATCCAACGGACTACGAATGCTACGGATGGCTAACACTATCATAGAATTCACTGATGTACTTCTCTGCAACCATCTTTACAGTTATCGGCTTCCAGAGCCCTACGCTTACCTCCATGGTAGTCGCGGTTACAAACTTCTTTGGTACCGTCGCTGCGCTAGGGCTTGTTGATCGCATCGGCCGGAGGAGAGTCCTGCTATATTCGATCCCGTTCATGATGCTCGGTCTGCTGCTGTCCGCATATGGCTTCTCGTTCTTGTCATTGGCAGCAGGAGTCAACACTAAAGCCGACGAACCCCCCGCCACAGCCGGACACGAGATGGCCGCCCTGACTATCCTCATGAGCATCATGATATACGTCGCAGCGTATGCGCTGGGCCTGGGCAATGTCCCATGGATGCAGAGCGAACTGTTCCCCTTGGCAGTTCGATCAGTAGGCAGCGGAGTTGCGACAGCGACGAGCTGGGCAGCCAATTTTGTCGTGGGGCTGACTTTCCTGCCATTGATGGATTTGCTGAGTCCATCTTGGACATTTGTGTTATATGCGGTTATCTGTGGTATTGGATACTTCTTTGTATGGCTTATTTATCCTGAGACGGCTGGGCTAAGTCTTGAGGAAGCAGCTGCTCTGTTAGATAACGGCTGGGGAGTGCGATGATAACCCCCTAGTTAGAATCTGAAATATTATATCACAAATCCAATTTACGATTTGCTTGTTTTAGCGTCAACATGATATGAAGACATTCTTTTTGTCTTGGCCGTATGCTCGAGAGTCTTCGATGGGTAGCGGAGCGGGTCATGATAGGCGATGAGCGGCTTACACGCGGTAAGTCGCGGCCCGTTGAATCCTGGTAAATAAAAAAAAGATTAAAAATAAATAAAAAATAGCTTCAGAAAGCGAAAGCGCGAACAAATTCGCTGACGCCGAAGCTGTTACATCACCCTGCATGTCTAAGCTTCTTCGAGAAGCTTAAGAGTGGAACCACTTCAGCAGGACAATCGGCCGGTTCCCTCTATTGGCTGCAACTTTTTGATGATGCGCGAGGTGCATGTGTATGCACGATAAGGCATTCTACTACTGGTATGACAAGATGGTGTTGATGAGTGAAGAGTGTGCAGAATTTGTAATTCTGCTGCAGGGTTCGTCTGACTGTGGAACTGAGGGAGAGCCCATGCTTGAGATGGATTTCCATGATCTCGTCTCGTCAACTCAGGGGGTATCTTTCTCAGTAACCGAGTTGGTCCATGCTGCGAATACATCCGCCGTTAAAAGACAATGGATCTATAAAGTATAGGGGAACAGGCGGGGACAGCAAGGGGGCTATGATCAGGGCAGATTGGGAACATTTTGAAGCCTAAAGATGGAGACTGGCTCACGAACAAGATTGGGATCTAATAAATACGACGGAGTAGATTGGTATCCATCCACGGATCTCGGCCCCGTTGGCTTGAGACGCGTGCCAAAGGCCATGTTTTCAAGTTTTGTTGCTTACCGAGATGATCTACAGTAAAACAGTCATCACGGAACGTCTGAATAATCAACAGCACACAAATTCTTTTTGCGCTTCAATGGGAAAACATGGACAATGCAGTGGATATAGGATATAGCACCTTTTGCGCCGGATATACCCAGTCATGGGTAGCCTGTAGGGTGCTCGGATCTAATGCAGGCCAAGCCGGTGCCGTACCGAGTGTAGATGCCGAAGACAAGTGGATCTCCCTTCCGGTGAAGACGCCTGAGAGGGTACCAACAGAGAATTTTCAATCGTTGCCAGGGTTCTCAATCGTAAGTTTAGTTCAGTTTAGTATTAATAATTGGTTTCTCTGGTTCCATTTCTCGGCCAAGAAAAGAGATTGGCACCAGGACCGGGGCCGAGTGGAACTGTATCTTTTGCCTGTCGTTACCGAGTATTGTACTTATAGATAACATGACCCCTTCATGATCTCGCCTCTTTGACCTTTTTCTTTTTCTCCTACTATACCATCCACTCTAGCTATTAGAGAAACCACACACACTGTCTTTTCTTCAGCGTGTTCGGTCATCAATTTGAGTCAATTCCTCTCTCTTCTGCTTCCTGACTCGAGTTCGCAAACGTCTTACCTGCAGACGCCCTTGACTTGACCCTTTTCGTACCCGTTAGCGTCGCGATTAAGATCCATTCTCGCCGTTTCCCGAAAAGCCTTTGCAGGGACTATAGCGTCATAGGTCATAGCTACGGCTCTTCTTACAATCGAGGAAAGAGTGGTTGACGCACTTGTACATATAGTAGTCGACAGCGCCCGCACTATTCTCTGTCCGACTCTTCTTGAACTACAACACCCATCATCTGGCGATAATCTTCCCCCATTGATATCATTTGGTTGAAATACCGGACACTACAGCAACAATGGCGGGAAACATTGTAGACCAGGAACTGCTGGACGCAGAGCGTGCTGCTTCTCCTCAGCGATACCAACAGCGCGACAGCGCCGAGATCGAGCGAGTCATCTCCGCCTCGACCGTCTCATCATCCTCCTCCGAAAACTCAGCCCGTCGCCGAAGTCGCTCGATCGGCCAGTACAACAGCATCAGCCGCATCTCAACACAGAACGACCTCGAGCGCCATCCCACCGAACTCAGCCGAATCCAAACCCACCGCAGCCAACACAATGCCACCGTCGGAGGCAGTCTTCGCTCACGAACCGCCTCGCGCGCATCGCGGAAGCCTCTGCCAAACTTTGGCGCTGGCAAGGCGTATCCGCCTCCGCTGCCCGAGCAGGAGCAGTACGTCGTTGAGTTTGACGGGCCCAATGATCCTCTGCACTCGCAGAATTGGCCGCTGAAGAAGAAGCTGATTACTGCTGCTGTCTTGGGTTTCACCACCATGACCTCTGCTTTCACATCCTCCATCTTCTCTGCTGCTACTATGGTTGTCGCAGCAGAGTACGATGTTGGCAATGAGGTCGGTTTGCTAGGAACTACCTTCTACGTGCTTGGTTTTGCTTTCGGTCCTTCGCTATGGGCTCCTCTGTCTGAGTTGCGCGGTCGTCGTCTGCCAATCCTCATCTCCGTCTTTGGTTTCTCTCTTTTTTCAATTGCCTGTGCCACAGCCAAGGATATCCAGACTATCCTGCTTTGCCGATTCTTCAGTGGTTTCTTCGGTGCTTGTCCTCTTGCTGTCGTCGCGGCTGTCTTTTCCGACATGTTTGACAATCGTACTCGAGGTACTGCCATCACTCTGTTCTCCATGGCTGTCTTTACTGGTCCTCTTCTTGCTCCTTTTATTGGTGGTTTCATTGTCCAATCTCACCTGGGATGGCGCTGGACTGAGTACCTTGCCTCCATCATGGGCTTTTCCGCTCTCATTCTTGATCTCATCTTCCTTGAGGAGACTTACCCTCCCGTCATTCTCATCTCCAAGGCCGCTGATTTGCGACGCCGCACCAAGAACTGGGGTATCCACGCCAAGCAGGAGGAAATCGAGGTCGACTTCAAGGAGCTTGTGCAGAAGAACTTTTCGCGACCTTTGCGTCTACTCTTTACCGAGCCCATCATTCTTTTGCTCTCGATCTACATGAGTTTCATCTACGGACTTCTTTACCTGTTCCTTACCGCCTACCCTCTCGTCTTTGTGGGCGTTCACGGCTTCAGCTCTGGTCAATCCGGTCTCTGCTTCTTCGGCATGATCTGTGGTCAACTGATCGCCGGTGCATCGGTCATCGCTCAGCAGCCTTGGTACATCCGCAAGCTTACCGCGAACAACGGCATTCCTATTCCTGAGTGGCGACTTCCCAACGTTATGGCTGGAGGTGTTGCTTTTGCCATTGGTATCTTCTGGTTTGGATGGTAAGTCACTCATACACTTCACTTGTTCAACTTTGTGATAATTACTAACTTGTATTAGGACTGGATTCACTGACGACATCCACTGGATTGTTCCCACTCTGAGTGGTCTCTTCACCGGTTTTGGTCTCATGTCCATCTTCCTCCAGGCTCTCAACTACCTCGTCGACGCGTACCTCATGTTTGCCGCTTCTGCCATCGCAGGCAACACATTCCTTCGATCTCTCTGTGGTGCTGGTTTCCCTCTCTTTGCTCGGCAAATGTTCGAAGGTATGGGAATTCAGTACGCTTCCACCCTTCTCGGCTGCGTCGCCGTTGTGCTTGCGCCCATTCCTTTTATCTTCTACCGATACGGTGCCAAGATTCGCCAGAGAAGCAAGTACGCTCCCACTGCTCCCCCACCTGCTCCTGGTTCCTCCGGAGAGGATGAGAAGGAGACAGATAATGAGACCGCTCTGGCGGCTGTCGTTGCTAGACGAGATAGTCTCGTCAGCGGTACCAACAAGGAGAGCGCTTAAATCCACACTCGTCTTTTTACATATTTGCGTATTTAATAACTAGCAACATCCGATTGAGTTATCGGATCATCCTCTTGAAAGCAAGGTGTTTTATGACTTGGGCCTGTTGGATGATGACGGTGTAGCGGGTTTGCGAAAATATTGTCTTTTGGATTGATACCACGTTAGGAAAAATTGGCCAGATCTCACGTATTACATACCTTGTCATGATTCAAGATGTAATGACAACATCTCTTTTCATGTAATACTTTAATTAATAAAACATACTAAATGCAAACCATGGCGCATGCAGAGAGGTGTGACAACGTCTGAATTAGATGATCAATGGGTAAATACTCGTTCTTGGTGTTTAGACAAGGATGCTGTGAATGGGGAATTAGAAAAGCTAAAAAATTACTCAAATTAGAAAGCAAGAGGGGTGATATTTTGAGTTCAGCCTCGTCGATATGAATGAGACTTTCCAAGATATAAGTTTATCTTGACTGTGACATGACAACTCCACCAACGTCAAAGTCCGAGGTGGACCCTTGCATTATTAAATTTCACTAAACATCATCACATCGCCACCATATCACCCAACCATAATAGCACCAACAGCGCGACGAGATTATTCTCGCAGAGAATTTCCGCCTTTGGAATGATTCGATCTTCCTGTATCTTAGCTAATTGCCAATATGGCCAATTCGGCAGATCAGGTCTTTCATACTCTCGAGCTTGCACAGCAGATTGTATATGAGCTGGAGTTGAAGGATTTGTTCAGAGCTCTACCTATCACGAAGCGTCTATGGGAAAGCAGAGTACCGGACTATGTCTGGGCAGAACATCTCGAACGACTAGGATACCCCAGCCACGTCATGCGAGAAACGTCACAATCTCTTCGGACGAGTTATCTTTGCATATCTCAATCAGTCGATGCCATCGCCCGTGGTGTTAGTCCTGTATCCACCATAGATAAAATTGGCATGAAGCGACAGAAACCCTTTATCAATGCAAGTTGCGAGAAGGATATGGTGCCGCCGCTTGTATGCCAGTCATCATCGTCTGACTTCACGACGTGCGACATTTATACTCTGGACTGCGGAGAACTACGTCTGTTACATGCTGACAAAGCCATGGCGCCCAAGTGCCTCGCCTTCAACGGCGCTTCTGTTATGGGTTGGGAGCCTGAGCATTATATCGTTGTTCGCAAGCTTGAAGATTGGTCTTTGATGTCCCGCTTTGAGAACAATATTCTTCTCAATGTTGATGCTGGCTCTACAGAGTGGGAAGTTTATGAGGACTTCATCATCAGTCATTATAGTTTCCGACCAGAGGGAGCTGATCAACGGCATATTATGGTGGAGTTTTGGGATGACCAGGGCTCCAAGCGCGGTGAGGTAGTTTTTCCAACAGGAGGGAGCATAAATTACTACTCATACATGGGCAACCACTATGTGACAATTTCAAGTCGGTGGCTTATCCAGTCTTGGAATCTCAAAAGCTTAGAGCTCGACTACGAATACGCTATATCAGAGGATGAGCAGAATGATGGACTATACATCGTCATAAGGGAAGGCATCATCTTCCAGTGGAATATCTCAAATCCAGAATCTCGAAAACTGGATTACTGGGCCGCGGACGGCAGACACGTCACCAGGAAGCTTGCATCGATGATTCTCAAATTCGACCCTGACTGGGGACGTATATTCTCAGACGGAAGCAGGGTGACATGGCGCAGCTGGCTCACCCTCTACGACAACGAAGGAGAAGTAGTGAAACGCTCCGATCTGAAGAACAACCTACGAGCTGGAGATGCCCTCCGCGGCGGTATCCTCTTCGATCGGTTCTTCTTTAGCATTTTCCATTTTGAAGAGTCAAGCTGTGCGTCATTGGTTGTCTATTCGAAGACGGGAGAGGAACTGACCTCGATGCTGTTGGAAAGGCAGGATAGATGGTATACGTGGTTCGTTGATATCCTGGGACGTCTGGTAATAGTATATGGAGATGCTGATGGGGGCTTGGATGAGTTGGAGATTGTAGATTTTCGTGGGATATTGGTGTGAGAGGGAGGGTCACATATTTGATTTAGCATGAGCATTTGGGTTGGTATTTATACCATGTGTAGTCTCCCAATGTAAATCACCCTCTGAAGCTTCGATCGTCCTATTTAATAATGAAGCCGCCTACACGTTGAGTTTACTTGAGGAAAGGTTGATTTCAAGTGATGATTACAAGACCATGGACGATTTGTATTCTTTGATGCAACGATCAGCCTGACAAGTCGGAACGATATTAAGAATTAGAAGTCTACCGCATGCTTGCAACCCCAGCACATACCTAAAGCACTGATTAAAATTACTATCCTTAAGTTTGCATAAACTCGAAGAAATTGCCTTCTCGATTACATGGTAATTGACGTACAACTAACAATGGCCTAGTCAGGCTTGGCGAAGTGGACACAGCAGCCCCTGTTTAGTTATTTTGTCAGCTCCATCTCATTTGAACTTGGCGTCCAATCTCACTCGTCTTCCTTTTCACACAATTCACACTCAGCCTTACCAGGCTATTCTATTCCTTCACGCCCTGTCATTTAAAGACATGCAATGGAGCTGATCTCATTCTTTTTTCGGGTGGCCATCTTCACTCTTTTGGCGGCCATCCCCCATGTTCACGCTTCCGCTGATGTTATCGTCCCCTGGAATATGACAGCCGATGAAGTCTATGACCTCAGGGTCCAGAGCGTGGACCCTGACTCTTCTGTTCGTCAAAGAGCAAACGCCTTCCGCATCTATCTCGCTCTGACACCGCCGGGATGGGGCACGGGACCAGTATGCTGGCTCGCATATCAAATAGACATCGACACAACACAAGTCAACATCAGCATCCCCGCCGACGTCGCCCCTGACAAGTCGCGGGTCCGCCTCTCATCAAGTTTCATGAAGAAAGGGGCTGCGAGAACTCAAGGCTTTTCCTACAGCTCCAATACTCTTCTTCTTGGGGCAAACGGGACGTGGAGTCAGAGAGAGCTGGACGGATGGGTCATTGGCAACGCCGATGAGGTTTCTTGCTGGGCTTATGGGTGTGCTAGGAGTTGTGAGGATCAGTACTATACCGGTGATAAGACGCGGTCGAGTGATGGAACCAGTGATAGGAAGGCGGATGCTTGTGTGAAAAAGTGTGCCAAGACTTTGAATCCTCAAGGAGCGGCTGCGAGCACGATGTCGATGCCAAGTTTATTGGTAGTTGGAGTGGTTATTGGGGTTGTTCATCTGATAAGCGATGTTTTTTGACGACCTGGGTCTTTCTTCACCATAAGAGTAAATGGATTAATAATAATTCAATTCTCTTGGCATTCTGATGTATATAAAAGTAAAAAAGTCTATCTCGGGTGAAACTGATCATCCATCACTAATTCATCTAAGTAGCTGCTCCACCGTTCTGTTTGCCCAAGTTTAGTTCTTATACACCGCGCGCAGGCCATCAACCAATTCTTGCTTTCCCTTAATAGTATTCTCATCATAAACAAAATCCTTTACAATGGCACCACCAGGCAAGCCAGAAGTCGTCATCTCCTTGAAGTCCTCGGCATATGCCTCAGGCACGATCTGCTTCCAGTAATCAAGCAGTTGATCCTCCTCTACAAGCACCAACTCAACTTTCTTGCCCGTGATCTCCTCAACCGCGTCTTTGAGATCAGCAGAGCCATATGTTCGGGGACCAAAGAGGTTCCAGTAATGGGGACTAGGCTTGGCGGGTGACAGGAGCGAGTTGGCGCAGTTCTCGGCGACGTCTTTCAGACCGACCTATACGTGCATATTAGTATTGATTTTCTTAGCTTCTTTATCGGAGCTTGGAGCTAGTACTCACCAAGGGGATCTTATAGTCGATGGGTGTGATCCAGGAGTAGAGCTTAGGGTTTTCTTCCTTTGCAGCATCGAGTAGAGGGGTGAAGTCTTCGAAGAAGTAGGTGGGCCTGATAATGGCGACCTCTGGCACAGAATCTTTCAGAATCTCATCAGAGATGTGGTTCAGACGAAGAACTCCCTATCAAAGAACATAGTGTCAGTCTTATTTCAACTCTCAGATGGGAGTTGGACGCCGTACAATACCGCTCGAGTTCTGAGAACCAATGGCCGAAAGGATAAGAAGTCTCCTGACGCCCGCATCCTTCAGAGCCTTCTTCACATTCGTGGCAGACCGAGTTGCCCATTTTGCCTGATCTGTTCCGTCAAGAATAGGCGGAGGAATGTAGAAGACAGCATCTGAGCCCGTGAAATCTAGGCTGCTGCCATCTCTAACGTCGCCTTTCACAGCCTCAAAGTTTGAATTTTGAACAAATTCGGCCGGAGCTTTAGAAGGGTCTCGATAGACAGCTCGAATAGAAGGTTTACTTTCAGACTCGAGAAGAGTGCGGATGGTCTCGCGGCCAGCCTTGGTAGAGGCAGGAAGGACAGTGATATGAGAAGGCATGTTGGGAGAGTAGGAGATTGGTATCAAAGTTGATTGGAGTTGAAGTGATGAATTGCAATATTTCGATATTTTGGAAGATGTCAATGGGGATTTATATAACTATACGAAATCTCCCATGGCATATACAAGACACATGAAATGACATAAGTGGTTCAGACTTCAAACTTAGGCCCTTGGCAGAGCGGCGTAGTTTCGTGTAAGACCACGATCCTCCGCAATATGAGAGGTACAAACTACAAAGTCCGCTTAGACAGAGCGGATATTGAGAGTCCGAAGAACCGAAAGCCCGAAAGACCGAACATCCCAAGACCGCACCTGGAACCTCTCCCCAGTCTTGCATGACTTTGTGGATCTCGGATAAGCATAAATTGGGCCTCGAAAGCTTATTTTCCCCGGCAGCTTACAAATGGTCGCATCCCGGGGATCCTCTCAGCTGGAGAGTGCAGTATCTTAGCGATAATCTAACCTGGAGATCGATGCAATAATTACGAAACGTTTCGAACGGTATGAATACGCTGACGCTGATTATGAAGCTTGTCGTTGAGACTTTACACAAGTCGCCCTAGTACTACAGTAGTACAAGTCGATAGCGTCTTGTCCATAACCAATACTACTCTGCTGGGGAGTTTGAGGATGTTTCCTTTTACTAGCTAACTAGAGACCAGCTTGGATTCTCGGATAACCAAATCTTCAATTGATCTACCACCAATCACGATGCATATCAAATTCGCCATAAAATATGAGAAATACGATTCACCCCGCATTAGAGCTGTTTGTTTGTATACCTTGACTTCAACTATTTACTTCATACTCAACACTTGCTACTGACGATATTTCCAATCACTTGCAATGTCGCCATCCGCCACCACGTCTACCCCAACTGGCCAGTCCATCTTGAACACGGCAAAAACACAGGACGGCGAAGTGAAGCGTATTCGCAAAATTCCCGAATTCTCTACTAAAGAAGCTACAAGACAATGGCAGCTCAAACAAATGGCGGGGGCATTCCGTATCTTTGCTAAGCTCGGATACGCAGATGGAAGCAGTGGGCATATCAGTCTGAGAGGTATAGCCATACATGCCCTGTTGTCAAATAACACACTGATGAGATGTAGATCCGGTTCAACCAGATACTTTCTGGATCAATCCATATGGCGTTCACTTCGGGTTACTGACTGTCTCCGACATGGTTCATATTGATGAGAGCGGCAATCGTATCGGAGGCGCAGAAAAGCCCGTCAACACAGCTGGGTTTATTATCCACGCTGCAATTCATAAACAACGTCCGGATATTAATGCCGCCTGCCATCTTCACAGCCCTTACGGCCGTGCCTGGTCAACCTTTGGCAAGTCCATCGACATGCTCAGCCAGGACAGTTGCATGTTCTACAACGATCTAGCAGTTTACGCCAACTTCGGAGGCGTCGTCTTTGCTCAAGAGGAAGGCAATCGACTGGCCGTCGCTTTGGGTACTACCAAGAAGAACATCATTTTGCAGAATCACGGGCTTCTGACTTCAGGGGGCACGATTGGTGAAGCAGCGGCTTTCTTTATTGCTCTGGAACGAGCATGCCAAGCGCAATTGCTTGTAGAAGCGGCTATGGCTCCTAATGGTTCGCAACTCAAGAAAAATCTGGTGAGCGATGAAGAAGCGCAGTATACAAAGGATAATACCGGAAGCCCCGAGGCGATGTATATGCAGTTTGAGCCTGAGTATCAGATGATCTTAAAGGAGTCGAAGGGTGATTTCTTGCAGTAGTAGTGTGTTGCAACTAGTTCGCAATATAGTTGTTTGAGAAAATAGGTTGAGTTGTATACATAGTTATTGTGTTATCTGGCATTGTGTACAGTGCCTCTAATTGTGTTGAAAAAAGATTACTGTATTATCCCTTTGACTCAGCCCAATTATTACTTTTTATGGGTATGTATTCTATTAAAAATAACAGCTTCGTCTATTCTCTGGCTATATTTTCGGGCAGACGGCCCTATGGTTAAATGCTCCGGGAATCTTGTACCACGGCATGTAAGTTTGCCTGTAGAAGTAACTGTGGGTATGCGGAGAACCAGTCGTCATATTATTAGTACATTGGGCTTACTCGAACTCCTCCGAGGCTCACATCGGCCATTTGCTTCTGCAGCAAGGAAGTCTAACCGGTCAGTCTATAGTTTGTGAAAGAAGGGTCATGACAGTTTGACAAGATGCGCTTCGTTGGCAACCTCTCTCTCATCAACGCCGGGCGCGCTCTTTTTGGGCTACCACAAGCGATTCTCTCTCCACCACACGAGACATCCTCTGCCCCAACCGTCGCAATAAAGAACGGCACATATGGCGGAGTATACAATAGTCAGTACGATCAAGACTTTTTTCTTGGTGTCCCATTTGCCCAGGTAAGTCTCAAACTCTTGCTCCTTGCTCACAATGACCTATGACCGATGACCTACAACTAATTCCCGCTCAGCCGCCTGAGCGGTTTTCAATCGCCCAAGGACCTAATACTTCATGGGACGGTGTTCGACAGGCTACTGAATATTCATTACATTGCTACGGCTACGGTTGGGACCAGGATGGATTCGAACAGTCCGAAGACTGTCTCTATCTGAATATAATCCGACCAGCAGGTCTCAAGGACACCTCTAGGCTCCCTATCGCTGCTTGGATTCATGGAGGTGGCCTGTTTATGGGCGGTGCTTCAAATCCCAGATACAATCTATCATTCATCGTCAACCAGAGTGTTGCACTCGGCACACCTGTCATCGGCGTCAGTCTCAACTACCGTCTTTCTGCCTTTGGGTTTCCTACAGGCAAGGAGGCCTTGAGTGAGGGTGTCACCAATCTCGGCTTCCGCGATCAGCGACTTGCGCTCCGCTGGATAAATGAAAACATTGCGGCTTTTGGTGGTGACCCCGATAAAGTTACGATTTTCGGTGAGAGCTCAGGCGCTGAAAGTGTTGCGGCTCAGATCCTTGCTTACAATGGTGAGTTTGCTACAGTTCCAGGATTACTATATCACATCTGATCAGAACAGGACGCGACGATGGTCTTTTCCGAGGAGCTATCGCCGAATCTGGCTTTGGTGCTCCTCTTGACCGATTCCCGGGTGGTTTCAACGGGACTCGACGTATGCAGGATACTTACGACTCCCTCGTTAGCAGTGTTCCATCATGTGCAAACCTGGTAGGGTTGCAGGAATCTCTGGCTTGCTTACGAAAAGCACCTCTGATAGAGATACATCAAGCTTTGATTGTTAATAATGGTCGGACTTGGGCTCCTGTCTTGGATGGAGACTTCTTTGCGGATTATACTACTAATCAGTTCGAAAACGGGTGTTTCAACAAGGTGCCAATCCTAATAGGTGCGAACACAGATGAAGGAGCGTCTTTCGGCTGGGGCAGGCGACCAAACGGTGGTAACGTCGACACTGACGATGAGATGAGAGAAGCTATCGCAACTATAATCCCACCTGAAGCAGAGGAGAATACAGGGAAGGCGGTTTCCGAACTTGTTGACGAACTAATGGAATTGTATCCCAACGACCAGAGCATTGGCATACCGTCCTTGGATTCCTGGCCGCATATCATCAAGCCAGGCGATTCCTATGCGAACCAATTCGGAGCTCAGTATCGACGGTCTGCTGCCTTTTTCGGAGATCATCTCATGCAGTACCAGAGACGCCGTGCTAATAAAGCTTGGGACAAACATGGCGTGCCTAGCTACGTGTATCGTTTCAATATCAGGCCAAACGGACAGCCGGCATATTCTGGCGTAGGACATTTCCAAGAGGTAAAAGACATCTATATATTTGTGGGCAGAAGCTAATTTCCAAAGGTCGCTTTTGTCTTCTACAATATTCATGGCAACGGATACCCTACCAACCCCTTCGAGGGCGAAGGGACGTATCCTGCGGATGCCAAAGTCATGGCCAAGACCATTAGTACAGCATGGATCAACTTCTTCGCTGATCTCAACCCCAATGGAAATTTAGGATCCAAACTCTTCAGTGGCAAAGAGTGGCCTGTGTATGGATTGTCGGATGGCCCTGATGGGAAAGGTGTTGTATTCAACATCAATGGAACCCATGTTGAAGTCGATAATTGGCGATCCGGTGGTATGGAATGGATGGCTGAGCATGCATTAACAGTGTTTGGAAACTAAACAGCCATGTTTAATGTTTGGAAATGTGGGATTGAGAACATATAGATCGATCAAGACGCACTACCACCTTTGAGAGTAGCACGAATATACGCCACCACATTCAACCTGCCAATCCACGACTTTCCCACCCTGCCAAATCATAAAGGATCTGCTCCGCAAGGGGAATCTTACCAACGGGCCTCTCCCACATAAGACGTGGCGACAGAAGCTTAAGACCGTTGCGATCTCGACACATCTGTTCCAAGACTCTTCTCATTCCCGTAGTACTCCTTATCCGCCTTTCCTTCGTCCGACTAATCCAATCCTCCTTCTCTTCTTGCTTCCAGACGTTCGTCTTGTTCAAGAAGGCTAGTATCATGGCCGCCATACCTACAGCGATCGGCGTTGCGACTGATGTACCGCTCATCTTGCGGAAACTCCCACCTGGCCAGTGACTAAGGATATTCTCACCAGGGGCGACAAAAATGGGAAATTCCCGGTTTGTGCCAGGAGCGAAATCCGAAGGTTTCCCCATGTCATTGCCTGATGTTACGCAGATGGCCAGAGAATGATCATGCGCTGGCCAGGCTATAGCTTGACTATCCCCATGGTTTGCAGCTGCTGCAAAGATGATACTCTTTTTAGCTACTTTCTCAAGAGTCTCAGTAAGTTGCCAAGAGCTTTCTTCTGCAAACCCCAGTGACAGGTTAACAATATCGACTTCGTTCTCCATTGCCCAATTAAGTGCCTGCTACAGTGTGAGTCCCTTTCAGACCCGTGTATATGAGAACATGCTTACATCTTGTATTGGATGAGACTCCTTTCTATGCCTTTTCTTTACCATTCTCTCGCTCTCTTCTTTGCTTCTCGGATTTTGCGCTGAACTGACTTTGGCAATGTAGAGTTCCGCTCGCGGAGCGATAGCCATAATAAGGCCAGCGATATGAGTTCCATGGCCAACCTTATCAGTCACGTCATCTTCAGGGCCGTCTGTAAAGTTCTTGCATCCCATAATTCGTTCTTTTTGCGTCTTTTCTGGGAGTTGTTTCGCGGCAACCTTCGATCTTCTCTTGGCGCATTGATTAAAGTCTGGGTGATTTAAATCAATTCCAGTGTCTAGGATTGCGATCTTGACCGGCCCAGTCCAATTCCTACGGGGGTCCTCGATGTCGTCTTTAGGGCTCCATTGGATTTCATTATACCATGTTCGCTCTAAAGTCTTGAGGTAGTTTTCAAAATACTCAGAGCTACCCTGATTAGTATTCGGAAAATTCGAATTAATAGCGAGACAAACTTTTCTGATGATGATACTGAGGTTTCATCTATTTTTGCATCGTAAAGTGTATACAACTCACCTACATATGTAAGCAGGGCAAACACGCGAGGCAAACACTCTTTGATGAACTTACCAACTTTTTCTTGATCGTCTCCTGGTCCTGGGGATGGTGTTCTGCAGTATGGTCTGTCCTTAGGAGGTTTCAAAGTATCGCTTTCGTCCGTTTCATTGTCTTTGCCGTCTACTTCGGATGGAGCAACATGCTTGATTGCCAGCAACATTGGCAATCGGTGTCCATTGTGTCTAGCGACCTTCCATGCGGTATCACCATTGTCGTTCTTTACTACACGACTCGCACCATGATCGAGTAGAATATGAAGCACCTTCTTGTCCCCCTTTTCAGCGGCCATCATGAGGGGCGTCCAGCCTGACTTCGTAGTACAGTCAACCTTTGCGCCATGCTCGAGAAGAACAAGAACACAGTTCTCGTATCCGTCCCTTGCAGCACGATGGAGTGGATGCCATCTCTGAGGCGATCTTGCCTCCACTATGTGTGAGTCGATGTGTAGGAGATAAGCAATGGCTCGATCGAGGTTGTGAGCTATGGCCCAATGGATGGCAGCTATCATATCAATAGGTTTGTCAGGTTTGACATGCCGATCAAAGAAGTTACCAAAATCCCCTTTCTCACTGGCACATTCGAAAATGTGGCTAAAACGTTTGTGGTCACCTTGTCGTAAGCCCTCAACAAGACTGCGAGGGGATGCTCCTTTCTCGTTGGTGATCGTCGGAGATGCCCCATGAAAAAGAAGAAGCGCGGCTGCGGATGTACAGCCAGATTGAATGGCGAGATGTAGAGGAGTATTTCCAGCTATCGTCACAAGCTTTGGTTCCGCTCCATTAAGGAGCAGAGCTAAGATTATGCTGGGCGACTCTATCTGTGCAGCAACGTGAAGCGCGCTACGTGTATTGGTCTTTTTATCTGACTGTGCGTTGACTTCAGCTCCCTGACTGATGAGAAGTCTTACAATCTCAAGGTTTTCAGCTTCGGCCGCAAAAATAAGAGGAGTAAGCTGGTGAAAGCTTCGTGCGTTGACATCAGCTCCTTTATCGAGAAGGCTTTTGACAATCTCAGTACGGCCAAGTTCGCAAGCGCTGTGCAAGGGAGTTCGCCATTTCTTTGAGCCCTTGCGACTTCTCGCCTCAAGACAATCTTTCGGATACAATGTCAGAAGCTCAATAGCGATATGAACTCTCTTATCGAGAATAGCAGAGTGTATTGCATCGCCCCGGTCTTCTGGTCGTGTCTCAGGATCAAATTTATGAGTGCGCATGTATTGAGCATAGTCTTCCGGTGTCATGGCTGCAATTTTGAGTCTTGCCAATATTGGGTCCGTCCTGGAGCAACTAGTTATCGCGTGAGTTTGCGGGGAAGTCCTTGCTTATGGCGATCTACAGAGCTTGCTGCATTTCCATATGGTTCTTATAAACACAGCTGCATTGCGCTATAACGTCAATGGCGTCATCAGTGTTACCCCAGTCCCGTCAACCCACGGCGATCTGCTTCGCAGCGATTACTTATTGCTCGGTGCTGCCTGTGTTCAGGTGTAGAAATGACATAGCAACAAAGCAAGATGGCATTCAGCGACAGAGCCAAAAAGTACTGGATCATTCCTGAAGAGTGTCTTGATCCAGATGACCTCGTCCTTGGTAGCATTCTCAAGTACCCAAACGATCCGATCGATATCCTAAATCGAAAAGAGGTTGAGCCTATTGACCCTTCAGCCATCGTCAGTGAGCGAGAACAAGTCACAAAAGGCTTCAGTGATGCTCTGGACACTGGATTTGGCTCCAAGATAGGAGCTTCCCCTGTTCTTGCTGCTGTACTAGGGGCTTCTCCATTTGTCGAAGGCAACTGGAAGAAAGGCACATCCTATACCTTTGAGGCAACAAAGGTTCGAGCGCAACGTTTCATACCAACGGCGGGTTATGTAAATAAGGCACTTCGCACACAGCAAGTCGATGCCTTTGTTCGAAATTCTTTCTTTAGTGCGCCTGTCTACATGGTCGTTGGCACAGCTGTTGCAAGAACCTTATCACGAACAGCAGAGAAGTCCCGTGGCCGAGGAGGCGGCGCCGGCATGGGAATAGGGCCTCCAGGCTTAGGTGTTGAAGTATCTGCAGAATTGACCGCAAATCGAGACAAGGAGTCGACCTATCATGACTCGACTGATGAAGATGTCATTCTGGCGTATCGTCTCCGTCGCTTTCAGTATTCGAAGAGAAAGGACGAATTCAAGCGAAGGGACCAGGACGAGACCGATCATGCTCGCTACAGTCTAGAAGAGCAATTGGGATCTGAAGAGGAAGAAGAAGAGGATGATGCTTATGTAGCTACATTCTCCTATTTTGATGGGGAAGACGTTGACCCATCAGAAACAGACATGGCCGGGTTCGTCGAAGGTGTTGATGAAGAAGAGGGCTCTGATGTTTCGAGTGAATGAGGATGCATTATGAAAGGCTTGGCGTAGGAAGGTAGAACCTCAAGGAAGAGTTATCAAGAATATTGGTCATCTCTATTATGAATATTAGAGTCCTACCTCACTCTCTCAAGTGACTTACACTCACCATTTGTTGTGGGCCAATATCAACTCTGAGCCAGTGGCATTTCTGAGGAGTTTCGGAGTCCAGATTAGGAAGGCAAATCGAACATCTTCACTGACTACAGGGTACCTACCTCACTTATTTATAGGTAGAAATTACCCCAGTGTAGACAGAGTTCAGCCAAACAATTCGTTCTTATTAATTACAAAAGTTGTTGCTAGGAAATTCCTGTACAGGCTTTGTTTATTCCACATTCTCAATCTTTCAAAATGTCTTCTGACGAGTCCAAGCCAGAGGCTACCTATGAGGCAGGCTGCCACTGTGGCTATATCAGCCTCTCTGTGGCGCTCTCTCCTCCTCTGCCCGAGCATGAGGTCACGAACTGCAGTTGCTCTATTTGCCGACGAGGAGGCTATCTTCTTGTTTGTACGAATTATGAGACCTTATCTTTTGTACTATGTTAACACAAACTATTAGATCCATCACACAAGAAGGTAACTTGGCACAACGACTCGGACAAGCGTCTCTCACGATATCTCTTCAACACCAAGACGAGAGACCATATGTTCTGTCCCAAATGCGGGACCAGCATTGGAATTGACTTTGAGAAAGCAAAGCCCAGCCATCCATCTTACGGTATCAGTGTATGTGGAGTAAACCGTGATGATATTTTGGAGATCGATAAATTGACAACTTGCAGGTGCGACAATTTAACAACATTGACTTAGACTCCCTCCGTTACACAAAGTTTGACGGCATGCATCAAGTAAAGCCCGCCGTTGATCTATCGGGTAGGGAGTTTGACTCAACAACCAGCGAGCCCCCTGCTTCTGATGTCTAGATTGCGGAAATATTGCACGGGTATGTCAAACGGATTTGACGTTGACAGTTGAGATGGTGCGAACTCGTTTCAAAAGCGATGGCGCACGGTCTGGTTAGGAAAAGCACCAATTGAAAGATCGAGATGATGGACCAAGTAGCTGAATCTTGCTGGGGTCCCAAGCCATTTACGCAAGCTTTTTGAGGTGGGGGTTGGATGATCATGCCATGGATGCGTTGCTTTTAAGTTAGTCTCACTGTCAATTCCCTGCCCTGTCTGCCCTGTCCGGCTGAGCTTGCACCAGCTTGGCCTTTCCGATCAGCGATTAGAAAGCCTTGGCTTGCATGAAGCAGGGTGATGTGACGAGTTATCTCGATGAACCTATAGCCAACTTTAACACTGTCACAGAATTGAACGAACGCTTCCATTTGCAAAATGTGCTCCTTGTGCTGTTTAAAGTGATAAGACCATTTAGACGTCACTCACATTCTGGTGGCGCTCTGGAATTAGAGCTCCCAGCCACGAGTGCGGGGAGCTTCCACCCCGCTGTAGCCTCCCTGACGCGGCTCTTGGAGACTTAGACCACTGAGGTGGGCACTAAAACAGATCGCCCGGGCCAGAGCTCCCTGATAGCAGCTACGTACCCATGGATAATCGACGTCATCGACCTCATTCTTGCCCTGCACTTGATTGTTTTCCTTGGTTGATTGCGTTTCAAGCAACCATCCCAAAGCGATGAATCAGTCGCAATGGGCCAAGTAATACTATTTGTGTGACGCTAATAGATTTCTGCTGTCGTGTGAATATTTCCATTTCTCCTCCCCATTCCCCTCCTCTTCCTCTCTTCTTCCCCTTCCCTCCTTAGATCTCACTACCGTCGAGTTTGGGGAAGCTCACCATCAGCTCAAATCTCATCTGCTTCAGATCATCGCCATCATGTCGCAGGCTGATCAGCAGCCGGTGCCTCCGGCCGGCCAGCATTACAGCGGCCGGAACCGCGTGCCCAATGTTCGCGAGTTCATGGAACAGTTGGATTCGAACAAGAAGAAGCGTGATGCCGAGATTGACGAACAGCTCAAGCAGAATAACGTCCATGGAGAGACTAAGGACCACAAGAATGACAGAGCCGAAGCTCTTCGACAGCAAAAAGACATCCGCACCGTGCGTGATCCTGTAACTGGAAAGGATGTTGGTATTCGAGACGCAGACATTGATTTCAAGGAAGCCGTTGAGAACCCCCAGGTAAGCCGACGAGAAAGCATTTGAAGAAGCCAGTCAATAACCAATAATTCCTCAGCTATCTGTCCCCAACGAGAACCTCGGAAAGCCTGCCACTATTGCAACTTCTTCGAAAATGTCTGGTGAAGAGTACCGTTACGCCCAAGACGTCACTGCGCCCCCAGACCCTGTCAAAGAGGGTGCTACATCTGATGTGCCCATTAGAAGCGAGAAGACATCCGTGGTGTTCTACAAGACCCCCTCAGTCAGCTATGAACCCATGTTTGCAATTCTCGAGGCGCGCAGCAATGTCTTGTGCGCTGGTATTTTCTGTGCCATTGTCTTTATGGGCAAGATGTTTGGTGGCCGCCTTCTCGGTCTCGTCCCTTTGGGTTTCTGCGTCGCTTCAGGAGTGTTCCTCTGGACAAAGGACTTGATTCGCCAAGGCAGAGATCTCGAATGGTCGAGTGAGCAAGACCGTGGCGAGACTGCCACCGCAAACCTGATCCCTGAGTCAGTCGAATGGATGAACACAATGCTCGGAATCATGTGGGGGCTGATCAACCCCGAGATGTTTGCTGGTGTTGCCGATACGTAGGTTACTCGTTCCATTGACACATACACCCATACTGACTGTACCAGTCTCGAAGATGTTATGGCTGCCTCTGTTCCTGGTGTTATCGAGAACGTCCGCGTCGCAGATATCTCTCAGGGCAACAACCCCATTCGCATTCTCAACATGCGCGCTCTGCCAGATTCGCATGTCCAAGATATCAAGGATGAGCAGCACAAACAGAACGAGAAGAATACCGACCCTGAGGAGCTGGCAGCCAATGAGCAAGCTGGCTCTTTCTACAACCTTGAAGTCGCCATTGCCTACCATGCTAAGCCCTCAGGTGCGGACATCGCATCCAAGGCCCGCAACATGGGCATGCAGCTTGTTTTCTATCTTGGTATCAAGGGTCTATTCGGTGTCCCACTACCTATTTGGGTCGAACTCCAGGGTCTTGTGGCAACCGCTCGAATCCGACTCCAGCTGACCCCTGACCCTCCATTCCTCAAGACTCTGACTTTCACACTGATGGGAATTCCCAAGGTCCAGGCTGGATGCACACCCATGATTGAGAAGGGTGTCAACATTCTAAACCTACCTCTTATCTCCAACTTCGTCAACTGGGCCATTGGCGCTGCCGCATCCATGTATGTGGCTCCCAAGAGTCTGTCGCTAGATCTCAGCAAGATGCTTCAGGGTGACGACATCAAGAAGGAGACTTTGGCTCTTGGTGTCATGTTTGTCCGCATCCACAAGGCTACTGGCCTCAGCAAACAAGATCAGCGTGGAAGCAAGGGCGGTGGTTCTGACCCATACATCACCATTGCCTGGAGCAAGTTCTCCAAGCCTCAGTTCTGTACTCGAGTGATCCAGGATGACTTGAACCCCGTTTTCGAGGAGACCGCTGGTCTTCTTGTCACTGCCGATCTCCTTAAAGCTGACGAACAGCTTTCGGTTGAGCTTTGGGATAGTGATCGATCTTCTGCTGACGATGTTGTTGGCAAGGTTGAGCTCAGTATCCAGAAGCTTATCCAGCACCCGGGTAAAATGTTCCCTCAAGTGTCCAAGCTTCGTGGAGTTAAGGCTGAGAGCGAGATGCCTGGAGAGCTTCACTGGGAAGTGGGATTCTTTGGAAAGACCCAATTCCGTAAGGCTCTTCGAACCGATGGCCGCGATCTCAATCTTCCTAAGGAACTTGCAGACAAGCCTGAGCTCCAGGAGGAGAAGGGTGCTATCGACACAAAGGAGGAAGATGCTGTCATCCACACCCCCCCTGACCCATTGTGGCCTTCTGGTGTTTTGAGCATTGTTGTTCACCAGATTGTTGGATTGGAATTGGCTAATATCAAGGGTTCCAATGGCAAGAGAAAGGGCAGAGAGTATGAGCCTGCTCGCCCCGAGGCTGGTGAAGTTAAGGAGGAGCAGTCCAAGACTCTTCCTAGCTCTTACTGCACCATTCTCCTGAACGACGATCTTGTTTACAAGACCCGAACCAAGGTTGTTTCTTCTCAGCCAATTTTCAACGCTGGAACCGAGAAGTTCATCCGTGATTGGCGTTCTGCTATTGTCACTGTGGGCGTCCGTGACTCGCGTAACCGTCAACACGACCCTCTCATTGGAGTCGTGCCTCTGAAGCTCACCGATATCCTTCAAACCAGCAGTGAGTCAACCAGATGGTATCCTCTGGATGGAGGTATTGGCTTTGGCCGTATTCGTATCTCCCTGTTGTTCCGTTCCGTTGAGCTTCGCCTCCCTCCTCCTCAACTAGGTTGGGATATTGGAACTTTCGAGTTCTTGTCCAAAACTATCACGACAACTGGATATGCTCCTTCGAACCACGTCAAGATTCGTCTCCGCACTGGAGGCTCATCTGCCGGCGTCGGTAAGAGTTCTTCCACACGCGAAGCTGATGGCATGTCCTTCAATATCAGCGGCGACGATGGGAACCAGCAAGTGCGCCTACCTGTGCGCCACCGTTATAGCTCACCTATCTTTATGGAATTCTACCCTAGCGGAAAGCGACACCCTGATACTTATGCTGTTCTTTGGCTTCTGGAGCTTGTTGACGGTGAGGAGCATGACTTTGACATCCCTGTCTGGAAATGCAACAACAGCCTGCGACTTTCTCAGAACTACATCACCGAAGAGAACTACAAGTCTGTTCCTGATATTGAGATGGAACAAGTTGGACGAGTTAGGTTCCAAGGACGCTTCTCCGCAGGAACGGATTCCGATCACATCAAGTTTGCCAGCACAAACGACGATCGCGAGACGATTGAGACTTGGGAAGCTTGCTACGCGGAAGGAGTGCGCCAGCAGGATGTTGCGACAGAAGTGCCTCCTGTCATTCAGAAGCTCCACGAGGAGTCATTAACTCATGGCCGTGACGTTCTCGCTCAAGCTGACGAGAAGCAGAAGGCCAAGTGGCTTGCCAAGGATGGTACTGACTGGAGCGGAGCGTTTGGTCAAGATCCGTCTTCCCTGATGGCGAGAGAAAAGCAACACAGCAAAGACAGTGAGGAGTACGACGACTTTGACGAAGATGACGACTCAGATCCTGATCTTGGCATCCAAGACGGAGATACCGAACCTACCGATTCTTCTGATAACGGTCGCCAATCGGTTGATACCACAGGCACAAACGCAACAAGCGCCACCACCGATTCACAAGCCAGCACTAGCAGCATGAACCCCATCAAAAAGATCAAGTCATACCGCTCGGACAGTCGCGACATGCATCGCAAGCACCGTGGCCTCATGCAGTGGCGACCGATGCGCAACCTGCAGTTTGCCAAGGACGAAGCCAAATTCGCAGTTCGAAAGGTGGCCAAGCTTGGAGCTCTGGATGGTCGAAAGCCTGATGTTGAGACTGAGATTTAATATGTTTCGATTCTCCTTTCCTATTCAAGAAATAATGACTTAGGATGGCGATCGGTGAACGGATGAAATTGATGATGGCACGATTGGAGTTTGGTGATTATGGTTGTCTTGTATACATACAAATAGTAGTCATTATGCGAAATGAATCAATCCTTCAACGAGAGTCCATATGCTTCGCAACCATCAACGCGTAAAATCTGGTTGTAACGCGAGTAATTTAACTAAGAGATTAGAGACGATAGTTATTTGTATAAATTAGAATAAAATAAATTATCAGTCTTGAGTATCTATTACTCTAAGGGTTTTGTTTCGTAAGATGTTAGATGGGACGTATGCACGTGAGCAGGAACTGGCCTCGCGCCAATCAATGCTGCTCCTGACGATCTCAACTCTGTGCATATCTACTTTATCACAACGCCTACACTTTACCCCAGTGTGCAGACGACACGTCTATTCCCTCACAAAAAAAATTGATCAATCTTCAATCGATCCAACCGGGACGCTGGGCTGGTCATTTCGTTTACGCGACAAATTTCACATGATTAGTTGAGTCGCGCCGCGCCGCGCAACGCGTTTAAGCTGTATAGGATGAATTTCGACATCAACCCTGGGAATAATGCGCAAAGAAATCAGCACGCTCATTTGCCATCGTATGTCACTCGCTATGGCTCTTTCTCATACAGTTTCGACTCAGATGATCCTTTGGCCAGAGATGCGCCAACAACAAGTAACAGTCAGAGCCCGGTTAAGCAACCAGGGTCTCTTACTCCAAGAGGCCGACCAAATCTCGCTGTTGTTCTTAACAGATCCCCTGCACATCTCGACGCCTATATAGATGTTAGTATTGAGGAAGATGAAGAGGATGTTGATGCGCAGGTTCAGTCAGATCTCTCTCGACGGGGAAACCCGAGGACGTTATTCAAACCAGTGAACGCTGTGCAGAAGTCAATTACAAGCGGAGCACAAACGGGTGCTTCCAGCGACGCAACGTCCACAACACCAGCGCGAAGAAGAGGAAGGCCTAAGGGATCGACCAACAAGCTTAAGGGCTTACCATCAACAGCCGCAGCATCGCGGCAGGCTCGACAAGTCAAGCCGCGGCCCCATCCCGTCGGCTTTCCAAAACGAAGAGGCAGACCGCCAAAGCTTCCGTCGCCTCCTCCAGAAACCATCTACTACAATGTGGATGCACCATTCCTCCCGTTCCTGTGTGAGTGGAGGGACTGCAAGGCTGAATTACACAACCTTGATACATTACGGCGCCACGTTTACATAGTTCATGGCGAGTCTATTCGATGTTTATGGGGAAAGTGTGGACATCGAGAGGATTCTGCGGAGTTTGAGGATGATGAGGGGTTTAAAGAGCATGTCGAAGAGGCGCATCTAGTGCCGTTCTCATGGCACGTCGGTGACGGGCCAAACAACTCTAAGGATCGCAATTCGCCGAAGAAAGACGTGGCGGAGGAGGATGAGATACCCGATTACCTCAAGGATGAGCATGGCAACCAAGTTACACCTTCAATACGAGATCAGCAGGAGGAAGATATTTTCACATGGAAGAAAAACCGCCGCAAGCTTAAGGAGTTGATTGCTCGTATGAACGACAACCTCCCCGATGAGCCTGACGAGGGAGAGGGTATTGAACGACAAGATGTTTGAGGGGTCGAGATTTTGTGGCTTTGGAGGTAGCATTGGGTATAACTACGGTCCGAATCTAATGCATCTCCAGTCTATCTATCATCAAGGCCATGGATACCTAAAAGCTGACTTTGAAAGCTTCGGTATCGCATGAATGTGACAGTGGTACACTGCTGTCAATGGCGTGGTACGGGGACGTTTGCTAGGTGAAACATGCGGAGAGACGTCTTTTACAGCATCGTAACAAAGGAGCCATGGAGCCAGTTATGACGGTCATAGACTGAGGAATCTCAATTGGTACCCCAGGATTTCACTTGTGATGGAACTTTGGTAATTGTTCTACTTTTCAGGGCTGACGAAGGCGTGCAGCCTAATTTCCTTCACTCTCGTATTATTGGTATACTCAGAGACAAAGCGTCATGCACATATCCCGATTACCCGAGAGGGAGGGACGGGATCTTACAGAAAATCATCACTTCATCACTTTAAGGGTGTGTGATTTGAACAAAGACAGCATAACGAGCCAGTTTTGCATTAACATTAAAAAGTACAATTCATAAGCTTTAGCATTTCAACGTCTCAAAACCCAAAATCAAATACCAGCCTTTCTAAAACACGAACACACACTAGATACAAGAATAGCCAATTGGCTGTGCAGGCAATCTTCTTAGTAAGAGTAACTGCCCTTGCCACTGGACAGAGAGTTCTGGACCTGGATGAGACCAGGAGCAGCCAGAGTCACAGCGGGGACATCATCGGGAGTTGCAATGTCGCAAGAGGTGGTCAAAGCAGCGTGGGTGAAGCCCTGAGCAACAAGCTTCTCAAAGGGGAACTCGGCCTCGACGCTGACACTGTTTCCATCCCACTTGACATTCTCAGCCTTGACGCTGTAGGGAAGCTGCTGGCCAGTGGTGTAGGTGATGTAGAGGTCCTCGCCCTCGTACGACTTGTCGAGAGTGGCGCTGAAAGAAAGAGTCTGGTCCTCGGCATCGAGAACAGCGATAGCTCCACCGTTGACCGACAGAGCAGGGAAGATGGGCAGGTTGATGTTCTTGATGTCCTCATCGCACGATCCAGGGACGACAAAGCCCTGGAGAGCAGACCAGGCAAAGGCAGCGGGGACAGTGGTCAGGAAGGGAGACTCTGAGGGGACCTGGTTGAGGTACACGCGGTAGAAGCCGTTCTGCTCACCCTCCTGGCCGATGACTGATGAGACAAGGCGGACGATGGCGGGAGCGCCCTCGGTGGCAAAGATCTCGTTGGCACCCTGGAGAGCACCCAGGACAACGGCGGTGAATGTCTCAGCGAGTTGTACGGCGCCCTCGAGAGAGTTGACGGGGAACTGGTATTTGCAGGGCGAAGGGGCAAACTTGCCAGCCGACTTGAGGATAGCCAGAGCTCCAAGAGCGTGTTGTTCTTCTTGCTATCATGGAGTGTTAGTAGCTATTCTCAAGTGATGGTGGTATACACGAGAAGGTACTTACAGCAAGAACTGTCTTGATAATCTTCTCAGCCTCTCCACGCTTGCCCTCATCAACTCCATAGCCCTCGACACTGTTGGTCACATTGTGGAGCAGAGAGCCAAAGTAAGCAGTCTCAAAGAGCTCGTTGAAGGCGATGAGTTGGAAGGCAGTTGTGGAACCATCGCCGAGCGAAGTAGGCAGAGCAGCGCCGGGGAGCTTTCCACCGGCTTGCACGGCGATCTTCTGGAGCTGGTCATTGTTGGGGCTTGGGAAGCCGTCGCCAGAAGGGACCTTGAAGGATCTGGGGAGAAGACCGGCGAGGGCAGAGCTGATAAGGCCTGCTGAGGCAAAGGCTGTTGAGAAACGCATGATTACTTGTGTGTGTTCTTAACGAAAGGTAGTGTTTGCTAGGTAGTGAAGGCAGGGAGTGAAGTGTGTTGTTGTAAGACAAGACAGTGAATGTGGTTTGAATACTAAAGATGGTAATACTGACGAGGGGAGTTACTCAGGCTATATATGCAAGAACTTCAGAGTCCATCTCTCTGAGCTCCAGGTCCATGAGAGGCTGAGTGAAGAATCGATCGGGGGATTGAGTTCATGCATGGCAAGGTTACCTCTGAGGGTGGCCCCAAAATCAGTGCTGGGTGATGGCTTGAAGCTATCATGACGCCATGTATCTCAGCATAAAATGCAACAAAATTACACTTTGCTGTTGCTGAGTCCCTAAGGCTTAGGTCTTACAGCCTCACCCAATGTCACCGGCCTAGGCCAGCCCGTGATGTCGCAGTCGTTGGTATCGTAGACTAACGTCTTAGATCACCAGCTGTCAGCGCGGCTAACACGGCCATGGCTAGGGCCGGAGGATTGCGGTAGCGCGAGGGGACGATGTTACCATGGATCTGTGTCGCGTCATGGATACTTGGGGAAGCAATTGAGTATACTGATGGTAAATGAAACTGAGGATATGTTGTCCACTATGGTTTGTGTATTTAGCCATATCGCTCACGCTGAGAATCATTACATATCAAATGAATTAGAGCAATTCAGTATCCCAAACACATGTCAATTCTATGTTGTAGAATGTAGCATAACACTTGTTTCATAAACTTTGTTTCATGAACTTTGCTTCGGCTCATCTGCCGTGTGGCTGAGCGCCATTCGAGTAAGCGGACACGAGCAAGGGATGCCAACTCACTACTCTGTACAAGTACGTCCAACCAAAATATCTACTCCGCCCGCTTAGTCTCAGGAACTGAGGTCCCCGGATAGAAACTAGCCGTGAAAATCGATAGTGTGTATATAGTAGCACAGGGCATAGACTCATACAGCTAGAAGGGGTAATCCCGTGGGGCGAAAGGTTCGGAAGGCTCAGTATCCTTGGACCGGATCTTCGATATCCGTATTTATGGGACTTTGGGGGTAAGCGGCGTGTGGAGGATCTCAGATCTTGGTGGACTGTTAGCTGTAGGTAGGTTTGAAATGATGTCTTACACGATGGCCATAGTCATATGGTGGCATTATGGCGACTTACGAGTGTCCATATAATAAGTTAGGCCAAGATATTGATGTCTTCAGTACAGTCATTGGCATTGACCTAGATTAACTGCTACGGTGATCAACCACTCGACATCGTCAATCTTGACTTGGGTCTAGAAGCACGATGAGGTAGTTCTCATTCGTTTTGGCAGCTGTGTTAGCATTCGACAATCTATTGAACTCAATCAGGCATATCGACCCAAATAAGCTTTCTGCTATTTATTCTTCTTCTTTCTAAGTTGGCCGTTGTAACCTCCAATATTAAAGTTGAAAGTGCTTTGACCTGGACGTGGGTATCGACCACTTCACACAGTGAACGTGGAGAAGTTCCGACAATCACCATGCTTTTATATTTTATATTGTGTACAAAGTATGTAGGAAGTGAAGTATAGTGCATCATAAATAAATTGTTTCATTTTAATTAATCTCAGTTAGTCTCATACTAAGATTCCATGCAAAATGTCCTAAATATTATGTATTTCATATATCTATATTATTCTATGTGTTCCTAGATGGGTTACTAATAGGATCTTGACACGGAACTATACCTATGTACATTCATATCAAGTGTATCCCCGTACCGCTAAGACTGGTAGCTAAAGGCTGACTCTATACATCAAATAAATTCTTTCCAGTTTCGCAGTTACCATGCCATCTGCCACTTCTAATTTCCAGAGGATGTAGGACATGATCATACAAGTTATTTAGAGGCTAAAAGCTATAACAGGATGTACTACTTTTAAACTTGATTACACATCTCATAATGTGAAAATCTTAGTTATTGGAGTTCCATCTTGTTTTGACTGATTCGAAAGATAGTTGTAGATGTAGAATTGAACGTGGAAAGAGAAGTTGATGAGTCTAGATCTATGGGAACTGTAAGTTCAAATAGTTTCCTCTCTTCTATATTTTATTTGAACCAGATGAAGCGACGAACCACTTTTATTGAGATCCTGGTACATCTCGAGCTGCCTCATTATTGGAGCCTTTGCACGGAAATGTAGCTGCACTGAAACTCATCAAACACGGCACTTCAAATTACTAGCTATTGCCAATAATTAATTTCAATTTATACTCTACGATGTTTAATTGTTGGCACCGTAGTGAAAATTTGTTCTTTCGTATTGATACTTCATGAACATCTGCATTTACTTCGCAGGTGGCTAGAATATCCTTCCCGTACTGAGTCTATTACTCAATTAACTCGGAGCTTCGACAATAATGACGGTCGCGCGGGAATAGTTTTATTCGTTTCGTCTTGTATTCTCTTGTCGTTGTACGTCTTAAGCAGCATCGCGTATTTAGATCGACCCTGTACTACCTCTGTCATCTTAGTTACTGGACTGTTGGTTCGACTTTTACTACTAACTATACCCTGCACAAACTGCACATCTCATTCGCAGAAATAATCCAATATCAGGATCATTGGAACATGGTCCCGCTGCAGTCCCAGAACCCAGGCGCTTACGAGCGTCTGCAGATGAGTTGGGCGCTTAGAGCAATGATGTGTCGTAGTATTCTTATGAAACTCCATCAGCCCTCAGGGTTGTCAAATTTGTCCTTCTACAGTTTCATCTTTCTTGCATAATTCCTTGTGAATTTTTAAAAAATGCTGTCTTCTTTTCGACGAGTATTTCGTTCCAAGTCAAATCAGACTCACGATCTTCATAAGAAGCCGGCTTCAGAACCACCACCCAAACCCCCCACTCGATCTGAAACACCGAAGTACTACTCTGGTATTCAAACTTTACATAGCTCTGAATACGATGAGATTGAGTAAGTTCTTTACGTACAAGTTGTGAGTTGTTAGCTGACCATCACGTCCAGTCTCGTTTTTGTTCATGGCCTTAAAGGGGACTGTTTAAAGACATGGAAAGACCAGACAACAGATGAGCCATGGCCCAAAACCATGCTCCCATTAGAAATAGGAACTGCTCGAGTCCTCACTTACTCTTATGATGCAACTGTCGTCGGCAAAGAAGATGTCCCTTCCCAAAATCGAATCTCAAACCACGCGGCTAATCTTGTGACGGCTCTTGCATCACTTCGACAAAGCGACAATACAGTAAGTACTCGCTCATAAATTCTTTCCTAATCCAATTAACATTATCAGAATCAACGACCTATCATCTTCGTCTGCCATAGCCTCGGTGGACTTGTTTGTCAAGATGTAAGGCCACTTTCCCCATAAACTCGTCCGGTCATATTGGCTTACGAACATGCTAGGCGCTCGTGACAGCAAGACAGCGATCTGAACAACATCTCCAAGACATTGTCAATTTTACACGCGGCGTCATCTTTCTTGGAACGCCTCATCACGGATCCAGCCTCGCCAAATTTGGTGAATTAGTCTCCCGTTCCGTGGGGTTGCTGAAAGAGACCAACAGCGACATCGTCCAGGTCCTTACACGAGACTCGGAAGTCTTGGCACGCATTCAAGACAGTTTCCAGGCTCTTCTCATGACACGCAGTAAAGATGAGTCCAGTATGATAGAGGTCACTTGCTTTTACGAAGAACTGCCTACCAAGAGATACGGCATGATCGTCCCAAAGCACTCGGCTATACTTCCCGGCTACATCTCAATAGGCATACACAAGAACCATGCCGAGATGACCAAGTTTGCCCATTCAGATGAGCCTGGCTTTAAGGCTATTTGCGGGGAGCTGAAGCGTTGGATGAATAAGATACAGGAGGCCAAAAGCAAGCCCCAGAAAAACGCTCATGTCGCCCATTGTAGGTGGTGGGAAAACAGCTGACCAGAATTATGCTAATTCTTCCCAGGCCTCGTTCCATACACTTATAATCCAGACTTTGTGGGAAGGTCTGAGGTACTCGAACTATTAAGAGATCAGCTCGGTCATACCACGCCCCAATCACAGAATAAAGGACATTTGAGAGCTGCACTTCACGGTCTGGGTGGGATTGGGTACGTTTCACAAGTCCTCTCATGAGTGCATTTTCTAATACAAGGCAGAAAAACTCAGATCGCATTGGCTTATTCATTTTGGCTACAAGAGGCTTATAAGGATGTATCAGTCTTTTGGGTTCATGCTAGCAGCACAGAACGCTTCTCAGAAGCATACGGCAACATCGCTAGGGATTGCAAGATCCCACGGCACGAAGACCCGAGTTTTGATGCCTTGTCAGAAGTAAAGGACTGGCTAGAGAGCAAGGAAAGTGGACAGTGGCTAATGATCATCGATAATGCCGATGATATGCGACTTTTCTTTCCTCAAACCGACAACTTTTCCAAGTCCGCGTCCAATAACGAAGATAGCTTAGGCCAGTTCATACCGGAATGTTCTCACGGCACTATTCTCATCACAACGAGGAATATGCAGGTGGGCTCGAGGCTTATGAAGGGAAAGCGTCCTATCGAGGTGGGCAAGATGGACGGGGACGAGTCAATTCAGCTTTTACGGCAAGGACTACAAGGCGATGAATCCACGGAGGACTTGCTTCAACTCTCGTCTCGCTTGGAATTCCTCCCCCTCGCACTGGTACAAGCAGCTGCTTTTATCCAAGAAAACTCCATCACTGTCAACGACTACCTTGAACTCTTGAACGGGAGTGACAAGGATCTCATCGACCTGCTGAGCGAGGATTTCGAGACGGTTGGCAGAGACTCAGATACCCCACGCGCCGTTGCCCAAACCTGGATGCTTTCCTTCCAACAGATCGAGCGAGAATACCCCTTCGCTGGTGATCTCCTTTCTCTGATGAGTCTATTCGATCGGCAAGCTATTCCTCTAGAATTCCTCGAGTTCTACAGCGAAGAGAAAAAGCCCGCAGAGTCAAACGTCAGGATGCAGCTTGTCAAAGCGCTGGGGGTCCTCAAGGCCTTCTGCTTCATTCGGGCTGACAAGGGTGGTGATCACAACATGCATCGTCTTGTACAGTTGGTGACTCGAACTTGGTTGGTGCAGAAAGGTACCATGCCTTCATTTGCAAGAAACGCGTTGCTTGCAGTATCAGACTTTTATCCTTACGGTCGCTTTGAGAAGCTCGATATATGTACAGCGTACCTTGCCCATGCATTCTCTGTTTTGGATTTACAGTCAGTTGAGTCTGATGAAGACAAGCTCCTCAGGGCGTCTATGCTTCATCGAGTTGGGGGCCTTTTCCTCTTCCAAGGCCGATATGCTGATGCAGAAAAGCTACAACGAGAGGGGACCAAGATTCGAATAGAATTGTTAGGAGAGGAAGATACTGAAACATTCGTTTCGATGCTTGATCTTTCAAATTGTCTACAATATCAGGCTCAATACGACGAGGCAGAGAAAGTAGCTCTAGCCATTCTGGAAACCTGCAAACAACGTCGTGGAGAAGAACACCCCCAGACTCTTGACGCGATGTCTGCCTTGGCGTCTAAATATTACGACCAAGATAGAGACGAGGAGGCAAAAAGGCTATGGACATATGTTCTTGAGACTAGGAAACGTGTATTGGGAGAAGATCACGAAGATACATTAACCGCGATGAACGACCTGGCCTGTTGTCTCGAGGGGGAGGAGGAAGAGGAAATTTTGAAGCACGTTATAGAGGCAGAGACGAAGGCAAAAGGTGCGGACCATCCTGGCACTCTCATGGCCAGAAGCAACCTAGCGGTAGCACTCTACAAGCGCGGGGAAGTATGGGCAGCAGAGGAGCTAGAAATTGAATTACTAGAAACCAGGAAAAGGGTCCTTGGGGATGAACATCCCGATACAATCGACAGTATGATGCACCTCGGAGAAAGTTGGACCACCTTGGGTACACACACGGCAGATATAAGGCACTTGTATCCCGACGTAGACTTGTTTGGCGACGCCAAGAGGCTGTTTGAAGAATGTGTTCGGCTTCAAACAAAGTTACTTGGGCCAGATCACCCCGAAACACTGCTGGCACTCTCACGGTTGAAGGAATGTCAAGAAGCAATGGAGTTGGCTAATCGTGATGAGGTTGAGAGAAAGGTAGTGGAATCGAATGGTCAGGCAGAGCTTTGAATGATTAGTTGGATATTTACGAACTGCCACGAACTACACTATTCTATATCTAATTATTGTTACTTTACTCTAGGTAGCTTGCGAGTTTCTTTCTTTCCTTGTTACTCAAAAGTCTCCAGCATCTATCGTTGCTTAGATATTAGCCGACTTCAGGGTACCTATGTAAACGCTGTTGTATGATGCGTATTTGAGTAAAAGAGACAATTCCCAAGACGCAATTACAAATCATTGCTAGAATAAAGGATCCTGGTTCTCCATATTAACCTTATTCTACTAAGTGGTAGTGAGAAAAGAATTGTACATAAACGCAATATTCGACATTAGTTAGGTGTTCACGAACTTCGGTCTGCGTAGATGCGCTGTAACATGGTGTAACCAATGCACCCAATGTCCAATGTCCGATCTATACCACAAAACAGCCCGATCTCGCTTATCAGAGCCATTCAAGAGGTAATAGATACAGAGTTTACCTGCAGCCCTACAAGAGTCCTAGCCACTATTTCCATACACGGCGCTTACAAGTCGGTGGTCCAAAATAGCATCGCGGTTAAGACCTTGTCTTGTATAAGCGCCTGGCTTGGACCCACGGCCCAGGAATAAGCGGCCATAAACACACGAACACGAGATTCTATATTAATGATTTGAATAGTTAAGGGTAGGGGAAAATATACCCCCAAATATATTAAGTGTTTATTCTAATAAAGCTTGGGTAGTTCATGCCTGCAGACGTGCATGAGTACTAAGGATTGCAACACAACTAGTGCACAGTGGGTATGTAAAAGTTCTGATGATTTCCTGTTTTCTATAGTCTATGTAAAGATAATATAAACTATAAGAACCTTCTCTATTCTGTATAGTCTTATATAATCTTATCAAGATTATACATAGAATATCTTAATTGTTACATGTATTCCTAGTCGGCTCGTTGTTGGAATCTTGACATGGGACTGTATGATGCACGGAGTCAAGGTTCAGTATGAGCTGCTCGGAGTAAAGAACTCCAGGGCGGGCCAGTCAGATGATGCACATAAATTCCAACTATCAAAGCTAGTATGAATAATTCTACCTAATTCTTCAAGCACATTATTAAACGGCTCAGAAATTCCTTATCTTCTTATTTTCGTCCTTAAACTTGGGTCGTTTGCCAGGGCCACTTAGCGCTGTGCTAGAGACCCACTGTATGCTCCGGCTAGTCCCCGGGGTTCTGAAACAACGTTTCGACACTGCACAACCAATCGTCCACCTTCTCAACCCCGGTCTTGAGATTCAAAATATACCAAACCTACCAGCGATGCCGCCCAACGTTCAATACAGCAGCGCTTGCGGATGAAATCGCATGAGTACCAGACTTAGGCGCTGGCCTGGGTCGACTGGGTCTGAGTCTCTGCAGCCTGTTGCTACCCGTCTGGCCTCTATGCTTCTCCACCCTGAGCAAGGAGCCGCTGAAACGAGTCTGAATAGAGGCTTGCTCGCGGCCAAACACAGCGGCCATGGTGCAGCAGCGCTCGCAGGCTCTCTGCATCTCTGACAACGTTGAGCCCAAGTGGAGCCTAACATCAGTGTAAGTCGTTGACGCGATTCGATGCGGAGTCGATCGAATCGTGAGTCGCCTCGTCTTTGGTTGGCTCTCCGTCTTCACATCCATACCGGGAACTGCTCCAGCTTCGCTTGCTTCTACTTGATGGTGCTTGCAAGGGTTGAGCAAAGTTTGTTCTGCATGCTGAACTGTTGCTAGTTGTCAATGGAGTGTGTGACTGTGCCGTTCGCTCATAAAGTCTGCCTCCGGCTGTTCGGTGGCAACCCCTCTCCATTTCCTATTGTTCTGCATTCATTCAAAGCCCAAACAATGGTGTTCAAGCCCTTCTATTGACACCTTTTCCTTCTGTCATTAATCTTCTCCTATTGTTCTTGTTCTCCTATTGACTGTTCGGACTGGCTCCATTAGCAGCATATTTCTCTCATTCATTCATTGCTATCTCTTACTCTCTTGATCCTTTATCACCAACTCATTTATATATGCTTCGAGCTACTTTCACTTGCATGATCTAACACACCTCACTGTTACATCGACTTCCTGCAATCACATTTAAACCCCGAAAAAGGCCTCTGAATACTGCCTCAATCAACTAGAGCACCTGGTACGTCTATCTAGACATCACTAACCCATTCTTTTCTAACCAATTTCACTTCTTAGCTTTCCACTTTAACTTGCTATCGATCAGCATTTCAACCGAGATATACTTGACATCTCAATTACATCGATCCTTACACCCAGACAACTTCAACTCTCTTATACCCATAGTTTCATCTTCACTCGCAAATATGTTTGGAGAAAAGATTCGAGGTCCCGGGATGATTATCCTCCAGGCCCTTCGAGTCATCACTATCATCAGCCTACTCACTGCTGGCGCCGCTTGTTGGATTCTCATCATCAAGGTCGACACTTCCGCTGGGTGGTTCTTCTTTGAAGCCCTTTCCCTAGCCCTGACAAGCTCTGCAACCATCTTCCTCATCATTTCGGAGCTACCTTTCTGCAAAACCTACTTCCTCAACCATTGGCCTGCGTTCTCTGATGAGCGCGGTCTTACCTGGCTTGGAGCAGGTCTACTTCTGATCGGCTCAAATGTTCTTGGGAAGCTCAACTCTCCCCATAACACCAGCAAGAAGCTGGGGCTCCCCTTCTGGCGCCTCATCTTGGCCGCGGGTATCCTGACTATCACCTCTGGTGTTCTGAATATCATCTGCTCTCTCATCTTCCGAGACGGTGATATCAATGCTCGAATGATCCGAGCTGACGGCTCTCTTGCCAAGAGCAGGGATGAATCTGTACATTCATTCGGCAAGCCGCATTCCGACTACAGCGCTTCCTTCCACAGTGAGAGACCTAAGAAGACTTTCATGTCCTTCTTTTGGAAGAAGAACTCCGACTCAAACCCACCTCCCCGACCTCACATCAGCCAACCGATCACCCGCGACCGTGATCATGATCTGGAGCGCAACGCACCCCCTCAGTACGCTCAAGGTTCTGACCACGATGACCTTTCCGATATGGATCGCCGAAGTCCGATTGTCCCTGAAGTCCGACGTCCCGACACTGCACTGCACCCCATGAACATCCGTCCTAGAAGCATAAGCATGTACTCGGCAGCGCACATGTCTCGTTTCTAAGAGCAAACGCAAAGGCGGACGACAGGTCGGATCCTGTCTGTGAAAGGCAAGGGACTAAGCACAAGGGGAAAAGGAAAGAGAGGCGTTTAGGTACAAGGAGTCGGATCTGTTTTAATGCTTGAGATGCGGAATACCCGGTGGTAATAAGGAAAAGGGCGCTGAACAAATGACTTTCTTTTACATTTCATTATCAAATTCAACTACGTTTTATGTCAACTTATGAAAATGATTTCATTGTGATATTGTGCTGTTTGTGTCCAGTCTCTGATTGATGCAATCCCTTTACTGTAGCCATTGTACAAGGCAGTTAATTGTAAGGGCATCTCGGGTTACATACACATGATGTCTTTCAAACAAACATATTTTGTATATTCTCGAATGCTTTTCCTGTAAGGCCAATGGATTCCTTCTTTATATCATTCTTCCTTTTGAAGTGCAGTTACTTGAGAAATTATAGTTTAGCCAAAATGCGTCTTTGAAGCTTAGCAAACGTCGGGCTACAATACGCCGAGTCGACAAAGTTAATAAAGAGGCAATGAGCATGCATATAAAGCTTGGCCCCTACCTTGTCTGGCTGGCTTAAATTTCTTTCACCAGAATCAATCAAGGTCTGTTAATACCAACAGCACAAAGATCTTTCAAGACTTGTCGCAGGTCTTGAGATACCAAAAATAGACGGAGAGCTGGCTATCATCATTAGAACTGGATTTTAAATAACCCCTCTTTCCTCTGCTCTTTCTATAGTAGAGTCTGTTTGTGTTATCTCTTCTGTTTGAAATCGATCATTGTAAAGTGGAGCCTCAGGCATCTACCCACCCTGCTTCTCGACCACTACAGTACCTGTAGCCTATCTCTAGCTTCGCCTAGCCCAATCATCACCATCAACATCACGTTGCCTCACACGACCAGTTGCGTCCGTCTCCTCCATCGTCATCATGTCTGGAGACTCTGCTGAGGTGGCGGAGGACTATCGCCTCGCGTTGGAGGACCTGTCATCCAACATGCGATTTGAGATTAGCAACCTGACTGTGATTGCTCGCGAGAATACTGAACATGCCCTAGCAATCGCGGAAGTTTTGCAGCAACACATCCTCAAAGTAAGCTCGACGCATGAGTTCAAATAGTCGAACATCATCTATGTCTTTGCCTTGATCAAGCTGACCTCGTGTAGGCACCCCCGAACAAGAAACTCCCAGCTCTATACGTACTCGACTCGATCGTCAAAAATGTCGGCACACCATACACGCTCTACTTCGGCCGCAACCTCTTCAAAACCTTTATGGAATCATACGCAGTAGTCGACCAACCAGTTCGTCGCAAAATGGAGGAGATGCTTAGAACATGGAAGGAGCCTGTTCCTGGATCTATGGACAGTAGACCTGTCTTCTCGCACGAGTTGGTGCGACCGATTGAGAATGCACTCTTCAAGGCGCGAGCCGCAAGCATGCCCCAAGCGGGAATGATGCCAGGTCGACCGCGATCTGCCGTGCCCCATCGTGATACCCCGACACCGCCTGGAATGGGAATGAGAATCCCACCACCAGGCCATTCAGTTCAACAATACACATCAAATGGAGGACAGTCATTGAGCAATGACATTCAGAACCTAATTGTGGTGAACCAGGCGGAAGCCTCGCGGAACCCTCGAGATGCTGGTGTTCAGACTAGATTAAGAGCACTCCTTAACCTGCAGGGTATTGTGAACAGCACTAGCTTGCCTCCGGATCAGCTTGAGCTCATTAAGAACAAAGTAAATGAACTTGCTGCTGCTGTAAACATAATGGCGCCTCTGACCCAAAGGCCGGCGCCTACTCCTCCTGTGCCTGTCCAAGCACGCCCGATGCCTCCAGTGTCCGTAGCCCATCCTCCGCCAGCAGCCCCGGCTCCGGCGCAAGAAGGCGTGACGCTTGATGCGCTCTTGGGCAAGGGAGCATTGGCAGCCTTGATGGCAAGACAGTCGGCAACGCCTCAGAGTGCGACACCAACTCCTCAGCCGCCTCAGGTTCATCGTGAACCACCAAAGCCACCAATGCCCCCGATGTCTGCCATGCCAGCCATTGCACCTATGCCAACAATGTCAGCTATGCCATTAATGTCAGCGACACCAACACCTGCACCCGCACCACCGACCAGTGCAGCCCCTTGGAGTCTGCTTGATCAACTACGAAAGTCAGGTCTGCTCCCACCTCCGCCAGTACCAGGTGGTATCAATGTGGCTGCTTTGAAACAGCCTTGCCAGCCTTCTCTGATTCGACAACTGCATAATGACCTCGGTCAGCCTTGCACTCAGTGCGGTAGACGATTCCCGGATGATGCGGCTGGCAAGAAGAAAAAGATTGCCCACATGGACTGGCATTTCCGTGTCCACCAGCGAACCACCGAAGCCGAGAAGCGAGGCATGCATCGGAGTTGGTATGTTAACCAAGGCGTAAGTTATAATTCCACCTCCTTGAATTTCACGGTCACTAACAACAATTTAGGACTGGCTCAAGTCAAGGGAAGTCATTGATATCGACAACGTCCCCACGACTGAAGATGTCGCTGCTGCGGCCTTGAAGGAATCTGAGGCTGCTAAGCCAAAGTACATCCCTGTCCCTGATCCATCTCGTGGGACCAACACTGTCTGTCCCATTTGTCAAGATCGATTTGAGAACAAATGGCTTGATACGGCACAAGAATGGGTTTGGCTGGATACAGTTCTGGTTGGTAACCGAGCATATCACGCCTCATGCCACGCAGAGGCAACACGAGATCGTGAAAACACCCCTGTTTTAGGCAAACGAAAGGCCGAAACAAACATCGCATCACCCAAGGTGCGGTCACTCAAAACATCAGCTTAAAGAGTGTAAGCATTGGTACTTGATACTATATATCGACTTTCGGCGACAAACGGCGTTAAGGAACTAGCATGAAGGAAATAGGCAGTAGTTGTGCATCACCATGGAGTTATGTCAGTGGAATTTTAGCATACTTAGTCAAGTCAACTATGGAATTAGTTGTCGCTATAGTTTAGATGAATGCAGACGAACACAGTCATATTCCGTCTTTGCCAAACAAATTATGTCGTTTACTCCCATCAATAGAAGCTAACAAATCAGGTACCGGTTCTATGGAGCCGAGAGCGGCCCGTCGTTGGTGCATTGGTCCCCGCGATTTTATACACGGGCCTGGACTGGACTGAACTGAACTGAACGCGTTCCACTCTATTTTATTTAGTCAGGTACAGCTGTCAACCTCTGACGGCTGCAATCCTACAATCCTAACCTCCCCTACCGACCAACAAAACTTTATCACGACGGCCGATACCAATCCGAACGATCCTCTCAAGCTCGTATTTCGTCATCCGACGATCGGCCAAATTACGGCGATAATGGCGGTTGATTGCCCCATCTGCAACAAACCTGTGAAACCCTCCGAGATCAACAGTCACATCGATTCAGGTTGCGAGAGCTTCATAATAGATCCGGAGAAGGGATCACCGCCGCCACAAACACAAACACAAACACCACAGAGTAATTCACAAAAACGAAACGCCTCCAACTTCTTCTCGACGCCTGCCGCAAAACGACAAGCTGGCTCCGATAATCGGGTAGTGCCGCCTGCTGGAAACCTACAACCTATAACGAAGCGGAAGCGAACATATGAAGAGGGACCTGGTCATGACTTAGGGGGGGACGTAAAGACTGCTGAGAATGCGACGAATGGAGAGGCCGTTAATGGAGCGAGTGGCTGGGACGCAAAGACAGAACAAGATGGCAGAGTGGTAAAAAAGACAAAGACACAACGAGCTGCGCCCTTGGCCGAACGAATGCGACCACGGACACTCGATGAAGTATGCGGACAAGACCTGGTCGGACCAAACGGTGTTCTTCGCTCCCTTATTGAGTCGAATCAAGTACCTTCGATGATTCTCTGGGGTGCTTCAGGCACAGGAAAGACGACAATAGCGCGCTGTATCGCTCATATGGTCGGCAGCCGGTTCATTGAGCTTAATGCGACAAGCACGGGGGTCAGCGAGGTTAAAAAGTTCTTCCAAGAGGCGATCAATGATCTTGCTCTTTCTGGTCGCAAGACCATAATATTTTGCGACGAAATCCATCGCTTCAACAAGGCCCAGCAGGATGTGTTTCTCAAACCAGTTGAAGCTGGTACCGTGACGCTGATTGGAGCTACGACAGAGAACCCTTCTTTCAAGGTCGCCAGTGCTCTACTCTCTCGATGTCGTACTTTCACGCTACAGTCTCTTAAAACGGAAGACGTGGTGCGTATTCTTCAGCGGGCGATCAAGGAGGAAGAGGCGGTCTATCCATCAACACCACTTCTGGACGAAGCTATGGTTACGTATCTTGCCCGATTCGCTGATGGTGATGCTCGCACTGCTCTCAATCTACTTGAGCTTGCACTGTCGCTTACAACCCGTGAGGGCATCACACAAGAAGATATAAAGGCTGCTCTCACCAAGACTCTTGTCTATGACCGTGCCGGCGATCAGCATTACGACACCATTTCTGCCTTTCACAAGTCAGTGCGTGGAAACGATCCTGATGCGGCACTCTACTACCTAGCACGGATGCTTCAATCCGGCGAAGACCCCCTATTCATCGCTCGTCGCATGGTCGTTATCGCCTCCGAAGATGTTGGCTTGGCAGACAACAGTCTTCTCCCTCTCGCCACAGCCACATACACAGCTACGCAGCAAATCGGCATGCCCGAAGCACGTATACCACTCGCTCACTGTACCGTCGCACTATGCAATGCGCCCAAAAGTACCAAAGCATACCGTGCTCTCAACAACGCCTATGCAGCTCTTCGCGAGCCAGGTGTTGCCGGCCTCCCCGTACCTCTTCACTTGCGCAACGCCCCTACGCGACTTATGCGGGATATGGGCTACGGTGCCGAATACAAATATCCGCCTAATTATCGCGATGGTCAGGTGAAGCAGACATATCTACCGGATGAGCTTGTTGGACGTCGGTTTGTAGAGGACCGTGATTTGGGAACCGAAATTGATCCAGATCTTGCGATGGGGGGAACATGATTTTCTGAATAGGGAACCTGATATAGAATAGATAGGAAAACCAAAAGGATAGAAAGCGAGTTTGCATTGTGGCAGGAGTCAGGGTAGGTTTGGGTACCCCTTCGTGGGTTTTGTAATATGTGTACTATAAAGACCTTGCTAGAGATGACAGTCTCGCATTTATAAATTGTACAAACACCACAAAATATGTGTGGTTCGGTGTTCCATTATTATGCTAAGAGCAATGATTCGTGAATATGCTTTCCGCTTTATAACGCCTGAAATCATCCCCCGAACGCCAGTTTCATGCCCATTCCTTATGTGTGTATCCTTAATCATCATCTTGGGTCAAGTCTATAAATCCAATATCGCTCACCCTAATTATCTTAGCCCGAACCCCTCTGCGCTCCAGAGCTGCTGTTTCCCTAGCCACCAGCTCGTCGCGCTTTTCAGCTTCCACTTCAACCTCTTCGAAGAAACCCACGGCGCTGGCCGTTGGGATGAGTAACTTCTTCTTCCGTGCAGGCGCAGGACTAGGGGTAGTGCTTCGATTGGGTAGTGCAGATCGTTGGAGCCTCTTGTTGGGAGAAACACGGGCGCCAGTAATGAGAGAAGAGAGTGGAGCAAGACCGGAAGACGAGTCACTATCAAAGTCGTCATCGAACGCAGCTTGTGGCTTTCGTTGTTGCTTTGGAGGTGACGGTGGGGGTTTGGTAAGAGAAGGTAGGGAAGAACTAGTGTTCTTGGACTTTTTGGTGAACATGTCCATGGAAGTTTGTTTCAACTTGGAGGGCTGAGATGATGGAAAAGAAGGCGGGGGCCTCGTACGTCCAAAACCTCGTGCTGTATCTTTCAAGCTTTGCGAAGAATCGCTCGAGGCAGGAATTGTATGCACCATGCTAGATACTTTCTGAGCGACAGGGACACGAGCCCTTGGTCGTGGTGACGGGGAAGTTGGAGGAGAGTCCCTTGCACAGGGCGGACTAGATGTGATAACAATCGCTTGCTGTTGCCCGCCTGCAGGTCTTGGTGTCCTAGGCGTCACTTGTGAGCTAACAAGCGTCCGAGAGGTTGAAGTCTGCCTGACGGGGCTAGCCAAGGTTGACGTAGGCTGCTTACTTGGCTCTAAAGGGGACGGTATTTGCAGTCGACGATATGTCGTCGTCTGGGCTGGTGTTGTGGTTTCATCGCTCTCTCCGGGCGTGTCTTTGGGTATATCTTTGGAGGCTCTCGCTGATGTAGAGCCGAGTTTCGTCGTTCGCACAAACTTGTTAAGTGCGCCAGCAGACATTCCCGTCTCTAGTCCAGTCTTGGACTTTTTCTGTTTCGTCTGCACAGTTCGACGGGCTGGCTTGTTGAGGTCTTTAGTAGCCGCAGAATGGACAAGCGACGGCACACTGATTCTTGCTAATGCTTCCAATGTCCAAACACCCAAACAATCTGAAGGGTCAAATGGGGCAGGCGATTTCTTCGAGCTCACAAGGGCCTCCGTGCTATCTTGATCCTCGACCTCGTCATCACTGTTCAGTGCCAAGCCGCTTCGCCCTTGCAAGATATTTTCATCTTCCTCCTTGGACAAGTCGATAGGCACGACTTCGATTGGAACGTGCTGGAGGCGGATTTGGGGAACCAAGTCGTTTGCGGTATCTTTCCTGACCCCCTTGACGCCTTTGACCCAGCCCTCATTTCTATCTGCACCCGTGGCCAGCAGCTTTTGTGTCAAGACAGCATGCGAAATCACTTTGAGGAACTTGAGGGCGCCAACATGGAAATCCCAGCCGAAAACTTCGCGCGTAAATTCTCTGAGGTCCTCGTGTGAAATCTCTCGTCTCAGATGAACCTTCTCCCGGATCTCGTTTAGACTGGACTCGGGCGACACGACAGGATGTGTATAGTAGCGCAGTATTTTGAAGTCGGGGAAATCTTCCGGTATCGTCAGGGCTTTGTTTCGTCGCTTGAAATATCCTTTCTCATTGGTTCGAAGTTCGTGTATCAGAGAGTTCCTCCAAGCCTGGATGCCTTCTTTATCAACTGCTTTCAACCGGCAGACATGTTTGCCAAAACCAGCCTTGGCAGCCTCCACAGCCACCTTGATACCACAGCCAGGGATTCCGTTAGGATCGTAGTCACCGCCGCTCATCAAGGCGACAAGCACCATGCCTTCTCGGTCAAGGCCCTGCTTTTCGAGTTCCATCTTGTCTGTATCAAATAGCGAGACGTGTGTCGGTACAGTAGAACGTTTCGATTGTGGACTCCATCTGCGCAACATCCGTGTGCATCCAAACATCAGAGCATCGACATCCTCAGTTAGAACGACGTCGACGATTCCGTGCCTTTGTAAGAGGGCACATTCTGCCTCAGCCTCTCCCGGCGCATCGTGCATGCTGCACCCGAACAATCGAATTAGCCGTTTTGCCTGTGCATTTGCGAAAGAACTGCCCCGGCCAGACTTTTTATTTCGCTTGATTTCGGGCTTATATGGGCCGTCGAAAACGAAAACGGGTTCAACTGGACATGCTAAGAGACGAACAAGACGGTAGAATAATGTTCGAATCTCGGGATTGGTGCCGCCTGAATGATATTAGAGAATGATTTCACAATCTTGATATTTTTTCATGAGATATACCTTGGGCTGCCTGGTTTTGGAACTGCCAGATGGCGATATCAATGGCAATTCGTAAAGGCCGTCCTTTCTTCTCTAAGGACTCGGCGGCGAGTTTAAGTAAGGAGACTCGTTCACCTTCGCCAATCTCCTGGTAGATTCTGAAAGGATTAGCATGACTTTTCAAAGTGAGACTTGTGATTATTACCCCTTGATACCCATTTCAACATCAGAAAATCTGTGAAGCAATCTACTTCATTCCTCCTTAAATTTGATAGTCGATGATGTAGTCGTAGGTTATGGTTCACGGTCTTGGCCCCACGTCGCTGCGGTTACCAAAACCGTCTGTTTTCTTAGTCGGCAGATCGGCGTTTAAATCGCCGACGTCTAAAGATCCGTCAGCCAACCAGCGTTAAGTTACACGGTTACGCCCAGGCCAGGCCAGGGAATCTCATCGCCAACATTTTGAGGCAAGAAAAAGGATAAAGAAAAGACACAGAAAAACACAAAAAATTGTCACTTCATCTATCATGGCCTCAGGCGCAGGCCCTACGCTTGCTCATCGAACTGTGACCAGTATCCGTGGAGGTCCTTCTCAGGGGCCAGGTCCCTCCGCTCCACACACCCCAACTCGCTCCTCTATTACTTCCATCTACGGCTCGCCATCAGCTGTTCGTGCTGATGATGATATCATCATTATCGAGCTAGGCTCACGCCATATCAGAGTGGGATTTGCTGGCGATACTTCCCCTAAGGCAACCCTTCAATGCAGTCCTGAAGATCAACGTCGTGCTGGAGACTTTCGAGGCTGGCAACTACCAAAACGGTCAGCTGGGCTGCACTGGTCAAGAGAACACGAGTTCTGGCGATATGACTTGAGAGATATCGAGCTTGGCTTATACCAGGACAAATTGGAACGTGTGTTACACGATGCCTTCTCAAAGTAGGTTCTACTCAAACGTCTTTGGTGAAAGTTGCTTACACCGATACAGATACTTGCTCATCGACTCCAGACCAAGGAGACTCGGACTAGTCTTAGACTCCGGAGTACCGATACCACTATTAACAACCTCTTTGGATACCATGTTCAGCAAGTTCCAGTCACCTACTATCTCTCTAATGTCAACGCCATCCATGTCCGCCATCTCAGCAGGTGTCAGGTCTGCCCTTGTTATAGACATGGGGTGGGCGGAAACAGTTATTACCAGTGTCTACGAATATCGTGAAGTAAAAACAACACGCACGGTCCGAGGCGGCAAAGCCCTTCTTGACGCCTTGTATACAACACTTGGGGGCTTAATACCAGGAGAGCACGATGCCACCAAGAAAAGAGCTATCAGTTTCGAAGAATGCGAAGATATTATGTGTCGCTTGATGTGGTGTAAGCCATCAGAGTTCCGATTATCTCAACGGCAGTCAAGCCAGCTGGAGACAGTGGACGAGCAGGAAGAGATCGATGAAGACGAATCGACGCAAGCTGGCATTCCCACCGGAGTTGCTCAAATACCCATCACCACAAGTTCTCGTCCACTAACGGTGGAAATCCCTTTTGAGGAACTTGCTGAGGTTTGCGATGATACCTTTTTCGACCCTTCAGCAGACCGAGCAACGTTTGACGACGATGAACTACCCCTACATCTGCTATTATATAGACACCTTTTGCAACTACCGCTAGATGTGCGAGCCATCTGCATGTCACGCATACTATTTACAGGAGGATGCTCCAACATATTGGGTATCAAGCAAAGAATTATCGATGATCTTACAGCTATTGTGGAGAAGAGAGGATGGGAGCCTGTGTTTGGTAAGGTGGTGGAGAAGCATCGCAGCTCTGCGAGACTTCATCAACAATCCAGCGCTTCATCTCCAACTGAAAGTTCTCCGCCGGCATCGCAAGCTGAGGATGATCAAGACAAACCATCCAAGAGCGCAGCCGATGCAAAGCCCGAGCATGATCCGATCGAGGCAAAGGTTGTGCGACAACGGGAGACGGTCCCACAACTCAAGGGCCAGATACGCGTGCTTCATACGCTCGGTCCTTGGATTGGCGGCAGTCTACTCTGTCAGCTCAAGGTGCCTGCCATGGCAATAATCGATCGGGAAGCATGGCTACAACAGGGTGTTAATGGAGCTTCTCGACCCAGTGAAGTGGACTACAAGGCGCAGCAACGACAAAGCGTGCAGGCTGGAGGATATGCTCGTGGAGGCGGAGGGCATCACGGCAACTGGACATTGGGAGTATGGGGCTCGATATAGCTTTGGGAAAACGAGATATCATGACATGAAATGAGAAAATGTTGGTATCTAGTGATGGAGATGGTGGAAATGAAGAGCTACAGGTTGGTAGAGGCCATAGCTACATAACCATCAAATACCCGACCGACTAGCAAAATGATTCTGTAATAGACTCAATTACACTACTAGTTCTATGCCAAGAATGAACACTTTTTCGAAACCTGATGATATTGTGTCATGGTGGTCCGCTATAGCTCGGGTAATTGCATTAAGCAGGCTCTCCACTGTTAAGGCTTCGGCTGCCGACGACAAGCTCCAAACTCGCTGATCAGCTACAGAACCTCAGTTATGCTTCATATGAGTTGCCTGCAAACAATTCAACAACCACCATGAACAGGACATTACCGCGTCTACGGTGTCGCAACCTGCAGGCGAGACTGCTAAAGACTCAATATCATCCAGTCTTGGCCCGCAGCTTCGCAGACGTCAAACGACCTCCCTCGGCGCCAAAACCAATTGTCGATATCAAGCACATTCGACAACATGCTGAGCTTTATCAGCAGACTTGCGTAGAGCGCAATTATCGCAAGCAAGCGCAGAACCCAGCAAAAATATTAGAATTGCACGCCAGATGGCAGGATCTCCAGCGACAAGGCCGCGCTCTGCGTGAGCGATCAAATCTTTTGAGGCGTCAACTTGCGAACCCGGCGACTAGCAGCGGCGATGAAGATCTCAAAGAAGTGCGCCAATTGACCCGTGAGCAGATCCAGGATGAGGCTCGACAACTCAAGCAGGACCTTTCCGCCATTGAAAAGGGAGAATCGCAGGCGGTTACTCAGATGGAAGAGCTTGCTCTAGAATTGCCCAATCTCACTCATCCAGATACTCCCAAGGGAAGTGAGTTTGAGGTCATGAGCTATATCAACGATCCACCCACTTTCACAGAATCCCCCGAGGATACGATCTGGCGCTCTCACGTTCACATCGGCTCTGAGCTTGGTATATTCGATTTCGCCGGTGCTGCTACTACTTCCGGTTGGGGCTGGTACTATCTCCTCGGTGAGGCTGCCCAACTTGAACAGGCCTTGGTCCAATATGCACTTGCTGTCGCAACTCGTCATGGCTGGACACAAGTATCGCCTCCCAGCATGGTCTACAGTCACATCGGTGCTGCCTGTGGATTCCAGCCCCGCGATCTCAACGGCGAGCAGCAAGTCTACACAATCGCTCAATCAGCCGACGATGCCGAGCGCGGTGTCCCTGAGATGTGCCTCACTGGAACTTCCGAGATTGCTCTCGCAGGAATGAAGGCCAACACCAATCTTGACTCGGAAGATTTGCCTCTTAAGCGAGTTGCTGTCTCGCGCTGTTATCGCGCCGAAGCCGGAGCTCGTGGTGCTGACACCAGGGGTCTCTACCGAGTACACGAGTTTACCAAGGTTGAGATGTTCGCATGGACAACACCAGATGAGGACGCTTCTCAAGACATCTTCGATGAGATGCTTGATATTCAGACTGAGATCCTTTCTTCGCTCGGTTTATACTGTCGTGTCCTCTCAATGCCTTCTCACGACCTCGGCGCCTCCGCCACCCGCAAGATCGACATGGAAGCTTTCTTCCCCAGCCGTCGCGACAACTGGGGTGAGGTGACATCAGCCAGCATGTGCACCGACTACCAGACCCGTCGTTTGGGAACACGAACCCGTCTCGATGGAAAGCTCGCCTTCCCCTGGACGGCCAACGGCACAGCGCTGGCTGTTCCCCGTGTAATAGCAGCTCTTCTAGAGAACGGATGGGATGAGGAGGCTAAGACTGTCTCAGTCCCCGAGTGTCTGCGGCCATGGATGGATGGTAAGGAAAAGATTGGTCTCGGTGGTCGCCGGTCCAGCGTGGATCGCGTGTAAGTTTGGATCGATGGAACGAAGCATGGCTTTGATTGCATGCGTGTACGAGTTTTTGGATCTATGGAGGCACAGCTGTTATGAAAATGATATCATGTTTTAATACGAAAGGCAGGGCGCGATTGCTTTGTCCAATACAATGCTATGAACTTGAAATTGCTCTCTATCGAAGTGGCGATCTACTACAAGTTATGCAATAGATACTTACACTGATGTCTATAATCCGCAGCCTCTAACGCTAATACATACAGACCTTATTGCCATACCAAATTCTTCACCTTCCTCTCCCATCCCGGCATCCGAAACTCGATCCCTGAATTCCCTCTCCATCGATACCACCCACACATCTTCTTCATTGCTCCAAGCCACCCCAACTCTGCTCTTCTCCAAGCTTTACCTCTCGTCCCATCCCCTCGATGCTGTACCACATACACGCCTCCATCGGAAGCCGTAGTCAACTTGGCCTCTCCGCGCTCCGGGTCGCCGCTGCTATGGTATTCCCGTCTTCGCGGTGTGCGGTTTGCCTGGAATCGTCTATTATGGTCTAGATCGAGAATTTCGGTGGCCGCTACCTCCATCCATACATCCAATGTCCGGAGGTGATCTGCGTAAATAACGAGTATTGCGCAAATCGAACACAGGCCCGATGCAAGCCAGAACACCCAAAATGATGAACCCTCGGGGCCATATGAGTTCTCGATGGAGAGAATCCCGGATACGACCGTCAAAGGAAGAAGAAGACCACCAAGGTAGGCTATCCGATCAAGACTCCGCGAGTTGGCATCCTTGGGCTCATCCTGCGCTTGCTGGGCGTGTACCTGAAGTGCGACCGTAGCAGAAATCTGAATACGTCTTTGAAGACGCTCTGAGAGATTTGCCCAATCCGCAGACGTAATTGAGCTGAACTCGCCTCGGCGTTCCATGCTTCGTGTAGTGTCAGCGTTAGTCTCAAGGGCGCGGGCGATGGTCCATTGGACATCAACCGAGTCAGATCCCAGAGGGGGCAACGAATCCATTTTCTGAAGCCATGCATCATAGATAGTCTCTGCGACGAGGTCTTCTATAGGTCGTATGTCGATGAGGGCTTGCCAGAGCGAGTCTTCGAGGCCTGATCGCTTCAGGGGTCGTTTCCCTTGCTTGAGACTGTCTGGGCGGGTGTTACTCGGTATCCTTAATGGCCGATAAGGTCTTGGAGATATGCGAAATGGAAGACCATCGAGAAGAAGAATAGGAAGTCGCTCCTTGACCATGAGCGATGCGCGACATATCCTAATGCCTTCATCTTGATCAGAATCGTCGTCGTCGTCGTCCTTTTCTTTCGTCTCATTCTCGTTCTCTTCCGATCTTCTTCTTCTTCTTCTTCTTCTTCTTCTTCTTCTCACTTCCATCTCAGGAAACTCCCAAACCCATCCTCCCCTCTTCTTATCCAACTCCATTCCTAACAACACGCCCATGTCGCATTCACCTCTTACTATAGCCATCTTCCGCCAGCCCGGTCTCTCCACCGCCACCATCTCTTCTTGAAATTCATCAGCACCGAGTATTTCCTTCTGTCGACAGGTTTGTATGCTCCATTCTAAGAGATAAGGTCGAGAAAGCTGCGATCTGCCGGCGCCGGGAATGCCCCGATCTGATGAGTACCGGCGGGTCCGGTGTCGAGGCTCGGGAGCCGGATGGTGTCGGGACATATACTCTTGATTTTTTGTAAAGCCACTGATTGAGGGAGAGAACAGGTCCAAGACACTCGAACTAACCAAATATGTTGTAAAGAGGACTCTTTTGAGACCAGATTAGCTCGATATCGTGGGAGTCTCAGTCTTTTGAGTCTTTCCAAAGCATCTTCTCTTCGACCTCATGAGCATAACTTCCGTCATGCGAAAGGTTCTTAAGGCATATTGTCTCCATAATTCCAAAGGTAAATATTATTTCCATCTAAGACTTTGGGGGTCTTGGAGGGTCTCAGCTAGGCAGATGTTCCCCTGCGCCTCTATCAGCCAATGTTCAAGTGTGGTCATGTGCTCGTGTTTTGCACAGATGACCCAGGCGACCAAGGAACGTCAACACGCGACATATTCACCTGCGAAAGGAATATAAAGCATTTTACCGTCATCATGTTTTCGAGCTTTGCGGATATTTCTGAGTCATGATTCCCTAAACTTACAGTAGTATCTCGGTCGATCATGTCAACTTGTATCACTTGAGACATTGTCAAATCATGACTGTGGATCTATAAGCTAGCCTTCGTTCGTGCATGGCTCATCATCTTTATTGAACGGTAACTTTACATAGCATGGATCTTTCCCGCTCTTCCCAAACGCCAGACCAGACGCCGTTTTGATGGCGATAATCAAAGGATGCTGAGACGTCACCTCTTGTCTCTTTCACCAGCTCTACCCTTCCTTGTCTCTCTGTCTCTCTCTCTCTCTCTCTCTCTCTCTTTATTTTTCTTGCTTACTTCTTCCCTCACTCTTACAAGTGATCGTCCAAAGGAGTGTCATGGTGTGTCAAATGACGCTAGAAAAATAGAATAGACGCCCCAGTTCAAGAATCTCAGGTGGTAACCCCGTGCGTATACGTGCGACATGTCCAATCGAGGATCAAGGTCAACTATCAATAACAATGTTCCGAACTTCCTAAATAAAAAAAGGTCGCTGCTGGTGTTTCAAATTCATCGATGGTGATCATCGTCTCCGTCGTGGTGCAAGGTGACACTGTTGAACTCGAGGAACGGGTCGGTAATCTCACCACCGGGTGTGGCCAGTCCACTGTCAAGTGGCACTCCCTGCATCGCCCTTGATCCCGAGAGGTCAACACTCTCACTTTCCTTCACATTTCGGAAGTTGACTGTATCGACACCTCGGCCAGCGTGAGGAACGATCGGGGGCTTCATGTGTCGAATCAGTGCCCATTGGGTCGTTCTGAAGAATGGATGCGCCTTGATGTCGGATGCACCGGCTCGGGCACCAAGTCGTCGGTTCTCGTCCTTGATCAATAATTTTCGTATCAAAGATTTGCAAAGGCTATGTTTGGTTAGAGAACAGACAAGTTTGAGGTTTTCGCATATGACTTACTTGGTGATTTGTGGTGCACCGGAATGGTCTGGGAAAGGAATATCTTCCCTCAGGATATTGGCGAAGGTTGCATTACGGTTTTTGCCCTTAAAGGGAGTGGTACCGTAAAGCATTTCGTAAATAAGAATACCCAAAGTCCACCAATCGACCGCACTCGTATGACCGCTGCCCTTAATTACCTCTGGCGCAATGTACTCTTCTGTGCCAACAAAAGAGTTTGTCCGGAAGTTGGCGATACATGAGCGGGTGTCAATGGTGGGAAGAGCGTCTGTCCGGGCACCATTCTTGCCGACAATCATGGTCGGCTTGCCACCAGGGTCTGACTGCTTGGACAAGTCAAAGTCTGAAAGCATGATATGGCCTGACTGATGAAGCAGAATGTCTATCACAATGGTCAGCGGTAGATTTGTAAGCACGACTTCTCAACATACTCTCGGGCTTGAGATCTCGGTAAATGAATCCCATGAGATGCAGATATTCTAGCGCTGCCGTCACCTCGGCGGCATAAAATCGGGCATCCTCTTCAGGAATGCATTTTCCAGGGCGTGTTTGAAGGGCGCGGAAGAACTCGCCACCACTGCAGTATTCCATGCACAGGTATAGGTAGTCCTCTGATTGGAATGAGTGATATAATGTGACAATGAACGGATGGTTACTTGTCGCAAGAATCTCCTGCTCTGCAAGAGCTCGCTTGATCTTGTTTCGCTTAATCATTTCCTTCTTGCTAAGTACTACAAAAAGTTAGTTGCGGTCGCAGTAGGGTATGGAGTGTTAGCATACTCTTCATGGCATAAAGCCTGCTGCTCTTCTTCTCCCTCACGAGGTACACCTTACCAACATCTCCTTTTCCAATAAGTTTGATCTTGTCAAAGCTAGAGGGACTAACTTCGACATTTCGGACCTTGATGGAATTGGAACTGTAGGTTCGGCGAAAAGCCATCGACATATTCGGAGGGGGTAGAGCAGCAAGGACATCGTCGGGATTGGTAGACTTGGTCATCTCCTCGTCATGCTGAGCCTTGGCCGACTCTATGAGACCAAGCGCGCCTGAACTTGAAAGGAGAGGATCTTTACCAAGCTCAGCAGTCGCAGGACGCTCATTGTTGTTCTCGTTCTTGGAGAACAAACCCTGCGCATTGGGTGCACTGGCGACTCTTCTAAGTCTCCGGGCAAGTTCCTCTTTGGTTTCGCTAGTTGCCTGATCTGTTGCAGTGTTGCCATCGGGTCCCTGAATCTTAAGGGTTGGTGTGTCCGGGGGGCTCGGGGGAACAGAGTCGGAGTTATGGTGACGCAATCCAGGTTGGCCTTGGTGGGCGAAGTAAGGGTTCGCGTGTGCGGTAGGGCTCATAGCTTCATCCAGCTGGTTGCCCTCGCTAGCCACGGTGTGCGCGCGCAGACGGCCAACTGTATTACTAAAGAACTTGGTATGACGGGATTTTGATGGATCGGGTGTCGTGGCAGCCGAGGTAGTCTTCTCCTTTTCCTTTTCTTTATCCTTATCGCTAGAGGCACTGCCGGTGCTACCTCCAGTGTTCATGCGGAAGAAGTTGCGCAGGCGGTGGCTAACCTGGCCGGGGCCATTGGAGGTCTTTTGGGACGGCATAGCGACAGTAGCGTTGCTGGGTTCGTCTAGATGGATATAGACGGAAACAGATTTGTTTGGTGTTCGATTATAGATTCGCTTCCATATTCGACGGATTAGACAGTTGAGAGGTGAGGAAAGATGCTGGTTATGATGTTGATAAAGACGACGTGGGGAATAATTGTTTCGCAATGAAGTCGCGGTTGAGAGAGAGACTTGTAATAGTTCGAGATAGAATATGAAAGTCGGGATTGACTTTGAGATGGAGCGGATGAAGCTACTGAAGATAAAAAGGCGACAGAGGAATTCAGAGCAGCACCACTGTTGGAGAATAGGGAGGAAGAAGACAACGGGATCTTCAGAGGAATGACGCTGGCCTTGAGACTGAGACTGGGTCAGGCTATGGGTCTGGTTCTTGATTTGGGAATTGGATTGGAAATGGGACATGGGAATGGGGGCGGCGTCGGAGACTTTTTCTGCCTGAGGCATGACTAAGTTCCGGTTCTCAGTTCCAGTTCCCGCCCGTAATGTAATGCCTACTTCGGCCCCTCTCTCTCTGTCGGCTGCCCACTAGCTAAGCTCACTTAGTGCCCACTTGTAACTCAAGTCGCCTTACAGGCACCCTGTGGCTTAGATGCTCACTAAGGTAGGGATCCTTGGTCTTGGTAACGTTAGTTTAGGCGAGCTTTGACTTCGGTTGATTATCTTACAAAGCCGCGTTCCCCTTCGGCAACTCGGTTTCGCTCACCATCCGCAAACTCCGGCTGAGAGAAAACAATGAGAAAAGGGTCCTACGGATTTAGCCAGGAAACTCAGCCTCCTCCCAAACATTCTATGAAACGGTGACTTTCTCTAGCAGGCTGGTATATCTACCAAACAGTCTTTCTGAGAGTACTGCAGGGCGGACGAGCCACTAAATGGGTAGGGTCAAAATCAGTCACTGCGCTAGAATTATGAGGCGCATATAGCGTGTCTCCAGATCGGAAAAGGAACGCAGCGGGTTCTCAATACTGGTTCCCGCGGCCTGGGGTCGCGTGGATTCTCAAGCTTGCCCCTTGCCTCTCTTTGGGCGATCCAGTACTCTGTAAACATATCACCAGATGAATGAGGCGACTCAAGACCAGACAGCATCAAACACCCTAGTGGCTCGCGATAGGCCCGTGAGTAGGTAGACAGGGGCTTGAGAGGTTGCTTTATCGAGCGACAGATGTAAAAACGACCGGGGTACAATTCAATTGTACAGTAATTACTATTAAAGCTCTTGAGGTGGCTTCGGGATCTAGACTTAATAAGGGCCAGATACGTAAGGTCAGTTAAAATCTCACCCTATATAGATACCTACATACTAAGACTTACTTTCCTAGATTTAATAGGGATTTTCGGTATATTTAATAGTATAAGCCATCTAGATTAAATAAATTATTATTTTAATTTATATACTACCTTTATATAATATATTAAGCTAATTAAAGCCAGTAAAATAACTTAAAATAGTAATAATCTATAAAGAAATAATAAAAAATTATATCTATTTTAAAAAATAACTTTTAATTACTTTTAAAATATATCTATATATATATTATTACTATATATTTATTAAAAAGATTTTATAATAGCTTTACCTTTAGCCTTAAATAACTTTAATAATTAAGTAAAAGAAAATATAAAAAAATAATAAGAATTTATAAATAATCTTATTATTAAGGATAATATAAAAACTATATTAATAAAGATCTATAAAGTTATTATATTTATATATTAAAGTAATTAAGTAATATTACTTAATAATATAATAACTTTAAAATTAATATAATATATAGATCTAATACTTTCTTAAGTATATATTAAATAGCTTTTTAATAATAATAAAATAATATTTAGGTATTTATATATCTTTGTTAATAACTTTATATTTATATTACTATATATAATAATAGGTATTAATCTTTAAAGTAAAAAGTTATAATTTTCCTTTAGATTATTAATTTAAAGAAAACTTAATATAATATAGGGTTTTTTTTTTATTATATAGATAATAATATTATAAATTATTTATTAACTTTTTAATTTATTTTATATATTATATTTATATTTTATAAAGTATATAACTTCCTTATTAATTTTAATTAAATTAAATAAAAGATTTATATAGTTTAGTAATATTAATATAATTATAAATAGAACTTATATATAGATATTTATTTTTATTATTTAGTAAAGAAAATAATAATTAAAAAAATACTAAATATTATAAAATATCCTTATAAAAATTAAATTAAATAATCTCCTCTTTATATATATATTAATTAATACTAAGGGCTTTATTTATAATTCCTTTTTTATAAAACTTATCTATCCCTAGTTAATAATATTATTAATAATATTACGTATTATATTACGTAAGCACAGTGGGATTTTAATAAGGGTTACATAATCTAATTTAATTCCTCGGCCTAAAGCTACCTTTAACTTCAGGCTGCCTTAACTTTAACTTTAACTCTAAATATATGTTCCTCTAAGTAATATATTTTAACCTTCTATCTCTATTTCTACCTATCCTAGCCCCTTAATACCTTATATATAACTTCTCTTTACAGATTATTTTTAAAGACCTTAAATACCTTTATAACCTACCTCTTTAAACTATTATACTAAGCTATATATTTTAACTTAAATACCTTAATAAAAAAGCTATTAATCTTAAAGACTAGCCTTTTTATAAATTTATTTTTTAGGCTTTTTAGGTATTTAAGTTATTTTTTTATTTTTTATATTTAATTTAATATATACTTTTAGGTATAGTTTTTTTTATTAAGTCTTAAATTATAAAATATTAAAAGTTTATAGCTAAAGGTAATTAATTTAATTAAATTATCATTATTTTATTTATTATAGGGAGGTAATATAAAATAGCTATTAAAATCTTACTTTAAATTAAGCTAAAGATCTCTAGCCTTATCTTTAAGTAGATTAAGTTCTTATCTATTATAATAGTTATTAATAGCTTTTTAGATAATCTTATAGGTTAAGGTAAGGTTTATATTATAATAGATATTTATAACTTAGATAATAATACTTATTATAATAGTAATTATAAAAGAGGTTAGTAATATAGACCGAAGGGTAGGGAACTAGGGGTTAATTAACTAACTGTAAGTATATAGTCTACCTCCGTAATGGATTAACTAACGACAGGTAGGTAGCTATAAAGGTTAATTAACTTGCTTATAGTATAGATTAAGTTAAGGATATAAGAGAAGCTAGCTTTTATATGTATAGCTATATAATATATATATTTATCTAATTAGAGTTTAGTATATAATTTTTATTATGTTAATTATATTAAGTTTTTAACCTTAGAAGAGGTTATTTTTATTATTAATATTATTAAGAGATTTAAAAAGCCTAGGCTTAATAAAGTTAAAGGTTAAAGTAAAAAAAAATTTAAAAACAAAAGTAAAAAAAAACTTATTTATATTAATAATAATTATTAATTAAATAAAAACTATTTTATATTTATAAATACTAGCTTTAACATAAAAAATAGCCTAGTATTACTATATATAGAAATAATATATTATTTTAAAAAGTTTAAAAATTATAATTAAAGACTATAAAATAAGAAAGAACTATATAACTTAAGGTATATATAACTTTATAGTTATATTAAATATACTTTTAATATATAAGAAAACAAGTTTAAAATTTTTTAATTAAGCCTTATAGAATATAGTCTTAAAGATTAGTAATTAATTATATTTATAATAATAACTATATATAACTTTATATTTATTAAAAGATTTTTTCTTAAAGAGTTTAAATATTAAAAAAAGCTAAAGTTAACCTTAAAAGAATATAATATTATAAAAGTAATATAATTTTATATTAAGATTATTCTTCCTTTCTAGATTAATATATAAATATAATAAAATATAATAAAATAGCTTTAATACTAAAAAGAATATAATAAAAATTAAAATTAAAAAATTAAAAAATACTAAAAGTAATAAAAATAATAATAAAATTATTAATAGTAATAAAAATAATAATAACTTTAACTTAATAAAAATTAATAAACTAAAAGAAATATAAAAAATAAAAAGATAATAAGGGGTAAATTAATAAAAAAAGGCAGGCTTAATAAAGCTTTTATATTTAATTATTCTCTTTAGGTTATAAAAGGTATAAAAGTAAATTATAAATTAAAGGTTTTAAGTATTAAAAGCTATTTAAATTAATTTAATTATTATTAATAATAAACTTTTCTATATAAAGTAAAAATAACCTTCTTTAGGCCTAAGCTTTTCCTTTATATTATAATATAACCTAGATTTTTATATATTAAGTAATTTTCTCTTTATTATCCTTTAATATATTCTATATAATTATATTTATTAACTTATTATTAAGATATAATACTATTTATATAATTATTAATAATTCCCTCTTTTTAAAGACTTTAAAGTAATTAATTATAGCTTTTTTAATATTATTAAATCCCTTAGGCCTTATTATAAATAGGTAATATCTTTAAATTTCCCTCTTTTCTAAAAACTTTTATATTTTATTCTATAAAAATCTAAAATACTTTCTTTTTCTTATTAATAAAATAGCTTTAATACTATAAATTAATATTATTTATAAATTTCTCCCTTTTTTTATATAATATATTACTATTAAAAACTATAAAGATAAGTTATAAATAACTTACTAACTTATTATAGAAATCTTTTTAAATAAATCCTTAAAGTTATAAATAGCTTTATTATTTTTAATATCCTTAATTACCCTTTTTTATACCTACTCCCTTTAGTAATCTTTATTACTAGCTATATATATATTATACTTAATATAATTATTATTTTTAAATACTTATTATTATATATTAAGTACCCCTAGTTAATAATATTATTAATAATATTATATATTACATTACGGAAATAGGTATAGTAAGATTTTAATAAAGGTTATATAATCTAATTTAATTCCTCGGCCTAAAGCTACCTTTAACTTTAGGCTGCCTTAACTTTAACTTTAACTTTAAATATATATTCCTTTAATATATTTTAACCTTTTACCTCTATTTCTACCCCCCCCCCTTAGTACCTTATATATAACTTCTCTATCCTTAATAGTTATATACTTTTAGTCTTAGGCTAAGACTAGGATACTTTATAGATTATTCTTAAAGACCTTAAGTACCTTTATAACCTACCTCTTTAAGCTATTATATTAAGTTATATACTTTAACTTAAATACCTTAATAAAAAAGCTATTAATTTTAAAAACTAGCTTTTTTATAAGCCTATTTTTTAGGCTTTTTAGGTATTTAAGTTATTTTTTTACTTTTTATATTTAACTTAATATATACTTTTAGGTATAGTTTTCCTTATTAAGCCTTAAATTATAAAGTATTAAAAACTTATAATTAAAGGTAATTAATTTAATTAAGTTATAATTATTTTATTTATTATAAAAAGATAATATAAAGTAACTATTAAAATCTTATTTTAAATTAAGTTAAAAATCTTTAGCCTTATCTTTAAGTAGGTTAAGTTCTTACTTATTATAATAATTATTAATAGCTTTTTAAATAATTTTATAAATTAAGGTAAGGCTTATATTACGGTAGATATTTATTACTTAAATACTTATTATAATAATAGCTATAAAAGAGGTTAATAATATAAACCGAAAGGTAGGGGTTAATTAACTAATTATAGCTATAAGGGTTAATTAACTAGCTTATAATATAGATTAAGTTAAGGATATAGGAAAAGCTAGTTTTTATATATATAGCTATATAATATATATATTTATTTAATTAAAGTTTAGTTATTATATATAACTTTTATTATATTAATTATATTAAGTTTTTAACCTTAAAAGAGGTTATTTTTATTATTAATATTATTAAGAGATTTAAAAAGCCTAGGCTTAAAAAAGTTAAAGGTTAAAGTAAAAAAAAATATATATATATATTAAGTATAATATTATCTTTAATAATAAGGCTATTATAAAAGGCCTTTATTTAATAAGTTTTATATTTTATTATAATATTACTATAGTCTTAATTACTAAAGGTAATTTCCTTACTTTTTTTAATATAATTAATACCTAAGAAACTATATATTTCTTTAAAGATATATTAATATTTCTTTAAGAAAGTTAGGTAATTAGTTAATATTTTTCTTAATTAATTAATTAAAGGCTAATATTATTAAAATAAAAATATAAATAACTTTAAGATTTTTATAATAACCTTATTTTTAAAAATATTAAATTTCCCTTTATAATAAGCCTTTAATAATTATTTTAAAAAGTAAAAAGTCTATTTATTAAATTATTACTAGCCTTAGTTATTTACTATTATAGTTTATAATATTTTACCTTAAAATTTAAAAACTTTTAAGGTACTTATAGTAAACTATTTAGTTTATACCTAACTTTATTAATATATAGAAAGTATTATAAATTAATTTCTTTTAGTAATAGGCTTATTTTAAATAAGATATTTAATTTTATAATTTATACCTTCTAGAATATATCTTTAATTACTTAAAAATATAATTATAAAGGATGAAGATTATACTTTAATTATTATTATTATAATAACTTAATTTATAGAGGAAGGTAATAAGACTAGCTATTAAATAAGGTTAGTTATATTAATAATAAGGTTTTAGGTATATAATACAGCCGTTACTAATTTAGTAAGTATAGAAGTCCTTTACTAGAAGTATATATATTTTAACAGATCTTACGTATCTGGCCCTAAATCATATCGTGCGAACCTTAATACTTACCAGTAGAAAATACTGTAATTCCTTCGGCAGTGACATTCATTCCTGGAAAAGGTCAACGGGAGGAAGACTACCCTGGACCAGTGGCAGAGGCTCAACCATCGTTCACGGATCACCGAGCCTAACCTACCGCACCTACCAGCATTAGTTATGCAACAGAACCGAACGTCAAGTAAGTGAACATGCGCAGTTATGATTAACATCACATTAACGTTATGCTACCATGAGCAAGTAGGGCCAGTGCGGCCATTAACAACAGGGTAATGGTTTCAAGGATTATTCCCACAAATAGTGGTTGATGCTCGTGTCCACCCGATATGGCATGAACCCAGGCGTTTATTCGCTGCGTTAATGAGTAGTCGACAAGCACCGCGAGGTAGTTGTACATGCCTGTAAATAATAATGAGCACTGGTGTCTATGATATCAAAGAGGTAAGTCGAATGTAAATAGAAACAGTTGTCTGGCCACCCACTTGTCGAGAGATGAATGGTCCAACCACTCCGATTGTACCTTCAACGAATACATAGCTGCTGGGTGAAATGTGCAAAGATGCAATATAGCACAAGGCCAGCAAGTTGGCTCGTCCAGCGTTGTTGCAGACCTACAAGCCTCTTCCCGGACCAGTATCATGGTTTAAAAATAAATGGCACGAGTATAGAGCCTGTGAGTTACGATCAAGCAAGTTGCAACAAAAAGCAGGATGTCTATCAAACGACTTAAATAAACAGTTTAATGGCGTTGTTTGATTTCCGCCCTGTCCAAAACTGTGACGATGTGTTCTTGAATATCAACCTTTCTGTGGGAGTAAATCTTATGTGGCTTTCCCACAAAGGTTCATCATTGCGTGGTGACCGAAGTGTCACCGATGTATGCTTTACTGATCCCGATTTATCGAGTTGTTCGGGCGTTCCGATTGTACACTAGATTGGAGACTCGAAAAGGACATGGTAAAATATACACGTTGATGCAGATCTCGGTAGTAGAAGTTGAGTTACACGCCTCTAGACGTAGACGGAATGTCTCGGTGTGGCCCCCAGGACTTCGACATATGTTACGTTGAGTGATCAAAGAAGAAAAGATTTCTTGGTCCCGGGCAATGGCACGAAGATTTACACAAATCCCCTTCTTTGCTGCTGGTTTTCCTGTCTTTTCCATCTCGCGATGTCGTTATCTGCATAGTGTAAAGCTACGAATTTCTTTCTTATCTCTAGCATCACCTATCAAGTACAAAAAGGCTGTGATGATTTTCTCCTGATTCAGCTGAGATAAACTTCGTCTTTGAGGGTTCGCTGAAGGTTAATAGAGGACACTCAATCAGTTTGAACCATGATTCAATAAAATATAAATACCACCAGATACCTCTTCTCGCAGTCGAAAAATGTAGTCTGCAGGATCATCCCGGAATCAACCCCGCAGACGTACTGTCCTATAAGGTGAGCTTTGTGTTCTTTTTTTCATGTATGATGGTTAGAAATAACAGCCACGTTAGCAACATACCGCACACATCACAAGTCTTTGAGCTGGCGAAGGCCATCAACATGATGAACCCCAAACCCTACCACTCCATCCTCAGCTCTGAGACGCTGAGCATGGCCACTCGAGCGTATTATGTCCAGTCCGAGATTTTCCATATTCCCGATCAGTTCGGCTTCTTCTCTTCCGGTCCACCTCCGCGTCAGGAATTCGAGGTTGAGAGAGTTATCACGCTGTTGTTCCTGCTATCCATCCTTAGTGCCCTGGAATTGGTTGCCCTAATTGTTTCATTGCTCACTGATAACTTTCATTGGGAGTTCTTCAGTTTCTGTCTCGGGATTAATTGTTTACAAGTAGGGTTCTTTTGGGCTCTGGCATGTTATGGTCCTCTCAGTGACCCCGAGTTCGACTGGGGGTCCTGGGAAATAGAGGAGAGGTGATGGGCTCTGTGTAAGTGAAGCTTAGATACTTGGGCATACACGTGATCGTTTCTCAAAAAGCTTTCATATACTCAATGATGGTACTGATCTAGTACATACGACCAAAGGTAGTGGAAAATACGGGATCCCGTCCGCTCTCCCATAGTCAAGCCACTAACCGGCGGATTAGTAGTTGGGTCGGTGACGACCAGCGAATCCCCACTGTTGTATGTTTTCTTTTTGTCGATATCCGTTTTTGGTGTTTTGACGAAGTGGACACCACCACCACCAGATAGGGGAGCATATCTTTCTTTACAGCGACGATACCTTTCATAGTCTACTATTAACAAAGACTTATGGGTGTGTTTTTTCGCTTTGATTAACTCTAACGATATCTGGCCTTCGTCTTGGTGGCCTGAGCAGTTCTCAATCTTACTCTGTCTCCGTTGGTTAAGTATGTATGAAAGTGATAATGGAAGCCCAGCCAATGGCAATTCGCTCTTCTATTCATGAGAGGAATTATAATTTAAGTAATCTACCCGGCCGAGTATTTCTTCCATGATCGTTAATTTAAGCTCTCTGATACGTTAGTACTTAGACAGCTTGTTGTTCCTTGAATCTTCGTGTTGTTCTATTCAACCTTAACATCAATCATGTAGGTAAGTGCTAGGTACTTGGATCTCCCAATACGCATGTCAACAGACTGTGAGCAAGAAAACTCATACATGAAACCTAGGTAAATAAAGCTGCCAAATCATCGACTTTATCAAGAGAGTAATAGATCTCATATTCTATTAGGCTTGTTGTAAGTGAAGTTGAGGTGAAGATGGGCAGGTGGAGTCGACGGGGTACATAAGGTTGTGCGCGATAGGTAAGCATGCGAAACCGAAGTACCCGCATCGACCAAACGGAGTTCAAATCGAGGCCATTCAGGCCTCCCAATTGTTGTACTCCGATTGGCTCCTCGCCACGGTCTCGCACCAAAACGGAAAGGGCATATCCTCCAGTCCCGTCTCACTAGGTTTATCTGACGGTCTGGCCGCTCGTGTCGTAATCCTCTCTTTTCTCTCCTCTTCATATCTTGCTCGAATACGAACGCTTGACAGTCGAATCCTCCAATTTCTCCAATTTTGTACAGGTGTTTTAATAGTCATTGCTTTAACCCAAATTCGAAATCATGGCTCGTGGCAACCAACGTGACAAGGCTCGCATAGCAGGCGATAAGAAGAGAGATGAAGAGGCTAGGGTTCGTTGCTAAACCCAAATGTTACACGCATGGTGTACACAACAACTGACACACTTTTCTTTCTTCACAATAGAGACAAGGAAACGGTTTGAGCGGTACTCAAATGCAGCAAAAGAAGGAGAGCGACGCTGAGAAGATGCGAAAGAAGCAGGCTGCTTGTACGTCCAACAACCCTTACACCTACATCGAATACCCAATCACGACAACCACGAGCCAACCAACACACCGTCGCTCTTATATACAAAGGTGGAGATAACTAACACAGACTCATAGCCGATGCTCTCAAAGCCGCCGGGGGCAAGAAATAGACAACACTACGATGCTCAGTACGAAGACTGCCTATGCTTACTCGAAAAATCTTCAATTACGTTTCAAAAATGCTGCAAAAATATGAGAATAGAGGTCAAGCGCGATGGAGATGGTCGAAGCCGGAGACTGGTTGGAATACCAACGAAACGAAACGACTTTGGGCAGGACAGGCGAACGAGTGCAATAATATGGGTTGTATTTCCAGAAACGATTACAATAGCCTCTTCAATACATCTTTGCGATGATGGTTACCCGTGATGGCTAAACACGCAGCTCTAGAGTCCCTCCCTACATTATAGCCCCTTTTCTCACCTGTAGAACTAGATTTGTGAACAGCTAATCTTGAAAATCATCTCTATCTGAGCCGTGGAGTTATACCGATTTTCTCTTGCCAAACACTATACTCCGGAGATAAATGCCAGCCGTAGTGCTGCAGCTTTCTATTCAACGCAAGCTGTCTTCAAGGCTTTGGTTAACAAAGGGTCGAGCTATTTGGACTACCGATCTAGACGAGAACGGAGATAATTACGGGTGGTTCCCAAACAATGATACATTCACCAAAGCACTGCCTTACACGTTCTTGATGTGGCCAACCTCATATTCAAGGTCATACATAAACTATTGGACATACTCCATTTCCAAGGGTATGACTCGACAGCTACTGTACTTCAAGACCAAGAATCAGGATTGTCCCATGAATGTTTTGTCCCATTAACTAACTAGACCGATCTCCAAACCCGTGAAGATTTCAAATGCCATCTAGGCTACCCAAACATAATCCTAACGTCTAAAACATATAAAAAATGGTACATCAAAGTAATAACTCATTGAACCCTAGTCGTCTCCCGTGGTATCAACACCTGGTATCTCTCGTGTCATTGCTTATTCTACATCTTGTATGGCAGAGCACCTTGGGAGCTGTTAGTCCTTGCGTTTATAGGTAGGGGCTCATTGATAACTTACCGGCCATGCCGCCAAACGAATTAATGCCTTGAGCCTGGGCAGGGAAGCCACTAGCTGAGCAGGATACCATGCAAACACAGCTGCCATCGGCGCCGATTGTGCCCTGGCCGGGTACGACTCCTGTAGCCTCGGGCTTCGCAGCGTCGGGTGCAGCTGCTGGGGGAGCAGGAGCGGCCTCAGCGGGCTTCGACTCAGCTGGAGCAGCGGCGGGAGGAGCAGGCGCGCCGCCTGTGATGGGAGTGGCAGCACCGTCACCCTTCTGCTTGATGGCGAGCTCCTTGAACTTGGCCTGTGTCTTCTCGGCTGTAGGGTTGATGGAGAAGACCATGCCCTGGCCACAGTGGTTGCCCTGCTTGCAGTAGAACCCTTCGAAAGGTCAGTATATACATCAGGACGTACTTGGGATTGACGACTTACACAAAGGAGTGTCAACCATGACTTGCATGGCGACTTGAGGAGGGGGAACGACGGTGTTGTTGGGGTTGGCCATGAAGCCAGAGTCCATACCACCCTCCATGAAAGTACAAGGTGTGTCAAATCCAGACTGGGAGACAGTGTGGTTCTGGGACAGGAACTCGAAGACGACGGTATCACCAATAGGGACATCGTGCAGCTCCTCGGGCTGGTAGACTAGACCTCCGGGTCCGCCAACAGTAACAGTGTGCTGAGCAGCAGCAGGAGGAGGAGTGGCAGCAGCGTCTCCTCCCTTGGTGATGGTCTCGGTAACTGTGACCTTCTCGTTGATGGTGGTAGTCTCAGCGCCAGCTCCGGGGTTCGCCCAGATGATGATGATCTCGGTTTTGTGTCCCTTGGTGATACCCTCAAGGCCCTTGAGTCCTTCGAGACCTGCGAGACCCTTGTGAGCCTCTGCTGCGGGTGCGTGTACTGCGGGCATCTCAGGCATCTCAGGCATCTCAGGCATCTCAGGCATGGGGTGATCTCTTCGTTCGGGCTGAGCAAAGTCAAGGAAGCGAGCCAGAGTCATGGGCGCAAAGGCGGCCAGGGCCAGACTGGTTGAAGTCCTCATGATGAATGTTTTGGGTATTAAGTTAAAAAGAGGAAAATGGATAGTAGTTGTCGGACAGATGAATCGATCTAGCGATTAAGGAACTTTAGTATAAGAAGAAGAAGAGGGCCTGCCTTCAAAGAATGGAATTATCTAGGTGCAAAAAGATTGAAGCACGGAGAAGCCTTGGGATGAGAATGGGATATGGGATGAGATATGAGGTTGAGTCGTGGAAACGCTGCACTCTTATTATACTACATGATGGGCGTCCAAACAACCGCCCACTGACCCCCTTGATAGACAAGCCCTCAAACACCTGTTCGAAACACGGCCGCTGGAGAAGCCGGACTCTTAGCCTCGCTTCGGTTTCTCGAGATCCGATCATAACCAAATAACGTTGCGGTTTCCCATGAAACGGTTATCGATGCGGGGGTGGCCTCTGTGACAGGTACGTCTCGGAACGTGTTTGGTGTTTTGGAGCGTTGCCCCCTAGGGCCCCTTTGCTACAGCAGCGCAAATCGAGACCGCCAAGCAAATAATATGCGACAAATAACGATTGGGGTTCTTTCTTACGTAGCGTCGACTATAGGTCGTTTTCCTTAACTAGCCCTATATAGGGTTGCATTTGACGGCGGCGACAGGGGTCGTTTCTATGCTGATGAGACTCTGCTCTTACACAACGAGACAGGTCCGACAAGCCAAGGACGGGTCTAGCCCCCTCCATGTAAACCGCAAGCCAAGCCTAGTCGCCTGAAGATTTTATGATATTGATATTGCTATTGCCTACTAGTATCTAGTAGACGTGGCAGTTGTCAAGGCCAAGGCCAAGCTATCAAATACTCAAATTCGCCTTTTAGCGCCCCGGAATGTGTTTCACTACTGATCGCCAACGTTGAGGTTTCATCGACATTATCTTATCCCATGTGCTCAATTAGGGAGGGCATACTGAGAAAACGAGGATGTTTCTTGGTAAACACAGTCTCGTGATGCCCAGTCTACCGACAATGCCAGCACATATTGTTGGTATTATGGTCAGTCTTTAATTAATTCGGAGCCGTCCAATATCATCTCTACAGGCGGCTCGTGAACTTCCGTACTGCACTAGTCTCTCACAATACAACATGTCAACTTATTTCATCTCCTTAGTAGGTCGACGGAAAACCTGCAGCGTTCACAGTATCAGTTTGTAGCAACACAACATCAGAGAGCATATATACCTACACCCTGATTCTCCAATGCAAGTCCCTCCTGCAAGCTCTCTCCGTACATGTTTCTCCGAGTAATCATCGTCCAGTCTTGCGCTGTAGCAACCACGGGAACTGCTCACCCGAGAACCCTTGTATATGCCATGGCTTTATCGGCCAGATTGGGATATATCTACCGTTCTTCATGTTTCAAGGTTGTATAGTTGTTTCTTCGCTTAAGAGCCATGGTTCTGTTGAGTTTGTTGCTGGCCGCCTTCGTACAACCCTGTGTAGTAACCAGCATAGTACCATGACATAAGGAGCTTCTTGAGATTTTCATCTTGAACTGTTGTAATTTCGTTAGCCCTTATCCACAGAGGATAATGACAAGGAACTTGACTTACCAGAACCTAGGACAGTCTGGATGGGGAAAGAAGGGAGACCTGGAGGCACAGCAGGTCCCTTAGCTTCGTTGTGCGATGAAGGGGTTTCCTGGGCTGGTTAGTTATGCTGAAAGAACAGATTATTGCACATAAATACACACCTTATTTTCCTCTGCTGCCTTTAAGTTCAACTCAGTATCATCTGTTTCTTTTGCTTGGGGTTGTTCAGAATCAGACTCTGCCTTGCCTGCGGTCCTTAGTTCACATATTAGCAGAGGAACTTTAACATCAATATCATCGCTCTCACTGTGTTTGAGATTCCAAATCACGTAAACTTCCGCCTTTTGCGTGAATGCTGTGGTATTTCTAACGGGAGTCTGTTAGCAATTATTACGGTCAACGTCAAACGGTGCTTACTTTGTACTCATTCAGGGCTTCATTCCATGAGTCTATCAGGGCGGAGTCGTCCCATATCTCCTCTTGACTCAGATTATCTTGCTTTTTCGACATTTTGTAAGTTCCGAACTCGAATTCTAAAGCCCAAGATTTCGAAATAAAGTTGGCGTACGCGATGTCTTCAGTGTTGTTGAGATTACACGCAGAAGGACCAAATCAATCAGATGGTTTCTTGTTGACTTGGACTATGTGATAGATGTGGAAGAATCAGGTATCGCTAGCGGGACGCTCAGGTTTCCTGATATAAAATGAGTTATCTGACGATGTTTGGTAAGTTCACGTTGACCCAGCTATTGCAGCTCAGCACAGGTTGTAAGCTTCAGAAGCCCCAGATGGTTTTTAGTGGACCAAGCCGCTGTAGGACCCCAACCCCCACTATGATAAAGTGATAGCAGACAATGTCCTTCACCGCCCGAATCCGACACGGCAGAATCCCAATTTTTTTCCCAAGGTCCACGCATCTTTTTCTGCGGGTGTTTAGCTTTTGAGTATCCAGCAACAAGACAACCAAATCAGACACAATGGCACCAGAATTGAGAAAGCGAAAGTGTAGGTGATTCGCAAGCCATCTAATTTCATGCGCTGACTCTTTTTAGCTGCTTCTGACATTCAGAAGCCCAATGGCGCTGCCAAAGCTGCCCAGCCCAAGCGAAAAGGTGAGCATACTTTACCTACTACATTTCTTCTTCCCCATCGCTAACAAAGCTTTTGCAGCCCCTGAGGAGTCGTCGCCTGTGTCGCTGAAGAAGCAGAAGTCTGTCAAGAAGACCACTGTCACAAAAAAGACCGCCGTAAAGCCGGCGCAAAAGTCCAAGAGCAAGCCCGTCGAGGAAGTCAAGGTCGTCGAAGAGGAAACCACCATACTCGATGTCCCCGATGAGTCCGAATCAGAGGCCGAGGAGGGCAAGGAGGTCCAGGCGATCGTGAAGGAACTCGACTCCGGCGACGAGGACATCACCGAGGGCGACGCCAGCTTCCAGCCCGGACAAGATGTGGGCAAGATCCCCGAGGTTTCCAAGGACGTTCAGAAGCCCTCCAAGGGCTACAAGCCGGAGCCTGGTGTTATTTACATTGGTCGCATTCCCCACGGTTTCTACGAGCACGAGATGAGACAGTACTTTGAGCAGTTCGGTCCCATTGTTGCTCTGCGACTTTCACGAAACAAGCAAACCGGTGCCAGCAAGCACTACGCCTTCGTTAAGTTTGCTGATGCTGCTACTGCTGAGATTGTGTCCAAGACCATGGACAACTACCTCCTGTTCGGCCACATCCTCAAGTGCCGCGTCATTCCCAAGGAGCAGGTCCACGACGATATGTTCAAGGACGCCAACCGGCGATTCAAGAAGGTCCCCTGGAACAAGATGGCTGGTAGCAAGCTCAACAAGCCCTTGACCGAGTCCGCTTGGGCAAACAAGGTGTCAAAGGAGAACTCTAAGCGCTCAAAGAAGGCTGCTAAGCTCAAGGAGATTGGTTACGAGTTTGAGGCTCCTGAGATGAAGGATGTGCCAGCGCCTGCGGCCATCGGGAACGGAGAGGAGACCAAGGCCGTTGAGGATGCGTCCGCTGAGAAGGAAGAGGCTAAAATTGAGGAGGCCAAGGTCGAAGAGCCCGTTGAGGTTGTCGAGGCAGTTGTCGAAGAGACTGAGGTCGTGACCAAGCCAGCCCCCAAGGCCAAGGCCGCTAAGGGCAAGGCAACAAGAGCAAGCAAGGGCCGCAAGGCAAAGGCTTGAGTCCAGAACTGTTCTGTTCAATTCAATGGGTTTTCGGAGTTTAAAGCGGCATAGACATAGTTCACAGAGTTCCGTAATGAAATGAAATGCTAAGTTGGACCACCATCATTTAACGTCACGAAGTTGCGCGCGCATGTTCCGAGGTTTCTTCTACGGAAAATGAAGAAGAGATTTTGACCATGATATGTACGCACATAAGCGAACCCATAGCACTCATAGGAAATAAAAGAGCAAGCGACGGGATTATGAAAGGCGTTTAATAGTCTACTTCGCGCACGATTGCGAAAAAGCCACAGAGACAATGGTCTTTTTCAAAAATATTGATTGCGAAGGGTAAAATATGTGAAGAGAAAAGGAAGACAGTCGAAACGCGAGCGTAATAAAGAAAGAAAAGCGCATCAGAGGGGTCCACTAAAATTACTAAGCGAAGTGACTGCCACCCTATAACTCTAAGCTGCTGGATATAACCAATTTTTTGAACCCTCCTCAACTCTTCGAGTTGAGGTATCATCTAGCTTTAAATTGGAAATCCATTATGTGGATTTATTTAATAATAATCACTTTATACAACAAGATTCGTGACATGTTGTAATAAATACAGGCTCTCTGTACAAGTCAGTGCTGGTGTGTTCTTACTTCACTTGCACGCAACTGGAGGGATATTGAGTCTCAACTATTTACAATTTGATATATGTATAACTTGGTTCAAAAGAATTGGTATTCCATCGTGTGAACACATATCGACTTGAACAGGCATCAAAATTCCCGTAGCCTTGGATTGCTAGGGAAGGCGGCGGTCGTTGCTATCAAGGCTGGAACCAAGTCGAATGTTTACTCCATAGGATATGAACAACACCACGATGGGTTTGTTCATGGAACTACGTACCTATACTGTGTTGGCCTAGTTGTGTTTAAATCAATACACTGCCAGTAAGGGATGGAGTGTAATGAGCCATTCTAAACAGTAAGATGACCAATCCTAACCATGGGCTAGACGACATTCCGAATATTTTTAGATCTGTACACACCAAGTGCTGGAAGTGCATGAACCAAAGAGTTTATATTATACCACTCAGTCAATATCTTAGGTCTCTATTCGGTTATAAAACGTTTTTATGATTAGAGAGCTTATCAATTGCCTGACTTCCAACTTACGTATACAATGCCACAGTAGTAGCCGGCCGACAATTCGGACCCGAGTTCCCGGGACGCCGCGGCCGTTGAAACGTCAAGTCGGCGGCTCCAGGGCATCTAGGTACTGGCACCCACTAAGTTCCAGGGACAGTCAGCAGAGCCCCAGCTGACGTACCGTGTACCTGTGCTGTGCCGTGCCGTCCACTCGACGCCAACACCAGGGAGAGCCACTCTGTCAGGTATTTTGTTCTGCTCTATACTGTACGGCACTGACACGTACCTACATCCTGCATCCATATCGCGTATTCAACCCCGGCGCTAGGACTATCTGCACGACATTGAACCTCTGGATGCTCGTGACTGGAGCATCCAAAGCTCACCATGTCTTCCTCTTCCGCCGTCGCAACGAACCCGACCCAGGCCACGAATTCAGGTGCGTGCAATCCCTACCCCTGCAATTGAGGTAGAAATGGAGATTCGAGAACGTGTCCTAACCATGGGGCCTCGCTTCACACTCGTGCAGGGTCATCCAAGAAGAAGAACAACAAGAAGAAGAAGAACGGAAACAAGAACAAGGCTCCCGAGCAACTTGAGACCTCTGAGCCTCAACAGGGTTCGGATAAAGATACCGTCGAAGACGAGCCTGACACACCAACACAGCTTGTACGTAGTAATGACGCTACCCATATCATGCAATTGCGCGCGCGCTGACATGTGTCACCACCACAGGAGACGCCAATCGATGCAGACGAAGACGTAAACGAAGACCCCCCCGTTCAAAGCAACGGGCATGCCGTAGAGCCCAAGGAAAAGAGCAACGGGCTCACACCCCCTCCGGTTGATGGCCAAAAGGAAAAGCCCGACGATTCAGACACTTCTGCCAAGCTAGAAGCCATGAGCCAGGAACGAGAGGCCTTGCGGGCCGAGGTCGAACAGCTACGGAAACAGCTCGAGAGCATCCAGGAATCCCACAGCAATGAGGTCACGCAGCTCAAGAGCGATTTGGAGGAGAGCAACACCGCCAAAGAGAATGCCGAGGAGGAATATCAGACCCTTCTCGGTCGTGTTGAGAAGATTAAGCAGACGCTAAGTGACAGATTCAAACGCGACAAGGCAGAGCTCGAAGAGAGCAAAGAACGCATAGAAGAGCTCGAGGCAGAGAACGATGAGCTCAGGAATACTGCTGTATCATCTGGAGATGATGTCTCCAAGCTAAAGGAGGAGCTTCAAGATGCGACCAGGGAACTCAACACACTCCGGAGTAGAAATAATCTATCAGCACAGAACTGGACCAAGGAGAAGGAAGAATTAATCCGACATGTTCAACACCTGAAAGAGGAGATGGAGACGACCGCAAACGCTATGGGCGAGTGGGAAGTCATCGCTATGGAAGAGCGGTCCATCAAGGAGAGCTTGGTCGACAAGGTTTCAGAGCTTGAGGAGCAAGTCTCCATCCTGCGACAGAACTATGAGAGCGCTACTGCGGACCGGGATAGCCAGATGACCCTCATCGACAATCTGCAGAACGCTCTTCGCGAGATTCAAGATGCTCGTAAAAAGGAGCTTCGTGACATGGTCGAGTCGACCGAGGCGCAGGTCCAAGGCCTCAAGAAGCAGGCGCAGGAGGCCGATACCCGCGCCAAAGAAGCTGAAGCCGCCAAGCAAACCCTCACACAAGAGCTTGAGCGAACAGCACCCTTTGAAAAGGAGGTCAAAGAGAAGAACTTACTCATCGGAAAGCTAAGGCATGAGGCCATTGTCTTGAACGACCACTTGACCAAGGCACTACGATACCTTAAGAAGACCAAGCCGGAAGATAATGTTGACAGGTATGTTCACCTCAGAATTGGCGATTGATATTCATACTGACCACAACCAGACAAATTGTCACTAACCATCTACTCCACTTCCTCACCCTCGATCGTGGCGATGCCAAGCGTTTCCAGGTCCTTCAAGTCATGGCTGGCTATCTCAACTGGACCGACGAACAGCGAGAGCAAGCTGGTCTCGCCCGTCCAGGCACGTCGACCAATTCACTTCGCTTACCCATGTCGCCATTTACACGTACACCCAGCTCGCCATCACTTAACGCTGATCTCTTTGCTGAGTCGTCGTCTGCAAAGGATAAGGAGTCTTTATCTGAGCTCTGGGCCAATTTCCTGGAACGCAGCGCACAAGAGGGCACACAGGAGACGCCAAGTAGGAAAGGTAGCACAAGTAGTGCTGCCACGGGTCCTGCAAGACCGGAGTCTACCAAGCCGGATGCTAGGAGTTAATACTGAATGTTGGAGTTTTGATATGGCTACTACACTAAATGAGATGTGAGGAGTGGACACGGTGCATGTTTCAGGGGTTTGCGCAGGGAGGGATATAGCACTCGACATTGTCACAAGAGAAAGGACGAGATATGGGTTTATGGTTATCAAGGCCAGGTTTTCACGGTCATAGACCTCTATGTACGAATAGCTCTTTTAAAGGAAGGGTTGGGATAATACGCAGCAGGACAGTTTAGATACTGCCATCGTCCTCTGTTTCTGCATGCAAGGACTGCAATACATTCTTGGCATATCCCTCAGCGTCTCTCGTGATGCTTCCGACGTCAATACGGTTGTTTAACGCATCATTGACTCCTTCCACAACATCCCTCTCTTCCATTACCTCGCCCATCAGGCGTACCTCGTGACTCCAGTAGGCGTGACTGCGCGATCGAAGATCCTCGTCACGCAGGGCAGTGTTCTTCACAATGCCTAGCGCGCTGAGCTTACTCTTGACAATAAGGAGGGCACGGGAAGTCGCCTCGATGCGCTCCACGGGTGAAGGAGGCTCGACGAAGGCACGGTTTGTGGCAGACACGAATAGAAGCCAGCCTAGGGCCGCATCGAAAGCTGCAAGGGTAACGAGACGCGCAACTCGGGCAGTCCAGTAGAAGAAGTCGACCTCTGAAAGACGCAGAGCGCGAGCATTGGCCTGATAGTTGTAGGAGTTGACAAAGTAGATATCGAGGGCTGCAATGACACCAGCGGCCATGGTAGCCTTTGGTCGCCATTGGGAGCCAGCTCGGCCTGTGAAAGTAGGGCTTGTAACGAAGGCGATGGCAAAGAGGTTGGCGATATGAGGCCATAGAAGCTGCGGAAGGGCATAGTTGAAGAATGTCTTGGGCTCCTCTGAAGTACAGAAAGGACAGTTGGCCAGCACTTCAGGACCATACTGTAGGTACAACAGTCGGCTCTCCAAGTTGACGAACCTGCCCCTCAACGCCTCATCCTGCTTTGTGAGGACATTATCGGGTCTTCCGACCGCAACTCGGTTGAACAGAACATCGACGGGGATCTGCAGACGGCTCTGGGTACCAAGGAATAGGTTCTCTGGTGAAAAGGGCGGCAGGGTTTGGACAATATAACCGATCACTAAGAATGCGAGAAGGGCGAGCGCAACACGGACTCGAGGCGGAACGGGAATTATAGGCGCATGTCGGGCATGGGTTGAAGCGCGAACGGAGCGATAGTATGATATAGCCTTTGGTATAAGCATAGGACCAAAGAATATGACAAGGGAACGGAGACTGATTAAAGTTAGATACTGTACGGAACGCGATACGTATAAGTGGCCACAGAGGATATAGAGCCTCGGAAACAGGTAGCAAATACTATGGAGAAACTTACGAGTCCCAAGGAATCGCCATGATGGCGAATATTAGACCGAACTGGTCGGTTTTCTTTGTTGTTTATGGTGAGGTTCAGGTTGAACACGGTTGTTACAAGTCGAGACGAGGCTGAACGACGTCAGTTCAGGAACAGCTTCGCTAAGGCGAACTGGCAAAGGTGGCGCCAAGAGCGTCCTCGGCCAATGTGGGGGCCTGGACATTGGTGGGGCCGACATATCTTTTCTCACGTAAAACCGCTAATTTTTCTCTCTCTTGTTAACATCTTTTTCTTTCTTCAACTCATTCACTCACCACAAACCCCTCCTCTTCCCTCTTTGTTCGACACCCTCACCATCCTAACTATAGCTCAATAGCGCAATACCATGGCCTTCGCGCCGTTACTCACAGCCTCCCTCTCTCCAGTGAACCGATTCGGAAACATATGTACCGTTGGCACTTTCGAAGCTTTGGCGATCTCTCTATGGTCGCGAGAGTCAAAAAGTAGCCTAGATCAATCCCCAAATACCCTGCCAAGGGTTATTCTCTGTCGTGTTACAAAGTCCCAGCTTCGGCAATGAGGAACTTTGCGTCAAATTTTTATCTAAGAGATACATCCCCAATCGTAGTCAGGCTTTTTGCTTGTAAAATAATTGCATTTTTTTGTTATGTGCGCGAGCGAACTAGCTATCTACAACTGCCGGTAGTCTATGATTTCTTCTTCTCCTGCGCAGCGACCTTCTCGGCCGCTACGGGTGCCTCCTTGGCCTGCTTCGCGTTGAGGAGCAGTCCGAAGATGCCAACAATCAAGTCGCTGAAGAGAGCGATAACTCCGGTACATGCCAGCTGCCATGAGGCAATGCTGACGCTTCCGATGGGGGCGCGAGGGAAAGACAAGATCCATTCCGCGTAGTAAGGGAACCAGCCGTGAGGCAGCCAGAACATGGGCTCGGTGGCATACCAGAAGGGCAGGAAGTATTGCGGCGCGCGAGTGACGACGATGCGAAGAACGGTGAGAACCCTATCGAAGTTGGATCGTGCCGCCTCGGTGTTTTTCTCTGTAGTGACCATGCGTTAGTTATCTCTTTAGTTCCTCAGCTATAGCGCAGAGCGTGTAACGTACTGGACTTCTCTAGCTGGTCGAGGAGCTTGTCGTGCTGGCGACGCAGCTTTGCCCACCTGGCAAATTCATCCTGGCTGCTTGTAGCGTTCAGGTCCCGTCGGACTTTGAGGTAATCGGCTTGAATCTTGCGCTGCTCGCCGGCTGCCTTGGACGTTGCGATGGGGAGGAAGTTGATCAGAGTCCAGAGCTTCTTCGGTCAGCAGCTGTTGCTAGAGTATGGGCCAGATTACATGTAACGCACCAGATTGTTGATTGCGGTGGCTCCAATCGTGTTGACGAGGTTGACTACAACTTCGACAACGAAGACGCTGAGCATGAGAGAGGCCATCTTTTCGAATCGGGAGGTGAGTGTCGACGTTTTTATGAACGGTCGGTCTTTGTGCACACTCGATGGGTGTTTGGGTCCTGCGCCAGCTTGTGCTCGTGATGATAACGGTGATGTTGGTTTTGGTGGTTCCGTCAAACGTGGTCAAGCCATGTCATAACCCCGACACCTGCATGGAGCTCCATTCAACCCCTCCACACCACGTTGTCTCCTTTGAACTTACCCTATACTCATCACCTCCTATTCTCCTACTCCGTCGCTCGATACCCCCGATGTCGCGGGCGCTTGACAAGAGTGTAAAAGAGTCTCTAAAGCATGGCGACCATCAGTCTGTGTTTTTGGAGATATCTGATGTTCTGACAAAGGCCTCGGAGGAGCTTATTGAGATTGAGTTGTTGGGTAGAAGCCATGTACCGGTCCCCAATACAGCGATCCTTCGGGATGATAATGCTGTTGCTATTCCGAAAATACGTCTCGTTCAGGCGTTTATCGTGGCCCAGAAACTCTTCAAACAATTATATGCTGCTGATCAAAGTACCTCACAGAATGAGTTGTTGAGATCAACAGCAGTCATCCTATTGATGGACCCCGAGCACCTGACAGCTGCCAACATGAGAAAGAGGCTTATTACAAGCAAGTTGGATGACAAGAACGTTGAAGACATTCTGCAGCTCGAGAAGCATTTGGTGGATAGCTTATTGACTAGCCGACTTCATCGGCATACAAAGTCGCCGACGTTATGGAATCACCGCAGATGGCTGATGGAGCAGTTCCGTCTTCAAGGCAGAACGGTTACGGTCGAAGATGACCTCACAAGAATCATCATGATATCCGGAGAAAGACATCCACGAAACTACTACGCCTGGTGCCATGCTAGATATCTGATGAAGACTTTCATACCCCCGTCGTCAAGTGCTGAAGAAGCTCTATCACGCATAATCACCACAACACAAAAGTGGTGTTTCGCGCATCACAATGATATATCGGGCTGGCAATTCCTGATATTCCTGCTCGACAAGCAACCTGCTGAGACATCATCCGTCTTCCGAGAAACATTGAAGCTCACAGGCTCATTCAAGTGGCGCAATGAGTCGGTTTGGTACTTTCTTCGACATGTTGCTGCACGGGGGGCTACCATTACCGACAGAGATGAATTTGAGAATTTGCGAAGAATACTCTGGGAGAGTACCGCAGATGGTGATATCGAGAGACGGACGCTGGAGAGAGCGGAACAATGGCTTATGGCCAGTCAAGAGACGGTGACAGGATCTTGAACAGAAATGGAGTCGTATCAATGCTGAGACTGAAACCTGTGGGTTGCCTCACGGCCATCTTTCGGATGTATGCGGATATGAAACGTAGGATTCTAGACATTGGGAAGAAATAGTAATTCGGTCTTGGTCGGAACACAGACCAAGTCCATCTTGACAATGCGCAAGTTCAAATGACGATCTGCCGTTATTTCAACAACTAAGTCTAAGTCATGATCGGTCCGTGACTAGTAACCTATCACAATCTCACATACCTCTTATCAGAGGTTGTAATGTGCCCTGAAATTGGGCTCTACCGTGATCGACACGATCCGAGTTGATAGTGCTGCAACCTGTCAGGGCCAAAATTAAACATCTCGGGATTGACGGGACCCTGCAGTTGTTTCATCAACAAGCCAGGCCTAGCCAGGTAGTACCTGGATAATGGAGCTCTCCAGCTTGGGTAAGCTATGAAGTCATTGAATCGCGATGCATCAAAGCTGTGGAACAATTAACGTGAGACTGCATGATCACCAAGAAGCTTGGCATTACGGCAGTGTAGACATGATACGTTTTACATATGGCGAGGACTAGGGATGATAGATGAAGCGTGTGATTGTAGTTAGATCAAATGAATACAACAGCGAGTTCAATGTCTCGTTAGAACCCTTGCTCTTGAACTTTAATAAGACAAGGGCTCTACTAATTACGATGCCGTGGGAGCTATATCAAGATAGACCTGCGTTGTCCTATAGCCATGGTCCTAGTCAACGGAAATAACACACGGAATAAGGGCTCAGATCTCTATATTAGGAATGATCATATGCACCATCGACAAAGTAATCATGTGAGAAGGGAGGCTCTAAACCAATTCAACGGGGTCTTACATAGTACTCCTCTCTGTTCAGATCATGTCATCCATATGCATGTGAATATCAGGCGGCCGTTACATTGACCCTGAAAGATGCGTTCAAGCGATGTTTCCTCGAACTGCGAACTCGAATACATACCGTGCAACGCTGTAAGCTCCAGCACTGGCCAACAAGTCCGTATGAAAGTATCCATGGTGATAACTTTACCGCCTCGTACTCAGAGAAAGAAGCGCCTGGCGTGCATGACAAAGGATTCGAAAGGTAGGGCAAAAACTGGAGTAATGGAGCTGAGAGTCTTGAGGCTCACGGTAGTGTCAGGGGCAGGTCAAATTAAGTTAGTAGCTGATCGATAAAGTGGCGTCTCTGTTTGACGCGTAAGAAACGCCCAGGCACTTGCTTAATTATGCTCCGAGTCAGTTGAGGAAACAAAACCTCGTGCTTGACGATCCAATGAGATTGAGTCAAGAGATGCAAGTTTAGGGGGTGTTAGTGTCAGTCAGGCTCTTCTGACTGCATGGCTAACGCCAGGGCACTAAACTTTGACTTCATAGCCATGCATGTTGATACTAAAGCGGACGTGATAACTTGTGGCATGACTGCAACAGTTCGTTGATCAAGCTCCAAGAACACAGTATGGTCAATCTACTATCAGTTTATCATTTCACATCCGAGCAAGCTAGGCCCTTCTTTCGTGTTATCCAGGCAGGTAGGTAGCAAAATAACCGGCACACTAAAGCTCTTTTGCTATATAAAGTTAGTATAAAGACAAAATAAACTCGTCATATTTATGATAATTCTTCACCAAACCTTTCTGTCAACTTAGCCTGGTGTGCGGGTTTTATTGCAACCCACCTGCCAGGATCAATACATTGAGTATCATATCAGGTAGGGGATTCGGCATGTGAACCACAATATTCTACTCCTGTTTCCACAAGAACGCGTGTATCGTCTGATCGTTTTTACCATCCACAGCTTAAAACACCTTAAAGAATAAGCCGAAGCTTGTTTTTTTCTTTGCCGCTTGCTCCACGTTGCGATGCATATCCTCGTGTGAGTGCCACTGTATGGAGATCTTTGGAGAGGCCTAACCCTAACGCATCCGCGTCTGCATGCACGTTAACTTATCGTCTCAGGGGCAGAGGCAACGTGAGACGATGGCGGCAAACCTTGTCTCGGGACATTTCTGATAAAGGCTGAAAGCAGCATCCTGCATCTCTCGACAGTAACGTCGGTATCATACTCTGTACTTCGTGATGAAATAAAGGCATATGAAAGAAATAGAACAAGCTTGTTTTTCGGCCGATATCTCTTGGACATGTAATCTCCACAGTTCAAGGTCATGGTTCAAGGTTCAGGTCCAGGTTCAGATCCACCGTAAACACCTCCAAGCGGCTATGAGTGATGGACCACTCAGAGGCTTACGACCCCTGAGCGTAGCAGAGATGATGAACGCCCGGTGGGCAGAGCTGCACCCAGACCAGATATCACTGAATCATGAATGGCGGGGTCTTACTCCCGTGCTGCACGTCTTGTTGACTTTATTGCCCTGACATGCCAGTCGGTGGAGACCCGTTTTACGGCGTGTTTCCTTTGTTGTTTTCAGGTTCTCGATACTAATCTATCCATTGTTCAGGCATGTTGGGCGCCTGGTTCAGTTCGAGCGAGAGATGAAGAGTGACTTGATCTGCAAGTACTGGGTCCTGCTGATCGTGGAGCCAAGATATCCAATATCCAATTAGGGCCTGCTCTAGCCTAACTTTGGATCTAGATTTGAGGTTGGCGTTGCGAAAGAGATTGAGCGAGGTGCCATAATTGTCGCTTTGATGCTACACGACTGAAATGATGTGTCTATTTTGGCACCTCCCAATCTCTACTGGTCGCCTGCCTAAATGGGATCATATCTTTGGCCGTATCTGTATCCACAGGTACGAATGGAGAGCTATCCGTAGACTACAGCACTATCAAGTCACCTGTAGCCCGGGCCCCCTGTGCTCTGCAGGTAGGTGCTTTGTCTTGCCTCCACTCTCCCCATACCTAGTACCCTGCCTAACCCACCACTTCCCGTCATTCACTTCCTCCAGCTCCAGCTACAGCTCCACCGTCTCTTCCATCTACGTCTACATCTACCTCTCTCTTCTGTACCTACTGTACCTATATACCTTAATTCGTAATAATTCCCTCCCTCCTTGATCGCCAATCGGTTTGGTCTTTTCCTTTTCTTGCTTCCCTTTACTCGTCTGTTACATTTCCAATTTCTTTGTTATACCAGGCCTTCTTTGTCTTGCTTTGGACCAGCTCTACCCGCCTGATCGAGTATTCCGACTTCCGAACCCAACCCTCGAAGAAAGACTCTTGAATTGGTCTCACTGTAACCAAGCCACTTCATTGTTCGGCTTGCGTCTGTGTCTCTCGCATCATCGCTTGTTCGCCAAGCTTGTGTCTGGTTATCATTGGCATCCATACTGTGCCGCTGTGTTTCCAATGCTGGGCTCATAATTCTAATCCTTTTAATACATCTCGCCACTTCTGGCTCAAGAGGCCTCGCCTCAACATTGCCGCTAATCATCAGCTCTGGCTAAGTTCTGTCTTCATTGACCGGATACTTCTGAGACAAGCTGTGACAAGCTGTTCCAATTAGCATTCGCATTGGTCCTGAATCATTGCTGCTCGACCAAAGCCATTTCACAGTGATATTCATCACTTCCAGTTCCAAATACAAAACGTGCTGAACAGGTTTTCGTTTTCACATCTCGACATACTTCAACATGCGTCCAGGAGCCCTATTAGCACAATTGGCATTTGCCTCATCTGCCAATGCATTTTATCCTTACAACCCGAGTTGGCGAGTCGATGTAGGGCAAAAGAAAATGGGAAGGAGTACCAAGAGTGTTGGTAATGGTGGTGGTGTGCGTATGGATATCAAGCAGAGAACACCCCAGGTTTGTTCCTCTGAAGAACTGCCAGTCATACGATTATATTAACCATTCCACTGTAGTCTAGCCAGCCACTATCAGAAAGAGCAGCCCACGAAGCAGCACGATTGATCGCCAAGTACACCGGAGGAAATGTCCCAGAAGGCAGTTTGTTGGCTAAGCGCGACAACGAGTACGATGTCATGGAGGCTACGGAATCGACCAAGAAGCACGCCCAAGGCGTTGACCAGGACGGTACCGATTATTCGTACTTCATTGAGGTTGAAGTTGGTTCCGAGAAGAAGTCAATGTATATGCTCATCGACACTGGCGCTGGCTCAAGTTGGGTTATGGGCACTTCTTGTAAAAGCAAAGCGTGTTCGATGCACAACACATTTGGCGCCGACGACTCGGACTCACTAGACATCTCGGAGAAATCCTTCAACATCGCATACGGCTCTGGAAAGGTCTCTGGAACATGGGCGACCGATACGATCACCGTGGCGGGCATGAGCATCGAATATCAATTTGGACTCACAGACACGACATCGGACCAGTTTCTTCAATTCGCCTTTGACGGAATTCTTGGACTGGCAATAAACAAGGGCTCCAACAATAACTTCCTCAACGCCTTGGCCAAGTCGGAGGAAGTTGACAAGAACATGTTCTGCGTTGCTTTGAACCGTGCATCCGATGGCACGAATGAAGGTGAAATCAGCTTTGGCTCACCAAACCCTGACAAGTACACCGGCAAGATCTCATACACAAGTATTGGCGAAGACGATGATTGGGCTATCAAGATGGACGATATGGGCTACAACGGCAAGAAGGCAGATGTTGGCGGAATGAGCAGCTTTATCGATACTGGAACCTCCTTCATGTTTGGGTCCCCCGAGAATGTCAAGAAGGTCCACGCTCTTATCGAGGGAGCCGAGAGTAGTGACGGCATTACCTATACTGTCCCCTGTGACAGCAACGGCAACATGACCATCGCATTCTCTGGAGTCGACTATGTTATCTCGCCCAAGGACTGGATCTCCCCCCCTAACAAGGAGGGAAAATGCACCAGCAACCTTTATGGGTTTGAGGTCGTCAAAGGTGCATGGCTCCTGGGCGATACTTTTATCAAGAACGTCTATGCCGTCTTTGACGCGGACGAGCGTCGCATTGGTAAGCTAAGAACATCTCTGATGAAATCATTTGAAATCATTGCTAATAAGAACAGGCTTTGCTACAAGCGCCATTGCGAGCGGCTCCAGTAATGATGATGAAGAAGCAAGTTCATCAACAAAGACTGAGAGCTCCAGCAAGTCCACCAAGACGTCTGACGATGCTGAAGAGACTGGCGTCACCACAAAATCCGATGCAACGGCCACTGCAGTGCCGGATATGGGCCTGGGTAAAGAAACCGTCTCATCCGGCACAGCTACTGCCGACTCCAGTGAGGCGAGCGAGACCAAAGACTCGTCTGCACCCACAGGGCTATTATCACAAGCCCGTTTCACATTCATTTTCTGTATAGTACCGTTTTTCGCCCTCCTGGCTTAGAAAAAGTCAGACGAGCGGCTTTACATTCTTTTAATACCCAAGACAATCGTTAGAAACGCGAAGAGACGCGTATACATACATTCAATTTTATATAGAGCACAGACACATCGTGCGAGGAATTAAGGGACTGCCATGTCGCTGAGCATGGTATAGCAAGATGTGGCGAGACGATCGCTAGAATTATACCCGATCCAATGGAGAGAACATGCCGGGTTTCGACAAATGACCACTGAAGCCATACTACAATTACTTCATTAGATATAGACCATCAGCCTTAATACAAGTGTTGGATGGACATACATCAGTCTTGTGATGCTACTAATGCAGGTTAACCAGCGAGTGGAAAATGCTATCAAACATAGTAAAGGCTTATTCTGGGATAAATCTGTCGGTCAAGTTTCCAGCCTCTTGGTGTTGATCTGTCAAGCCTGGCCGTTGAAAAGGAGAGTGTAAATTGTACCCCTATTCCCTGTACCCGGTTTTCATAAGGGTCTTTGAGTTTGCAGCAACTTTACTGATATAACAGATAAATGGCAACGTTCGTGAAGTCAAAAACAGCCGTTGGAGTTGCCATATAACTCTTCTAAGCAAAGCAAACAAACATTCTCAATAGAAGCCTCAACTCTTTATTCATACCTCCTCTGGTCGTCCTGGAATGATCCGTGCCCCTGCATACGCCTAGACACAACTAGTGGACGATTCCAGCACCGACAGCCCGATTTCACAAGGGGCATTGCACCAATCCCAGCGCGTATCATGCTGCAATTGACGCTAATGCTCCCTATCCTTGCTTATCTGGGGGAAGGACAGACAACCTCCCAACAGCTAAGGTAAGGAAGGTTCCATTAACACAAGGAGACTGGACCCTTTACAACTTACATCCACCAAAACTTCTATTATTTGAAACAGTCGATCTTTTTTTCTGCGCAGTCTTCTTATTGACAGTTATTAATTCACGACTTACATACGAGCGAATCGAGAATATACAACAGTCTGTCTCCTGCGGGAAAATGTGCACGCAATATCTCGTTGCTGCTCCCCTTCGACAATGACGCACGCCAGGAACGATGGCTCCCCGAACCCGCACGGCGAAGACCGCGGCCTCCTAGCACAAGGGAACGACTACGATGACGATTACTTTGGAGTAGGCGACGATGATTACAGCAGTGGTAGTGGCAGCGTCGACATGGGAAAGGCCTCGGGCAAGCTTGACACAGAGGGCAATGGTCAGCCCCGAACTCCCGGCCGCGTGCGCTTCGACTTGACACCCGAGATCGTCGGTGTTAGCAACGGCGAACCTTTTGGCGGGTTCAGAGATCGGGATGGACGCTCTTCGGACGATGGATACTTTGATATGGAGGAGGCGACGAGTCCGAGGCGGGCGCATCGGGTGCCACTCCTGACCGACATCGAGGCGCCGAGCGTGGCTCTCGCCAACTCAATGGGCGACCCCTCTGAGCAAGCAGAGCACGAGATGAACCGACCCAAGTCAGGACTCAAGTCAGCCTTCATGAACATGGCCAACTCCATCATCGGCGCGGGTATTATTGGCCAGCCATACGCCGTGCGCCAAGCTGGTCTCGTCGGCGGCATCCTGCTGCTGGTCGGCCTTACAGTTGTAGTCGACTGGACGATCTGTCTTATTGTCATCAACAGCAAGCTCAGCGGGACGAGCCACTTCCAAGGGACAGTCGAGCACTGCTTTGGACAGTCGGGGCTGATCGCCATCAGCATTGCGCAATGGGTGTTTGCGTTTGGCGGAATGGTCGCATATGGTGTAATTGTTGGCGATACGATTCCTCATGTGCTTGTTGCTGTGTGGCCCAACCTGTCGGAAGTGCCTGTGATAGGACTCTTGGCGAATCGGCAGGTTGCGATCGCGGTGTTTGTGCTGGGAATAGGGTTTCCATTGACGCTTTATCGGGATATTTCAAAGGTGAGAACCAAAAGGATGGGCAGCATTGGTTACGCTGTTGTTGTGCATCAAACACAGACTAATATTGTGTGTAGTTGGCTAAAGCCAGTACATTCGCGCTCGTTGGTATGGTGGTCATCGTCATTACCATACTCGTACAAGGTGTCTTGACACCTTCGTCAGAACGGGGCTCTTTTAGCCCGTCTCTTCTTCTCTTTAATGGCGGATTCTTTCAGGCGATTGGTGTCATCTCATTCGGTATGTTATTCCGCACCAGCCTATGAGTCTGGCCAAGTTCTAGGACTCCTTTACTGATATCTGTAGCCTTTGTCTGCCATCACAACTCACTCCTTATCTACGGATCTCTCAAGACACCGACCATTGATAACTTTTCTCGAGTCACACATTACTCGACAGGTGTATCGATGGTGTTCTGTCTCGTCCTTGCTCTGGGCGGTTTCCTTACCTTTGGCGACAAGACGCTGGGCAATGTCCTCAATAACTTTCCTGCCGACAATATCATGGTTAACATTGCTCGTCTCTGTTTTGGTCTCAACATGCTTACCACGCTACCCTTGGAGGCGTTTGTCTGTCGTGAGGTGATGTTGACGTACTTTTTCCCGGACGAGCCCTTCAACATGAACCGTCACCTCCTGTTCAGCACCAGTATTGTCGTGGCAGCTTTGATACTGAGCCTGGTGACATGTGACCTTGGTGCTGTATTCGAGCTTGTGGGAGCGACGAGTGCAGTGGCCATGGCTTATATCCTCCCACCACTGTGTTACATAAAGTTGACAACGCGGAGCTGGCGGACATACATGGCGGGTGCAGTGGTCGCATTTGGTATGGTGGTTATGGTCATCAGTGTGATCCAGGCCGTACAAAAGATGGTAAACAGTGAGTCTCCCCTCGTGCTTGTAAAGATTCCCTTGGCAACAATATCCACAAGTATAGAGACATGGAACTGACTCTATTACAGGCAAAGATGGACCGGCGCAGTGTGCATAAAGCTTATGTTTTGAGGGCCCAAGACAAAGAGCGCTTGCTTTTCTCTTTTGCTTTTTCGCTTAACATTATAACATAACGAAGCATCAACAGATATAGACCCTTACTGGGACAGTGAACTTGTAAGATAGTCTGCCGAGAGGCATGCGTGATCACGAAGACACATTTACCGTGTATAAAAGGCGGATGGCGATTTGGTTGGAGATTTATTTAGCAAGATACATTTAGCAAGATACGCCAAAGAAGGACATGTGCTGTATATAGGAGTTATTGGCACGGCGTGATATACGCTGCCTGATTTATAGAATATTTTTGGAAGCTCTTCCGACAGATATACTAACGGTTAGTTACTTGTACTTGCTGACAGTAGTAAGTTGAAGAAGATGGTTCTTGTCTTTTTGTATCGCACCTATTTCTCGACCAACTCACTGTTTGATACGACTTCTTGTCATTTATACTTTCTTTGTTCACCACGACCGATACCCCATCAGCATCATTATTCACCGCCGAAGCTGCTATGAGCTGTTTCTCACACGATCCTCCACTCCCCACCCATCATCTCCAACAAGATCTGTCTAACCTCCACAGCTACGCCTCACTCCTTATCAAGAACAAGTGAGCACCTAGACCAGACCACATGCCACGTCGTAACTGATCTGACAGTATCCTCCAGCAAGTGGAGCAACAAAGTGAAGAAAGGCTTCACAAGTTCACATTAGGAATGGAGGGGGGTCACACCCACGATCATTCGGACGAATCGCATGAGGGGGTAAAACAAAGCAGAAGCCCGCTATTTGCGCCTAGAGACCCCGCTTCGGGGGAGCATAGCTACGTAAATCTCGTGTGAGGGAGAGGATGATTTTGGTTTGAAAGGATGTTTTGATGGATAGGTAGAGTATATATATATATATATATATATCACCTACCTAGTCCTTTCCCCTCTTTCCCTTTCCCTTTCTCTTCGTCTAGCTCTAACCAAACTTCACACTTTCAAACCTCACTTCTTATACCTCACACATAACACTCTTGATATCACATCCAAGATGCAGCCTCTCGTCAACCAACACGACAACACCTGCCCCAAGTGCAACGCCGCCATCGAGGGCGCTGGCAAGACTTGCGGTGCCTGTGGTGCTGTATGTTTATAACTTCCTCCACCTCTCTATTGCTTCCGACATGTTGCTGACTGACTTCTTCTAGCACTGCCCCGTCTAAACTCCCATATCATCAAGGGGACGAGTTAGACTCACGATGACATGATGGGACGAGGCGAGTTGGGGAGTTGGTTGTTCATATCGATGTTGGGAATGTATATCATGGAACGTGATTTGGGTTTGGGTGGATGTTGTGATGACGCCGCTGCTTGAAAGCGTCACTCTTTTTTGGGCGGTTAACACGGGGTTTACCTATGCATCGGGCGGTACAGTGCAGCAGAGAATACACTCGCTCATTTGTTCACTCTTCAGTTCTTTCAAATAAAGAAACAAGACTGATATTCACCTGTATTCATCCCTATCTAGAACATCATGTAAACCCCTCACAACCGAAGTGGCCCTACTCGCCTTAACTAAAATCAGCCATCCACTCATGGTGATTTGATCTTGACCACTGCACTTTTGCAGTTCATGGCCAAGACCCCCATACTTGGTGATTGACGGAATTACATCACCCGTTTCACCAAAGCCCGAATAGGCTCGGCGTCGATCAAAGGCTTTAGCATGGGATGGGGGCCACATGACTAGACATTGGCACGTGGATCTATTGTCTAGGTATGATAAGAACATTCAATACCGAAGGCGGATAAGCATCGGTTGTATCTGATAGTCGGTACTAAGTTGTGTAACCCGACTACCTAGAGCCCAACAAGCTTGACACAATACAATTGTAGAGACACAGTGTAAACGAGCATATACAGTCACTTCACATGGCAGATAGACGTGATGTACAAAAAATCAAGAGATTAAACAGGCAGGCCCTACGCAATAGATGTCCCATCTCCATGGTCTAAGTAACGGTCTCGAGGCTTCAAGAGAAAAAACGAAAAGATTTATGGCCTGGCCCAACTGAGTTCCCCAGTCAGACCCCATATCCACGCACAAGCAGACACAAACGCTCTCGCCGTGACCAGCCCAAGGAGCCTCTCCTGGCCTCCTGACACATCTCCCAAGTGATTCCTCGACTGTCAGCCTACCAGCTGACAGGTCGGGCAGGAGAGCAAGGAACGAGAGTCACTCCTCATCCTCCTCCTCAACAGTCCCCCCAACAAGAAAAAGACATCTGGCCCACCTCCCCCATGCGCGACACGCACATACATAAAACAAAGGTCCCGCTCGCCTGCCAGTGGTGATAACAAAAAAGACGAGGTATCTGTCGGTAATAGCAACCTCCTGCGACAATCAGGAAGTCCAAGAAACCGTGGGCTCCGCCGACAAGAAAACCATCAATCCAGCGAGAAAGGTTGGCGCGTAGGCCGATGGACCAGACATGAGCGAGACGATATCAAACTCCAGATTCCGAGAAAACCGATGCATGTCGACAGCTGTAGCCTCCTTGGCTGCCGCGAACCCGTATCATCCGAACTGCCGGGGCCAAGTTGAGGCTGAACTAGAACGACAAAGGATTACAACGCAGGATCAAGCCACGACACGTGTGTGTGGGCTGCGCTTAGAGGGCTTCCATAACGCCCTTTACAGAACAAGGCACTTCTTGTGCTTGCTGCCACGGGTGCTGCGCGACAGCAGAGCAGCGCGAGTAGCGTGCTCGAACACCTCACGGACACCCTCGTTGGTCTTGGCTGAGCACTCGAGGTACTTGTAGGCAGCGATCTTCTTGCGGACCTCCTCACCCTATCGATGATTGTTAGTATACTTGGACTTTGACGTGGAGTAAGCTGTCAAATCAAGTTCCATGAACCTGAATCGACGCTAACCTTGCATGGGGAATCGTACCTCCTCAGGGGAAACGGGCTTCTGGCTGGTCTTTCGGAGCTCCTCGATGGTCTTCTGGTCGTATCGCAAATCCTTCTTGCAGCCGACGAGGATGATGGGGAGACCCTGGCAGAAGTGCAGAACCTCGGAGATCCACTGTAAAAGAGCACGTGTCAGCAAAGCTGTATAGGCAGTATCTGGTAGCCAGTCATCTGGCCAATGGGGGTGAACAAACCTTCTCCTGAACGTTGTCGAGAGAATCGGGGGAGTCAACAGCGAAGCAGATCAGGATAACGTGAGAGTCGGGGTAGGACAGGGGTCGAAGACGGTCGTAATCCTCCTGGCCAGCGGTATCCCATAGGGCGAGCTCGACGTGCTTGCCATCAACCTCGACATCGGCGACATAGTTCTCGAAAACGGTGGGGACGTAGACCTGAAGGCAGAATTGTCAGTAAGCGGTCCGTTACTGGCGATGCTTGTGATGGATAAGGTTCTTTTTCAAGCCGCATGACGAAGCATGCGATGAGTGAAAGACATCAACGGCGTAAGATCAATTCTTACCTCGGGGAAAGTGCCCTTGGAGAAAACACTGTAGAATTGATTAGCATCGAGTTGGAAATTGGAATAGAGCCGATAGTGATGATGACAGTGCAGATAGCGAAGGAGGAAGTTGAGGTGAAGCAAGGGGGCATGCGCCTATCACGATGATGGAACTGATTGCGTTAAACGATGCGAAGCGCTCGATTAAACATGCGATCAGGAGTAACCATCTTATCGCTCTCCTACTTCAGACTTGGCCTGCTTTGGGAAACAGGTGTAGCCGGCATAGTGATGGACAGGAACGGTGATGGGCGATGGAGGCTGGTGTCGTGTCGTGGGAGAAGGCCAACTCACATCAACAAACAAGTTTTACCACAAGCACCATCGCCAACGATGACGAGCTTTCGGCGGATCTCAGCCATGGCTAATGATTAGATGTGATTTGGGTGAAGAAGTTGAGAGAAATGGACGAATTTGCTGGCGTAAAGGGCGAGCTTGATTGAGCTTGAGCTTGGGAGATGGTGCAGGTTGTGAGTTTCGCGGAGAGCGGCGGCTGCGGGTCGATGGGGATGGGATAGAGAAAGAGGAGAGACGCGGCAAGAGACAGGAGCGTCAGAGGAAGAAGGGGCTTTGGTTTTGGGTGAAATAGGCTTGGGCTTGGTTTTTTCTCCCGCCAGGACAGCGACAGCACCGGGCCCAGGACAAGACAGGATGGACAGGATAGGACAGCGGGCAAGCACAGGACAACAGGCAGCCAGGGCAGTTGAACGGACAAAAAGATACCTCTTAATGGGAGGTGTGAGGCGCTGAAAGATAGGTACCGAGTGATAGAGGCGCCGCTTGCTTTGTGCTGGGGTCGGGCAGGGTTGTTGAGGAGCCGGTCTTTGTCTGCCGCACTGTGTTTTGATAGTCACTAACAGGCAACGGCAGCTGAAAATACCAACTAAGGTTTTGGCTATGAATCAGATCCAAGCTGGTTACCAAGCTGGGAGGATTAATTACAGGCAGGTATGCAGCGACTGCCCTTCTACTCAGACTAATTGCGACAATCTGTTATTCTTCATGCTTAATTAGCAAACCGTAAATGAAGTCTAACCGCTCCAACGGGACACCGGGCTACTTTACTGATAAGCATTCCGAGCATCTTTTTATTCAATACGTGGATGGAGCAAAGCGGGCAAACCATCCCTACAACATTAAAAGTAACAATTGAACTGCCAGGCTGTTGTTGTTTGGACCTCTTTCCTCTTTCTCTGTTGCTGGGGTTGCGAGCTGCGAGCTGCTGGGGGCTTGGACTGCCCTGCTGATGATGAATGTTTCCCCTGGACTGGTAGACTGGAAAAAGGAAGTATTCTTTCACTGAGAATACCACACAAATGGTACTTTCATCCGATCCAATTACGCGGAAAGCGCCTGTCCTGAGGCAGCCAACAACGGCATGGCCCTGGCTTCGGCTGACGGGTGGCAACAACCGCTAACTCAGTCCCCTATCCAGAACGATCAGTGGATACACACACAGTGCGTGGGGAGGTGCGCGTCGTCACAAGCCTCACCCGCTATTTTCCAGGGAGGGAATTAAGTGACCCATTTTATCCATCTTACCGAGAGTGCTCCGCCCAACTTCAGTGGCAGTCTGTAGTCTGCAGTCTGCAGATGCGTGGACGGTCCGTTATTTGTTGGTTTACCTCTTTGACCGTAAAAAGTAGGCTGCGTCGTTGCGTTGCGTCGCCGTCCTTTTGCGGTAGTCTGAAACAGATCGGGGAGAAGAATGAACAATGCCAACGACAATGATGACGAGAAGAGATAAGGACATCCAATGCTTGCTAACGAACCAGTCACTCACTACACTAGCATTGGATGACAGAGAATACAGGTATCAAGGGTCATGGCCCAAGGGTAACGGGGCTGGCCGTTGGTCAACAACAAGCCGGTTTCGTTTGATTGAGGGACCGACCGTTGATGAACAATGATACACTGCAGCAGTGAGATTGTCTCTGTATTTCATGTCATCCTTTACAGAAGAAGGTACTTACTCTTGCTCTATGACTCTTTGCCGGTCAGGTCAGTCAGAAGATCGTTTCTAATTAGCAGCGACCATCAACACCGCCAAACGCCTCATCATTCACAGCCATTCACAGCCATCACGCTCGTTGCACTATCTCTTTCAATCTGACGTGCGCAACAATGCTTGGCCCACCAAAAGAAGTGCTGATTGATTGATACCTGCCACCGCCTTGCTGTTGTTGCTTGTAGCTACTGTACCATACTTGGTGCTTTTGATACAATCTCTTCCAGACAAGATGGAACATTCTGGGCTCCATAGCTCCGAGGCTGAAACCGTGGCTCGGCTCGCCATTTGAACACGATGATGCTAATCAACAACAACCAGCCACCAACTTCGGGGCCCTGTGATCGAATTGGATTCCATACTGGTAGACATGACCCAGTTGTTATTAAAACGAATCTGGGTTTGGGAGATTTCCAACTGGGATGTAGCCAGTTATCGCCAACGTCTTTGTTTCTCTTGGATAGCTCCATTCTTATTAGGCGTTTGATGTTAACGAATCTGATCTCCGACAGGCCACAGTTAACAGTGAATAATGCCCTAGCCATGTCCTTTCACCTCATCAAACCTCTTTTATTAAGTGAACGCGCACTCACGTCTCCACGTCATGATTAATCACCACCACTTCCACATAAGCATAACACAGACAATCTATCCGTACCCAAAGTGAAGCTGGCACAAGCTTCTAACCCCTGGTCCGCCATGCAATGTGGCCGAGCCTTGGGCGGTGCCGTCCCGTCTCGTCAAGACTAAGAGCTATGGAGCGTCCACTCAGAGGACTTGTGACGAACGGAAAAGTCCTACGCTGCTCCAGAAGCGTAGGACTTTCCTACTTGCCTCCAACCTCCCTGAGTGTAAGGACCCTGAGTCTGCCTAATTGACCTGGGCTGTACGGATATACATCACAGTTGCCACTCATGAATGATGCGAGATAATCATGATAAGCTTATCCCAACCATTCTTCACTTTTGTTATATCCGCATTCCGTGATCTTGACCGCTAAACATGTGCCGAAGGCCGTCCCTAGAGGCCTCTCGTGAAGAACGACCTTTACTTATTATGATATGACATGGGAGCTTACGGCATTTCTTTGAAAGTGATGGTGAACAATCTAATAGCCTGGCCAATGACTACAATTCTCCCAGCCCGATGTTTACTTGCAAAGTTATGGTATCGGTGTGTTGTGTCATCTGGCTGTTGCTCCATGAAGAAAACAGTCGTTGAATCCGAAGGGGCCTTTGAACCTAACTTCAAACTGCTTCATCAAGCATTTTCTGGAGGGTCAGATATCATAATATTTTACATTTAAGGTCGTTTCTGGATTCATAATATATGCATATGATATACAATTATGGACTAATCCTTCTCCTGAACAATCTGTCACAGCTATCTTTCTTACAGATGTATGGGTGTCTGTCAGTTGATTTAGAAAAGCTCATGATCTAGAGACATCATGATACTGGCAAAGACTGGCATGAGGCTATCATGAGCATAGTGCAAAGGACAGTGCGGGGTTACCAGCCGCACCCATCTAACTGCGGCTAATTCCGTTCCAGGATCGAGAATTTCCAGCTCGACCATCCACTCCACAACGAATTATCGTCACCCCCAAGCGACAACCTCGGCGCCAACAGTTCCATTCCGCTCAATGAGCTGTTAGAGCTTGCGAATCCCCTCGATAATATCCCCGCAGCTCATCCCCCGCCATGCAGAAGCTCGCCAAGCGGGTCGCCCAGGCCCAGCGCCAGGCCGGCAAACGAGCCCAGAAGGCTGCCAAAACCGACGAGATCAACTACAAACTTCGAAACCGACAAGCCATTCGAGCGGCTGTTTCTGAGGTCCGACAGAATCTTCAGGATGCCCGCCGTGCTCGACAGGAGGATTGGGAGCTTGGTCCTATTGCCCCCAAGCGTGATCTGGGATTCAATGGCTATGGCATGTTTAGTGAGGGTGTACGAACGGATTGGTCCAACTACGGACTGTTCAGGCCACGACCAGAGGTTCTGCAGAAGAGGTGTGGTTGGGCTGGTGGTGTGAAGCAACTCAATCTCGCTGTTTCGGATCGTGTGGTTATCATGGATGGACCGGACAAGGGCAAGATCGATCGCATCAAGTCAATCAACGTTCAAGCAGGACTTGTTACACTTGAAACCTACCACCGGGTAAGCATGGCGTCTTGAAGACAATCTGCCAGAAACTAATTGATCATAGGCTATCTCTGCTGGTATGTTTGGAAATGACAGCCGCTCTCAGCCTATGCCCATCTCAATCGGTTCCATCCGCCTCGTATATCCTATCGCCCACCCCGAAACCGGAGCAACAAGAGATGTTATCATTCACGAACTTAAGGCCATTCCCCCGAACATGAAGTCTCCCAACATGACTCTTGAGCGATGGGAGCACGGAAATAAGTGGGATCGAATTGTCCCTGGAATCAACGTCATCATTCCTTGGCCTGAGGTGGAGGCTCCTGAATACGAAACATACGAAGGCGACTCGATTCGGGAGACTGTTGAGGATCGAACCTTTTACTACAATCTCCTATCCCCTCCCATGCCCGAGACTGTTATCGACGAGTTGCGAAACAAGTTCTCCAAGTTCCGAACACGCCACGAGGAGTGGTACGTGCAACAGAAGGAGGCGGAAGCGGCTATGACGGAGGCTCGAGAGGAGTCTGTCCAGTCCATGATGACTCCTCTGCAAGAGTTCCACGCTCTGCAGCGGGAGAAGCATGCCGAAGAGGGCGAGCCCGAGCTCAGCGAAGAGATGCTGGAGAAGCTTGGTGGTATTATTGCACAAAGAAAGGATGCCGCTCTCAAGAAGGCTGGTGTGTCAGAAGTTGCGGCTGCGGATACTTCGATACCTCCTTCACCAACAACACCTCCAACTCAATGAGCAAAAGGAGTAGACAATGTGAGGTAAAGAATTGTATAGTGGAGGAGGTACCAGGAGTGGTGCCATTAACGTGTAATTATATCTGTGCAAAAATGTACATCATGAGGCGCAAAATAGACGCATTTCCTGTCCCTTCACTGGAACTCCGTGGTTTTGCTTATCCCGACCACGTCTTGATGAGACATGCTTCACCCTTGAAAACCCACTAGATTTGGACAAAAAGAATAGACTTAATGGGGTACATCCTAGAAGCCTGGACTGCTTACAATAGAAACACTTCCGTCTTCGGGGTAGAAGTGGTGGGAGATTCATACCGGCGAAGACAGGAATTATAGACAGTCCTGGATGGCTCTGTTGTACCATCTTACTACGCACATGACCCATCGACTGGATTACAGGGCATTTAGCCTGAGAATCAATGGGAGATTCTCGTTCTCCTTTTCTCATTTTATCTTTTTCAAGCACACATGATATGGTGATGACCAATGTAGTATATATATATATCTTATAGAGAAATACATAAAGTAAATGAAAGAACTACCAGATTCTATAGGACCGACCATTACCTGGTAACTGAGACTTGGATATGCCAGGCTCAATTCTTTATAGCTTAGAACTTTTCGGGCCTGAGTAACCGGCACCGTTTCCAGGTGTCAGGCTATCTTCTTTAGCAGACCTCATGATGAGCCGATCCTGAAGCGAAGATGTATCGTAAATGAAGGGATCCAACATAGAACCGTCGATATGGGCCCTGTGAAGTTAGTGTCATTATATAGAGTTGTGAGATAGCTTGTGTATCTTACTGTGTGGTGTCAGCCGCAGTGACGGTGTAAGTCGGGGTTGAGTTGGACGGCATGATGGCGATGAAACGATGTAAGTAGATTGATGAAACAAGTAAGCTGATTGGTATTATGTTGTAATGAGTGTAGTGTATAAGATATCAAGGCAAGAATGAGTAAATGGTTCAGTGGTGGTTCTGCTCCATTGGAAGAAGTGGTGACTTTGAATTATGTCTCAAAGGGAGTCATGTTTCGAAGAGAAGTAATGCAGACAACTACGAGGGAACTGGATCAATTTATAGGGAATCCAAAGGCACTTTGGGACTGTCATTAATGAGTGACCCCTTGATGAGCCAAAGTCAACGAAGGCCTCAACACCATCCGAGATTGGAGGCAACACTACGTTCGCTGTCCCAAACACAGCCCAACTACACCGATGATCCAGATCATATCTACAAAGACAAAAGTGCATTCTGTGGAACAGGCAGGATAAGAGCGTATAACTCGACCCTGGTGCTCCGGTCCGAAGAAGCGGTAACGACCCGTTGAAGATTTGACGTATGCAGACCATGTGCTGTGCACCCAGAAAGCTGGTCCTACTATATGGTGACACCTTATGAGATAGCCACACTCTCTGTGTCACCTCCCCCGCGTTGCATGTCCCCATCGAGTAAACATTTGCCTTGCGGTCGTCGCACAAGCAGGAACGGAGGAAGTCTGTAAGCCAATGGTGCTGAACCATCCATCATCCCGAGATATTCACTTTCAACCTACCGCAGACGTCGGAGAAGCGGTGAGCTCAAAATTTATATAACGAATATTGACCAGGCCGCGGGATGATAGTATCAGTATGAGCCAATGTTACACCGATTTGTGTACGTGCCTTATCGACACGCCGCGCATCGATTCCATGATGCGCGACTTGCACATGCATGCTGTGCATTGGTCGCGCAACTGACAGCTGTAACTTATTTCCGGTAGCTCAAGAGAAAAGAGAGGATGGGTACGACGTTGATGAGGCTCTTACAGAGCCAGCGGCTCAGCCTCGCGGACAAAAGATGTAGTCTTGGCCTGATTGAGGCCACCCACTTCTCCAAATTATAGCGGTGAGCACTCTGATGCCTTCCATACTGACGCATCGATGATGAAAAGGGAGCTTCCATCCCTAAGGGTGTTGCCTTGAAACATCGGGCGCAAATGTCTGTTGGTCGACTTGCCCTTTTTCGCAAAGGATATCCTAATGTGGTTGCTGACACTTGTGGGCACATGAGGCTATGCCTCAATCTGCCATCTGAACATTCAGACGGGGAAGAGTCCCGATTCGTTCAAGCGAAAGCAGTTTGTCAGCAGCTGCTGTCTCACTTCTTTTAATTTAAATGTGTAAGAAAACTTCCTACACCGATGTTGAAGACATATTCCTACGGAACTCACTTGTCTACCTAATTGGAAGGCTATGTCTGTCAAGCCACAACCAAGAAAGTAGTCCAACTTCTTCGCTAGGACCTTCCAAAGGGGCTGGATATGGTGGCGGTCAACGGTGAATCCGACAGGTTTACCAATCAAGAGCGTGAAGTCTGCAGGTGATATGATTGAAGTGTAAGCTCACAGATAACAGAAGAGAGATCGAGTTGCACCTTTTCGGTCAGCTTAACATAACTGGTACTCTTAAACCAAGGCTCAACCAAGGAATACGAAAGCGGGGGAACGTTTGAGTTTATTATTGGGTACATAGCTTATAGAGAAGGACTACCTGGTGCATCATGATTGCACAATTGTAATACGAACTACTCAAAGCAGCCACTGACACCGAAATCCCTTCAACCCAGCACGCAAGATTAGAAAGATTCTTTCCTCCCAAGCTGAAGTTTTAAGGTTCAACATGTTCATGAAATCAATAAGATCCACGACTTGCCGACTGCCAACGATTGAGATATCCGCCCCCCTCTCAGAGCTTGCTCTGGTCCTCGACAGACTCATCCTGATCTACCCTTCTCTCGGCCGTAGTGGCAGTAACGGATGCCTTTGGTTCACCCAAAGTGGTGTTAAGTAACCGATCTTGAAGAGTTGAGACGTCATAAATAAATCGATGAAGCATGAATGTTTTCTCAGACAGCCTGTATGTGGCAGGTTAGCTTGTAGATACACGATCGCCTCTTATCACTTGCTCTTCGCAATCTTTGGCAGCGGTAGTACAAGGCCAAGTATCTTTAGAAGACATGGTCTATCGGTGGATGAGTGAGCTGTAAAAATGGGAAGTGGAGAGTGACAGTAGTGGTTTGTGAAGAATACGTATGGAATTCAACAAGGTATTCGAGACCCAAGGAGGAGCCGAAGAGGGCAAAAATGTTCAGGGTATAGTTTAAGTGCTATAAGATAAGGAGGAGAGACTAGAGAGTTAACAAGACACTGATAGGGGAGGAAATGGCCAGTTCTTATAGGCATTCTCAACCCGGAGCCCCGAGTTACCACATGCCGGGTGTGGGTCGACCCGGGAGTGAATAGAGCTGGGGGAAGGCGGGATACCGAATGCAAGAATTGGAGTTACGGGGAAAAGGTGATAATGGGCAGAAATGGGCGCTTAAAACCAAACATTAAACCAACCATCTCCGTCGACCGGCCCCGATGTGGATACCCACCTCCCCCGTGTGATTCGGAGCAAGTGGGGCTCCCGGTATGGGCTCCGGGAGGAACTCCGGAGCAGGTTATCCAGACCAGGTAGTTTCTTACGCTAGTTGGAGGGTAGTGATAAATACCTCATAGAAAAGTTGGAATTTAGGATAATGTTAGTCAATCTCCTCATAGTATTGACATTATACAATTTCAGCGAGTAGTTAACAAAGGAACTACGTGACTATAGATTTAAGTCAAGGCAGGGAACGAGACTTGGTCAAGGAATAAATTGACACATTAATTGAATAATAATACATATTTGAAAGAAAGAAAAAGACCACGACCAAATACCCGAACTTGAATAGTCCCCAAATCGTGTAACGTAAGTATAACACAGCCATCCTAACACTAATACACTGCCTGAAACAAGCTTCACGGCATACTTTGTAAACAAGAAGCAGCTTTCATAAAATCATCAAGGTCTTGAACATTATTATCGTCGTGGTTTGCTTCACTGAGCTTGTTCTTAGAGCTTTGGTCGACTGCTTCTGCTGGCCTCACGCTGGCTGCAGCCCTGCGCATGAGACGCTCTTGAACGGAAGTCGTATCGTGGATGTTCAAAGCCAGCATCAAGCTGCGAGGCCCGGGACTGTGTCATGTTAGCATTAAGTGATTGAGGGGGTATTTTTACTGACGGCTTCTGGTTGTTCGCTGGCTTGGCCTGAGTAGATGACCTACTAGTAGCCATTGTAGATGATTGCACAAGATATTGTTCTTGAATCCGTCAAAGAGCTGTCTCGGGGAAGAAAGTATGAGATGGGCTTGGAAAGGGTCTCTAGGAAGTATTCATGCCTGAAAGCGCGAGTGTGAACTTGTCGCAAGTGGAGGAGTGCAATCGAGGTTGGGACCCGACCAGCAAATAGTTGGATTAACGGCTCTACTATCTTCTTATATACTTATTCTGAACCAATCAACCTATAGAGATCTTTATTACCGGATGTCCCAGCACTGTATTCGACATCCAACACTCAAGGGATTTCGGGAGGCGATGAGGCGCCCGCAGAAGTTGAGTTGCTGTGCTATAGAACAATGCCTGCAGTCTTCCGTTTATGTCTCGCGTTCTCAAGGCTAGTCTGCCGATTGACTATAATCCGATCTGTCATATCTGGTATTTAGATCAGGGGTCATTGTAAATTGACAATGGATAGGTGTGCAATTAGAACGCAGTCGTAGTGTGGTTCCGCGTGAGAGAAAAAACTCTCCAGGATTGATGCAGACGTCAAGCTGACCGCATCTGGAAGAGAAACTGTCAAAGCGCAGACAAGACAAGGGTGTGGCTGAATTCAATACCCCGTAGGATAGTTAGGGGTGGGAGAAATGGGAGATGGAGGGATCTACGTGTGAGCCATTGTCATGTTCCCGAGGCATATGTCAAACGGTCAGGGTATCCCAAAATTAGGCGGCCACGGCAATGGCTGAGGATTGCTTTTTACAGCTGACGTCTGAGACAACAGAGACCAAGTGATGCTGTTGTCATACGATCCGGCACCGTCACGAAACTCGGAAACTTACCTGGTCGACCGTATCCAGATTTTAGAGTCTTTAATTTAACGACCTGCATATAAGGCAGCGGCATGTCACCGCACATCGCAATTGGACGTAATACTCATATCGAGCCAGCAGCATGGACACTTAGATCTCGGTACAAACTCCAAGATACGTGGACATATTATCAGCTAGCCACTTTTCCTTTCAAGGTTTACCTATACACTGAATGACACTGACTACGTATATGATTCTCACGGCCAACCCACCGTCCCCGCAATGTTTATGCCAAATCTATGCTTCCACAATGTGGAACAAGAAACTGTCGAATTAGTAGCAGTAATCTCAGAATTGAATTATAACATCAGTTATTGAATAGGCTACTTGAAAACGGCGAGTCATGATCCGGACTCAAGCAGATATGATATAAATGCCGACTAGGATGGTGGGACGCATCCTCGACTTGACATGATGAACATGTTGGCGTTTAGACGCAGCCGTTACTGGTTTTTTTAACTGCGAAATCTTGATCCCGCGCTGTTCTGAGACTTGTGATTACTGACAGAAGTAAGCTGACGCTCAAGCTTCGCCTAACTTCACCTCGTCACTTGTCGTAATAAGAAGTGACACGCCCCTTTCAATTGCATATAGTCAGACCACTGCAAGCTAAAAACACGAACCCAACACTTTTAGGCCCAGAAACTAACGGCAGTTTTGCTGCAGCCACAAAATCTTTCCCCAGGGGGGCAATGTCAAAGCAGATAGAGTGGCTTGATATCTGCAAGTGGATACATGGGTGTTAGATCTACGGAGAGATAAGTTGTGCCTTGGTGGCAATATGCAGTGGCCGAGTAATAGCAAGGTATTTTCTGTTCAGGGGCTGAACGGTAAGCCCTCAGGTTGCTGGCGGTGGCTTGGTAAAGGCTCGAGGTTTTGTGCACCTCGTCGAGGACTTGCGACCAGGATTCGCTTGGGGCGTTTTTTGTTTTGTTTTGTTCCTTTTTGCTTTTTCTCATTGCTGTGTTGTCGAGCTGAGAGTAAAAATACATGTCTATGTTAATACAGTCAGTGACGAAGTCGTTGCCCTTGCTTTTCATGCTGATCACTTGACCATGTGATAGTGGATGTAAATACAAGTGAGAACTTCCGCTCTTTTGACTAAGTTAATCTCTAACATATTAGTTTCTGCCTGTCGTAATATCTATAAACCCATTTTTGCTTCCACAAGTTGTAACATTCGTATAAGTCGTCCAGATCCACTTTTCCCGGCGCCTCGCCCGCTCGCCGCCGGCCACCGGAGGGTCCCACCCTAATTACCCCTCCTCCTTCCCCCACGTCCACGTCCGGAATGGAGCTCTGCTTGTCAAACTGATAAGAGCAGCCCTCTACACTCTTATCGAAGAGCTTCCCCTCATCCTATTCTCTCGATAAAAGTTACTGAAGCTAATACCTTGAAAACTCCATCGAACTCATAATGTCGCACTCTCACGACGGATCTGCCCCTCACTCTCACTCGCATGATGGCTTCAATGCCGTTGAGCATGGCCACTCGCATGAGATCCTCGATGGACCTGGTAGCTTCCTAGGCCGCGAGATGCCCATCGTTGAAGGTCGCGATTGGTCTGACAGAGCTTTTACCATTGGCATTGGAGGGTAGGATCCTCCTTGACCGTTCCATCGCATAGCTAGTTCTAACATTGAATAGTCCCGTCGGCTCCGGAAAGACTGCCCTCATGCTTGCCCTGTCCCTCGCCCTTCGAAAGGAATACTCCCTTGCCGCCGTGACAAACGACATCTTCACCCGTGAAGACGCAGAGTTCCTCACCCGCAACAAGGCCCTTCCACCTCCTCGCATCCGCGCCATTGAGACCGGCGGTTGCCCACACGCTGCGGTCCGAGAAGACATCTCCCAGAACCTCGCAGCATTGGAAGACCTGCACCGCGAATTCGACACCGATCTGCTGCTTATTGAATCCGGAGGCGACAACCTCGCAGCGAACTATAGTCGCGAATTGGCCGATTTCATCATCTACGTTATCGACGTGAGCGGCGGCGACAAGATCCCTAGGAAGGGTGGCCCCGGTATCACGCAGAGTGATCTTTTGATTGTGAACAAGACCGATCTAGCAGAAATTGTAGGCGCGGATCTTGGTGTCATGGAGAGGGATGCTAGGAAGATGCGAGAGGGAGGACCGACAGTCTTCGCGCAGGTAAAGAAGGATGTTGGCGTGAATCATATCGTCAACTTGATCAAGAGCGCATGGAAAGCCAGTGGTGCAGAGGAGGAGAGACGAAGCAAAGGAGGTCCCAGACCGACAGAAGGTTTGGAGCAACTGGAGTAAAAGCACACCACATCATCATCTTATAAGGCAATATTGGAAATAGTCATGTAAGAGGAAAAACAAAAAACGCCAACTTTTGAGTCTAGAGGTATACTGGGTGTCATATCTATGCCTATTCGTCCATCATCATATCGCCGTCAGCCTGCATTGTGCTAGGCTCAATCTCCAGCAAGGGTCCCTCCACGGGAGCAGCCTGTCGTGGCCACACCCGCTTGTACAAACTGACACCGATGGAGTCTTGAGGGTTGATACGTCCATCGAATGTCGCCTTAAGGTAACCGTGTGTACCAAGAGGCTCCTTGATGAAGCCACTGCGTCCTCGCTTTGTCCAGAGCGGTAGAGCCTTGAACCACTCGACATCCTCTCGGTTAAAGAACATGTATCGGATGGTAACGATCTTCTTGTGGATGTGGTAAGGATGACCAGCAAGAATGATTCGCTTGGCGACGACGCGATTTGTCGAGGGTGGTATGGCGGTTCCTGTACCGATGAGCGACAGACCAATGTGAGAACCGTCCTCCTTCTCAACCTCCTCAGCAGTGGTTCGCTTGAAGAACAGCACAGGCACAGCACCCCATGTTAGAGGACCCATGAAGGTTGCGATAGCTGATTGACCAGGGTGGATAAATCGGCAGTACTTGTGGACATTGTTTGGTGTTTGTCCAGGCTGGGAGAAGAGAGGCTTGATCACCATTCGGCGAGGTCCGCACTGGACAATAAGCTCCTCCTTAGCCTTGATAGACTTGGTGAAGTCAGAGCTCAGGTTGAAGAGGTAGTTAACAGAGGTCTTCTTGTTCTCGTGTCGAAGAAGTGAGAAGAGCGTCAGGGGCTTCTTAGGGTCGTAGGTCTTCTCCTGGATGGGGGAGATGCCCTTGATATAGATGTGAACACGAGTTCCAGGCTCAACTCCGCCGACCAGAGCCTCTCGGGTGACTCGTGATCGTGAAGCTTGGTAGTCTGACACTTGAAGGAGGCGTCTCCACTCCTCAGGCTCATGTGCGCGATCCTCCTCCTGCTGCCACACACTGGTTCGCAGACTCTTGAGACCACGGTATCGGGCGAGACGCTCGCGAGCCAAGACATGAGGGTGCATCTCAATCTCGTCAGGGAACTCCATATCATCCTCAGCCTCATTTCGCTTTCCGGCGCGGAAAATCTCAAGCTGCTTGGCATCCTCCTCCTCATCTGGCTCAATCATCATCTCTGACTGGGGATACTCTGAAGGGGCACCCTCAGTAGGTGGCGCAGGAGCGTAACCCTCTAGACCATCCTCAGGTCGAGCCTCCTCCTCATTGGCCTCGTCCTTCATCTCGTAGTCTTCCATGTCGGACTCTGAATCGGAGACATCCTCCAGGTACCAGGCTGACTGGTATTCGGATGTACCCTTGGGCACGCGCTTCTTGATCTTCCTCGCCTCAGCCTCTTCGTCTGAGAAATAATGATGTTCGTCGAGAAGAACACCCTTCTTCTCACTGGCATCGGTTGCCATGACAGCATCATCAGCGTCCATCATAACCTCCTCAGGAGCCAGCTCCAGCAGGTCATCGCGATCCTCGGTAGGCTCGTCCAGAACCTTTCCGGCTTCCTCAGGCTCAATGGTCACATCTTCTCCCTTCTTCTTGACCTGCTTGGCCAGAGGAGCAGCCTCGATCTTCTCAATCTGGAAAGTTCCCCAGTCACCGACCTGGATAAGACGGTCGGCTTTGAGACCCCTACCACGGACAATACCAGTGATAACTGTGGGCTCGGACTCTGAGTGGGCGAAATTGATATCCTCGGCCAGCATCCAACTTCTCTCGTCTCTCCATCGGATACCCTTTGGTGTTGTGCTGCATAGTGATCGCATAAGGTTGGCACATTCCTGTCGGCTCTCGAGGCTGTAAAGTCTCTCTTGTTCAGGGTGGAAGTGGGTGATGAATGACCTGAGGGATCCCAAGACACTCTGTCGTTGCTTTGCAGGCTCGATCTTGTCCAGACCTTCGACAATAGTGAAGAGCGTAGACATACCCTGGCTCTCGACGCTGCGCAGAATCAACTCTCCAAGCTCATCGACCTCGACACTGGCTGATAGAACGACAATAACGAAATCGGCCACGCGGGCAGCGTCGATACAGGAGTTAAGGTCTCGCTCGATAGGGATGTACTGTAGCTTTTGCTTGAATCGGTCGACTGTCACTCGGTGGTTGCCACTCTCGTTGTCCTCGATATCGACACTGCCATTCAAATGCTTGATCGTGGCGTTGAGGTCGGTGCCGGCGCAAAGAGGAATGAGAGCAACATGCCGGGGCGCACCATCCTTTCCAGCGAAAACAGAGGTTTCCTTGACATGCTCCTTGTGCTTGTTTAATCGGGCCTGCTTGGCCTGGTTGCGTCGGTCGAATTTAGACATGACTTGTTGGTGAGGAGTCTTTCGGTTGCCCTTTTCGTCGGGAACTCGGCCTGGTGAAGTGTTAGAGACAGAAAAAAAATTATGACGAAAAAGAGTGTTGTAAAATGCATACCCTTTGCGCGGTCCCTCAACTCATGTTTGGAAGCGGCCCTCGACTTAAATGCCTTGTTTGTAACCTTGGTGGTCGGCCTATGATGATGAGTCACAGCGGTAGGCATCTTGCTTTCGCCTCCGGCCTTGAATCGAAACGGTAAAGAAGCCAGATTGAGCGACAGTGAATTTATTGATTTCCAGTGCGAAATGTAGGCAAGATAATGGCAATATCGTCGATAATGTAGGCGGTGATGGCGGGGTTAAATCCAAAATCTTTTTGTGCCTATCGATAGTGGCGAGTCAGTGGGTGACATAAATGAGCCCTCATCTACGACTTATTCGCTATGTACTTTGCCGACATATTAAAGATACTTGCCAAGCCTCATGGTGCATTGTATGCTCAACATGTTAGATAAAATATTACTAAGTTTCTGTTGGAATGTTCTTCTACTACTATATCATTATGTTCTATATCTGCTTTCTTAACCTTTCCCAGTAATTGTTGTCCACCTGCTGCTCGGTAGAAGAATGCCTGCTCATTATGTCGTCTGCCAGTGGGGCTCGTCACCCAATGGGACCTGCACGATAAGCCGCGAATTTTTTTGTCGATAAGGAAAGTTGTATGCCAATCCGTCCTTACCATCCACTTCTAAGTTACCTTTTTCCAATCGAGCGCGTGAACAATTCGAAAAGATGGAGGTCGACACAGTTGATGCGCCCATTACAAAAGTGCGCGACAATGGCGCCCTTGCCGTTGAGGGTGCTCGAACAGAGCTGGTTCCTCACCATGAACGAGAACGTGCTCGTCGAATCCGCGAGGCTCACAAGGCCTACGGTCGAGGAAAGAAGGTCAACACCAAGGCCATCAAGGACAAGAAGCTGCGAAGCAACATGAAGCGCCTCGAGAGCAAGTACCAGGACGCCACGCTCAAGGCTAAGGATGCCGAGATTTTGCTCGAGAACACATCGGGTTTTCTCGAGGCCGAAGACGAGCTCGAACGAACATACAAGGTCCGACAAGACGATATCACCTCTGATGTGGCTGTGGAGACCGCGCAGAAGCGCTTCGAGCTTAAGCTGGATGACCTAGGACCCTACCAGTTCGATTACTCGAGGAATGGGCGGGACCTGTTGCTCGGAGGCCGAAAGGGCCATGTTGCGACAATGGACTGGCGAGAGGGCAAGCTTGGCTGCGAATTGCAGCTGGGCGAGACGGTGAGAGATATCAAGTGGTTACACAACAACCAGTACTTTGCAGTTGCGCAGAAGAAGTACGTTTACATCTACGATCACAATGGCGTTGAACTACACACTTTGAAGAAGCACCAAGAGGTGTCTCATATGGAGTTCTTGCCATACCACTACCTCCTGGCAACAATTGTGAGTATCAGTCAACCATAACAGTCCCTTTACATGTCGCTTATATTTTTCAGGGCTCAGTAGGCTTCCTCAAGTACCAGGACACATCAACGGGTCAATTAGTTGCCGAGATTCCTACCCGGTTAGGTCAACCCGTTTCCCTTGCACAGAACCCCTGGAACGCCATCCTACACGTCGGTCACCAGAACGGAACAGTTACACTATGGTCGCCCAACTCTCAAGATCCCCTCGTCAAGTTGTTAGCTCATCGCGGACCTGTGCGAGATGTGGCCATTGACCGTGAAGGTCGATACATGGTCTCAGCCGGTCAGGATCAGAAGATGGCCGTCTGGGATCTCAGAATGTTCCGAGAGGTTAACAATTACTTCACACGCCAGCCCGCTTCATCAGTGTCGATATCGGATACAGGCTTGACAGCTGTTGGATGGGGCACCCAGACAACTATCTGGAAGGGTCTGTTCGACAAGAACGCCCCTGTCCAAGAGAAGGTCCAAAGCCCTTACATGGCCTGGGGCGGTGAGGGTAAGCGCATCGAGCGTGTGCGCTGGTGCCCCTTCGAGGATGTTCTCGGTCTCGGCCACGATTCCGGCTTTTCCTCCATCATCGTCCCTGGTGCTGGTGAGGCCAACTACGACGCCTTGGAAGTCAACCCCTTCGAGACAGCCAAGCAGCGACAGGAGTCCGAGGTCAAGGGTCTGCTCAACAAGCTGCAGCCCGACATGATTGCCATCGATCCCAACTATATCGGAAACCTGGACTTGCGATCCGAGCAGCAGCGCCGCGCAGAGAAGGATCTCGATGCCCCAGCTGCAGACATCGCCGAGGATATTCGCAAACGAGCAAGAGGCAAGAACGGTGCGCTCAAGAAGTATCTGCGCAAGCAGCGAAAGAAGAATGTTATCGACGAGAAGAGACTGCAGGTGGACGAGATCTGGAAGGAGCAGCAGTCCAAGAAGGACAAGAAGCAACTCGAGGCGGAAGCAGATCTAGGACCGGCGCTGTCGAGATTTGCCAAAAAGGAGTAATAGACTTGGATATACAATTGCGAATAATACCCTTTATCACAGAAACATATCTCTTTATGTGAAAATGCTGGTTTGTCTATCAAAATCCGCGTCAAGTCTATTTGTTGTACTTTTGAAAACCCTGACCCAATCCGTAATTCCTTGCATGTCTTCATACATAGCCCCCGTCTATGTCGTTTTTCTCGCTTTCTTGCTTGATCTACAGTAGCTTGAGTCCGCCCGTGACTTGGTCGACAAGGCTTCTGGGAGCAGGTCCAACGCCCAGCACTGTCATGCTACCCGCCTCGATCTGTGTTCGGCCAGCGTCCTGAATCACCTCAGCCGTGAGACCCAGAGATCGTGCCTTGCGTTGAAGCTCGAGAATCTCGCTCTGGCTCTTGATTTGCACAGCAATCTTGGCCTGACCGAAATGCTCCCACCGCTTGAGAATTTGAGCCTGGGCAGAGTTGGGGGCGGCGCGGACGAGCTTCTTGTAGCATGCGAGGGTGGCGTGGGAGCACTGAGCCGCGATTTTGCCTATAAGCACGAATGGTTAGTTATTGGCCAAAAATAGAAGAGTCAGAGTAGAGCATACCCTTTGTCATGCCAAGATCTGTTCGCACAACGAGAACAAGCTTGCACTCCTCGCCGTTGTCCTCAACAACAGGCTCAATCTTCTCCACCGCAGCCCTTAAGCCTTGCTTTCGGTCGGCGTCAGCACCATTAGCCCAGTTAGGCGCATGGTCGAGAACCGTGTCGTCCTCGTCAATCTCGCTCTCGTCGCTCTCGATAGGGTCGTGCAGGGTGCGCCGGCGCTCCTCAACCAGAGAGGGCGAAATGAGGTAGCCGCGAATAGTCCAGATGCCGAAAACGTAGCCGGTGAGAAGGCCAATGACGGCCGTGGAGATGATGACTCCTGTCTGTTCGCCTTGATCCATGGTGATTAAGGCGATATGGGGGGTAATTGGGAGCGGGTTTGAAGAGTTGTGATGCTGCTTGATGGTTTGAGTTGGTGATGGAGCTAGCTGGGTGCTGGCTACATCACGTGGGGCAGATATGGCTTTGTTGAAGAAAATCTCAAGAGCGTTTCACTTTCAGTCAAAATGACGATTTAGAAACTCCTAAACAGTTTGAGTTTGCTCTTTCTTATCTTGTTCTCTGACGTATCATTAAATCTATTATTAACGTGGATCGTGACACAAACTGCTTCCGGCGGCCCCGGAGAGGTCTAACCACGGAGTAGACCTCATATGACAACTTTCTGTATACATCTCTCCTCATACATACATGAACATTATTGGAACTCTCATCATTAACAAGATCTTTCCCACCCAATTCGATATACTCATAGTACCAACACGCCACGTTGAATATACCCAGTCTCGTCAACCAAGGGATGGCATCCAAACATCTTGGAGAAGTCATTCAGACAAGCACTTCGCGCCGCCATATGTCCTTTCCGCATACTGATTCCCACACGAGGAACATAGTTGTAATACTTCTCATGTCCACTGATGAGCAAGGGTCCTTCGCCGGTGAGTAGCCCGTGGACGTAATTCATGGCAAGATCCTCGCAGTTGAAGCCGTCGTCGACATAGTCCCTGATCTGCGTCATGATGGTATCGTTGGAGGAGTAATAGTCGAGAAACGAAATATGCGAGAACGCGAGGTTGGTAAGGACCATGTTATAGTCATCCTGTCCCTTTTTGTTGGAGCAGAATGTGTACGTGTGGTAACCGAAGGTATCAACTGGCGTGCATCGAGCGAGAGCGCCAACCATTCGATTTCTGCCGAACTTGCGCCATGTCTGGAAGACGAATTCGAGATCGCTGGGACGGTAGTAGACGTCGTCGTCTGAGAGGAGAATTGCCTGTGTCTTGTATTCAGGGTCGGGCCAGAGCTTCTCGTTGAGGCTGTTGCGCTTCGACTTTCGATATCGCACGGGGACTCCGTGTTTGGACACGTAGTCTTCTGGTGGGTAGTTTTCGATGTCGTTCCAGACGACAACTATCTCGAGAAGTGAGGGGACTTCTTCATCTAGGATAACGTTGAGGGTCTCCTGAAGTTCCTTGGGCCGCTGATATGTCTGCATCGCGATGCTAAACAGTCGATCAGTGTTAGTATCCCATCAGCTCGTGAGGTTTACACGAGGGTATCCAACATACGTGAACTTGTCATCCCGCAGATTCTCATATTTCTTCTGTGACACATCCCATATATCTCTCGTTCCATTGATACCTTTACTCTGACACGACGGATATCTCCCGATCTTGCTGATCACCTTTGGTATAAGCAATCCCGCGCTCGTCAACTTGGCTGTAAGAACGATGAAGGTAACCGCCAGGAAAAAAGAAGCAAAGATGGTCGCTGCTTTCTGAAACGCTCGCGACTTGACGACTTTTGGCATGTGAGCTTGAGCCCACTCAACCTTTGCCGCCATCCTCCTCCTGAGGGGCTGGTATTTCTCCATGATGGAGTTTGAAGGCTTCAGCATGATTGACGTTGTTTGTGGTAGGAACTGCGAGAGATACTCCATGGTCACCTTTTGTACAAGGGCGAGAAAGAACTCTTCTCAAGGGAGACAACTCGGGAGAGGCGTCTGGTATGGACAAACCGGGGATTATTGGATAGAATTAGACAATCAGCTTGTTGGAATCTTGCTGTATGTCTCAGACTCGGTCCAAAGGCATCATTTTGGAAATGGGCACGCTTCGAAGAGATATTCAACTCAATGGCAGATGAGAAAAACTAAAATCCAATAATGCGCATGCAACATGGTAACGAACAAAGTGAAGATGATACCGCGGTGTTGCAAATTAGAGATTTCCCTGTTAGCTTTGACTTACACAAGTAAGTAGCCTGCTACATCGTGTGATGCTCCCTTGCTTCCACCCTTGAATCAGGTTCCACGTCTAAGTCTAAGTCTAATTCTAATTGGAGTAATTAAAAGTGCAGCTCTTAGTAGTAGCCATCAGAGGAATGTACCAATGATAAGAAAGTACTGTCGCACGTAGAGACAAGTTCACAGTTAAATAACTGCAGCTGTTCAGTCTCAGCAAATCGGTTGACCCAATGTGACGGATCGTGTCTGTGGTTCGTCTTCTTCATTCTTCCCGCTAGACTCGACAAGGAAAGGATTCGTCGAGGGTAGGATATTGGGCATGGCCTTATCATAACGGCATCTGCGCATGATCTAACTGTAGGGATGTTGTGTCACATATTTAGTTGAAGAGGCCAATATTTATAGCTTAGTCTACAGTACTAAGAGGGCTCAAATGCGTGTATCCGTATCTGTTGTTGGATTCAGGTCAATCGCCAAGATGACAACCCTGTACCGTAGATCCAGCTGTGAGATACAACCCCTGTATTTCCATCATTAGCGGCTTACGCCACTATCCAGCCTCTCTCCCCTGCAGGTCCAACCACATCGTGACTACATCAAACAAACGAAAAACCCTTGTATCACGAAGCGGAACAACCGTCAAATTTAAGCACTCGGCATCATGGACACAAAAAAGGCGCTTGTAGTAGGAATCTCAGGGTGCTCATCAAGTGGGAAAACAACCCTTGCGAGGCTGCTGCGAGACATTTTCCCCCACACTTTCATTCTTCACGAGGATGACTTTTATAGACCTGAGGCTGAGTAGGTCACCATTCAACAACACAACTGCCGGCTTTGACTAACTCTAATAGACTGCCCACGAAGAATGGTCTTCTAGATTGGGACTGTGCCGAGGCTATCGATATCCCTGCTATGGCTGAGTCCCTGGCTTATATCCGCCAACACGCTGCCTTTCCTGTAAGTCCAGTATCTCCATCTTCGGCTATGGCAACTGCATCTAACTTGATCTTATAGCCCACTCTAGACTCCAAGGAAGATCAAAACTCTGTGGGCAAGTGCCCCGTCTCAGAAGCCACTATCGCCGCCCAGCGCGCCAAGGTCGATGCCGCTCTAGGCCCTGACCATCCCCTCCAGACCAACCTGCGTCTGTGCTTATTCGATGGATTCCTACTATATTCGCCCTCCATGGCTGCTATAAAGCCAAACTTGGACATCAAGCTCTTCCTGAGGACGACGTACGAAAAGGCCAAGAGGAGAAGAGAGGCTAGAGATGGATACGTTACCCTTGAAGGCTTCTGGGCGGATCCTCCGGGATACGTGGATAAGATTGTTTGGCCCAACTATGTGGAAGAACATGCCTGGATGTTTGAAAGCGGCGATGTTGAGGGCAATTTCAAGACGGACGTTTTGAATAATGAGGGGATCAAGGTGCAGAGTGATGTAAGTGCTGATGGGGATATTGAAAAGACATTTGAATGGACAGTGGCTACTATTCTACAAGAACTTGGAAAGCAACTCTAGATAGAATGAGGATTTCTATATAAGAAGACAATCTCTAATAACCCTTTCAGGTTGCTCAACAATGCCGTAATGGTCTGTCTCTAAGTGCCATGCCGAAACCTCTCTGCTTTCAATTCTTCAGGATAAATCCATGCCATCAGCGCCATCTTCTAGTGCTTTCTTCTCCTTATTCAAAAGCCTCACTCCCTGCTCCGCAGCCTTAGTCATAGCCTCGTCCTTATTCAATGCGCCTCTCACATCTCCCACCACCCGATCTCCAATCTTCGCCTTGCAAAGATATTCCGGCTCAGGCCCATCAATCACCGTGTAGTCGAACGACATCTTCTGGTTCACGGCTAACCGGCTGAGCTCTTCTTTGGGATGCTGAACATGGATGTTCTGTTCAAGAATGCGATCCAGATAAGGCAGGATTCCAAACTTGTGAAGAACACCCGCGCATGTTTCAATAGACCCAGAATCAACCCACACTGCACCAAGAAGAGACTCGAAGAGATCCGAGTAGACCTTCTTTGGACGAAGTCGTGCGAGCGAAACCCATGGGTAGTGCGTACCGTCTCTCACAGCCGCAACTAATTCATCCCGTAGCCCCTGGTACTTGACTTCGGTCTGTTTCAATACCTGGCTCATCTCTGGCGAGCTGTACCGCACGAACTTCCAGAGGCGTAATTGCACCTCAGTAGATCCCAAATCTCCACCCGCCTTGACCTCCACGTCTGTTCGACTCACTCCATGCTCCATGTTGGTAAAGGCAAGAAACTCTGCGTTGACCATTGCTGTCTTGATCATGTGGAGGCGACTGTTGGGTATCGCCTGGTTGAACTGAAACATCCTAGTGACAACGATGTAGTCAAGGACGGCGTCTCCAAGAAACTCTAGTTGTTCGTAGGATCGCTGCTGCGCATCTGCTGCATATGATCCATGAGTTACTGCCTCCAGAAGTAAGGACTTCTTCTTGAACGAATATCCAATCATTGCTTCTAGGGGTTCCATATGAGAAGGAAGCTGTACGTCGTCGGGAGCCGTGCCAAAGAGTATATCTCTCCCCACGCTTTCTTCATGCCAATTGCATTTGTCGCCCAAGAAGACTGTGATACATTTCAGAGCCTTGGTCATCCCCCCATCCCGGAAAGATGCTCCAATAAGTGCCTCCACAACGTCAGCAAGATTCTTGGGTCCAATAAATCTTGAAGGCTGAATGACTGAATCTGCATCTAAGAAATTGTCAAGATATAGGGGTCTCCATTTTTGGCCAGTGAAGGACTTGGAGAGGATGAATTTTGAAAGGCCTTTTTCTAAGCAAACTTGGTGAAGTCGTGTGTTGGAAACGAGTCGATCTTTAAAGTGGTTCAAAAGACCTTCTGGCCAGAAAGGGTCTAAAACTAGTTAGCATTGACTCGTTCTGGTGTTTGAGGAAGACTCACGCTCTGAATAGGCCTGGATGACGGTACAAAACTTCAAAATCGAATCACCTAGAAGCTCGAGCCGCTCGTAGTCGACAGGCTCAGCAGCACTGCGAGAGCTGATGGCTTCGAGCACCAGCTGCAAGTTAGAAATGCCCACTGGCTCTAGTAGTGTCGACGACAACTCCGATGCGATGAGCTGGACCTCCAACTCGTGAATGATACAGGGAATCAGCATGCCGAACTTAACGACTCGCCTTGGGACCCCGTCGACAGTCGCCCATGAAATAGGAACAACCCGACCGTACGGTTTAGATGAGATCTTCGTCGCACCCCCTTTGTTAACATGAAGTAAATCTGATCTGCGTGACCACTGTTCAACGACCAGGTACTGTTCCTCAGGTGCGGCGTTGTACTCATAGAACGGATGCTGCACTTGCTCGAACACAGGCTTGAACGGTATTGTCTTGACGTAGTGAAAGGGGGATTGTTGGAGGTCTCGCACAAGTATTCTGCGCTCAGCGGCCGCTTCTTCCCTGCCATGGAAGGGCAGTGCGCCAATGTCCTCTCGTGAGAGGTCTTTCTTCTCATGAATGACCTTTACCACATGGCTACAATCCTCCACTGGCCAGCGATGCCCGAAGTTCATCGCCAACAATGCTGATGTATGGTCTGGCAGACTGGTCGATTCGTCATGGGAGATCTGCTTTACTGCAACACATCTAACGGACCACGTGGACCCATCTCTAGGATGTATCGTGATATCTCGAGGTTGCGGAAGTTCAGCTGGCATCGCAATCTCGAACCGGGTAGGGGTTGTAGACTCCTCATCCATGAATTCGAAAGAGTAAACCCATTTGTCAACATTCGCCTTCCAATTCTGAGCGATTTGAATCCATGGGTTGAAAAGGGGCTCGACATCCAAATCCACAATATCTTCAACCTTCTCGGCAACAGCACTAATGGGTAGCAAATGCTCGTTAACAAGTCCTTCCTCAAACAAAGCCACGTATGCCTGAAACGCAGCATCTTTCATGGCGTTCTTCTCAGACTTCCATCCACATGCGCTACGAAACTTGCGTAGATGGGGCGGCAAGCCTGCTGGTAATGTTACCGTTGCTCTCAAGATTGGCTCCCCAAACCCAGGATCTTCTTTGTGAAAAACATAGTCAGGTCTCCGGTCGACAAAATCTGAGCGGAATACAATTTGGCAAAAGTGTTCCAAATGTTGTCGGGAGTTCTCAAGATCTAGTCTTGCTCCAGAGTTCTTGACAATGTAGTAAATGGAACTTGTTGGTTCGGATCTTGCCAGTTCTTCCAGCCTTGCCAATTCTCTTTGATCGTCCGCATAGCGCTTCTTCATTCCTTCTTCCAGGTCTTCCCACGCACGAGGACCTGCACTCGATCTTTCCAGGGCAATCATCTTGGATTCCTGCATGCGAGCCCTGCCTCGTCGTTGGATGAAAGATTTCAGAGTTGTAGTCTCGTCGAAACACACGACTAGGTTGCATGCTGGAACGTCGATGCCTTCTTCCAAAACACTAGTAGCCACAAGAAGATTGATGGCGCCTGATCTAAAGTCGTCCAGGACTTGGGTACCAGCGTTGTTGGCAAACTCGTACATGTTGTATTTCCGGGTTCCAAAGCTAGATGTACCGACCATTGAACCAACACGATATCGTTCTCGAATGGCCGGGTGGTAACTTAAGACATCGCAAAGGACGTTTGCTGCAGCTCGTTCTTTGACGAAGATGATGCCCACAACGCCATTTCCAGCTGCAAGAAGTTCATGGATCAGCCTGTTGACTTTGTGGGAGAGGTCATGAGTAGTCGGTGGTACGGTGTCGATTGGCTTGGGAGTGATTTGACGTAAGTGTCCCGCAAGATAGGTCCTATCTTCGTTTGACCATGCATCAGTAAATGTGTCGGGGGTGTCAAATCGCTCGAGGAACATTCTGATCAGTTGCGATATGTATCTGTCTGCTGCCCAACTGCCGAGTTCAACAAGAATATCTTTACTCTTGTTCCATAGTCCTTTCATCTGGTTTTGAGAGAAAGTGTCATGCTTCATAATGGCATCCTGTAGTTTCTTTCGGCACTCGGCGTTCTTAACGGCGAGGGACTTGAGCTTGACAATCTGGGGATCCTGTGCAATGTTCATTCTCAAGTATTCCGACTGTAGTTGTTGCATCAACTCAGTGCGGGCTGGGAACCTTTCTGTTTCGTAAAGTGATCGAACAAGATGGGGCCTGTTCACATGCTTCAGAAGTTGTTCTCGGTGGACTGTTGGTGTGACACATATCGCATCCATTGTGTTCTCCAGCCTTTCGATCTCGGCAATGTCTGATGAAATAACCGGACTGGCCGTCAACCCCAGGATACCTGGCACCGGCAGGCCGGCGTTTTTGTGCTCATGATAAAAGTTCATCATGATCTTCCTACCAGAACTGTTCTTGACGCAGTTGTGGACTATCATCGTCAGCAAGAGCATTCTTGCGTAGGCGACCACTTACCCTCATCGAATACGATCAGAGCAAGCATATCCATCCTGACAAACGCATGATCAAGGGCATCACGCAAGATGTCAAAAGTCGAAACGACAATGCGAGTTCCTTCAAGTATCACAGGCCAAACCTTTGGTGACCACGCATCAATGTTGAGTTGCCCAGTAAGCAATCTCATGGACACCGATGGCATTTGCCTGTTTATAACGCTGTACTGCTGTTCACACAGACTGACTGTTTTCCCTAAGAACCAAATAATCTTTCGGTGTTAGCAGGTGAATTGGTCGTCCATTGGATCGCCAACCTTGTTCGGCGAACATCTCTCCAGTTCAGCTTGGATGCGAAGAACAGCCCTGATTTTTTCTGTCAACGTCTTGCACTTCAAACTTTGGGAATCGTCCTACACTTGAGTTTTTCCACTTCCAGTGTCCATCTGAGTTACGTTAGATAATGCGAATCGAACGGCCGATACCCATGACAACTCACAGCGACAATGACGTTCTTCTTGAGGCTCTGCTCCAGCATCTCTCGTTGGTAGGCACGAGGATTGATGATCTCAGGGGCAGGAGACTCAGGTTTGGATTCGTCTCCTTCATCTTGGGCCTCTCCCAGGACCTTGCCAGCGGCAACGATAGATACTGTTTCGGTGATTTCGACTGTGGGTGTTCCCGCTTCGCTGTCAAGAGGAGTGTCCGGCCGAGAAGAGCTCGGACTCCCAGTTCCAGGAGACTGTGGCCGATCAATATCCATCATGTTATTATCATCAGAAAGGTCCGAATAAAGCCGTTGGTCTCTGCGCTGAGGTCTGCGAGAAGCCGATTTGGCGATCCACGATGGCTGTCTTAAATGATGGAATATTGAGGTTCTTAGGGAGAATATCAGACGGCTGCTTGACCTTGATATCATAAAAAGAAAAACACAAAAAGAGATCCTCAAGATATCATCTCTTGACAAGAAGCAGCCTTGGGGGCAGGGACGTCACAAGCGTCTAGATTAGCCGGAGGTTAAGTTGAAGGAGGCCGACCAACTGGCAACAGTGCTCTCCACAATGCAAATAGGTGCAGAAGGTGGTGCGGGAGGCCTATCTTCGATGTTGGTAGGAAGAGGCCATATGTAGGAGGCCGGCCAGTAGATGAATGGGTCAGTGATTCAGTGCCAACTGGAAATATGCTGCTGCGGTGGATTATGCCGGCCAGAATTAATGGACTGCACCTGCATTGCCAACCCCTGGAGACAATATTTAGGGGACGGCTTTATGTTATGAATAAGTGGTTGTACCATCAAGAACAACCACTATACATCGTAATTAATGCGAAGAAAATGGAATTTGAATCATTGTATTGCTCCATAGCTGTTAAGTTCTTGTTTGACGGGCAAACTACAACCAAAATCACAGAAAGATCCCAAGTAACCATGACACTGCTCACTGAAGATTAGGTATGTTATTTTGCACTACACTCCGTACATAATACCTGTCCCTGTTGAGTTCAAATTGAAGAAACAATATTTACTTGCAAATCTAAGGCCTCCTTAACTACATCACGAAACAATATATATTGTCTAGAGAAGCATTATATCAGCTGTGCATCGCCGAAAGAATTCTGGTCTGGACTTTGTTAACGTGGGTGGATAACCTAGACTTGCAACGGTTGGATTTCATTGTATTTCCTGCACTAGCACACCCATTGTTCACAACACTGTCTCTTTTGCTAATAGATTCCAGCCCACAGGGCTATTTCGAAACTCCTTTGATTTCATGCCATAAACTCAAGCTGTCATGGAGCTCCCGGTTCGAACTGCTGCTTCTGATGAGAAAATGGAGATGTACGCAACTGGCTTCAACGCGTGGAATCAGCTCACATTCGACTCTTTGCCAACGGACGAAGAGCCTGATGACCTATTCTCGTTTACGAAAGTTCTAGGAACTGGATCTATTGGAAGGATTGTTCCTGAAATGAGCTATACTGCTGGTAATTTAATGACTATTTTGCCTCACTCGCTTTCTGACATGCTGTAGTTCAACAAGATGACAACTGGATTCTTGCTGGATCATTCTCCAACAAGCTTCTTTATTATAAAGACAGTACAACATGCCTATTTGATTCGCTAGGTGCCATTTCAGGAGATGGAAAGATCCTAACAATTCAAACCCTGGATTCTTTACACTCAACTCAAGCCCTTGTTCAGTATCCATCTTTGACTGCATGGAAAGCCAGCAAGAGTACCGACACATGGCCTCGCGATTCTCTTATTCGCCAAACAGTAGCTTATGATGCTGGTTTCGTGATTCTGCTCCAAGATGGGACAGTTCTAAGCTGTGGTGACCCGCGATTTCGAGACTGCCTTGGCCGCGAGGTCAACGAGTCCTGGTAGGCACTTACCATCAGTCAATAGACAATGCTAACAATCTGAAGCCCTGCCCATGTTCCAAGCATTATAGAAGATCTGAGTGATCTTGGAGAACCAGTAAAGACAATTGCTGCAGGAGGATACACTGTTGCAGCGCTGACAGACAGTGGTGGCTTATACGTCTGGGGCATGAAACCGCCTGGCTCGCAAAGTCGACGCAGCGCATTTGCTGAGCTCAACTCTATACCAAATTATGTCGAAGTTGATGGGGAAATGGATGTGCAGGACATTGCAATTGGGGAATCACATGCCATTGCGTTGACTACTGATGGCTGCATCTACGTGGTGGGTGATAACACCAACGGACAGATTGGACTTGACAAGGACGAGAAGGATTTTATTGAATCATGGCACAAGATAAATTTCATACCTCATCCAGGTTGGGAGGCTGTCGCGGTTGAGGCTGGTCCCAGGTCATCATTCATAGTCACAGCAAAGGCGAAGCACTCTCAAAGCTCGAAATGAGCCGCCCTTCTATGAGTACTAGCTTTATTGAGCCCAATGACCCTCTATTGTACAAGGCTTCTCGTTGTGATCATCTGCATAAGGGTTTTCATAGACTCGTAAGGTAATCCTCAATCTCTTGAGGGGTCAGCTTTCTGAAACGGGGTCCAACAGCCCCCTCAACGCCCTCAAGACCCAGAAGATGGTCAGCGGGTGCACCAACAATACCTGCAAGATGTTAGCACTGCATATCTTTCTATGGTTCTCTAAAAGCTTACCGATCTCGATGCTGTCGCCATTCATCTCACCCTCGATGTTGTCCTTCAGGGTCAACAGCGCAATGTGGATAGCGTCCTCAAGCTCAAGCTCCTCCGAGTATCGCTTCTCCAAGAATGTCTTGGCCTTGGTCGCACTCTTGCCAATGGCTGTGGCCTTCCATGGGTAGTAACTGCCGGAGGGGTCGACCTGGTACAGCATAGGGCCGCCCTTGTGAATACCTCCAGTCTTTGTGTTGGCCTTCTTCTCATCGCTCTCTTCGGTGGTCTTGTCCTCCTCCTCAGGCTCGATACCCTCGTCCCATCCAGCAACCAGCAGGCTGACACCGTAAGGTCGGACACCAGCGGACTGGGTAGCTTCCTGCATAACTCGGGCAACATCTTGCACCAATATTCTGGTAGGGGGGTACTCGTTGTAGATACGCTTGTAACCGGTGTGCGAAACCTTTCGTGCTCGGTCTACCAATACTCGATAATCGGGGCCCATGCCGGAGTACACCATGCCGATGTTGGGGGTGATATCGCTGATCTTGGAGAGGGAGCTTTGGTCGGCGAGAGGGGATGATGATTTCTTCTCGGTGGCAAGGACGATGCCGTTGGTGGCTTGTGCTGGTCAGTAATAGCTCTCTAGAGGTGTCGGAGGCAGCGCGGACCTTTGATGCCAAGGGCAGTGATACCCTGGTTTACAGCATTGAGGGCATACTCTATTGGGTTGTGTTAGTTCCATAAATTGAGTTAAGTATAGAAAGCTTCAGCATAGCAAGATTCCTGAAGCTCCACCATACGGTTACGTACCAATCTGCACCAGCTTTCCGCTATAACTTGTCAGTGATGATGCTCGCCATACAATAGCAGTGTCGTCACCGAAACATACCTGGGGGAGAAGGTTGTGAGGGAGAAAGAGTATCTGTCCGCCATCGTTCAAGGTCCTGTTGTGATGGACTGGATCTGAATGAAGTGATTGTTAAATTATTGGCAGTTATCAATTCGTGGGGTTGACAAGGAGATATCGAGCAAGGCTGCAACTGGAGCTTTGATGTTTGGCCAAAGCAGCTGTAGCCTCTAGGCAGTCCCAGCTGCGCGTCTAGCTCAACCACCGGGAGCTGTATGCGGGGTATCTGATTATCCGAGCTCCGATTCGACATATTCCTTAGCACCCTCCGAGGTTTGGAGTATTATGAGGGTCAAGGCCTTGATAAATCGTCTAAGACTTTATTCTGTTTTGATGCTATTCTATACTTTATGCTTCGGCATGTCGTTGTTATGGTTTAACTTCCTGTTCTGAGGTTTGCCCTCCCAGTTGTTCTTCTAGTTACACTTTGGGGTGGGATATAATTCTCCCGAGCCGCATGCCAAGCTCCTGAGACCCCACACACACAAAGCAGCTTTCTTCTGCTCGAGCTTGGTAACGGCTGTTTCGGCTTCCTTCCTCAACGTTCTTCCAAGAAGGCTGAGCTGGCCTCTTCTCTTCACACTTTATATCTGCTGGTAATGACCTTGGCAGTCAAAGTGCTTCCCCCGCTCTTTGCTGGTCTCGCTTCTACTTAATATTGAGCCTCGCAGAAACATGTAGGTTGCGCCTGAAACGCCTCCACGGCCGACAACGACGTACTTGCATTCCAATTCTTTCTGTTCTGGTTCTACCACTTACTCCCGCTACACTCGTCTCTATTTCACATCCGCAGGTTCACGTAAATCATCATGGATACGCACCCTACATGGGATTGGTCCTCGGTCGGGGACAGCTCTGCTCCTCAACAGCCCGAGCCAGAGACACGCGCGTCATACGGATCTTCAGCAGAGTGGACTACTCCGCAGCCAAGTACGACCTCTCAACAGGGTAGTTCGTTCAATCAAGCACCTCATAATCCGCCGAGGAACAGACGTTATGGCACGCGTACATGCCGCATCTGTCTCGACACTGAAGAGCCTAGATTTCCTGACCAGTCAACTACGTTTGGTATTACGGCAGCATCATCCCGACCAACGTACTCTTCCGACGACCCGGAACTGGGGAGGTTGCTATCGCCATGCAAGTGTAAGGGTTCGCAGAAATACGTACACGAGGGATGCCTTAATGCTTGGAGACAAGCAAACCCTACAGCGGCAAGGAATTACTGGCAATGTCCAACCTGCAAGTTCACGTATCGCATTTCCCGACTACACTGGGGCTCTCTTTTGAGCAGCAAGTGGGCACAGGTCGGCTTGACTATTTGGTTCTGCTTACTGAGCATTTTCGTTCTTGGATTCATCGCGGATCCCCTATTTGATCTTTGGTCCGACCCAATTGGAACCATTGGCGAAACCGTCACAAGCGTGGTAACAGATCTTGAAGCCCTCAGGCAACCACCATCACCGGAGCCCACCTCGTGGATCGAACACTTCACCAAAGGCTTCTTTTCCCTAGGAATTGTCGGCTTATTCAAGACCATGCTTACTGTAAGTCCATGGCATTGGTGGCAGATTCGAGGCAGCGGAGTGGCAGGCGGTGGTGGTGGTAGGAGAGGAGGCACTGGTCGAAACCGTGTCGAGAACATCAACCTCATCTTTGTGCTCATTGGTGCATTTACATTCCTTGTGGGCATCTGGAAATTTGTTCAGAAGTTGAGTGCTCGTGTGCTCAAGAACGTGAGCGACAGGGTTGTTGATGTCGGGGCAGACGATGACGACGATGATGATGATGTCGGCGATGGACCGAATCAGGAAAGTAAGAAAGACGAATGAAGCCCTTGAGCTTTTATCTTGAAAGACAAAGCGTTTTCTTCTCCATGAGTCCAATGTTTTATGGTGCATGTGTTTGCACACTCTTAAGTTGCCTAGATCTTGCTCCTCCGTGTCAAGTCAACTAGTCTGTGTGCAAAGATTTACGCTCTGCTGCGCCTTGAATAAGAACCGTTTTGGCTCTTTCCTCGTTGGCCAGTATGAGATTATCAACCTTCATTCACGCATCGTGATGCCCTCGGGTGTTCATAACGGTGTGAGGCATCTGCTTGGTACACTACCCCCGTACAAGAGCAGTGAGCAGATTGTCGAATGTTGGTTGATACATGCCAATATCACTTACTACCTAGTTAATGTAATTCTTTGCTACGAATAATTGAATCTTGAACCTCAATAGCTCTGGCACTGCCTTGAAATATGATCAGAATTCATGGTATATACCGACCCATGGTTGCAATACGAACTATCATCGTATTGACTTAATACATGCTTCTATTGTTCTAGACCTACAATCATTGTCTATCTATAAGACGGATATTTGTGCCACCGATACCGAGATGACGTTGGAATTTGGCATATTGATCCCTGCATTCTGCAATTGGAATACGGGGTCGTAGGGCAGGCAGGTCGTATAATAAATCTGCATTCATGCCTGTGGATGGATGCTTTTATCAGTCTTTATGAGTTTACGATAATTCCTAAGGAAACGGTGAACAATAGGATCCTGGTTCAAATAAGAATTCTAGAGTCTTTGCATTATTACTAGTAAGGAAGTATCCTGTGAGACTAGTTGATTTGACTGTAATAATAAACTTATCAATGGGCAGCTTATTCGCATTGTGTCTTTATTAATGCGGGTTTTATTGTCACCCTCCATTTGAGCATGTGGGCCGGGACCTCATGAATTCGGCCCTGTCAAAAAGCCATCTACCATCCTTTGACTGCGCCTACTATGGCTCCCTGACTGTCTCTCCCATCTGCTGTGGACCAATTGTTCAAGCTCACTCGATTGTTCTTCTTGCTGCGACTATAAGTCTATGCTTTTGAACCCGATATATACATCGACTCGTCCCCGAAGACATACGAGACCCTGATCTCCCTTCCCAGGGTCAACCATCGACGACTTTACGCAGTTGCGCTCGCTGTTTACAAAGTCGACCAATCCTGGATAGCCTCTTGCGACTTACAGATATCTAATTTGACTTGTTCCGAACAAATACTCGCCCGACATGCACTTCGCATACCCCCCTCGCAAGAACTCCAACCCACCACCTTTTGGACAGCGCTCGTCGCAAATACCGCCGATCCTCCGTCGAATTCGCAAAAGAACAGCTCTCTTTATCGTTCTTGGTATCGTTGGATTGCTATATATCTTGCTTGGCTCGAAAGCTGAGACACCGTACCACGAGCATGCGCCGTCAGGCAACCCGCCAGTTGTCATCCTGACAGTCTTCGACAAGACGCAGTACAGCACCACTTATCTAGAATCGATTCGACACAACCGAGAGCAATATGCGACAAGACATGGTAAGACGGTCACTGGAATTGATCTTGTGCGGCAGGGACTGATATCTGATTCTAGGATATGAAGCCATGGTTGTAGTGACGGATGACTACAACACGGGCAAGTCTCCTCGTTCATGGACCAAGGTGTTCGCGATGCGCCATGCGCTATCAAAATACCCCGATGCTAAGTATGTCTGGTTTCTTGATCAGAACGCCTACATCATGGAGCTCGACCGGACTTTGGAGGAGCAAGTGTTGAACCCGACGAAACTTGAGGAACTGATGATCAAAGACTGGTCTATAGTGCCGCCAGACAGTATCATCAAGACCTTCTCCCACTTGAAGGGCCAAGACGCGAATCTTATCATCAGCCAAGACGAAGCTGGGCTGGTAACTAAAAGTTACGTCCTCAAGAATGGCGACTGGGCTAAGTTCTTTGTCGAAACTTGGATGGACCCTCTGTACCAAGCCTACAACTTCCAGAAAGCCGAGCGACATGCCCTTGTGAGTTCGCGAATGATCTTAGCAACAATTCGACAGCACAAATCTAACCTCTCTACAGGAACACATCGTCCAATGGCACCCTACGATTCTCTCAAAACTCGCTCTTGTGCCGCAGCGCACGTTTGCCTCATACGGCCGCAACAACAAGGAAGGCAATGCGTACCGAGACGGAGACCTTGTCACGCTCATGATTGATTGCACGACCACTGGCCAAACGTCCTGCGACAAGCTGTCGCATGTTTACCAGCAGCAGTTGAAAAACAAGTTTGGCGATGCCAGTGTGATGTAAGAAGAGGCAACGAGTACATGGGCATGGCATTTGAGCGAGGGCATTTGGGCGTTTTGTGATAGACTTGGAGGGGTTTCCAGGATTGGAGATGGAAAAGCCAATAGGTATTTGCTTGGCGTTAATTGGTCATTTATTGATGAATCTAGCTCATGTGTTCAATCTGCATATTCATGGAATACTATCGGACTTTTTTACTTAGAGGAGTATATGTGAGAAGTGACGGATTGGTATCTCATCTCGTTTACTTTGATCATACCACTAAGCTACTAATCGAACTTAGTGTGCCTAATCTGGCCAGATTGGAAATCTCATGTTCTAAATCCAGAACACGCCGCTGCAGTTGAACCACCGTAAAGGAGCTGGGATCGTGTCTGCAAGACGAATAAGGACGAGTAAATGTTTATCGAGACCAATGGCTACGGAGTACTATCTACTGGAGGAAGCTGTTGGTACAGAGTGCACTCTCTTGTCCAAAAACATGAACATACAATAGTGCCTGGTTGTCAAGGTATAAGAGCTTAAAAGATATGCATACTATGCATCGAAATCCCAATACGGTAGTGGCCTATCGATCAGGCTCGTATTCCTGGTGCCCCGGCAATTCTCTTGATGAAACCCTCCACCGTTTCCATGATCCTGCCCAACACTATCCGATCTTCCGGTCTGGGTCTGTATCCTAGATTAACGGTATCACAGAGCTCCCAACAAACAATGGAATGTGCCTCAAGAAGCTATCATGAGGGACTTGCAGCGGGTATATTAGCCCAAACAGGGAAGTTGGTCACAAACGATTGAGTTTTGAACATGTATGACCCTCAATCACCAGGTGTGATTGAAGCAATCGAAGCGACTGCTCATGGATGCTTCATGTACAATTACGGCGCCAGCAGGGATTCCTGCAGATGGAGGGTGTTCGCCTCGGCCTACGATCCGTTTCCAGTGGGGAGAAGGACGCGTTAGAAGACTCAAACGCTATAAATTTAGGGGCTAAATAGCGCCCGTGGATGGGCACCCGCGGAGCCCGTTCCCCGCCAAGCATGTGACGGGTACTGGAATGCGCTAAGAAATATCCAAGTAGTGGCTATGCCCCGCGATATTGGATCTGTGATTAAGGCGACGACGTCAAGTTTCTCCTCCTTGAGACGGTTTTGTTTAAAACATCACCAATTCTCCAAATAGTCTCCATTGTTTTGTCACTCTTTTTTGTTTATCTTATACCAGGTTTCAATAATGGCTTCTCCTCCACACATCGGGAGTCTCTCCCGTCTTCCTGCTAACTTGCGCGGTGGCATTGAGTCTGTTAAGCGCACACGACATAATGTTTCTTGGCCTTTGGTGAACCTCGATCTGTAAGTCATGATACCACCAGCTATGCATCATCTCCACATTTCACTTGCACGATCTCTCTGCAATTGATCTGGCACATGCTAATCATCTCTTTCTCTTGTATAGGTTGCGCAACATCCTTCTCTTCCTGTTCTTCTGGCGATGGTCCCGTCGCGCATTTTGGCAGCTCAGAGGCCGTGGTATCATCGGCTCGGTCATCGAGCTATACACAAACGTTCGTCGCATCCTCTACGGTTACTTCCTACGAGCCCCGGGCGTGCGAGGCAAGGTTCAGCAACAAGTCAATGAGTCTTTGGCCAAGCTGTCCGAGAAGTTAGTCCCCAAGGACCAGATCCGATACCTTACTCTCCCCAAGGATGGCCTCTCTCATGATAACGTCCGCGCCGAGCTCGAGAACCTCGCCAACATGGATCACACTCGCTGGGAGGATGGATTTGTCTCTGGTGCTGTGTACCACGGCGAGAATGAGCTCATGCAACTGCAGACCGAGGCCTTTGGCAAGTTCACTGTTGCCAATCCCATCCATCCCGATGTCTTCCCTGGTGTGCGCAAGATGGAGGCCGAGGTTGTGAGCATGGTCTTGAACCTCTTCCATGCTCCTCCTAATGCTGCTGGTACCTCCACCAGCGGAGGAACTGACAGTATTCTTATGGCTTGTCTGGCTGCTCGTCAAAAGGCGTATGCTGAGCGTGGCGTGACTAAACCTGAAATGTAAGTTGATCTAGAAGCATTGTGTTGTTGGATAAGTAGCTGACCAGTGTTCATAGGATTCTCCCTGAGACCGCCCATACCGCATTCCACAAGGCAGCCGAGTACTTCAAAATCAAAATCAACCTTGTCGCCTGTCCTGCGCCTGAGTACCAGGTCGATGTCCGTGCCGTTTCGCGTCTGGTCAACCCTAACACAGTTCTGATTGTTGGTTCTGCGCCCAACTTCCCCCACGGTATCATCGACGACATTGAGGCTCTATCCAAGCTTGCTCTGCGCAAGAACATCTGGCTCCATGTCGACTGCTGCCTGGGATCTTTCCTGGTTCCTTTCCTCGAACGCGCTGGTTTTGAGACACAACTCTTCGACTTCCGACTCAAGGGTGTTCATAGTATCAGCTGCGATACTCACAAGTACGGTTTTGCGCCCAAGGGAAATTCTACTGTTCTATACCGCACAGCCGATCTGCGAAAGTTTCAGTATTTCGTCGCCCCTGATTGGTCTGGTGGTGTCTACGCTTCTCCCGGCATGGCTGGTTCTCGACCTGGTGCGCTCATTGCTGGTTGCTGGGCTAGTTTGATGACGATGGGTGAGGCCGGATACATTGACGCCTGCACCAAGATTGTGGGAAGCGCCAAGAAGATCACCGAGGCTATCCAGACCACTCCAACTCTTGGCGGCGAGCTTGAGATTATTGGCAAGCCCCTAGTCTCAGTCGTTGCTTTCACAGCTCGCAACTTGAACGTTTACGACATCGCCGACGGTATGGGTACTAAGGGGTGGCATCTCAACGCTCTGCAGAACCCACCTGCTATCCACGTTGCCGTCACCCTGCCCATCACCAAGGTCTGGGAGAAGCTTGTCACCGATCTCGAGGCCGTCGTCGAGGAGGAGCGTGAGAAGGAGCGTGTTCGTCTTGTTGAAGGCAAGGGAGCCCATGGCAAGGCTATGGGCGACACCTCAGCTTTGTACGGTGTTGCTGGCTCGTTGCCAAACAAGAGTGTAGTCGTTGATCTGGCGAGTGGATTTTTGGATCTGTTGTATAAGGCGTAAATGTTATGAGAAATCGGCGAAAAGGGGGCGTAACGCAGCGATTGGAGACTGCATGTTTTACAATGGGCTCAGGCGTTTGCGTCGATTATGGCGCTTAGCATCTTTATTGGCTCTGTTGCATCCCGAGTCTCAGCTCTGTATCTTACTGGCGCTCTAGCGAACTGCTCTTGATATTGTATATCCTCATTATACTCAAATCGAATCGTTTCAAAGTAAGAACTGTCTTGCATGGTACTGGGCTGTTAACAGAGCCTCACGTCATTCGTCTCAGCCTGATGAATAGGCACAGTGAGGGCATCATGTTCCTGACTAGGCCTGTTCCTAGCTTGCGTAACGTATTGAAGATCTGTGGTTTTTGATATGAGACTTTGCGAGACAAACCGCAAGTGTTGCATTTTCATTACCAATGAACTATCTCCAAGTGCACCAATACAAACCTTAACACGCTTGAGGATGGATATCATGGGCCTGCCCGCTTATTGAGCAACTACAAATCAAACACTTGTTCGTACATGGTTCAGGAGTCGAATTATAGACTCCTCGTTGGCCAGAACATCTGCCGAGCCTAGCGAGCCCGCGAGCCCAGGAGCCTCACAGTCTCACCTCGTTACATCATATATGCATTATCATGCCATTCCTCCACCACTCACAAATCTTGATCTTTTTTGTTCTTCCGCCTTTCTTTCTCTTATTCTCCAATGGTCTGCCGTTCGCATCGTGTATTTCAATTCGCCTCCCCCTCCCCTACGAGCCTCTGATCTTTGCGCCCTTTCGGCTAAAGGGAATGTTCTACTGTACCTTATGTGCGCACGTGTGTTCCAATTGGAGAAGGGCTGTTGGGGCCGATCACCTCGTGGACATTGCGGCCCAATGATGAGGGGCAGCGTGGTTTGCTTGTCTGTTTTGTGAAAGGGTCCTTTTTGGTGTGGTGGGTTGGGTGAGTGAGAGAGCGAGCTTGGAAAAATCAGGGTTTTGTTCTTCTTTAGTGCTGAGAAGGGAGCAGCCGAGGTGGGTGAGTTGTGATATATATTGAACTTGCTATTATATGGAAGTTCAACATGGGTCATGATGAACTCTGTGGTCTTCATCACAACGTGTAATTCGTATTTATATACTATAAATATTCCGAATTGCCTCTTGGTATAACATTCCATGCTTATAGCGGCAGCCAGAAAAAAAGAAAGCATCCATGTATGTATGTCATTATCTGGAGCCTGACGCCAGCAAGATGCAGGGATCTATCAAGCTGCAGCTCGGCCACCCATAGACTCGCAATACCACCGTCTTTTCTTAATGCTAGAGACTACAGTAGAGGCTAGAGCCCAGCTATACCAATTCTTTTCAGCTCGCCCCAACAACGCAGCACGATCATCTCTCCCCGCTTCCTATCTTGTCCTCTCCAACGGTCAGACCCTTACTCATGGAAACCTGCCAGCGGGCCTCAGGGCTGCTGCGTAACCCTCTCCCCCTCGCCAATCCCCATATTCGCCAGAGTAGATCCTTGTCTTGATGCGGTCAAGACGGTCTTTCTTTGTGTTTTTGGTTAGGTTTCTTGTCCTTGTCACTTGTGTCATGTCTATTTCTGTGATAGTCTAATAACTGTAAACTGCTGAGGTTGTTATCCGTCTGCATGTATAAGCCCGACATTGTCCCTCGTCAGGCCTCTCTCTGCTCCCTCTTATCTCTATTTTTCTGACGGGTGCAACTTGCTGCCTTTTTTTCACGTTCAGTATTTTTTAATTCTTCCTTGTTCTACATATTCTTTGCCTTGTGTTACCTGATATATTTCATTTCTCACTTATTCCCCACCGCTCTCGTCTTATATGCCGTGCCTCTATCCTCACGTCAAAGGGAATAACAAAGCTACTGCGGTGTGAGGTTACCATGCTTGCTGCTGAACAATCGCCGTCTCCGATCGCCGCCATGGCTATGAATGGGGGACCTGTCGAGAGGTTTCACAAGGGCCGGACGGAAAGCATTGAAATACCGCAGAGCAAGACCGTCCTGAAAGATGATGAATCCATTGCTTCCGGCTCAACCGATTCACAGTCGCAGATGAAGAAGAGACTCAGCGTAGACATGTCTAAGGAACAGGTTGAGGATCTGGTGCGGAAGTTGACTATCGATGAGATGAAGACGAAGTGGTTTGACGAGATCTTTGAGAAAGTCAAGTCTGAGCGTAAGTTGATAGTGGTCGATACCTTTCTTTCACTTTTTAATAGGGACTAATATGTCACAGTCGTCGAAGAGCATTCACCACAGGATACTCCGTCATCTTCAGAGCCTTCAAGTCCCAAATCGAACCCTGTAAAGCCCACATCTTCCCATGGAACGACATCTCAGGAGACTATTCGAAATGACACCAAGAAGCATGAACCAACGACTTCCCCTATTCAAACCAGGACCGAATCCAATGGCCATCCTTGCTCCAGCCGTAGCTCTCTGGGTACTGCTGGTAGTCCATCAACCTCCTTCATCTCCGACTCTACATCCTCGCGGGTCTCCAATCCCCATCCGCCAATGCCAAAGCCTGCTACGAAACAGTCCTCGCCTCCTACTTCAAAAGTTCGACCATCCGTGCGATTTTCCAAAGAGCCAATCATCTTGAACAAGGACGAGGAACCTCTTCTAGAAACACGCCCGCCATCACGGCCTCCGCCTCCGGTGCCGATGAACCAAGGTCCAATGCTATCGGCGGTAGACCTGAAGTGGGGGAAACTCTTTGATGACAAAGGCGAGCCAACTGAAAGACTTGGCCAGGTCCTTCGAGGGATTGCAAACTATTTGGTATGTCACCTTACCAATTACCCATATACATGTCTGAAGCTAATAACGCCCAGGTTCTTGAGTACAGTCCTCGCAACTCGCTTGTCATCACACCCGAGAAGCTCAGGGTCTTTTATCACGAATACAAACTCGAATCAGAGACATTCCCGTTTCAGCGTATGTATCATCCTCATATATAAACACTGATTATCTAACATGATCAGAAATATTCGACTGTCGTCCACATGGAGCTCTCGATAGCCTGGAAACACTATATCAGCATCTGCGATGTGAAAACCATCTCATCCAGAGACGACCCGGCGGAATGCCTCACATTCCCTCTCTAACTCCCGCTGGTTTCGAGCATTGGATGGTCTGTCAGCTCCGCGCATTTCCTGACCACGAAGCCAAGCGTCTAAGCCACATCTTGGCCGACCTTCCTATCACAGCTGATGGAGTTCTCGTCGATGATAAGCCGGAGCGTCTACCAAAGCAAATCTCTCGGCATCTTCTTCCAGAGACTCGACATAGGGAGACACATGATCTTGTGGTTGATGCCATTGCAGGGTGGATCAAGCATACAGAGGAGAATGAGTCTGACTTTAGACGGAACTCGGCTGAGGATATCTACAAAACCAGCTCGAAAGAGGACAAGACTGGACGGTACAGACCTGATGACTATCGGGATCGTGACCCCGCAAAGTATCGTCGTGGATCAAAAGACAACCACAAGCCGTCACCACTATCTCGCTCCGATCCCTCAAATCGCTTCGTTCCTCGCGTCAGCTCAGACAGCACCATTCGTCCATCCAAGGGGATCAAGGAAAGCCCTCCTACATCCCCTATACCAGTTCGCAGGGTTAAAAGCCCTATATCCAATCGTTACCGCCACTCAGCATCTGCCATCGACAACGACACCAGCACAGCTGATACTCGTGACGCACCCTCACCAAGCCATCGGAATAGTTATCCTACTCCCGCCAGCAGTCGACGCAATCGTGACAAAGATTATCGATACCCCTCAGGTCGCGAGTCAAAGTCACCGGTTGAAACAATTCCTCGCTCACTACCGACGCCACGTAAAGATGGCGATCGTCGTTCGAGCTTGATCTTTGAAGAAACTGGCAAAGACCCCAGTGGCATGACTTACGATGAGTACATGCGTATGAAACCGCGGCCTATGCGTCACGCTGTTGTAGATGATGGAGGCCATTATCGCAATCCTTACTCTAGCGGAAGCGAAGAGCGTCGATGAATATTTCTTTTTTCTAATCCATTTTCTTTAGTAATAGGGAGGTTTGCTCTACATAAAAGCCTCTAGATCCTCTTAGTCAAACGAGTAGATCTGACTTATTTTCTTCTAATTTCCTTTCTTTCGGGGGTTTAACGATTTTACACGACAAATTGAAGGCATGTATGACGAGTACTTTCTTATTAATTAGGCGTCTCCGGGTTCTTTGAATAGTGTACAATGATCGCTTTGGCGTGGAACTCGGGTCATGAAATACTACTTTCGTTGTACGTTGCTTTGTGCTCTTGTCCCTCCGGTGATCGTTTCGAAAAGATGCCTTTACTACATCTGACAGCCACGTGGGCTGACGGCGTATTTACTCAAGATCGGCGGGCTTGCGGCCGGTGTTGGGCTGCGTAAGTTGACATACGGTGAGGAGGCCCATGTTGCGGTTTCTGAGGAGATTTATGAAGCTTCTTGACTAGGTAGCTTAGGAACGTAGCGTCACAGGGTATAACTCTTAAGACGGCTATAACACGATTTCATATTGCTCTAATACTGCGTCATGTGTAATATGTGAAATAAAGACAGTCATTATAGACGCTATCTATCTGAGGAAACTCGTAACCTTTTTTCACGCCTGCTACCATGGGTTCATTGAACAAATAAACCCGACAATGATAATGTTAAGAAACCAGACAGGGGGTGTAATCAACACCGTGTCATTAATATGTATAAAGGCATCGCTGCCAAATGTCAAAAACGATCGCTATGCCGTGATGCACCAGTTTTTATGCGAATGGGAGCAGCACTAAGGGTGCTTGCTTCGGAAAGGGGTATCTGATATTGAAATGTAGGGCGAGGTACGGGTGAGGGCAGTACGCAGGCCAGGTGGTGAAAGCCATTACTCCAGTTATGACTTTGCGAAAGGGTGGCAATGAGAACGATTTCGGATGAGAGGAAACGAAACGTCATAAAGCGTTAAAGAGTGAGCGCAATTATGGTACGAAAACATGTACGTCGTAAGTCGTATGAGCATTATCCTTGTTGCTGTCCTATCACGAGTGATCTTGGAAAGAGAAATGCGTGTCATGCCGGTGAGCCAGGGTATGGTGAGCCGAGACTAGAAAGACTTGCAATACTGGAACGATTGACGCGTTTTCGTTTTAGAGCTTGGTAGTCTTTCTTGAAGGAGGATATGCAGCGTTGTAGTTCCTTGTCTGGGTGTGCGGGCATCTGGATTTCCACGGCCTTGAGACAGATGCGAAGATATTGGAGCTCGTCATCATTTTCGCGCAGCTCTTGCTCACTGCATTGGTTGTTAGAACTGTGTTGTCAATGGTTTTTGTGGGCAGACTTACAGATGAGATATCCGGTTTTGAAGAAAAATGATACGCTGGGCAGCACGCTCGGCACGCTCGATAAGAAGAACTTGGATGTGCTGCAAAACATTGTTAGTAAAGGTACCAAGAGTTGTGAAACAAGAACATACGTCAGACTCCTCTTGACGCGCTTTAAGGTTGGCGACCAGTTGAGACATCTCCTCGTTAAGTTGTGTAACTTCCTGGATGACCTTTTTAGCCTGGGCAACCGTCATGCCCAGGTTTGACGGAGGCTCGGGCTCAGGTTCTGGTTCTGGCTCGGGATCCCTTCTAATTGACGCTCCTAGGTCGGAAAACCTCGTCTTAAAGGCCGAGCCTGGGGTGCCGAAGATGGAATCACCAGGACTGTACATGTCCAAGCTTAATGGTCGTCGGGGAGTTGGCCGGGGGCGTGGGGAGGGCGTTGATGGCATGGAAAATGAGACACTCTTCTTAAGCAGCTTCGTGCCCTCTAATTGATCCAGCTGCGCGGTGAGAATGTCGACGCCGCTGTCGTCGAGAAGGTCTTCTTCACCAGATGTGAGCTCGTGCGCGAGCTGACTCAGCCTCTGCGCCAAAATGTCGCGACTATTCCGATTGCTTCGACGAACAGACGGAGATGTGTTGTTGCTCGTGTCGTGAAGAGAGGATACCCTCGAGTGTCCGGAAATGTCTCTCTTGTGAGGACTCACCCGCCCTGTGGAGAAGCCGAGACTTGAAGCCACACTTGGGCTGGAGAGTAATGAAGGCGTCCTCAGGCCTGGAATGTCATGGTCTTGGGCCGAGTCATGGTCATGGTCGTCGTGATATCGATCTCGAAATTCATTGCGATAACCGTTGCTGATATTGCTGAGGTTACCGTATGAGAAGTAATTGGTGGCTGATGTCGTGGAGGCGGGTGTGGATGACGAGTTTGAGAGCGGTTGCTTGCGATTTGGCGTCGCGAAGATGAACTGTTGATCTGAGACTGCAGACACGTCCTCGGCCTCGACAGCAGCAAGGACAGCGGCTGGATCCTCGTCGATGGCAGTGAGATCCATGCTTGTTGTTGATGGTAGTATTTTGATGTTTATGATATGGGGTCTTGGGTTCCGTATTCGTTTTGCGTCTGCGCAACGCAAGCTTAAGCACCTCGGGACGTTTAAAAAAGCTCCAACCTTCCCGTTCCCGTCCTTCTGCGAGCACTTTGCCTTTTGAGAGCCTCACCCACCTAAAGGAGAGGAACCGACGTGTTCAAGAGTGGAGCAGAAATGAGATCCCAGCTTCACCGACTCGAGTCCCCTGGGAAAGAAGCGAGAGGCTGGACACGCCCACCAACCAGCTCAGTAAGAAAAAATTAAAAGGGCCCCGCGTGGGCCGCAGTGCAGGGAGGAGAGCGCCAGCAAGCCTGGCCCTGACCTGGCCCTGACCTGGCCCTGGCAGGCCTGGGCTTCTAGAAAGGGGGGAATCGCCAGGTTAAGTTCGATAAACGAGTCGAGAAATTGCGACAATAAGAGGAGAAAATCGTCGATAAGATTGCCAGCTACAAAAGAAGCTTCAGATTGTCTTGTTGACGCGACGCCGTTTCTTTGGGCTTTGGCCGAGTAAGGTAGCATATTACCCTTTTTTAGTCGATGGAGCGGGGAATTGTGGCCGTGACAGGACGGGAGATCAGAGATGGAAGCTGACCCCATATTTACTCTGGAACCAATCAGATTATATCGAAATCAAGATACGTCATCTTTTTCACGTGTTGGCATTTCACCAGAGGACAGACAGCTCAGGTTTAGTTTAGACGCCCAACTTTTTGGGTTCATGATTGAGTTGTCGTTTGCCGGTTAACTTACTGGTCGGGTCTCAAACCAAACCGAGGCGCCGCTGACTTGTCTTGTATTGCCGGGCATTAATCTTGTCTTTGTCTCTCGCTTCAAGGGCCAGGAAATTAACATTCATGTACATCACGTGATGGAATAATGCCTTGCCTGTCTCACCAACCACGTCGTACATGAGGAAGTGCATGTGCATGAACTCTAACAAACCTACGATATAATAAAAGAACCGCTGGTTTGACGATATCTAAACGATATAACTAGCATCTACACAACCCTCTAGTGGTCATGTATTCCCTGTCCTCGGTGGCGTGCCTGTGCTGAGGTGTGGGGTAAGATAGTTAGACGGTAAACGGTTGAGGGTGATCTCCCCAGACCAAGTTGGGCTCAAAGTCTGGGGAACCTGTTGCTTATTGCAGACGAACTTGACCGAGATCAGAAGGAAAATACAACAAATCGAGATTCGACCAGAGAACCTGTTTCCTTGCACCAAGTAAGGGCTATGTGATGCAACAAATGCTCTCGTGATTGAAGTCGAAGCGGTGTCAGATCAGATTGACGTATAGCATAACATATCGCAACCGCAGTATGCGACACCTCTTGAATATTTCTCGTCGGGCTGTAAAGGCTGAAGACACTCCATCTGAATCATGACCCTTGCCTTGTGAACAGAGCTTCTGGCACATCGACAGCAATCAATATTCACCATCTGTAACATCGAGGTATAGGGTGAGGTTTCTCGCCTCGAATCTTTGCAAAAACATAGCCGCATGCTTGGCATTTGCATTTTCCGTACCAAATTGTAATTCTGGTCTGTTCCATCATCAATGCGAGCTGATCTCCATGGTCTGACCTGGCCCGGACCTTTCCCCGAGCTGACATATGCGTACCCCGACATTGGAGCTCGGAGACCGGCGGCGATGAGGGGAACTATCAACAACAGAGCCTCTTAGTTAGAAAAAGATATTGGCTAAGAAAAGCCATGATTCAACTTCAATAGCAGATATTTTTCCTCTTGGTGATTTCCCGTAGGCCCGTAGTCTCGTCCCTCAGAAAATCGATTCAATGCTCCGTGTCTCCGTGATGCATCGTTCTCCATCATGTGCTTGTACCTACGGATACCTACTACAGGTACCTAGAGTGCTCGATAGCAGCAGTTGGGCGGTACTTCCTCCACTAGAATGACGTTTTTATCTGTAGCGAGTGCCCGCGGGAAGCATCATTAGGTGCTCATCAACCTCCCCGAGCACTTCCGCGCCTTTCCTTTAACTCTGGGCCGTCTTCTCACCTGTTCTCTTCCGACTTGTTCCATCCTCCAAGTGCGCGTCTCCTTTTGGTTTCCGTCTCCTGTATCACGCGACACTGTAGTAGCCATTTTATTCTCCGTTGCTAATAAAGTACGAACGAGCACAAGACACAGGACAAAAGTCGCTGGCCGAACAGATACGTACCGCTGGAACTGCCTCGGCTTCTCCCGCTATTCGCACGCCTCTTTTCATCTCCATTCGCGGGGCCGCCATCATTGATACTCTCTTCCTCTCTCCAAATCCTCAAACTCGCCTGATCCTATCTCTTTTTCTCTCCCAACGCCAATTCTCCCGGACGACACAGTCGCACGACTCCTCTCGTCTTTGGCTATTCAATGACGACGCCGTGAGCTTATCCACCGCCTTGAACCCTCTCGGACGTCCTCCCGCAGCGGGATCCCGGTCTCTCACTCCGTCCGCCCGAGCCTGCCTCCGAGTCCGATTTCTTTCCCTCTACAACATCGTCACGCTCGATTCTCTCCTCTTTTTTGCTCTCTGATCCGACCCACATCTGCCCGTCATGTCGTGGAGAGCTTCAGAGCGTCTGATGGACACGATCCGTCATTATGCTCGCTTTCCCGCCACTGGTGTCAGCTTGCGCCAGATGGTTCAGTTTGGCGAGAAACCTTCAGTCGGTATGTTTATAGCTGTCTCGGTGTCCATTGAAGACGGTTACTGACTGCGGTTGCTTTAAGGAACCCTATTCCGAGCTTCTCAATTCTTAGCCGAGGAGCTTCCTATACGTCTAGCTCATCGCGTGCAAGAGTTGGACGAGCTTCCAGATGGCCTCAATGAGATGCCATCCGTCATTAAGGTCAAGGACTGGTATGCTCAATCGTTCGAGGTATGCATCACTCAACCTGCTTTCTGAGTACCGCAGTGCTAACTTGGCCGCTAGGAAATCACACAACTACCTCGGCCAAAGCTACCCTCGGATGTACGCAGTCGTCTCATGAAACCCAGCAAAGCTCTCGGTCGCAACGCTTTCCGCCTACCTGCAGCAACCCCAAATCCTTCCATTGACGAGGGCGAGTCCGACGGCTGGGGCGGTCTTCAAAACGGCAATGGCAAGAACAAGAGCCTTACGCGCCGGTACTTTGCTGTTGTCGACGACACAAGCGACTGGCCCCCCGATCTTCACCTCTACAACCAACGCTTTGCTCAGACTCTGCACCACATCAAGCGCCGTCACGATGGCGTCGTTACCACGATGGCGCAAGGCATTCTCGAGTACAAGCGTCGCCGCCAGCGCATGCAAATCGACAGCACCATCCAATCCTTCCTCGACCGTTTCTACATGTCCCGCATCGGTATCCGTATGCTCATCGGCCAGCACATTGCATTAACAGACCAGAGCCATCATCGCGACCCCACCTATGTCGGTATCATCTGCACAAAGACCAACGTCCAGGATCTCGCCCAGGAAGCCATTGAGAATGCTCGTTTCGTCTGTGAGGATCACTACGGCCTCTTCGAAGCTCCTAAGGTCCAGCTCGTCTGCAACCCCAACCTGAACTTCATGTACGTCCCCGGCCATTTATCGCACATGCTCTTTGAGACCCTCAAGAACTCGCTGCGAGCCGTTGTCGAAACCCACGGTATGGAGAAGCAGGCTTTCCCTGTTACTAAGGTCATTGTGGCCGAGGGAAAGGAAGATATTACCATCAAGATCTCGGATGAGGGTGGCGGTATTCCTCGAAGCGCAATTCCTCTGGTTTGGACCTATATGTACACCACTGTCGACCGCACACCGAGCTTAGATCCCGATTTTGACAAGAGCGATTTCAAGGCCCCGATGGCTGGCTTCGGATATGGATTGCCTATCTCACGTTTATATGCGCGATACTTTGGTGGTGACCTAAAACTCATCAGCATGGAAGGGTAAGTTTGCTACATTAACATCTCAAAAACCTTCTGCGTTGCCCCCATGGTTCTTCTATCACGAACAAATCGTCAACTAACGCTTCTATCAACGCAGATACGGCACCGATGTCTACCTCCATCTGAACCGTCTATCATCCTCCTCCGAACCTCTGCAATAGCAATTACCAGGCGCCGGCGCACAGAACCTTCAGGTCCCGCCGTGGGTTCTCCGCAAAAGACTACAAGGCCGAAACCGAGAAGTGTCGGAACGGAAACAGGTGGGCGACGCCGAAGCGGTGGTCAACGCGCCTCCACGAAGCAACTATACCAGTCCACAGGAAGTCTAATGGTTTTATTTTTTCTTTCAAGAAGGGAATCATCGTCGCCCGCGGCAGAACCGTGCGCCGGAGCAAAGCACAGACAAAAATATATCGTGATACTACTATATCATCGACTACTACAAGAAACGACACGATTAAGAGGAGGACAAGGAGGAGGGTTATCAAGAACAACAAGATGCCGACGATACCAAGGATGTGCCCACAACTATATCACGCCAGGAGAAACGCACAGCTTACTTGGATATTCGAAGGAGGGGGGAAGAGATTACTTGATTCAAGGAACAAAGGTCCCCACACACAATCCGAAGGAACGATCTGCACGTACGCCAGTCTAAGAGCCAAAGTCGAGAATCTCTATAGCATAACGAAGCGTGCCGTTGCGCGCATGTTTGGACGGTGAAGGCACGATCTGGTTATCTCTATATTTGAGGTCAAATTTCCTCACAAATGTCATGTCAGGGGGGAAAGCAGAACGCTGCTTGATTAGTGATTGGGGGTTATTGTATAATGCATTGGATAAGATGGAATGCAAGACTAGTTGGCAAACAGATGGATGAGGACGACTGATATCGGGTGGCTGTCCTACTGACATAGCATATGAGCATGTATATGGAACAAAAATACTTCTACAGGAGTCTTGGTCATGGGTAGGAAATATCATTGCACATTGTTCTTCTGGTTGTCTTCTGTGTGGATGGTTGCAATCTCAAGTCCGAGAGGCATAGATACATCCCATCCATCAACTCGAAATACCAGGTGATCTCGCACATCACAATCCTTGCACGGCAGCACTTGAACCCTCGGGGTCTACGAGTGAGAAAATCATAAAATCAATTCCGCTAACTTTTCTGTCTGATATGACGGCTTAATGTCCGCTCATCTTGCGACTCACAGCCCTGCCCATTTTCATCGTGCCTTTCTGTCGTCAAAATGCCCTACTTGGGTGTTGAGGGGTGAGGGGGGACGAAAGCAACCGGTTTCTCCTATTCCCGGGTGGCTGCAAGCAGCAATACCAAAAGAGAGAAAACAAGGCAGGCCAGTCGAGGGCCTCCACGAGAACCGAATAACCATGCACTTGATATTCGGCAAGCTCCAACCGAAGCTTCTTACAAGATATTCTTACGTCGACGCTGGCGGTCGTCATCAGGATCGAACTTTTGTCGTTCATCACCCAGTCGCTCCCGCTCTCTGAGCTCTGCCTGAGAGATACGAAGCTAAATTCTGGGTCAGACAACAGGCTAGCATCAGTTCTTGGGATACTTACTTCACTTGATTTAGGCCATTTGCCGCCCTTCCGGACCTGCGGTTCCGGTGCAGGAGGAATGTCGTCCCAGTCACCAACGATGTTGGAGCCAGTCTCAGTTTCTCCAATGGCGTTGGAGTCACTCTGGTTCTCGCCAGTTGCTGATTCTGTAGTGGTTGAGCTGGACATGACTGTGGGATTCTTGATGGCTCGGTGTTTCTGTCCGTCGTTGCCCCAGGCATTGAAGGTTATCTGCCGAGTAGTGGTAATTTCCTCCTTCTCATTGCGCAATGTCGTTGCCGTCGAAATGCTTCCAGTGATGCTTCCACCGGACTCCTGCAGTGGCTTCTTCTTATTTGCGAGGTGAGGTGGCAACTTGTTGGTGGTGCTGCCAACATTTTTCGGCTGTACCTCGTTGGACTTGGCGGAAACAGATTGATCATCAACAGATAACGCTTCCAGGTTAGGCAGAAGGCCTTTCAGGTGAGGGGGTACACGGCTAGAAGTTGTTGACATGTGCTCTCCGGCAGTACTAGAGGTTTCCGATGCTGTCGGCATGGCTGTGGAGGTTCGGGTCGATCGGGAAGAGTTGCCCACGACTTGGGTAAAGATTCTGTTGACGGACTCGCTTGCAGGCAGATCAAGCCCCTCAGGTCCAGTGATAGGTGCCTATGCTACGTCAGAGATTATTACTTGATAGCTGTAATTTCGTATCTTACCATGGGGAGGTCTTCTTTCTCGAAAAAGTCAGCCGTGTCGATGGGCTCCCTCCACCTGATTTTGATATTTTCCTCCACGGAGACATGCCCTGTAGCCAGAGGAATGGGCGTAACACCAGGCTCGGCATCGGTGTCCCATGCTGTGCATTGAATGCAGCGCTGCATACTGTGAGTAGACAAATTTAATTATTGGATCAAAAATATAAACATACAGGTTCATCATCGTTGCGCGAGTTATAGGAGAACTTGTGAATAGGGAGTGTTCGTAAGCAGACATGGCAATAGCGCTCCAAACCAGCAGGCTGAGAGTGTTCCTTGCAGATCATTCCAGAGTTCTGACGGTTGTTTGACTTAGCACGACGCTGCTGGCTGGCAGTGTAGGCTGCCAGAGGCTTCATTTCGCCGCCTGCTGCGCAACGATACATGGCGACGGTTGAGTGATGTTGAAAGGGGATAGAAGAACGTAACAAAGAATAGACGAAAGAAGAAAGAAGAAAGCAATTGGAGGGATGTGAAAGGGAGGATTGAATGATCCGGAGCGAAGTGTTGATGTTGGATCAGAGTTGCGAGGAAGGAGTGCTTGTGTGCAGTTAGGGGCTGGGTAGGTATTTGTAGGTTTCAAATCCAGCAGACAATGATTCACTGCCCGTGAGCAAGCAGCTGCGTTCTCAAGGAGGCTTTGTTTTCTCTTGCTGCCTTATTTACTGCATAATATCAACGCAAACGCTTCCAAACACCACAATATTACTCGCTGACGGGACACTGCTTGCTATCTGCATCCATCCCCCAGGGGCACACCGCGTCATTAAATGATTGTACTGAAATCTTTATATGTTTACCAAAACCATAATGATATTATGATGGTGTCTCTGAGCTGAGGGGGGCATGTAGTCTAAAGGAGTATGTTCTATTCAGTTAGCTGTTGCCCCACGTCGAAGTTACCAAGACTGCTAGATATACCAATAGAAACACGTGAACCGGTTGTTTTGTATTGAATATCATGTATAGTATAGTGAGATTTAATACTCAGGTAGCTCTATTGACTATGGCTCTTGCTTGTTTGTTATCTGTTAGTAGTTTCCATGCGACTTCCCGTGACTATCTGCCCCTGAATATGCCATTCTCCGAGACGAGTATTGAATGATAACCTTGAGGCTTTTTTCTCTAGGCGTTATGTGCCTACAATAAGAAGACGGACATAAAGACCTCGTTTACAAAGGAACGAATTGTTACCAAGCATAGCCTATATTGATACAAGTACAGATGTAGTATATGAGGCTCAACACTAGCACGCCCATATGATGTTCACCATCCACATGCACTACCCATACAATAATCAGTCATCAACTGTGCCCCAGAAAACTCTTACCCATGCATGCCAGTTGTTTATTCAGGTTTCTCCTTACTGAGGCACAGACTGTGCTAATGAAAAACCCCGACTGCCTCCGACATTTTCACCGCCAACTACCCTACAGAGAAGCGAATGAAGCCTTCACCGCTTGAGTGGAACCACAACATGGCGTTGAACTAGCCCTTGTCTAAACCCCAGACGATCGATCAGCTGGCATCTTCATCAACTCGACGATCCGAGTCTACCTTGATCGTTATATGGCTTTGCGCTGGTGTGGATTTCTTGATATCTCGATGGATGGATCTGTCAAGCTCGATGGGTGTAACGCGCTTGTTGAACGGCTGTCTCTCATCTCGGGATCCGAGCGCACTCGTAATAGCTGCAGGGCTGCGAGACACTGCATGAAGAGTGCAGTATCTCACAGACCGCATGGCAAGACAATCCTGCATCTACCCTGCGCCTCGTAAGAAACTGTTGGTCTTCATCGCGCGACTGGACGAGCAAAGTCTGCAAGTGACCGCCGGAGCCGACAAACATGCATCAACTTTCCAACCAGGCCGGGGTAATGCCATGTTGCTGCAGTGATTGCGATGCAGACGTGTCAAGCTACTGAGGTATTCAACGACGATTCGCTGATAATGGGCTACCTACGGTAAAACGACGTATCCATCAACAGCTTGAGCTTAGCGAACAGGCCATCGAATCTAGAAAACCTCACCCACGATCAAACCATCAACGACGGGCGTGTCATTTACAGAAGGGTCACGATGAGGTTCAGAACACCCTTTACCAATGCAGTTTGATACCCTCCAAATCAGGCCAGCCCTTTTGTGAGCCGATACTCAATTTGGCTACAAGATCTGGGGTAGGCAACCTTTTGACTCACGCTTCTGCAAGCCGCAACATCTGGCTGAAGCTAAAGGTCCAAAACGGCGTGACAAGCTCACTTTCTGGTGAAAACTAAATTCTGCGGTTGCGCTACGAAGTAAAACCGATGACAACAGACCTCCGAAGTAGGCCGCCGATCTGGAGTTGATCCGTCCGTTGGGTACAACTGGTCCCTGAATCCGTGCTCCACGATAAGCTGCACATCTCTCCACCAGAGCTTCGGTTGCGATGAGCATTACTGGGTCATCCTCGGGAGGAAACAAAACACCGGATATGAAACCTCTTATATGTTGGACTTTCTGCCCAGAGTTTTTATAATAATTTTATATAAAGAATATAAAAATAATTAGATTTTAGAACAAGCTTTATTAATAGTTATAGTATATTATATTAAAAAAAACCCCCCAATTTAATGTTAGTATACCTAGTTAAGATATCTCATGGCAGAGTCGTTGCCGGTGTTTTATTCCTCCCCCTAGGTCATGTACATGATGCGACGTTTGTCAACAAAATAGATCGACACATCGCGCTTTCGCGTCCAATGGTCGTGTCGGGGTAACAGCATTGATCAACGACTTCACCAGAGCGATGCCGCTGTGACGGGTGACCAAAGTGGGCGAAGATCGGCTATCATAGCTCTTGGGATACACTACTTTGGACTTGGAGATGGGCAGACATCGCCACATGGGCACGATGCCACGCAAAGGGAAAAAAAAAGCCTGCCTCCAACCCGGCCAATACGGAAGTGCCAGCTCAGTTCCCGGTTGGCGGATCATCAAGAGTAAGGCTCAGTGATGGACCCTCAAAGCGAGCGGAATACGTCGAAACGAACCCAACAATGCGGTGACGAGGCATGGGTCCAAAGGCTGGACTTTGAGACCGGCGCACATCCTGAGCATTGCTCAAGGATCACGGACACAAGCCCATGAAAGCCCCCTTTCCAACAGCGGAACTGTGAAAGAAAAATTGGCGGAAAATTGGGAACATGTCATGAGCATCTAGAGCATGGCATACATGTTGATCAGAGAACTTAGTATGATCAGTGGTTCCTAGATCCTCGGACAATTCTCAGTTCACTCGACTGTTGACGGTGCGGTTGGATGGAACGCTAAAGACTAGAGACAAAGCCAACGGGCACGAGGCTCCTGTGGAGCACGGGGCGTCCCATCGGGAAGAACCCTTTGGCGGCTGGACTCCACAAATGTCAACTGAAGAAAAAGTTAGCTTAGGTGAGTTTGATCCCAAGGCTGGCTAGGCTTTTCTAGGCGAGGTGGCAGGGAAACAGTCGAAAGTGAGGCATTGCGGCCAGACTATACAAGATACAAGGGCTGGGGAATACAGATAATGTTGTGGCGCAGACTCGATCGCCATCTTGCTACGTAGGGCAGCAATCTCATAGTCTCACTACAGAGAAGAGATGGTTTCTGTAGAATATGACGGAGATGATGTGAGCCGAGCCACTGAAACAGGTACTGTACGGAGCTACACTCTTCCAACAGTTGACAGTCTGTCAAAAAGGTACAATGACGACAACGTTGGAGCTAAACCAAGGTATTCGATGCACACTCTTTCCAGACGCGGCACGGCACGTTCAGGTACAGTCCGAGGACGAAGCTACACGGCAACTCGTTGGACGATCAATCCTCGCCGGAGACCATGCCCAACAATAGACATAGCTTTTCCGCTTGGAAGAAAAGATTTCCCATTGACCCAGACTTCCCAGCCTCCATCTGTGCGTGCCGCGTTTCGGCGCCTAGGGCCCATCATGCAGGCCATTGCCGCAGCAGCAGGTCGTCCACAGGGTCCTATTCTGAGTAGGTACGGAGTATGACAAGAATAATCCCTTCAGCCACTATTATCCCAGGACCCTCAAAGAGCGGCTGGGACAGGGTGAACGGGCCTGGCAGAGATCTTAGGCGTGGGCTTACTCGCATCATCTACCCATATGTGTATCTGGTCGCTCAGTGACAGACGTGTCGCGCAGGGAACTCCTGGGCATAGCTTTTGGGCCGTAACAGCACGCAAGTAGCCACGAAGCGACGCGCGAGCTCGAGCTTTTGTGAGGGTTTGACCAGGTTGGAAATGCAGGGACAATTGCATCAGAGTTCACCCCGCCTGCCTGCGAGACACCACGACCTCTCTACGGTTATCTGTCTGCCTGGCCACCGTGAGCGGCTGCATGATGTGAGGCTCGGTGACAGACGCACGAATGAGTGCGCGGCGGCTCTTGAAGACCTGAAGCGTTTAACGCCGCGATTGATCGAGAGACAACTTCAAGGGAGGCATCCAATCTATCACGGCGTGAGATAACAATAATTTCACAGAGTAACGAGAGGGGAAGGAGGGGAAGTCAATGAGCATGGCAATCACCACCAATGCAGTGCGCGCTGCGAGATGGATCGACGCCTAGGTCGTCGTCCACTCCGCTGGGCCAGGACAACCTTTCCTTCGAGAAGCTCTGGAGACTTTTCCCGACACCGGCCAGCCCGGGAATACTACCATACGGTATCATCGTGGACAAGCTCGCCTCTGTTTGGTACAGGCAATCTCCGTTCCCCGGGCGTGTGTCCTTTGCATTGGGTCGATCCTGCGACATCGTCGTGACAGGCGAGTTCAGGATCGGGAAACGTGCTCCGAGTGGAAGAATAGGTAGCGATGATGGACAACAGGTGCTGTGTACGTAGCTTGCTCACGAGCCCAGCCCAAGGGTTTCAAACAATGGAGCACGCACTGCAGTACCTGAACGTTTGGTACCTGCAGCAGCCCTCTGGAAAGTACCGAGTGCGCTAGGTCGCACGCCCACAATTAGGCATGAAATGAGCCCGTACAGTGCCTGGCAGGCCGATGTTTGGTAATTAACGAGCAGTGTGAAATTGAGCCGGGCCCTGTCGAGTCCACGGTCCGGCGGCTGGCCCTGGCAGCGGCCCCACACCCCGGACGTTGGCGCGAGGACTTGGAGTCTGGGATTTTGGGACCACTGGGAAGATTAGAACTTGGCGCTCTCAGAAAAGCAGCGCCCATGGGTCGTATCTTTTTTTGCCTGTGAAGGAAGTTGAGATCAATTTCGCATGGGTGAAGGAAAGAAAAAAGACCCCAGGTCTTCTCAGACCCTTGATGGAACAATCTAGTGCATTCGCCAGACGTTGAGTCTTATGCCCAACAAAGACAAGGGATTACTCCCCTGTTTGATGATGCTGTTAATGATGTTGATGATGATAATGTTGACTGATATGTGGCAGCTTCCACATGACGTTGCGTCGATAAACAAACCTGCTTGCACGTTCATCGAGCACGATGACACCATGTGTACCGATCATGCTGTGTGTGTGAACAAGTTTGACTTCACAGGAACCACTTTAAGGCTCATGATCGACTTGTGAAAGCTGGGACAGTGCCTGCGTCCCTTCAGCTCAACGGCTAAAAAATTGTGTGGCGTTCTGGGCATCTTTAAGCAATTATGCGTTGCATAAATCGGACTACCAGCCGGCTCGCACACGTGTGGAACAAGGGTCCACGCGTTTCGGAAAACGCTGGCTCTTCTCTCTTCAATTTGCATTGCACGTTGCTTGCTTTTATGTCACAGCTTTGCAAAGCCGTAATGGTCAATGGTTGCAAGCACGTTCAAGCAGATTCCAGCGTGTTTCGTGATGTCAATGGCGACAATGCCCCTCGTTGATATCCCCCTCCTCTCCCCCCCCCCTTTTCTTCTTATTCGAGGTCCCTGGGGCATAATTCCAGGGCACGTCCCGAGAGAAGAAAAAAAAAGCGTCAAAGCTAGGTAGACTGTTTGATTAATGCCCCCCCCTGGCCGCTGTACGACGGCCTCCACACGTACCGTTAGCCCACGAGGACCATGAAGAGAGACCCCAAGGTCTGAGAGGATGACTGAGGGGCGGGCCCTGAAGCCATTCCATGCGACCCCAAGACAGTGCTAGGACGCGACCAAGGGTTTTGAGTATGGAATTTGACAGAGCGCCACTCGAATGAGCACAGATGTGATTCAGACCACATGAACCTGGGAGATAAGATATGACCTGGGTTTACTCGAAACCCCTCCTCAACAGCGCCATTCTGCTGAACTATTGATTGATACGCGTTCGTACTCGGCAGGTTATCCTTTTTCAAGGTCGCAGCCAGGGTACTATTGTGGCGCGAGGCCACGAAAATCGACCGAGGCTGAGGCGGCAGAGCCAGCGCGTGTAGGGAGTAACGAGTGAGAGAACGCGTCTATGAGAGAGAAGACGCGTTCTGACGTGCCAAATCCAATCTCGCGATTTGCTTGGCTCATCAGAGGTAGGCTTCAGGCTTCACCAATATGTCTGCACGAAAACGCCGCATTGTGATACGAATGCTTCTTCACCCGTAAAATAGTATTGTTTTTTGACACCTTTCAGAATACACAAAAGGCATGAAATGAAAGTGGTGGTCCTGGGAGACAAGACAGATTGAATTGCTCATCTCCCAGAACCCCGCGAGCCTATCAATTGTATTGGATGCTCTAATGCTATGCTTGCTACCTGAGCGGCCACTGCTGGTATTGATGGAACGTTTTGAGTGCCCGTCCTATTTCCTATTCTGCGCCCAAATTACGACAATTTACAACGCGGAGAGCCATGCCCAAAAAGAAATAAAATCAAACATGGGAAAAATAGAGGCGGGACCCGTTGGCGCTTGCGAGATTGGCCTTTTTCTGTTTGGGCACCACTCACTCACTAGGATATTCATCTCTTTTCTCCCCGTAACAACGGAAATCCGACAATTAGCAACTTCTAAAAAAGTACCTCTCGGCAAATGATCTCTTTGGCATGGACCGTCATGACCGGCGTTGGTGTTGGTGCTGGTACTGGGCGCTTTGGGATCTTTCTGGGTTTAAAATCCTAGAGAGCGGGCTTCTAGGGGACCCAGGGGAGTTTCCCCCGGGACCCTAGGCAGGCTAGGCCGTTTCTTTCGTTCCAGGTTTCGTCCCCAATTGTTCTGTCATTCATTCATCCAATACTGAGGTAGCGAGGTTGTGAGAATCGTCCTCATTTTCCATTTATCTGGGACCGCGGCAGACTGACCCTTATTTCCATGAGCCGACGGGCTCAACTTGGAGGACTGATTATTAAAATCTCCCGTGATCTATCTCGACTCATACCATTCGCTGCCTGCCGCTTATGAAGCCGGCCATTCTAGCCCATACCAGCGAACAGCCAGTCCGGTTAGAGTTGAGACGGCCACACGACACCATGAAAGAGGCACCTCTGACCCCTAAGGGTGCTCTTCTGACCCTCCCTAGACACTGTTTGAATGCTCCATTCCCAGAAACCTTGCACACCCTTTGAACTTTGGTGCCGTTGCTCTTGGAACCCGATCTTCATTCTTTGAATATCTGCGACAGTGAAATATCTGACCCAGAGATTGGAGAATTTCTCACTTATCTCGCCTCTTTCTGTCTTTGATACGATCATTTCTTAGGCGAGGAGATCTCTCCCTTTGCCCGTCTCAGTAGAATGCCACTGTTGAAGAACATGCTTATGCTTATTTTGCGACATGAGGCCGTCTTGAACTTGGTACTTTGGCTTCAGGCTTGAGTTCAACTCAAACCGGTGTAGCAGTACATCAAGGCGTCGTGACTCGAACTAAGTTTATAAGGCTTGAGTTAGCAGGTCGTCTCCAGAGCTTCTGAAGGACTCCCGTCTGCTCCCCGCCAGCCCAACCGTTTCCGCTGCCATGGGTGTCCCCTCCCTCCCAAGTATCCTACCTATCCCACTGTGCTGGCCGTTCGATTTCGTGCTGTGAACTCTTTCAGGGCTTTGGGTTTGTAAAGTGCACTGACCGGAGCGCGGGTACGTACCCCCATCTTGGCAAGTTGAGCCTGAACTGAATTGAACTGAACGTGTTGCTGTTGCGCTGGGCTTTCCATTTCTTCGACCGGGGCATCTAAAGTGGGCAGTCCATGGATGTAGCGCAGGGTACAGTGACATGAGCTGAGGCAGTGGTCTGGCTGGATACCTTTCTTCCCAGCCACTTATCTACGGTACGCAAGTTTCTGCAAGGTCCAGTCAGCGAACCCCAAGTAGAGTACTTGGACTAGACCTTGTTTCTTTATCCATCCCAGGCGAGGTCTCCATTGCTTCTTTTTCCATGGCTTCCCTGCACCCTTGACTTTTGGCTGCACTCCACTGGCACCGGCGACGGATACCACGACACGCCCACGTCCTTGTTCATGTCCACGCCCCCCATCTCGTCTCACTTGTCGACACCTCTGGTCCTCTGGTCTCTGGTCTCTGGTTCTCTTTGGGCTTTTCTGGGGTCAACGCCAACTTGCTTCCTCTCCCTGAGGTTTTACCACGTCAGGGCTCACCCCGTTCATTCGACATTGTGCATTGCATCTTGCGGTGCTCACCTGCATTCAATTTGCTCGTGTTTATTATTCTTCCCCGCTCCTGCGAGCTGAATAAACAATAATACCATCTATTGACAATTGCTTGAACAATCAGCGACTGATTCAATATCGCTAGTCATTTATCAAGATCCGTCAATCACATCGCATTAATCACACTGGAACGGGAGCTTCGCTGGGGCCTCTTTTGGGGTAGCAACTGAGCAACTTACCTTACCTGGGCTGGTCGCTAGTGGCCTGAGGATCCTGCGCCCGATCGGCAGGTTCAAGCCACTCCCCCCCTGGCCCTTGGCCCTGGACAAGAGCTTTCCCTCTCCTTTTCGTTAATATCGACCCTATCCACTTCTGCAATCACCCTCACTTTAGTCACTCCTTTTGCTCTTCTGGAACCTGGACCCTCCGCCGAGATCTCATCTCCTTGATTGACGTTTATTCTCATCGTCGTCTTGAATAATTCTAAACACTTACATCCCTCTCTCTCGATCTTTTCCTCCATTGTCCAATCCATACTCGTTGCCTCAAACACCCGCCAACACCCCCTCAGTTTAAGCATTACTACGTCTAGCCAGAGGATATAACATTAGCTGCCAGCCCTATCGCTATACAATTGCACTCGCTGGCACACGCCCACTCGTCCTTCGTTCATCGTCGCTTTTCACCATCACCGTCACCGATCTGAATGCTCCGGTAAACCGATTTCTGGCTCTTTGATAGAGCTCATCGTTGTTTGCTCGGATTAGGTATATTCTCCACGCCGTCGGTCGACATTAGGAACCCGTCGAATAACATTGTACCCCAGCATCCCAACTCGTTCCGTGTGTCACACTGCATCTCGAAACAGAGTCTCTTTACCACAACCCGACAACATGACTGTCCCAAATGATTTGACCCATCGAGGTCCATCCGGCCAACATTACTCCCTCGAGGATCGATTTGAAGTATTGAAGGAAATTGGCGATGGTAGCTTTGGTAGCGTCGTTCTGGGTAGAGTCCGAACCGCTGGTGCCAATGTTGCCCGCCGAGGTACAGTGGTAAGTCGATACAATGTGTGCCCTCTGGTGTGACAGCTCCCGTAACCGTTTCCTAGGTTGCTATCAAGACTATGAAAAAGACATTCGAGTCCATAACGCCATGCCTGGAACTCCGAGAGGTCGTGTTCCTGCGTACGCTACCCCCACATCCTCACCTGGTTCCCGCTCTCGACATCTTCCTGGATCCTTTCACTAAGAAGCTCCATATCGCCATGGAGTACATGGAGGGTAACCTCTACCAGCTGATGAAGGCTCGCGATCACAAGTGTCTCGATAACGCTAGTGTGAAGAGCATCCTCTTCCAGATTATGCAGGGCCTCGAACACATCCACTCTCATCACTTCTTCCATCGCGACATCAAGCCCGAAAACATTCTTGTCACCACTTCCGGCCATAATGACTCTGGCAACACATTTCGACGATACTCAGCTCTCGTTACTCCTCCTTCAACACCACCCACATACACTGTCAAGATTGCCGATTTCGGTCTCGCCCGAGAGACCCACTCCAAGCTTCCCTACACTACCTACGTATCAACAAGATGGTACCGAGCACCCGAAGTTCTCCTACGAGCAGGAGAGTACTCCGCACCCGTTGATATCTGGGCAGTAGGTGCTATGGCAGTCGAGATCGCTACGCTCAAGCCACTGTTCCCTGGTGGAAACGAGGTCGATCAAGTCTGGAGAGTGTGCGAAATCATGGGCAGCCCTGGTAACTGGTTCAACAAGTCGGGCAACCGTGTTGGCGGAGGCGACTGGCGTGATGGCACCAGACTCGCCGGGAAGTTGGGCTTTTCCTTCCCCAAGATGGCTCCTCATGCTATGGACACCATCCTGCAAACACCCCAATGGCCTACTTCACTCAGCCAATTTGTTACTTGGTGCTTGATGTGGGATCCCAAGAACCGACCAACTTCGTCACAGGCTCTTGCCCACGAATACTTTGCTGATGCTGTTGATCCTATGCGACCCAAGTCTTCCGCTTCACGAATCCTCGGACGCAAGCAGTCTGATCTCAGCCGCAGCAGCAAGGAGGCTTCTACCACCCCAACATCGGTCAAGCAATCTTGGTTCCGCAAGTCGCTCATTGGTCGTTCAGAAAGCACCGATCTTGCTACCATGCAAACACAGGTCAAGGAAGCCACTGCTCCTCGACCCGCCCCTGTCCATGCCGCTTCAGCCACTGAGGTGACAAACAGCAAGACACGCCCAGCTGCTGGAAAGAGAACTACCTGGACCAACGGTCCCTCCAACGTGGCACCTATGCCGATACTTCCAACTGCGAGGCCTATCTCACCAATCCCTGATGCTGTAAATGCCCGCGCCGACAACGTCAACAACGACACTTACGCTAATGGACATGGCCAGGGCAAGACCAAGAAACTTGGGCGACAGCTCTCTGTCGCTTCAAGCACAAACAACTACACCGAAATGCATCGGCAACAAGCCGAACGTGCACTCAATGGGAATTCTGGCCTCGCCTCCCCTCCGAGTGGCCAGAAGGAGAGCTTCTTTTCACATCTCCGAAAACGTGCGAGGCGGTTCTCTGGACGACATCAGACCCCCGTCTCACCCTCCTATGACGACGACGACCTGGAGGCCCAGGTTGGATGTGGCCCTTGGGCTAGCAACCGGTCGTCCATGGTTATTGACCAATCGCAACAACAGGCTCCCATTCCTAAATCCGAGGTCTACGAATCTCTGGACAAGGCCCTCCGAGATGTTCAGAACAACCTTGATTCGCGACCTCCCGTTCCGCCCGCTCACCAGATCTCGCCTACCAGTACCCTCAAGCGACATCACTCGCTACCTCAACATCAAGCCCGGTCAGTAGACAACTTGATTGGCGCAGCTCGGGGTGGTCCAATTTCTAGCCGAACCCGACGAGCTCAAGCAACCCATGGCGTGCATCAGTACGAGGCTCCTGATGAGGAGGAAGAGCTCATGGACGAGGTTATGACCTCAACACAACGAGTTGTGAAGCGTATGGAGCAGAACGCTGGCAAGCCTCTCCGACAATCTGCCAGCAACATCGGGTTGATGAACCCATATCCTACGCCCTCGCCTTCAGCCAACGGTAATCAGGTCCTATTTGTTGATGGCCAGGCTGTCACTCCTAAGCCCCTCGACCTCAACAAGAAGACCGATAACCAATACAAGTGGCCCACGCCGCCTTACGAGGAGAGTGAATGGGCGGCATCAGCAGCAGCCAGCATATGGGCAGCTGGTAGCCGTTTCTAAGTGTCGAGACCTGGGTACAAACCGTTACGATTACGTCTAGTGGCGTGGTAAAAGTTATTGATATCGACTCTGCATGGTCATGGTGTTCGGGTGTTTGGGTTGAAACATACAACCCTCTTTTTGATATTTCGTCATTGGTGCAACATGGGTGGTCCTTTTGATTTTTTGGGCATATGGCTTGACTATACATACTTTATTTGCTCTTCGATTCAGCACTCTCGACATTTCACCAAATACCCGGCCGGAATTTCATGCCGCCTTCTGCACATTACCATTATTATTACCTCTTCGCAATCTGTCCCTTTTTGAAACCGCTTGTTCTTATTCATTTTCTACCTTGAGTATCAAATACCCCTATAGATCACAGGCGAGCGCAGCCGCAGCAATCTGCTTGAAGCAATACCACATACCACTCAATCAATTTCTTTTCTTTGTCTCACTATATAAGAAGGGTGGAACGGACGGAGTCTGAGGTGCTTTGGGCTGAATATGACAGGCCATTTTCTTTGTCATATTGGCATATCATTCCTTGTTGAATGCTGAAAAAGGATCAAACAGGACTCTTGAGAGATGGACAGGGCCAAGGCCGTTGTTTCGTCATTGAAGGATGTAAAAAAGTCAGGGGCATTGCGATCTTGTCGACCAAATAGATGGGTGTTTTCACGGGCCGGGATGTCAAGTACATCAGTTCGCGACTTTACGATGAGATTATAATTGTTTTCACGCCCCTGCAGCAGGAGAAGGAATGCCTTGTTATTAGGAGGGGGACCTTCGAGTTAATAAAAAATGACAAAACAATTACTGTTTCACTATGCCGCTCCATGCAATACTTAACTTAACTTGCCTAGTGATCGACTTGAGGGAATTAAGGCCAGGCAGACTACCTGAAGAATGTGGGAATCGCGTCAAATTGACTGAGTCCTCGAGAAGGTTTCTGCCTCCCTCGGGATGAAGTCAGAATAATGAGGTAGCATTTGTAACAAGCGGGGAGGCAGCCATATTGATGAGACTTGCTACGTAGTATGAACTAGAGACGGGAGGGAGATGAGGTGGCTTACATCGAATGTGCAGGTTAATGTCTGCATAATACCAGTTGAGAATAAGCCTAGAAAGAAGCAAGTATCTTAAGAGTTTGTGATATTGTTTTATGTTGTATGAACTGACTATACCGTTAAGGTGTCATTGTATTTCATCCAATTGCCGTTGGCCTAATGAGATAGAAGGCATTGAATTACCGGAGATTGCAATGTACAAGAGAAGAGACTCGTCTGATTGAATTGATTCAAAAAAGCAAACATCTTCAATAACGGTTTGATATACGTACAAAGCCAACCATCAAGCATCGACTCCACGGTCACGTGTACAGCGGCTAAAGGAACATCACGACGCTTACCTTAGGCAGCACTCAGCTGTCCTGGTAAGCCAAGCCAAGAACTGACGAGCAACAGTGGCTATTACGAAACTGTGGACGATCTCTTTATCTTCTTAAAACGTGCCAAAATCTCTCGATATCTTATGCGACCTACTTGGTTTTGGTTTTTTGACGAGAAGGCGTAACGATTGACGTTTCACACCGAGCGACGAGCTAAGCCTACTGATTCATTGTGAGACGCCGGCAATCTTTCAGTGAAAGATCTTGAGACGATTTATTGTGCGACTTCATCTGAACCTCTCTCGAAAACTCATTATAAAATTGATCGATCAGTCTCTTTATTCACAGCGTTGGGATCGTTATCTTTCAATTTCCCTCGACATCTTACGTGGGGGAGGGATAAATCGGTGTTGGACGCAGGACTCGTGAGAATCGACTTAATTTATGGATGAGTATCTTTACCGAAGAACAAGGACAATCATTATTACCAATCACTCATCATGAGCCTCAATCTGCCAATTCGGCCCAGCACCAGCAGCCAGCGCAATCGGGAGAGTCGAAACAATTACTTCAACAGCTATACCCCGCCAAGTTCGACAGAGGCTATTAATGGTCCTGTTAGGGAATTGGTAAGGGAGCAGACGCCTCTTAACGATCGATTGATTGTGGGAGTTGATTTTGGAACTACATTTTCGGGGTGAGTTACAACCCTCAAAACTTATGATGCAAAACTAATACTCACAGTGTTGCTGCCGTCTACACATCCACCCCTGATGACATAGAAATCATCAAGACGTGGCCTGGTGGTAATGGCATCACCTCAGATAAGGTTCCTACTGAGATAGCATACAATTACCCCCCCAATGCACCTCAAGGCACTGAGCCTACAGTGAAATGGGGCTTCCAGTTCAAGCCCGAGGAGTCACGTCTGCGCTGTATCAAGCTCTTCCTCGACCGTTCGCAGAAGCTGCCTTTCTATGTCAGTCCTCTGGACACCGCTGCGCAGCTTAAAAAGTTCAACAAGAATGTCGTGGACGCTGTAAGCGACTATCTAACTCAAATTTATAAACACACCATGGATACACTCACCCGCCGTTATGGCGAGTCGTTTATGGCGTCGACAAAGGTCGAGTTTGTACTGACGTGCCCGGCTGTTTGGAGTGATGCGGCTAAGAATACGACGCTGCAGGCTGCGGAGAGGGCTGGCATGGGGTCAAGATCCGAGATTCAGATGATTAGTGAGCCTGAAGCTGCGGCTGTGTATACTCTTAAGGCGATTCAGCCGAATCATCTGAATGTGGGTGACAATTTTATCGTCTGTGATGCTGGAGGCGGTACCGTTGAGTGAGTTGAGCATATCCCCTGAAGCTTTCCCAACACTGACAAATGGCAGTTTGATTGCATATAAGATTATTTCTCTCAAGCCGCTCCGCGTTGAGGAGTCTGCAGTTGGAACAGGAGGTTTGTGCGGAAGTGCCTTTTTGAACTACCGTTTCGAAGAACATGTCAGAGGTCGCCTTGGCCAGACTCGCTTCGATGAGATGAAGACCAAGAAGGGCAAGACGTGGCAAATGGGTCTTCGATACTTTGAGGAGTTTGTGAAGCGTAACTTTAACGAGGATGAACATATGGAAGTCAACGTTCCGTACGTACACCAAACCGTCTTAATCGCAATCTTGCTAACTTCTCTAGATTTCCTGGTCTTCCCGATGATGAAGAAGCTGGGCTGGACTCGGGCTTTCTGGTCATGTCGGCGGAGCAAGTTAAGGATATCTTTGAGCCTGTAGTGAAGGAAGTATGTGACCTCGTCCAAGGCCAAGTCACAGGCCTTCGATCTAAAGGTGGTATCGTCTCTGGTATCGTCCTGGTAGGAGGTTTTGGCCAGAGCGATTATCTATACCGGCGGCTCAAGTCTCACTTTACAAGTGCTGCCCCTCCACCATACAGCGAACGGCCTACTCATGCCAATGCCAATTCTACAGAGGAGGCGGGGTCCATAGAGGTTATGCAGCCAGTCTATGCTTGGACAGCAGTTGTGCGAGGTGCTGTCCTGCGGGGGCTGGAGGGTAACATGGTCATCTCTCGAAAGTCGAGAATGCACTACGGAACTTCATATGCTACTGTGTATGACGAGGATAAGCATTCAGTCAGCGAGCGGTACTGGTCTCCTCTGTGGGAGCGCTGGATGGTATCAGATCGGATGCAATGGCACATCGCCAAGGTACGTCTCCCCCTTCAACACCCTTACATATACTGACAGATCCTAGGGCGAGGCGCTATCACCACTAGCTCCCATCGCATTCCACTACACACGTAACTTCCGCCCTGGCCAATCGCTCATAGTCACCGACGACTTGATAGCGTGCGATGCCGACGAGCCACCTGTCGCATACACGCGCGACCTGATCCACGTGTGTACTCTCACAACGGACCTCAATGCTGTCCCAAGGAGTCTATTCACACGCTTGACGACGACCAGGGGTGTTGAGTTTGATAATCTTGACTTCACGCTCGAGATGAGAGTTGAGAGCGCGGGATTGGGCTTTGAGTTGAAGGTTGACGGGGTGCGGTATGGACGGGTTGAAGCGGAGTTTCACTAGGGCTTGGGTAAGAGGTAGTTACGTATCGGCAAAATATTGGTTCAGAAAATAGGTGCATATATTGGCTGAGCTGAGCTTGGTTTTGTTTGTCTTGATCTTTATTTCGGTGTTGGTTGTATTAGAACAATTCTATCGTTTCAACTTGTCTATTTAGACAATCATGATTATCCCACCTATGCTGCTTTGAAACCATCAGTATGATGTGAGAATTGCTACCACCGTCAACTAAACGCATTCACTTTATCATCCCAGTTATTTACACGCAATGTATTCCACATTCTAGTGTAGGTCACCTGGTAACTTGCATTCGATGGCGATACTCGCTCTGCCTTCTGCCTTACCCAGTGACAAACTCGTCTAAGCTGATTGAAGAGAATCGAACATCGAGTTTTGGGCTTATGCCATTGGCAATGTTCTCAGGCCAGTTTTGTTCTTTGTTCGTCTTGACCACCCGAGTATGTGCAGTCAATAAAGACTGCGAACACAATGCCACTCAGATTAACTCCGTTCGTTCAAAGAACATCGTTCATCGAACAAGCAACCCATCATGTGCGCGATAACCTCATGTTGCGCATATATAAGCGTTATTTCTGGTGTCCTGAGAATGTTTTCATTATTCAATTACAAGCGCAAAAGCACATCATCCAAGACGATACAATCCGCAGTACAACTGATTCACGTTCAAAGTAAGTACCAATATTCAACATGAGCTCCTATCTAAGCTTCCAGTGGCCACACCCCGAACACTCTAACTTCCTCTGCTACCACCGATGTTTTGACAAAGAAAACACCAACATCCTCATCGCTCTGAAAGTTCCCTGGATCCAATGGCCCAACCATCCTCTCGACGACGCAAACTCGCCCTGGCGCACAATCCGCGACAAATCACTTCAAGCAGTTCAGGATTGGTTGTATGTTTTCAATGAAAAGGTATCAGGTGAGGTACAACACAGTCACATGCGAATCGCGTGTATGGTTCTCATGCATGGTCAGCTTCATCTGACTGCTGATAGTCTTGCAAAGGGCGAGGAGCATATGAAGCTGTTTTATGGATTTGCTGCAGATGCGGTGGCAGAGCTGATAGACATGGAGAATTCGAAGCTTGGGAAGAAACGTATCAAGATAATTGGGAGTGGAAAGGAAGCGTATCCTGTTATGAGGAAGTCTAGGAACTAGTTCGTGTAAGAAAATAGGGTTTATCCATCACATAGATATATGCTGGCACGTGTTACACCTGTCCAGTAGTACCAATATTGCAAACGTGTGTTCATGTGAATTTTTATATTCAAGGTAGGTAGCCTTTAGATATTAAATTGTCGTCTGTTAATGTCCATACCTATAACTTATTGATTCAGCTTATTAAAAAGACGTCACTTAAAGATTGTCCTGGTTTGGCCTTCCACTTTTCCATGTGGGGCACAAACATCAACAACCAAGTCTTTACTACCTACGTACCTAGTATGTAGATAATTCTCCCTCTCTCATGTTATTCTTATTCCTTTTCATCCTCATACAAACAAACTCACAATGTCTTCCTCTGAACGTGCATCTGAACTGGTAAAATGGGCAACATCTCACGGCGCCTCCATCAACCCCTCAGTCCAAGTCTCTGAGCTACCCCAAACAGGCCTTTCATTCTGCGCAACCGCCAATACATCACCTCTTGACACGATCGTCAGCATCCCTTCTTCTCTCACGCTCTCTTATCTCAACACTCTTCCTGGACGTGATGACCCTAAACCCTTCCCCGCTGGGTTTCTGGCGCAAAAACCGCCCCATGTCATTGGTCGCTTTGTTCTTATCAAGCATTTCCTCTTGAGGAGGGAGTCTTTCTGGGCGCCCTATATACAGGCTATCCCGCAGCCTGATGATCATGATTCGTGGTCTCTTCCGCCGTTTTGGCCTGAGGAGGATGCGGAGTTGTTTGAAGGGACCAACATCGAGGTGGGCGTTACCAGCATAAAGGCCAATGTGAAGCGGGAGTTTAAGACGGCCTATGATCTCTTGGTCGCTGAAGCATGGGAGCCTGAGCTTGTCCAGAAGTTCACTTTGCCCTTGTATCAATGGGCCTACAGCATCTTCTCCAGCAGGAGTTTCCGTCCAAGCCTGGTTCTTGGACCAGAAGATCAGCATAGTCTTCCTGAGGGTATCAAGCTAGATGACTTTTCCATTCTCATGCCACTCTTTGATGTGGGAAATCACGATATGACTACCGAAGTGCGGTGGGAGCGTGATGAGAAGAGCAATGACTGCAGTCTGAAGGTTAGCAAGGCATATCAAGCAGGAGAGCAGGTCTTCAACAACTACAGTATGAAGACAAATGCCGAACTACTTCTCGGTTATGGCTTCATGCTTCCAGAGACGGAGGAGTTACACAACGATTATGTCCACGTGCGAAAACGCCAGCCTGCTCAAGGGGAGGCCACCGAAGAATATTACATCTCCTTACGACCCATCCGACACTCAAGTTCCCTTCTTGCACAGTCTAAGCAAACAGTCCAACTTGGTGAAAACGCCTCCGTTCTAGGAGCGTTCCAGCATGTCCAGCACGACATGGTCTGGGACATTTTCTGTACTCTAGCACCCCCCGAGCAGCGCGCACAGCTCATCTCTGGTGGGGACACAGACCAGGAACTACAAGAACGCTTCTTCAGCGGTCAGGTTAGTGAGGATGGACGGATTTTTATGCAGCAGACGGCCGCTATTATCCAACACAAGGTTATGCAAGAGCTGGAGAGGCTGCTAGAGACAGATGTGGAGATTGTGGGAGGGGGTGAGTTGACGAGGAATCAGCATCTGGCGCTGGACTACAGGGCACGATGCAAGAAAGTGCTTGAGAATACGCTGGAGGCTATGAATATGGAAGAGTTGTTTGGTGAGGACGAGGACGAGGAATAGGTCTACTCTTGATGATATGCTTACTTGCGGGTATTGAGATCAACCGCAAGGAGCTATAGATATACGCGACAATATTCGTGCTTGGGGTTTGTCTTGAACAAGACTATGGTTAGTTTTGACAAAATAGATTAGAGCTGTTGTTATACAGAACCCCTCCATGATAAGACCAGCCCAGGTCTCCAGGTCTAGGCAAACATGGCAGGTCGGGAATAAAAAGTGCTATCTGGGTTCATTCAAGAGAATTCATCCAAATTACATGTTGGTTATGAGTCTGTGTTGCCAAATAATATTTGGGTGCATTATGATGCAAACAACTCTCCATTCACATTGGTTACACCCTCCTGTCAGAGTTGGATGGATATATCTCCACTCTCAGCTTAATCTCTCCATTTAGGATTGCTTCCTTTTCCCTTTCCGTCTCATTCAAACACTTTTCTAAAGAGAAGGATCAGTTCAGCTTTGATACTGGGGCTGGTACTTGATTTACTCATATTGTACAGCGTATCGACCCCGCCATCATGACAGCTTCATCAAGCCCCCGCAAACTGCTCGATCTCATCACCGACATTGACACGTAAGTCAATCCTCCTAACCTTGAAACTGTACGGCAACTAACACCTTCAGTGCTCCTTTGGACTTTGATTCAAACTACGCTCCCTATTACCGTCTCTTCCTCTCCCCAGACCCTCGTCCTCATGGCTTCATGCTCCCCGCCACGGTATCCCTGATGCCATGGCCCGAAACTTTCACCATCGACCACGATAGCCGTAGTGTAACGCTCAGTGAACCACCGTCTACGTCAACACTCACTGAGCACGCAGGCTCATCGTTCCAGAAAGCTGTTGATGAAGCCATTGACAATGATTTGTTTCCCATTCTGAATAAGGAGCATAGCGAGCACTTTCGTGTAGTAGGCGCTCGAAGCTTCGTCCAGATTGAGCGCTTCTCCGCTTCTTTGTTTGGTATTGCTACGAGAGGTGCTCATCTGACAGGATATGTTCGAGGGGACGATGGACGTATTAAGATTTGGGTCGGCAGGCGAAGTCTTCATCTCTTCAGCTATCCTGGTCTTCTGGACAGTACTGTTGCTGGCGGCATAAAAGCAAGTGATACGCCTCTTGCTTGTATCAAAGCCGAGTCCACCGAAGAAGCCTGCCTCCCTCCAGACCTTGTAGCCTCCCGTGTAGAGCCTACCGGTGTGGTAACTCTAGCTAACATCAACTCACGATCGAAGCTTTTCCATTCTGATATTCTCTACGTGTTTGATCTGGAAATACCGAGCGATGTGGTTCCCACGCCAGGAGATGACGAGGTGCAGGAGTTTGTACTTATGGATTGTGGAGAAGTGGTCGAGCGCATGTTGAAGGGAGAGTTCAAACCGGAAGTTTGTCCTGTGATGACCGACTTCTTGGTGAGAAGGGGGTTTATCACGGAAGAGAATGAGGGCGATTTTGAGGAGATTCAGAAGAGGTTGAGGAGACAGATTCCCGTACCGATGGAGTCGGATGTGTAGATGGGCAACGAATGGGACAAGACTTGTGTATTCTGGAAGCTTTATGGTAATAATGTGATTGTCTTCATCTCATCACAATGTCACGCTTCTGGTTCCTGGATGTGTAAAACTCCCTTGACGACTTGCTGGCTACTTCATGTGATGAGAAACCTTCGATCAGGACACCTCTCAATCATGAATCAAACCACTATTACCAGCGATAAACTTTTAAATCTAACCACTAAAATAATCACTCGAACCTCGCATAGACCACTACCAATGGCGAAATTCAGCCACCAATTCTCATGGATGTGTCACTAAATGTCCAGGGTAGCCGACATCTCCCAGGCAGGTCCGTCTAACACGCTCCCACCGTTTGGCGAGGCGAAGTTCCTTCCCAAAAAGACCCCTTCCCTCCCCCGTCAGCCCACCTAAAAAGTCCACAAACTCCCCCAAATTTCGGTCTCACAACCCGCAAGGCAAAAAAAAACTAGCCCACGACCTCAAACGAGATTTCACTCTCTCATTACTATCAAGAAACGAGACTCTGAATCACTGTTACTTTCCTCATACGAGTTTCTTGATGATAATACATCCTATAGTGATGAATTGTTAAGCATGTGGTACGTATCTAACTCCTCTTTGTCTGCTGATCTGTCTCGACCCCGCCTTGACGGATCAGATGCTCTGCTTTTTACTTCACGCCGATAGAAGCAATGGGTTTGATAGATCGCAGTTGATTGCTACGATTTTATCATGTCATCGCAAGGACCAGACTATCGGATGGCCTCTATGAGTTGTGTTCATTTCTCATGACAATTTCTGTCCATCTTTGAATCTTTATACATCATCTCTTCCTCTACCAGTCCAGCTTCACACAGTGTTCAAGGCCTCACCATCATTTATTTACCCTTTTCTTCTTCTGCTTCATATTATGCTATCTGAATCACCCTCTCTTCTCTTTACCACCTCCCATTATTCTCTCCCCAAGAAGAGCTCTACCGTGCTTGCTTCTTTGATCAAACGATACGCTTTGTGCCTAACCTCACACCATATCGTGGATATCTCACCAAGTCCGACGACAGCACGAACGCCTCTTCGCCGCTGCACCAAGACTGTGCTTATTCCAGCTCCTGCCAGGCTTCCCTTTACCATGAGTCACTACCGCGACCACGTTGACTTTCTCACATACGGAATCTACCACTCCCAAACACTACCTTCTGTCGCCATTGCCGCTTCAATGCCGCACTCAAGACCAACATGTTACTACGGCGAGCACAATTCCAGTCACCGTTTCCCACTTTGGTTTCAAGATGACACCAAAGAACCGACCTCGATGCGCCCATCAACACACAGACGACCTCCTAACGCACTCCGCGGTTGCCGATTAAGGATTTCAGTACCAGACATTTGCATTTCGACACATACGTCACAAAGCGCATTCAACAAGCTAGTGGGAATTTCAAAGTTGATTATTTTCACTGCATCTAAGTCGGCATCACCAAGAAACAGCCGTCGGATGTTGTTACCCATCCAAGATCATTTTGGCGGTTAAGACCAACCAATCGTATGTTAAGTCAGATCGTCCCTCAATCGCTCGGGAATCTCCCAAACGACCCTTTCTCGACTGTTCCTGTCAACACCGAACTCGCTCGAAACTTTCTTGCACCAGAAAGCCAGTTCCTCTAGCACAACAGCCCAACTCTATGCGTGTGCTGCTTATCGATCCTCCAAGACCAATATTTGACTGGAACCATCACGTCTTCATTACCGATTTCATCAAGCTTGGTTTGTTCTGCCTCATCCGAGGCGGCATGCTCGGGTATATGCCAAGCATACCATGCCACTCCTTTGAGCAAGCATGACACCGGGTGTTAGCCACGCGCGCGGCTGGGTATAATGGTGGCGGCTCATGCTCTCCGGTCGACTTAGCAACCAAACTCCCAAAAAGTCATACAACTCATACAATCCATCCATTAACTGGATGTTGTGCCTACTCCTCTTCCGAGTCCGATTCATCACTGGACTCGGCTGTTGGTGTAGGAGCTTGCAGCACGGGCTGAGCGTCTCCAGGCTCCTGACCCGGTCTGTATAGATCACGGAGACCTCGAAGCTGTGCAATTCGCTCTTCTTGTTCACGAGCACTCATGGGTTTATTCTTCTTGGGCTTTGCCGATGTTGATGATGATTTCGAATGCTTTGGAGGCGCTGCTCGGGAAACTTCAGGAGAAGGTGCTACGTTCGAGTCCCTGCCGAATCCAGGTAGCACCCTCTTGCACAAGTCCCAAAGCTTGAGAAGTGCCTCATTGCTTAGCTGGTCGATGTCTAGCTCTAGCTCTCCATCAGTGTTCTCCTGAGGTCACGTTAGTTGTTGGTCGATAAAACGATTGACTATTCTGCTTACGTTCTGACCCGTGTCACGCTTGATGATGTCGATGGCCCGATCAAGCTGGTCACCATCCAGGTCATTGATGGCCGAGGCAATCAAGTCTTTATCAGCGGCTGTAAGTGTCTTTTTGGAGGCCGCCTTCTTGGTGCCGCTGGGCTTCTTTGCAAAAGGCGCACCTCCGCTGGGCTTGCGGGGAGCAGATCCACTGGGCTTGGGCTTGCTAGGCTTGCTGGCTTTCTTAGCTGGTTTTTCAGGATGCTTTGTGCGGTGCTGGCTAAGAGTCTGCTTCGCCTTGAGCAAGCTTTGCTGAACCAGATTGACAATGGTCTGCTGAACCTCGATTAGACTTTCATTGGGCGAATCAGCAGCGAAAAGTTCAGTGAGCTTGTTGCTTTCTTCGCGCAGTTTGGCTTCCAGGTCCCGCACTTCCTTGTTTGGATCAGCACTAGTGGGGGTCGCTGCTTCATCACCATCACCATCGGCCTCATCCTCCTCGTCTTCTTCGTCACTGCCGTGAGAAGCAGCAGGGGCATTTGCCTTGGCATGCCTGGCCAACCAATTGTCCTTATCCTTCATCAAGTTGTTGTAGTATCCTTCCAGTTGAGAGGCGACGAAGGAAACCGTATTGCCTTGGTCTACACTGCCATTGAAGGTATAACAATTCGAAAAGATCAGCCGCACGTTCCTGTCAAAGTCCTTAATGCTGGTAATGTCGCCGTCCTTAAGCATGCGAGCGACCTTTCCGAGATCCATGGGCCTCTTGATGATAGAGTAGTAATGGGGAATATTAAGACCTTCGGCATCGACAGGTTCCAAGAACCAGCCATTAATGGCATGGTTCTTGGGGTGCATCAAGTCGCTAAGGACCTCTTCGGAGAACTGCAACTCAGGCTTGAGCTTCTTGCGCGAAGGCTTGGTCGTATAGTCAATATCCTTTGACTTGGGAGCACGGACGGTTCGCTTAGGGCGATCACCCTCAGTCGCATTCGACGCACGGCGCAAGTCAGCAGCAGCAGCAGCACTAGCCTCGCGAGATCCATGCTGTGGCTTTGATGGTACCTCAGCAGCAGGACTAGTGCCAGGCCCAACAGAAGGCTTGCGAGGAGTAGGGTCACCAAGGGCACTGATGCGCGACTCACGAGGAGGCTTAGGCTTAGGTGCAGCCTTGGGCTTGACTGCCTCCTCCTGAGGAATGTGGATGACATCTTCCCAGATACCACGAATGGCATTGAACGCGGCAGCGGTGACCTCGTGCATGGTGCCGTTGAAGCTACGGGTATTGTCGTACATGAGGACCAAGTCGTTTTGGAAATCACCGACTGTAACATAAGCGCCATCGACATCGCGCAGAGTTCGATCAATTTCCGACAGATCCGTCGGTTTATCGATTTTAGCGAGGTAACTGTCGGCGAGCTGTGGCCATAATTTCGGAACGGAATCCTTGAAATGCCCGCCCGACTTTGTCTTTTTCACACGACCAAGCACCTTGCGGAACTCACGTCGTTGATAAGCTGTGAGTTTCTGATCCTTGAAATCACCATCATTCCATCGATCGAGACCAGAGAAGCGTGAGACCTCCTGCTCAGGAGCGGACTCGGCAGGGGTTGGGTCAGGTTTTGGGGCAGTCATCACAGTGTCTGCAGGTTCTTCTGACTTGGGTTCAGTCTTGGCTCGCTTCGGTGCAGGCTCATCAGCGACGTCGTCCTCCCGTTCGCGTGCTACCTTAGAGCTGACAGAAGTGTCTGGAGCGGGCGCGTCCTGCATGGACACCTCAGTAGAAGGCTTGGGGGCATCGGACTCTTTATTATCAATAGCAAGCTGAGACAAGCTGGCAGGTTGGACATCAGGCTCGGAGGTTGGAACTGTGACACTGTTGGCTGGAGTAGCTGCCTTTTGTTTTGTTGCTTCGGGCTTTTCGGGGGTGTCGGAGGGCTTCTCCGTCATATCGATATCTTTCGATCCCTCTTTGGCAGCATCTTCGGCCGGGGTTTCAGGTTCGTCCTGGACAGGTTTGTCGTCTTGAGCTTTGTTGTCTTCAGGCTTCTCTTCAGTAGCAGCATCTGCCATATCGACATCTTCTGACGCAGCTTTCGGCCCATCTGCTGTCGGTTTGGCGTCGTCCGTCTTTTTCGTCTGATCACCATTCTCAGCCTTGCGATCGTTATCTGCGCCATCATCCTTTGCTGGTGAGTCTACGATGGATTTCCTTTCATCGCTTGCCTCAGTCATCTCGACATCCTTACCAACACCGTTCTCGACTGGATCAACCGTGCTTTTGTCGCCGTTTACTGGAACAGATTTATCATCCGACTTCTCGGGTGTTGAATTGCTGATAACAGCAATGTCAGCAATGCTGAGAAAATGAATGTGTGCGCGCGGGGCATTGTATTCATCAGTACGCGGCAGCGTAGACAAAAAGAGAATGCGCACGGCGAAACGAAGGGGCAACTTACCCGTTGACCTCAGACTTCTTCTGTTCCTTCTCTGCTGAGACATCGCGCGATGTAGAATCGGGGGCGGGAGCGGTAGTGGGAGCATCGGGAGTTGGTGAAGCCATAATGGCTGGTCGCGATAGAAGCGCGTCAATACGAGGCTAGTAGCTAGTTGGACCGTCGCGACATGTAATACTGATGGAGACGGAAAAAGGTGAGTCGATGAGTATCGAGAGACGACGTGATGTTGCTGTTGATGCGCGATGTTGATGGGCGAGGGTGGAGACTTTTGGAATGGAGGCGCGTCGCGCAATTGCGAAGTTGGAGTAAAGGCGGGGAGTCGCGATCTTATATGCGCTGCTCTTCGTTCTGGACCTTTGAGGGCCTAGCGGCAAAAGGTAGGTGGAGGCGGCGGCGACGGGGACGGGGCCAACAATAAGGAAGGCAGATGCCGTAACCCGGAACGGAGGTAAGGCAAGGTAAGAGCCAAGTAGGTCAGGGTAATAAAAAGAGGAGTAAAGCCAGGGCAGGGCAATGGCAATGACGCTGACAATGGAAACCAAAGCGCTGATGTCGCGATAACGAGAAGATGATACTCGACGCGCGATAGTACGAAAGTACGAAGAGCGGAAAGAGAGAAGAAGGCTTGAAGAGGAAATATAAATAATAATCAAGAGAAAAATTGGCTTAAACGATAAAGGATTAAACCAGAATCGCAAAACCTATTATTGATTATAAATTCAGAGCGAAAAAAAGGTATGTGCGAATGGGATGCAGTGCAATATAGATAGATGCAAGGCGAGGTGGAAAGTGGTGTTTTTGGTGGTGATCGCCGGCTTCGAGAACAACAAGAACTGGAAAGAGCTCTTATCGTGATCGGGCGCGGGAGGTGCTTTTTGTGCTTTGCAGTAACTCGAAAGGTGCAAGGTGGTCGCCAAGAGGGGGGAGGAATTGTTTGGCTTGTGTGAGTGGCCAGTGCGAGGGCAGAGCCAAAAAGCCAGTGAGTAGATCAGTGGCAGCAGCGCAGTTGCAGTGCTTCTTTTCCTTTCTTTTGGGCCGGAGACCGGAAGAGGTAGGGGTGGTAGGGGGGGTTGGATCTAAGGGAGCCTCTGAAGGAAAAGCGCGTGCACGTCAGTGAGTTTTGCCTGGTTGAGGCGCGGTGGTATTTATGAGAGAAGAAGGCAAACTCCGCTGAACAGTCGACATGTTACTACCGGGGCACGCAAACTTGGCAACATTTATGGGGGGCCATGGTGGAAAAATTTAGTTGACCGAGCTTTGCATTCAAAGGGGGACGAAAGAGAGGGCACGGGCCAGATTTGGTCCGGCCTCGTCATGGCGATGGGGAGTTGGGGATGGATGGATGGGTGGTGGCTGGGGGATTTGCGGCGACATCCTCCATCACGAGGTTGGGTTGGGTTGGGTAACGGGCACGGAGTATGTATATGAGAATTATTGTTGCGGAGTTGGGGCAACGGAATGCGATATTAGTATTTTTCTATTTGGTTGAGAAGTATGCTTTGTATGATGTAAAGCTTATAAGAGGAATGCCCGCCTGAGCAATCAATGATTTTGCAAACCCAAAGCCAGTGACTTTGAGTGTGATCCAAATGGGAAGGTCCCTATCCCGAAAAGACACGAAAAGACAAGGCTAAAACTGACGACGGTCCCGGAATGCCGTTTCTCAATCCCCATGCATGTCCTCTTTCAAGATGGACCGATTAAACTCGGAGAAAGTTAAGTCATTAATATCCATATAGTCATAGGACTAAGAGCTTATATAAAGTATGTCGTGTCGCCAACCTGATAATAAAACCAGGCCATGAAATGGCTATGCAGAACCCAGGTTCTTATATAAACCATGTACGATTTCTCATGCATGAACATTCGCGACGGTTCTCTTACACGTTCGCGTCGCGTCCAGGATATATATGCAACAAATAAGCATAAGCTTGGAACGATGCATACCGTAATATCGAGGCTAGCACGCATCATGGTCGAGCCGGATGCGGGCCCACTTTGACCAAGTCGAGGGAAGGGGATTGTATCAGGTGACCATTAACTTCCCGTCACAAACAATGGCTAGCCGGACAATCACATATAACTTGGACTGTGTCACTTCAATACGGTGCCTTTGCGCAACAAGAAACATTCCATTTGAAGCCTTACTTTGTTTGTGCCTCATTCTCCTGAGGCCCACGGACTACATATTGATCACTCCTCAAGAGAGCCCAAGACTGAAGACGCGGCCAATTGCAGCTCGTTTGAGATCCACCTTCACCTCCGATTGTCCAATCAGATCGAAGCTTTCTAGAATGTGCTGTCAGACCAATCACTGTTATTAAATGGCTCTCCTAAACCTAAGATTAGGCCGCAGTGGAAACTCAATCTCGGGTGCCAGCGGCCATAGCTAACTTCAGCCACATACTGTGGCACACAGTCATGGCGCGAACATCATCCACGTGACTTGACTCTTATCTTATCGCAAGTGGGACAAACAGTCCCCAAGCTAGGGATCCAGAAAAAAAGTTCCTTCACTCGAGAATGAGCGACGGCTTCGTCAAAATTTTGCAATTGATAACGCCGTTTGAACGTCTTCACTTCCCCCCCGGTTTCTTAAGAAAACCCCAAGACACAGAGTAGCTAGGTTCGCGCTCTTGATCTGTTCCGCACGTCAACCGCCAATCTTTGATTCCTTTCATCGGCATATTCTTGCACGCGACTGCTTGATATCTCTGCGCTGCTTCAAACATCTTCACATCAATCATAATGTCAACAAAACGCAAAGCGCCGGTCAAGCTGGCCGCTCCCGTCTCTCGAACCAGCGCTCGAATCCCAAACAAGTCCATCATCGACGAGTCAAAGGCCTCTATCGCCGGCCCCGATGCCCTCCAGACTTCACAGGTCGAGACTATTGACATCTCGTCCGACGCCGACAGCGACGAAGACCTTTCCGATGCCGAGGGCCCTGGGGAAGCGCAGCAGCTCGCCAACGAAACTGCCGTGACAGCCGCTCGCGCCAAGACTACTAAGCAAAAGACCAATGGCCAGTCTAATGACGAGGATTCCGATGCTGAGGCTACGTCGCCTTCATTTGGAGAGCTCCTCCGCGCCGAGAACGACATTATCGATGTGCCCTCTGCTCTGAACGGCGCAATCTCTCAGCCTACGCGAAACGCCATTGCGCCCCCAACCCACCAATCTCTCACTACCGTTCTCTCCCAGGCCCTCCGCACCGACGACACAGATCTCCTCGAGTCTTGTCTGCATACCACCGATCTCCCCACTATCCGCAACACCATTGAGCGTCTCGACAGTATCCTAGCTGGCTCTCTCCTAACCAAGCTCGCCGCGCGCCTGTACCGCCGTCCCGGCCGCGCTGGCAACCTCATGACCTGGGTTCAGTGGACACTAGTCGCCCACGGTGGTGCCCTAGCATCGCAGCCCAAGGTCATCCACAGCCTCAGCGGTCTGCAAAAGGTCCTCGCCGAGCGTGCAAAGGGTCTGTCAAGCCTTCTCGCCCTCAAGGGCAAGCTCGACATGCTCGAAGGCCAGATGGATATCCGCCGCAAGATGTCCCGCGGCGCTGGTCTCCACAACAGCGGCGAGTCGGACTCTGAGGAAGATGACGACGAGGATGTTATCTGGGTCGAGGGCGAGGATGAAGCTACTCGGACACCAGGCCGAAGGCGCGGGCTTGACACCGACTTCGACGATTCAGACGACGATGTTCCTATCACCAACGGCTTTGTTGGAGACTCTGACGATGAGGCGGATTCGGCTGGCGAGGAGGATGATAGCGATGCTGAGGAGTCCCTCGACGAGGACGAGGTCAACCATGACGATGTGGATGAGTCCATGGGCGAGGACGAGGAGAGCGATGTCGAAGCCGCAGCCGCACCACCATCCAAACTGCAAAAGACCGCCGGTAACTTCAGCAAGCGGAGATGAACGAATAGGATCAAAAAGCATGTAGAGGAAGGGTGAAAAGAGGGGAGGGAAAACGGCTTGTTCTTCATCCTGGCGTTGGTCTTGTAGACATTGGGTTGCTTTAAATTTTTCTGTATCTCTGTTTTTGCAATATGACGAGTTGATACCTCCCCAAGCTCGATATTCGCACTTAATGCTTGATACACAGTAATTTTGATTCATGCCGTCGTATCCATGCTCTTCATTTACAACTACATGATGTCAAGTTAAAGAACACAAAAACTCTAGATTAAAAAGCAAGTAAGGTTTTTCCTTGTCAAAGATATTGCTAAGCCCTTCTAGCTATGTGTAAACTTCCAGCGCCATGCCATGCTAGATTCCTTGCTGAACAAGGAGAGAAAAAAAGACAAAGATCCCTGAATATGTATGTAATTACCAAACGTTTGTAACCTCTATCCGACACCCAACACCAATGCTAACAGTTATGTGCTTTGGATGAACTGCCCCCGTTTCTAATGTTTGTTCAAAAATAGGACAAGAGATGTGTGTTTGTGCGGGTTATCTCTCGATGAAAACCGGCTTGTTGTTTCAGCTTCTGAAATAGTTGAGGCAAAATGCATTTGTCCTTATGGGAGAACGCCCTGGCGCCATTGCTCGATTCTGTTGGGCGAACCACCTTGGCCAGGCATTTGCATTTGCATACCAGGCTGCAACATGCCTCCGCCATAGACACTCGCAGCGCCAGGACCATAAGGACCCATGGCGTTGTTCATGCCATTGTATCCCATGTTGTTCATTGCCCCCACATTCACGGCAGAATTGGCATATGGCGATTGCTGCATCGGGGCTCCATATGTACTGAAAACGGCACTCTTTTGGTGATTGAGGGCCGGCTGGTTCAATAGTTGTGTGTTAAGAGCCGGAGAGGACATGGCTGCTTGGGAGTTCTGGCCGCCAAGACCGTTGTTAAAAGTACCTCCAAGATAACCACCGGACTGAGCATTGGTCGGACCACTCCAGTTTTGGGGCATCTGGCTTCGGTAGGCCGCCATCTTGGCATTGCCCTCTCTTACAAGTCGTCTTTCATGCTCAAGACGGGCACGGTCTTCCTGGGCCTGGTTGATCTCTCTCTTAGGATGGGCAGCCAGGACGCTCGACATCTGATGCATTCGCCCGTTGACCCCGGGAATTGCTGGCTCTTCTTCCTCCGAAGTTGCGTTTAGCTGATTGAAACTCATTTCACGTTCGCGGGCTTCTCGCTCAGCTTGTAAACGACGACGACGTTGGCCCAGTGTCTCTTCTTCACCGCCAGTCGTGGGCTTCTTCTCCTCTTCCTTCTTTTTCTCTTCAGGGTCCTCAAACTGAGTAAGGAGTTCAACGGAGAATGCACCGCTGACAGGTCGGGCTTTAGGTAGTAGGTTTTCTGCCTCCTCCTTGGCTGCTAGACGTCGTTTCCTTTCTCCAAGAGTTTCTCCCTCGAACTCATCATCTGGCTCAGAGGATAGATTCTGCGCCGACATTTGTGCTACGGAATTTTGGGCTGAATGGGGAGTTTGAGGAAGATAGTTGGCGCTGAGATTGTTCATGCTGGGTCTGTTGGATATCATCATGGATCGAGGATCCTGTCCATGTAAGCGGGCTCGGCGGTGACTGAGAGGCTCGTTCTCTTCGATCTCACGACGCTCCATCAAGCCAATGGGACGGTTGAGATCCATCATGTTCTTTGCGCCTTGATTGCGTGCTGCAATGACAGCCAAAGGTATATCTTCATCACCAGAGTCCTCGTCAAGAGGTTGTGCTTGACCATCTTCCCAGGCCAAATTGATACGTTTGTTGTTTCTCGCCTTTCGCTGCGTCTCAGCGACGGCGTCCATTTCCAACAATGTCGCATGCATACCACCAGGGAATGTTCGTTGAGTGCGCTCCTTCTGTTGCTGTTTGCGCAGCTGCAATTCGGCCAGAAGTGTTGTTGGGGGCCCATAGTAGCCTTCTCCATCAGAAGGGCTTTCCTCTTCATCCTTGTCGGCCTCTTGCTCATCACCACTGTGACCAACACTGCGGCCATCCACGCTACGAGCGAGACCGTCGTTCTCGTTTGCGTTCGTATCAGCGTTGGTGGGTCCTAGTCCAGACTCTGACTGCGGCTTCTTGTCTTTGTCATCATCGCTGACATGACTCTGACGCTTGCCAAGCCACATGAAAGAGGAGCGTTTTCTGGCATGCTTCTTTTCAGGCTCCGGTTGAAGTTGAAGCACAGTGGATGCAGCAACAGACGCTCGCTTCTTCTCTTTGCCATACACTTCCTTTCCAAGTCTACCAGCCCGTTCGTGGTCGGTAAATGCACTGACAGGGGCGTTTGCCGAGGCATCGAGAATGCTTTCGAGGGTGGCCATGGCTGATCCGTCTTTGACTTCAATGTCCGGCTGTGTGTTGTCGGGGAGGTCAAAGTAAGCGCTTGCTCGCAATTGCGGCGGCAAATTTGACATTCTCGATTTGCGCTTGTCAAGATCGTTCCGAGATAGCCGTTGAGGGCGTCTTAGTGTCTCAGCCGGCATATCAGTGTTAGACCCAGGTTGCACAGCAGGAGCAGTATCTGGATCAGAGTGTACAGAGCGAACGGTCTCGGGTTCCTGACCAAGATTGCCAAAGCCATCGGAAGATAAGGCAGCAAATGATTCCCGATGACCGGCAAGAGGGTCAGGTAGCCAAGAGTCTCTAGTGGTATCTCGCGCCGGAGCCTTGCCATCCGTATCCATTACTCGAGATTGTCGGCTGTCCTCAAGCATAGCACTCATCACCTGGGACCGCCTCTTATTTCTTTCATTTGCCTTGGGTTTGTTGGACAGTTTGGGAGGAAGGTTGAGCATCGCAGGCACTCGGGCCGGGTAGTAAAGCATCTGCTGACCGGACTCAGGATCCATGTATGATTGTGGTCGAACATTATCTGGACGAGGCATCTGCCGCTGTTGAGGTCGACGCCGAGGTTGAGGCTCCAAATCATCGGGAAGGGCATAAGGATCATCCTGTTCAGGTACCCAGTGAACACCGTCAAAGTCACCAAAAGCGTCCTGGCATTGTTGGAAAGTTGTATCTGAGTGTGAACTTCCGGGTCGTTTGGGATCCCGGGACTCTTGACCAGCAGGGAGACCTGTGCTTGCCGCAGCATGTGGCTGTTCGTTCTTGGAGTCCATAAAATCTTCCTTACCCATCATGCTTGAGAAAAGATCGGTGGCGGGCATGTTCGCATCACGAAGCTCTTCAGGTAATAGGGTTCCTCCCTCAGAGTTCTTGACAGGGGTTTTGTCGGCCATGTCGAGAACGTCCTGGGTTAGTGCAATAGGTTCAGATTCTGAAATCTCAGCAAGCGAGACCTTTGTAGACCGGACACTTCTAACAGATGCCTTGCCTGGGCCGTGACGTGACAAGACTGTATCCAGATCGAAGTCTGGTCGGCCAGCTGAATTCTTGGACCCCGATCTAAGACGTCCGGTAAAGGAGTGGTTCGGGGAAAGGACGTATCCGCCGGGAGAATAACCACCGTGACGCGCAGCGTTATTTGTTGAAACAATCGAGGAAGCAATCGATGGATGGCGTCTTAATTGTTCGGCAGCTGATCCGGGGTTACTAGTATAATCGTCGATAGACCCTGAGGCTTTGACGCTGGCAGCAAGTATAGAAGATCGTCTACTATCGGATCGCTTTAATTCAGTGTGTAAATCTCGAATCGCATCGTCGATGGAACTGGTCATAGACAGTCGTTCGGCGGTCGCTTCGAGTTGTGCGATGTTACCAACGTACGCTCCAGATCGGGCCTGGGAGGTGATGTCGGGAGTTGGATGTTGGATATTGAGGGATGGCGAATCGGGTGCCGTTCGAACAATGGGCCTTGGCGTCGGCCTGACAAAACTTGTATCGAGTTTGATGCCGCTAAGTCGAGAAGAAATGGAAGTTTTGGGAGAGGGAGGAAGGTCGCTGTCGCGGATGTCGTGTGAGGAATGACCGTTGCGGTGTCTTTGATACCCAGGGGGGACAGAATTGTTGCTAGTGGCGGCCGTGCTGGACATGGCCTGAGTGGCGCTTCGAGAAACACTACAGTGGCTGCTTGCCTGTGCGGGTGCTGTGGCTATCCCTGGCGTAGGGAGGGCTTCCGCCAAACAAGGCCCTGTGGACGCTGGAGCAGCCTCGTATTGCTGATCTCTCGTCAGGCTGTCTATTCGACACCCGTGCTGATCGGAATGAGGGCCCCTGAAACCATGGGCGGGCTCGGCGACGTTGAATGGGGCGCTGCTATTTTGGGTCGAGGGGCCTGTCGTATCCAGTTTAGTGGGCAAAATGACTTTTGGCTGCGCTTGCTGTGCAGTGTCCTTTGTCGGGTCAGTTTCGTCGTATTTTTGGGACCTCCGATACGATTGCCTATTTGAAGCTTGTTGTGAATCAAAATCCGCATCAATTGAGCAAGAAACACTGCCATCATCAGCGGCACGTGTCGGTTCGGCGTGGCCGGTATCTACGCCAGTCCCTGTACATCGAAGAGGATCTGCGGTTTGCTGGCTCTGAGTGCTAGGATCCGAGTGTCCAGCAGGCCACCCCGCTGTACTCGAAGGCGATTGGTTGACTGACGCTAAAGGTTTGTCGGGACCAGCACTAACACTGCGCGACTCAAGACAAATCGAGTTGGACTTGCCAGTATCGATAAAGCATGAGTCGTCCATCATGCTGAGCGGTGTCGAAGTTTGGTCGGCCAGCGACTGAAACGAAACCAGTTCAGGACTTGTCGTGAGGGGAGTCGAGAGAGGAGAAGAGAGTATCACGAGATCGTTGGTATCGTCATTTTCTTGGCTAACATTAGATATCGTAGCCTTTGAAGGAGTCATGATGCCTGATTGGTGAGAGCACAAGTCGATGCGGTCCTGCACCAGCCGAACAGGGCAGAGGTGTTGCTGCCTTCGTCTTAATACTTATCAATAAGGATGCGCCCAGCATCCAGATCGTCCTGGACCAGACAGGGAAGTGGATATAAATGGACAAGATTGACGAGATTTGGTAATAAGTGCCCGACTGGAACCAAAGGACGCAGGATGGACGGCGCAGCACAGCGAATGCTCCAACAACTTGTTATCGAGCTGTAGCTTGAAGTGTGGTAATGTGAGGTCACGGGTCAGCATCCCATGGTATACTGAGCTGCAGTCGGTGTGCTTTGATGATAGCTGGCTGCAGGTGTCGCAGCTTTGGTAGTAGCTTCTTGATAGTGTCGAACCGGCGTCGAGGGTCGAGACTTGAAGGCTGGGCGCAAAGTCTTCTGAGCCGTTGAATGGGGGGTTGAATAAACAAAACCAAGACGGCGAAACAGCGCGACAATGACTAGAAGTAAGTTCGGAGGGCTGGCTGAACGAAAAGACGGATGGCCCAAGTTTGACAGTCGGAGATTCGAGAGCAGGGATGTTTGTAACGGGAACAAGGCGGCGGGAAGGCTTGTCGCGAGAACCAAAGCTAATTCTTAACCTTGATAGGGAGCAAGAATGAAACAACCGCAAGTATAGCTATTCACGGTGCAGCACAGACTCGCACTGACAAAGGAGAGAGTTAGCGCCCGAGTTGATTGAGAGCGAGAGTGCAGTGTAGACTGCAGAGCAATGCAGTGCACAAGCCAAGGTAAGGTATCCTGGTGTTTCGCTGCTGGGGCGCGTCGCATGGAGACAGGATGATCCAGGTACCGAGCCAGGCACGCGCGGAACGACCCATAGGGCAGAAAGGCAAGACAAATGAGATGAGATGAGATGAGATGAGACAGCAAAAGAGAGGAGAAACATGGCTGATTACCTAGAGAATATTCAAGAGGTCGGCCCGTACCTGACGTCGCGTCTTTGCATTTGCAGGCGCAGTGCGACCAAGAAGTGAAGGTTAACAGAGAGTCGATTCGATATAAGCGTTGGAGATGCACGGTTGCGTAGGCACTCTCGGGTCAGACAAGACGCAAGGTCCCAAGCGTACAAGAAGCAAACAACGAAATAAAGGGTCGGTCAAAGTGGTACAAGGTGCAGTTGGTGTTGGACAGAGAGAAATTGGACCTGTCGCAGCGAGAGAGGATGTCGAAAGAGGCACGTCGCAAAGTAAAGTTACAAAAAGTTGGAAGTTGGAGCTGGAGGAGGAAGAAGCCGCCCGTTGACTTAAGTGGGACAAGTCCCAAGACTTCAATTTTGACACAACGTTTTATTCCAGTTCTTGGGCCACGCATTGTACGTACTATTATAGAGGTCGTTGACTGGGGGAAAGTGAATGATCTTGAACTTAAAATACCAAACAGAGTTGCAGCGTTGCTTTGTGAGTTCTAGAGTGCTTACTTGAGACATAGAACTTGAGGATGGGATGTCACACTCTTCAATCTACACTAAACTCTACTGTAAGTCTGCACTGCGCCATAGCAATAAGCTTAGAAAAGGCAGCCCAGCAAGCCACTGCATGGTTAGATCTGAAATAAGCCCGGCTCAGCTGAAGTGCACTTTAGCCCATTCGCGATACTGCATGAACAGTAGATGAAAGGAACAGCCATGATCAATCAGACGGACTTTGACCTCTTGCTTTTTTCTTTCTTACTTGTCACTTTACGATCGATGTAACTTGACTAAATATTGGAAACTAGAAACACTTGTCTCCACCAGATTGATCCTTCTTTTCCGCCAGTGACCAATGGCCTAATACCGAAAAAGAAACGAAGAAAGAGAAGACTTTTCTCGCGTGTTTTACCTTGTTTTATACCTAGACACTTATCGCCGAGGTCAATCTTCTGTTCCCCAGATCTTCATACCCTCCATGATCAGCAAGCGACCTCACACTGCATAGAGACTATCAGACTCTCCAATAGCCATCATCAAAACATCAACATGATGCCTTTTCAGAACATAGCTTCAATAGCGCCTTACCTCTTGTCGAATCCCGCTGCAGAATTGATACCCACCATTTCGTCATGTCTGCCCTGTTTTGTAGCTTGTTCCCCGGAAGCGGCAGAACCTTTCCAACGCCAACTCTGCCGGAGCCCACTCGCGGCCAGGTTTGCAGACCCTGCTCCTCATGGCTTTTGGGCTTTCCCATAGGTTGAATGCCCACTCTAGTGCAGCCCCTTCTCTGCTCGAGCCGGAGGATGGGCTTGGCTGAGGCCTGAAGCCTGAAGCAATCCTCTAACAAAGTACGGTGTGCGTGCATGCGCATCGACAACTTAGATAATGATGACGCCAAATATCGAGCGTTTGCAACTCGTGCCGTGCCGTGATGCTGACAAGATAAGAGAGATGTCTTGGCTTGGCGTACTACGTACAAAAGTCGTAATATCTGGTCGACCTTCTCATCTCGATCATCGACAGGGGTTTTAATGGCACACCGAATCTCTGGGCCTTATGACAAGGATCACCTCAGTTCTCAACCACGAAAATCATCCATCAATCGCAGCTCAAGCTTCACCTCAATTGGGAGAATTTTATCTAAACGTTATCCTCCAAGCACCGTTTTTACCACCTCGTGGCTAATTCATTATCTTGTCAGCCACGGTTGTACTGTACAACATGCCGTGGCGTCCCTGACCCTGGTTTACCACGTTGGATCCCTGTCCATCAAAAGGTGAGCAGTCAGGGAATACGGAGTACGCTGCTGCACCATGATCAATCATTTCATGCAGGGGCATGCATCCCCTCTGCGTCGCAATTGTGCAGTGCGTGGCAGAAGTTGAAACCAAGAAACAACTCAACCCGTTGTGAAGAAACTGTTGCGTTCCGAATGGCAAAGGAACATCGTGAGTTTACTGTTGCAGTCGGCTTCTTGTCCAATGCCCGGGTTGCCGGGTTACATTTTTGTTACCATCGATTTGAAACAACACCGGCAGTTATGCTCCTATCCTATGTCTGGGACCGGGCATTGCCAATTTCCGTGACACTCTTGTGGGTGTAACCCGAAATTCTCCCTATTACATCTCACAGCTTCAAGTTTTATCCTAAGACTGCTCATGACAGAACTGATCCCAGGCTTCACATTACATAACCATGTCCTAGTCTCGTGAAACAAGCTAAAAGATACTTCTAATTCAGGGTCATCCTTAAACCTGTGGGGTATATACAAGCACATATAGACAATAGTAATGAGTATCCTCCCTAATCCTTATAATCTACGTATCCGAATGACCTTTATGACAAGGCCTTCGGCTCTTGCGGATGTGGCCCTGTTTCTTGCTCCGCCTCCAACTTTGGCATTGATTGCTGTGGATTTTCCAATCTTTGACGCTCCTCAATCGTGAGGTCGCTCTTAGCAGACCCGATACTGATAAAAGGGATGAATAGCAAGGGGACCGAAGCCACGCCGAATGCCAGCCAAAAGGCCACCTTATAGCTCTTTCGAAGCCCTAGGTCCGAGGTCTCAGCAACTGCAATATCGGCAATACCGAGGAAGAAACTGATTCCCAGGAACAGAACGCTGTTGATCAAAGCACCTGCGAGTCCTTGTCTGTGACTTGGCATGTTTGTCGTAAGGAAGATATTGCTGACTGTAAAGGTGATATCAATGCCTAAAGTGCAGCAGACCATGGATGGGAAGACCCAGGCCCAATAGTTGGGATCCTCTGGCATGAGAGCGAACAGGAGCATGCACATTGCATTGGCCAAAGAGGAAATGAAAAGCAACATCCTGCCTGGAAGCAAATGCAGCACGAAACCTCCAACGGTGCCAATGATGAGGCCACCAACACACATCGGTATATACCAGACAGCCGTAATGAGTGGCGATCTGTGCAGTACCAGCTCCATGTAAAAGCTCGAATAGAAGAGGAAAAGTCCAAAGGTACCGAACGCCATGAAAAGGACAGCCAAGAAGCGCTTCATACCCTTTGGCGCAAACAGGTCGGCTGGCAGTAGAGGAACTTGAGCCTTGTGCTTCTCAACATACCATGCAGCAACGAGGAAGAGGATACCGAGGATCAGCGTCACGATGATATAAGGTGTCGCCCAGCCGTTGGGAGCATGCGAACTGTCCGTAAGGGAATACACGATGAGGAGAAGGCCTGGCACAATAGTGCCAACACCCCACCAGTCCATAGGTAAGTCAACTTTTCTGTCATGGTAGTCGAAGGGGACGGCGAGAAGTGAGACCCCTGATACCAGAGCAAAGATGATAGTGCCAATCCAGAAATACCAGCGCCAGGTGAGAAATTCGGCAGCCAGACCTCCAACTAAGATGCCGAAGAAGAAGCCCAGTGGAGCAAAGGCTCCATACATCGAGAATATGAGGTTCTTGCGAGGTCCAGGGCGGTAGATCTTACCCATTAACATAACACCTCCAGGGAGGTATGCAGCAGGACCAAGACCTTGGAGAGCTCGACAGAAGATAAGCATCATATAGTTCTTGCTGAAACCTGCAATGAGAGCCCAGAGCAAGAACCATAACAGTCCGCCATTGAAGACTATATAGCCACCGTACATGTCTCCCAGTCGACCCATCGGGAGGAGCATGGCTCCTGTGACAAGAGAGAATACACTTGATGGCCATGTTTGTGAAGCTGCTGGGATTTCAAGATCTTGAGCAAGTGGTGGAAGGATGACATGAAATCCACTAACAAAGAATTCCTAGTGATGTCAGTCAGTAGCTATTTACCACTTGGATGAGTTAGGTGATATAAGAGGGAAGACTTACTGCCAGGAGCATAGAGCAAAACACCGAGAAACCGAATCCTAACTCGGCCCATATCGACTTGAATACTTCTGGTCGTTGACGACCAAGCTTCTCAACGTCAACCGACGAATCCCGGCTTGTATCTCCGGCTCCGGCTCCGGTATTTTCAACGTCAGGCCGGGTCATGACAATCACAGCAATTAAACAATAATAGACAAGAATGTAATGATATTTAGAAGCTTAATATCCATGATGAAAAAGAAAAATTTGAAGAGCAGTCCATCTTGTCTTTGTATGTCTTCTCAGAAACGCCCTTCCCCCGTCATTGACCAACGAAACCGCCTCTTGGCATGTGGAGCGGGTGCAGAATTAGTTGCCTCCTTGGGATTAGTGGCCTTTTGTCTAGGTACCTGACAAAACGTAAATTTGTGGGTAGGGAATTTTTGCTTATCAAGTTTCTGCAATGTGACGCCCGAGGCGATGCTGACTTTGCCCAGATGACGACCAAGTCGTGGAGTTGAGCGCGTAAAATGACGACCCGGCTGAAGATTCGGGCGGGGGAGGTGATATTTATGACGACCGATTGAGGGAATTTGCTATTGGATTATTAATTGTCTTTAAAATGAGATGATCTGAATTATTCAGCTGATTATTGATCACGACCGAAGAGTTCGTCTTATGAATCACAAGAGATTGAACATATGATAGATCCAGATTAGGTACAGTAGGCTTGTGAAGTCTCCGATAGTTTGCCTCCTTCACTAGCTATTCTAACACCCTACCTTCTACGGTTTTGTAAGTGACTCTGAAGAGTCCTTCAGCGTATATCTTATAACTCCTATTATGTAGGAATAAGCAGTGGCTTGCGATATCCCATATTACCGCCATATCATATCCTCTGAGCGGATGTATACCGACGTATACGATTGATGGTCAGTGCCCGTTGGCCGGTTCGCGGTGATTTTGGCAATCCTCCCCGGTCTTTCTCCGTCCTGCTGGGAGACATATCCCTATCGGAGGTCAGATATCTCTTCTGGGATAAAACGAGCCCGACTTGGGCGGGATACTTGTAGCTGATGACATGCAGACATCTTCAATTACACTACTGGGTTTGAAGTTTGATCTTGAGTGCCCCTCCGCAACACGCTGCAGAACATATCACGCTCTGTGCTCAGTCAAAGGGGTAGACGATAAAATTGCTGGAAGCGTATGAACTATTTTCTTTGCCATAAATGGTCGTTTCTGACAATTGCGTTGCAACTGTTCTCTAGATTCCTGAAATACGGCAACATATGCTCGAGAAGGAAATATGTCAGTGGATAAGTCACTCTCGGTAAGCCAACGTGGGAAGATACTGACGATCCGTGATAGATCAATGATCAAGCATCTCTCCGAGACCCATTTGAGTACATAGTTCGACTATGAGATGAATAACCAGTCGTGATAAGCTAGTTCTACACGATATCTAATTTGCTAGTTTATACCCAGGCCATCGTGGAAGAGAGACGTGGGACTGTGTGCGCTCCGCTAACTTCTCTTCATTCCTAATTATTGAGCTAAGAATTGCTTGTAGTCTATTATATAGAATACTTGAATTGCTTATCTATTTCGATTCAGAGCAAAGAAGCTGATCATCATGTTGGCTCCGTATCTTGACGTTCGTACAGAACGCTGTCAACAGAGCCATCTATTCTGCCCGCCAAATGACACTAAAAGAGGACTTCAAAGTATGTGACCAACTTCGAATATGCATATTCAGCACTCAATGGGCATTATATAAAAGCCTATTGTTGAAAGTGTGCGATTGTCTACTATGAATGTCGGCCATCGACTTGGAGGCTACCCTGTAGATCACGAAGAAAACCCTTACATGTGAGTGCATGACAGAAATGGTACTATATAATTCAACACTATAGTCGAAATGTACGTCAATTGATACTGCAGTCGCCTTGGTGACGATTCTTTGCTCAATTATGACGGTCAAAGCAGGAATCATTGCTGTACACATGGAGTATCCAGACGTTCCAGTATCAGTCTACTCAAATGATCTCACAACGCACTTCTGCACGAAAGTTCTGAAGGTCAAGATGTACTGAGCTTCAATGAAACAATCATAAGAAGAAGCAAGGAATATAGAACTTGTCACATTTCGAGGGGCTTGGCAGACCTTTAGATTAAGAAATAATAAAGTAGGTATATTTAACAGGTTATCTTAAAATTGATCTAAGATTGATGGAAAATCATAGGAACTTGTACACGCCCACTAAACGAAACCACAATCTATCATTATAAAAAAGAACTGCTGCAATTGCAATTCACAGTGACATCACACAAGCCTGTAGCCCAATGGTCATATCGAATGTACCATAACGTGTAACAAAAGTCACAATTTTGATGTCGTGATATTACAAGACAACCACAACCACGACAGAAGTGTCCCCGTTAACTGCAAACGAGAAAGAGTAACTAACGAGTCGCGCACGTGAAACACGACCTGTAGACCTCAACGCACGACTCGGGGAAACTGACGTCGTGAACACCCACATGCACGACGGACCCTTATGATCTGCGGCTAGCGATCAGCACTCTACAGGCACACGATTGGCTGGACAGCGCAGTGCATTCCAGAAGGCAATCCGTTTTGTTTGCAAGGAAAAAAGTTAAGCTCAGGGCTGATGTTCTGGGCACACAGGAGGGAGGCAAAGTTCAAGCGAGCGGGATGTGTGGCCAAGAGCACATGGCGAGTGGAGTTCATCTATCCAGATGCTGGGGTAAAGTACCCGAGTATACTGTGAAATGCATATCTAGGTTGCTGGCTGCTGGGCTGGCGGTTGACTGCATTGCATCTTGGAGAGCCCATCTGCCGACTTCGGAGTGTCACTGATGGAGAAGTGAGACAGTGAGTTGCCATCTGGGGTGCCACGAGTCCCCGGAAGTGATACATAACACAGGACGAGGGTCGTTGCCATGGTTGTGCTCTGTAGATGCCACAAGCCAAGGACGTTGAATGCTGGAGCTGATCCAATTCAGCTGACGAGAGACGTTGAGCTAAGATGACATGCTCTGTGCAGTACGAGTGCAACGCCTTGCACAACAAAGAAACGAAATCAAGGTTTCAGTTTACAGAGCGGTGTGTGAAAAGTAGCATCACGAGATAATATATTAATGCAACGAGTGATCAAGATCCCGTCTTGTTAAGGAAACTCATCAGGTTAAATGCCCCTGGTAACTAATATGAACGATTTGCCAAAATAAGATCGTATGGGAAATGGCCGGCCTGTAATGGGATAAATTGGAAGAGAAACAATGGAACAGGATGCGGCCATCTCCTGATTCCCAGGGGTACGGGATAAGTACGGTCCCCAATGAAAGATAGGATGGACAACAATGAATGAGAATAATCACAGAGAAAATGCCGTGGCTGGACTAGCTTGAATCTGTCACGATGTGAAAAGGCGGATGTTTAGAGGTATCCATCAGAATGGAGGCTCTCGTGAGCTTGGGCTTTTTAGGTTACCGGCACTGTTCCGGGGAAGATGGAAACGAGGATTGAACAAGGGCGGGCGGATGCGGTGAGTGCGGGGGATCAACCGGGTTATGTACTGTAAACTAGGGTTTCAAGGTTGTTTATGGCGGTGATGGAAACTTGGAAGCATGGCGATAGCTTCGCTTCTGTTGACCGTTCCACTACATTTCTGCTGGCGGAAGAAGACTTGTTGAGTGCAACGGCAAACGGCAAACGGGGGTCGTTGAGGCTGGTTGTCTCAGAGGTGTCGCTTTCCGGAAGCCGCTGGAGAAAATTCAATTAGAAGGACGCTACTGTATCGTATTGTGATGGAGGGTGTCGAGCCGAGAGGATGAGTGGCTGTCTTGGATGTGACGGCATGAGATGAGATGGTTGTGTGCGTGCAGTTGCATGAGACGAACGAACATGTGTCGCGTGGGGGGTACGAGAAAGTCAATGTTTTATTGAACCTTGAAACCATCACGATAGCTTCAATTTGGAGGCACAATTATAGAATAGCACATATTTACTGCCATGCACACACGGCGCACTGACTCACTTATTCTCCTCAGAGAAATAAGGCCCAAGCACTCTGAGACTGGGACTCAAATTTTCCTCAACGAAACTCCTGGGCGTGGCTGCTGTGTAACACATACGCTCAACAGTGGTTGCACAGAGACACTCATCATTCATCTAGGGCTGCGCTGCAAGCTGCAAGCTGCACACTGCACACTGCAACTAGCATCTGATCTCACTACAGAAAGGGGGCGCCTTTGAGGCTCTGGCTTAGCGAAGCTCAGAGAGGGTGTGAGGTGTGAGACGCCCTGAGGGAGAGAGACAACGGACCTGGCGATGGAGGGTCGCAGCCAAAATGTCGTCTCTGGGAGAAGAGAAGAAAAGAAGTCGTGAGAATTCTCTTCGCTGAGTGTCGGTTTATTTTCGAGAGCTTCCATTACTGCTTAGCTCTTCTTTCGCCACAAATCCACGAGCTTTACGGCCCTCTTTTCCCCATTAGTTTGTCCTGTTTACGCCTCTTTTGAAGTTTTCCGCATATCTAGTTCATGTTTATTTTGATCTATTAGACGCTTGAGCCTTGAACCTTGGTCTGGACTGAACTGGAGTTTACTATCCGTACGTACTCCGTAGTTTCCAAAGTTTCGGTTCAGTCCCTCTCGGTGATTGGGATAGGGAACTGAAATAGTCGGTGAGGGACGGAACTGCAGGGACGTCAATCGCCTAGCAGCGGGTTCGACCTTTTGTGTTTGTTCCCCCGGGGCTCTGCGGCTTCGGGGTCCGGGTGGGAACACTACAGGACCCCCGGTGGACGCGGTGGACGCGGATGCGGGTGGCCAGCAAGTTGCCTGTCAAGCTTGGTTTTTGGTGTCCTGTGATACTCAACTGAGGCTATAGGTACATGGCTTACTGCGCGGGCATGCTCATAGGATGAAGCCATAGAGGTCTACGTCTTATCAATGATAGCCGGACGAGGCAGTTGATGAACCACGATTGGAATTGTTGGACGTGGGGAGCCGCGTTCGCTTGCTGACGTTGTCTGGGACCTGCAATCAATGTGAATCCATTGCTCAATCAGAGGGCTTTGGGATAGGTCACCGACCTGTGCGAGTAGAGGAGTGAAGAACTGTACAATCCGAGTCAAGCAGTAATTTGCACTCATCATGTCGAGGAATCATGACCTCAACACAGTGTCAACCTGAGTCTCAGGATAGATGCACTGTCAGTCTACTCTCTTCCCATGCATTCATGGATGTTAATGAAACCCCACCACAGCCATCAGGGACTCCAAGACACCCCCACCAAGGACTGGCCTGGACTTGAGTGACAAAATCAACAAGACATGGTTCCCACGGGGAAGCCGCTTTGATGGCTGGGGTATTGCGCAGAGACACTATCGTGACTATCGTGAGCTTCATGTTGAGATTGCTTGTCGAATTCATAGTCAAGAGACGAGCATGTAGGCCGTTTCCATACACGATTGTTGCTGCGCCTAAGAATGGGATCATCAGAATCATGATCGCCACCCATCAGATCTCGTTTTCCAGGGTATGACAGCCTTGATGTTGGTGCTCATTACTATCTACGGTAGCTGGGCACTTGAGCTACTGGGTGCATGTAGTGCAGTGCAGACCCTTTCCCCTTGTGTTCCAGGGGTCTGCACTTTTGCCTCGGAGACGGGTGTCCGTATCGGTGTCGTATCATTCAAGGTGACATGTGGATGTGGGATGCTAGAGAGGAGCAGCAGATGGTAGGGTATTAGTTGGTTATTTTAGTTGATTTCTTGCTTGATAACAGTATCTGACATGCCACCGTGATGATTATTTCGAGGGCAGCTGGACACTTGAAACCAGATAGGATGTGACGGCTTGTGCTGGGCGGTTCGATAGTTTGTGGCGGTACTTGGTGAGTTACCAGTGAAAATAGAGTGAGACTAGGAACATGACATGACATGGACATGGTTTGGTTGCCAGTCGATTTGATTTGACTGCCCGAGAATGTGAGCTTGTGACCGCCGGCGTCGGACGCCAACCTCTTACCGATACATGCTACGTACGAGACACAACTAGAAATCGATCAAAGACAAGGCGAAATGCAGCTTGCTCGCCCGATGAAAAGGAAAAGTCCAGTACCGAAACCAGAGGCCATCTCCTGCAGCTCTAGCACCCATCGCCCCGCCCCTTTCCGCTCTCCGGGCGTTCTCTATTAATGTTAAAAGCCAAAAAACCAAGGTTGCCCGCGCATTCGGAGGCTTTTGCTTTCGTTCCAACCCGCTTCTCTCCCCCAAACTTTGCAAAGTTCATTGTCGTCACTTGAACTAAACTTTAGTAAACCTCCTTCACATTTTTAATTCTCATTGTTAAACTTTTTACTTTCTCCTTTCGCACTAGAAAAATCACAGACTCTTTTTTATTACTCCTTCTCACCTTACATTTACTCTCTGAAAGCTCTGCTTCAATTGCGCCTGTCGAATCAATCTCGCTGTTGCCTTTCTCCAACGGACTACTCACTTGTTTTTGTCGCCCTTGCCCCTCCATCACCCAGCGAGCGCAACGCAACGCAGCCGACCTGCCAGTACGAGCGAGGAACAACCCAGTCAGTTCAAGCGGCGCACGAGTCATCCTTGATTTCTGACCCCGGCCCTGGTTTTTCCTTCGCTCTTCTCTCATCATGGCCACGCCAGAGAAACCTCGGCGACGGTTTGTTCCAGAGCCCATTGAGACCACGTTTTCGACGAGCAGATCCAACAAGACAAATGAGAAGAAGGATCAACAACAAACTCCCACTATGAGACCCAACCCAGAACCTACCCCCGAGCCTTCGCCTCGTTCGCCCTCCCCCGGTCTCCATGAGCTGCATCAGAAACCACGACCCAAGCGACGCTTCGCTCCTCAGCTGATTGAGACCTCTCGCAGGAGTCGCAGAGAGGGAGATGCAGGACCCGCGACCAAACCTACCGACAAGACTGACATTACCCCCTATACGAGGAACATCTACAACGCAACAAAACCTCGCGGAAGGAGACGAGATAGTGCCCACGAACCCCCCGCCAATGGACCCAGACGTCGCGAATCCGAGGACGAAAATGTCGTCCAGTTTCTACTGGAGATTGCGGCGAAGGAGGCAGAGCGACAGATGCAGGAGGCTGCTATGTCTGCTTTCCCCAACAGCCACGTCCGTGAAGGCAACGTAGACCATTTCTACTTCCGCGAGAGTTCAGGAAGCGATCAGTCCCCCGAAAGTACGTCTCCAGTGCACGATCACCATGGTCACCCAGTCAAGCACCACCACAATGTGCGGCGGCAGTCATCCGACAGCAACCTTGGCTGGTGGCACAAGCACATGCAAGAGCATGTCGAATCCAACCAGGAACAGCATGACGATCATATGGAGGTTGATGAGAAGCACGATGAGATGGATACCCTCGTTGAAGAGCCCGTTCTGGAGACGCCTGTGATTAAGGAGGACGACACCATGATGCGCACTGACACTGCCGACCTCGACAACATGGAGTTCGACATGCCTCCGGATCCGATGTGGACCACCTCTAATACACCCCGTGATAGCAGCAGCAAGCGGTCATCGATTGGGGTCAGTGGCCCGATTGGCGAGACGCATATGCCGCTGCTCGAGACCGACTCTTATCTGACCGCCGAGCAACTCAACAAGACCGCATCCCCGGCACCTGCAGCATCCGGGCATATTGGTGAATCTACAATGCCCTTCATCCCGTCGGCCCCGGCCGTCGGATCTGCAGATGCTCCTTTCGCCAAAGCTTCTCAAATACCCCCAGACACCGGCGGCTTTGCTTCAACTCGCAACCTTGCCCGACCCTTCGGATACCGACCTTTCGGACGTGGATCGCCTGCTCCTTCTTTCCAGAAAAAGCGTCTGGGTGTCACTCCCCCCATGCTCGGCAAAGATCTTGTTTTCCGGAAGTGTCCGTCTCCCAAGCAGACGAAGCTTGAGCCCGATCACTCATTCACAGAGCAGCACAATGCTGAGGAGAAGCTTCGGGATCATTCGGGCGAGAACGGTCTCTGGCGTGGTTACTGCTTCAGATCAGACTCGAATGATAACTATCTAGTCCCAGCTGACCTGCATGGCCCACCGATGCTGGCTACACCCAGGCCGGTTGTGACTCCCGGTACTGCCTCGCATATCAGTTCCCCACCTTTAACAGACGAACCTGCGTCCGTGAATGGCACAACCAATGGCCGAGCCAATGGTTTGTGGACACGGCCCGGTCCTCCCAAGGGGCTCCACATGCTCCATGGTATCAACGAGCGCCTGCAGAAGGAAAAGACCCATGCTGAGCTCGAAGAAAAGATCGAGCAGGAGTTTGATGATAGCTTCGTTACTCAAGTCTACAACTACCTATCACTAGGCTACCCCGCTATGGCTCGCTCTTTTGATGGCGAACTATCCCGGATCAGCCTTATGAGTATCCAGGATCTCGAGAAGGATGACGAGAAACAACTTGCTCAAGGTCACCTTGTCGAGTCAGAGGCCGATAAGCCGCGCGATCAGAGATGTCCACGATGGCATGCCCTCCAGTCCTACATCAAGGAATGGGCTAGACAGCACCCAAACCTTGACAGTATGGATCCTGTTGGGTGGGGTGTCCGAGAACGACGAGGCAGCTGGGCTGTCTAAGCTGCACGTTTGCGATACTTGTTTTGAGCTTTCGCTGTTTGAGTGCGCTATGTTACAGCCCTCATTTGTTGAGGGTGTTGATCAATTACGATTATTACTTTTAAACCATGGATGGGCGTTCTGCTTTCACAGGCTAGGATCTTGTATGCCTGTTGTTCTTTAAAATATTTATAAGAAGCATGATGGGACGAGGAAGTCCCTGGACTGAGTTTCTGTTGGACGTGAAACAGAGTAGAGGAGGAACGAGATATACAATGGCTTTACTTTGCGATGGCAATGGAGTGTAGATATGGTACATTCTATTAGAATACCAAGACCGGGGAAAAGGAAAAGATAAAGGGAATGAGCGAATGGCTCAAGGAATTGGATTAGAAGGCAGCGTGCGAGAGTGTCTAGCTGTACACGCTTGGTGGTGAGAGAGTTTCCAGCTCTACACGTATGGTTGTGGACAAAATACACTTTGCTACTGATTCGAATAAAGGAAGTGGGTTTTTGCTCACTAGTTTTGGCTTTGATTGTGCGTACTTGAGTTTGTCATCTCGCCATATTGGCTGCGATCACGAATTTGACTCGCCGTGACCACTTGCTTCGATAACCTTCCATGCTCTCCCGGCGATGTCAACAGCATCCCCCTCTTTCAGCGCCTCTTCACCCACGATTTTCTCACAAGGCAACTCTGCATCTCCCATTCTGACGGTCCTCTTCCACCCACCCTCCTTCCACTCCCACCTCTCCAACGTGATACCATCCCCAACCCTCAGCAAACCCTGTACATAGCATCCCAGCTTCACCACCGACCCTCTCACGCCGTTCTCGTCGTCCTCCGTCTGCAGAACAAGCGCCCTAAGCTGGGAATCTCCAGGCACAGCGGTGGGTGTGGCGTCATGCCAGAGCTCTTCATACGCTGTGTCGATGCCTGTGTCGGGATTCACCATGCTGCCCTTCTCGAGGGTGAGGGAGTCTGGCCGCGGGTACATGAAACCTGCGTCGGAGCCGAGTTCACGCGAGGATATCCATTGGTGGAAGGTTGAGTGGGATGTCAAGTTGTCGTCTGGGTCGGGGATTTTGGTAGAGACTGTTGTGCCGGCTATGGCCCAGTCTAGTTGAGAGAGAGGAAGGGGATCTAGGGCGTTAGTTGGATTAGTGATGAGGGGGATCAAGTGAGTACCATCTTGGCCCGACCATGAACTGTCGTTGTCTGGGAGCAGTATGCGTAGATCGACGAAGCGCTTGAGTTTGGGGGAAGTGACAACAATAGTCGAGGTTGGCTCTGAGGGTTCATCGGGGAGCCAACGGATGAACTTTCTTATCGAGATTGTGCCCATTGTGTTCTATGAGAGTGACTGGTAATTGAGATAAGTGAAATGGACAGAGTTGAGTTGAGCCCTTGATGAGTTACGGAGTCAGAGGGAGGGGTGGTGGATATGCGGGGGCGGAATATGGGGTAGATAGGCACGCGGGGAGCGGAACGGCGATATCCCACCTTGCATGACATTTGGTGGTAAACTATTGAGCTTTTGAGCCCCATGAGTTGTAAAATTCAGGAATGGCACTTAATAAACTGATGCTCAATAATAAACGTAATGACTATCTACCTACGTAGCTATCCTGATTGCCTGAGCTGAGACACTAACCGCGAGCCTGTGAATATAATAATGCATATTTGGAAAGAGGATGCAAATGCACTTATTATTGTGACCCCAATAGGGATAGATATAAACAAGGCAGTGTTTACACCCATTGCCAGGATACATCTTAGACATAAAATCAGCCAATTTGAGACGTGCTTCCGTTCAGCCCATACTTGTAGGCCGTAGTTGGTGAGTAGTAGGACCAAGAATCCCAGGGTACAGATTAGGGTATGTAACTCCAGTGCGCCAGCAAACATAGAAATATACTCAGATCTAGGAACAATCCGAGGCAAAGAAAATGGAACGCTGAGAAAGATCAAGGAGATAATGAACCCCCACTTGGCAAACCCAAACCTGGCGATAACAGCAAAAACCAAAGCGAAGCAAAAGTAACCACAGACGAAAAGTACAAGGATACAAGAGTTAGGTAAAAGAATCATCACCAATAAAGAGCCTCGGTCTCCAAGAGAGTTAAAAAATAAGGCAGGAAAGTTTGTAGTGAGTAAAATTGCAACAAAGCTCTGTAACACAGTATCGTAGCAAGCGCGCTTCGACGTGACTTTCCAACTCGCTTGAGACATCCAGATTTCGAAGTTTATCCACATGAATTGGAGACAGGGGTTGGAAAATACCATTAATATAATAATTTGTATCACGGGGGTGATGAGGCCATCAGATGCTTGTTGTGTAAAGATGAAGTAGACACCGATCTCGAGGTAAGACAGCAACGCTAGCAAGAGAGCAGCTCGATAGGCTATGGTGTCCACATGTTGCAACTCTCTGATATGGTCGGGACCATTAGTAATCTCATTCTGGTGGGGAGCACCGGTTGTTTCTACGATAATGTTCTTTGCCTTTGTGTAGAAGTTCTCGAGGGCTATTACTAAGGGTGCAACAAGAAGAATGAGTGGGAGGATCTGGCCGAATGACCATTCACTATCGTCTCGAGGACTCGATGTTCGAAGCTCGTTCAATCTGATGGTTATCCATATGTTACTGAAGAGCAGCTAATAAGCCTGTCATGATGGGATTAGCAAGACTTTGCAAGTGAGCATCGATAAACAGAAAGATGCAGTACCTCGGCGAGAAACGATGTGAAGAGGTCGATTTGAATACTTAACATTGCTAACAAGGCGATCAGAATGGGCTTGAAAAGACTGCCTAGGGCGGGAGACCAAGGGCTCCGCTCGTCTGCCGTAGTACCACCAGTGCCATATTGCCATTCTCTTGACTTTTGGTACAGCTTAGATGCGATGCGACGCAAGCCTCCCTCGAAACCTTCCAACATCTTGGCAATACGGATAACTAGGCCCCAAGTGAGAAGGAGTATCATCTTGATAGCCGACTGAAATGCGACTGACTTTGTATCTGGGCTTTCCTTGAAGTAGCAGATGGCTGGACGGCCACCCTCCCCAACTAGCCAAGGATCGCCGCCAAATGTTGTTGACAGCCCTACCGCGGCAGATAAAAGAACCTGAATGATAGCCATAGCTATTAAACGCCAGATGCATTTGACTCGGTTCCTGGCAAGATGGTTTCGAAGAAATGAGAGGCTCGCTAGGTGTGTGACGGAAGCCAGCCACGCAAGGTAGATCATGTATTGCCAGTGATAGGCAACTGTATCGCAGCCCAAAGATGCGAACGCGCCGATAAGTATGGCCAAGGCAGTAAAGATCTGAATGTCTGCGAACATGAGTACGCACTGCAGCACATGGGACTTAGCATTGCTGCGATCAGTAAGATTGGATGCGATATGCGCTCTTACATTGGTCAACACAGCTTTGAGCCTTGATGGTCTCGCTGAACCTGATATCAAGATCTTGCCAAGACCTGGTACATTTCGCAGTATCTTGTGGATTGAGTAGTCGACTGCGTTCGGGTGTTTGCATCGCGTTTGCGTGTCTTCCTGTCGAAAAGGATCTAATCCCGGATCAAAGGCCTTGAGATAGTACGCTATGAGCACGACGACTACCAGCCAGGCTGTGACTATGAAGGCCAAAGTTACCTGGATGACGTTAGTGATGCAATGCGCTCAGGCAGTTTGAGTCTTACACCGATGCCTCCTATGTCGCTGTACGGGGGAATCTCCTTGGGGAAGTCTTTGCAGGTAACACTGCACGCATTTGATAGTTTTGGCATCTTGAAGCACGTTTGATATGCAAGCGTAATGTTGAAAGACGTTGAAAGCGAGAGTCGCGGGGGTAATATGGGAATCAGGCTGCGACTCCTCAGGCAGGCTGTGGTTTCCCCAGTCTGACACCAACAGCATGTATCCAAGGCTCTATTCATAATCTGTGTACCTAAGGTACCTAGGTATACTACCATAATTTGGTACCATTGGGTGTATGGAAGGCGCCCGTATGCGTATGAGTCTCTGCACCTTTTACTCGTCACTTCGAACCAGCTGAGACTTGCACCGCCGCCTTGTTTTCAACTCGAGCTGTATCTAGGTAGGTAGATAGTGGTAGGACAATCACCCTTAGGTCCAATATGATGGTGTTGGTGACATTGTCTATTCCCGTTGTTCTGTACCAGCTCTTGAACGAATCTTTATGCACTTTTTATATGTGATGGCCACATGCTTGGGCTTGGCGATGCGATACGATGTTACAAGGTCTTTGGCACAGATCCACTTGAGCTTGGACCCTGAACCGACAATCTGGACCAGAAGACATCTATCACCATCGGCAGATTGAACCATTGGCAATTGAAACCTCTAGAAACCTTTAGACTTGGGATCTGTATAATTCACGGCACTCACAATAGTCCGTCAATTTCTACAAAGGAATGAGCTGAAGCTAAATAGGCGAACACAGGGTCCATCGTCCAGAAGTCCGTGAGGCGTTCAATAGCGCAACGGACAAGCCCAAATCTAGACTCCGGGTCTAAGCAAAAGTGGAAACCCCACGAAGCTATTGACAACAGCTGAGAAGCTATTAAAGAATTCCACGCGAGAATAACGAGGAAATATCCCGCCATGCCAGGGGAACATCAAGACCCTGCGCTTTCGGCCGAAATGTTCCGTGGTATATATCATGGCTCTGCTCACTGCTGCGCGCGGCACTGGTGATTGATCTTCCAACCGTCTTTCGTGTCACTCATTTATAGCCTCTTTTTGGCTTATCCACTCGTTCTTTGACGATGCGTTCCATTTCAGCGCTTGTGGCTTTGGCCCTTGCAGGCTCTGTCGACCTTGCTGCGGCAGGTCTTTGCAAACCCTCTTCTCCTCTACAATCAGGCACGACTACATCTGCTTTGATCACCAGTGGCAGTGCAACGAAATCAGTTCCCGCTTCTGAAACCACCGAAGGCCCAGTTGTCATTACCAATGCCGTGACCAACGGCGACTTTGGAGGCTACGATCCTTCAGCAGATGGTGGTATCTACGCCTTTCAAGCTGGTGGCGATGCCAGGCTTCTCCAAGGTCCTGGACACCAGGGCCAGACGGATGAGAGGAACTGCGTACAGCTCAAGACTAACTCAGGAGCTGGCAACTCGAAAAGAGATTTCGCATCCGACTACCCGTGGATTCAGCAGCAGCTCGATAATATGGAACCCAGTGACTATACCGTTCGCTTCTGGTACTCTGTTGTCAACAATGCTGTGGCAGATACATGCCGCATTGAAGGATTCTACGGCAGTGAGAGGTTTAGCGCAACGCCATATTTCCCTGTTGTCAGCGATGGCAACACCTGGAAGGAGTTTGTGGACTCCATGGCTGTCACGACTACCAGTGGAAAGATCCGTTTTGAACTTATCTGTGCCAATGGTGGCTCTGCTGAAGTTTACTTCGACCAAGTCTTTGTGTCCAACAAGATCGGCGAAGAGTGGGTTGATGGCATTTCGCTGTTCTTCCCTACTTCCAAACACGCCGCTACTATACCCCCAGCGCAGACCAACACTGCCCTTCCTGTTGACACAGCTATTACTAGCAGTGACAGCACGGATTCATCTGATCTTCCTGCAACACAAACTTCCGAGGTCCAAGCTACTACGGACGGAGCTTTGACAGCAGGCCAAACCACAGCACCAGCTCCGACAACCGCTGTCAGTTCCGCACCAACTGAAGTAGTCACTCCACCCGGCCACAAGGTTTGCGCAAAGCTCGGAGTAGGTGACGCTGGCAGAGGTTGCGGTAAGCGACCGTACAGCAGTACCCAAGGCTACAAGAGATATGGCGGGAGCAGTATCACAAAGGAACAATGCGCCGCTCTCTGTCTAACGGATACCAAGTGCCAGAGTTTCGAGTGGCTTTACCAGGGCAGCGGTTGTGCAAACACCTGCAACCTCCTCGCCACGAGCTGGGCAGATGTACCTACCAATGGAGGTCTTGACGCAGCCTACGCCTACGATCGAAGCTGTATCCACGAAGACGAATGCTCTGAGCAGCCCGGTGGTACGGTCTGCGTTAACGTCAATGCTGATACACCTGCCAAATCTTGTACACAGCTCAAAGGCAAAGCTAAGGCGTGTGCCAAACCTTTCCTGACTGTCAGCACCAAGGCTTACTGCGGCCTGAGCAACGAGTGTCGCGATCTTTGCGCCAAGTATCCTTCCTGCAAATCTTACGGTGCTACGTTTGGAAGCTGTAGTTTGTACAACGAGCGCTCATCTGCAGTTGCTGTGGCGGGATCAGAGCTTTACTGGTTCACTGACATGGACTGCCATACTTGTGGAGAGGGCAATGCTTACTTTAACTATATCCCTCTTGGCCAAGATCCAGCAAACGTCCCCCGGGGGACATGTGCTGCGACGGAACCGACGACATCCTCTGCTCTGTCTGCAACAACTGCGAAGCCTGTCGTCGAGCCTACATCCAATGCCGAGACACCCACCAGTGCAGGCCAGACTGACGATAATGTCTCCTTACCAACAAGTGCCCCTACCATGACAACTACGTCCCCTTCCAACACTGCAGCAGCGTGTCCCAACGGTGTCCCATCCCCAGGAATCTGCACCAGCGCAAACCCAGTACCCTCGACGGCGATTTGTGGCAAACATGGCTGGCCTCGGATGATCGACCCTTACAGCCTTGGTCTCAAGGACTACCCCAACCAAAACTCCGTCGAAGACTGTGCGCTTATTTGCAAACTAGATAGACAGTGCAAGGCTTTTGCATTCGACGCTACCCGCTCCAACTTGAAGTGTATGTTCAGTCCTCTGGACTTGAACGATGCGGGTATGGACGAGGACCCCGGGGTTGCTGGTGCATGGAGGGATCTCGAGTGTATGAAGTGCAAGTTGTGCGACGATCCCGCCGAAACAGAGAGTGCCCCTTTCACCTCTCAGCCTACCGTGGCTCCGACAACGATGGTGACATCAACTCGCTCTGTTGATGAGCCTTCTGTTACTGAAGCTACAACTAGCAGCTCGTCCACAGAGGAGTCAGCTACAACCACCCAAAAAGTCCCCCAACCCGAACCCACAGACTGTGTAGCCCCCTCAGCATTTCTCAGTGACGACGTCACATGTGGTCTCCCAGGATTGAGTGGCCAACAGGCCCAAAGCGCTCGTCTTGATAACTATGTCATCAAGCCAGTTGGAAGTCTAGCAAACTGCGCCGCCATCTGTCTCCAGCGGGCTGATTGCCGAGGATTTGCTTACCAGAAGAGCACGACTGTGTGCTTCCCGTATAGAGTCGGACCTGGGGGGCTGGGAATTACGTATAACTCGCAGGCTACTGATAGGTTCTACGATAGAGGTTGCTTCGGCTGTAGTTCTTAGGAGGATAGTTACTTGTCGTATTTTGGTGTAGCATAGTGCAGCGTGCAGACCTATTTCTTGCGAGGGTCCCTCAAATATAGACTTGCCATCACTTGATAGCAAATAAAAGAAGGCGAGCGCGAGTCTCGACCTTTTGAGTTAATTTAAATATCTGTACAGAGTACTTAATTACGTAACATGAGCAGTCTCTCCCGTGCTCGTTAATATGAAGCAGCCTCCCTCATCCATCAATGTTATCGTGCTCGGTAACACGCTCTTGATCGGAGGGAGCTTCCCGACATAAGTCACCTTAATCTCCGTCGAAAGCTTGCAAAGAAGAGTTTCCAACGGAAACCGAGGTCGCTGAAATCTTGAGGGTGGGCGGACATGATGGTTGTTGTGATAGTGAGAGTTGGCTTTGGCCAACTCGGTCCCACACCAATGAGCAGCGTGTCGTCCTTGATAATCTTCTCTTAAATCAGGAGGATAGAAAATCTCTATTGATCTCACTCGCATGCTGAAGGATTATCCAAAATTTAGACCAGGTCAACACTTGCATCATCTAAACGTGTTAAACTATAAATTTAAAGAGACTAATTGTATAATGAAACGATGCGTTTCTTCTTCCTTTATCTGGTTTCGTCATTTGCTGCATCTTTATATCCCTTGTAATTTCTGATAATAAAACAAACCACAATGATACAAGCTCTGTGTTGATTATCCTTTTGTACATGTCTGTAATCTGGCTGACTTTGCCGAACCTTTGTTCTCTTTGCGAATTTGGGATTCGCATCTCTCCTGAAGGCTTTCTCTTATCGCGCCCTTATCATTAACAACAGGCGCTTTTATACTTAGAAAGACTCTTCAGAGTCAGGGTCTGGCTGGATGCAAAAGAAAAGTTCAGCTGATGGTGTCGCCATTATAATCTCCGTTGAGTAGTTGCAACTGAACTAAACCATCAAGACCAACGTTGTGAGTTCTTGATCGAATCGCCCGATTAGGAATAGAGGTCTAGACCGAAAAGAGAAAGGGTGCGGCTAATAATGGGGCACTCGACTGGCACGACCCCACACCAGCTGAGTGTCTTACAGACTTCAATCCTCTGTAGTATGATGAAAGCACATCGGAAAAATACGAAAAATATTGCAATCGATTGAGTCTGTTGAGGAGAGAAAAAGTAAAATGTCCAAAAAATGTAAAAACACACCATACCTAGGAAGAAAATACAAAACTGAAAATACGTCTCAGTATACATACATTCCTTAGAAGTAGGAGAGTATTCCTCTGCTAGGCGATTAACAAGCAGCGCTGTTTTGAGATTTCGCATAGCATACCTACAATGAGTCACTGTCTAGTAACGCTACCTGTTGTGTTTCCGAAGTGAATGTCATATACCAAGTCTGACAAACTCACGTGGCTACCAATGTACAGACGTGTACTACGTTTTGCACATTGTTTCCTTCCACGGGCCGTCCGACGGCATACACAACTATAAGTTGCTTTTTGTTGGACGTCGGAAATGTGTTCTGCCGCAAGCGCAGTATGTATATCCATTCAACTACTGAACAAACTCTTCGGACAAAACGGCCGTTTTCTGAGTGACCGTTGGTCTTGTGTCGCCGCAGGTTTGGGCTCTGGTGACATCCGGTTACCAGCCGGAAGAGGCCCCGGAAGCCCCAAACGTACAGCATGTGACAGTTTTTTGCTCACAAATAGGGTATTTTACATTTGTAGAACAATCTAAGAGGCACGGAATGAGCCCCTTGTTACATTCAAGCATTGTCTAACACAACTCAAACATTACGCAATCTTTGCACCAAGCCAACGTCGAACATATCAGTCTTTTCTACGGCTTTCACAACCTTCTGTTCCGTTCCGCTCTTTGCAGTCAAACTTAATGTACATCCATCATATTCTATGCTAGACCTATTCCTAAGACTTAATGCAGTATCCCGGTCTAATCATCATACCGCTCCTTGTCTTGATTTATACCTTACACGATGAATAGTGATCTCGACTTGAGGCAATTCAACGATATTACCGACGCTTTCGGTCAAAGTTATGCCTGTTGTTATAGCTCCTCATTGATGTGGCTTGCTTCTATGCCATGTCCACCTCCGAAATTGCTTTCAGCACATGGTTTGGAAACAGTAATCAACAAACAATAGACAGCTCTTGCTAAAACATTTCGGTTATTATTGCTGTTTTGAAGTTTTGTAGTCCTCATTTGAGGCTTTGTACTATTCGTGTTACGTCGTAGATGTGTTCAAGATGTGTTTATAGCAAATTATTCGACAGTTCCCGACTTTGCTTGCACTGAGTCTCGCAGCAGTTTGACAGCCTCCGCCCCTTTGCCTGTAGAACAACCCGAATGTTTAGAGTATCATTCAGTGATGGCAATCAATATGATTCATTACCATTTTGTGTTTGATTCAACCTGATTGTCTTCCAACACATACTGTACAACGCCATTCTTCAACGATACCCTTTTTTTGTCCGACTGGAATATGACTGTGAATCACTGACAGCCGACAGATAGTTACCAGCTCTATAGATATAAATTCTTAATCTTCGCTCTGTTTTTCAGTCGATATTCTTCTCCTTACCTTCATCACCACACGCACTCATCGGTATGGCTTCCGAACCCCCTCCCCGGATTGGCTATGCCTGTCAGGTCACAGCAGATTGGGATCCAGAGGCTCTTAAGGCGACACTTCCAACAGGGCTCAATGATCCCCTCAAAGTACAGAGAGGTGACTTCGTCTGGGTCTTCCAGACGAATCAAGACTATGGCTATACTGAATTGGCTCGTGGTCACAAAGAGGAGAAAGGCAAGTGACTACACTGTTATTCTCAATTGAAGAGAAACTAATGATCTCAGGTTGGGTCCCTCTTCGCATTCTGAAGAAGGGAGTGAAACGCGTTGATCCCCTTATAATCGAAATCCCAGCACAGGTTCGCAGCTTTCGACCAGTCGGATCCCAGGCAAGTCAGAGTACTCAAAGTGCTCAGAGCGGTGATTCTTCTGCAACTGTGCTCCAAGCGACTCTTCGGGAGCTTTGGCACCAAACCAAGAGCCAGGAGACGGTGATCAAAGAAGTCATCCCGGGAATGTCGGACGCAAGTCGTGCGATATTATTCCACCCGAGTGCAGCAAGATACGCCGATATCATTCACGATTGTATGTCATATACTTTATTCGATAAACTTGATCGAATACTGACTTGTGTTTTATCCAGGTATTGTCCCTCAGGCCCGCGCAATCATGGCAAATGGCAATTTCAGCGTCGAACAACTCAGGACCCTGACAAGCATTTCGGATGGCTATCCTAAGCACCCCGGTATTTACCTTATCATCTACGACGACTTTGGCGGTCGTAATAGTGGAAACATTGTTTACCAGACGGCTATTTATATCGGCCAGACCATCAATTTTCAGCAGCGTCTTAAAGCGCATAACAGGAACCGGGAGTCGAGGACCCAGTCCACACATTACAGTCTTGCCTCGAAGGCCAAGCAGATGAGAATGATGCCGCTCTTGCTCCAGACTGCTCGTACTGTTCCCGATCATTTTCTCGACATTGCTGAGTTTTCCTTCGTCTGTCTCTTTCGAACCTGGTATGCAACACTTTTCAGGCCCAGAGATCTGGATTCTTTCGGAGCTTACCATACCGACTACGACGGATGTGCGGCTTTCTCCCGCCTGATGAGAGACGTATCTACCAAGACTGGCTGGAATCCAGGTCGCACTTATGGCCTGAATTGGAATACCCCCATTCTTAGGAATCTCCAGGTTGAGCAAAAGTGGACTTCATGGTATGATGAAGTTTCTGGTGTCCATGTTTATCGCACCCGACGTAACATGCTTATCTCTAAAGGCAAGGCCGAGATCCGCTGGCACACGGGTGAAACGATCTCACTCCCTTTGGAGGTCTCCCAGGATGCCGGTTTCAAACATGGACAGCCAGTCCACCTTGTCGCTGAAGTGCGCAAACGTGGCGACGAGTACCTTACTCACCCTTTCCGCTTCTGTCGATTTCCCCCTAAGATTGGTCGCAACCCAGAGCTTGAGAAACTCAGGTCCTTCGCCGTCAAAATACAGTGGCTTCCTGAAGGAGAAACCAAATGGAAACAGTACTATATCGAAAGATCTGTTTTGTGGCAGGCCATGGGCAAGACTGACCCAGTGTTAAGCATCTATCGAATAGGGCTCATGATGCTTAACAGTGTTGAAAAGATCAGTTACTCTGGTGGCCCCGACTGGCTGCCTCACGTCTCGCCAATCGGAATCCAATATTTGCGGTACTTTCATCTTGAGCAGAAGTTGGTACTTGAGATGGTCCAGCCACGGGTTATTCCTTGGCCACAAGACAATACCATGGATCGCAATAAGCAGAGACTGCTCGAGCTGTTCCCACCTCAGTCAAGCCCCAATACTATCATTGGGCCCCGGCCCTCAAAGGGATATTTTGCAAGATTCCGACAGGCGTGCGACATGTGTCTTTCACAACGGACAGTAAGTCGAGGTCATTCCTATTCGTTAGAAAAGGCTAACTTATTTTTCAGACTACCAAGTGCAATTACAGCCCCGATGACGAGTCGTGCCAATGCTGTAGGCCCCTGAACCGTCCCTGCACCTGGTCCAGAGCCACAAATGTCATGGACCTTTTTGTCCATGGCAAAGTCCTCGAGGAGCTTGGTATTGCTGTGAACGTTTCCAGAGAGACTCAGTCGATGATCAAGCGAATGAAAGAGGCTCCTATTGACCCATCTATCGAGGCGAATGACCATGGAAGTTTACCGTCTAACTAAGCTAATTCTTTTGACTAATTGGGGGGATTGGACATGGTGCGCAGCAGGTATTTCAAGATGCCTAGGGTTTTTCATCGGTCCGCCCGGTTTTCCCTAGACTTCGAGATTTCCTTGAGATGCGATAGTTATGCGATTTTGTTTCTTTTCCTTTTACTGGACTGCTTTGACGGATAGTACCACTGGGCATGGACGAGGCTCTGGACTTTTGCTCTTCCGTCCACACTTTATACTGTCTGGCAGTATTCTTAGTCTAGTTCATTTCGCTTGCTAGTAATAAATGTTTTATGCTTGTTTTAATACACTATTATTCCCCATTCGACAGATATATGACGCTTTTCTATGAATACCATGCCATTACGGACGAGTTTTGCCAATTTTAAGAATCTGAATAACAGGATGCAGAGGATGTCAGCGTGATTGGCCAGATGCCACCCATAATTATCCATGATTCAACAACATATGACAAAAGTTGATCACTCTTGCCCCAACATACAATTACCCGTGTGACGCAATTGGTTAGCGTGTCAGACTTTTACAGCTTGTAATCTGAAAGCTCAGGGTTCGAGTCCCTGCACGGGTGTTTTTTTATTGATTTTTTGCAAATTAGCTTGATAATATAGACGTTAAAGAGAATCGATTGCAATAACTTTGGTTAATTTTGGACGTCTTTTCGTGGAGTTGTGAGCGTTTGAAGTTGGGGTGGTTGGAATGAGCGGATGTGGCGGCCCCACTTGTGCCGCCACATACACACGTGTCTGTGGCGCAGGAAAGCCACAGATCTTGTATTGTTTCACATTTTTTTGATATTCTATTACCTTTTCTCTTCAACTTACTGGATCGATTCCGATAGCTTTCGTCTTTCTGCGATGTGTTTTCGTCTCGGTACGTAGGTTTCGAATGTTGATGTGAAGTGGGGCCGTAGCGATGTTGGACTCCACCAAGGCCAGAAAAAGGAATGGGAAATGTGAACACAAGAGACAGAAATAAATACTGAGATAGTGAAGCTGTTCGTCAGGGAGTATATCTGACCAAGCCTTCGTATTCATTTATAAGTGGGAGCTTAATTTCCATTTTCTCTTTTCCACATGTCGCGCCCGTTATCAGCCATGACCGCGGTTGTTATATCAGTGACTTAGTTCCTAACTTGTTGTGTATTCCTTGAGGTGGATTTTAAAGTTGCTTGATCAGAGGATGCTCGGCGTGTACACATTAGTGGCCAACTAGCCGCCTACACCACCCTACACCAAATCATTTGACGAACATGTCAATGTAGAAAGCATGATACGAGTCTTACTGCCGGTAGATCGACAGCATCAGTCAGAAATTTGCCAATCATGATACAAAGTCTGTTCCACTGGCTATCATTTACAAACTCCCATGCGACTGATACCGTTGTACACGACCAGTAAAAAATTGAAAGGTATGTATTACAACTAATATCTCCATTCCGAAGATTCAGACATCTCGTGTGATGTCTGAAACGCATGTATAGGAAAGAACATCAACCAATTTGTCGCTAAAGGCCAGTGGCCTGCTATTTTCCCTTCCCTTGCCGTGGGACAGCCTTTCTACCCTTGAGAGCGTTTGTCGTTCGATCGTAGTCAGGGGCAATTGAGTGAACATATCTGGAAACTCCGCGGAGAATAACGATTTGATCTACACACTTACACACAGGCACACCTTACTCTTGCATTGATTCGGCTAGGAATTGTTATGATGATGATATTGAAGTATTTGTATTCCCACTACTAGTGCCGTATGGCAGTTATACCATTTTAGTTCAGCCTCAAGCATGCCACCACTATAACTAGGCCTCTTTCTTGCTTTGCCCAACTGCTGTGAGTGTGGTTGTTCTGGTTTAGTTCTCGTAACTTCATTCATGTCCCCCCATCCGTATCGTCCATCTTACTGTTTCCTGGCTTCAAATCTCATAAGCTGTACGCATGTCTTACTGCGGCACTTTGACCAGACTGGCAAATTTGCGTCTGTAAAGTTTGATGACTGCAAACTGGTCTTCAAGCGCAAGATAAGCTGAGATCTTAGACGTAGACCAAATACATAATGGCTACCTACCCCGGTGAAGATTACACCCAGAATGACCTGAATAGGCGATTCAAAGACGAAGAGGAGGGCGAGGAAGAAAGACGTTGTAGAGGTAAAGATTATATTCGAAAAGACCATTTGGAGGTCAAGCTTTCAAAGCAGAAGAGAAGCTAGCTGCCGAAGTATCTGCCTAGAGAAGAGGACCTGATAGTGGAGACGAAGCCGCACCTCAGCAGATAGCTGAGAGTGAGGCTTGAAAGTAAAGGCGAAGTCGGCGATTAGAGAGTATGTTTAGAGAGGACTTGAAAGTAGAGGCGAAGCCTCTCCTCGAGTGAACTGTGAGTAAGGCTTGAAACTTGAGGCGATAGAGGCTAAGTTGGTGCTTGAAGGGTATATTTAGAGGGGACCTGAAAGTAGAGGCGAAGCCGTTCCTCGATTGTTAACTGAGAGTGAGGCTTGAAAGTAGAGGCGAAGTCGGTGCTTGAAGAGTATATTTGGAGGGAAAGGCTTGAAACTAGAGGTGAAGCCGGCGATTAGAGAGTGTGCTTGGAGAGGAACTGAAAGTAGAGGCGAAGCCTCTCTTGGAGAGTTAACTGAGAGTGAAGCTTGAAACTAGAGGCGAAGCCGGCGATTGGAGAGTGTGTTTGCAGAGAACCTGAAAGTAGAGGCGAAGCCTCTCCTGGGGAGCGAAATGAGAGTGAAGCTTGAAAGTAGAGGCGAAGCCGCTCGTTGAGTCAACTAAAAGCAAGGCTTGAGGGTAGAGGCGAAGTCGGCGATTGGAGAGTGTGCTTGGAGAGGACTTGGAAGTAGAGGCGAATTCGGTGCTTGGAGAGGACCTGAAAGTAGAGGCGAAGCCTCTCCTGGGGAGCTAACTGAGAGTGAAGCTTGAAAGTAGAGTCGAAGCTGCTCCTCAAGAGTTCACTGAGAGTGAGGCTTGAAACTAGAGGTGATAGACGCTAAGTTGGTGCTTGAAGAGTGTTTATGGAGAGGACCTGAAAGTAGAGGCGAAGCCTCTCCTCGAAGTGTCAAATCAGAGAGGAGGGCGTGAGAGTGGAGATGAAATCACTCTCGGTCAGGAGATGACATCCCCATTGAACCAGGCACTCTTGCCGTGAGGGAGGATCCAACTGGCTCGATTCGTGAGTATGCTGAAGGATAGCGAAATCGATTGCGAGTGACTGGAAATTCTCGGAGGGGTAGATAATGCTCTAGTGACGAAGACTGTCATGGAGTGCAGCAGACCTGCGGAATATGTCAGTTTTATTCCAACAGGTCAAGGGAATAAACGTACTGTTCATGGACTACCATGAGGCATGGGATGCTTTACGACATATTGTCTTGGCCTAGTAGAATATCAGCTTCATGCTACTCGAGTAGACAAAAGAACAACTTACCCGATGGCATGCTTGAATTGAATATGCAATGGTTCTTGGAGGAGGATTTTGTTTTCGTATGTCCATTGGCGAAAGCTCTCATGGAGAGCATTGAAAGTAGAGGCGAAGCCAAAGACACAAAACCTTCGCTCCAAAAACCAAAAAAGGGGAACCCGGGAAGAACTTCCAAAAAACGTCTAAGAAGACGGCGGCGACGACGAAACTAGACGGCGAAAGAGCCGTCTGCGCTTTTTAGGGCGCGGGGAGGGAGAGGGAGAGGGGGAGGGAGAAGAGGAGGGAGGAGAGGAGGGCGGCCAAGGACCATCGGTAACGTGCTGGTGATGGGATGGAAGGACGAAAGGACGACACGATCCAGACGGAAGACATGGCTAACCACCAGGGTACCTACCCAGGCATCCATGGGCAAATTCCATGTGGACGAAATTTTGGGGGAAGGCGCCAACTGCATGGTCGCATATGAGGAAGGAACGGCTCAGGGCAGGCACGACACTTGGGGCAGGCACGACACTCAGGAGCCAAAAGAGGAAAGACCCAGAACCATGACACCAAACTGTGTGACCAGCAAGTTAAGACTGTCATGTAAATACTCGACAAAGTTCTTAATCAAAATCTCTTGTCTTCGATTCTGCAAAAACATATCGAGTCGTTGGCTTCAGGAGTGTGGTGATGGGTGTCGCTGACAGGATTCACCTACTAAGCAAGCCTTGCAGTACCGAGAACCATGAGACAATTTCCCTCGGATGAACCGACTACGGATTGATGCCTTGTAAACCTCCAATTATGTTTTATATGAATCATCTAGCAGTCCATGAATCAACCAAAACTTGCAATGAACTAATTCCCAGCACCCGTAAACTGAGGAAAGATTGCATCAGACTGGCCGAATGCACTGAGACTGCTGCTTCTTTATTCAACTACGATTGCGACTACGTCCTAACAACACAGACCAAGCTCCTTCGTCCACACTGTAACGTATGTCGTCGCCTCAGCCCATATTTCTCTGGATTCTTTGAAGACTGGTAGTTTTGCTGTATAGGAAGAAACGATGAATCTTTCATGATGCAGACCAATTTCTCGACAATTATGGACTCAACGTCTAGTCTTCTGAATACTAGGTAAGGTAGGGGCGGATCCGACTATACCTAAGTCTTAAGTATTGTCTTAGCTGTAATTGGCCCCAAGCAGTCACCAATGACTTGAACTATGAAATCACGGTTAAAACTGATCGTGTGTAGAACTCAGAGCTGAGACAGTGATTCAGCTTTCCTAGATAAATTGGCCGGCGGTCGCCATTCGAACACTCAATCGCGACCTTTGAAAGATTTTCAGACAACTGAGACCAATGTCGGAACGAGAGTTTACGGCGAAATGAACACAGAGTATTGCAAGAAATGGTTTAGAAAATGCCTCCAGTCTCACTTTGACCCTCTCAGGAGTTCAGATCACAGAGCCTGCCCAGTCAGACGAATTGGGGCTGATAGAGCAATACAAGGCTTGCTGGCAGGATTATTCTGGTTGATGTGCGCATACTTCGTACCTTGTTGTTCGATCCCGGAAACACTGGATTTGAGCAATGTGATCACCGTTCTGGAACAGGCTATCCACTTCTGGCTACGGTGTATCGGATAACGGCACTTTTGTAGCACTCTGACTTATACCCTTGCATTATCACGGATAGACAAGGATTCCGAGACTTAGGACACATAAAAGCATGAATCCTCCTCAAGATTACGTGGCAGGGAAATGCTGACACTTCTGTCTCAACTTCTCTCCCCCATCGCAGTTTGAAATATCACCACAATGACAGCTTATGAACTTCAGTCGCCGTGCCGCGTAGAAGATGCGCAGTACATTGCACTGAGCAAGGTCTCAGCATTTTTCGAGGAGGCTTGGTGGAGACTGTCTTGGACTGGCAGAACCCGTGAATCCGTCATCCAGAGCGTCGCGGACAGAAGCCCCAAGAACCTACTGACGGACAGAGAAGTACGGAGACACCAGAAGGTGGTTCACCTTGAGACGGGAGACATCGCGGGATATGCGCGATGGATCTTGCCAGAGTCGCACAAGGATCACTGGCTCAACGCGCAAACACCAGATGTGAGCGATGAAGAGAGAGGGGTCTTTGATAAACGACATGCGGAAACTGAATGGAAACCACGGAGAGATAATGATAAGTATGACGAGCACATAGATGTTTGGAAAGAGAAGTACAAAAATGAAAACGCAATTGGTACGTACAATGGCAACATGGGTGTATCGATACTGAGTCTAAATAGAACTTCACTACATTGGTGTTCGTCCGGACCACCAGCAGAAAGGAGTAGCAAGTATTCTTGTCAAGTCGGGCCTTGAGGAAGTCGACAAACTAGGCCTCGATGCCACGGTAATTGCTATGGGTCGACGTGGTATGGGGCTTTATCGGAAATATGGATTTGAGATTGTTGAGGAGAAGAGTGAAAGCATGAGCGCCCTGGGGGTCGATGAGCTTTACGAAACTTTCTACATGATCCGACGAGCCGTAAGATAGCAAAGTTGTTGGGTTTATCATGGATGGTTTCTATTGGTTGATAGTGTAAGGATCTGAATCTTTACTCGTCACAGGAGAGACGACACCTGTTACTCTTAGTGAATTCGTCTTTGTTTTGGTGTTTCTTTTGGTGATGTTAAGTCGTAATAAATGGTTGTTGATCAACGCTTTCCTATATAATGTAGTACGGAACTCAATACTCCAAGGCACTGTTTGAAAAAGATCCAATGTACCATTACAGTTTCGACTTGATCTTCCCAGCAATGTCCTTTACCTCAGCTGTGAAGCGGTAAACAATGTTATCAAAGCTGTCCTCAGGGAATAAATACAGCCAGCTCAGCTCGTTATCGCCACAAAACACTCCATGCTCTGCGTCCCCCGGTATCCAAACAAGATTATTCTTAGAGACAAGATGTCTCTCGCCATCGACCTCAACCTCGCCGCTACCAGATAGAATGAAGTACACCTCTGCTTGTTTGTGCCGATGGAGTGCCAGGGTTCCGTAGCGAGGACATGTAGCAATCCCTGCGGTGATCGAAGTGCTGGCTGTACCAGGTGAGGACAGGAGCGTATGCCATGTTGCGTTGCCGCGTTCTCTTTCGGCAAAGGAAGACGGCGTGTTCTGTGACTGGGAGCCGATGTTAAGAATGAGTGGTTTCTGTGAGCCTGGAGACATTGGATATGATGTTAGGCTTAGGAAATCTTTTACTGGTGAGACTGGAATAGTACGAGCAGCGTCGACAGATTCAGTTGAAAAGATGTACTATCATAAGGACTCATTGACTTGAATACGGGAGGGGCCTCTTATACTTGTACTCGCCAGTTTCTTGACCCAATATTCCCAGCTCAAATCAACATCCCACGCAAAAGGAAAATCTACGCGGGCCCTAAGGCGTAAAAGGAAAGATAATACGGGAGTTTGATATTGGCGATTTGATGTGCTGTATCGTGATATTGACGTGGGCCACGCCATTGAGGGGTACGCGCCAATCAACTTCAACTGAGTTGTGATAGCACGTGCACTAGACTAGGAACTGTCGTAGAACCGCATGTCCTGCATTAGCGACAGGTAATGGCTGTTATGTAGGTTCTGCTCTTGGCACAAGCAATGCCTATCTCTCGCAGTGGATGCACTTATCAAATGGTATAAGTTGTAGTAATGAACCACCGAAATTGCATATAACTTTCTACCCACATTTCGGCTGTCCCATAGGTTGATAGAAGTTTGGATGAGGCAGCCAAACCTAGTATTCTCAGCAAGTGTATTCCTACAGCACTGAACTGCAAGGCATGCCAAATCTTTCATTGGTAGGTGTTCTGGTCCTTGGCAATGAAACTGGAAAGAAAATAAAATCTTGGTTTCGGCTTCTATTCAAGTTGTAGTAGTTCACGAAAGTCGACCTTGATTGATAGAGCTTTGGAATTGAGTACTTTTCTATCCGGAAGCTAAACCTCCAAACCATAAATAAAAATGCTTTACACGTCAAACTTTCTTTGAAATGGGACAGAGTTTCTCAATAGTTGTACTCTGGACCGTATAGCCATCAAAGTTTCCTCATTTCTTTCTCAAAACCCCTGAAATTAAAGCAGTATTAATGCTCCCATCCCAAAACCTGAACTACTTCATCGGACTGGACTGGCTTTTCCTGTACAAAGCTCCCATCCTTCACGAACCTCGCTGCTTACGACCGTTACAACACCGCCCATTATGTGTGGACTGTTTGGGAAGAAGAAGAAGCCTGAAAAATATGCACCAAGAGTGCACCGTTCTTCATCACTTGGAAAATGGGCACCAAAACCTGTGACGATTGACCCTGAATCAATAGGGAAGCCCCGTATCGCGAGAATGCCACCCGAGCTTACTTACCGAGGGAAGAAGAGCAAGAAAAAGAGCAAGACGAAGGTAAAACGTTGATCTGAGGTACGTGGTTCGTGTTCTTTGGTCTTTGGGATCATCCAGCGAAGCTGACATATCACTGGCCAGGTACTCTGACGCTTGAGGCCTTGCCCACATCGATCAATGCTCAGATCTCTACAGTTATCCTACTCACATGCTGAGTATGATGTGAGGTTGGAAGTCGTCACATATCGACAATTGGGTTGTGGAGCACGAAAGAAGAGTATTGCAAGTTGGTCAGACAAAAGTCATTTGATTCATCTATTAGCATACCGCGAAGAAACTCATCTCGGCCGCTAAGAGCGTTGATACACGTCTGGTTATTTATTTGTAGTCCATCACGCAAATGGATTTGTTGAATAAAAGGTTATGGTATGGTGTTGTTGCTGTGTCATGTTTTACATAGCCTCTCGAATAAATACGGGTGGTAGGCTAATGCTTTTCAGAATGCAACGACAAGTATGGATTACATAAACTGAAATGACTGAGAGTCGGTGACACTCAAACCTTATAAAGTAGTGAGTCTCATATAGATGAGGTTGGAGGTTGTGGGGCGTTGAATGCAGTCCTAAATGGGCCCTGCAGCAGCCAAAAGAGGACCAAGAGACGTGCCATCTTCACATGGTACGACCCCAGCGAGCATGATCTCTGAGACAAACACCATCACGAGGTTCAAAGGATTAAGTTGCAGTGACGCGTAATCCTGAGAATAATGACACCTTCCGCAATTGTACCCATCAAGATTGCACCGGATATCGGAATCGACAGTTTAGGCTCGTATTTGACCCGGCAGTTGGAAGCCACCACTGATTGACTCGATATTGGGAATCCCTTCATATCCGTTACTAACGAAGCGAAATCCGGAGACAACTGACCGTAAGCAGTAAGCAACTAACTGCTCCAGCTGCAGGAAGAAGTTCCCCGCCTGCCCGCGTGCCCGCGGCCGGTGCCCGCTTACTTCCCGACGTCACAGCTCCCTTGCTGAGCTTTAGACGTGCTAGGGTCCGATGATGGAGATGGAGATGAAGATAAGAAAGCAGTTTCCCACGCGAGATGAGTCAATGTTTTTCCTTGACAATTGGAGTAGCCTCATAATAAACGTTTGATCCAACGCCCGTAGCACGTATCAGAAGCAAGAAGTCGGTCGTTAATCTGGTTCCCTTGGTCCAGCTAACTTCTGCTAATGTCCAAGGCTCCAAGCTAGGCCGTTCTCGCAGCGCATCCGGCCAATCCAGAGGCTCGTGCTAGTGGCGATATCGGCCATTCATCTACCCCCTCATTGGTCCGTCGACACCTGCCCTCCCCCTCCCCGGCCGTTCTGGCCTGCGTTGCCCCTGCCCTGATCAAAGCCCACCTCTATTTGCTGGGGGAGTCACCTTTTTTTGCGGCACCTTACCCCACAACGAACGGTTCCACCCCGGCCACCGGCCCTCCGATCAATTGCTGAGGTGCTTTCTGTGATATTTTTTCTCCCCAGGCTGGTCATCCATTTCGCTGGCCTTTCTTAGCGGACAACTAAACTCAAAACCCTTTTTTTCTCTCGTTCGCCTCCGCGCTTGCACGAACAAAACCCTTTCTTGTTCCCTCCCCCTCCAGATCTCCAATTGATTTGTATACCCTTGATCTTTCAACTTCTTGCGCCTCTTGAGCCTCGTGGCTCTTCTCACTGGTCTTGCTCTCACCTAGCTCACATCCTCCACAATGCTCCGAACTCGCCAGGCCGCAAAGGCCTTCCGGGCCGTCGCCCACACCCGATCATTCACCACCACATCCGCTCTTGCCACTGCTCGTACTTCGCAAAAGGTCGCCAGTCAAAGAAACCAGTCTACTGCTGCTGCTGCGTAAGTCTTGACTTGATTATGGCGTTGTGCTGTGCCCCGCGTCCCTGGTATCTGACATGGGGCACAAATTCTTACGCGCGCGCTTTATTCAACGTCCATTACAAAACAACGAGTGCTAATACATGCAATTGCAGCCCCGTGCGCGATATTCCCAGTCCCGGCTTCAATGTCGAGAAGAACCAGAACAATGTCCAGCCTCTGGTTAACCCCCGGAAAGGCGATATGGATGAGTCGTACGTACCCCTCCAGAGCCATACAAACTAAGACACACTTTAACAATGAGGTTGCAGATTCATTGGAAAGACTGGTGGTGAAATCTTCCACGAGATGATGCTCCGACATGGCGTGAAACACATCTGTATGTCAGCAAATTGACATGTCACAGACCGAACTGACCTGAGTTATAGTTGGATACCCTGGCGGTGCCATTCTCCCCGTATTCGATGCCATCTACAACTCAAAACACTTCGACTTTATCCTCCCTCGCCACGAGCAAGGTGCTGGCCACATGGCTGAGGGCTATGCCCGTGCTTCTGGCAAGCCTGGTGTTGTCCTCGTCACATCTGGTCCCGGTGCTACCAATGTCATCACACCTATGCAGGATGCTCTGTCTGACGGAACCCCCATGGTTGTCTTTACCGGTCAGGTCGTGACAACTGCCATTGGTAGCGATGCTTTCCAGGAGGCCGACGTTGTCGGTATCTCTCGCGCATGCACAAAGTGGAACGTCATGGTCAAGAACGTCGCCGAACTGCCCCGACGCATTAACGAAGCTTTCGAGATCGCCACCAGCGGTCGTCCCGGTCCTGTCCTCGTCGATCTTCCCAAGGATGTCACTGCCGGTATCCTAAGAAGAGCTATTCCTACTGAGACTGCTCTGCCATCTCTGCCCAGTGCCGCTTCCCAAGCTGCCATGGAAATGACCAAGAAGCAGCTCGAGTCTGCTCTTCAGCGTGTTGGAAACCTTGTTAACAAGGCCAAGAAGCCCATCATCTATGCTGGTCAGGGTATCATTCTCTCCGAGGGTGGTCCCGAAATCCTCAAGGAGCTTGCCGACAAGGCTTCCATCCCCGTCACAACTACTCTGCAGGGTCTAGGTGCCTACGACGAACTCGACGAGAAGTCCCTGCACATGCTCGGCATGCACGGCTCGGCTTATGCCAACATGGCCATGCAGGAGGCTGATCTGATCATTGCCCTCGGTGCCCGATTCGATGATCGTGTCACTCTGAGCATTGCCAAGTTTGCCCCTGGTGCCAAGGCTGCCGCTGCTGAGGGTCGCGGTGGCATTGTCCACTTCGAGATCATGCCCAAGAACATCAACAAGGTTGTCCAGGCTACTGAGGCCATTGAGGGTGACGTTGCTACCAACCTCAAAGAACTCATGCCTTTCGTTGAGTCCAAGTCAATGGCGGACCGCAAGGAGTGGTTCGGTAAGATCAACGGATGGAAGGAGAAGTGGCCTCTGTCTCACTACGAGCGTGGTGAGCGCTCAGGCCTTATCAAGCCCCAGACCCTGATCGAGGAGCTCAGCAAGCTCGTTGAGGGACGTAAGGACCAGACCTACATCGCTACTGGTGTTGGTCAACATCAAATGTGGACCGCCCAACACTTCCGATGGAGACATCCCCGATCCATGATCACATCTGGTGGTCTCGGAACCATGGGTTTCGGTCTGCCCGCCGCCATTGGTGCTAAGGTTGCCCAGCCTAACGCTCTTGTCATCGACATCGACGGTGATGCTTCCTTCAACATGACCCTGACTGAGCTTTCCACCGCTGCCCAGTTCAAGATTGGTGTCAAGGTCATTGTTCTTAACAACGAGGAGCAGGGTATGGTCACACAATGGCAAAACATCTTCTACGAGGATCGATACGCCCATACTCACCAGAGCAACCCTGACTTCATCAAGCTCGCTGAGGCCATGCACGTCCAAAGCCGACGCCTTGTGAAGCCCGACGAGATTGTCGAGGCTCTGACGTGGCTCATCAACACCGATGGCCCTGCTCTGCTGGAGGTTGTTACCGACAAGAAGGTCCCTGTCCTCCCTATGGTGCCTGTCGGTTCCGGTCTACATGAGTTCCTCGTCTTTGACGGAGGTAAGTTCTCCCATTATTTAGAAGTACGAACAATGCTAACTCCCTTTCCAGACAAGGACAAGAAGCGACGTGAGCTGATGAGAGAGCGTACCTCCGGTCTGCACGGCTAAGCTTGAACCCCAGCTTGACCAATAACCGCCATCCATCTATACCATCTATTCCCTCATGTGCTTTTTCATCATCTCTTGATTCCATCTACCTACGGAGTTTTATGTTATTGTGTTCTTACCGGCTGGTAAAAATGACCTTTTGGGGTTTACGAGGATCAGCTCTCTAAAAGGTTTGGAGGCTGAAATGCATCGGTGTTGGAAGGCAAGTGACCTTGTTCAACAATTGGTCTAGGAGAAGGGTTTTTCTGTGTAGGATCAAGGTGCACATGCGCGCGAGGACGCGAGAAGACAAAATTGAGGAGGACGACGCACGCCAAGGGCTGAAGGCCGAGGGGCGTTTTTATATACCATCACATAATGAATGTCGCTGTGATGTTTCTCTCATACTTGCCCTATATTGCTGCGTTTCGTGTACATTGAACATTGTCGAGGTGGTGAAGTGTCTGACTGCTAGTTACTGATCTCAACCAAACCACTGGACTGCGACAGCCATGCTGATTTGCCTACCTCTGCCGATCCTGGTAGATATGGCAACAAATGCAGCGTGATCGCACGAAACTGGTTACAAAGATTGCTGTATTATTCATGCGCCGCCTGGTAGAATGGACATACGGTGCTTGCCTACAGACGACCCGGTCTCCAATGCGGAACTGAGCCAGATATAATACAAACAACATACTACTGCAGCGCGACACAGACCCGCGAGTTTGGCGCCAGGTCACATGAAAGAGTCCTCTCAGGGTCTTATCATGACTCGAAGAGGTGGGAGAATTGGTAGATAATTGCCAAAAATAAGGCCCGAAGTAGCGTCACCTGTGAAGTCGATTGACGCCCATCACCAGGACCACCTCAGCAACTTCAACTAGAGTTTGTAGCATGCAGATTCCCACAACTCTAAGTAAAAGCTTGATATTTTCTCTTCTTCTTTTTCTGGAGCTTAAACTCGACAGACCCCTACGCCATTGGCGAGTTCCAACGTAGAGTAAAACTCTACTACAGTTGACTTCGATTAACCACCGCACAAATGCCAAATGCTTCCACGAAAGTGCATCGGGCCGTTTCAAGGCTTGAACAATGATAGAACTCTAACCTGCTGACTTGGAACCAGTAGTCAAATTATTCCCTCGCCTAATCGTCGATAATATAGCAAAGTTATCTTATGCTGCCTTTGCAGTGACACGCAGTGCAGCCACTGACCCCACTTGTCAACAGGTGGAAAGCGCTTCTTTTCTGTCACCTCATTTCTTCCTTTCCTTTCCCTCTGCACCAAGTCGTGGACATGAAAAGTGTTGAGGTTAGCAACAGAACCTTGTGGCAAATGGGATTGTTCGACCCATCCTGCGTCAACTATGTGGGACTAGACCATATAGACTGGGCAAGGTAAGTTGCATTTTTATTCCACCAGCACCTTACTCTCGGAACCATCACAGCACACTGACATTCAAAGATTCACGAGGCACGCCAAAGGACAAGACCCAATTGGCACAAGGGGGCGAGTCACACAGGCGATGATGGACAGTCTACGGTGGTTCAACCCCACATTATGGACATTCTACGGAAGCAACTGAGCCTGGAAGTGGCCGAAAAACATTTTGAATCGAGGTTCACGTCATCGAGTGGACTTCACAGAGGCATCACTGGGGGAAATGTATCAACACCATCGAATCTGGTGCGCCGGGGAGGCATTGTCATAGAAAGGCTTGGGGGTCTCGACGGTACCCTGCCAGTCGCAAGTGCATCGCAGGATAGCAGTGAATAGTGCTACTGCGATAGCGGACAACTGAGTTATTCTAGCCCATCTGGGAACGGATCAAGCCATGAGTAAGGCCTGTCCGTAGTATATCGTGTTCAGGGCATAAGAGACGGTGATGATCATCGACCCAAAGGTGTCAAAAAATCTGAGTCTCTAGGGAATATGCATGTTGGGTAAGGATGATGGCGCTGGGGGAACGAGTGCTTGGAAAGAATGGACATGAAGTGACAACGCTGGATGGAACGAACGTGAAGTGGCTAAAAGCAAAAGGTATGTGGACAAAACCAATGTGAAGGCGCTGATGCAAGTGAAGGACAGGAAAGGAATAGGGACGCTGAGGGAATGGAGAGGATAGGATAGGAGAGGATGGAGATGGAAGAGGATGAGGAGGTGATGGTGGAGTGGTGAGTGGGATGATGCAGAAGAAAAGAAAAGGATGGTCAGTGGGAGGGGGAACGGGGTTTTGTAATCGGCCACGAAGACGTTGAGAGGGAAGGAGCGCGGGTTGAAGCCATACGCTGGCCCAGTTGGGAAGGAACGAGGTCGTCTCCTTCCCATCGCGACTCCCGAATATCGGACAGCCATTGGCTGCCTGATCCACCCTTCTGCGATGGGGATCTTTCAGTTACCATGACCGTAAGAATGAGAGATATGAGCCATAAGAAAGAGCAGTGAGGAGTTAGAACACAATGCAAATCGCCACACCAGGTTGATATCAATGTTGCTGTCGTGATCGAGTGCAAAGGAAGAGGTAGTGAGGTTCATGTTCTGCTTGTTACACGTAATATTTACTGCCCAATGATCATTTTTGGTATCTGGGATTACATGGAGTGTCCAAATTGTCCTTTATGGCTTGCATCCGAGATAGGGATGAGAGAGGAGTTTCATGGAATCAGATGGTCTGATTGACAACACGAAAAGATGCACTTTCTACAGCAAATATGAAGTTGCGATCCCGCGAGACCCTGGCCATCGGTGTTGGGAAATCTATCAAAGGGTACCTGTTACAGATCCTATGGCTTGTTTTACCAGGCCCCAGATGATAATTTCACAAATATCAATATTCTGATTATTTGCCCCTATTCGCGTGCATGAAAACTTTCCTCGCTCTTTCGAACCTTGCTGACGCAATGTTAAGTAGCAACGAACGAACAGATGCATCTTTAGGCCCCCTTTGCATTTTCCTAAGTCAAAATGCGTACAGCTAAGCATGTAGAAAAGAGTGCTATGTCACGTCTTGAGCTGTCTCGACGCGACTCTCCAATCTGACGTTGAACTGGCATCAGAGCAAACGATGGAAATGGGAACAGAGGATTCTCCAACGATAGATTTATGCGAGGGTATGTTTGAAGATATTCGATTTGGGAAATAAAAATATCTCTACAGCTTGATAATCACATAGATACACAATTCAAATAAGGAAATTGTCCAACGCACTTCCCCCTCTCCACTCCTCCCTCTCCAACCCACATCCCATACCCGTCAAACACTCCGTACATTCCACTCCCGGGCTCACCAAGGCATCAAGAGCCCAGCTCCAGTAAGGGCACCAACAACTAGCGCAGCCATTGGAGCAAGTCCCAGCAACTTCGGCTGACGCGAAGTGGCATCATTCTTGTCATCCTTGCCATCGCCGTCCTTTTCATCCTTGGTATCGTTCTTAGCAGCCTCGACATCCGAAGCCTTGAAGACGAGTGGGATAGCAGGCATGTTCCTAGCGACAACGACAGCGGTCTCCTGGGTCCAAGGGTTTGTGGACGGTCCTGTGGTCTGAGGCCAGGTCCCTGTCACAGGTATCGCGGAGAGAAGGCCCTTTGAGTCGGTCCAGGACTCGCCCTCCACGGTGTAAACTGTGACGACGTCGTTTCCGGGGGAATCTTCGTAGCAAGCGTTGGTGAACTCAGATGATTCGAAGGGCTCGATGGAGGTTTTGCAATTTCCGCCCACGACACCGGTCCAACCGCTGTAGAGGCACAATTAGTTTAACAATACATTTTGTGCCAAAGGGGATACCTACCTCGGACAACAATAAGCAAGAGTCTCAGAAGGCTCCAGAATATTGAGCCATTCGTCATCTGGCCTCATGCCCTGCGGCATTGACCAGTTGCCCCTGGCCGTAGCAGTGAAGAAACCACTGCGTTCCACCGAATCGGTCTTTTGGCCATGAGCGAGAACTGCAGCGGTGGTCCAACCATGAGGGCAATAGACACCAGGTGAGTAGTAGTGTTGAAAGCCTTGTCCAGATTGTCTGCCAAACCTCTCGGCGACCATAGAATCCAGGACAGAGCCCGAAGGAATGCATTTACCAAGACTATCGGCAGTGCATCTGGGACTGCCAATCACATACTCCAAAGAGCCTGAAATAGCATATTGAATGTGATCTGTTGTTGCGGTGAGGCATGACGATGGGGCAGTGTATGTCGTGGTCAAAGGACCGAGATTGGTGATGGCTACACCGAAGTATTGTGTTGCAGTGGGCATATTGAGAAAACAATTTGCGTAGTTGTGCTTAGCTGATTGTATTGAAGCTGGTTCCAGATTTTGAGGTTATCACCGACTCTACTTTCAATATATAGTATTGACATCCCTTGCATCCGGGGTAACGGCGCGGTATTCCACGGACGTAACCCGTTTTCGAGGCTGAGTACCTGGGCGCATGCATAACAGCTCATATTTCGTTCAAAAGATTGATTGAACCAACAGTCAATTTCGAGTCTAGAACAACACCCGGCGAGTTCCCATCTGAGGATGGCGTAAGGCACAGCACCCGCATTGGACCTGGCCTTGCCAAGTCTCCAGATTATCCGGTTATTTGAATAAAGGGTAAAGAAATGCTGTTGGTTCTAAACAACGAAGATCAGAACATATTTTTCCGTATGCCCTGAAGGCGAATTGATAGAACTTGTCTCAATATCTGTCCGTGATCTGTGCTGGAACATCAGCTAATATTTCCAATGACTCCAATAACTCCATGCCTCGAAAACGCTCAGCTGTCGACTATTGTTGAGTACCTGGCAAACAACATGAGAGAGCACAACCATGAAATAGCAATTGTAGTGCTATCACGCATTGCCTTCTGCCAGAAGCATAGACAACTCATAAGTGCCATTATCCTCCACTGCATGCCCATTTTATCCGTGGCACCACTACCACAGAGTTGAAAAGTGCCAATCTTGGACATGCTCCCCCAATCACCGCTCTACGCCTACACAGCCACAACTTCGTGACCATTGTTTGTAATTTCGTTTTCCCAATCCGGTTTCTTGTTGGGATTGTCGTCGCAAGGCTCTTCTGCATCGTGACCAAGTCGGACAAGCTTCCAGCCGTACTTCGACTCTTCATCACTATTGACTTCGGTGCCGTGAGAGCGGCGCCACTCGAATCTTTCGATATGCCGGCCTGCGCCTTGGCCAATTTGCATGCCAAACCAGTAACACTCTTTCATAATACCCTTGCTGCGGAGGATTTGACTTTCGGAAATTTCCAACCCAGGAATTGGAGGAAGGTAGATGCTGAAGTTGGTTCGCCATTTGCCTTCGATGTCGGATCCGGCAAGGACAGGGGAATCTGCATCGGGACCGTCGTGCAGCAGCATCCTGCCGTACCATCCGAGAGATAGACTGACAGAGTAGATGGGCTCTTGTTCAGGTTCTGAGATGTGGACAAGGATCTTGGAGAAGACGCCCTTCTTGTATGAGAGGCAAAGAACGAATGCCGCGTTGAACCGATTGGTTTGATATTTGCGGAACCATCTTGGAATCGGGGTATCCCATACTGGCGGTTCAAATACGATCGGCGTGTGCGTTTTGTATTGTGACATTGTTGGCTTTCGAATGGAGACGTGAGAGAAGCCATGGCATGTTCTTGGACTGCTGGTGTTTATAACCAATCTATCTAGGGAGATGCAGTCAGCTTAAGCAAGAAATCAAAGTGAGGCTGAACGAATTGGAACGTTCCAAATGATCAGAAAAAGCATAGTTTCGGTGACTTGATCTAGGTATTTCGTACCGATTGTAAGACGACAGTGACACATGATTGGACCATAAAAACAGAGTTCCAACTAAGAGGCTGGACTAGCATGGAAGGCAGTCAGCTTCAAGGGGACCTCGAAATGTCTATGTCAGGGAATGCCAAGAGCTAGTCAGGGCCAAATAAGCACAGGCATGATACAATGTTGCTTGCCAAAGGGATGCAGTCAGCCGAGATGTAAGCACATATAACATCTGCCTAGCCATGCTTCTTCTTTGATGCATAGTTTCACAATCAAAATCTCATGTCAAACAAAGGATATATCGTGCTGTAGAGGGACATATTGTTTTGATTAACGTGATACTTAGACTCCTAGACTCAGCTACTTGGGCTATTAAGAGAGACTGTCTTGTGATTTGTTGATGCGGTGCCTTCCGAGTTTCCATGCCCTGTCCCGTTTTCCTTGTCCCATACTTGGAAATGAAGATCGAATAACCTTATTCAATATCTAGGCAAGATAGGTCAAGGTCACGCAGATATCGAGGTTGAGAAAGTTGTCTTTTACGACCGTTGAAAAGACCTGGAAGCTCGTTCCCGTGTGATCCAACTTGGCCAAGACCCCAAGTCTAGAGGCATACAACCTTGCCAGTTTCGTTAAGCCTCTAAGCTAGTATGATTGTAGTTTCCTAGAAAACAATTAGTCCTGAACGAAAACTTTCAGAAGGCAAGGATGATTCCACCTTTAACACCAGGCCACCCAATAGGTCGGCCTTGCCAACAACCAGAGTGTCCAAGAGATAGGGATGAAGGACACCCTGGTTGTCGGGCCTGTGACATACGCGGCACCTTCAGGGCTGCTGGGCGGGCAGAACACCTTCTGTCCATATTGGTGCTCGTTTCGTTGTGCCCTGCCCACCTTGCCACTCGCAGCGTCAACTCAACGCTTCTCTTGCTGAACAAGTCAGTTAGAACATGATGATAATATTGTCTGTGATGATCAGGCTTACCAAATATTTCCTTGATGCTTGGTGCTTGGTGATGGTGTACCGATGGCCACTTGAAAGGCGTATCGGCTACTGGAATCAGTCATGCTCAAACGAAGGGAAAGGGAACGGAAAGTGTTTGAGCTTACCTGTATTACGGCCATCGGTGCACCATAAGAGAGCCGTCCAGTATCAGGCTTGGTGACTGGTAGGGATGTGGCAGCCCGATACTGGACAGCTAGGCATTATGTGGTGATGCCAGTTTGTGATGAGGGGGGAAAGATGGGGGAATAAATTGGGAACTGGTGTTTGAAACTGGAAGGCAGCACAAGGGCCCTAGAGAGGATGGGTATCATGCAACAACCTAGGCACAAGTCGCCAAACAGGTCCATTGGCCTGGGCGTTCGGTCCCTGTAGCTGCGAGCCACTCAGGCCACTCACTCCCTAATTGCCCAGTTTGACTTGCTGGTAACAGCTATCCGCCACAACATATCTTGCGTTTGAACTCGATTGGATGTTTGAAACTTTTATCACTACCTTCTCCTTGCACTCACGCATGTCTACCGTGCTGTAAACCTCTTTGTCACGCCCCTGTTGCTTCGACCTAGGCAGCTTTTGAATTTTGCACAGCAACAAACATGCCTTCCTGATCTAAAGGATTGTCTAGCACCCCTCATCCAACTGAAGACTACTTAGTGAAGCTAAACTGACTTTCCCTGGCTGCAGATCGTCGATTATCACTGTCTGTTGAAAGATCCTCCCTTCCACTACGCACTGGGCGACCTATTTTCTGAACTCGAGCTGATCTTATTTGAACCATCGAAAAAGTAGGCCTAAAACTGATATCTCGGCCGATGCCAATGGCTGTGGACAGGTTGCCTGTTCTTTCTGCCTTCAAAAATTGAGTTCCTCTTCCACAGATCGCCCAATTTCTGCACTCGAGCAGGGACCTCACCATCTCCAAGCTTGGAAGAGATGCATGTAGGAGAGAGCACAAATACAAACATCACCGTACTAACTGAAGTTTAAATGTAGATATTAAAGAAAGTGCCACCCCTTCCGTCACTTCGTTGAGATCCTCTGAGCCTTTCAAAATTCGAGGGTCGATGGATCGAGTAAAACAGGTCACTATTTGAAACAAGAATCGACAGCTATCTCGGGTTGCGGTCCGATGACCGATGGCAACGAATAGGGGCTTGGGTGTTCAGGGACTAAGAGGTAGAATCTTGGTCGAACAGGCAAGCAACCCCTAGATTTCGCAGGCAGCTTGCTGTACTCGGAGAGAACGTCTAAACCTACGTCGGGCATTCAGATATTGATCTTCTCTCACTGCTTTTCCCCCTCTGATTCTGTGAGTGGCCAGAAGGCATCTCTTGTGGATATCGACTTACAAGACTACAAGAGCAGAGACTCACAGGTACAAGTGCTACAAAATGACGGTTGCTATTCTGATCAGCTTGATCAGTTCATCAGGTTCATCACAAATAAGCATATTCCAGCTACGAGCAGCTTCATATCCAAATCGTTATTCAATTATACATCGTCCAAAAGAAAGAACAAGATCTCCATAGCTGTCTTGTGCTTACAGCAACTGTGACATGGCCAAAACCAAAGGCACCATCGCCAAGGCGAGGCCGGGTACCAACCCAGCCGCAGCATTGCCTGGAGCTACCGCCGGAGTAGTCTCAGCGGCACCCGTTGCTGAACCAGTCGTCTCAGTAGCAGTCGTAGCCGTGCTTGAGGCAGTAGTTTTGCTCTCGGTCGCTGCACTCTCATACTGCTTCACAACAAAGTCGGCAACCTCCTTACCGTACTTGGAAAAGTACCCTGCGTGGGTCTCAGTGTTATTACCCCCGTCGCAGTACACATCGCCTGTGTCACAGTACGAGCGGATAATCTTGCTGTAGCTGTCCTCGCACAGCTTGGTGTTGTTACGCTCGAAAATCTGCAGCCCGCGTTAGAATTAGGGGGAAAACAATTCTGGCATTGTGTTACAGCAGGGTTTGGAAGGCTTTGTTGTACTTACACCGTCGTTGATACTGTTTCCTTGGTCGTACGAGATGTTTGCCACGTGGCTCGGGTCGCCGAAGATGATGATCGCAACAACTGCTTCAATTAGTATCTGCAGTCTGCGATGGAGGACTGCCTGGGATGCTCACCGCTGTCTTGGACGAGATCCTTGGCCAAGGGCTTGTTGGTTGGGAAGTCTCCGCCGCTTCCGCCGCAGAAAGTGTCAGATGCTACCTGGCCACCCTGTTTGATTGTTAGCAATCATTCAAAGGAGATGGGTCAATGTGAAGCAAACCTGAGAGTAGCCAAAGACAGCGATCTTGCCATCAGGGCATGAGCTGTGGTAATCATTGACGGCAGTTGTCAAGGCCTTGACACCAGCGGCCTCAGAGTCCTCGTAGTTCGGGTCCTGCCAAGACGCAGGGTAATCGAGAGGTTCGACGACAGAACCCTTGACGCGTTTAGCCACGTTCTCGGCGATCTTTCCAATGACTCCGGTTCCCTTGTCCTCGCCCGTGCCTCGCGCGGCAATCATGTACAATCCATCGGCGCATTCCACATCTGCTGCGCTCTTCTGAGCGAGCGTACCGACAGCAAAGAGGGCGGTTGAGATGGCAAACGGACGCATTTTGGGAGGATTGGGGAGGGGAATTTGACAAAGAAAGTTTGGAACTGAAAGAAATGGGTCAGTCGGGCCATTAAGTTGATGGATGCTGGGGTATTTATCTCATCTCCCAGCCAAAGCCAGCCTCCAGGATCTAACCTTTCCAAAGAAAATAGACCGGGGTTGGACGCTCGACCTGTCACTTTCGGTGTCGGTTCCGGGGAGCTTCCAATGGTGGTTTAGCCCATGATGACGAGATGGAGAATCCTTGCAACCCCGCAAGCCGCAATCCCGAGGTCTGGGCTTTTAGTCAGGGGCTTTACTGGGTGACTTGGTCGCATGGCTTGTGAGAGGCGGTCCTATGTTCGACTTTGTTTCGATGGAATAAGCCAGTATCTTGCTAAGGTTCTGGCTTCTGAAAATGGCCCTTGCATCATATGCAATGCGTGGGATTGGTTAGCCTAGTACAGAATGTATCTTACCCCAACCCAATAGCACAGCATTAAGAGGCCAGGAATAGCACAATCGCATCACTAGTAATAAATAGATCACGAAACGAATCCGATTGATTACAGCAGACATTCAATTGGGACGAGAACCTCGACAATGCTTCGAATTTTCTTTTCACCTACCTTGGTACGAGATACGCCAGCCTGTATTAGTTGTATACTGGCCTACCACCTTTTCAGCTCATAGTCAATTTAACCCTTGACAGTTTTCGAAGGGTTACATCCTTAGATGAAGCAGATCGTGATTTATGGTTACATTTCCCCAGGTGTATGATATAATTCATTGGATTGATGATCTACAACGCATGAAATGGACTCAGAAGCCAGATAGATGATAGGTGGGAGAGGAAAGCACAGAAAAGGTTGCATTGCAGATTCTTGGCGTAATTCATGGACAAGCTGACGCTAAGAAGATCGTAGCTCAGCCAGTTGAAATAATTACCGAGGCATGAGCCAAATGGAATATCAGAAAGCAGTGTGGTGTAGCCGTCAAGGACTTAATATCGACGCCTGTCAATGTCATGCCCATCTGGAAGGTTTCGAATATTTCGGAGTTTCGAGGCATGTTGCATGCTCTATACCAGCGATCTTTCTTGCTTCCGACAGCAGATAAGAGCTGCAAAGGGGCTTTGTGGTTCTTCGTATTGTTCTTCGTAGATGGGGTAGTCGTTGAAGTTGTATATACTTGGAATATGCACGTACTAAGATGATGATTTTAGACCTGATCAATTTCAAGTTGTCCCCCAAACTCACATGGCAAGAAATGAGTGGTTTATTTCTTGTTCAACGACAATGTAGACCAATGTGAACTTGACGTGCTTATGTTCACTGTCATTAGGACCCCTTTTTTCTTTTGAGGAAGCCAGCAGCAACTCGATGGGACTGTAAAAACGTGCTAAACAACAGACTTGGCAGAGTGACTGTCTTGGCACAGCCTCCAAGCGCTTTGAGAAAATCGAGCTTTTAGTTCAAACTCTGGTGGCCAATTCTGAAGAGCGTCAAGTCCTCAGAATCGAGTATCACACGCGAGTGGTTTTGGAGGGATCTTGAAGGAAGTGGCCGTCAACGAGGCAATGGCATCAAGACCTCAGCGACGTGCATGTTCGAGCAGTGACTGTTTCGGCGATCTATGCCATATTTGTAAGTAAAAGTATGGAGTTTGAGATTGTCTGCACAAGTGCTGTAGGTTCTTAACTCAACTTGAGAACATGGTTGTTGGGCTTCTGATCTGTTGTGGCGAGGGCATTCATAACTGTCATGTCCTTTCCGAGATTCTAGAATTTGGTTATGTGTCGGCTCAAGTCGAAGCAGAACAAGCCTGAGTTGCATTGTTCAACACGTTAACTAGGCCATCAGACTACTGTTTGCTAGGAAAGGCCTTCTCGAACTGTGACTGGTGCCTGTCGAAAATGTTTGTATTTCGTCTGATAGCTCTCATGTAACACTGCATCTAAAATTCAAAGATAACTGCATAGAGAAGAGGAGGGGAGAGAAGGTCACAGCTTTCAGTGATTCATCAGGCGCGAGTACAAAAGGAGAACGAAGTCAAGCCCATCTTGCAAGCCCAGAGTTGTGAGATAAGATAAGGGGGCTGCTGCGGAGTGGAACCACGACCTGTCAATCACCTCACCTGTCGACATACCCGAACCGCAGGTGGCCACATTTCAAGCCAAATCAGGAACAGATCGAGTTGAGTCCAACTATCTTCACCGTTGCTGATGAGATCATCTTGACCTACTCATTTCAGATAACTGATTGCTCAGTTGCAGTTACAACAAAGAACATACCACGCTTCAATACGAAAAGCACCACCCTGGCACATCCCTTCGACCTCTCTTGTCAAGTCACTCTCGCCTAAACAACAAGAATCGTTGAAACCAGATCTATTCACAAGTGAAGCCAAGCTCGTGAGCCAGATAACGGGGAGGATGCAGGACTTCAGTCACAAAGAAGACACTCGACATCCCCGATAGAAGCTTCCAAGTCACATTGAACCTAACATTCAGTCGGCGATGGAGCTTACCGAGACTTGATGAATGCCAGCTTCCCAAAGTTTCCCATCTGAAAATCGTTGCAGACTTCAAGAAGGCGGCCGAAGTTATGATTCCTACGGTCTCCACAAGGCTTGAAAGCCAAGTGAAGACACCAAAGTAAGCCTAACGTCTAATTCTTTCCAGTTATTCCTATTCTGGCGCTCATTATCAGGACGAAAAAAGCGACATTCACCGTTGCAAGGTCTCAATACTCATGAGCAACGAGCTCCACCGGACTCCCATGTTAGGCCATTCCCGAAGATGCTCGAACCAGGAACGCGAGAACATAGCCCTCAATTTGACAGAGCAGTATATACCTGAAAAGGTTACTGACTTCACTACATCTGCTATCCAGTCCGAGCTAGCATGATGCCGCGCAATGTGGGTTTCAAGGTGTGTTGGCAGATGCAGTCCCACAACCGAGTTTGATTTTACGGCAGGCTACATGTCCAGTTGAACCATACTGACGTTTTTAGATTGACGCCGTAGAAGATGCCTTTCTCTGGGGAAGGGATTCGAATGTTCTCACTCCCGGCAGAGAACCTATCGCGGCTATTTGCGACTGGCCTGGTCTCATATACCAATCACTACACCATCTCAAGCCCGGTCCTTACATCCAACACTCCGGTCCATTGACAATTGAACAAACGTGATCAATATCTCGCCCACAGAATTCCACAAGACCATAAGACCGCAGGGCCGAAAAATTGCCACTTCAAGAGGACGGTCTACCCCCCTTCGTCAAGAGGAATATACCATATCAGGAATAGAAGAATCTCTAGTATATCAGGCCTATCACACTAAAAATTTTAGAACTCAGAGACCTCTGTCAACGAATGTGCCAAAATTCCAACATCGGGAACAGGGGACACCCTGTGCCTAAGCTACTCAAAACACCAATCACAACTGCCACTACAATCAGCCATTGTGCACTTCAAGCCCCAACGGTAACGAGCATATTGAGACTTGGAAGGACACCGCCCCGTCAAGAGGTAGCAGAAGAAGCTAATCTTTTTAGCAAGACGCAACGCTCCAGCTCAACCCCCAAGTCCATGGCCTAAGGACAAACAGCTCACAGGGTCGGAGCGTTTGACATGTCACCTTTTCGGGATGCCATTGGTGATGCTTTTCTACGAGCATACAGGCAAATCCTTCATGGCAACCTGGTTCAATCTCAGGTCCTGCTGGCAAAAGCAAGATAATAATTATTGGATAAGTATAAGCACAGTTCGGCTTTATTGTACGTTCTCACCTCACTCCTGGTCTTACAAGATCTATCTGAACTAATACATTCTACTAGTTGCCTCGCATACGACCGAAGATAAAGCTATTCAACAACCGAAGTCCCAATCCACTACGACTCTGCATTCTGTCAACCAATCGGGGTAGGCGAGAAAAAAGGTTCAAGCTGCCCGGCTTATAAGAAATGAACAAGACGGCTGCACATCCCTCTCGTTACTAGATCTTGCAGAATTACCCTACGTATCTCTCTGCACAACTTCAAAGGCTCCAGCCTCAGCATAATGGGGTTCGGATTAACAACTGACCTCCACGAGACCTGGTTGGGACAGCGTCCCAATGTACTGAGGATAGCTGCATCTTTAGTAGCTAGCATTTGCTCTTGCTGCTAGCACAAGGGCTCTTTACATGAATAGCCGCTGGCTAGACTTGAAACTGGAGCATTGGGAGATGACCTCGCTTGTGAGCACCGAAATGGTAGAAGCGCTGTGCTACATCCTCCTCCAAAACCTATCCTGTCGAGATGCTGAATACTGTTATTCAATAACCATTGGATTAGACGCGAGTCAAACAGGCTGTATCCCATGTTTTCAAAGACCGATCGCACCACCGTTCAATTGCTGCTGATTTCTTTTCGTTTGTCATCGAAGTGGCTGATTTTCTTTGAAGGACCTTTCGATCTTTAAAACAAAACTTCATCTTCCGCAAGGGACTTTCCTTCCATGATCCTAGCTTTGACAATCTCTTCCCTTTGGAAGCTCAGATGGGCTGGTCTTGTTGTGGAAATAGACTCTTAGCTCTAGCTAAAGGGCTTCTCAGGCCCTTGGGAAACAGAGCTGTGATTGGCTAACCTTATTGGATTCAAGCTGTTAGTCTTTGGTATGCGTATGAATCTCTGCTGTTGATTCTTCCATGAACTCTTTTGATACAGCGGGATCTTTCCTGTTTACTGTAAGAGGGTGCTACCAGACTCACTGGGAATGGTTTATGAAATACCAATTGGGTAAAAGTGTAATCATCGCAGTTGCAAGGGGTCGATCGATTATTGTGCTTGTGGTGTGGAACGGGTTGAGGGGTCCGGGAGGAAAAGCCAGCTTTTATGCGTGCGGCTGTATGCTACTTGTTTACTTGATTAGAGTTTAGTTGCCATGTGTGCCTTCTATTCTCTTTATCATATTTAGTTTAACTTTGAAGTTATTGCATTGCTGATGTTATTGAGACATTTGGAAGGCCTGGGTAAGTGAAATTTAAGATCAGAGTAAAGATGAGAAAGCAAAAAAAGTAAATGCACACGTTGGAACTGATCATCACAGTAATAATACGAAACTAGATTGAACTTTCCTTGTGTCTAGACGCTTCGATCGATATTAATCGTTGGAACCACCGTGGTGTTGATCGCTGTTGGTATGGTAGTTTTACTGTTGTTCCCAAGAGATCGTGGAAGAACGATAATTAATGTATGAGCTACGAGTCTCTCCAGTAGGGTTTTCGCTCAGTGATCCAGGTTAAGAGACGCAGTATGTATCAAGTGACAAATGTTTGAGGGCGGAGGGTCGTCTCGTGCTATGTGATATGCTCTATAAACAACTCCCCAACCGACGCCGAGAAAGCCGAAGCCCATGCCCTACGCGAAACCAAGGATGCCAACAGCGGGTGGCTCGAAAACCTGAACCGACGAGCACACGAAGTGACGATCGCAATTGTGCCGGTAGAGCTTGATGGGGCCGTGTTCCTTTGTGGTCGGCTGTAAGACGGATCAATGACTGAATAGGAGATCTTGACTATCTCTTCAAGTTCCTGCCCTGGCAGACACACATTTTCATCCTCGTCTCCTCGTATTCCGAATTCTTGCTCGCTCGGGGGTGTTCTTCTTGGAATCGTGGGAGCATCTGGCTTCCAAATTGTCAGTGGCTGGTATGACTGCAGAGCATGGCGAGAACCATTCCTAGGAGACATCATGATGGTAACCGGCAAGGGTAATGAAAAGAAAAACAACGCGGCTTGACGATTTGTGTCAAGTTGTAGTTTTTGAATTACACTTTTATGTCTTGTTTTTCCACTGAAAACGTCGTATAAAGACACTGACCTGGTAAGAAGCAGGGGTTGAGTGCTATAGAGCCACTCGTAGATTCAAGAAACCACGGATGGTGTAAGCTTTCACCTGTTTGTATAGTTGTCAGTGGTCATTGCTGTTTAGGAAGATCATGTGGGGGAGTATGGTACCTGATAGCATTTCCTGAGATCGATTCATCCTCAAGGACATTCTCAAGAGGGCGAAATGGTCCTCATACTCCTAAAACCACGATCAATAGCTCTCGAAGAGTAGACTGCACGTAGATAGATAACTGTCGGAAATAAAACTGCTGTGGTGTACAGAATATCAGGTAGTTGCGTTATCGTCCAGGGGGCAAACCTACAATTTTTAAGTTAGCCATGTTTCCGAAGCAATGCACATTATCTTTTTATCTACCTCTGGTTTTTGGATGTGATTCAAAAGAAGCAGAATATGTGATCCTTAATTTCTTTCCCTTCCTGAATCGGAGGGAAGACGGCTTTGTTGCAACTTGTTGGCGGCGCAGGTTTTCACCGTGGAGGATGCTCAAAATGGGGATGTAGAAAGAACATTCGAGGACAGCTCATGTATTATCAAGACGGCAAAAAGAATCAAACCATTTTGATGTGATTTGTGAATTCTTTTCGAGAATGGTTGTGATGTTAGGTTGGAGTGTCAATGTGTCGTGGTGACGGATGTATCACTGTTAGTTGACCAGTGTAAAACTGGTGGGGGGCTTAGCACTTGGTACCAACTTTTGTGCAGGCCACTAGGCGGTCATGCCCATGCATAAGGTGCCTGTTCTCTGGGCTGAGTCACTGACCTTCACTTCCATCCGCACATCCACCCGAAACAAACAAACCTGCACTTTTCCTTTTGTTTCCTCTTCCCACCACCTCACCTCACCTCACATCTCCTCTGCTCTCCACTGGTCCTCGCAAACATCTGCAAGATTCCTCATTTGCTCCTACCCATCACAAGTTTGTTTCTCTATCCTCTTACTCCTCTATCACCAAACCCCTAGTTCGCATTTTCTACCGTCACCATGGGGGGCAAGGCCTTTGCCCATGTGACGCCTCCTCTACTCACTCCACGCATGTCGAAGGAGGTGTACCTTGCAGCCAAGAACCAAGTAGTTCGTGCTTTGAGCAAGGGGTTTGACTGGATCGACTCACCAACCGAGGGGCCCGGCAAGGAGGACTACGGTGACATCGACATCATCGTCACTCAGTTCAAAGACCCTCGCCCCAGCAAGGAGGCGCTCCTTAGCCAAATCAACTTCCTCCTCGGATCTGAATACCAGATCAACTCCAAGGGTGATGAAATCTCTGGCAACTTTGCTATTCCTTGGCCAGCGGATTTTCCGTACCCTTCCGGTTATGGAGAGGACAAACCTGATGACGACACATCTCCTCACGTCGCGCCTAGCTCTACTGCTGGCCCATCGACTCCCAAGACCGCTCCTAAGAGTCTTCTAGAGTCCAGTCCCAGTGACGATTTCGAATCCAGCCCCAAGATTCCGTTTCCTAGTCCCAAGCAACCCAGTCCCAGAACTCTGGAGGCCAGGGCAAAAGCCTTTGTAAGTCAAGAACCCTTCCTTTAAAACGTAGGTGATATTCAAGTGCGAGTCTGACTGTGACATTCAGTTTGAAAGTGGCATTTGGACTAGGCACATTCGCGTATCCTCGGTCATCACTCAACCAAAACGCCAAAGCTCACAGGGATCTGCTCCAACGACCCCTGATGGGGGCGAGAAGCGACGATTCTCCTGGATTCCAAAAAGCAAAGCACCATTCATACCACGAAACTGTAAGTCTTTTAGCACCTTGTATCCCCTTAGTCAGTGCTAAATGCTCACCAAACCAGGCTCCTACAACACGTTGACCAAGGCACTGGAAAACGCAGACGAGGCCCTGAAGAAGAAGGTATGATCTCTTTTGTAGCCACTCTGTGTATTCTTTATTGACTCAAAACTTAGAACCAGTCTTCACCTTCAATACCAGACAAGCCAAGCAATGTTCCTATCAAGCGCAAGCAGCGCCTCTACATTCAAGTCGATGTGACTTACTGTTTCGACGTTAGGCAGGCTAAGTACATGCGCTTCTTCCAGTCTCACGGTGACATCTGGCAAATCCTAGGGTCCACCATTCGACCCATGGGCCTCACTGTGGACAACGTGGGACTTTGGATCCGTGTACCTGAGATTGAACGAGTGAACAAAAACCAAGCTAAGGTCTGGCTTACGTCGAAACCCACCTTCATTCTTAAATTCATTGGGGTGTCGATTCCTCAGTATTATCGACCTTTTCAAAGCATCGAGGCAATGTTCGAGTACGTTGCCAAAAGTCCCATGTTTTCGGTACCTCCCAAGGAAGACAAGGAAGACAAGGACGTCGACCTCGCGACTATGACACATAACGATCGCAAGCGCATGTCTGCGCGCCCAGTCTACCGAAAGTGGGTTACAGAGTTCAAGCCCCGTTGCCGTGAGCAGGGCCTCTACTCCGAGTCCGTCTACACCCGCGAGACCGTTAAGGAGAAGGCCTTCAGGGAATTCACGATAGAAACAGAGTACCATGAGCGCCTGCGAAAGTACATCTACCAAGAACAGAAGAAAGCCATCAGGAAGCAAATCAAAGCTGCTCTTCCCATCGGCGACGGCGACGGCGATCCAGATCAACAGGCTCTTTCTCGACGCGGGCTCACTATTAAGGCCATGAGCGAAATCCTCATTGACGAAGTTGATGAAACCATATACGGTATCGTTGCCCCACGCGCTTTGCTAGAGCCCAACGGCACGTACAACATGGACAGGGTATCAGCCTTCATCACCGCCAAGCTGGAAGACGTTTCCGCCGCGGCCCTGAAGCGCGAGGAAAAGATGTCCAAACGTCGTGAAGCCCACAAGGAGATCAAGGCCAGGTTGGTAGAGCAAGCCCGTATGAAGCGCGAAAAGGAAGCCAAAGAACAGCGCGACGAAACAGAGAAACAGAAGCGCGACTTGGAAGCTAAGATCCAGCTCGAAGCAGAGACTTACCCTGATTTCGACTAGTGCTAATCAATGGTCTACGCTATTTCGAACAGCAGTAAGTCGGACTGATCTTTGCTCCTTGCCATGAGACATCTGCTAACACTACTGATAGACGTGGAACCTAGCATCAACGCTATTATTCTACAGCTACATTTGTAGCCCGTACATCTGATTCGGTCATTAAATCCGGTGTCTTTGACTCATAAGATGTTTTAGGGCTCCTCTGATCTTGGCTGAGATCCAGCCCCTGGGCAAGCCCATACCCACCCAATACCCGACTGCAACACCTTTTACCATCTTGTTGCGACTTTTATTTTGCGTTTTCATAACATTTCCCATGGTACATCTGCTGTCTTCACTTCTTCTTTCACGGCGCTAATAGTTACTCATAGCATGTTTCTTTCAAACTTTTCAAAGGCAACATGCCTCTCGGACATACAGAGTCAGATATCATTCTGCCTCGGTCCTCGCAGTTCAACCATCATCGAGGCTGCACTTTTTGGACTTGTTTTACGGCCATCAAGGCGGCACTCTCCACTCTATCTATATCAGGTCTGGCCAGACTTTTTCATCAACGCCAGAACAACACGGCCATGTCTTTTTGGGCGATATTTGCGGAATCTAGCGGGAGACGATTATAGACTTTGCGGGCCTTCATTGATCCAAGAAGTAACTATCTTACAGTCCCTGCGGGCACATCAACGCCTCGGTATCTCGCAATCACTTACATACAAAGCAATTTCTCGGCTTTGTTTCACATGGGTTATATACGTGGGCTCACGGTATTTGAGAGCAGTCAAATGGGGACTATCATTATTTCCGCCTGGATTCGAATTTGTTTGCATAGGCGGAAATGGGGACGCGGGAATAAATTACGGACCCAAGTGTATATATTAGCTGGATTGAAACAAGTAAAACCCATCCCAATGTGTCTTGTGTTTGTGAACTTGGTCATGTAGTAGAATATTTTGCTTGCAGCATCCTTTTGCATTTGACCACTACTGTGTAAAATATCTGTCTGACTGTGCAACTATCACCAGGTAGCTTGATTTTTGAAATCTGCACAGCAATCTCAAGGGTGGAATTTGAGGTTCAGAGTTTTGGATAAGGAATGACCTCATGTGATGCCACTGTGACACTCGCCATTTTCTTGCCCACGACTTCAGTGATAACTGAAAAAATAGGTAGTTACAGGTCTACCAATGCCAAACATTTACTGGGCTATCATTGCCTGTTTTCTTAGGCTTGTTGCGACCTTTGTTTGGTTTCATTCTAGGGCTGGGTCCCCTATCCTCCCACTACAGGCGTTTGTCCACCAAGTTCCAACGCACAAGCCCCATGCTAACTGACAAACCACCTTCTTCCGAGCTTGATCCAGGTATCACAATCTCTCCCCACCATATTCTCTTAAGTCTTTGATATTCCTACAAAACCTCGCTTGGAATTCCAGTCTTGGTCCGTGTTATCTTTTGGTTCTCTTCCATCTTGAAATACGTCCATCATTTTCAAGCTTTTACAAGTCTCTTGTCCAAGCTCGCTTTTGCCTCGATCAGAGCTATTCATCTTGCTTCGCCCCTGGATTCAACGGTCTTTCTCGTATTCTACAGAGTAAGTAACCTGCCGTCTTGTGAAATTATCTGTTTTCTCGTACTACCCCTACAAGTCCTTCTTTCGACACCCTGCTGACCATCATGGAGTACAATAGTTCACGTCACTTGCTAGCCGCCTTTTGTTGTTGCGTCGAAAACACCACGCGAAGTACGTCTCCGGATTAACAAGCCATATTTTAGGGCTTCCTCACAAAACTACGATATCTGTGCCTCTTCTCTTGTCCTAGAGAACCTTTATCAGTCGAAATCCTTCGGATCAAATCGCTTTCATCCAGACTGTATGCTCAGAGATTTAGATCCTCACTTCTTTTGTCTCCGTTCTTTCAAAGTCCAAGTCCGTCTCAACATCCTTTACTTCTTATTCCTTTACTGTTTTGTGCTTCTTCAGCCTCATGATTTTCTTTGTCGTTCCAGGCACTTCATATTCCTGACGCTGCAGGTCATCAGTAGCATCAGCTTCCGCAGGCTCATGGGATTCATGCTGCTGTTTGCTTTGTTTTGCACTTCCAACGTCGTTTTGAAACTTCCGTTGTGTTTGGTTCCCATCTTGTTATGAAACTTTCCCTTTTCTTTCCAAGTCGCCTCACTCTCTCAATCTTTTTGATTCAGCAAACTGACAATCAATGCTCGTCTAGACCTCCCGATAGACTATACTTCGAATCGTTTCGAAAATCCTTCGAAAATATGCCTCAGGGAACATTTTCAAACAAAGTCCAGACTGCCTGGGACCGTGTAACTCGTCGTCGAGAACGTCGGCAACCTGAACAACTCGTCGAAGTAGAAGCAGTTCCAGGTCGACCTCAGGGCCGAGCCAGCCGCCTTACTCGTGCTGGGTCCCTTCCGAACCTCTTGGACCACGCCAGTTTCAACGAACGCCCCGAGTGGCTTCCGGATGACAGGCAGCACCCTGTAGATAACAACTTCTCTACCAATTCATCTTCTTTGGGTTCCCTCTCTGTCCGTACCGCATTCAGAGATGAAGTTGGTCAAGACCCGACCCATAGGGAGAAATTGAACGTTCCAGTTGTTGCTGTTGCTACTTGTTACACTGGATCTTCCTCTGATGAAGATACCCCTGACCCGGTTTGGAAGCTTCCTGGTCGTGTAAGTCTACAAGAACTCTAGTGAATGCTCACGTATCTTTTCTGAGGCCATCATACTTTTAGCACAGTTTGACAATATGCTGACAACACTTATAGGATTCCTTTCCCGATCGTCAAGGCCAAGGCCAAAAGCTGAGACTTGGACTATTCCAGAGGTGAGTTTTGCCAGATACCTTCTTACATGCTGGTAATATACTGACATTGTACCAAAGTCCTCGACAGATGTATCGAGTCAAAGCCAGCGGAAGAGTCTTCATGATACCCATTGATGTTTTTATTACGCAGCCAGGCTAGGGGTTCCTGCTGCATTCAAACATTCCTCAAGTCCACGGCGATGTGTTTTCTCTTCTCCTTGACATCTGCGTATCTCCCAGCGGCTTTGTCGGTCACGAACGTGGCCTCAGCCTCCCGATCTTGCTTGCCGCTCTTTCGTATGCTTTCGATCAGGGCATTACCTACGAAATCCAAAAGTTAAAGGACACCATCAACCGATACATCGCCTTGCGAATGTTTTACCACAATCCCCATACCAATCACTCTCTTGGTCTGGGTTACTTCGAGTACCGCTCTGAAGAGATCTACCGGTCATGGATATCACTATCCCAAGATGAACGGCTCCAAAGCTCTCTCAGTCTCCATGACTTGGTAAAGCTCTACGTTTACATGGTTCCGTATAAGTGGTGGGCACAGCTTGTTGACGAGTTTAACTGGGATTTCATGGACAACATCCAGCTCGCCCATGACAGAATTCCGGGCAGTCCCAAAAACAGTTTTGCAGAAGTATTCAATGGTTTCTTCCATCGAACTCGTCTGGGCCTCCATCCTTGGATGGAGGACACCGCAAGGTCACATGCTTCTGAAGATGCCGCAGAAGAGCGAACTACTCGCCCTGAGCAGCTCCGTCTAAACACTCCTGTCCTACATCCTCCCGTCCCTATGTCAGATTCGTCTGACAGCCCTGAGCGTGTTTTTCGTCACATTCGTAGGGAAACGGCTGTTTTTCCTCAGGCTGGTTCACCGACCGACTTCGTAGAGCGGTCGGTTTAAGCTCCACAATATGTACGAGCGCTTTTCTTTGCTGGCCGCGTGTCTTGGCTGATCTTCTTCCTGCAGGTATCATGGCTGGAACCAGCGATATCCTAGCCTTACGGTCATTCCCGACCTCCTCAGTACGTCCTATTCGATTGCTTTTCTCGTCTTGAACCACCGACCCGACAATTCTTCTGTTGCTTCTGCTACTCGAAACCTGGTCGCTTTTGAACGCCCTCCTTCCACATTTTCTGCGTTTTATGAAATCACAAACCAGCATTGTAGGCGATTTGACCCTAGGGAGTACCAGCGTGTACTAAAACAATGTAAGGCACGGATGTATGGATGGAGGGATGGATGGTTGAGGGATAACAGGTGCAGGGAGACTGACGGCAAGGCGAAAAGAGGGTTGGCAAATCTTGTATATCCAGTTAGTCTCAATGACATCTGAGCACCTGCAATGGCGGAAGGTATCAAGGTCAATGATGCTATGGGTAGATGTTCTCCAAGGGGGACCAGGCAGACCAGAAATAACAACAATGCTAGCATCCTTGCTCTTCTCAACGATGAAGGAACCCAAGTTCGACCGTACGTACATTCTCCTCTTTCCACCCCCTCAATTGCCTATCTGACTGGTTGAATTTCCTGTCTCACTCCAGTCGACATCATCGAGGCGATTCTGGGCTTCAACATCACTCCCCGGGGCAAGAGGGTTATCTTCTAGTGTCATAACTACAAGGACAAACAGGTGATCATCTCCGAGGACCATCTTCAAGCTGAGCAGTCGGCACTGACTCTGTATATTTAAGGCTTCCCTTTCTTTCAATGCTGACGTTTTGGCAGTTTTGCTCTCCTTCATCAAATCGAAGTCGATTATGTACACTAATGGCGTTCATGACTTATTCCTTTTCGATTTCCATCTCTATTTCGGAATATTTCTTGGGCATATAATCACTAGTAAATAACTGTGGTATTATGAATCCTGGCGGAATTACTCATGGACATCAATTTGGACTCAATACCTTTCTAGGTATCATCAGCCATGTCGTTTTTCTTCCTATCCTTTTGGGCCGTCTAGTATCACTTTGTTCGTTCTTTGAGCATGATGGGAGATGGATCATACGGAATTGGGACGTGTATTGCTGGGAGAAACGGAATGGGAAATGGGAATTTTGGAGTTGCTGAGAATGAAGGAAGAAACATGGGACATTTCATTTGTAAATGCTGAGCGCAATGACACGACGAGGACGTCGCCTTGGAGTTGGCGACAGATGTCAGGTGTCGCACCAACGCTTAACACAATCCAAACCATACACACACCCTTGACACAATTAATGGCTAGTCTTTGGTGCTGGCCTTGCGTATACCATCTCTATCTCAGATACTTCTCTCTGGTAACCATGATAGCCAAAAGAATGGTTACATAGTTAGAACAGGAGTTTAGGTCACAATAGTCCTAATCAAGAGTCACCATGTCTCATTTAATTAGAGTGTAGAGGAACCATCTACGATTTGTGGATTTCTATCTTTCAATTGAACTGAAAGTATACTTTTATTCCTTTCAACTTTGTTAAAATGGCTCAACTACTTCAATTTTTAGTAAAGAGAAGTTGTTATCTTGACTTATTGAAATAAAAATTACAAACTCTGCCCACATCAGTAGGGAGTTGAAGTTCTAGAGGGATACATGGCGTTTACCTTGCTGCGTCTCACAACACAATGAATAATCAAGGTGGATATCTCTGTACAATACTAAGAGTCTTGCCATTCGTCAATCAGTAATGTAATTCGAGAAGTTGAAGAGTCACGCGAGATTCTAAGTAAGGACCGTCTTGTCACATAGCAATACGCAATGCTCCATCTCTGAAGCGTCCAGCTTAACCCAAGATACAAAGCAACAATTGATCAATTTGCCCATTTCTCTACGAGCAGCGAATATCAGCTATACAGGGGCTCGCGATTTTTTCAGCCACCAGAGTCCTACGGTTGACCGAACAGAGTTGGCATGAACCAGAATATTCCAATGCTGAAGTCTTGAAAAAAGAGTCAAAAAGAAAATCGACACTCCACATCACCCACCACCTGAACAGCTAATTTCGGAGATTTTTGGCATTTGCTTCAGGAGCAAGAGGAATCTGTCAACTTAGCGCCACCGGACTCCAATAACACAGCAGCGTGGGGGCTTATGAGTTGACACAGTCGAATTAGGCTCTAGGATCTTCCAGCGGTGTGTCACGGGTCAGCAGATTTAGGTTATTGGTGTAGCCTCATAGAGGTCTTAGTAGAGCTATTGAGAGCTTATGCAAAGGCAAGTAAGATTGATGTTCTTGAGACGAAGACTTGAATACAAAGGGTTCAAGTTTTCAGATGATACTTTTAGAGGGAAAGGGGCCATGACCGTGGCCTTCCATCCTTGCTGATCTGCTTTGTCGAATCCAGGTTAAATCTGATGGTAAAGAATCCCATCTTTCCACAGACTCCCTCACATCCAATCCATCTCATGAGCAACCCGTCACGCCCAGTTAAAGATCTTGATCGTGGGGCAAAGAGGTGGGGGAGAGGTTGATGGGGACGGGGACGAGAAGATAGTGATAGTGCGGAGAAGAAAAACGGGAGAAGACCGTTCTTCCAGACCAAACCATCGTTAGGAGATCCGGCAGTGATGCGGTGGCGGATTTGTTGGTCAAAAGACTGGGCCAGCTTATCCCCCATTGTGATGCTGGATGTCGAGACTGAACGTCGAAGTAGGTTTTGCGTGTATATATGTGATCTTTTCTTGTGTACCCAAAGACTTGATTCGAAGAGGAAAGATTCCGAATATCGGTATGCCTCTTTGGCCTCAACCTTGTAGACCTGCTGATTCACGCGGGTCCATTCTTTGTCGCCGTTCCTTCTATCGCCATCAACTTTGCGGGCAACCGACGCAAGTCTATCCAAATCGACTCGATATTGGCAAGACTGCTTCGTGATGTCAGTATGCAACCCAAAATGCCCATGTGTTGGACCAGAAGCCATACCATCCTGCTTCCCATAACTTTGCCTCTCGTATTCGTCCGTGTCACAGTATGAGGAAGAACCACCAGGGTTTTGACAAAGCCACCAAGGTCGTTCGTCCAACCCTTTGTCCTCACATATTGGCCACGTTCGTCTCTCGAGATGTCGTCAACCTCACAAACACCACACATCATTCTTCCAACCTTCCTCTTCCACTCGCTCATCCCTTCCCTGAAATGCAGTTTGCCGTATTTTTCGTCGCCGGAATCTGTGAGAGAACATTGTTAGTATTCTCGGTAGATAGTCTGCGTATTGGGTCAAAAGAGCAGCAAACCGTCTGTCGGCTTTTTCTAGGCCGTTGCCAACACCCCCTTCCTAGGCCAAAGTGGGAAGCGCAGTTTCAGCTACCGATAGGTATGTTAGCTAGTTGGGTATGACGGGCGCATGGGCGAGAGCAGACCTGTGCCTGCGGTAGCATCGTATTGAGACAAAGAGACTCTGTCGTTGTGTGGCAAGGGACCCGGGCATTAAGATCTCGGTAGTGATCAGGCTGAAAGATTACCGATCTAGCTCTTGAGTGGTCTCGGATGTGGTGGGACTATCCAACGGCAACCGTCGTCCAAATACGATAGAGTGAAGGGAACAGGTATGATTAGGCTGATGCCGCGCCGCCGCAGCTCGAGGTTTCTGCGTGAATGATAGAGTGTGAAACCGCTCACACGTTGGCGTCAAAACGAAGAAATGCACCAATTATCAGAAGCATGACGCCCGGCTGACAGACATCGTAAACCTAGTGAAAACGATCGAGTGTCTACTCGGCCACTCATCTTGGAAGTTGACCAGATTCCTCGGTGAATACCAGAGAGTGAAGGCAGAAAATTCATTCGTCGAGAGTTAACCGTTGAAGATTTCGCGAGGGTCATCAAGCCATATGCTGTAGGCGAAAGGGTTGCGATGCGTGTAACCTATTCCACCACTTGTCAGTACTAGCCGGGGACACATCGCAACAAACATACCTGAGGTTTTCCAGATTGAGGCAGCGCTGAAGAGTTGGACTCTGAGGTCTTGAGAAATCAGGACTGACAGGCAACTTCGTACGCTGCAATAGGATCGGGGGGATCAGTCCTTTCTCTGGTGATCGGTCTTGACAAAGCTCGGGCAGTCAGTCGAAGAAAAGTTTCGGAGCATCTGATATTGGGAATCCATTCCTATACCGCTGGTGTTTGTTGTTTCTAGTAAACCCATTGCTGATGCATCTTGTTGTGTCAGTTGGTATCAATGGTGACTGTTGACTTGGGATTATGAAAAGATCAAGTTCATGGTCTCTGTGCTTTTTCCAACTTGGCTCGATTGTTTGAATGGGGTGATCAAGAACTCAAATAGGCGTGCAGGAAAAATTGAGTTGCAGAAGTCTGGATGTTGGTTGAAATGCACAGAAGATGGTAGCGATGAGAGTGTCTTGACAGATGAAACTCGGATTCGACCATTGAGGAAGAACGAAAGAGAGCTATTCTCGATGACGGCTTCAAAGCAGGAGAGTATTTGCGTTGATCGTCGAAGAATTGAGGAATGAGAATGGCGAGGAGGCGTCGTTTTTATACCGATATGGTGTAGTGTTTGTTTGTGTGTTTGTTTGTATCGGTAATGGGGCTGCTTTAGCTTCACCAGCAGGTGATTGACTGATATGCTGGCTACTGGACCCGGACAAGGTGCACTTGATCGGTATGGTCATGGTAAATGATTTGGAGACCAGTGATCGAGAAAGTGCCTGACCTACAGACCCGCGGACCGGGCTAGACCAGGACTTACAACTGCCGCGAACGGCAGATGCCTGGTCTAGTCCGACGCCTTCTCTTTCGTTCAGGGTTCTTTTATCGTGATTTGTCTCGTTCAACACGGGTTATTTTAACGTGATTATGGTCTCGTTCAACACGGGTTGTTTTATCGTGATTTGTCTCGTTCAACACGGGTTATTTTAACGTGATTATGGTCTCGTTCAACACATCTGGTTATTTTAAGGTGGTTTGTCTCTTTCAACACCTGAGGTTGTTTTAACGTGATTTGTCTCTCTCAACACGCGGGCCGGACGCTTATGGGTCGGCGAAGGGCGCTGCCCCGGTGCGGAACCGGACTGTGGATGGGAGGCGAGCCTCAAATCGCTCCTGGAGAGCCGCCAACTTCTCCTCCACCGCCGCAAGCCTCTGCTCCACACCAGGGAGCTCACCCATCTCGAGATCCTCGGGCTCTGTAGTGAATCATCATCAGTATATGTCTCGTGCAGTGATTCAATACATACTGTTCTTCTTCGCCCAGCTCTTGGCGATCTTCTCCCCCACGTTGACCAAATGGGAGGCCATCCCCAGTATCTTGGACACGAGGTCCACGGCCCCCGCGAAAGACACCATCTTGTTGTTGTTGCTGTTGCTGTTGCTGTTGCTGTGCTGCTGCTGCTTGTTGTGATGGCTTGACAGAGGTAAGTTGAGAATACAAAGATCCAGAAGAAATACATGGTTGTAGCATGGGAAAGAACCACTGATACAAATGTTCCAGGAAGGAATTCCAGGAAGTAGTCCTTGGGAAGAAGTTCTTGGGAAGGGGCCTATGGCGGTTTGCCATAAATCACCAGTCTGAGAGTACATAGAATAATATAGATAATAATTAGAAGATCTATATGTAGTTTTATCCAAGGGTTATATAAAGATGTTTAAAATAAAAGAATTCTTCACAATTCATATCATTTTATCTAAACCTCAGATGAGAAGAAGTCGCTGGAACTTGTGCACACTCAATGTGATTCGTGTTGAATTCAAGGGCCTCAATTACACTTTTCAATCTCAAACAAGGTTTCTATCGCGACAATGGTAAGTGATATACTTTAACCTTGTAGGGAATATAAAACACAAGTAATGTCGCTGTAACAATACAAAAACTTCTTCTCTTCGCCACACTCCAAACCAGACATAAGAATCGTCACCATGTCCTATTTCAAAGTTGAAGCACACCACTCATCGTCGTGGATTCAACGTATGGTAAACTCTTCACTCTCTAACAGGGGAACTTCCCACGCACCTCTCTTGGGTTCTTTTATGTACTCGGATGCGCCTGTCACGAGTGAAAAAGGTTCATTACCGTCGCTCAAGTCCCAAGAGCAAGAGTCCCACGAAAACCAAGGGTCGAGACTATTACAGCTTTCACCAGACCTGTTGCTTCTCGTCTTACTCTATTTACCATACAACTCTCTCTACATGGTTCGTCAAACCTGTCGAGCCCTGCGCAATGTCACCGACGATGCTTTCGAACTGGCTATTATACGTAATCGCGGTGCACTTTGGGCCATTCCTAAATCAGAATTCGACCAACTAAGTACTATCAAGCAAATCTTCCAACGGGGATCTTTTTGCAAACCCTGTGGTCATCTTTTCGAATCGGGTGAGCTGGAAAAAAGACTCTGGACACTCTGGCAGCCTGTTTACTGCACCGGATGCAAAAAGGCCCATCCCGCATTTCTCTTCCCTCAGGGCCAGCGCGGATGCAATCAGTGCGTGGGACTAGTCGGTCACTTTGCCCCATGCAAACATGTCAAAATCTTCGGCAAAATCCAATCGAGTGTCCCAGGTAGATACAGCGTTACATGTACGCATCCCGAACACTCTTCTGTCAACAAGCGGTTTGCTCCATATGTTTTGACTGGGCATGAGTACGGTCCAACCAACCTCAAGTATCGCAGAGCAATTCCCCTGGTAAAGATCCACCAGTATCAATTCCCTGGAATGGAAGTGTTGAAGCTGCATCTGCTGAAACAACTCGAGGAGCTAGGTGGTTACGGGCTTTGTCAACACGCTTCATCACAGCTCGGCTCCATCGTAACGTCTCTAGCATCAGACAAGTGCGACTGCTTCCCAACCTCCGAAAGACCTGTGCATATACCTATGTATGAGCATGGTGAACCATGTTGGTGTTCTAACCACGGGTACTCTTGTATCCAGTGTCAAGCACGGTATTTCTGGGGGTACGAGGAGGATTACATCGTCCTTTTCGTACGCATCGAAACGTTGAAATTGGTTCCGGATAACTCGGTCTGGCTTGCGAATCTCACATTCGATACGGATGAGCACCCTATCTTCAATGATAACACCAAGGGTGTGCTATGGTGCAACGATCCTTCCTGTGGCACAGGCTGCGGAAGGCGGTGGTTGATGATGACTTTCATGCTGAAAAATAGGTTGCAATGGAGAGCACATTTCGAGTTTCTTCCGCCGGTCCGTCCTTCTGCGCTACCTATGACGCTAGAGTATCGAGTTTATCGAGATGCCGCAAACTGGTTGGGATCGAGTGGGATGCCTAGACACATCGAGCGGATACTTCAAGATTGTTATCAATCCGCTGCAATTACAACACCAAATTGACCATCCTTTGATCTTCTTTTCTTATTCGCCACTAGGTCTAAATCAAACACCTAAAAGGGAGTGTAACGATGGGAAAGGGCTTGGAAGAAACGCAGAGGATACTAAGCTTACCACAGAAACATTATGTCGATTCATGTAAACATGGTAACAGATAGAAATAGAATGACACCTCATCTGACAAACGATTTCCATTTTTCCTCACTATTTCACCAGACATTTAACATTTGTGTAGGTTTCAAATATTCTGGACTCAGTGTATAGAGTTTCGGTCCGCACTCGGCGCAGCCATGAATAAGCCTCAGAAGACCCTCCAGAAGGTTATTCTTGGCTTGGTTCAGAAGGATATACTAAGTTCCTGAGCAGGCTGACAGAGGATGACCGAAGTAATGACAGTTTCTCGTCCGGCTCTTGTTCCCTCACAATACATGTTATTTAGCGTGGAGGTTTGAGATGGACCGTTCTCCTTTTGTCATACTGTCCAAGTTCCAGATACAGCAAATAACGGTTGTACGTATATAGTACGTATTGTATCTCTCCCTATCACAACCCCCCAGCTACAAAACAGGTTAACCTGTTCCATCTTCCGTAGTATAGTGGTCAGTATGCAAGCTTGTCACGCTTGAGACCCGGGTTCAATTCCCGGCGGGAGAGATCCAGCCACCTGTGTTACACAGGCGATTCTTTTTGACAATTTTTGGAAGATAACCATTAAAGCTATGCTTCATTCATCTGGGTGCTCCTTTTGCTGCTAGGAAGAGTCGTGTGATGGTGCATTGTGTTTGCACTCATTTGGAGGGGTGAGGCCGTGCACAGAGAAACACAACCTAGGGACGTCATACTTCCTTCAGGGTCCAGTTGCGCTAATTACAATAGGCAGATCGTAATGATCGGCATTCATGCGTGCATAACTGTCCCAGAAAAGAACCTTTGCGGTTCCTGGTTCGGTCAGGAAATTACAATGTTACTACACTTCAGACTTGTACTTGAGAGTTTTGTACAACTTCTGTAATACCGATAGAAGGCAAGGCGTTGAAAGTACATTTTCGTCACATAAGGGACAAATGTCGCATTTGAAGAAGCAGTGTGTTCAACAATTATAGTATATTGTTTGAATGTGTAAAGTAACTATGTACTACTGGATCTAAATCCATCTAACCGAATCGCTAATATATGCAGTGCAAAGAATAAAGTTCATGCTCCCCAAAGTCCTAAGACTTGGACAGTGTTGTCGTATACAGTTCCTCTAGGAAAAGTCTAGTCGCTTATAGACCAGACATTTACTGCTGGGGAACGTTGGAGTAGTAGCAGCCGACGGGCTTCTTGACCTCGACGGCCTTGATATTGAAGCCGAGGCAGCCAGAGCTACCACCGGGCTGGTTCACACCAGCGCTGACCCAGACGGACCAAGAGGAGGTGGCGGGCTTCTTGGGGTTGTTGGGGCAGGCGATGAAGCTGGCACCGTTGAACTTGAGGTTACCATCCTTGCCGATGGACCAGCCCTTGTACTCCCCGTTCTTGGGCTTGGGCTGGGCACCAGTGGTGTAGCCCATGATGCCCTGGCCCATACCGGAGCGGTCAACGTAGACCTGCTGGGGAGGGTTGTCGGTCTTATAAAGGAAAAGCTGCTCCTCGAAGAGGTGGAGGGTGGCCTGGTTCTCCTTGACGCCGCGGTCACAGCTGGTCTTCTGGTCCTTGAGCTTCAGGGAGAAGTGCTCCTGAGCGGCCTGGAGGTAGGTGAAGTGGATGTCGCTGGCAGAGCGGAGGGAGAGACCCTGGAAGATCTCGTTCTGGGGAGCGGCCTTCTTAGGGGCGGCAGAGACGCCAGCGGCGACGAGAGGAGCGAGGAGGAGAGTCTTGATCTGCATGTTGGCGGTTGTTGGTGGTTGAGATGGAAAGTATTTGAGTGCTTGAGTGGTGGAGTGTTGAAGAGTGGATGTGAGAGTGTGAGTGAGTGTTGATGGAGATATATTGACTTGAGGGATCGCGACCATGACCTTATATACATATCAATTGCCTCTCCCTTGTTGATCTTTCATCTCGTATCGTATCGTCATAGCTGAGGATCGTCGTCGGCAGTTGCTCCATAACGGCTATGTCGCCCAGCCCGAGGGACCCGCGGGGAGGTTGTCCAAGTGTCAATGGTCACCTCGCGGAGAAATACAGCACAGTCAGAACCTTGGTGAATACGAGATGCATGGGTCTCCGTGGCAAGGGTACCTAATTATGGGGAGCTAACTATGGAGCTCTCAGGCGGCTCTTTAGTGCAACTGCAGTTGTCCCTGAGAGGCCACTATACCCGCCTAGCCGTAGCCCCGTGATTTTTCTACTTGCCAGCTACGATTCTTGCATTGAAGAATCGAGTTCGACCTGGAGCGGTCTGGCCGAGCTGCCGAAATACCCAGGTCCAGGCCCCTAGTTGACTACAGCTTGCATTGTTGAGCACAGGTAAAATTTGTAGATGTCAAAAGGGGGTAGCGGGGATGTTGGCCTGTCTCATCGTGTCCGCAAAAAAGAATGGCTCAATAAAACAGGTCTAATCAGCATGATCCTGTCGTGGTATTTCTGTCATGCAAGCTGCTGGCGGGGAGAAGGCCCAGGCCGACACTAACAAACGGCTAGCCCCAACTTTTCGGGGGGCTATTATTAGCATCGATCCGGCCTAGACTTTTCTAGAAAGGCGATGAAAGGAATGATTCGATCCCGCCACCAGATGGGTATGCTCCAGTGCCAGCTTGGCCGGCTGAGGCTTGGACCCTCCTTTTCTTGGCTACAAACGTCATGGGCAAGCTGCAAAAAACTACGACGAGAAGCTAGACGTATCGGGTCAGGCAGCATTGGCTAATGGCCTGTTTTGTCTGTGAATCTATGTACGTCTAAGCCTCAGCCCGAACCTAGAATGGATCCCCTCGTAAATGCAGAGACACGCCTACTATGCCAGCGCTCATGACCCATGGTCCACGGTGTGTTGCAGTATCATTCTGATCAATTGAATGGCCCGGCCATATTCACTTCGCTAATACGCTTCGGGCTTGTCCCTTGTTCAGGGGTCGAGCCGAAAATAATGCTTCAACTAGAGGTCTAGGGTATGGTCTCCTTCAATCAGAATCGCACCTTTGACACACTATAATGAAGTCAGCCAAGATCTTTAATCCACCTTCAGACCGAAATCTTTGTTTCTTAGTCCTGAAAGTCCGTGGAAAGTCGGTGGTTACTTTAGGTGAACAAAAGCACATACCCAACAGCTCGCAGCTCAACATAATAACCAATAATAATGTAGCTGGGATAACAATCATGCGAGTGACGAGAAACATGGGTAGAGTGACATACAATCTGCAGGGGAAAATACAAGGACGAACAGTCGTCTGTATATAGTGGGTACTCAACAATATGAAGTTTCAGCTATAGCCTCTCCAAAATATCCGTACGTACAACCTGGGACATAGTTCTTGCTTAACCCACGATCTGCAAAACGCATGTACAATTGGGTAAGTAAATACGAGACTCATTGCAGATCAGCCCGTATAGCAAAGCCAAGAGTTTTGTTACCTGATACTTCGATCTGGCTGAGATCATTGACTGCAAATTATTCTGTGCTCCGTTTTCACAACAAAATGTCTTAGAATCTATTCATGTATACAGGAATTCGAATAGAATCTAGACTCTCGTATTTAGCTCAATAAATGCCACTGCGGTCAATTAGCCTGGACTGTCCGGCAATAGTTTGCCGTCAAGCGAGCGCTTGCACATGCCACGTGATGGATGTAGTCGCATTAGTTGGAATGACCTCATTTGCGGTGCCCAACGCCATATGAAGAACAACGATGCTCTGTTCGAGGATAGCGCGAGCTCTATTGGGAGCTTCTTCACTATCCACCCTTAACACGTCTATCTTTAGACTATGCCGAGCCCAGGACACAGCCCGAATGGCGAGTCTAGGCTCCTCACTCTACTCCAATTTGACCTCAGTAAAGCAACCAGCATATTCAACTATCAAAATCACCAACGGAGCCGACATTGAGAGATTGTATCCTCTCCTTCTCTCGTATGCAAAAAACCCTACCAGAGCAAACTCCCTCCGTGAGGTCATTGTCGACACATATTCCTAGCCAAGCCATTATTCCGTCTTTTATGATGCAGATGATCCGGTGCTACTACCCCAGGAAAGTGGCGAAGGACTAGATGCAAAGCGCGCCAATCGTCGTCACGTAGATCACGACGCACACTCTTTCTTAGAAAGGCATGTTACATCTCTTGGCCTTGGAGAGCACCTCACATGTCTGATCGCCGAGGCATTGGCGTGGAAGAAGCAACATTGGCTGGGCCATGTACCAGATGATGCAAGGGATTTTGACGATCGTGAAACCGCATTTGCCGCCGCGGCGCTCGTTGTGCTCTTCTCCCATTGCGAAAACCTGTCTGTGCTGCGCATAGATAGTTTCCCTACTGTAACGAAGGAGTATCTACTGAGAAACAACTATGGCCAGATAAACCGTCCAGCGCTGCAGCGGTTCAAACCCATCGAGTTCTTTAAAAAAGAGTCCTTAGATTCGAGACTTTATGAAAGTGTCGACTTCCTCGAGTACTTGAGACTCTTTAGTAGACTACCAACCACGAATAACTTGATCATGGAGGGTGTCTTTGACCATGAATGGTAGATTTGGCTTTCCCTGGCACATCCAACATCAGGAGTATCTAAGTTAGCCACATAGAAATTTCTGGCTGGACGCTGAGCATGCTCATCCGAGCTCCCAAAGTTCTGGAAGAGTTAAAGATATCTACCGGCAGTTTATGGGCACTAGACACAGGAATGTTTGACATGCCGTGTAAAACAATCGGGAAGAGTCTTCTACAGCACAGAAGCACTCTGAGAATCCTGGATCTTGATGTCTTGTTCGATCACGGCGAGGACAGAAGTCGGGAAGAATTTTCAGATCAGTTCCTTTCACAGAGCGAAGAAGAGTACTTCAAGCTTGACAAAGAATCAAGTAAGGTTCCATTCTGGCTGGACGACATACCGGACGACCGTTCCTATTGCTTGACTATTGGTTCACTACACGATTTCAACGCCATGACTCACCTCAGTATCGGAACAAGTGCTCTCCTAGGCCCATCATATGAAGTCCAAGAGCCACCGTTCCGACTTGAAGATGCTCTGCCGCTCAGCTTGGAGTATTTGCGTCTTTGCGGGTGCGTCAAAGGGGAGAATAAGAAGCTGGATAGCCACGTTAAATAGTTCATGCAGCACAAAGAAAGTCGTTTCCCCCAGTTGTTGGAGGTACAAGGAGTGGATAAGATGGTTGTGGGCATTGCGAATTTCTATGCTGGCTATGATAGACTTGATGAAGAGGATCTCTGGAAACGGCCGGAGAAGGAATAGAAATGTATTGAAGCATAGCAATGGAAGCGCATAGACAGCTTTAATGAACTTTCTGATTTGATTGTTTGACGAATGGGTTTGGCAAGTATCGCTATTTACTCAATTGCTGCTAGCATCAATGGCTCCGATTGTATGGATATCATTGATGCTTTTTGCACTTATCTGACATATAACTACGTATCTTATCTTACTGACTACTAAACTATGCTGACAGAAATGAACTACAGCCTAACTAAAAGTGTACATAGACCCAATCCGGTATGCGTAAGCAGACTCTATACTCACTCAGCTAACATTTTAACTCCCAACCTCGACTATTTCTCTCACCGTCAGAGTTCATGATTGGACATTTAACCCAACTCAAACACCATTGGCCGAATTCATTCACATAGTTGGCTATGACAACATTCTCTTCCATACCATCCCACATCCTCGGCGGCGCTTGCGTCGGCCGCGGGATAATGGCTCTCTTCTCGCCACGAAAGGAGTACGGCCACGTCGGTCTTCTTCTCGAGCCCAGCAAGACTACCAATGAGAGCGGTGCTGTCTCGCCTCTCATGTACTTCAAGGGTCTTCGTGAGATATCATACGGCTTGACTTTGATGGCGTTGCAGTGGCAGGGCAACGAGAGTGCCGTGACGACCTTTTCGGCGATTTTGTCTCTTGTGAGGATTGGTGATGGGCTGGTTGTTTGGATGCATGGTGGTGATGAGCTTAGGTATAAAGCTGTGGGCCATTGGATTACTGGGCTTGGGTTTGTCGGGTGGGTGATTTGGAGATGGAGTTACTAGAGACTCAGAGATGCATAGGCATGCTGTTTTCCTAGCCAGCACCTGTTGGTTTTTGCAAAGGAGTTGCAAGACAGTAACATCCTAACAATGCATCCTTTTGGTTCTTTGAAAACTTCTTTCCCAACTAAGCATATTTATCCTAGGCCTTGTGGAGTTCTTGACAGTCGTATGGTTCGTTGACGATTTTAGAGTAGTTTTGCAACCCATTATACCAGTATCGATGGCGGGCAGTAGATGCCGCAAGCAGTATCATACGGCCATAACCTTCGCGGATACAAATGTTGTAGATTGCTTGCTTGAGTAGTGTCATCGACACTCTACAGCAATGTCTGACTTCATGAGCAGGAAAAGCAGGTGTGCAGTGCGCATGGCCTAAGCTTGTCGCAGAACTTAACTCAGTGGTAGCAATGCAATAACAATACAGCTTACAATCTATGCTCAAATGCGCAAAACCACGTCCATTACTTGCTATCTGCTTTAATAAATAGCCGAGTTTGTCCACGATAGCAAGCTTGTCAAAGATGCGGTGGAAAGGACGAGGACGCGATTGAGACCAGCTGCTCGACCTAGCATCATGGAGCCTCCGAATTTCCACTGCCGAACCGCACAATAACGGATAACTGAGGCTTCACTACGCTATATCAGCAGTCAATTATCTGGTTGCAATTGCTGGCCTTTTCTTCACAGCGAGTGCTGTCGCCGATACCATGTACGGTCACACCGGGGTACCCTCAATGTTTGGCAAAATTCTGATTTGTGCCAGTCTAGAAACCTCCAGCCTGGCCGCTAAAGCTCTTTTGAACCTCCCAATATCCAGCATTCAGACTTGGTTCTCGCTGTCATAGCTGTGCCCCCCTCTTCGTTTATTGGTATCACAAAATCCTACTCCAATCCTCAACACCATGCGCCATTTTAGTCGGTGCTCATATTCCACAGACCATCGCCGAGGAAGTGAGCGTCTTCGATAACAGGCCCCTTGCCCTTTTCCTTGACCTCCTTGGTTCCCACAACGAGGGTTCCTACTGCGCAGGCCTCCTCCTTGTCTTCGGCTATGACGACCACAGGCTCGCCCTTCACAAGCTCTCTGCTCCACCGTCCATCTTTCTCAAGATGCTGTTCCATCTCTTTACCCTCCTCCACACCTTCGGGTGAACCGTCGGCAGGTAGTCTGCCTCCAGGTGAGGTCAGGCCGGGGGCCATAAGGGTGGCGCCCGAGAGGACGAAGCGGATGGCACCTCGATCTATGCGAATGCTGGGGAAGGCCTGGGGGAAACGGTGTACGAGACGTAGGTGGGGGAGAAGGGTGCCTGTGAGGTCCTGCTGGTAGAAGAGAGGTGTCGTATCGAGGACGTAGAGGGTGTTGCGGTCGGTCAGCTTCACGCTCGAGAGGGAAGCCTTCTTGGGTAGGATCTCGTCGATGTAGGGATTCAGAAGAGGGAACGTGTCTAGAAGCCCCTGGCGAAGACCACGTTGGACGGATGATTTGAGCTTTTGCTTGGGAGCGCCCTGGATTCTGGTCGAGGTTAGCTGCAAAGCTTTCAGAGGTTTGAGGGCGGGGAATGTACTCTTTCTTGAACATTGTGGCGAGTTGATGGCAGCGCCAAGGATAGTCTATATATTAAAGCTGATGCGAACGGTAGGGCTGGTGATTGATACGAGTGAAGTATGAATTATGTAGAGGTTGATCGTCTTGAGTTACGTTGGAGCGTGGTGGGGTGGCTGTTTACGTATGGAAAAGTCAAGTCAAGAGTGCCCCGCGGCGTCGGACGTGGCGGGGTAAAACTCGAGATGCAATAAGAGAGGTGCAGCGGATGGCTTCCGGAAAACATTACAACACAACAGCACGATAAAAAATGGTCACCATGTAAAAGTGTCTAGGAGAAATTCATGATACTGTTATTCTCTTGCGCCTTCGCCTGTGCGGGCGAATCCTGTTTCCCATCCTTTGATCATTATCGTACATAAAACCATGTCCCCATCACCAAAAAGCAGGGGTTAGCCAGAAGCCACCGGCTTAGCCCTTGACAACGTGTGAGACAGTTCCGTCATCCTTGACGTGAACGTTGAGTCTGTTCTCCTTGAAGTCCTTTGTGACCATCATTCCGGGCTCGATAATGCGTGCCTCTTGGGGGAGATCTCGCTTGGCGAAGACCTGTTGAGGGTCATGTTAGTAACATGCCTTTACACAGATACAGTGAACGGCAATGTAGATAACGTACGGTTTCGCTTGATGACTCCTCATCGGAAAGCTTCTTGCCGACGAGCTTGGTCATCCAATCCTCGGTGCTGTCACCATCTGTGGAGTTGATACCTGGTACGACGAGAGGCATGATGGGCGAAGTTGTGTGTTGTTTTTACGTGGTGGTGGTGGTAGAAGTTGGATCAGGATGCAGTGAGTAAACTGAGTATTCAGGTTGCAAGGAGGAAGAGTCAATGCATCGGCTGTCTCCCTTTTATACCTACTCCAAAGCTTGTTGTGCAATCACGGCGAAGGCAAAAGCCAGAAGCAGGAAGCTCCCAATCCCAAAGTTGATGACGTAGACTCACATGGTCATTCCCCAGATTCTATTCGATTGGCTACGCGTCCGATACAACGGACAAGACATGACGTGCGTGGGAGGGGGAGGAAACGTTTAATTCATCATAGGCTTTCGGGCATTTCTTTCTGCATCGATTTACATGGACTGTAGCATTTGCAGATGATCTGTCTTGGCACGAGGATTTATGCTTTGCTGTCAATCTCAGGTACGGGGGCACTGACCACTGCCTACCTACCTACGGTCCAGTGCTTCTCTGTCTGCACTCTCAGCCCCCTAGGCACAGCACCAGCTGGGCTACCCTGTAGATTGACTGCCTGTTATCGGCACGTTCCGGTGATAGCGCGGTGATGATTGAGGAAGACGGAGAGTATCACGGGCATTCGAGTTAATTACATGGTTAATGTCTGCGGATATGGCCTTAAATACTGCGATGGAGGTGTTGGATGGCGTCGGGATAAGCGACGAGGACCATTTCAAGACGCCTGGCTATGGGTGGACGTAAGCAAATGTGCAGTCAGCGTGGGAAAGTTGACCGCCAAACTAGAACTTCCTCTTTTCTCTTGTTAGATCATTTTTTTACTCTTTGTTAGAAAGTGTTCCTGTTTCTACACATATCAATTGCTTGTAACCAGGAAACAACCCAAAACTTCACAGTCCAAACCAAACCAAGCTAATCGAAATGCCTGTCTTCTTCACCCCACAACAGTCGTCGCACCAGCTGTTACGTCCTTGGCTCTCGATTGGCCGTTGCACCGCTATCTTTACCAGCTGGACTATCCGCTCTTTCAGCCACTCCATCAGCGCTTGCGGGAATGGCAATGCGTGGCAGGACACGACAAAGGCTTGTGCTTATGTGTACAAGCCTACAAGGTGAGCCCGAGAGTTGAGGTCGGTTTCAGCAATAACTTTGTGCTACTGAATTCCCAGCTTGGTACTCGTAGTGTATCGATTGATCAAGACTTCAAGAGTCTGTTCTGGTAGAGCATCTCGTGCTATTATATCGTCATCTATAGATATCGCACTCTCTTTGTTGTCTGTCTTTGTCTTGTATTAGAGCTCAGCCAGCTCCATTCATGGGCTAGTGGGTTTCTTTACGACTCCCACCTGTGATCCTGCCATCCGCATAAGCATCAGCAGTCATCATGGGCCTGCCCTAGCTCTAGCCATAAGATATAATTCTCAAAAGAGACTTTCTGCAGTAGAGCAGCAGCACATTGTTTGAATACAGATTAGGTACTCCATAGTAACCTCACCAATTCCACACTCAACGGTCAACACAGCCCTAACATATACCGGTCAAAAGCCCAGTCTTCAGCCAACCCACCCAAGGGACCCTCAATCTCTTCTCACCATCCATCCCCCTTCAGGTCTAGCGCATTGTGGCTCATGCCCATCAACCCCCCGTCTCATAAGGATCCGTCTCCTCATCTCCCCTTTTTTTTTAGCACAAGCAAACGTTCTAAAAGACCCATTCTCCATAATAAATAATAACAGTAACACTCCAGTAAGCCCAGCCCCAAAAGGCCGCCTCATACTCCCCTGTCTCTCTCACCCTCTGTCTTTGGCTCTCTCAGGTCTTTTTTCCCCAAGGTTCAGCCCAACGAGAACAGACGGATAATCCCTTCCCATTCGCTTCCATTTCGTTTCGCTTTCTCTTCTCCTTGTTTCTTCCTCCCCATCATCACCTAAAAGAACAACCACACACCTCCTCCCTCCAATCTCCCCTTTTCAGGATTGAAGCGTGCGTGTCTTGTTTCCATCGACAACACTACCAAACTTAAGAGCTTGCTGGGCATTCTCATCCTCTCGATCGAAAAGAAAAAAACACCAACCACCGCCAATTCAATATGCGTTTCTCAACTGCCGTTCTCTTCGCTGGCAACGCCCTCGCTGCTGTCCAGCAAGAGTGTCTCACCAACCACAACGAGGACCTCGCCGCCTTCGCTGACTGTGCCAACAAAAACGCTCTCTCTTTCTGCCTCTCTAACCTCAAGGAGACCGACGAGGCCGCTCTCAAGACCTGCTACTCCTCTGCTGGCTGCTCCGCCGAGGACGCCGCCCGGGAGGCTCACTACACCATCGAGCGATGCTCAGAACTCGCCAGAGCCGGCGAGCTCAAGAAGCGCATGGCCGCTGCTGCCATGCCGATCCTAATCCCCCGCGCTGAGGCCGCCGGCTCCATCACCCAGGGCCCCGAGGCCACTGGTGAGCTCAAGAAGCGCGCTGACACGTCGAGAGGAACAAACTGCTACACCACCTTCAAGAAGAGCACCGAGCAGTGCGATCTCGAAACCGTCTCGGACAAGACCCAAACCGCTACCTGCTACAGCACTGAGATCAGCACCAGCTCTTGTCGCAGCGATGTTATCTGCACCACCGACGCCTCATCCGACGACATCTGCATGGTCAAGAAGGAGATGGACACTGCCGGTATCATTATCGCCATTGTCTTTGCCGCTTCAGCTGCCGCCATGCTTGGTTACCTCACCTTCATGTGCTGCCGTGACCGCAAGGAGCAGAAGCGTCTCGTCGCCAAGGCCGAGACTGTTGCCCTTGCCCGTGCTGCCACAAAGAAGCAGCGCGCCGCTCAGCGCCAGCCTCTCATCCGCAACGCGTCTGGCCAGTCCGCTCCCGGCGCCGGCAACCCCTTCCAGGACCGAATCTAGGTGGAACGGTCCCGTCGGGGGAGAGCAATGGGGACGAGACAGCTGCAGCGTGTGTCGGAGGAGTTTCAGCAGACAAACTGATCTCCCCAGGCCCCAGCTTCAAGCTGTTCGTCTTCAGGCGATCGCCCTTATGTCTTATATAATGCCTATGTGATTGCCAGCGCGGCGAAAATATCCAAGGCTTGAAACCCCTCACAGGCTGAGGATGGCGTCTTTTTCGATAGGTACCTTGATATCAGGCCTGGGAGGAACAAACCTTACATGACATGTTTGAGTATTTTGGAGCAATGGGAAAGGATAAAGTCTGCTACTTTGGTGTGCGAATGTATCTATTTATCTACCTTATGAAACGGGGATGGTCAAGACTAGACGTTGAATTAAAGTATTACGTGTGCTTCCACCTAGACTCTCACATGTTGCTTGCTTCGTAGTGGCTTTCCACAAGGTTGGTCCCACGCGGTCGGCAATTACACATTGGCATGGCGTTCCAACAGTCGAGAAGCGGAACTGAAGCATGAACCAGCCTTGGGGATGCTTTGAACAACCTATCAGACGCTGTATGTACTTCACAGTTGCTTATCGTCATCCTCACCGAATGTTTGTCACGAAATTCCTCATACACATAACACCTTCACATCATCAAGACACAGATTGAAAGACGTGCTCCAAGGCCAACCATATGGATCATTCGCTACTTGAACAATAATCTTCGATTGTACTTAGCGCTTGTTTTACGCTGCAACCTTGGGAACACATCGCTTCTGGGTATCCATTAAACATCTTGCGATAAAGTCTCCCAAGATTGTGGGCACATTTCCCCATTCCAAACAAGGTGAGGTTCGTGGTCTTCCAGTGCATACGGATCCAGCTCTGTTTCACTGGAGCCTCATTTACACATTTCTTTCTCAACAACTTTGTCCCCTATCATACCCGAATCGGATCTAGGTTACAGGCTGCCCTGCATGCAAATCAATGTCAAATCTCGTTTAGATGGCAGATTTGGTATGTGGTCCCTTTGTTTCGCGGTCTGAACGAGATATCTGAGATACACTCGACATCGCCCTTGTGTGCATAGACGGCGTGGTCCTCCGGTCAATTCCAGGAGCACCAAGTGGGGTGCTGTCACGCACCAAGTCTGTGACGGATAAGGAGCGTTCAGAGGTCTCCTCACACGCACTAGCTCGCAGGGGATTGTCCTACGTTCTCCCTCGTAGCGTTGCTTGGCTGAGTGGTGGACTGCCAATCTCACCCGGGGCACCTACAGCTCGATAAGGAGTACCGAAACCATCGTTCATATCAGGCTCCCATCGGACGCCATGTTTACCGGGGCCGTCGACATCCTGCAGGATAGAAAACGTGCCGCCTCCGTTAGTCCGGCTTCCTTCTGTTTCGCAAAGGTTCAGCAAGTCCTGTTCCGAGATACTATGATCACCCGACATCTCATCAACCATTGATTTGAGAGTTGCAATACCGATATAGCCTTCTGAATCACCAGAGCCCACAATTTGCTGGCAAGCCTTGCAGATCATCTCGCGTACCATTGCAGTTTTAGGCTGGACAGGAGCCCGGAGAGAGCTCATGATAGAACCAGGAGAAGCCATACCGAAACCAGGAGGCACACTCGGTGCGCCCCATCCAGGATTGTTGAACCCTGGATTCGGAAATCCTGGAGGGGGCAGTGGGTGTCCTCCAACTGAAGAGCCCCAAGGGTTGTGTGCCAAGGGAAAGGCTGAATAGGGACTCGTGGTAAAGTCGGACATTGGCCCTGGAGGCTGATTTCGCAGGCTACCCATGTGGAGTTCAGCTTCGACAGGCTCATCATCTTCAAGAAGAGCTCTACTACCCAAGTGCGCGGTTTCGTCCTCCTTATCATCGGAGGAACGCCCGTGGCTAAGGCTTCCGGGACGGCCAATCGGAGCAGGTCGTCCTATGGGCTGTGCTGGAGTCGGAGGCGGTTCAAACTGCAATGAACTCTGGCGATGATGCATTGTCGGGGGAATTTCCGAAGGCAATGATAACCGGCCCATGTCGAACGGATCGGCGGTAGGCTGTGGATACATTGGTATCATATGCGCTGAGAACCCACGACCTGGCCCATTCATACCAGGAGGAGGTACCATTGCCCCAGGAGCATGTCTATATCCTGAGAAGATAGCTTCATGAGGCATACGATTCGCGAAGCCTGGTGGTGGCGCATGGTGAGCCAATCCTGGAGGTGGTTGCATTGCCATAGGAGGCATTTGGAAGGGAGACTGCCCAGGTAATCTGGGTTGTCCATTTGTAGGAGACACTGAGTGGGAATGCTGCGTACTCGCACTGCCATGGCGCTGACCTAATGGCGCTGGACTCATGTGAGGCGTCAATGAGTGAGGCGAGGGATCTTGGCTGGTCATCGGAGCTGCAGCTGATTGCGGTGCAGCATCGTATTGCTGAGAGTGTGTCCGGGGTCGTATCGGCGTTGATGCTTTGGATAACACGGGAGTTGCAATTGGTATCTTGGGAGATGCGTAGCTCGCAGGATTCGAGGGATGTTGCGGGAGGACGGTCGGTATGGACACAGGATGTTGGGAACCACGCTTCGGGATCTGAATAGGTTGCGATGAGTGACTTGCTGCTTTTTGGGCCGCTGCCTTCTCTTCTTTCAACTTCTCCTTAGCCTCCCGAGCTACCTGAGCATCCTTCTGGGCCTTGGCAGCACGAGCTTCCTTGTCGCGCTTATCCCGTTCTTGCTTGTCCTTGCGTTCCTGGGCTTCGCGCTCTTTCTGCTCTCGGGCCTCCTTATCTCTCTGACGTTGTTCTTCCTTGAGCTTCTTCTCCTTCTCTTTGGATTCGCGGGCCTTGCGTTCTTGTTCAGCCTGTTTCTCGCGTTGCTCGTGGAGTCGTCGTTGTCGTTCTGCTTCTTTTCGTAAGCGAGCCTCCTCCTCGGCCTTCTTCTGCGCTTCCTTCTGTTTACGCTTCTCTTCGGCCCTGGCTTTCTGTTCAGCAACTCGTTGCCTCTCGGCTTCTAGTCGTGCAGCATCTGCCTCAGCCTTCTCAGCATCTTTTCGTGCTCGTTCCTCGGCCAAGGCTTGCTTTTTCTGAGCAGCTTTATCCTTCTTCTTCTGAGCGTCCTTAGCTTTCTTAGCTTTCTTGAGCTCAGACTCTCGGCTCTCGGCTTCTATCTCCTCCAACAGTCTTTGCTGCCGTTCCTTAGCAACTTTCTCCTTGTAAGCAGAGAGAACTCTCTGTTCGAACATCCGAGCGGCGAATATCTGGAACATGCGTCGACCTTCCTCCATTCGTTGCTCCTCAGTCAATTGGTCCTGGCAGCAACACTCAGTATGGGATTGGGACGGTATCACAGAGGGGTTCGAGTATACCTCTTCCTCCTCATACTCCTCGTCTTGGCTATCATCATAGTCTTCTTCCTCGTCCTCTTCTTCGTCGTATTCGTCTTCTTCAGGGGAAGGATGGTTGTGAGGATTGGAATATGCCCCATTGGGGTGACCGTAGCCTCGTGAGAAGTGTTCGCGGGCGTCTTCCTCCCTTGCCATCCGACGTTCCGCAAGCTGCTCCATCATTTCGATGAACCGCTTGCCGTCGTTTTTAAGGAGGTCATCCGCCACGGTGAGAATACCACCTAAGTCCATGTTACCATATCTGTGGAGAAGTGATTCAAGAAGCTGCGTACCCCTGACCTGGAGGCTATTACCAAACGTCAAGAAATCGGCGACGTCTCGTTCGTGTGAGGACTGAAATTCTTCGGGGGGTTCGTCGTCGCTATAGTCGTCCTCCTCCACTTCATCTTCACTGTAAACCTCTTCAAGCTCGTCTTCGTCTTCGTCGTCGCCCACATGCTCCACTATCCGGCCGCGTGATGGGGGTCGGTTGGAGTAACTCGATGGTAAACCCCGTGGTGGTCTGAGGGCGAAATCCCGGGCTGACGGTAGCATAGGTGGTCCCTCGCCTTGGTTTGCGAATTGCTCAAGTTCCAGGTAATAGGCATCGTAGAGGCCCTCTAGTTCTTCCTCAATCGCAGTCCGCTTCCGTCCACACACAGTGCAGCTGCAAGTGTGCTTCTGTTGTTCCTTCATCTTCTTAAGAACAGCGTCCTTCTCAACCTTGACCAATGATTTCCGCTCATCTTCGCCCAATCCAAGCCAGAACGCTTTTATACGTTCGCGCTCAACTTGATTACTCGTACTCCATATCTTGTCGCGTGACATACCAGGGCCTTGCGACAGGTGGGGATGCGGTTCAGGTTCGAGGGTCTCCGGGATTGGTGATGCAGGTTCGGCATTTGTCCCCTTCTTTTTCTTCTTGCGGTTTTTCTTAGATCTAGAGTCCGAGTGGAGATGACCGTTTGTAGTTGAGCCTGTCAATTCGCTTGCCAGAATATACTCATGTTCATCATCGCTCTCACCCTCCTCATAATCTGCGGGGCCACGGCCAGACGTGGAACCCAGAGCTGAGCCACGTCCGGACGCATCGTCGTGTTGGCCATTCGCAGCTTCCTGGGCAGCGGCTCTAGCAGCGGCTTTTTGTCGACGCTTCTGCTTCTTGCGGTTTACAGCAGGAGCAGGTTCGTCTTCGGCATGGGAAGTATCTAGTGGGGGGCCACTGGGTTTCGCAGTTGTGGGGGTAGAAGGCAGCGAGGATTCAGAGGGTGTACCCTTTGGGACCGTAATAAACTTTGAACCGTCCTTATTGGTATATTTAGCTGTACTTCGTGGCGATACCGGAGTTTGGGCGACCGGTCTTTGGTTGTTGGCCGGCATCGTAGGTTACGGAAGTAGGGCAGTCGAGGGCATGAAGATGCTGTGCGCGACACGTGGCTGTCGACGGGAGGACGGTGATGTAGGGGGGATAGTCTGTAATACGCGAGTGCGTGTCAGCATAAAAGCGGTGGTAGTTGCGCGTCTCGAGACGTGAAGTCGTGGTCGTCAGGCGGCTGCAGGGACGAAGGTTGCGAGTGGAGGGTCTGGCAGCGGCTCAAAATGAGGCACTCACAGTCGATACGGCCAAGTCAGGGTTAGGTCAGCGATGACGCCTGCGGGGAAGGGACCCAATGAGTATGTTGATGATAGGATTGCTCTATTAAAGCGCGGGCGCTATGCAAGAGTGTTTTGGATATTCCAGACTCAAGCTAAAAAAAGAATTTAAAGATTGTAGAGTTCTTTGTCTGGTGTTACTTGAGGCTTCAATCAAAGCAGAGGGTAGAAGTCACTCTTTGGTGGAGTTGCATAGCACCTGTACTTGGTCATGCAGCCGAAGGAGCCCAGCGATGCTGTGATGTGGTCAGGCATGCATCTGATTGACCGGCTACGCCCCGCTATAGACTCTTCTCTAGCCTGGTGTGGCCTGGTATGGGATGGCACGTGATGTAGAGATCTGTCGATTTGGTTCATTTGTGCCCTTGAATCAGAGAATCAAAGCCTGAGTGGGGTTACAGCAGCTCCAGTAGGTACCTGGATGTCAACGTCACTTGGGGCATCCCTTCCTTTCCATTATTTGATTAGGGACTACCCTGAACCTGGGGTTGAAGCAAACTAAAACTGCCCCGTCCGTTGTTTGATAACGTAGCTGTTGAAGGGTCCAATTCATGAAGCAATCTTTAAATCGATACAGGAGAGTATTTTTTGTTTATTGTACGACGCTCAATTCTGCAATAAGTTTCTGGAGCATGCGTCATCGTCTTATGGTTAAAACAAACAGCGTGCCGTTGCTCTTGCACGAGACGTACAATGGAAACTTAACAGTATTCCATAGCATTACTCACTTAAGAGCAAATACATTGCTGCCGGGGGCGCTCATCAAACATCTGACTTTAAATCATGACTCCATTGATATACAGAACAAATTTGCAGTCAACCTTACCAGACCCAGCAATCTACAGGCACCACGATGGCTGCCGACGCTGTATCACGTTCAGCATGACGAAATTCATGCGCTCAAGAATCACAAGGCACACATTGACTCGACCCTATCTTTGATTCTTAAAACTGAATGGGTCCATGTGCAACGAGGCCACGGCATGCATCTCGGCGTGCAAACTCATCTGTGCAACAGACAATATGCCAAATCGAGACAATGCCGTACAGCCCCTTGTCAATGCATGTTGCAAACCACGGAGGACAACAGCAACATGTTTCGGTCGTTTATCCATACATGGGCAAAAGTCTTAGATGCTGAGATGATGCTAGCACAAAAGGCCGTTTTGGAACACCACTCACACTATTAGAAGCAATCGGAGGGCAAACATGGCACGATCTTTACCGACTAAACGGAATGGGAGATGGGACATGTAGGTAAGACTACTTAGCTACAGTACAGTCCCAGCACGCGCTGACAATTATATACGTGCAATGCATTATTGAGACGAAGGATCGTGGCATCAACCACAAACACTGCCACAGCCTTGTAGGGCAGTGACCTTAAAGTCGTCTGTTGTCACATCACCACGAGGCGTCGTTGTTGCATTCACGTAAGCCGGCGAGACAACGTCACAGTCCATTGAGCCATCGGAATGCCCGATATGCTGTCATGAAAGACGAAGTCAAGTAGATTGGTAAGAAGTGAAGTTTTCCCGCCGGAGAGGAATACGGCCCTCGAACGTACGTTTCGTTTAACATCCGGGCTCCCACAAACACCGAAATCCTACAGAGTTTAGCGTGAGGGAGCCAAAGGGCTATCCATTCATCGCGCATTACACGGGGAAACCCGCAATGTCGAGGATCTGATGCCATCACTGGTATCTGTCAGGGTTCTATTTCTAGGGGACCTTTGACAATCCACATATGCCCGCCATTTTCACTGACTGGAACAAATAATAGGAGTCCAGTGCTAACGACGGTTCGTCCTGGGCCCCCCTGAACCGGTTCCTGTTTTTAGCTTACCGGCGCGGGTGTGGTGGGTTGACGTTAGGTTAGGCTGCACAGCCTCAAATGGGCGGCGGCCATGCACTCTGCGAGCCAGCAGCCAGCATTGGATGGCATGACGGTGCGGCGCCAGCATTATGAGAAACAAACGAGACAGCCAAACAGAGCCAAGAGTTCAATGTTTAATCCTCCGAGTAAAGACAAGGGCACCTTTTGATGTGGATCTGTTGATATGCTGGTCTGGATCTTGAATCCCTCGTCATTGTCGTATTGAAGGTTACTGTAGCCCTGTCGTTCATGAAAGGGGATTGATGTCGAAACAAAACAGAAGAACCTTATTCGCTGAAAAAGATATGAGCTTTCAAGACAGGAAAGGTTCTTATGTTGGTCGTTGGTGGAGTTGAGGCCAGTTGAGTTGACTAGGCTGTCTATGCTATGCGCGGACTCGGAACTCTCCTCGGTGTTGAAGACCAATGGGAACCTAATTCAATTCTATTCCTGTTGTTGACGAGTGCCGATGCTGACCGACCGGCACTGCAGGCAGTTCTGCATTGAATCTGTAACTCACTTGACTAGGTATAGTTGTAGATGAAAAGAGTTGAATACCAGTTCGCGTAACGAAACTTTGGCGGATACCTGTCCAGTGAGCTGGCTGGGCTGGGCTGTCAGAATTAGCCGACCAGACAAGCCAGGCTTCATCCAGATTACTTGTTTTGGATTTACCGTCTGTGGATACTCCGCCACAGGGGGCTTGCTGTGCACCGTCTATCATCTATCAATTGGTCTTAGGCTATGCTCACATCACGATCAGGTTTGCTTGGTGTCTTCTCCCAATTGAACTCGCCCAGTGACTGACTGACTGACTTCTACGTAGTATCGTATCCGTACGTGTGCAATGAATTGCTAGAACAAGCCCACTGCAACGACCCATCCAGTCGGCGCATCTCAATCTGCTGTACCCTGATCCATGTCGATCAACAGTAGAAGCCGTTCTGCATCATCAAAACAACGGGCTGTGTGTATGTAACTCAAGCAAGCAGCAGTCTGCTCAATTAGTCTTCACTTCTAGTTGTCACAGAGAGCCATTGCTCACTCACTCATTCAGGGCTGTCGTTCCCTCCACTTGACGTCCTCAGCTAAAAAAGGCATCCCCGGACTCCACCTCCCAGTCCAGTCCAGGGGAGCCGAGTGCCCATGGAAACCCGCCCGTCGCTCGCCTGTTCATGGCTGGCTGTGGCTCTCCACCATCCACCGTCGCTGCCGTAAACAAGCTGGAGATCGTTCCAACAATAGAAAGAGGCTGCCTCTCTAGCCTAGAATCTATAACCACGGGCGCATATATAGAGTAGATACGGAATACCGTTTTACCAAGTTAGTTTAGATTCTGCTTTGATCTCTTCTTTATCTCGCCTTCATTCCAGAAATAATCTTGGCCAAGGTAGCAAAGAATCCGATCCATATCGGCCCAGCCCAATCCGCCTCAGCTCCGTCCTAAACTGAGACTAAGGTACGTTAACTGAGAAGCCCGACAGAAAAAGTCGAGCATCGCCTCCTACCTAACGTTAGCCTGCATCTTTTGCTGTCCTATCATCTTCATCAATCATTCATCTCCTCAGCCCCAAAAAGGGCCCTCTTGTCCTGCATTTTTATCTGATCAGACTTGTCTGGCTCGTATTCACATGCTCCTCCTCTTCTTTTTCTTCAATTTCCATCAAAGACCTACCTACTCCTTTATTCAACCACACTCAACGTTTCACTGACGTTCCCTCTTGGTCCTCCGTCCCACCGCCATTAAAAACGCCCTGCTCACTTGCACACCCCAGTGGCTGAACCGTAACATAGGACCTTGGACCTAGGACCTACTCCGTACCGTATTTACGTACTGCGTCCTCCTTAGCCTGACCTGGGCTCTTGCTCCTCCTCGCTCCACGTCCGCGCTCACTCCGAACGTCCCTTGTTACTCTTACTCACCCATCCAACGAATCCTCCCCGAAAGTCCGTTCGAGAAAAAAAATAAGGGGTCCTAAACCTCGACGACACTTCCTTCACCGAACCAACTTGGCCTTCCAGTTATCTCATACACATCGTCGCTCGCGCATATCCAGTAATCAATCCTATCCGGCTTAGCTTAGCTTGTCCCTAGTGTTGTTATCATCGCGACGACGCCCTCTTGATCGCTGTAGCTCGTTGCTTTTCGATCCGTAATCAATCGACGACAACGAATAATCCGACTCATCACCCAGATCTGGGGCCCGTAGCAGACTCCGGATCCGAAATCCTTCCCGTTTCTTCTCGAGACCTCACGCAGCCTCGAGGCCATATAGTTCATTCATCATGAGCGCAAATCCTAGCAACGTTATCCGCAGGTATGGGCTTTCGTCGCGTCCCCCAATCTACGCCCAACCTCAACCCGATGCCTCTCTCTGCTTTACCAATTACGACATATCAATGGCGTGCGATATTCAGATTGCTAACAAACCATTTGTAGGAAGCTTGTCATTATTGGCGACGGTGCCTGTGGCAAAACCAGTTTGTTGAGCGTATTTACGCTAGGTTACTTTCCAACAGTGAGCTCCCGCAACCTTCCCACCTCGTCATCAAAATTTACTAACCTTCGTGTAGCATTATGTGAGCCTCAATCGATTCCCTCTGCGACGACGAAAACTAACCTCGGATACAGATCCCCACAGTCTTTGAGAACTATGTGACGGATTGCAGAGTGGACGGCAAATCTGTCCAGCTCGCTCTATGGGATACTGCCGGCCAGGAGGATTACGAACGATTACGACCACTTGCTTATTCAAAAGCCCACGTCATCCTGATAGGTTTCTCCGTCGATACTCCAGATTCCCTTGACAATGTTAAGCACAAGGTACGGCCTCCTTGGCATGCGCTTCAGCGCTATGTGATGCACCCCTAAGCTGACATTCTACCCCTACAGTGGATTGAGGAAGCCAACCGACTGTGCCCTGGTGTTCCCACCATCCTCGTCGGTCTTAAGAAGGATCTTCGCGAGGATCCTGTCGCGATCGAAGAAATGCGCAAGAAGTCCATGCGATTCGTTTCCGAACATGATGGCGAGTCAATTGCACGAGAAATTGGCGCAAAGCGATACCTAGAATGCTCCAGTTTGAGCGGCGAGGGTGTCGACGACGTGTTTGAGGCTGCCACTCGTGCTGCTCTGCTGACCTTTGAGAAGGGCGAGGGCGGCGGTTGCTGTGTCGTGCTGTAAGAGACGTCAGACGTGCGTCTCCAAACAAACATGCAGACCAGTATTTGGACCGAAGGGCTGCACTCACAATTTAACATCAGGAACACGCTCTCCACAGCCCGGCCCAGATGTATCTCCAGGCGATCGACCACCCGTTCGCTTCAGCCATACTATCAAAATATGTTCAAATATCTGGAGACAATTGTAGGATTTTTGGATCATCAGGGAATCGATCAGGATATAGAGAACTCGTTGCTCGGCGCTCTAGGAGAAAGGTCTTTTTTTCATTTTATATTTTGACACGCACTCATCCAACGACTCAAAAAGTTGGAACCGGGGCCACATCAGACTTACCTACGGCATTTCAGCTCACCCACACTCTCGCCTTATTATCGAGCTGCGCTACTCAATGCGATCCTTCAATTACTGGATTACATCACTTAAAGCGTTCTTGTTTACGAGGAAAAAGAGAAATATGAACATTCGTCAACTGGAGTCTCTTCCAGGAGAACCAAGAAGAACGATGTTCTTGAACTTACCCTGCCCTCCGCATCCCTGAATTCCTTTCTCATCTTGAACTACATTCTGGATCCGTCGACATGTAGTTCCTTATCTGAGCTGGCAATTTTAATATCTGGCAGGCGGAACTGCAGAAACACTTCTATATACATGGCATCCAAAGGAGAAATAAAAACGGAGAGTGGCGGAAGGACATTTTGCATGATTTAGTTCGAGCGGGTTTAAGATACGCATGCTTCACTCTGTATTAATAATTGGAATAGCGGCATAGAGCTGGATCTGTCGAGCGTTGGTACAGTCAGAGTGAATCAATGGCATGGAATGAGATGGGGAGATTGATACTGTGGTTTGCGGTGCTCGGAACTGATAATCTAATGAGAGTGATGATCTTGACATTCATTCCTGTTTCAAATATCTCATTACTACCCCTCTGAACATGAGCATGAACGATTGCAGTCTCATGCACCCATCGGATCTTTAGACACCGACCTCTAACAGCTGCCCATATAATACATACAGTACACTTTTACCTCTCAGACCATACCTAAAAACTCATACACTAAACTCATACCCTTTAATCGCTGTTCTTCTTCCAATCGTGATTCCACGCATTCTTTGCAGGGTAATCTGTCTGGTATCTCGCGTACTCAATTGGTATAGCATCGGTGCCCCAAACACCCTTCTTCTCCATCGCAACTCGGTATAGATAACCCTCGTCGCGGTTTCCAGGACCAACCGTCTTGCGCAGCTCCTCACAGGCATTGTACATGCCACTGTAGATACGTTGACGCTCCTGCTCGGTTGCCAGGTGCTGCTGTCTGCGGAAGAGCTGCCATGCGCGGTGGATTGTCCAGTGACGGAGGTATCGAAGACGAGCCATGCGAAGGGGCGGAGGCGCAGGCGAGAACATGTTTTGGCGGAGCGTGCGGATGCGGTAGAAGTTCTCAGACTTTTGCTGTGTGTGCTTGCGGCGGGGAGGGACTTGGCCGGCTGTGGGCTTCTTCGGAGCAGGTTTGGGAGGCGTGCGGGCGAGCATGTTTGCTGTCGTGGAGAATGAACGAGCTGTGGACGTCGTAGGAGCAGCCTGGCGGCTGAACAGGCCGCGAAGAGAGAATATCGAAGCCATCGTAGCGTATATCGTGGTGCTCAAAATGAGAGTCGGAATAATCGAGGGTGGTCGTCTGCAAAGCCGGCTTTGGCGTCTGTACTTTTGGAGCCTCCAAGCTTCAAGGTAATTGACCTGATACAATAACAAAAACCAAGTAACTAAATCTCAAGACACAATTGGTGGGGGTTTTGATACAGTTTCGTCTTGGCTAGGATTGGTTGTCGACAGTGGAGTCGGAGTCGGGGTCGGACGATGGCTGATTCTGTTGAGCTCCGGATGGCGCGTTAGGTTGACTGGCTGCCGCAGGTAGACGAAGGTTGTCAACAGGCGCCAACATGTATCTCATACGTGGGTTGAGAGGGTCGTCGTAGAAAGGTGGCTGTTGATAGTAACGGTGGATGTCCTGAGGAAATTGTTAGCTTCAAGGTTCGAGTCGGATCAACGTTTCCCCGTGCGAGGATGCTTCAATTTCATCCACACTCAAATAAGACAGGTCGGAATTTACATACCTCTGTGCCAGGTTCGACCTGATAGACGAAGAGGCCTTTTCGATTGCCCGAGCGAAGCATTCTCCTGGCAACCTCCTCTTCCCCAGCCTCCCATAGTTCGGCCATGCGGTCGACTTGTAACCCAGTTGAGCTGACTATCAGTCGCCATAGAGGACACTGAGTGAAGTCGCGATTTCCAGACCAGCCAGCGCGCTTGGCAGACACCAGATGCCACGCCAACTCCTGCATGTGCTTTTGTCTCGCAAAGGTGTTTCGAGTTGAAGCGTCAGGCCATTCTTTGAGTTTGAGGCCTTCCTCATTCCCTTCCTTGGGATACCAATCCTTGAAGCTCATGCGCCGCCAATATTTCCAGACCAACTTGAAGCACTTGTCATTTTTGATCCGGCGTTCGTTCAGGAGTGCTTCGAGGTCAGGGAATATGTCTTTGTGATTTGGGCCGGCTCTGAGCTGGAGTGCGCTGATGAACAAGGTCAGGATAAATTTGAACATGTGGCGAGTTCGTATTGAGTGTTGGAGTGGATGCCGAGGGATCTGGCCTAGATACTGAAAATCGCTCTCAATGATGATGCCCTCGCTTCCCATGAATGGATTGAAGTTGTTGTTGTTTTCGTCGATTTCGTACTGGTAACTCTGGAATTGAAAGATATAGGTGCCGGGAGCATGTCCGAGAAACCACCTGCCTCCACGTACATATTCGACTTGAACGACTCGGATAGGGATAACGGTCCCCATCACATAGCCTTGCATGAAGACCGTCTTCGTGGCTGGGGAATCGTCAGTTCCGTCGTCGATGAGCTGCCCTCTTGGTCTTGTGTTGCCCTTCACTCTTCTTTCGTTGGTTTCACGAACCATCTGTATGCGCTTCACATAGTTCTTCCTTTCCTGCGGTTTCAACTGATCCAGAAACTTCGGATTGTCCTGTAGAAGGACCTCGCCCTCAATTCGAAGAATTTGGTTCCGTACACGCTCGCATTCCGCTTCAGCATAACGCCATCGCGAGTCTTCGTCCTCGGCCCCCGTCCACCAGTGAGCTCCGTAATGAAGCGCAACGAGGAATGCCTTACTACAGGGGCGGTCACCTAGCTCCCTGCACACCTCACATGTCGATTCACTCGTAGATTCTGGTGGAATATCATACTGTGAAGAGAAGCAGTAGTCTTTATCCCCGTCGTTAAGAAACTCTTCGAAATCCATCTTGCAAAACTGATTGGAAGTATCCGAATGGTTAAGAATGGATGATGCTGGGTTGACTCACAGGGTCTAGGCAAGTTCTGACCATTTCAACGATGAAAAGAACAAGCCATGCGAGTTTCGGAGACGAGGAAGGTGTAAAGCAAAATCAAAGAGTGTTGAAGGAGGCAGCGGGCTTTACGTTTTTTACTCTCAAGAGTAAGGCACTGCCCAAGTTTGAGTTTCTTCGGTAGCATGAGCGCTCGACATGGAGACACATGTTAGCAAATGACAATACAGTTTCGAGAGTATTGGCTGAGGAGGCAGATAGTGCAACGAGAGGGCAGGAATGTCAAAGGTTGTGATAGAACCTTGAAGCCTATTGCCTGTTACCCTTTTGCTGCCTTCTCTTGAGCATCACACAGTGGGTATATCCTACGAGTCCGCTATCGTGATAGTAAAGATAACAAAAGAAAAACAAAAGAGCACATTACTTGAATACAAGAGGTTGTAGTGATCTCGAGAAAAGAATAATATTCAATAAGGGGTGACCTGGCTGCTCTGAACCTCTGACATGAGGATGCGTTGTATGCTCTGAAGAGCTGCTGCATCTGGCTTCGCGTAACAACATGCCAAATCCAAGATGCTTAACAGGGTGAAATAAGGTTACAGATACTATACAAGCAGAAAATTCTAAATGAGTGAATTGCAAGAATAAAAGAATTAGGACCGAGTTTCTGTTCACAGTGTGAGTAGCTACTCACTGCTTACATGTTCACTAACACCCTCCCTCTGGCACAGCATTGCCATACCTTTTGTTCATAGCAATTCATTCATCCCAGGCAAGCATCTTTCTTCATATTTCGTCCTTTCTCTTCCTGCTCCCCAAACTCACCCAAACAACTCCCAAACACACCTCTCCTCTCCACACTCCTCAGGCTCCCAGCAAACCACCCCCCATCATCCAACCACCAACAAGTTTGTTCATCCACCAGAGTACCCAACAACTTCCCTCCTCGCATACAGGTAGCAAAATACTGAGCAAACTGGCCGCGGGAGGGAAAGTCACATCGACAGTCGTTAAGCTTCCAAAATCGACATGTCTTCGCACCCTGATATCCTAAAAGCTCTGCAGGACACCGCTTCTGCATCTCGACGTGGACGCCAGGAGCACTTTGCGGCTGAAGATGGCGCTTCAGTGCGCAGTTCTAGCTTCGTCTCTGCGGGCATGGTTACTATCCCCCTCACTCCAGACGATCCTGATTCTGAGTCCGACTCTGATGAGGAGGCTGAACGCTGGGAGCCTCTGAGCAGAGCTCAAATTGAAGCCGCAATTCGTTTGGAACACGCGGCTGAACAGGCTGAACCCCAGAGAATGGTCTTTGACGATATGGGAATGGTTGATGTTCATCACCCAGAGTCTGACGAGGACACTGACTCAGACGATGTCGAGGCAGTAAGACGTGACATTACACATAGCTGGTTTGTCCCTATGCCCCCTTTCTTTCGTGACCATACCCCTGCTCCAGTCCCCGAACCTGCAGGTTTCGTCCGAAATCTTCCTGGCGTACGGGCCGTACAAGAAGCTGTATCCGCTACAGTACACATCGCCCAGAACAGCATCGCCAGGTCCTACAGCAGCGTTACCGGGGGTATTAGGGCCACCACCCAGGGCACTTACAATGCTGTCGCGACTGTCGGCCAGGTAGGCGGATGCATCGCTGGGGGAGCCTTGACTGCTGGGCAGAACGTTGCGGTCATGGTTCAAGAGTCATGGCCTATCTTGCCGCGCCCGTTCAACCGCGGTATCATGGACAATATTACCGGATATCTGCTTGAGGGAATGCAGTCATTGCCGCCTTCCGACGCCATTATTCGTCCACAAGGAAGACGGATGCATTAGGGAGTTCGTGGTAGGTTCATGCTATCGTGGTATTGTAACTAAAGATTTGGGAACAGTGTTTCGTCCTTTTAGGGGCTGCCGTCATGCCATTTATTGCAGGCATAGCATGCGGGATTGAGGGGTTCTTGTTTGTTTGGGATTTCACTTGGGAAACTACATCCATGTACTACTATTAAGGCATCTGTTTGCCAGAAGTTGGGGACTGATTTTGGACATTTGTAATTTTGCAGGATTTTGGGTACAAAGACTCACAGAGGGCCAAAGAAATGCCGTTTAGATTAGATACAAAGAATGTAACCGGAATATTACAGAAAGTTGCCTGAATTATGTCACAAACGCCAACATCCTCTCATAACAAACAAACCCCAACACTAACTCCAGGACCGACATTATGGCCTTTTATATGCAACCTGCATTAATGCTCATGTGTCACGCTGTTGAGATCTCTAAACTCGCCGCGGAGACTCTCGATACCCTCCTTTTTGACCTCCTCGACAAGCTTAGCTACCTCAGGGGCGATGACGTTCTCGTCAAAGCCAAAATACTTGTAGGCGTCCTTGCCGGGCAAAGACTTGCCAAAGGTGGACATGGAGTAACCAGCATCAGCATAGCGTTCCCAACCATTGACAGCATATGCCTCGATGACTACTCGAGGCGCGTTGAAGCGGTATTGGAGGACCCCACGTTTGTATTCAAGGGGTTGAGAATTGAAGAGCCGTTGGCAAGGGAAAGAAACGACGCGAGCTTTGATGCCGAACTTCTCTTTCAAGACCTCGCGGGTCTTGACGGCAAAGACCATTTCGGCACCGACACCAATGAGGGTGACGTCGGCATTCTCCTCTTCTATGAAGACGTAAGCGCCCCTCTGAACACCATCACGGCTTGAGTACTGGGGATATTGCTCGAGGTTCTGGCGGGAGAGCGAGATGATGGAGGGTGTATCTTTGGCCTCGAGTGCCGTGATAAAAGCGCCAGCTGTCTCTTCAGTATCGCAAGGTCTAATGTAAAGGATATTGGGCATGGAACGGTACAGAGCAGGGAGAGAAATGGGTTGGTGCGTAGGGCCATCTTCACCCGTACCGATTGAGTCGTGGGTGGCAATGTGGATGGTCTGAAGATTTTGGAGAGCGCCCATACGGACACCAGGGGCAGCGTAGATGTAGAACATGAAGAAGCTGGATGTTACTGGGAGTATGGTGCCCTTGCCATAAGCAGCGAGGCCGTTCGAGATAGAAGCCATTGCATGTTCGCGGATACCCCAGTGGATGTATCGACCAGAGTAGTCACCGTTGATACCGCAGGTGGTTCTGAGGTCAGGCTACCATTAAGTTAGCAAAAGCTTACTTCTAATGCGAAGAGAATACTTACGTGTTGGAAGTCAACCTTGTCTTTCCAGATCATGTTGACAGAGGGGGACAGATCAGCTGTGCCAACCATAAAGTTCCTGATCTTAGCAGCCAGGGGATTGCAGATGATACCAGCAGACTTTCGTGACGGTGTAGGAGTAGTAGGAAGGTCCTCCTTAGCGGGAATTATGCTCCGCCAGTCTTCAGTAAAACGACCCTCGACGCGCTTGATGAACTCTTGATATAGCTCAGGGTAGTCTTTGCTGTAGGCGTCGACCAAGTTCTTCCAATCTTCAACGAGGCGGTCACCACGAGTCTTGCGGTCGCGGAAGAAGCCGTAAACCTCGGCAGACACCACATAGTGCTTCTCTGGATCCATACCGAAACGCTCCTTGACAGCCTTGACACCATCGGGAGTGAAAGCAGCGCCGTGGGCCTTGGCATCACCAGCAACCTTGGAACCGACACCGATGACAGTGTGGATGTTGATGAAGGTTGGTTTGTCCGTGCTTGCCTTGGCCTCGAGAAGAGCCTTGACGATACCCTCGACGTCGAAACAGCCATCCTCGACCTCAATCACATGCCAACCACAAGCACGCATCTTGGCATTGACGTCCTCGGTGTTGCAGAGATCGACACTGCCATCGCAGGTGACTTGGTTGTTATCGTACATAACGACAAGGTTGTTGAGCTTCCAATGACCAGCCAGCTGAATAGCCTCGAGAGCGACACCTTCTTGCAGACAAGCGTCGCCAATCATGCAGTAAGTCATGTTGTTGACGAGGTCGAAGTTGGGCTTGTTGTAAGTAGCCGCAAGGTTCTTGGTAGCCATGGCGAGACCGACGGCATTGGCAATGCCCTGACCCAGAGGACCGGTCGTCACCTCGATGCCTTCATGCTCAATCTCGGGATGGCCCGGTGCCAATGAGTCATAGTTGGAGGAATGGTAGGATTTGAGGTGGTCAAAGGTCATGGCCTTGTAGCCTGTGAGATGGAGGAACGTATACTGGAAGAGGCATGTGTGGCCATTGGAGAGGACGAAGCGATCGCGGTTGAAGTAGTCTGGATCGTTGGGAGAGTACTGCATCACGTACTTCCAGAGGGCAAGGCCGATAGCAGCCATTCCCATGGCACCTCTGCAAGCCAGTTAGTCGGTGTATTCCATTCTCTTGCATTCAAGGAATGTGCTTCTTACCCAGGGTGGCCACCCTTGAATTGCTCACAAAGATCAGCAATCAAGCAACGAAATTGTCGCAGTGCAAGATCGATTGTTTCTGCATCATCGTTCTTGATCAACTTGACAACATTGGAAAGAGCTACAGGCTCATCCTGTGCCTCTGGGGTAATTGCCATGGGTGCCATCTCGAGTGTAACTTTGTAATACTCTTACAAGGCAAGAATATGATGAGTTGAGTTGGAGAGACATCGACAGCGTCTTGCGAATTATAGACATCTCTGAAAACAACTTTTGCGCGTGATGTTTCTCATTACGACGGCGATACTGTGACCGCTCCGGGATCCCTAATATGGTAAGGGAAAGCGCTGTGAATTTAGGCGTTTGCCCTCAAACGTGGGGTTCTTTGAGAGTTTGAGGTTATTGGGTTTAAGTGAAGCTGTCAGTTAGTGAGGCTTCTGTATCAGGAAGTTGGAGGCATCTGGAATGGTTTCGACTTTACCTTTTGAGGTTAGAGTAATATGCACAGCGCTTGCACTTGCCGTTGTGTCGATGCATGAGGATCTACACACGCTACACGCCCTGTAATCGTGGGGTAACTACCAAGGTATGCAGTTCCGTGAGAGAAAACAACACTTGTTTGAGGTGGTCAATGGAAGTCCGATTGAGGTATTGGTGAAAGAAAGACCCAATCGCTGATGTGGAACCCGAGCCGGGCCAAAATCAAGGCAGCTTCGCACTACAATTCTATGGTCAGTTACGGTGCAGTATTTGTGTTAAGCTAGTAGGCTAGGTACTCCGTAGATTCCTTTTGTCTGTATCCAAACATGGAAAATACATCCCCCCAAAAATACCACCACTATTGGGATGTGACAACCCCCGGCTGCAATAGCTTCATTTGCAAGTCTGGACCAAGTTAATCAAGTCAATCTCAGACACGTCTTCCTTCGCATAGACCTGCCTTTCGATTGCCGTCATGGCGATTCGCTGAACAACGAACTGGAGACCATCTTCGGTATCTCCAGAAATGGAGACCCGTAGGTCATCGTATATCCCGACAAGTCTTTCCAAGCTTCTCTCCTTTTCGCCAGTCTCAAACTTTGATCTCAGAATTTCCATCTTCACTCTGTCATTGTTCTAGATCATCACCTTCATAATGACGCCTGCTATCGTCTCCGACATTGAGCTCCCAGCCAACGTTCCCGAATCCAAGGAAACGCCTGCCTCAAAAGCATCGACCTACAAGCTCTTCTCCCTTGATAACAAGACAGTCGCAATTACCGGCGGAGCCCGTGGTTTGGGTATCACTCTAGCTATTGCTGTTGTCGAAGCCGGCGGCAGCGTGGCTTGCCTCGATATTCTCGAGGAGCCGTCACCAGCTGAGTGGGCACAGCTCAACAAGATTGCCACGGCTAACAAGGCCTCTGTATCATACCGAAAATGCGATGTCACAGATGAGAACTCTGTCGAGACATCAATGAAGGAGATCGCGGCTGAGGCCGACAAGGCTGGAGCTCCGTTCTGGGGAACCATTGCTTGCGCTGGCATTCAACAGCAGATCGCTGCGTTTGACTACCCTGCTGCCGACTTCGATCGCATATTGCGAGTCAACGTGACTGGAGTCTTCAATACTTGCAAATATGCGGCACGCATACTGCGGGAGAAGAACAGCCCAGGCAGCATTGTCATCATTGGAAGCATGTCAGGCAACATTGCCAACCGAGTAAGTCAATCCACCACTACACACTAGTCTCCACAAGCTAATGAGTAAACTGCAGGGACTTTCTTGTACAGCATACAACTCCAGCAAGGCTGCTGTTCAGCAGATGTGTCGATCGGTCGCTCAGGAATGGGGTCAATACGGCATCAGAGTCAACACTCTGTCTCCCGGCTACATCAGGACAGCCATGACCGATCAATTGCTCCAAGAGAACCCTGAGGTTGAGAAGACGTGGATGGCTGGCGCTCTACTGGGACGGTTGGGTGCTCCAGAGGACTTCAAGGCGCCCGCGGTGTTTTTACTGTCAGAGGGCGCGTCTTTTGTCCACGGTACAGATCTGAGGGTTGATGGAGGGCATTGCGCCTCAGCATAGCTGGCCACAGTTAATGAGAAAATGAATCGCATACCTAATTTTAGTGCATTCTCAATCCATTGAAACACCATCATTCAGCCCACACGATGGACGCCTGATTTGCAGCTAAACTGTTGATTCAGCCTTACAGACCTAACTGGCGTAGCGTGGCGCCTCACTGCCACCGCCATGTCTATGGTGCCAGATTGGCCTGGCCTGCCTGGGCATGAGCTCAATCGGCTGCCTCAAGTGAACAAATATACTTATAATAACGGACCATTCTCACAGTCGACTTACAAATAACATCTCTTTTTAACCAACAACAATGAACGCGGTAACCTTGTCAGCAAATGCCCATAAGGCACTGGAGTCCTCTCACCTCCAAGACCGCATCATCGGCACCATCTTCGGTTCAGCCCTTGGAGATGCAATCGGATTATACACTGAGTTTCTTTCTGCCGAACTCTCTGCAAAAGCATATCCCGATCGCACCTTTAACTTATTGCCCGCCGAGAAGGCAACGCCATTCCGTCGCGACCATCACAGAAATTTCCATCGTCCTGGCGAATGGACAGATGACACAGACCATGCTGTCCTGATACTGCTATCGTATCTCCACAGCAATGGAACGAAGCTTGATCCTCAGGACTTTGCTTCGAGATTGTCGGTATGGGTTAGGATGGGGTTGCGTGCCCTTGATACATTACCTCTCGGCCTGGGACGCACCGTTGGCGGCATCGTCCGCAGTAAATCTTACCTTGACCACCCTGAAGGAACAGCGCGAAAGTTTTGGGTAACAGGCAAATATAACGCCGCGCCGAATGGAAGTCTCATGAGAACGCATCCCCTAGGACTCTTGTGTTTGGGCAAGTCAGTTGAGGAGACTTTCCAGATCGCGGCTGAGTTCTCGGCCGTTACACATGTTGACCCTAGATGTGTCGTTTCTTGCGCCATCGGCACTGCTCTTGTCCGTGGACTTGTTCTTGGAGAGATCTACGAGGAACAGCATGTTGATGAGTTGATCGAGACTGGTCTTTCATGGTATAACGAGCGGCGAGAGAAGGAATTGCAGCACCCCGACAGGAAAGATGAGCCTCGCTTGGACGTCGCCGAGTTCAGACAACATGCTACTACCAAAACACTCGCAGATCTCAAGCTGGACGAGAGCTACAAGATCGGCTATGTGTACAAGACATTCGGCTCCGGCATTCTGCTTCTCCGCCTCGCACTTCGCCAACTCAAGTCCTCAGGGCAACTATGCTCACAGCTTGCGATTTTCGAGAAGCTGATCACCGATCTCACAATGGAAGGAGGAGATGCCGATACAAACGCCTGCTTCGCGGGCGCTCTTCTTGGAGCATTACTTGGCTACAAGGCCCTGCCACCTCATTGGCGCGATGGTCTTCGTCACGGAGGATGGCTGATGGAGAAGTCGGAGGGACTATGTGATATCTTGAGTGTGACGAAGGGCTCATACTCAGGCTCGCACGATAAGGATACTGCAGAGGATGGTGGGCGTGGCTTTCTGACGGATGTGCAAATGGAGGAGAAGTGTATGAGGATGCAGGCTTGGATGGCTCAGGAGGAGACGGAGTGGAAGAGGAAACAGGAGGCTGAGAAAAAGAAGCCGAATTGGTTTGCGTGGAAGTGAGAGCTCATGAAACGAATGATACCTTGTTTTTGGCCTCTAGTCTTTGATACTACTGGGCAGTTAGGCCTGCGATGATGAAGTTTACGATTTGATGGTTTTACACACAAAAGACAACATGTATGCAACAGATTGGCTTGAGTATGTCAATACAGTCCGAAAATTGGAATTTAAGATGATGCATCAAGCGAAAATAAATTGACTAGCCCATCGCTGTCCACTTCAATCACTCAGCCATTCCTACTCTCGCATATGAACCTCAGCCTCAGACTTCTCGTCATGACCAATCTTTCCCGTCTCGCCACTCGAGGTATTCTCAGAAGCTTCTCCAGGGACACCCATGCTGTGGTCCCAGTGAAGAGCTTGTCGATCTGCTCGAGAGACAGGAGCCGGGTCTCGGGGTAGAAGAAGTAGATGAGAGGGACGAAGAAGGCGTTGAAGATGCAGAAGTATACGTATGTCTTCCATCCGATGCTGGAGATTGATACGGGCGTGATCTCGACGACAAGGAAGGTGAAGATCCAGTTGGAGGCTGTGGCGAGGGCGGCGGCGCGCGTTCGGATGGCAAGGGGGGCATACTCGGCGGGCACTGATATACTATTAGTTTCGAGGTGGTCAGAAGTTCCATGTGTGGTAACTTACATAGCCAAGGAATTGCCAGCAATCCAACAGCAAAGAAAAAGTCTACAGACTAGTTAGCGTTGATGGTTCTAAGGATTACGGACCGACTTACTGAACAAGAAAAGCATAACGATAGCGACAATTCCAGGTCCTGGCCGCCCAGTTGACACAGTTCCAGCCAAGACAGCCATACAAACTGCCTGACCGGCTGCAGCGAACATCATCAGCTTGCGACGGCCAAGGCGGTCGATGATCCAGATAGGAATCAATGAAGAGAAGAAGTATGCGACACCGTTGAAGCCGGCTAGTAGAAGACTCAAGTTGTGGGAGATTCCGACTGATTCTTGAAAGATGACAGGGGCGTACTGTTGGTTGATGTTAGTGACTTAAGTTTGCTAGTAGGCAGTCTGTGGAACTTACATATGTGATCAGATTGATACCAGAAAGCTACAAGAGAGGAAATGTTAGCCAGAGTACGTCAAGTCAGCTTTACTATTGTGTCTTACCTGCTGCATAAACTGTCCACCAATACCAAGCATTGTTCGGTACAAGAACTTCTGCTCTCCATTTTTCCACATAGCCTTGAAGCTACTCGTCTGCGCAGCCTCACGCTCCTCATTGATAGCGTGTTGAATCTCCGCAATAGCACGGCTAACAGACGCATCGTCCTTGGTGATGGACTTTGCGTTCTTCCGCACAGACCAAAGAACCTCTCGGGCCTCGTCGTGGTGGTCGTGGTTGATGAGCCAACGAGGAGACTCGGGAAGGAGGAGAATCCCGATGAAGGTCAGGATGGCAAAGAAGATCTGGAAGGCGAGCGGGAAGCGGAACTGGGCGTCGTTGCTGATGAAGGACATACCGTAGTCGACCCAGTATGAGAGCATCACGCCGAAGATGTTGATGGCGAGTTCAATGGCTAGACCACGACCGCGGTCGTTGGCTTTCATCAGCTCGGAGTGCCAGACAGCTAAGACATGTTAGTTGAGGCACAACTACTTGAAGAGGGTAACTCACGGATTGTACTGGTGTTCATGCCATTCCCCAGCCCAGCCACGATACGACCAACGATCATTTGAGGGATTCCAAAGGCCGAGGCTTGAAGTGCAGCTCCAATGCTGAGAACAACACAGCCCATCATGATACACTTGCGACGACCAAAGTACTCTCCAAAGATAAGGCAGAAGATGGCACCAAAGAAGCACCCGATCTCATAAATTGCTACCACAGTGCCCTGTAGAGAAGAACTGCCATTGCCGCCGTCTGTGGTGTCAATCTCAGGAAATGTGTTTGTGAATGCAGTGCCTGTTAGTAGGCCTGACATAACACCCTGATCATATCCAAAGAGAAGGAAGCCTGAGCCAGCTGTTGCCGTGATGGCCCAATCCAGGGGCTTTCCGACGAGGATCGTCATGGTGAAGGTGAGTAGTGAGTATAAATGAAGGGTGGAATGAAGCTATATTCAACAACAGAGTGTGGAGTCGTTGATGCTTCCAGGCACACAACACCAATGATGAAGGTGATCAATATGGGGCAATGACATGATTATATATATTTGTATATATACAGTAATAACCGACTTCGCATTGCGATCCCAAGACTGGATCTGTTGACTCGCGCAAAACAAGGTTTGTTCCAAGATTCTGGGGCGGGTTCCCCGTGGGGACTCAGCAGTCCACTGCAACATCAGTGTGTCCATCGTCTGGGGTTTTGCGGGTTAAACCGAGTCAACTCTCTGAGGCATTTGCAAGCGCCCTTACGAAAATGATTGGAGAATGGGGCCGTCTAGGCAGCCGAATTCAGGGATTAGCTTGCTTCATTTGTTCTGCAACGATACAGCGTAGCCAAAGTGCTGCAGTACTGAGGTGTAAGTGGTCGGATGAGGGTTTTGTCTGCACCTGATATTCGAAGGTGGGCATGTACAAGCGCTTCCTTTGTTGACTTACACAGGAACTTCGTGACCAGTTCCGTTCAGTGACGTCGGTTGAAGACAAGGGAGATTAACTGCAAGCAAGTAAATGTATAAAACCTCACAAGGATATACCGTATGAGACCGTCTTAATGAGTTGAGTAGCGGTTGACGCCACTGATGATTTTCTTCTTAATCGATCCAAAGCGCTCTTCAGAGCGATTTGAACGAACTTTTACAACAAATCTGCGCAAGGCGAGTCGCGCAAGAACGCTGAGGCATACAGTTCTTATATAAAAGTGGTGTTAGGGCGAAGAGCTTTGACGAGTAATCTCAAAGGTCTGATCAATTGCACTTGACTTCTCTTCCGCTTGTGAATGCCGGGGATATGCTTATCCAGATGATGTGACGATCTTACCCAGACAGGTCAAGTCGAGCCAGGGTGAGTCATTGCACTGCTAAACTGGTATTGGAATGGCAGTTCTAAGCGGAGTTGAACTAAAACCAGTTTGGGCATGTTTATGAGAGTGAGAATAATCATGAAAAGTTCATGGCTCATTAATCGTGACATTCTTTCGGCAAATAATGGTGCGAGTCAATGCCTGGCATTTGTCCGTCTTTTGGAATAATTACCGTTGTAAGAGAAGACTTAGTGCATGATACCTTGCGAGTAACCGCAGATTTTGGCGTCTACAACTGCCCTGCCCCTCCAACTTTCGGACATCTCTGCCCTGGTCAACACAATCCACTCTCACTTCTGCCTTTTTCTGGCAATAAGATAATTACCAAGAACCGGCACCGAGAAGAGTGACGCCGGCTACAGTTGACTTATGGAGCACACCTCCGCATCCCGGCTCCAAGCCCGAGCGGAACCAGCCAAGCACAAGCGGACGCGGTCCGGGTGCCTCAATTGTAGACGCAAGAAGCGCAAATGCGACGAGGGCCGACCGGCCTGTGGAACATGTCGTCGGCGCAACGAGTCTTGCGAATGGGGCCTCAAGATTGCGTTTCGGGCTGAGCATGCGCAATGCTTGAATGCGCGGCATCCTTCGATGCGCAAGATGGCGCGGAGGAGACCGCCAAAGGAGTTTGAGATCCTGGATGTTACGGATGAAGTCATTCGGGACTATAACGGCGCCGAGACAGAGGAGGAGGGATTGGATGATAATGGCTGTCGTACGCTGAGAGCTTCCGGTATGGACTTGTTGTAGACGAGAGAAAGTGTATGCTGACTTGACATCCAGGTCGTTCAAATCTCGTGGTTGATGGGAGGATATCAGAAACTAGCACGACCACAACTGGCTATACGCCTGTACAAAGACATCCAGAAGTTGACATCTCATCTCCTGCATCTCAGCGCCGAACCGAAAATGCTGTCGCGGACCTTCTCTACTTCAGCCAAAACGGCCTATCTAACCCCTCTGCTGAAATCAATCCTACTATCCACGTATCAATGGACTCAGTCCCCATTGATATAATAACAGAGTATCCGTATATAGACCACATGCAGGCATTCACGCCCGAGGGGATATCAGAAGACGGTATTTTCCTGCCAGGCTCTGCGTACCACGAATTGCATTCCACACTACGCAATCATCTCATCCAGGAGACACGGTCTGTCGCACCAACAAGATCAACAACACCACATATTGAAGCCGACAGTGCACCGGGAGGAGTTATCCTGGAAGAGACAGAGGTAGTGCCTCCAATAAACGATTTCCAGTCTTCGCAGACGCCCCTCCTCTCACAGCAAGAAGAGTGCTCTTTGTGGAAGAACTACTTTGACGAAATCGCTCCATGGCTCGATAAGTTTGACCGCGACCGACATTTCCAGCAGATAATCCCTACGATGAGTAAAGATAATGACCATCTACGATACTCAATGTTGGCTCTTTCAGCGCGACAGCTCGAACTCAAACACACGCTCCCAACCAGCCGTAGTCTTGCGCTGTACCAAGAGGCAATACATCTGCTTCTCCCTCACTTACCAACACGCGGAACAGCAGTAATTGCCACGTGTGTTATACTCTGCGTGCTGGAAATGCTGAGCTGTTCGCCCAAGGCGTGGCAGCGACATCTAGATGGGTGCGCGAGTCTCATGGAAGCTGTCGGCATTAATGGCTTCGTTGGAGGGACAGAGCAAGCCCTGTTCTGGTGCTTTGCACGTATGGATATCTGCGGAGGTCTCATATCCTCTGTCAAGACGCTCATCCCCATCTCTCATTGGGCGTCCAAGACGTTATCGGTCGAGAACGATGTTGAGCTGTTCAAGAGTGCTTTGACCTTTGAGCATTGGGCCAATTATGCTGTATACTTGACTGCTCAAGTTCTTGATCTTTTAGCACCTTCTTCTTCCGATCCTGCCCGCGATGAAGCCAAATTCCGAACCAAGTGGCTCAAACTGTGGAAGTACATCAGCGAATGGTACCAGGAGCGCCCAGCACCTTTACATCCCATTATGACCATTGCATCAAGCGACACTTCACCTTTCCCTACGATTCTCTACTCCAATCCTGCCGCCATGTCGGGGAACCAGTTGCACCACACAGCATCGATCCTCATGCTACAGAACCAGCCATCAACAGTACGACTGGGCCACGCGGCAAAGCCCAGGAGTATTCTCTGGCACGCACGGCAAGTGTGCGGCATAACTGCTTCGAATGAGCATCATGGTGCATGGACGAATAGTGTTCAGCCGCTGTGGATTGCCGGACGCTGCATGAGCCATCCGAGTGAGCATAAAGCCATATTAGAAATGCTGGATCGTATTCAGAGAGAAAGCGGATGGAGAACCAATTGGCGGGTTGATGATCTGAAAGAGTTCTACAAGTGCTCTTTATCAACTGTATAAGAGATGTGATCTATCAGCCTCTATTAGCTGGAGTTGCTGGTGGGTTCGCTATTGTGATTGAATAAATTCTTCTACATTCGGCTTTTATGACGGCGTCATTTGTCCTAGGTAATTTTATTGATACCTTCGGAGGGGACAGCAATCCTCTATATCAATCGAAACTCGACTTGGCCTTTGTATCATTTTATTGCCAGGGTCAAAAAGGCTCTTCTAAATATTTTCAAATGTCTTGTTGGGACTCACGTGCCAGAAAAGTGAAACAGTCAGAATCTGAAACAATAGTTCACACTTGTCAAACGCAAGTCCGCAACCTCATCAATCACCCATCCCTTCAGCAAATCAAACATAAAATTCAAACAAGGTTTATCCTTCCACAAATCATACCTATCGCTTTATTTGAAAACTACTACTATGGCTGAGGCAAAGTCTATTCATGACATCATCCGTCAGCATCCAAGAGAGCGACTTCTGGTCCAACCTCTCGAATGGACACAACTGCACTTGGGCCTTCTCAAGTGCTCTTTTCAAGAAAAAGAGATTGATGACTTGCCAGAAGAGTCAGACATTAGCAAATTGGAGGTATCAGGAGGCAAAAAGTCTGTTGATCGCGATGCGCGAAGTGCTGAGCGATTAGCAACGTCCGAGATGAAAAACGCAGCCATCAAGAAACTCGTAGCTGAAGATGGTGGGCCTTTGAGACTTCAAAGGTAAGACCTTGAAACATATGCAAATATATTCGCAGTTCTAATCTGAATTACACAGACCTTTTGGCTATTTCTGCTTCGGCAAGAAGCATGAGTATCGTCTGCATGGCACTGTCTTCTCCATGCGTTCATCAGGAAGTCTGACGCCTGTCTTTGCATTCTTACAGCGTGGAATGATCAGAATTCAACGAGAAGGTGTCTTTGGGCTTCCAAAGCCCCGTCGACCTAACCCTCCAGCTGAGTTGCTGAGGGAGATGCGGCTGAAGCAGATCGAACCAACTGACCAGTGGCGTGATCCTTACATACTCGCCGTACTGGTTGGCCTAGCGCAATCTCAGGCCGAAGAGAAACAGTCTCCCAAAGCACCATTTCGAGAAAGCCACGTCTTCAAGGTAAGTTACCTCTGTTACTGATACTTCGTCCTGAAGCGCTTTTGACATTACTTCCTCAGACCTGTGCAGTGTTTGTCGACGAGAAAAACACAGATTTCATGCATTTCTACGGTGCAATGGTTTCCGTCGCTTTTCTCAGCAAGTTTGAATATCCCCACACACTGATGAGACCGAAGAAGGCAATGTTGTCAGAGCTTGGCATCCGGATGAAGAAACTTCCCTTCAAGCCTTACTCGACTTTGAAATCGAGACTCCTCGCAGAGATCGAGGCCTGTTGCAAGGATGAAGAAGCCGTTACTACTTGAATGGGCTAGGTTAGGCTAGCCAGCGTAGCATTGAAGAACACTACGCCGTGATCCTGTCGGCGCGACATTCAGGTGCTCAGCTCATGACTGACGATGGATGAACTTTTGAGGGACGATATACGCGGATGTGAGGGTTTATCTCATTGCTATTGGTAAAGAGTGCAAAGGTCAGTTCAGATATCTCGGATATCGTCTATAAACGCGCAAGGTTGTTCGCAAGCTGACCGGAACGCAAAACTTTAAAGTTGAAATAGGCCATTATCGGGGTCTCCGATCCTCAATAGAATACCGAACTGCCTATTTTGTTACACTATGTCCCATGTCTAGTTGTTAGTCATGCAAGATCATGGCGGTAGTTTATTTCCACCAGTCTCAACAGTCCACCATTCAAGACGAAACTTTAAATAAAAACTAATTATCGTATCGCGATTTCCTCGGCGGTTGAGTAGCCTGATTGAAACAAAATGACAAGGGCATCCCTTGCAGGGCTCGGATGACCGCGGGTGTCCCCGCGCGATATGCCAAAACATTGGTTGGATACTTGTTTCTTTCACAGGCATGTTTCTCGATCTACTCCTAGTTGAAACTTGGATGCAGCTTACCATTGTTAGCGGTTTCAAGGGGCCCATTGCGCTCTAAGGACTTGGCCGAAGTGCCGACTGGGATCCTTGCTAGTTCCCGTGGCTACTCCGGCTGGAGATTAGAGGACCTCGAGACTGAATCAGTAAGTGTATGATTTTAAAAAGGTTGGTACTTGATTTATCGTAGTCGTCTGGGATATAAGAACAAGTCAGTGTGCCAGCTAAAAGTTGATTCTTCAGATCTCAACCATCGATCATCAGCCAGCATCCTCTCTTCGATCCAAAACTCTTCTCTCACTCCTACATATTACCATGAAGTTCCTTTCTGTCCTCCTTGCCGGTCCTGCGCTTGTTGCAGGACGATACCTCAGTGATGAGGTCACCTCCGGAACCTCGACTCACTACGGCGGAAACGTCAGCGGAGGAAACTGCGGTTTCGTGAACTACAGCATTCCCCCAGGTCTGTACGGCACTGCCTTCTCAGGCTCCAACTGGGATAATGCGGGTGTTTGCGGCAACTGTATTGAGGTCACTGGTCCTACTGGCAAGAAGGCCAAGGTCATGGTGAGTGCTCCCAACCGATAATTAGGGCTTTGCAGTTTACTGATGACTTTTCGTTAGATTGTTGACAAGTGCCCTGAGTGCAACAAGGGTCACTTGGATCTCTTTGAGAATACCTTTGCTGCTGTGGGAGGTTCCAATGGCCTTGTTCAGACCAGCTGGAGGGCCATTTCTTGTGATATCACCACGCCCCTGGTTTTGCGTAACAAAGAGGGTAAGTCGTCGAGCACCAAGTCTGAGGAATCTACATGGTCAAGATCAGTGACTAACGCCATACTAGGAACAAGCCCATATTGGTTCTCTATGCAAGTCCGCAACAGCAACCTGCCCGTGAAGAGCCTTGAAGTGAGCATTGACAACGGCAAATCTTGGACGGGAACGACCCGAAAGGACTACAACTTCTTCGAGAACCCCAGTGGCTTCCGAACCCAAACTGTCGATGTTAGAATCACCAGCTCAACTGGTAGCACTATCGTTGTCAAGGGCGTCAACGTGAACCCTATGACAGAGTTCAAGGCCGCTTCCAACTTTGCTTAAACGGGAGTTGCATTCTTGGACAGGTGAAGAGGGCCATGACAACGGACGAGAGTAGCCTTGGAAGGTTACGTGCCAAGAGTGATCAAGAGTGATGATCAGCTATCAAGATTGAACGATGAGGGTTTATGTAGCTTTTTATGAAATTATCTGTATATAGATAAAACTGTTGTATATATTATTGCAATCCAATTTGGTCGCCGACTTATCGTTCAATCCCGCTCATGTGTAGCCCCCAAGGCTGAACCGAGCCGCCAAGCACAACGTGCTGAGTGAAACCATCCAATGTTACATGAGAACCCCGAAACTATACCATCTCGCCGCCAGGCTAATTATAGGTCTACTCGATCTTGAATGCAGTAACAAAATTGGTGATCTAGGACGCAGACTTGGAATCACTAAACAGTATGATTGGCTAGGTAAACATCACTTGGCGATGCATAGAACAATGTCCACGTCTGATTTTCTCTGTGACAAACCATCCAAAGCCGTTCACCTCACACCATCTCATAAAATATTGCCCCAAGATAGACAAGAAATGTCAGCTTTCGACGTCAGCAAAGTGGCCATGTCATCATATAATGGAATCGTGTTTCTAGCGCTTATCATATAATAAGTACGACATACCGTAAGAAAGCAGCATCGCCCATTTTTAGGTCAACTTCCTGGCTTGACGGTCAAGTCAACTGCAAGCTTTGGTCTTCGATTCTTCGAGAAAGTTCTAACATCATCAGTATCACGTTAAACATAGTTTCCCGAGATGTCAAAATCCAAACGAGACGACGATGCCACTCTCCTTGAGACCATCGACTCTCGCCAGGTACACGAACTCTACCAAATTAAACCCCATCCCATTACCGGTCGACTCATCGACTCCTATCCTATTCGCCGCACGAAGCCCATGCGCGTACTATGCCTCGGACAATCACGAACAGGCACCATGGCTGTCTTCACAGCCCTCAAACAATTAGGCTACACGGCTTACCACATATCCGCTGCCATCGGCAGCTCTAAGACAAACCTCAACCTCTGGCGCGAAGCACTCGACGCCAAGTTCTACGGCAAGGGCAAGCCATGGGGTCGGGAAGAATTCGATAAGATTCTCGGGTTTTACGATGCTGTTGTCGATATACCAGCTATTTGCTTTGTCGAGGAACTTGTGGCTGCGTATCCAGAAGCTAAAGTCATCGTCACTCAACGAGATGTAGATGATTGGCTGAATAATATGGATTCAACAGGTGGCCGTGTCCTACGATGGCCTCTCTGGAACACTCTATCAAGATGGGATCCTGCTCTGGCAGGCCCCTTCTACGAGTTCTCAAAGAAAGCCATGTTCGCGAGCTTCAACACCATGACTGATTTCTCGCAAAAGTCACCTGCTCGTCAAGCCTTCCACGACCACTACGAGCTGGTCAAAAAGACAGTCCCGGTTGAAAGAATGCTAGTGTTTCATGTTCAGGAGGGATGGGAGCCTCTTTGTAAGTTCTTGGGCGCGGAGATTCCTGCTGGAGAATTCCCAAGACTAGATGACTCGAGACAGTTTGTTCTTGCACATAGTTTGATGTGGTGGGTTGCTTTCGCGAAGATGGTGGGCAAAGCTTCATTTATGAGTGCTGTCACTGGTGTGATTGCTTCAATGATTGCAGTTTGGAGGATGAAATGTATGGTCAAAGTCGGTGCTATGCTTAGGCCGTTGGCGGAACTGCGTTGATTGATACGATGAAGGATACGCACTGCTATTTGTATATGAAGGAAAGCCTAGGTACCTAATGAAGTATATGATCATGAGAATTGAACTCGAATTAGTGCAAATGTTTCTATATTAAGCATTGATATTGAGTCTGGTAGCACCTTTGAGAAATAGATCTAGCTATCCCAATAAAACCCACAGAAATATCAACAATAAAAATCAATAATAGCTCAAATTCAATAAGGTTACCCAACCATATCAGCCACCGCAACTCTATTTCCCAAAGGCATAAAGCCTCTGGAAGAATCAACAATTTGCTTAAGTTTAAGACTGATGTTGTTCTTTGTGACTCAAAGTTTGGTTCTAGATTTTATCACCACCCAACGTCATTCAGGGACCGGCTGTTCCAGGCTAGGAACGAGGCACACGGACCATTTAAGCTGAAATTTAAAAAATAGAACCATCTTTGTTAAGTAAAGCCAGGAACTGTAACCTTTTATTTAAGTGTATCGTGGCTTAAATTGCTCCACATCCAGGTACGGAAACTGTCTAGCCCACACGAATCCCGACGATCTGGGAATAGTGACTGTACAATTCAGGTCTCGACTACCGATCACATTCCTCACTACCTGAGTAGCCAAACCCGGTCCTGGGATCGTTCAATTCAATTGCCACGTGAAATGATTGTGTATATAGTTCTTGACTCCAGCTGTTGTGCCTCTTCGTCATTCATGCTTACCTCACGTTTACACCACCTCACAGCCTTTACCATGAAATTCGCCATCAGCCTTATGATTCTTTCCGCTGCTACAGTGTCTGCGATCCCTGCCGGAAGTAAAGAGTGCGAAACAATCTACCAGAGATGCATGGAAACCATAACAGTATGTTATACTGATGTGACTGCCGATTCGAGGCTAACAAATCCTGCATTAGCCTTACGAGTGTGAAAGGGCTGACAAAGACTGCCTTTGCAAAGCCTGGGATGATATCGTAACGTACGTATGGTTCTAATTGATCAGAACATAATCATTTCATGCTAACGCTCTACAGGTGTTTGAAGCCATGTGCAAACACTCCCCGGTTCTGGTTAGCGAAAGAAAATACTAGGGGTTACTGCGCGTGAACAGTATTGATAATTTAGCGTTTTTGTTTGTTTGTTTAAGTATATGAAGACCTGAAATGGTTGTTACAGGCTATCAGAGGCACTGCCAAGAATCTCAATAGGGCAGACCTTTTTGCGTGAAGGCGAATCAGCGCCCTGGTATATGTAACAATACACTTATGATACCCTCAAAGAATTCAAGTGATTTCTTGTATGTCGTTAAAAGGTATTCTCTAGAGGTACGCCTGTCACGACGTATATTGTGAGTAGCCGTGAAGTTTTCTGTAGTATTCTATGTAAATGTAGCCTTGGGAACATGGAAACCAAAAAGGCGTCTTTTTAGTCGCCGACTAGAGAATTGCACGGATTCGAAGTGATGCTGGAACTTGTTAGCTGATATATTGAACCTACGTAGCTATAAGAATGGTAGTTTGGAGTAGTAGTATTACGTCCCGGCCTTATAGTCACGCCAATGTGTACTCAGTCGTTTGGATATCTCTTCATCTAATACATACAGTACTCTTCAGATTGTGCTTATCAAATTTGATCCGTGAAATACTCGTTCTGTGGAGAGGAAATCCTATGATTGATAACAACCACTCGACTTTTGGCCGGAGCAGTTGATAAATTTAGTTGATTTCTGGTGCGAACTCCAAATGATAACTTTTTTGAGTTACTCGTCCTAATAGACATTGAATTCTGCCGTAGTTTTCAATTAGGATAATGCCAAATCTAGAGGGGAGGGTTGATATGTTCCGTAGGGTAGTTTATCTAGAGCAAGTCGACTAGGCATCATACTTCCTGCAACTCAACTATCTACCCACTCTTTGGAATCTTACAAGGGTTTCATGCATCTAGTTTCTACGGTGAGTGGTCTAGTTTTCTGGGCTATAGAATAAATACCTGTCCCCCAAATCACCACCAGGCCTCCGACAGAATCGCCAACTGTCTGGTCGTGTGACGATGCCATAGGCTGAGGTGGTGGACATCAGAAGTCTCGGCAATGGTTTCAGTGGCGTTTTTTACTATGTGATATCTATTCCAATGGCACCTGCTGTATCACCGGAGAGTTTCGGTGTCTCAGTTGTTGATGTCGTCTGTAGAACAGACTTTGTCCATGCTAGGGATTTTGGCAAAGTGGTATATGCACATCTACAGTGTGGACGTAGTCTCTCTATTGTTGCTGGGACATGCATGGCCTCCTAGACAGCTGGAAACATTCTAAAGAACAATAAAATATCAATTTATCATGCGGAATTCGTGGGCATCCATCCTCCCGCAACCAGTAGTACAGACATGGTCTCGACATTGACCTGTCAGAGGACAATCGAGATCATCCGTACTACTGTACTACCATTAAGGCCATTCTGCGGATTAAAGCAATACATAGTTCCTAATTCAGGCGTCGTCATGGCTTGTGGATAGTTATTTTTGTGACCGCATGTCACCATTTCAGATGGACGCTGCGTTATTCAAGAGGGGCAATTGTCCCACTGGCGACAAAGTCTTAGTTGTAGAGGAAAGTCTAGCGTTTGCATTGATGAGGCATGTGTATAACTGAAACAATAGGAAAATACATGTGATTCGCCGCTTTTGTCTCACTTAAAAAGGGGGAAAGGGTCAAAAGGTTGGACACCAACGAGGAGGAAACGCGCCAGATTTGTTTGTTTGCCGTGCTCTGCTTGTGTAATATATCCGTGGGCTCGAAGTCGTCCTCTTTTATTGTACAACATCTCATGGCGGCGAGTTTCGTCGAGATTGGCATGTGCTGCTGCTAGCACCGTTTGAAACGGCTTCATTCAAGGTGACAGAAACCGTTTGATCGGAACCCAGGGTGCCGTGTTCCTTGCAGGTGCCGATATCTTATCGCGGATTTAATTGGATGTTCGTCTAGATACGCACTTGGCATCTGCCTTGACTACAAAAGGCAAGTGTAACCCTTGCATTTCCAGCCCAGCCACTTTTTCGACCCTCGCACATTGAGTGATTAAGCAGACGACAGAGCCAATGGGCGGAATGAGATTTTAGCCTAATGCGCACCACAGGAAATGAGATGATGTGAGAAGGAGAGAAGGAAGATAGAGCACTTCATGTTGAATGAGAAGGATTCGACGAGGGTGAGTGAGCTGGGATCTTGGATGTGGTCTCGCAATAAATACTCCTCCGAATTGTTTGCGACTGTGACTGTGACTGTGACTGTGTCTGTGTCGTGGAATGTATCAGTGTCACCTGCTGGAATTTCACGATATTTATTATTATCATCATACCACGTCACTGACAAAGAATCTGTCAGGTCGTATTTATCGATGACTGCCAGATCAAACCCCTGCTAGCTCCCGTGTAAACGAGGTCCCCGACTTTCTCGGTGGGCTGACCCGTCAGTAACAGTAACGTGCCCTCCACTGTAAGCAAACGCTGGGCCCGGGCACCGGGGGCTCCATGTCTGGCAGGCTATCAATTATAGTGGGGTCTCGTACCTCAGCCTCCAAACGTGTCTCATCCGAACCCTTCCCTTGGTGTGCTCTAAGTTGGCCAACAGGTTCTAGGCTGTGCCTTCGCCCTTCAGCCGTATTGCGGCAATTCCTTTTTTAATTAGACACTCCCTCTTAACTTTCCTTCTTCTTCACTTCTCTGTCATGTATGTATATCCAAGATGTTGGCGACAAAAATGCATCGCAAAGTCCTTATTCTGTGCGTGCCACTCGTATGCTTCTTGTTAGTGTCAACGAGCTTGTACCTTGGTCGCGATCACATAACTCGATTATCGGAGGCATACCTACCTCTCTACGCACCATCCCTTACGAACACATCTACGAAAACAGCTCCCTTTCTTTCAGATCCAACAACGACATTGACCCCCGTTGAAGAAGACACAGCTTCATACTCGATATCGACCGCTAATGCTTACACAACAAGCACTATCAAGCAGGCTACCACATCAACAATATCATCTACCACTTCCGCAACACCCACAAAATCCGCCATACCCATTGCAAATGGTAAGTTTTCATCCGCCGTTACTTTCTCGGGTTTGACTAACATACAACAGGATCTGTTCTCTCTACCGAACGCATCACTCCTTATATCCACGCAATACTTGATCCCGCATCAAAAGAGCGCCCACGGCTCCAATGCCCTCCCCTATACACCAAACGGTACAAAAGTCTTCAAAAGAAGCACACTACCAGAGGAAGCAAGGGCGATGAACACACTATTGACTTCTTTTTCGCTCTCAACTTGCGCGATGTCGTAAAGCTTCTGCCTCGTCTGATGGGCAGCATTGTCGAAGCGATACAGTTCCTCGGCCCTGAGAGATGCGCTCTCTCAATCGTTGAAGGCAATTCTCCCGATGGAACTGCCGATGTTCTTGTTGCTTTGCGCCCTTTTCTGGAAGATCTCGGTGTCACATACTTTTACAACAACTCAGCAATTAACCCATCCAAGGGGGCACGAATCCGCAAGCTTGCTCAATTGCGCAACTTGGCCCTTGAGCCGCTCTTCAAGAACAAGGTTCCAGCGACAGACGAGACTACGGTTCTCTTCATCAACGATGTCGCCGCATGTCCCGATGATCTACTCGAGCTTGCTCTTCAGCGCCGCAATCTCAATGCCGATATGACCTGCGCTATGGATTTCACCTATGCCGGGCCTGATCCCACGTTCTACGATGTCTGGGTGAGTCAGAGCCAGACACTGAGTTTACAATCAGAAGTTAACATATTATTAGGTCGCGAGAACACTTGCCGGAGATACCTTCTTTCCTATTCCCAAAGACGGATCCTGGGATAATGCCTGGGATCTGTTCAGAGGAAACCGAGAAGCCCGAATGAGATACGACGCCCACCTCCCCTTCCAAGTCTTTGCATGCTGGAACGGCGCAACCGCATTCACTGCTGCACCAATCCTCCACGGCTTGCGCTTCCGCGACCCCAAAAAGGACGAGTGCTTTCAAGGCGAACCACAACTATTCTGCAAGGATCTGTGGCACAAGGGCTACCGCAAGATTGCAGTCGTGCCCAGCATCAGCCTCGAGTACACGGACGCGAGAGGCAAAGACATCAAGAAGCTCAAGGGCTTCACGAATGAGGTGGTGAAACACATGGAGGAGGACAAATCTCATATCGAATGGCAATTCGACCCGCCCGAGAAGGTCAAGTGTATGCCTTCTTTCGACCGCCAATCATGGCTTCCTTGGGATGAATCAATAAACAATAAAGCGATAGATTAATACGGCCATTTCCTCTGTTTTGTATACTACTCGACTTATACCAGCATTCTCAGGCGAGAGCGGCGTTGATGGGGTTCAATTATGACGATATATTATATGTACCAAACAAATAAACGTTTTACGATTAATTCAACCTCTATTTATCAGTATAATCTCATGATGTCGTAAGGCCGCTGATGGCTGATTCGGGAGACATTACCATTGGCAGAATCCATGGTTACATTGACGAGACCAGAAGTGGGATGGTTCTCGGCCAACCACCTCGGTTCAACGTTGACTTTTGTGCGCCACTCATCCGCAGTCGGCGACATCTAACTGACAGGCGCTTCACATGTTCAGCCTTAAGAGCTAAATTTAGACCACAGGGAACTCAATCCGAGCTGAGCCATCATGAAAACGGCCATGATGATGCTGACCGGTGCAGCTCCAGCGATCAGGGTAGGCTAGGGCGAGTGATGACTTCACGATGAGACGAAGAGTTGCAGTCTAATTCTGGATGTATTCAGTTCAACGCTATGTCTGCAAGACGACTATCTTTGACGTCCAATCTATTCATGTGTGTATCTGTATTCATCCTTTTGTGCGTCTGTGGTTGAGTAGAGCTGGAAACATAGCTCTCTCAAAATACCGAGCAAGATGCTTCCTTGTCCAAATATTCCTGTTTCGCATACAAACTCATTTCTCATCCGGTGCCCTCGGTATCAAATCCCCTTTCCTTGGATACGCTCTGCAGCAATGGTGTAGGCAGCGAGGGTATCTCCGACCTCACATGGATCCTCCCCAAACTCGACCTTCTCAAATCCATCAGGGCGATCCTTCTCGAGCGCCATCTTGCCCATCTGTGCCTGACATCGAAAGCTGCCGAAGCGATACTCGATAACGGACCGGCCACTCTTTGCTTCACCGCGAATGATGAGTGTTGTGATTTCGTCTATCTCGAAGACGAAGCGCTCTTTGAAGAACTTGGTCAGACTCTCGGCGTTGACAAAGCTCGATTTTCCGGTGATGATTAGAACTCGTGAGGCCGCTCCGACGACAGGCTGTTCGCCGTATTTGACGCGGTTGTGGGTGACACGGACGGCGTGGCTACCGACTTGCAAACCCTGGGTAAGGGACTTGGATAGAAGGATTTGGGCGGGGCCAGGGGTAAAGAAGACGACCTTGGCAGCGGCAGTGTCATGGCGCTCGTAGTCAGGCTCGTTGATGACGGTGCACCAGATGCGACCGACGTTGCGGATCTGCGAGAGTAGCTGGCGATGAGTGACATCCGGTGGAAGGTTGGTCAGCCAAAGGGCACAGTTCTCCTCGGGTGAGAGGTTCATTGCGCTGGCATTGCGGATCGTGTGTTCGCCTTTGTAGTTGCCCGAGAAGGTCACAGGCTCGGCTGCTTCATCATCGCAGTTAACGCGGCCAACATTGGAGCGAGTGTGGGCAATGGCAGCCATAGGTCTGAAGCCACGAGGGGTAGAATGTTGGCGAAAGGCTGGGTTTTCCAACTGATTAGTACCAGTAGGATTGTTGTTGATGAAAGGCTGCTGTTGCAGGCTTTGGTTGAGCCAGCTGGGAAGTTGGAAGGGCTGGGCACTCGGGGTGAATGTAGTGGGAGCCTGAGACTGGACCTGAGCTTGAGCTTGATGGGGTGCCGGTGCAGGAACTTGCTGTTCGCTCATTTCGAGATGGTGGAAGTGATCCTTGAGACTCTTCCAGATGTCTGGAGAGGGCGCCAGAGTGGCGGGGTTAGTCTTTCGCGCCGAAGAAGCGTGGTCAATTGGAGGAACAGCAGGCTGGCGGACGGGATTAGCTTGCCGGGCAAACAGGGAGCTGTATGCCGTAGCATCTTGGGCGAGAGGATGCTGAGCCTGAGCTGGTAGCACATGACCGAAGGCGCTTACGGGGCCCTTGGAGTCAGGATAGTTATGGCCCATGGGCTCTTGAGAGTTGTAAACGAGCGACGAGTTCCACGTGGGCAATCCAACTGGCGCTGGGGTCGTGAACAGAGTGCTTTGAAGACCAGAGTCTCGGTCCTTGCGAATGCTGGGGGAGTCGTTGAAGAGCGAGGAGTAGTTCATGGCTTTTTTGAAGCGAGACTGAGGGTCGGTATTGTCCAGCTCGGTGAAGGGGGTGCTCTGCTGCGTGGGAGGGGGAGTAACGTCGAGTTCGGGACTGCTGGAGCTCTTGTGAGTCTCCGGGGTAGAAGGGGACTTCATCTTGAGAGGAATATCAAGATTGAATGCGTGAAATGTCGGTTAGAGTGAAGTAAGAATAGCTCAAATGCTGGGTCTGTGTCGAGTAGAGTAGAGTAGAGTAGAGTGCGAGATGCCAAGAGGATCAAGATTCGAAAAAACGGTCGGCGGGAGTTGAGAGCAATTTATAGACCTGTATTTGAAGATGCTTGGTGAATTGTCTATTGTTCTGGTTGAATGGGTCTCGGAGCAATAACAAAAAGAATAGAAAGAAAAAAGAGGATAATAGATTGGACAATGCAGCTTCGTTTCTATTCATTCATCCCGTCTCCCATTGATTCTGGAAGCCGTCGTCACTGGCAACGTGCGTGAAGCGGGGATAACAACAATAAGAAGATCAAAGAAAGAATAAAAGGAGGGGAGGGATTGGGACTGAATTATATGCTTCGTGTCAAAGAGTATTTGCCAGTGATCAAACAGATTCACATCATGGTGGTGAAAAACGAAAAAGGGCTCGGTAGGTTTGTCCCTGCGGTGTTCGGGTAGCTGCGCTGGAGGGATAGAGAGGTCTATGCTGTAAAACAACAACTCCAAAGTGCGGTCAGGAAGAATGAATATCGGTGAAGGAGAATGATGTTCAAGAATGAAAGGGAGGATTTGTGTGGTGATGTGTTTGGCGGTGGTTGCCAGGTGGATTGTCTGCAGAGGTTGAAGAGAAGCACGAAGCACTGGCAAGCAGTGGCGAGGCTTTAGCAGTTTGAACGCAGGCCTTTTATCTACATACAGGCTCAATTAACCTAACATCGGTCTGTATGGACACTGCACACTGCTGGATCTTGGGATCATGGCCAAGTTTGTTGAAAGGAAACATGCATCTCGCAATTGAGAGTCATTCTCATGTTGGGTTCTAGAAGCCTAGCTTGACAATGACATATACCAGCAACGATCAGCCTCTTCCCAGGGAATCTCTACTACAGCTCCAAGATACAAGGGCTCTCTGGTGAGTTTGCCATATATCTACTAGCCATTCTCAAGGTGCGTATCTACAGTATTCACGCCTCAGTAGTCATTTACTTGGTCTACTCTAGGCTCCTTGACAGTAATTTAGTCTCCAAAGTAATTACACTGTTGTCAGCCTTTTATCAGGGTCCGCAAACTCTCCGGCTTCTCTTCCGCCATCATGCACTCCATCGGGTTCCGGCGTAAGGCTGTTATACAACTGGCAGCGGTCAACGCCCTCTGCCTTGGGGATAAAGACGATCTTCCAATCACATTTACGGCAAGCTACGCAACTACAGGTTTCTAGTCTGTCGATCGCGCTTCTTTGAAGTTATTCTTGAAAACTCGGGGGGGTATTGGGGCCGTATAGTCGCTGTGTGTTGAATTGTGAGGTGACCGACTGTCTACTATCCTTCACATCTACGGTAAGCCATCAGGTCCGTAGCTTGCGGCAATTGACTGGCAGTGTCATTTCACTGTACGGTCATTTAGAGAAACCTGACATCGCACTTTTGGGGGTTATGTGCATTTGTCGCTGTCTACAAGCCCAGGTTGAGCAGTTGTTGTCTCCGCTCTAACGTGGGTTCGTGGGTATACCTTCGAGGGAAAGGGATTATCATCGACATATTTTCCGTATTATAGCCAGAGAAGTCTGCGTAACCGTCAATTGTAGGGACTCCGTATTTGTAGAGCACCTCTTCCTGAAGCGCATCGCGGTCGCAGTGTTACAGACTCTCGGGATGCCTTCATCCAACAGTCAGGCGGCCCCTCCCTTATCCAACGAGCCTGATGGTGCTTCAGTCTCCTTCCTGCACATGACCAGCATGTCATACCACTTCACTTGTTCATTGATCTCTGAGATGCTTTGCTTCCCTGTTACTTAGGTCAAAAAAAGAATGGAGCATCGTGGTAGACGCCAAAAGAAAAGAAACATGCGGTTTATGTGGATCGAACACATGACCTTCAGATATCGAATGATAGAATGAAGTTTGACTTCAGTCTGACGCTCTCCCAACTGAGCTAAACCCGCTTGTTGAGACTGGTGACTTTATTTTAACCTGTGAACGCAGCTGTGCGACACTGTCAGCCTGACAACCAATACGTAAAGTCCAACGAGATTCGCTTTTCTTCGAGGAATATCATAATCTGAGGTTGCCGTTATTCTATCGGATGCTATTGACCCTCTGTATGTCTAGCTTTACAGTCCGCTTAGCCCAAATTGTCTATGTCTTGACCTAGTCCAGATTCCGCGTTTCTTGTTTGTTATGCAGACAGCTATCACCACTCATTTGAGAGCGACAAGGTGGGTAGGAGGTAACTAGACTGCAAGATTTTTGGTAGCGCAAGTCAGGTTCTTTCAATAAGTTAACATTTCCAGTTAAGCAAATGTCATCATCACACTCGCATCCATTCATCTCAGCAATGCCTTGTAGGAAGCCTAGCGCTGAGGCGGCGCCTCATTGGAGCTGAGTAAGGCAGAGGGATCCCAAAAATCGATCAAGACAACACAACTCAGCCTCAATCTTTCCGGCGAACCATATCGAGCTAATTGCTTACTTGAGCAAGCAGAGGCCCAAGCTCCCTCGATTGATCGGCGTAGGCCTTTGCTGCAAGTCCTAGGTTTATAGCGCAGCTTCGATGTCGCATGTAACACCAACAATACTAACATGCAGGACGGCGCTTTGTCCATTGGTTGCCTGCAGGCTTTTCAATGTCTCGCTCGAATCAAGCCTCCATATACAGCCAGCGCAGGGCTATGGCGGTCCCCAATAACAATGCGTTTTACCATCAATTGGACGTGATGCCATGCAGGGCTGACAATAGCGTCGACGGTGAGCCATACCAGGCAACCGCATATCCTGAGCTACTAAACCTGCAATATTTTGCTTCGCTATAATACGACCGAGGCGAGGCACGACTTGTGGCTTTTTTTCGTCCTTGCTAGGACTTTTGAGGCCGCTTAGACACCTTATTCATGGTCAAATATGCCCATTGCCCTGTTGAAAGACTTGCCTTCTCTTTTCCCAACTTTCTATCCCATCCCCGCCTCTCTCTTATATCATCAGACACCGTTTCACAATGATTGACAGCATTGGAGAGAACATTTCTGACTTCACGTGGAAATGGACGTACAAGCTTCTGCATCGCAAGAAATCGCCTCTGGACAAACCTGTCGACCTTGAGAAGGAGTACCAAGAACATGAGGAAACCAGCAAGAAGGATCCCACATTTGGTGCCGATGCTACCATTCAAACTCTCTACGAGGGCAAAAACTCCAATGGGCAGAGGGGCGAATGGGATTGGCAAGACTATCCTCCCAAGCAAGTCCCCGAGTCCGCTGCGAAAGCTCGAGACCGTGTTGCCATCCGAGTCTACAAAGTCAGAGACCTCGAAAAGTCCGCCATCTCCGGCCGATACCCTCTCAAATACCACCGCATCGATGTTCAAAACCCGCTACTTCTCAACGCTCTCGAGCCCATCATGAAGAAGGAGAATATACATCTCGATGTCCACGATGTCGCGACCTTTAAAGAACCTTTCCGCCCTCTCTGGTTCTGCCAAGATGAGATCCGAGATTTATATAAGGAAACTAAGCAAGGCGACCCGCTCAAGGGGTTTCTACAGCTATTCCTGAGAGCTCTTGATGAGATCTTCCGCGATATCAAGATCAAACGACGCAACCTGCTTGACAAGGGTCTCACTGATTTCCGAACTGCTTGGACTCTCTTCCCTAGGGACTCAACTGTCTACAGCTTTGGGTTGAACTCTGAGTTTATCGGAAAGGTGGAGGGTACAGAGTATGACGCCAGTGATTGCCTTGTACAGCTCGTCATCACTGTCAAAGTCATGGCCTTCAATGGAGAAGAGTTTGTCTGGAGGAGGAAGCTTTTAACCATTAACGAGTTTCCCGGAAACAAACCAATTCGCGACCTTCGGCATTACCCTTTTGACATGCACCCAGATAAGGATGCTATCAAAGATCGGTTGATGACACGGGGGAGAAAGGTCCTCGATCTCCAGGGATTGACATATTGCTCCTACAGCGGCATTGCCCTGCACCCTGGAGAAAAAAGCGTCGAAAAGCACAATGTGGAATGTCGCATCTTGGTCGATGTAGTCGGTTACAATAAGTTCCAGCTTGCTGAGGGCAAGCGTGAGAACCAGGACCCGGAAATCGAAGTCGTCGATGTCTCGCGACGTCGCCGCCGACAAGATCTTGCTGAAACCAAGCGTGAGGGCAAGCATCCCAAGACTCAGCAGAAGAGACTCAATGAGGAAGAGCAAGCAAGTAATAGGGAGCAGCTCCTGAAAGAGCCTGGCGAGTTGGCTTTCATGTCTGAGCTGATCGGTGGTTATGCATTGAAGAACAAGCTCTGGGGTGAGACTGCTTCAATTATGTACTTTGTGCTTATGTTAATGATTTCTAGTCTACTTTTACGTTGAAGATCTCGAGCCGATTGTATGGAACGACCAAGCATACTCCCACCTTGTCTTTGATGAACAACAGAAGGATCTGGTTCTATCCTTCGTCGAAAACCACAGCCTCAACAATGGTACCTTGACCGCCATGGACGATGTCATTGTCGGCAAGGGCCAAGGCCTCATCATGCTGCTGTCCGGCCCTCCTGGCACAGGCAAGACCCTTATGGCCGAAGCCATCGCAGACCGCACTCACCGGCCACTATTCTACCTGCAAGCCGAGGATCTTGGCATCAACGCTGCTTCTCTGGGCGCCAACATCAAGCGTGTCTTTGAGATGGCAACCGAGTGGAATGCTGTGATTCTGCTGGATGAAGCAGATGTCTTCATGGCAGACAGAAATCCGAATGACATCCACCGCAACGAGCTTGTTAGTATCTTTCTCCGCGAACTGGAGTACTTTCGCGGCATCATCTTTCTCACGACCAACCTGTATCACACCATCGATACTGCATTCCGCAGTCGAGTCAGTTTGCATCTTCTCTTCCAATCTCTGAGTCGCGAGGCCCGCGAGACTGTTTGGCGCAAGTTCCTACAGCGCCTGCCCGAGAACAATCGCATCATCGACGTCACGGACGAGTCCACCACGCCCCAGAATGCCAGCACGAATGAGAATGGCGAAGACGATATTGTCATCAGCTCTGATGACAAACCACTTGACGACGAGGACATGAAAGAGCTATCCTTGTGGCAACTCAACGGACGAGAGATCAAGACGGTCGTCAAGATGGTGCGTGGCTGGTGTAACCACAAGGGGTATATCATGACACTCCCGCGACTGGAGAACGGTATCAAAGTGACGACTCCGCATGCGAACAAGGACGGTGACGTTGACAAGGATCTGTACGAGTGATATTAGCATTTCTTTTCATTTCTGTTTCTTCCGACTTAAGATACCTTTCTGTTCATATTCGGTCGTTCTTATATAAAGTATTTGTTATGTGTTAGCTTTTGCTTCGGGGACTCTCCGATTTGCTAGACTCGGATAAGAATATCAAAACACTGATTTATTGACTGGCTTGCTCTCTGAATCCAGGGCATAACTTCAGCTTTCGTATCATTCTCAAATGCAGCATGTTTGCAAGCGTCGCAAGTCGGCATTCACCATCAAAATGCCCTGCATGTGAAACTTGTTGTTATTCCATATACATAATGCTACTCTCATAATACCCATCCCAAGCCAAGCCTTAATCATTGCGAATACCGGTCTATAGTGATACGAAAAGAAACAGAAACCGCCCAGCCGTTGTTCATTACGCAACAAAGGTTTTACATATAGATAGCAAACAAACACCACTTCAACCCCTTGATCTCAGTCCCCTTCGGACACCGGTCTGTGCTGCTCTGCCGGTCTTGGTCACTCCGGTAGGAGCAGAGCCTTTGGCCTTGGCACTTGTAGCAGTAGCCTTCGCTGCTGCTGGTCGCCCTCGTTTCGCCGCAGGAGCATCGACGCTCTTGGAGCTGGGAAGTTCTCCCTTTCCAGATTTTGCTTTTGTGGCCCGTCCGCGGGCCTTGGGCTTCTCAACTTCTCCCTCAGCAGTGGGTTCCGTTGCCTTCTTGGCGGCAGCGCGGCCGCGGGGCTTGGCAGCGGGCTTGGGTGCTTCCTCGGCTGGAGCGGGTTCAGCAGCCTTGGTGCGAGTAGCCTTGCCACGCTTGGGCGCTGGCTCTTCAACAGTTTCCTTAGAAGCCTTTGCGGGTCTTCCAGCCTTTCGACCAGTGGTAGTCTTGGTTGGCTTAGCAGGAGCAGGGTCATCGGCCTTGCGTGTTGCGCGTCGTTTCTTAGACGGAGGTTCAGTTGACTCAACCTCTGGCTCGGGCTCGGGCGCAGTTCGCTTTGCGCGACCACGCTTCGTGGCTGTCTCGGTTGCCACCTCTGTAGTGGCCTTTGCTGAAGCAGCTGGGCGTCCACGCTTCTTCGGGGCCGCTTCGGGGCCTGTGGCAGGGTCATCGTTTGTCTTTGCGGCGGTCTTCGCCGCGCCGCGCTTCTTAGCAGGCGCAGGCTCAGTCGCTTCAGTAGCCTTTGAGGCAGCTGCTCGTCCACGTCGTTTGGGAGCTGGTGCAGCTTCTTCTTCTACTACGGCGGGTTTAGCGGCTCGGCCACGCTTCTTGGGTGCTGGTTCCTCTGCAGCAGTCTCTTCGGTGGCTGCTGCACGACCTCGCTTCCGCGTCTTGGGCTCAGCAGCAGGTGCCTCAGTCTTGGCAGGACGACCGCGCTTTTTGGGTGTTTCAACAGTAGTATCGACTTCGGGTTCCGTGGCAGCTTGACAACCCCGTTTCGTTGCGGGCTTGGTTACAGTCTTGGTGTTAGGAGTAGAAGCAGCAACGGCAGCCGTTCTTGCAGCTCGACCTTTCCTGACGGGAGATGACACAGCGCGCGGCTTCACAGTACGCGTGCTCTTCTTCGTGGCTGGCACATCTTCAGGTGCATCAACAGCGCGAGTCGCACGGCCAGCGCGCTTGGGAGCTTCAATCTCGGGTTCGACTTTTTCTGGTGATGGTTGTGGAGGGTTCTTGGGGGGTCGTCCACGGGGCTTGGGTGTTGATGCAGGTGTTGCGGGTGCGGCTCGGAGGCCAATGACTGTCTTGGGGGTCTGGGTTGATGTGGCCTTTCGGGGCGTAACTACCGCCTTACTGGCACTAGCAACTCGGCGACCTCTGGCAGACAACGGCTTTGAAGCACTTGGGACGACAATTGGAGTAGCTTCCGACTTCCTGGGTCGGCCTCTCTTTGCGGTGCTTGGGGGTGCAGCCGGAGTTGCTGCGATATCACTCTTTCGTGGCCGTCCTCGCTTTGCGGTACTGGGGGGCGGTACTGGAGTAGCGGCAACATCGCTCTTTCTTGGCCGTCCACGCTTTTTGGGTGTTTCGTTGGCAAGGACGCTTGCGGGCATGGACTTGCGGACGCGGTTGGCGGCTGATATGGGAGCTTTCCTCACTGCAGGTGACGCTGGCGCAGAAGCGATACTGCGACGCCCACGCGGTGACTTTGTAGCAGATTCTAGAGAAGTGCCAACTAGACTTTGCTTTTTGGGTCTTCCTCGCTTTGCGGGTGATGCCGGCGTCGCTTCATTGACAGGCGGTGCTTCCTCGCTAGGAGTAGGAGCTTCGCTGAAGGTTGCCTTTTCGGGCTCTGACATGGGCTTCAATTCAATAGCTAGGGAGGGTGTTGAACTAGTTCTGTCGGCCTGTTGGTCTGCTTGTGAAGACAGGGCTCGTCGAAACTGAGAGTCATCTGGTTGAGAGGGAGTAGCGAATGCAGGCGGTGGTGCTGACATGCGCTTCATCAATCCTCGCCCAACAGAGAGCAATGCGGATCTGAGTGAGCTGGATCCTGCCGCAGGAGCTGAGCTGGGCTCCAGGACTTTCGACTGTTCTTGCGCAGGGGTTTCTTGACCATCGGTGGACTTGTCATCATCGTCGGTCGCCGGCTCGACGGGTGTCTCAGTCGGTGTCTCTTCGACGCGCTCGGTTTCGCCGTTTCCAGTACCGTCTCCATGCTCTTGTTGTGAAAGGCCGCCTTCAGGCTGCTTCTCCGAGGACTGGATGATTGTTTCGATGTGCTCATGAATCTCAATTCGCGCCTCTTCCACGATCGGACGAGAATCAATGCCTCCATTTGGACTAGCTTCCTCAACGACATCCGGTTCTACAATGGAGTCTTCTTGCGCGCGTGCGGCCGATTCTTGTAACGGTGAAAATGGGGCTCGTTCGGGAGAGATAACCTTATAAGCGGCGACGGACTTTGGTGGCGTCGGCTTCTCGGGTGAGGAAAACATGCGCGAATGCTGTTCAGATAAGGCAGAGGCATCAGGTGACCCAAGAGTATCTGTGTTGAAGGTAGTATCGTCTAGAGCTGCGGGATCGCGCTGCCATGGCCAAGTAGGCGCAGGACCGGGACTCGTGGCCATTGAAGGCGCATTCTCGGTAGCAGCTGAAGCGCGTCCCATGAAGAGGGGATTGAATAGAGGAGAAGCCTCTGGGCGAAACGACTCGGCAAACGAAGGATCATCACCTTCGGGCATGGTGTTAGGCGCTCCGGGCGATGAAGAGGTTAATGTGCCGCGCTGACCAAGGCCGAGCCAGTTGGAACCAGAGCCAGAGCCTGAATCTTGGGGGGCATCTTGCCCAAAGTTGAAGTCCATGGTTAGATCTGGAGCTGTAGGCAGAACATTGATAGAATTAGGGGTTTGTTTCTATGGAAAAAAGGAATTGTGATTGAATTTTGTTTTGTTGTTTATTGAATTTGCATGATGTGTACGGAGTGTTCGAGTTCTCGTGTTTGCGACGCGCGCGTCACGTTGTGAGGCGAACGCGATCAGAGTGTTTCTCCACATTTGCGATAATGACATAATTCTTCCTTCCCCGTCTGTTTTTGAGCGCTTGCTTGCAGTAGGTCTAGGGGCCTGGGAGCCTACCTAGTTAGGCCTTGGCGCTTGGCATTTAAAGCTTGGCATCAACATTGTTTAATTCATCAACGACAGCCAAATACAAGACAGTGTCTTGATCTTTATATGGTAGTTTATCGTCGAGTGCGGCGAAGCGGTTTCAAATGTTCATCCAATGCATGCATCTTTACGAGCTCATACCGGCTCTTACTTATTACATCACCACAAAACCTGTATCGTCTACCTTCGAGTTTGCACGGTAACATCTCATCCTAATCAAGCAGTGTTGATTGATGAGATATGATGATGCGCCCAAATAAGCAACTGCACTAAAACACCTCCCCACGGTCAATGGGAAACAAGATTTAACGTATTTCACCTTTCTGGGGATTTGGTCGCATGTGATGCCAACTTGAGGACTAAAGCACCAACGGGAAAGGCCAATCTTGCACTGCCACCGCCTAAACCCCAAAGAGGGAGTCATTTAAACAAATCATACAACTCTCCTCTCATCAACAAACCAAGCCAATGACGTCTGGTCGTCCTAATCAGGCCGCTCAGGGTCCCCTTTACCGCTATTTCTCCTATCAGCTACGAGTTAAGCTTATGTGGCTACGCTTCTCATCGGCCATGGGCATGCTCTGCTCACCAAGTGCCGGGTCCAACCCCGGTCTGCAAAGGTCCTTTCTTAACACGACAGTGACAATAGTCCGTCCATTATCTAACAATTATAGTGGTCATGTACAGCCACATTGTTAAATGACCGGGCTTTATTGTTGATGCACCACTCCCACCTCTGCAGATGGCTTCACCACAGGGATTCACTGCACCTCGGTTTAGCGGAATTCGCTCAACTGCAACACTATCCGTACCCGCTTGCCTTCTCCCTCTTTGCTCAAACGAGTTGGTTTGCAGCCTACTCTCCCTCTCTTCTCGGCAGACGGCACACATATCCAGACTCTGCGCCCGCCGACTCGCAAACGACCCTGAAACACCTTCTCTCTAGGGCATCGTCTTCGGCGATTTTCGCCAAACCGACGAACCATGTGGTTCCCTAGCCTGAATTTCGTCAAGTTGCATTGTGAGTGCCGAGCCGCGAAACGCTGATAGGATGTTATGTCGCTGACAGCGCTGCTTGGCAACATGTAGACATCTACATTATTGGCATGGGTCTATCAAGCTTCATCATCATCTACCCCAAGGGCAAACTCAGCGCGATCGATGCTTATTTCTTTGGCGTTAGCGCCTCGACCGTTACCGGCTTAACTACGTGAGCCATCTTTCATAGCACTCGATGATGGATGGTCCAGGGTTGCTAATCACATGCTGGCTTAGAGTCGATGTTCCTGTACTAAGGACATACCAGCAACTGTTCCTTTACTTCGTTCCCCTTGTCTGCAATACTGTGTCGATCAACATCATAGTCGTTGTCGTGCGCCTAATCTGGTTCCGGAGATATCTTAAGAAGGCTGGTTAGTTCATCATCAAATTCCTTGTCAAAGAACAGTTACTGACTTTGATCCAAAGCTCCTGCCCTGGTGAAACAACGCAGACCTGCGGATCCGGATCCCAAAGAGGACCCTGAGAATGGCACCAAACCTCCCTCTCCAGAGACCCCGGAGCACCGGCCGAGTCTTGCAAGAGCTGTGACAGACCAAGCTTGTAAGAATCTCGCAGAAGAGGATGGACTCCCTCGTATTGGAGCCCGCAGCCGAACAGAGCCGGGGCCTGATCATCCGCCTCAACGTCCCGTAGAGAAGATTGAATCCCCAATTCGAGAAGACACGGTGAAAGAGAGAGATGGAGACCATCCCGAAACAAGAATTACTTTTGATCCTTCTACCGATCGTCATCCTAGGCGAGAACAAGAGGCGACTTTGTACATTCCCGGGCCTCGTGCTCGTGATCAAGGTATGCACGTCATCATCAAATATTGACGTTAAATCAACTCACATGCTTAGGCCTTCCCTTCGTTGAGTTGAACAGCGGCCGTCGCTTCAGCAGAGATACTCGAGATGGTAAGCCATCGATGCCTTTGTTCACAACCATGATTCCTGAGCTAATCGCCCCCCAGAGGATATCATTGAACCTATTTCACGCACTCAGTCTACACCCATCGGTATCCTCCGCCGCCGCCGAAGCGCTGGCCTTAGTCTGGCCCAAGTCCGTTCTGTAGAGCGCGTCGCTACTGTTGCCACATCGTTGTTCGTTATTGGCAACACAGCTCAAGGACCGAAAGAGCGTCCGCTGACCAGAGCGCCAACACTTGCTGTAGGTGACTTCCCACAGTTATCGCGTGAGGTCACAATTGGGCGCAACTCTATCTTTCACAATCTGTCATCGAAGGATCGGGAGGAGCTAGGTGGTATCGAATACAAGAGCTTGAAACTGCTGCTCAAGATCATCATTGGTAAGTCTTGGAGCGACTGTCCCTGGAAAAGCATACTAATGATTGTAGGGTACTACCTGTGTCTACACTCCCTTGGTGCTATCTCCTTGATAGTATGGATTCATAATGCTCCTGAAAAGTATGTCAAGTACATTGGTGAATGCGGGCAAGATACAAGCTGGTGGTGAGTTCTCCTCTATAACAGGGTTGCCTGCCGTTCTCATCCACTCTAGGGCCATTTACTCTGCTCAAACTATGGTCACCAACCTGGGTTTCACATTGACGCCCGACTCGATGATTTCGTTCAACGATGCCCCAGCTCCGCTGCTTATAATGAGCGCGCTCGCCCTCGCCGGTCATACCTTTTATCCTGTCATTCTTCGCCTTATCATCTGGACCACTTCGAAGGTCATCCCGAAACGATCCTCACTTCAAGAGCCCCTCTCCTTTCTCCTCAATCACCCGCGTCGTTGTTACACTCTACTTTTCCCTAGTGGTCCTACCTGGGCACTCTTTGGTATTCTAGCCCTCCTCAACATCGCCGATATCCTCTTCGTCATTCTCCTTGATTTGGACAACCCAACCGTCACCGTTCTTCCAGGCTGGCAGAGGTTCTGTGCTGCTGTCTTCCAGGCAGTCAGCTCCCGACACACCGGTACAGCAAGTTTCAATTTGGCCAACGTCAACCCAGCAGTACAGATGGCTTTGTTGGTCATGATGTACGTCTCCGTATATCCCATCTCCATCGTGGTTCGATCTTCCAATACCTATGAGGAGCGCTCGTTGGGGATTTACGAGAAAAGCTTGCAGTACAACGAAGACGATGGTGGCTCATATTTTGTAACCCATCTACGGAACCAGCTCAGTTTTGATCTGTGGTACATTTGCCTTGGACTGTTTTGCATCTCTATAGCTGAGCATAAGAAGGTCATGGATGGGAACGATCCAGTAAGTACACATCCACATGTCTCAGACCCTCACTCACAATTATCTGCAGGCATTTACAATGTGGTCCATTTTCTTTGAGGGCGTTTCGGCATAGTAAGTCGGGATCTCACCATAAAGGACTCCGAGCTAACTGCCCTTCAGCTGTAACGTTGGGTTGAGTTTGGGATATCCTTCCATCAACTCATCTTTTTGTACCGAATTCACAACATTCAGTAAGCTTGTCATCTGCGCCATGATGGTCCGTGGACGTCACCGCGGGCTTCCCTACGCCTTGGATCGCGCCATTGTCCTACCGACCGAGAAATCTTTGGGTGCAGAGACTATCACTCAGTCCAATGAGTCTCATGAGCACCGTGAGTAGTTGACTTGGACATCACATTTCAGCATAGCCAATCGCAGACCATTCTGGGTACATATTGTTTTGGACTCAAGTTCTTGGGTTTTCTTTCTACGTTACGATAACGCTTAGATGAGCATAGAATGTGATTTTTGCTAGAACTTGTGTAGATAGATGGTAAGACTTGTCACTTAGATATACTGGTGGTTCTTGGAGCGTTTAACTTAGGGCAATACAGTTGAATTTGGGTTTTCGAATATCTTATTCATACAACAGTGGGTGCAGCTTTTGAATAGTTGAGTCGAATTAATCATGCCTATTCCCTTTCTTAAATGGTTGGAAGTTTCATGCATCGTTATACATAAACACCTCTCTAACTTCGAAGCACTCTTAGTAGAGTTAGATGGGCATAACTTCTTTCTCTTTGGTCACATTGATCTCCAGAGAACACATCTGGCACACATTTCATCGTTCTATATCCATTTAGCCCTATAGGGTGACAGCACTTTTATAATGAAGAAGTACTTGCTGACTTTTGAGGTCATCATCTTGTTGTAGTCGAGCTTCATGCTCAGAAGCTACCTGCGGAAGGGCTTTCACCAAAAATCGCTGTTTCTCCACCGAGTCGATCCCGAATCTTTTTGGATCTTTGTAGGTATACTCGACTTGAAGAGATGTAAAAATTGGCACCAGTCTGTGCCACAGATTCATAGCTAGTCCAAGTCACACGAATTCTGCAGTCACCAAAAAGTCCCTGATATAGGGGTATTAACCTTCAGAATGTCAGCAAGAGGCGCAGGATAAGTAAGGATCCGCAATAGATAACGTGGTATGCAGCGACCGAGTTTCCCGATTTGGCCAAATATGAGAGATTTCACGAAGGACTACTGTTTGAAGAGTAAGCGTCAATGATCTTACCAGTTTGTTTTGCTATCATCGAGCATAGATCTCTTGGGTTCTGGCATGGGGGTTAGATAACTTGAAATTTTCACGTTCTTTATAGTTGAGAAGAAAGTTATCGAATGGGAGTGCCACGTATCAATGTACTGAGTACCAAATTTGATCATGGTAAAAGAATAATATCTCACTCTGAGTATCTTTCTGCACTATCCTACTCGTACTACGTTGATATATAGGTACTAACGTAAGGGCCATGCTGAACAACCGACCTATAGAGCTATTTCGGTGGAGATACAGCTAAAAATGGAGCAGTAACAACTAAGGCAGCCCTACGGATACGCCGACAAGCAATGGATGTCAATCCTTTCGACACGGGTGAGCACGAGCCGAGCAGGCTGTGCCTCTTGGCGACGTATAGCTCACGCTTTATTTAAGCTGCCCATTAAGTGCGGTAACTTTTCACGGAAATGTCGAAACGTTGTCCGAGACAGAGGTCTGGCATTTCTATGAAGCATAAAGAGTACATAAGAGTTTCCAATCTTGGAAGAATCGGGTACTAATATGTCTGCTCTTTCTGAAGTCACAACCGACCATCGTTAACCAAAAGATCCTTGCTGCTTACTTTCGACCCCATTTGATACCCATTGAACGTCAGATCCGATAGAACGTGATTGGCGAGCAGAAATGGCTGAGCCAATGCATCTCGAAGGATATCACTCCTTTGGGGTCCGTAGGACACAACTCTCAAGTTTATGAACCCAAGAAAGGCTGGGATTGGCCCTTGGCTAGGTTGACTCCATGTCGCTTATCAAAAGGGACGATTTCCCCTCCTGTTGTCTCTTCCAATACTCATTGGCAGTATATTCTACGTTGTACATTGTACAATTTGAAGCCATCGACAGACTTTAGTCTGTACCACTCGTTTTCTCTCGCTGTGTGCAGAGTAGTGTCTGCGTCGTCATCATCTTGACCGTAGCCATGCGGTCAATCTTATTGACTCTAGTTTCGCTACTCAACTTCAGCTTCTTCGTCCAGGTCCAATGTGAGAGCAACTTTATCGTCCCAGCGACCTACGATGATACGGACCGAGACGCCAACAACCCGCGATACGAGATAGGCGAGAACATAAAGCTCAGATGGTTGACTGACCTCAAAGAGGCAGCCATCCTCGTTGTGCAACTCTTTTCCAACTCGACGCAACGATATTACATTATTGAACGTAAGCGCATTTGTCTGCCCTCCTGCATATAATCTTGCGCTCACACAAGACCTCTCTCGCAGAAAATACCACGGACAAAACTACCTCTTGGACAATCGATTTTAACTCGGACAACAGCTTCTGGAAGGATGCATATAACGGCAGTGACCTTATATTCTGGTTCGAAATATACAAAGCTGAGTCGCCTCTCGCCGAAGATCCCGTTGTCATGTCTCGAAACTTCAACGTCAGCGTATCCGATACAGACGCGAGCGAGTCTTCCAGCTCTTCGACATCCGGCCCTTCATCCTCAGCAAGCTCCGATGTAGATTCAGGTGCCGATTCACCTTCCGACTCAGGGATCTCTGCCAGGGCTACTGCTGGTATTGCAGTTGGGGCTGCCGTGGGCGCATTATTAATCGGTGCATGCGGCCTCTTACTATGGAGGAATTTACGAAAGGACAAAACTGTAGGACAACTGCTTCCCCAAGACGATATCGCTTATCACCAGCCTGCTGGGCAATATACCCCATATCAGGAAGTTCCTGGCGCGATGAAACCTGAGCTACACAATGAGTCTGCTCATCTTCACGAAGCGCCATGATATCATGTCGAATGAGCTTTGATTTAGTCAGAGGAAGGATATAAAACGTGCCAAGGACATAGAACATAAACGTATAATGAACATTTAATTCTGATACAAGTTGTCTGCGGTGATGGATCATGAGCCTCCTCGAAGAGACAAAGACGGACAGTCCATTGGTCGAGTCATGGACAGGCAGGTATTCATACTTCATCGGGTACTTCATCTGTATTATATATCAATTCCTGGAACGTTGCAATAGTCGAGTTTACAGAATATAAAGACATTGCCTCAACAGGTATATTGATACCAAATTCTTAGAAGAGAGGGCAGAATAATCAAAAAGAGTTCCATGTGGCCACTGTGCACCGTTTCATAATAAAGTGACAGTCGTCAAAAGAGATTCAGTTAGCGAGATTTTCAAGACGTCTTGATGAAAAGCCTGTCTTGTTTTATTCAGACGCAATTTATGAATCACCCCATTAGGGTTAGATATAGTAATAGGCAGGTCAGTCGATATATGCGCAGTATGCATCCCTGTTGGTTCGGGATCAAGATGATTTGATGCAGTTCAATCGATATACTCTGACAGTGGAGCCCTATCCGTCCCTCTCATGATATTACCAGGCGAATTGTACTCTTGCTTCCTTAAGCTCACCGTTGGTTGGTTTGAAAACCAGGCCACGCCGCGGCACGCCAATAGTTCTAAATATTTGAGTTGGATATTGTGCTTGACTTACATATCTGTCCAAGCTTAGAAGACGTCGATTAGCCAAGATGAGCCGAGCTGAAATGCGGATTCACATCATGTAGCTTGATGAATAAGTTGTTGCATGTACCTTATTCAAAACTTGTTCATGCAAAGTTGCCTCTAGTTATTTAAGATAAGGGCTCACGATCATGCTTGACTCTCATAACCCCTTGATTACCCCAACAATAATTGCTTAAAGGCTATTCAACTGCATCTGGCCAAGGCGGTGGTATCAACTTCTAGGAGATCTCATACAGCATTACCTTGGTATATTAGTCCGTCAACTCGGGCAATACACGGTACCACGTATACTAGTGGTTTTATTTAACATGATATTTAGTATGGGTTTGTAGCCCATTTCTCCATCGCATATGGGACATAAACTTCCTATTCCTCTCTTACGCGTGGCTGGCGTGGCAATATGTATAGGGTAGCCAGAACAGCCGAGGTCTAGATCAGCATCGCCGACTTCTAGAAAGATTAGACTTTACAAAATTTCCATTTAAATGGAGTCCAAACCCACCCGCTCAACCACGCCATGGATCAAAAGAGCAATCACATCCGCGAACCATGAGAAATAGTTGCCGCTATCCGTACCTGACCCCCGGTCTGGCTGAGATTGCACCATTGGTTGTGGTAATGGCGTTGATAACAGGCTGACTATATCTGTTTCCATCGTTTCGTTGAGTAGAAACAAAACATCTTCTTTACCAAGTTTTCTTCAAGACACGATATCGCCACCCTTCTATATCGGAGGCGTCAAGATGAGCGCCGACATTCTTGCGGGAGGAAAGGCTGCGCCGGACGTTGAGGCGGAACCAAGGGCGGTTCACAACGACAATGGCGGCGGCCTCGTCACGGTCACTGAGGAGCGGAACCTGCAGCGCGGTCTGCACGAGAGACATCTTTCTATGCTGGGTATCGCAGGCGCTATTGGAACCGGTCTCTTTCTCGGTCTGGGCCAGTCGGTGCAGACTGGCGGTCCATTGGGAGCGCTGCTGGGCTATGCCACCATCGGACTCGTCGTGTGCGCGGTTCAGTTCGCGCTGGGAGAAGTCGCTGCGTTGATGCCAGTTACAGGAGCGTTTGTGCGACATGCCGAGTTTCTGGTTGATCCGGCTTGGGGCTTCGCCATCGGGTGGAATCTCGTCTACGGAAACGTCCTCTCTATTCCCTCGGAGATCACAGCCATCTGTGTGCTGTTCGAGTTCTGGACCGATCTCAACCCAACGATATGGATCGTCATCTTCATCGTTCTGACAACAGTTGTCGGCCTCTGCTTCGTGCGCGTCTTTGGTGAGGTGGAATACTGGTTCGCCATTCTCAAGATCCTTCTCGTTGTCTTCCTCATCATCCTGGGTCTGGTCATCAACCTAGGTGGTGTCCCGGGCACAGAGCGCATTGGCTTCAGATACTGGAAGAACCCAGGTCCTTTTGTCGAGTACATCGCGACTGGAAGCTGGGGCAAGTTCCTGGGCTACTGGTCTGTCATGACAAGCGCTGTCTTCTCCTTCGCTGGTGTAGAGTCCATCGCCATGGCAGCTGCTGAGACGCGAAACCCTCAGCGTGCGATTCCCAAGGCTTGCAAGAACGTCTTCATCCGGATCCTTGTCTTCTACATCCTGGCCATTCTCATTGTCGGTATGTTGGTCAGGAGTGACGATGAGAGACTCAACGATCAGTCTGGCGCTGCAGGCCAAAGTCCTTTCGTCATTGCAGCATCCGCAGCCGGTATCCCTGCCATCCCATCTGTTGTCAACGCCGTGGTTATCACTTCTGCGTGGTCAGCTTCCAACCAGAGTCTTCTTGCGGGTACCCGTGTCCTGTACGGTCTTGCTCTCAAGCGACAGGCGCCCAAGATCTTCCTCAGAACGACCTCATGGGGTGTACCTTATGTCTGTGTTCTCTTCTTTACCTGCTTCATGTTCCTCAGCTTCATGAGTTTGTCAAACGGAGCCATGACTGTGTTCTGGTGGCTGGTCGATTTGACTGCCGCTGGAGTTCTGGTCTCTTGGTCGTCCATCTTGTTCAACCATATCCGATTACGCCTAGCGATGAAGAAGCAAGGCATCCCTATTGAGGCCCTTCCCTGGCACAACTCCTGGACTCGTAAGTGACTATCGATATACCGAGGCGAGTTCCTGCTAACGTTGGCGATACAGTCTATTCGTCATATATCGGATTATTCATGGCCTTACTCATCCTGTTCACAGGCGGTTTCCGCGTCTTCACCAAGGGTAATTGGGATCCTGTAGGATTTGTATCATCATACCTGTGCGTATCATTCGAACCAGAACCTAGACCTGATGCTAACAACGAGGCAGAGATATCCCTCTCGTGATTGCAGCGTACTTGATCTGGAAGTTTGTCAAGAAGACAAAGATCGTTTCGTTGTCCGAGATACCACTTCGAGACGCTTTCAAGATGTCGGAAGAGCACCATGAAGTACTGAGTGCTTGAGTATCGGGATTCCTGCAACATGTTTTAGCCCTGAATTCGTATAAACTAATGTATAAGATTAATGAACGGTTGAGTATATAAGAATTCCACTCACAGCTGAAGAACTCCCTATGAAGAAATATAGCAAGACTTGTTCTCCGGTCACTATGTCGTGAGGAACATGAGTTTGCCCCGAGAGATGAGTCACGATGGTTCATCGTATGTCGAGTTCCAATATCACTTGCTATCAATACTCTTACATATTTAGAAGCTCCATCACAAGATGAAATCGTACATGCGTTGGACTTTGCAGATAGGTCTATCATGGTCCGGCAGCTGTGAGTGCGATAGCCCAGAACCGTAGTAGTTGTGACCATGCAACGAACTGAGCACTCAGCAATGGATGAAGAAACATACTACGGAGTACACTCGAAGTATTGCTGTGTTCGCATTACAAATGAATGACTGTGCCTATCCGTGGACGTCTTTATCCAGTGTACAAGTCACCTCGGCAAGATCATTGTCTCAGTAAGGGGCAGGCCAGCTGTGTACTAATGAAGTACACGAAGTATCCTATTCTGTAGAAGATTATTACCTGGCAATGTATTTTCGGACTTTCTTTCCACTGTACGCTTCTATACTCAGTTGCTCTTCCCGGTTGCTTCCATGAGTTGAGCTGCTTGGGAAGAGCCCAACGAACATCTATCGCATCGACATTGTAAGTACTCACTGAGATCAAGCTTGCTTCATCGGTCAACCGAACAAGTGAAATCATAACTCGGGCAATTCTATCATTGATAGCCTGATATGCTTGGATAAAGTTACGGCACTTACCCTCGAATTAGATGATAGGTACATGGAGTCTCATGGAAGCATATTTCCACTTGCATACGAGCCTACGGCGATGGCTTCATCAAACTTCATGATGATTTCCTTCACGGCAAGATCCTTATCTCGCTTTGACGACAGACCAGTAGTCTATCTCATGACCCATACCATGTTCAGGAACTACAACAAACCTTCAATTGATGCAATATCTCCGAAACTCACCACCAAGGCACTTACAAAGTAATCTTTCAAGGCATAACATTATATCGGCGAATCACTTGATCCCAGTATTTCCTGGGCGCTGTTTCAGTTGGAACAAGAGTTCAGCTACTCGAGCTAAAAAGGCCGCCATCTACGACTTACAAATGAGTTAGTTACATCGTGCCTCCTGACCAACAAACTCTCTTGAGACCTAAGATCGCCAACACCAACCACTCCCCTCGAACCAATCTCCCTTTCCCCGAAAGCTACTCAGATAAAGCTCGTATGTATGAAACAAAGGATATACACACCCGACACTATGTGGCCATGTCTCGAAGGATGACATGCCGGGAGGGAGCTCACATGTCCAACCTTAGCAGGAAACTCTGATGCATTTCAGCTTTTGCAAATCTCCAACAATAGCAGCATAGCCGCAAAGGCTAATGTGTAATGATACGACGACGATCCTTGAAAGCGAAGATTGGGAGTTGCTTGACTCGCGGTCATGGTCGAGCGTGACACCTTTCCCTCCCCCTGGGAAACTATCGAGCAAACAGAGTTTCGGTCCGCAACAAGAGAGCGCGCTTATTGTACGCGTATGTATAGTAGAGCTTACTAACAAAGTCCCGGCATCTGTGCGATATGAAGCCCGCACCAAGGGTCGAGAACAGATGTGTAGTGGCAGTCCACTCGCTTACAGGCTCATGAGTCGTGGGGAGGGCAAATGACGATGGCCGTCGGTTAGAGGCAGCTTACTATAGAAAGAGACGGGGTTTCGGATCCATAGTGTCAAGCCACGAAGGGTTGGGAAGATTGGCCTGGAGTGAGTGAGTGAGTGAGTATCATGATGTTCGGCGCCATCCGATGGGAGTTTGTGGCCGCAGGATCTACGATTCCATCTCGGACCGAATTGTTAAGTAAAGTCAAAGTTGACGTTGGTTCTATGCATGGGCTTAATGTCATTATCATGTGATTACTGAGTGGTGTACCTGTTTACTACGTATAGGTATTAAGACTTTATGTTGAAGTCACCAAACTGACGATGCACAACTAAACCAACCTCCAATGCTGACCAAGTTTAGTGACGAGAGTCGATGTCTCTCCCACCAGGGGATTAGTTATCACTCGCCCGGTTTAATTAATGATAGTCCAACACATTAGCACCGCAAATCACATAAACTAACAACAGATCCAACAAGACTAGCCGCAACTTGACAAGAGTTCAGCCCAGACTGCAAAGAACTTACGTAGTATCTTGTGCAGCTTCATTCATTCCAGTTGCCCTTTCTCCCCGAACCCATTCATCCATCGTCTCTCACACGGGCCCTTTTTTAGCTTTTGTCTTATTTAGCTTACAAACTTTAGGCTGTGCCGCACACCCACTCCCCGAACCATGATCGACAACTGGTTTTGTGTTGGTTAGCGGGAAGGAAAGGGATGGAGGAGTGTCTATGTCTCTTTGTCGTAAAATGTCAAAAAGTAAAAAAGAAGCCCAAAGGCTGAAGCGAGATTTAGACTTCTGGGGGGCCTTGTTAAACTGTAAGCGAAACCTCGTGGCTTTGAGTTTGATCCATTCCCCGGAAATGACGCTCGGGAATGAGACAGACAGACAGACAGATATCGATGTTGACAATTGACGGCATTTGGGGTGTTTCGTATCCTGAGACTACGACACTATGTCACTATTTGACGTGCAGAAGAGGAATGCGCACCAAGTGGTCCGTCCATAATGGTGATTTCCTCTCTCTGAACGCCCGTCACTCACTGTAGTATGTATGTCCCCTGGAAATTGTTTTCGGAGAAATACTGTACCTAGCCAAATGCCACGAGGTTCCGGGGGACTTGGCATTGATGAATAATTACCTACTCTACTCGAAACATGAACCTGAGACATTCCGCGGTTTTGCGTAAACGAGAGGCTTTGATCGAGCGGTGAGACCCTACACATGAATATTGACAAAATTCATGTCCCTATTGTGCCAAATGTAGACCAAGTCTTTCTGTCGGCCTTGTATCCAAGTGGACGGCAGAGACAGAGACTATTGATTCTACGGCCTATCACGGATCATGGGCATTTCCATGCTTGTCTCACTTTTCTCGACTGCAAGTGAGAGAAAGCAAATTGAACCAACCTCTGCATCCAAGTCTCATGCCCATGACCCGTCATGTTTTGTCTTGTTTTCCCTGAATAGCTTCGCTCATCCACCCACCACATTCACATTCACATTCACATTCACATTCACCTTGATCCTTCTGTGAGTACAGTATTGGCATAGCATCATGTAAGATTGTGCCAAATCACATCGCCCCAATAATCGTCTCACCCTCATCACGCTACCTTTCCCCCTCTGCCAAAACCCGCCTCACCTTTTTCCCTTCCCTCGACTCTATTCGCCCAACTCACATCTCCACCCACCCCTCCAACGGAATGCCGTTCGCCCTAACTGGATGACCCCTGCTCATTGGCCGCCACATTCTCGCCTTGTTTTTCTTTACTTTCCCTCTCTTTTTTCCCTTTTTTTTCTTTTCTTGCTCGCCACAAGCGTTGGTTGTAACGCCCGCCCCACGCACGATGTGATACACGAGGGTGCCACATTCTGTCCAATCTCCGTGGCTTGAAAGCGGGGGGTGTTAAAGTGATTTTGGTCTGCGGGTAGGAAAGTAAAAGTTGCTTTTTACTGTTTTGGTCCTCGTGCAGCATCATGCAGGTCGAGGTCGGGAGCACCGTAGTGTGATGCCGCAGAGTCGTAGACCGGGGTCTAGCCTTGAAGTCGGGGGTTGAACGAACTCTTGATCTATCACTAAACTCAATCAATGATACCGTCGTATACTATCATATTAGGCAAGTCACAGTTCTCGTCACAAGTTCATCAACGGGCAAAATGATGTTGAGTTATCTCAAAAGGTCATATTCATTCATGGGATGATCGGCAGATGCATCTCTTTGGTGCGAGGTGCCGTCTTCCCTCAGTTAAACGTATTTTGCGCAATGCTATTGTGCGCTGTGGCTATCGAGCCATGTCTTTCGCTCTAAGTCTTTGGGACAAAGTCAAGCCCTGTTGACATTTGTCTCTTCTCTTTCTCTTTCCCCCCACTGAAAGAAAACAAAGAGTCCGCTGTCCAATCCGTCATGATTGTAAAATTTGTGTGAAAAAAGAGGTGTCTCTGATTCCTGCGAGCCATGCCATGTTTCTTTCCGCTTCTATCCCAAAAGACACAAACGCCTTCCAAGACAGCAAGTCGTAAGAAAATAGCAAACTGGTACAATAAAACAAATGTTCGTTTCCGATGCAAGCGTCGTTATCCTTTTGGAATATCCAGATGTCAAAGAGCTCCAATGGCATGGGCCATAAACCAGGCTGGCAGAAAACAAACAGATCATAACGCGGATCGAACAAGCAACAAGCTCCATATCTTCAGAGTATTCTGTCTCAACAGAAAAACAAAAATTGGCCCCCCGTAAATCTTGATGCGCCAAACATCATGCTTCTACAACTGATATCTTGCCCATCATCATTCGAAAAGACAAAACTCCTCGCTTTTTGAATAGATATTTTCAAGAGTGGAAATAAAAATAGATAAAGAAAATTCTGTGACAAAGAAAATGTGTAAATAAAAATCCGAGCAAAAGTGTTGCTCCAAAAAAGGGATCCTAGGCCGAATAGAAACAATCCCGGACTGTCATTCAATGGGTCGTAAAGGTATTTTTGGTAGGCGTATCCTTGCGCAGCTTTTGGATTCCAGTGTGGTGTGTTCCCCTGGTAGTGGATATGTATAGCCAAGGGTCGATATTAAAATGTCGAGTAGTATCCAAGGTGGTGGTAATAGTAATAGTAGAAGAATCAAACAGTCCTTGGCCTTTGGGGGGTTGGGGCCTTGGTAGTATCTCCTCATCCAGGTCAGGTCGTAGTGGTAATAGAGTGATGGGTGACTGTTATGTCGAAAGCGGAAGACATGGTCTAACACTTAGTAACAGCCTTGAAACGTAGGCA